TTTAATGTATTAATATATATGCCCTTGTGGTTTACGTAATGAAAGTTTGGCGTAACAATTTCAGGTATCTTTTCAAACATTTGATTTCACGATCAACATCTTAAATTTTTGGTGTGCTCGAAATTACACTACGTAGTGTTCGCAAAAACGTGGATACGATGGTAGTCTAATTCGTCTAATTACGCGAACACACTTTATTTCAGTTATGCTTCAAGAATATCAACAGTGATAGTGCTATACGATGAGGCCTATACTATGAACCGAATTAGGGCTTAGTAAGGGGAATGTGTTCAGTCATTTCAGTCAAGAAGAGTTTCAATTATTTTCTCTGTACTCGCGGATTTAGCTCAGTTGGGAGAGCGTCAGACTGAAGTTACACTCCAGTCGCAGTTAATCTGAAGGTCCTGTGTTCGATCCACAGAATTCGCAATTTAATTTTTTTGAAGGGTTGACGATGGCCAGAGCAGAACTGTAAAAGAGCAGAGACAAGTTGATATGTTAGTTGTCCGTGTATTTCGTGATAAATTTATTTTGTTTGAAATGTACTTTTTAATATTTGGTAAACATGGCTGCAAATGAGTTCAGTCAGAATCAGTGAGAAAGGGATCTTGGAGCAACCCAGATGCATCCGTACGCTGGTTGGGGTCCCACTTGAAGATTTTTGACAAAAACTTTATGAACGACTCCGACTTCTTCAGGTCTTCCCGGCATGATCTCAATCTCAATCTCATCTCCAAGTTTCTTGAGGCAATTTTGAAAGTCTTCCGGCCATTGGTGGTTCCACCCGCAATATTTTGAGCTGCTTGGATTCTCATATTCAAGAACTGAATATTAATTCTTCCCTCCATATCAAAAAAAGTATAAAGAAGGGTTTTTTTTATAGACTTCTCATCAGCTCCTCCACTGTTTAGTATATTAGAATTGTTGACGCTGGCTCTTTCGTCAAACTTGTTGACAGCAGTTTGCTCTTTCATAGATCTCAATAAGCTATGTCTTTGTTGTAGAATAAGGCCACTATTGGGGGCACCAAAAAGCTCGAGTATAAGGGCTATTTGCTCCAACTCATTTTTGCCTGGAAGTAATGCATCTCCAGTAAACAATTCGGTTACAATACACCCAAGGGACCATATATCAATCATCTTATCATACCTGGCTCCGAGTATGACTTCAGGAGCCCTGTAGAATCTCGATTGGATGTAGGAATACGAGATCTCATTGACGAAACACGATGTCCCAAAATCAACGATTTTCACCACCAAAGACTCCTCGGTAACGTCATCCAACAGAGCTGCCAGGGGGAACTTGATCATAATATTTTCGGGCTTGATATCGCAGTGCAAAATATTCATTGAGTGAATGTACTCGAGTCCTCTTAAAATCTTCTTTACAAAAAGCTGTAGCACCGGGAGTGACAAGCCTTGGAACTTGATGATCTCCAACATAGTGAATAGGTTCACCGATAGTGGTTCCATGACGATGCACATATGGCCTCTGAAGTGGAAGTGATCGTAGTATTTGAGCACAGGGCAATCTGAAGTTGCATATTCCAGAGCATAGGTGTTACCCTCAACGACTGTCTTGTGGGAGTTCAAATGTTTCAACATCTTAATTTCATAAACAGCTTGAAGGGACCAGTTGATATCACTTTTGATGATTTTAATGGCAACTACCTTGTCTTTATGGTTCTTGGGGTCAGTATACTTTTTATCAAGACATTTCACCACATTCCCAAACGATCCGTTTCCTAACACAGACAAAATCCTGTACCTATACTTGATATGGTCGTTTGGAATAACCACATAGTTGCCGGTTTTGTCGTCAAACCCATAGTTATTGCTGTGGTTCCTGATGTTTATGCTTCGATGACCCTGACTATGGATATCAGGAAGTATGTAGATATCTTTCCGCCTCAACAACTCGCCTCTTTCGTAAACGTCTAGCGACGTCTCTGTCTCACTCGAGCCTTCGATGGTGAGTTCTTCTACTGTTTTAGACTCGTTGGAGCAGAACTCTGTGGACTCCACGTCTTCAAACAAACTGGGGTCTTCGTCATATATCGTGGCATACAAATGAGACAAGCTCCGGATCTTGGGAATCTCCTTCTGGAGTTCGAGCGAGCTGAAGCTCCGCCGAAGCGCATTGGAAGGGCTCTGCTGTGAAGGTTGATGGTGAGTACCATCGTGATGTAGTGAGGGTTTTGGCTTTGATCCGTTATACAAGCGCGTGTACACATCTGCCTTGGATATTTCCGCTGCAGACTGCAGGATGTGACGCTTGGAGGGCGAATCCTTTCTGGATCTCTCGTAATTCAAGTTGGTGATGTCTGAAGGCCTGCTCAGATTCGAGAGGTGTCTTCTGCTTGTGATCAAAGGGTATGAGTCCGGGAAGCTGGATGCTGGAGAGTTGGGTGAGTTGAAGGGGTTTGAGTTTTTCCTCATGGACGACGATGTTTCTTTCATGTAGCTTACTTCACCTCGAAAGGGTGTACCACCCACCGACTTGGACTCGTTGGAAAGTTGGGACCGTACCGCCTTTCTGGTGGCCAGGAGCGACCGTGGTATGGCGGTAGCCACCACACGTGACGGAGTTTTGGAAATGTAAAGGGAATTTGAAAGGTTGTTGTTGGAGGTGGACTTATACAAAGAAGCGCGGGCTTCAGCTCTCCTGGAGGTGGAGAGAGTAGGGAGTTTTGGAACAGTGGGAGGAGACCTGGCCTGGGGCTTGGGTGGCGGGAGACGAGTCTCAGGACTGGGCTTGGTCCTGGGGGGCTTGTGCTCGAAGGTTCCCGAGACGTTTTCCATGCCGTGTGTGCTTTGTGTGAAACGAATGTGAATGTGTATTTTGGTTTTAAGATTCAGATCGCGACTGAATGCGAAACTGAATTTTGAGATCGCGACGCCAGTAGCTTCTATCACCGCAAATTGTCACACATGAAGCTCAAGTTGTTGTCACGAGACCTGCTGGGACTTCTCAACACGCTCTCTCTCATCAGCTCGCTGCGGAAGTTTGTGGTGCTCCGGTTCACGCCTACGATGCTCGTGGTGATTCTGGTGAGCGATGGATCGGTGTCTCAAGAGCCACAGATTTGGTGCAAGTTGAAAATGCAGTCGCTTTTCGAACAGGTGGAGCTAGTTAGCATCAACGACAATACAATTCTGTTGGAGCTCAACTGTGAGCTTTTGCTCCAGACTCTACGCCACTTCGAAAGGGCCAATAGTGATGGTTTAAATCTCCGATTGCAGAGGAAGCCTGATGGAGGAGACGACCATGGCGCAAAGAGCCGGGCCGCGTCATTGGCGTTATTCTACTCGCATGTCAACGATAACGGCAACTCCATCAACCACACTTTCAAGATCCCCGTAAAGATCTTGAAGCTGAATCATGAATCAATGGTGTTGAAAGAGCCTGAACTTCCGACGGTGGACCTAATCATGCCATTGCCCAAGGAGTTTGTCTCCACGTATAAGAGGCTTGACAAGTTCCGGCGGACTCTGAACAATGAAATTGTCACCATCAAGTGTACTCGCCGGGGTGGAGGGTTCTTGGGGTTCTTGTTAGTGGAGGAAGGAAAGTATAAGGTGACGATTAGCTTGAATGAAAAGCTCGATATTCGAAAGCCTCCAGCATCGGAATCACAGGAGGACTCGTTGGTTAATACAGCGATGTTTGATGTACGAGATCCGAATGACTATGTGGATGAGCAGGATGAGAATGAGGATAAGACCATTCATGTTAGACTACGAGACTGGAAAATGGCTTCGAAGATAGTTGCTAGTTGCAAGGTTGTGATCTTACTCCTTGTGGACCGAGAAGTGTGTGTTTTACACTGCTTGTTGGACGACCTGGAGAGTGTGGAGATCATTTACTACATCAGTGGGATCCGGTCGAGAGATGATTAACTTTGCAGCCATCGACTAAAATGTCAGAAACCTAAAAAATTTGGGTTTTGAAAACTCTGAAGTATACACGGGTACCTTGTGAATCCTTCACCCCCACTATAACAGCCTTGGTCTCATTTTCCACTCCTTAATATCAAGCATCTCAAAATCATTATCATCCTAATGTTGGGTCTATTGTTCTATGACTCAGTCGCGAAAATTTTATTAACTAGTCAACCTCAAAACTAGATATGAGTGAACAAAACCCATTACAGCGTGGCAAGGCCCACTACTTTGGAGCCGGTCCTGCCTTACTACCAACAGACGTATTGCAACAAGCAGCTCTCGACTTGATTAGCTACAACGGAGAAAACGTTGGAATCGGTGAAATCTCCCACAGATCCAAACCTGCCATCCAAGTGATTGATGATACCAAGGCCAACTTGACCAAATTATTGGATATTCCTGACACTCATGAAGTGTTCTTCATGCAAGGAGGAGGAACATCTGGTTTTTCTTCCATCGCCTACAACTTAATGGCGAACTATGCCACCAAACACAATGGGAAGCTTGGAAAAGCTGCTTATGCGGTCACCGGATCTTGGTCTGAAAAGTCTTTGGAAGAGGCTGTAAGATTAGGATTCGATGCTGAAGTTGTGGTAAACACAAAGAATATCAAGTTCAGTGATATACCCAGTTATAGCGAATGGAAACCCTTGAATAAAGACAACACTGCTTACTTGTACATTTGTGACAACGAAACCGTGAATGGTAACGAGTTCAAGGACACCCCACCACAAGAGTACTTGCAAGGAGTAGAGTTGGTGGCTGATATGTCCTCTAACATTGTTTCCAAGAGGATTGATGTTTCAAAGTATGGTTTGATCATGGCCGGAGCACAAAAGAACATTGGGTTGGCTGGTTTGACCATCTATATCATCAAGAAGAGTTTATTAGAACAAGCTTCCGATAACCAATTAAAGGAATGGGGTATTCCTTTGTCCCCTATCGCGTTCCACTATCCAACGGTGGTAAAGAACAACTCTGCCTATAACACGATTCCTATCTTCACCTGTCAGATCTTGAAGTTGGTGACAGCAAAGCTCTTGAAAAACGGAGGAATTTCTGCCATCCAAGCCATCAATGAAAAGAAGGCCGAGGTGTTATACGGGGCTTTAACTAAATATCCGTCGGTTTACTCTTTGGCTGTGAAGAATTCAAAGGTCAGATCCAATATGAACGTGGTCTTCACCCTCAACAACCCTGACTTGGACAGTGTGTTTCTCAAGGACGCTGGTGAGAAGAATCTTCAAGCTTTGAAGGGACACAGATCAGTGGGTGGTATGAGAGCCTCTATTTATAATGCAGTGCAATTGGAAAGTGTCGAGCTTCTTGCCAAGTTTGTCATTGAATTTGCCGAAAAGCACAAATAGTTTAATACACATTTTATTTGCAGCTATTGGAACAAAAAAATTTTCGCAGTTAATGAATAAACGCATTCATGGTTGTTCGATATCTTCCGAGAAAACTCTTAAACAACGGGCTACGAAGAAGCTTTTATGGATCAACACTTCGATATAATGCCCACATACCTTCCCTAATCGACAAAAAGATCAGTCTCGATAAAGAGAACTACATCAAACAAGTCCAAGAGAGGATAGACAAAATTCCCATTGAAAACTACCGAAACTTCAGTGTAGTTGCACACGTCGACCACGGCAAATCCACTCTATCGGATCGATTTCTCGAGCTAACCGGAGTCATACAACCAGGGCTGAACAAACAGGTTCTCGATAAATTGGATGTGGAGCGAGAACGAGGCATCACTGTCAAAGCTCAAACGTGCACAATGTTTTACACGGATCCAACCACAGAACAAGATTATCTTTTGCATTTAGTAGATACCCCTGGACACGTTGATTTCCGCTCAGAGGTATCAAGATCATACGCGTCTTGTGGAGGAGCGTTGCTCTTGGTGGATGCTTCTCAAGGAGTCCAGGCCCAAACAGTAGCGAATTTCTTCCTTGCGTATAGCATGGGATTGAAACTTATACCAGTTATCAACAAAATCGACTTGGATGCAGCCGATATCCCAGCTGCCGTACAACAGGTGGAGACAACATTTGAACTTCCAAGCGAAGAATGCATTCCCGTGAGTGCCAAAACTGGTCTTAATGTTGAGAAGATTCTCCCTCGAGTCATAAGCGATATTCCTTCACCTGGTGGAACCTTGGACCTGCCTTTGAGAGCATTGCTTGTGGACTCATGGCATGACCCATATGTTGGAGTGGTGATGTTGGTGTTTGTTGTAGATGGAGTGGTAAAAAAAGGTATGAAATTGGTTTCGTATCATACAGACAAGAAGTATGAAGTTAAACAAACTGGAATTATGTACCCTGACAAATTACCCACTGAAACCCTAAAGGCTGGTCAAGTGGGCTACATTATTCCAGGAATGAGAAACCCTAGAGATGCCAAGATTGGTGATACGTTCCTCCAGCTTGGAAAACATGAAGGATTGGAACCTCTTCCCGGCTTTGAAGAGTTGAAACCGATGGTTTTCATGGGGGCATTCCCAGCAGATAGTTCTGAGTTCAAGGTAATGAACGATCACATTGAGAACTTGGTTTTGAACGATAGAGCCGTGACATTGGAAAAGGAAACGTCCGGTGCTTTGGGTTTGGGTTGGAGACTCGGGTTTTTAGGGTCTCTACATGCTAGTGTGTTTCAAGAGAGACTTGATAAGGAGTACGGTGCCAAGATTATTTTAACAGCTCCAACAGTCCCTTATAAAGTCAACTACCGGGACGGATTAGAACAAATAATTACCAATCCAGCACAGTTTCCCACGTTGGCACATACTATCGAAGAGATCCTGGAGCCTTTTGTTGAGGCCATCATGACGATTCCAGAGGAATATGTGGGAGTGGTGATGTCCTTGTGTGAGAACAATAGAGGTGAACAGAAGGACTTGGAGTATTTGACTACAGGACAAGTTCTCTTGAAGTATGAACTTCCCTTAGCTCAATTAGTTGAAGACTTCTTTGGAAAGCTAAAAGGGAGTACTAAGGGCTATGGTACATTGGACTATGAGGATGCTGGCTACAGAAAGTCTGATGTGGTGAAGATGGAGTTATGTGTTAATGGTGAACCTCAGGACGCATTGACCCAAGTAATGCACCGTTCCCAAGTTACCACTAAGGGCAGGTCCAGTGTTGATAAGTTCAAAAAGTTCTTGAGATCTCAATTATTCGAAGTCGCCGTTCAGGCCAAAGTCAACAACAAAGTCATTGCCAGAGAGACCATTAAAGCCAGAAGAAAAGATGTCACCCAAAAGCTTCATGCTGCAGATATTTCCAGAAGAAAGAAATTGTTGGAAAGACAGAAGGAAGGTAAGAAACAGATGAAGAGTACTGGAAGAATCCATATCGATCACAATACATTCCAGGAGTTCTTGAGAAGCTCAGGTCCTTAAGACTGATAAAAGATAATCTTGTATATATATATATAGTCCTTATAGCAGAGCATCAACTTAAAAACTTACGATACACTACATTTTCAGTTTCATCGATGAAACGGTAACCCAAGGTCTTCAAGAATTCTTGGAAATCCTCCTCCGTGGTCTCTTCTGGTGTAGCAATTCCACAAAGCACTTTACCCACATCATTTCCGTGGTTTCTGTAGTTGAATAAGGTTATGTCCCAATCGGGTTTCAAAGATCTCAAGAACCTGAATAAGGCACCAGGTCTTTCTGGGAACTCAAACAGATAAACTCTTTCTCTGGCGACTTTTTCAGGCTTCAGATGGGAGAAACTGCCGCCTATTAAATAACGGCCATGGCTTTTGGCGAATTCATTCTTGGAGATGTCTTCTACTTCAAACCCGTACTTTTCGCTTTTCATGGTTTCAATGATTTTTTCCAAATCGTTTTCTCTGCTAGCTAGATTGAAACTAACAAAGATATTGGCAGAATCGGTGTTGTTGTATCTGTAACTGAACTCGGTTACGGCTCTTGGGTTGATGACAGACTGTAATTTAGCAAATTCACCAGGTCTATCTGGAATACTCACTACTAAAGAAGCTTCTTTTCCTTCACCTAAAACGGCTCTTTCACTGACAAATCTCAATCGGTCAAAGTTCATGTTGGCTCCACTCAATATTGGAACATATGTTTTATCGTGGTGGTCAACATCCTTGTTCTTCCTGATATACTTGGTTAAACCTGCCACAGAAAGAGCACCTGAAGGCTCGACAATCGACCTGGTGTCTTCAAAAATATCTTTTATAGCAGCACATAACTCGTCCGTCAGAACCAACACAACCTCATCGACAATATCCTTACACACTCTCCAAGTTTCTTCTCCTAAGATCTTGACGGCCGTACCATCGGCAAAGACTCCAACTGAGTTCAACGATTCAAGCTCATTCGACTTTTGGGACTCATAGAGAGCATTTGCGTCGTAAGTTTCCACTCCAATCACCTTGACATGAGGAGCGATCTTCTTTAAGTAGGCTGCAATGCCGGCAATCAAACCACCTCCTCCCACAGGCACAAAAACAGCATCTAACTTGTCCAATCTGAGTTGGGTGGTTAGCTCCAAGGCGATAGTACCCTGACCAGCAATCACATAAGGGTGGTTGAATGGCGGTATATTGGTTAAGTTATTGAGCACACTCAAACGGTCACATTCTTCTTTGGCTGAATCGAAGTCGTCTCCGTATAACACCACTTGTGATCCTAATCTGGAGACATTTTTAAACTTGATAGAAGGTGTAGCGGTGGGCATCACAATAGTTGCAGGTATTCCCAACTTGTTGGCAGAAAATGCCACACCCTGGGCGTGGTTTCCAGCGGAACACGCTATAACTCCATCCAAATGGCTGTTCTTTTGAGCATGTAAATTGGCAATCATGTTATAGGCACCACGAAGTTTGAATGAAAACACTGGCAACAAGTCTTCTCTCTTCAAGTGGACGTTCGTGCCAAGTTTCTGGGACAAGTTCACAGCAAAGTTGAGGGGAGATCCGCCCTTGTCAACCACGTCGTATACTCTGGATGTTAAGATGAGTTTAACGTAATCTGGGTTTCCATCTGGGCCAAAATCCGAATCGTGTAATTCGGGGAACTTTTCTCTGGCAGAGGCGTTGGTGGCCAATTTCCTCACAGAAGCTCCATTTAGTGCTGGCTTGGTGGTGTGCACGGCTCTACCGACCCTTAAGAGCTTTGAAACAGTGTTTTTCCACATGTGTTGAACTGAGGTTTGACTCATTTGAATTTTCACTGCGCACAAAGTGAGTCGTTCTGACTGTCAGCAGTTGCCAGCCAATAATGTACAACAATTGAAGAACATTATTTTCCAGGGATCTAAGACATATAAGGAATGCTATTACCTTCAAGAACTGAGTATATGGCCTTATGTACACCATTTTGTTCAATGTAGTATATTTTGACTCGGTTGCACAAATGTGCTTCTGTTCCGAAGTGTCTTAGGCTCCACCTGGATTAATCATATGTTGAATCCGAGTGCATCTCTTGAAGAAGTGGAACATTTCCTTTGTTGGCTAGTTTCCTGAGTCTAAAAGAGTTTCCTAATCTGTTTCTCTCTAGTTTCCTAATAAGGACTTGGCTGCAAAAATTATGCGGCTGAACATTTTCAGTATGATTATAGGCGAGGACTCAGATGAGGTGAAGACCTTTCAGAGAAAGTTTATATGGCAAATACACCCAGAACAATTGAAAAGTTTGTTTTACGTTTAATTCACCAGAAGCTGTTGCATTACCATAGATTTGTATTTGTGGCTACCATTCGGATACGCAACTTCAAACCCATTTATTCCACAAACACACTCTTCTTCATTTTTTATCCAAAGGCTCTTGTTTGACCAGGAAACAACAAGGATTGGAAATGAATGGAATTGCTATATTGGAAAGTGGACAAAGATCGGTACCCGAATCTTATTGGGAAACTGAAGCTACTTTGCAAGACTACCCATTGGTGATGAGCCAGACCAATTTGGAGAATGATTCAGAAATACCAGAATACTCCCTTCAAGGGGCCGCCTCCCTGTTGGATACAGCTTTGATAGAGCCTGTTAGAGAGTATTTTTATCATGAGGATTGGATTTTTAAGCATCAGCAGCAATCACAAATCCATTATAAGGAATCACCCCATCACCGTTGCTATGAATATGATGAGCAATACCCAATTTTTGTTACAGAAGAGCCATTGGTTCTGCTAGATTCCAGTCTGGTTGAAGATATTGGTAACTCTGTGCTTGACCAATCTGAATATAATCAAGAACTAAGATCCGGAAACCTTCTACTTTGTGACCACCTTGGTAATGAAACTATAATTGATACACTTGTGTTGAACTTTGCAGCTTATTCGGAGGTCAGAAGAACACATGACAGCGTTTTGAGAAGCATACTAAACGAATGGAATAAGGACCAGTTATCCCATTTGCCAGAAACACCCAAGTCGGAAGCTAGAGATGTCCTGTACCAACAGTGGAGACCTTTGTCTGTGTTTACTGCTTACACAAATGTGAAGGTTCCACACGATTGGTTGAGGGGAATACCAGAGACTTCTTGTTTTGGTAAAATTAATATGAGAAGTAAAAGGGCTTGGGTAAGAAGTCCTAATAAAAGAAGACGAACTAGTTAGGGTTCATTCGCAACTGTTTGTGCTAAAATCACTTGCTAAATAATTAAAATACATTCTCTCTTTTATTTCACGAACAATTTTTGAAGGTACTAGCGGATGATTATAATAGGCGATGTGTTAGTATAGTGGTGATTTTTTGGGAATTTTTAAGATCCTTATTAATCATTTAAACGGAATATTTTAAAAGTGTTCATTTTGCAGTAATTTCTGCCATTTTTGAGATTTTTACTTCTATATTATTCCTATTGATCATACGTTGGACACCACAGCACAATTTGGAATTATTCACCTACCATAGGCCTAGGCCTGAAATTGTTCTTCGTTCTCTTTCAGTAGGAAAGTCGTTTGGTGTTACGACAATTGATGAAGGTAACAGCTTTGGGGTTATGGTGGATGTGTAATAACTGTCGGGGACGACCTAAAGACTGTCGCAGAACTGACGCAAGTGTTCAAGTTTTTTGGTATGCACACGTATGTGACAATCTTGAGACACTGACGCGACAGTGTCTGCGCCGTTGTTCCACACATAAGCGGTCCCTTGGCCTAGTTGGTTATGGCGTGGTGCTAATATCTGCGAGGAAGTTACGCCAAGGTCAGCAGTTCGATCCTGCTAGGGACCACTTTTATCTGGGCGTGTGGCGTAGTTGGTAGCGCGTTCCCTTAGCATGGGAAAGGTCTCCGGTTCGACTCCGGACTCGTCCATTTTTTTTTTAATGCTTCTATGTACCAGTTCAACATTTGGTGTAGTTAATAGTGGTAGGTTTTTGGCTCTTCCAGTCTCACAAAATTTGGTGAATTTGAGAAGGCTAGTTTTGGTTTTAATGTTCGCGGCACGAAATGTCTTCCTCATGGTGCGAAAAAAAACCCGAAAACCTCCAACTCCAACCCAATACCATGGATTCACCTTTATCGATCACGGTGGGAGCCCGCATGAGTGCATTCCTCAACTCAGCAGAGGACTTCCACAAATACAGAAAACGGTTGAACAAGACGATTTTGCGTTTGCGCCATGAACTTAACTTAGTCACCAGAGACACCAAGAACTACAAAGACAAGGAAAGGATCTCCAAGATATCTAGCGAAGATTACTCCAACGACGAACGGTTCGGACTTATTTTGTTGTTGACAGCTGAGAGAGACTTGGTATACTCTCTTGAGATCAAGAGTATGATGGAAATTAGCAGTGAAGGCTCTTCTTCCTATAAGAACTTGATGGTAAGCAGATTAAAAAAGAGTGTCAGCAGTACCAAGCAGCTTCTCCAGGTGGTGGAAAATGAAACCAATGAATTAAAAATCATCGAGGTGTATGTATACGCAGCTTTAAACGAAGGATCGTTGGCTGTTAACAAGAGAAAATGGCAGTCTGCCTTGAATGCGTTTTCCATCGCCAGATGTGCGTTGGAATACTTGTACAGTCAGCAAACTGACCAGGAGCAGGAGCAGTTCAACAAAACCGTCATAAACGACTTGATCGAGACGTTGGTAGATCCATCGTTGGCATTGTCCGTGTCTCAGATCGAGGAGTTGGATATGTCTGACTTGAAGTCAACGGCCAGAAGGCACTGCCACGACAAGACGTTACCATATTTGCAAACGGTGGTGGAGTTGATCAAGAAGAAGGACCCAGAATTTGTGTCACAGATTTCCAGTTCGATCAAGCTCATTGACCTGATCACCTGGAGGTCACACGAAGCTTCGTTGTACAACGATGAAATTGCGTTCAAACTCATGGAGTTGACTAAGCCCGAAGTCAACGAGTACGATAACTTGGAGGCCTTTGATCAGTTGATCAGTGGGTGGTCTGGAGTGTTAGAATTACATCAAGCTGACTTGAACAAAAACGAAGATGAGGACGACCTGGAAAAGATCCAAAACAGAGCCGTTTTGTTGACTTACATCAACTACAGCTTGTTGTTCACGCGGATAAGAAGAGATCAGATCTTGGTGGGCCAGTTATTAGGAGAATTTGAGGAGGTTTCCAAGACCAGAAAATTGGTTATCAATAAAGATATCACCAGGTTGTACTCTTCTTCGATCAGAACCATCGACGAAATCAAGGAGTTACCGGGTGTGTACAATGATGATGACTTGATGGAATCCTTGGATACTATGAGCCAGTTCTACAGTTATAGCATTTTGGTCAGATTATCCAACTCGTTCTTGTTGAACAACAAGTACCTCGAGAGCTTAAAAGTGTTGAACACAATCAAGGAAAAGATTGGCATCAATGGCCTCTCATATAAGGTGGAGACCTTTCCATACTCTGTCAGCAGTAACGACAATCTTGAGCAGTTCAAAGCCGATATCAACAAGACATTTTTGAAGACACAAATCTTGGCCCAGTTCTCGTTTGAGCTCAATAAAAACCCTCACGAAGCCGTAATTGAAAATATGCATCAATTCCCCGGCAGCAGCAAGTTAGTGAATGTGGGAACCAGTCCGGTCATAAAGCCCATCTTGAGCAAACCCGTGTTGTTTGATGTGGCCTTCAACTATATCAACTACCCTGGCGGCAGCTCCAAGTCCAGTAGTGTGGAACCTCAATCAGCCCCTCCTCAAACCGCAGGAGAAGAGGAAAGTAAAAAAAAATTAGGGTTGTTTGGTTTCTTAGGTAGAAGTTAATACACGAAATATTCGCAGTAATTTGAAAAGTTCGTCTACTTGTTCAATATGTCCCAACACAACAAACAAGGTACCACTCTTGTGCTATGTGTGCTAGGACTCTACGGGTCCTTCATAACGTGGTCCATTCTCCAGGAGAAGATCAACACCACGCCTTACAGTACTGGCAACCACGGAGAGACCGAATTTTTCAAGGCTCCTTTGGTAGTAAACATGGTCCAGTCTTTGTTTGCAATCATTATATCCTTCACATACAGCATGACATTCAAAGGCACCAATGCATTCAAAATATTCACGGACAATGAGTCTCTGGTATCATGGATGTATTTCAAGAAGTTCTGCATCATCTCCATTACTTCTAGTTTATCAGCTCCAATTGGCTATCAGTCGTTGAGACACGTTGATTACTTGGTATACTTATTGTCAAAGTCGTGTAAGCTAATTCCGTTGATGATTGTCCACTTTGTGTTCTACCGGACTCGATTCCCGGGTTACAAGTACGTGGTGGCGGTGTCGGTGACACTGGGAGTGGTGATGTTCACGTTTTTCGACCGCAAAAAGTCTGGGAAAAAGAGTGCCAACGACGGCCAGACTGCCTTGGGATTGGCCCAGCTCACCGTGTCTATGGTGCTCGACGGACTTACCAACTCGACCCAGGACCAGTTGTTCAAGCTCCAAAAACAACTTCCAACCACAAAACACAAAGTGGACGGCACCACGCTTATGTGTGTTCTCAACACCTTCATGCTTGTGCTCACGTTCACTTACACAGCGGTGTTCAAGTATACTGAAGAGTTCAGTTTCACCTACACGTTTGTGCACAAGTACCCACAGGTGGTGTACGACATCTTGGTGTTTGCAGTGTTTGGGTCTGTGGGCCAGATATTTGTGTTTGTAATTCTCGAGAAGTTCGACTCGATTATCTTGACCACGGCCACCGTCACACGGAAGATGCTTAGTATGGTGCTGAGTGTGGTCCTCTTTGGACATCGGTTGAGCTGGGGCCAGGTGGCGGGAATTGTGGTGGTATTCTTCGGTATTGGCTATGAGGCCGCATTGAAGGCGTTGCCAGTGAAGGCCAAGGTCGCTTAGTGCATGTTCTAGTGGTACTAGAACTTATAGGGCAAGCTTTCTTGCAGCAGTATTTTTGCAGCAGTGCGAGCGGCTGCCAATATTTCCTTCACCGACAATGAATAGATGAACGAGTGTGTGGCTATGTGACGAGGTTCTTCTCCAAGGCGCTTGTCAGTTGTGGTAGTGGTGGTGGAATTGACTAGAAGATGTATAGAAGTGTATTGGTCTATAAGCCATGAATTAACGACTACAATTGTTTGAAAGTTGTTTTCCATTCTAGGTTTACTGGGACTCTCATGATCTCTGGAACTCTCATGATCTCTGGAACTCTCATGATCTCTGGAACTCTCATGATCTCTGGAACTCTCATGATCTCTGGAACTCTCATGACCTCCGGAATTCTCCATGATTTCTGAAACTTACTATGATCTTTAGATCCCCTTTTGACCTTTAAGGGAAGTTTGTGCATCTCTCAAATTTGGTCTGAACGAGACTGCCATAAAATAAATAGCTGCAGCTGGAACAAAAACCGTACATCTCTCCTTATGCATACCTTATCTGAATTATCTGCTAAATAACACTGGTCAATAAGAAACACCAAAGGGATTCGAGTTTCTGGCACCGCACCATTCTAGTGATTCAAGCGCGCAGGTGGCTGGCGCGAAATCATCAACATGCTTATAACACATCCTCGAGTGATGCTAATGAATGTACAATGGATGGATGCCACCGCGAGATTTTGCGGCTCATTGACGTCGCTATTCCCCAAGGTGTTCTTCAGCACAGTCAATATCTGGACCCTTTACGCCTTGCTCTCGGAGGTGTGCTACAATCAGATAAGTTTGCAACTGGAGCGCCCTGGGGTGGCAATCTTGGTGGGATTGATTGGGGTATTTTTGCACGTCATGTGTGCGTATACGTACTTCATGGTGGTGATAGTGGGTGGTGGGTCGCCATCTGATTTTCCCGAGCTTCGTATTCGAAACCTCGATCTGTTAAAGGCAAATCTGCAAGATCCGCCAGAGTTTCAGGAACAAGACCAGCTTTTGGGCGACACCGAAGCTGACGTGTACCGTGATGTACCGCCCACTCAGTGGGTTGATTTCCACATCACTCGTCCTGGTACCTCGCCGTACCGCTACTGTCTTAAATGTAAGGTATGGAAGCCCGACCGGTGCCACCACTGCTCGTCGTGCAACCGGTGTGTGCTTCGGATGGACCATCATTGCCCATGGTTTGCGACGTGTATTGGGTACCACAACCAGAAGCTTTTTATCCAAAACTTGATGTATATCGGCATGTACAGCGGGTTTTGTTTGGTGGTGCTGGCGGTATATCTCTTCCTGTTCTTTCACCACCAGGAGTACGAGGCTGGTTACTTGTCACTCCGGTTGGTGTTTTTGTTCATTGTGCTGTTGGTGTTTTTTGTGACGATCGGGGTGTTTGGGATGTTTCTGATGTGGCTTGTGTTTCGTAACACCACCACCATCGAGTTCCAGGACCAGCGGTGGCTGTGGGGGGACAAAGCCCTGAGCCGGCTGTCTGGCCCCAATATCTTTGACCTTGGTGCCCGAAACAACTGGGTTTCGGTGATGGGCAACCATTGGGTATATTGGGTGTTACCAGTGCAATTTACACAGAAGGATATCGCATCGCCGGTGAATGGGATTAATTCTGTGGTGGATGAAGAAGCATATGACGAATGGTGCCAGAGTGTACGGGCGCAGGAGCAATTGAACAAGCAGTTGCGGGAGTATCGAGATGGTTTACGGGGAGTGGAGGGGGAAGATAGGAATGTATGAGAGAGACTGAACGGCGGCCGATTGTGGGAGATACTCTTTGCTCTAATAGGACGTCCTCATGGGCCTCTGAAGTTCTGACCCATACACCCACCAAGAGGTTGATCCCATACACCCACCAAAAGTTTGACTCCATGCACCACACAGTCACAACACCTCTCATCCCTAAGGTCTCGTTCCTTTTGCGGCCTGTCTTCCGTACCATGTATATAGAGTCTACACCTAAACTAACAGTGAGCAGCCTCCGGGTAACTCGCACCTTTATTCGCACCAACTCGAAAAAGAATTTCTTTACAACAGCATGTACGTTCAGCTCCCCTTCGACGACCTAAAGGTCAATCCCAACGAAAAGAAACGGGTGGCCTACTTCTACGACGCCGACGTCGGTAATTACGCGTACGGCGCTGGCCACCCCATGAAACCGCACAGAATCAGAATGGCCCATTCGTTGATCATGAACTACGGGCTATACAAAAAAATGGAAATCTACCGGGCTAAACCCGCCACCAAGCAGGAGATGTGTCAGTTCCACACCGATGAGTACATCGACTTCTTGAGTCGCGTAACTCCTGACAATTTGGACTTGTTCGCCAAGGAACAGATTAAATTCAATGTGGGGGACGATTGTCCCGTTTTTGACGGGTTGTTTGAGTACTGTGGAATCTCAGGAGGAGGTTCCATGGAAGGAGCAGCTCGGTTGAACCGAGGAAAGTGCGACATTGCCATCAACTACGCCGGGGGCTTGCACCATGCCAAGAAGTCGGAGGCATCAGGGTTCTGCTACCTTAACGACATTGTGTTGGGGATTATCGAGTTGTTGCGGTACCATCCGCGGGTGTTGTACGTGGATATCGATGTGCACCACGGAGACGGGGTTGAGGAGGCCTTCTACACCACGGATCGGGTGATGACGGCGTCATTCCACAAGTACGGGGAGTTTTTCCCCGGTACCGGTGAGTTGAGAGACATTGGGGTGGGCAAGGGTAAGCACCATGCTGTCAACGTCCCGTTGCGAGACGGGATTGACGACGCCACGTTCAAGTCGATTTTCGAGCCCGTCATCGGCAAGATCATGGAATGGTACCAGCCGTCGGCGGTGGTGTTGCAGTGTGGAGGAGACTCTTTGAGTGGTGATAAGTTGGGATGTTTCAACTTGTCGATGAGCGGACATGCCAACTGTGTCAACTACATGAAGTCTTTTGGCGTGCCATTGATGGTGCTTGGTGGTGGGGGTTACACGATGAGGAACGTGGCTCGGACGTGGGCATTTGAAAGTGGGTTGTTGAACAACGTGATCTTACCGTCCGAGTTGCCCTACAACGAGTACTACGAATATTACGGGCCAGACTACAAGTTGGATGTGCGGCCCTCGAACATGTACAATGCCAACTCGCCCGAGTTCTTGAACAAGATTTTGACTAATATCATCGCCAATTTGGAGCACACTCAGCATGCACCTTCGGTGCAGATGAACCATGTCCCACGTGACGCGGAGGATCTTGGGGACGAGGAGGAAGACACGCGTGAGGCCATTGACACTAAGGGGGGGTCGCAGCAGGCACGTGACGAGGCCATTCAGCCGGTGAACGAGTTTTATGACGACGAAGACAAAGATGTGGGCGAGCGAGATGTGAGTGTACAACCCACGAAGTCTGAGCTCACGGCTGAGGAGGAGAAGGAGCTTGAGGCAATGAACCAGGATGAGTAAAGATGTAGGATATGTAACGAATAAATACTTGAAGAAGGTGGTGTAGTGAGAGTAGTGGTAGTAGTGGTAGGCTGGCGGTGGTAGGCTGGCGCCGCACGCCATTTCCATCGCGGCCTTTCCTTCGCCGGCTTTCCATCGCGAAAATGTCATCACCCTATCACCTTCACATCATGACCCTTGCACAGGCCCGAGCCCTTTGGCCCCCCCTCCGCACCATGGGCCACCGGCACCTCTCCATAACCTCGTGCCACAACCTCCCCGACCGCCTCGCTGCCAAATACGAGCCTGACTCGAAGCTCCACAAAATCGTGTGGCCCAATAACACCCGCCCCCGCAACATCTACATAACCAAAAAACCATGGAATCCGGATGTGCGCAACGCCATGGTGGATATCATAAACTACATCAGCCAGCATCATCAGCACGCCAATATTATTCTCAGTGAACACAATATCGACGAGCTCCAACACCCATCGGCTGGCGGGCACCTGCTCGATGACCGCGTGCGACTCTTTACAGGCGAGGTCAAGGATATTCGGTTCAAGGCCGACGTGCTCATGACGATTGGGGGCGACGGGACGATTCTCCGAGCGGTATCGCAGTTCTCCAACTTCAATGTGCCCCCCATCCTTAGTTTTTCCATGGGTACCCTCGGATTTTTATTACCATTCGATGTGGGGCTGTACCGGGCCCGGGTTGACGAGCTCTTCGCCAACCGGCTCCGGGTGCTCCAGCGAAGCCGGTTGGAGTGTCACGTGATCGGCACCCACCCACTGGAAGCTCGCGTCAATATGGTGCACGCCATGAATGAAATTACTCTCCACCGAGGAAGTAACCCGAACCTAATTTCGCTCGATGTGTACGTCGATGGCGAATGTTTGACGTCAACCACAGCCGATGGAATCATTGTGAGTACCCCCACCGGGTCGACTGCTTACTCACTTTCAAGTGGAGGATCAATTGTTCATCCATCGATCCGAGGGTTACTTTTAACCCCCATCTGCCCTCGGTCCTTACTGTTCCGACCATTGATCTTACCTCTGACGTCGGATATCATGATCAGGCTCAGCCAGAAAAGTCGCAACGTGCTGGTCAAGTTGACCATCGATGGGATCGAGTTGAGCGATATGCGCCATGGTGATGAGATCCATATCCGCAAGCAGTTGGACATCGATAACCATATCTGGTGTATGGCACAGGGTGATAATGATTGGACGAAGGATATTAATGATTTGCTCGGGTTTAATAAGCAGTTTAATGAGTCCAAGCGGTGAAGGCGTGCCCCGCCGCCGCAGGGCCCACCGACGTGTTCGCGAACCCAGCAGGTGCGGGGCGCACACGACCGATCTGGCGCGCCTTCGCAATGAAGGGGGGTGTACAGCAAAGAGGGGGTGTATTTTTAATTTTAAGAATGGTGACGGGGTGCAATTTTAACTCACGAGCCCACCGGTTATGCAGATCCCTTTCGAACCTGACATCTGATTTCTGCCTTGGCCCCCGAATAAAACATTAACCCTCAGGATGATGTCCGAGGATTGATAGTTTGCACCCCCATGAAAGTTGGTAACTCCCTCCCACCTTTAATTCTGACCATCGCTTCGAATAAATAGCCTATACCATATTATATAAGCAGCGGCTCACGACGACCATCAATTTTTTTTCGCTCGGGTCTCGTTCGCAGCCTCAAAAGATTGCCCACAAAGTAAAATCCATTTATCAGTCACTTTTTTTTATCTCCAACTTTTACCAGGACAATTAATTATGAGCTTGCCGGTGCAAATGCCCCTCCACGCACATGCGCATGCACACGGTGCCAAGAATGGTCTTCTCCAGTCTCCCGCCCCTCCCATCGCCACAAGCGCCCCTGTCCGCGACCCAACCCCCAGCAACATTCTCAGTGAAACCACCGCCGCCACCTGGCTCGCCATCGGGTCTCTCGCCGAACTGTTGGGTGATCTCGAGAAGGCGCTCTCGCTGTACGACCTGGCGTTGCGCCATGCCCCCAACTCGCCAGATGCTCTCATTAAGCTCGCCAACATTTATCGTTCTAAAGATGTGTTTTTTAAAGCCGCCGAGTTGTACGAACAAGCGCTCAACTACTCGCCCGAGAACGGCGAGACATGGGGGCTATTGGGCCACTGCTACCTCATGTTGGACGACTTGCAACGGGCGTACGCCGCCTATCAGCGAGCATTGTACTACCTCGACAACCCTAACGTGCCCAAATTATGGCACGGGATAGGGATTTTGTACGATCGGTACGGGTCATTGGAGTACGCCGAAGAGGCGTTTGTGCGGGTGCTTGAGCTCGACCCCAACTTTGACAAATCCAATGAAATTTACTTTCGGTTAGGAATCATCTACAAACACCAAGGAAAGCTTCAGAACGCGTTGGAATGCTTCCAGTATATCTTGGCCAACCCGCCACACCCATTGACTCAACCCGACGTGTGGTTCCAGATCGGGCTGGTGTTGGAACAGCAAAAGGATTGGAATGGAGCTAAGGACGCCTATGAGCGAGTTCTTGCGGTTAACCCCCAGCACGCCAAGGTGCTCCAACAATTGGGATGTCTCTACTCGCAGGCCGATGCTGGCGAGGACGCCGCCTTCCAACAGGACCTTACGGTGGCTCTCAAGTACCTCACACAGTCACTTGAAATCGATCAGGCGGATGCGCACCTGTGGTACTACCTAGGCCGGGTCCACATGATCCGGGGCGACTTCAACGCCGCCTACGAGGCGTTCCAGCAGGCCGTCAACCGTGACTCCCGTAACCCCACCTTCTGGTGCTCCATTGGGGTGTTGTACTACCAGATTTCCCAATACCGCGATGCCCTCGATGCTTACACCAGGGCCATCCGCTTGAATCCTTATATTAGTGAGGTGTGGTACGATCTCGGTACTTTGTATGAGACCTGTAATAACCAGATCTCCGACGCGTTGGACGCTTACCGGCAGGCAGAGCGACTTGACCCGGGAAACCCCCATATCAAGGCTCGTTTGGACCAGTTGATCCAGTACCAGCAAGAAGGTAACACCCACCCTCCACAGCCGCCTCCGGTGTCACAGCAGCCACGGTTGCCACAAAGCGTGGTGTTGGAGAGCACCCAGCCACCCCAGGAACTGGGATACCAACCGCTTGGTGGCCTCCAGGCCCCTCCACAGCTTCTTAACTCCCAGTACCAGTCGTCACTCCCACCTCCCGTCCAGTCCATTGCCCCCGTGAAACCTCCCACGCTCGCCAACCCTCCGGTACCGCAGTTGAAGACTCCTAAACACGACTTGGATGATAAAAAGGATAAGATTAAGCCCAAGAAGAAGAAGACATCTAACTCGTCGACTCCGGTGGTGGCCAAGTCACAGATTAAGACGGGCGATTCGTTGAGCACTTTGATGAACGCTGCTGCTGCTGCTTCTAAAGACGAGTCTGCTGAGCCTGAGAAAACGGAGCCTGAGAAGACCGAGCCTGAAAATGTAGAGGCTGTCAAGAGTGAGTCGGTGGAGGCAGAGGCGGCGGTGCCAGCGCCAGCTCCCGTGCCGGTGGTGGCACCGGCCGTGGCCCCGGCTCCAGTACCAGCCATCGCGGCCATCGCGCCTGCTGCCGCCCCAGCCATCGCCCCGGCTACCGCACCTGCTCCTGCACCAGCCCCCGCACCAGCCGCCGTCCCAGACACCCAGGCTACCCAGCAACCCACTCCCACGCCCTCCGCCAACCCGGACGACAAATCCAAGGAAGACGATAAGGAAGAGGAGGACGAAGAAGAAGATGAACACGATGAAGAACCCGTCGAACCTCCCATGAGGAAAATCGATGAGGACGAAAACTACGACGATGAGTAGTGTTATCCACTTAGACATTTGTTTCAGAATTGTATACTATTGTACCGCCTATTTATCTAATCTTTTCGTGACACAGTTCTGCAGCTGCTTGCTCTTTTCGCATTTTTAAAAATGAACAGAAGCTGCTCTCGATTCATGTCTACTAAATTCTCTGCCATCGCCAAGCCCTCGAGCTTCGTGGCCCGTCTACCACCAGACCCGGTTCTTCACAGCCCAGAAGTCGCCCGAAACAACCCCGACAATGTTACTCATACTCCTCGAATCCTTGATTCTGGAGCTTACTCATTCACCCTCCCAGAACCCAGAAAACTGTACAAATACCTTACCTCAAGCCCCACCGCCCTCCGAGACGTGGGGTTGAACCAAGAGGCAGTGGAAGATCCTCAGTACCGCAAGATTGTATCGGGAGAAGCTTATTTTGATGCTGAACTATCAAAGTTGCTCCCACCACCACACTCGCAAGCCTATGCTGGATGGCAGTTCGGACAGTTTGCAGGGCAACTCGGAGATGGCCGAGTAGTGAACTTGTTTGAGGTGGCCAAGAACAAGTCAGATGCCTCCCAGAACCGCAAGACGTACGAAGTTCAGCTTAAGGGAGCCGGGTTAACGCCATTTTCTCGATTCGCAGACGGCAAAGCCGTGCTCAGGTCATCGATTCGAGAGTATACCATCTCGGAGCACCTCAATGCCATTGGAATCCCCACCACCAGGGCACTAGCATTGGTCTACTTGCCGGAGACCCTAGCGAGACGAAGCATGTACGAAAAGTGTGCAGTGGTGACGAGATTCGCTGAGCTGTGGGTGAGATTGGGGACGTTTGACTTGTATCGTATGCGAGGTGACTCGGAGGGGCTCCGTCAGTTATGTGGATACTGCATCGACGAATTGTTTACGGTGGACGGGGTGAAGTTCCCGTTATTCTCGAGGTTTTATGAGCAATTCCCCCGGTTTTTTGGGGATATCGATGAGTTGACCGACTACGACAAGTTTTTCTTCGAGGTGGTGCTCCGAAACGCCGTTGGAACTGCCAAATGGCAGACATACGGGTTCTTGAACGGGGTGTTGAACACAGATAACACGTCTGTTTTGGGCTTGTCCATGGACTACGGCCCCTTTTCCATTATGGACAAGTTTAAACCCGGCTACACTCCCAATTCAGAGGACTTGGACGCTCGGTATGGGTATCGCAACACCCCCACGGCCATCTGGTGGAACTTGACGAGATTTGGTGAGAACTTGGCGGGGTTGGTGGGTGCTGGCCCTGAGTTAATCGATCTTCCTGAAGAACAGCTCTTTGCAAACGAAGATAAAGTTATCAAAAGAGCCACCAAAATCATTGAAATTGGCGGTCACATATACACTCATGCATTCACCCAACAGTATGTTGAATCTTTCTACAACCGGCTTGGATTGTCCACTCAATTGGTCAATAGAGACGATCCAGACGAGCAGAATCAACGGGTGGTTGCACCGCTTGTCAAGATGCTTGAAAAGGTGGAATGTGACTTCAACAAGTTCTTTGTGAATCTTCAACAATTAGACCATACCAGTGGAAACATGGACTTCAGAGCCATGGGACAAGCTTTAAAGCTGAACAATAATGAATTGTATAATGATGATGAAATGATTGAGCTTATTTCGGACTGGTTGAAAGTGTACCAGCAAGAACTTGCGAAATCGGAACTGTTGGGATTTGACAGAGCCAATTGCAAGCAATACAACCCGTTGTTTCTTCCTAGAAACTGGATATTGGATGAGGTGATTGAGCGCACTCAGGATTCCAATGCCGAAGATATTAGCTACCTTAAAAAGCTTGAAAAGATGAGTTTGAACCCATTTGATTCTTCCAAATGGGGTGATGAATTGAAGGATGTGGAGAGAAAGTGGTTGCAACAAGGGGATTTAGGAGAAAAGTATTCAATGCTTCAGTGCAGCTGTTCTAGTTAGACACCGCCAGTTTACATAAATAAATGTATTTAGTATAAATCAATCTTCATAACGACATTATTGTGACCCAACCTAAGCGGTGAACGACTTTCTTGCATCTTGATAGCCTCTGTGGAAAGCATCCTTAGCTTGCTGCTGCAAAGATGGATCCAACTGGGCAATCTTGTCGTCCAATTGCTTATTACCAGTAGTAAACCCAGTAGAACCCGTACCAGTGCCAATAGCACCACGGCTGTTGCCCGTACCACTGGCCCCAGAACTGTAGTCTGAATCGGTGGAAGACTTATGGCTGTGGCTCTTGGTTCCGTAGGCCCCAGCAGCACCAACGGCGGCAGCTCCACCGCCAATGGCAGCATCCTTGCCGTACTTGGCTCTGGTAGCTGGGTCGTCAGATTTCGCAGCATTTGTGCCTCCAGTTACCCCAGACTTAGCATTGGTACCAACTTCGTTCCAGTCGGTTTCCTTGCCCGAGGACTTAGTGCCAGTGCCAGTAGAACCGTGGCTGGCACCGTGGGTACCGTGGCTGGTACCATGCGTACCAGTAGTGCCAGTAGTACCAATGGTGGCACCTGCGGCACCATTGGTACCATATGGGTCAGTGGTGGTGGTAGAATGCGAGTCGCCATGTCCACCAGAACCTTTCGAAGCAGCCACACCACCAGCACCGAATCCAGTGGCGGCTGCCGTTCCAGTAGCAGCAGTACCGTGGCCCGGGTTCTTACTGTCTTGGCCGTAGCCCGACGAGCTCTTGCCGTAGCCGGTAGACTCTCCATACCCAGCAGAACCCTTTCCCAGTGCTGTGGTACCATCATATCCAGTGGCATCGTCGCCATAGCCGGACCCCTTACCATAGGTTTCCTTCGCAGTGGCGTCCTTGCTGTCTAGCTTAGAACCATCACCCTTTGTACCACCAAGCTTGGAGCCAATTCCGGCTTCGGTCCCACTAAGGTTCTCCTTGCCAAGGTACTTACCGGCCTTGGTGTCGTACTCGTCGGCGTACTTCACAGCATTGGCCTTATTGATGTTGCCATCTTTATACTGCTGTTTGGCTGCACCGCTGAAGGAATCACTTCCCACCGATTTCCCAGCCTGCTTGTCAAGCTTGTCGAGCTCCTGTTTGTTTCCTAGCTTACTTTGTATTTTATCTGCGAATCCCATGTTAATTGTGGTGGACCAAAACCTGGAATACAGGGATATTTATACTCAACCAAGATTGCTACATTTTGCAATTGCAAAATCGGTTGCGAAATTCATGCATAAAGGCATTTGCTATGAAATTACATCGAATTGCCACACGTCATGTGTGGATAATTTAATGTCACGTCATGGGTGTATCAATGGCATTATACATTATGTAGGAACTGCATTGTTGGAGGAGGGCAGAACTGTCGCTCGCTAACCACAAGTGCCACACCATCAAATCTTCTTTACTCGGTCACACTTTTACTTGGGGCCACGGTTTGATCTCCACTTTTGTATGACATAGCAGACTTTGACTAATTAAGGGGATTTCTTTAGGTAAAGCATCTGAACAAATAGCCTCACATGTTGAGGATAGTCTTCCAAAGAATGTTAATTTATTGGATGATAAAGTTTTCAACTCCATGAGTGATTTATTGGATACAGCCATGGGCATTCGTGACACAGAGAAAGGTAAACTAGCCAATATGTATAGAGCAATGAAATACCAATGTGAGGTCTTGATTACCAAAATTAGTATATTATAAATAAATAGATGCAGAAGTCAATTGATGATTGACAACGGTAATTTGGCTACAAACGTGTTGTCACCGAAATCCAACACCACCTTCAAATAATAAAGCCTGGACTCGTGACAGTACTGGAAATTCGGAAGAAGCTGGATCCGCTTAAACATTGACTGCAATTGCTTACTGTTCACACCGGCAAAATCCACCGTGACCTCGACATCACAATGGTAGGCATTGTCCACCTTGGTCCACGCAATGGTTGAGACTGGCTGCTCATTCTGGGTGAGCACCGGTGAGCAGAGCGGGAGCTCCACCATTTTGTCCTTGAGCATCGCCATGGACCTGATCGAGTTCACCAACTCCTGTTCGATTTTGAAGTTCTCTGCCCCCATCTCCTGAATCGCATCCCGCACCTCGTGGTACTTGGCCCGGAACACACTAATAATGTGGTGGCTGAATGTATCGGTATCGTTGGTGATGGGAGGGTTGGTGTTCTTGAACATCATATCGTGGTTGATTTCAAGTGGAATTGGGTACACGTCGGACCTGATCGACAAGATCCCCAAGCTGACCCGTATACTCTTGAGTTTGACAGGACTATTACTCTTAAGACTAAGAGGTATGGTCAAGATCTCATGGAGGTTTCTTTGGTAGGGAATGCAGTACACGGTGTTGGGAGTCTGCAACAACATTTCGATTTTCTTGAAAAACGGCCTCACAAACACCGATTTCAACTCAATCACCTTCTTGTGGTTGGATTCACCCACAACTGGTATAGGGGCGGTACTGTATGATTGAGAGCCTTTGGAGCTACACTTTATTACCTCTTCAATGGACCCGACGAGATCTTCAATACCTTCGAGATTGCGCCCGCCAAGCACCTTCAGAACCTCGTGGGCCATCTGAAGCTTCTTGTCGATACGGGCCAAAAGATCGTGGAGCATACCGTTTTGAGTGGCCAATGGGAGGTTTTTCACCTCGGTGGGGATTATATCGATTCTCTTGGTATCTCCTCTCAAAATCACGTATTCGGACGGGCCCCGGCTCACGACGCCGTAGTCTGCTCCCCGGCCCACCAACCGCACCAGCACACAGTAATTAAGGTCGGTATTACTAAATCCAAACACTCTGGCACCTTTGCTGTCGACTGACGGTGGGAGGTTGAGGTGCGACATCAAGTCATGAGGACATTCATTGTCCAAAAGCCGGTACGGAATGTCGAATGACACCGGCAAGTCACGGGACGAGCCTGACCGCACCACCGGTGCTACCTTCACCGGTTGGCAGTTGAGATCGATGATCTGGAGGAAGTTTTTGGTCTGTTTAGGGTTCAAAAGACGACCTTCAAACGAAATGCAAAGAAACTTGTAGTCGACGTCTACGTCGCCCGAATTCTCGATGTGAGCAGAGCCATGGATCGTGTTTCCCGGCTCGTACTGTCTTGTGGGGTCATCTATGGTCAAAACCACTTTAATGCTTTTGGCAAACGCGTTATCATCCTTGCTGATATCATCAAGTTTAGGAATGCTGTCAACGAGGGTTTCGCCAGTTACTGAGGCCGAGTCAACTGATTGCTCGATGGTCCGTGCACTGGTGCATTCCCAGTCGTTGTCCTCGTTGGGAGTAAAGAAGGAATTGGTATGAAGTTCGTATGATGGGAGAGTGTGTGGCTTGAACGCAGACAGCTGAGCGCTTAGTGCGGACGCGTTGGTTGGCTCTAACAGCTCCAGCCCTGGTTGAAAAGTCGACGGTGATTGGTCGTAGCGTGGCAGAGACATGGAAAAGGTGGGCTAGGGGATCCATCTGCCAATTGACCAATATTTATATTTTTTACAATCAGTTGGATTAGTCACACTGGTACGGCAGCAGATCGTACAGAGTGCAGGTAGCGTGCGGCTTGGTTTGGAAAGGCTCTGCGGAATTGGTTGATGCGGCGGAATTAACAACTACCAGGGTGGCGCGATAGTCGGTCTCGGAGACGGAGACCGATGAGGGCACATTTACGAGGGGCGAGATGGTTTCGATTGGCGGAGGATCGGTCTCAGTTAAAGTTATGAGGGACGAGACATCATTGGGAGACAGAGCTTTGAGGGATGCGATATCGGTGGGAGACTGATACGAAGTTGAAAGTGGAGGAGATAGAAGGAGATAAACCATCTCCTTCTATCTCCTGGGCGCAAAACACAACAGTGGACATACGGGCAAAGGATCGATGAAAGCACCTTTACGAGGGGCAAGATGATTTCGATAGCTGGAGGATCGGTGGCAGTCAGAGGTATGAGGCATGCGACATCGGTGGAAGTCCGATGCGAAATTGAAAGTGGTGGAGATAAAGCTGGCTGCGAAAACTTCTAACAGCGGACATAGGGTCAAAAAAATATCATTGGTCACCGTTGGGGGCGCAGACAAAAACCGCCCCGCGCGTCAATGGTAGCTCCGTCACTCTCAATTCTCTATTATTAAAGCATATATTAATTTCTACTTCTTCACTATCAGCACCGGCACCTTCAAATACACCCGATGGTTCAGAAACTCAAACTGGATCTTGAGATAGTATAACCTCGCCCCATAACAGTTCTGAAAGTCTGGCACCAAGGTGAAGGTGTCAAAGGGATTTTGCACCCGCGTTCCCTTTGTGGAAAGGTTGCCAAAATCGAGCCCGAGCTCAAACTCACTTTCCCACTGGGAATCCACCTTATTCCAGGCTGGCAGCGTGGTAGACGAGCCGTGCTGGACGATGGTTGGGCCAAACACCGTCAAGTTGACGGTCTTTTCCTTGAGCAACGCTAGCGTCTTGATGTCATCCAAAAGGCTCTTTTCAAACTTGAGGTTGTCGATGTTGACTTTCTTGTTGAGTTCCTTCACCCGCTCAAACTCCCCCTTGAAGAAGTTGACAATATTTCTTTGGAAGTTGTCGTGGTCGTTGAAATACGTCAGGTCGGGTTTCAGATTCCTGAAGAGCATTTTATGGTTGAACTCAAGTGGAATTGGCGTTGCTGACAGGATAGTCAAGCATGCGAAATCAACGTTCAATGACTTGAGTTTGGGCATACTGGAACTTTGACACAGCATCTTGAACGGCACCGAGAGAGTCAAATCAGGAAGCCCATTACCACGGATAGGCTTCGGCTGCACGTATTGTAAATTGTATATCACGTCGGGGGTCGACACCGTCAAAAGAGCCGTTTTCTTCAAAAGCATACTTGACGAATTGACCTCCAAAGTGATCAATTTGGGCTTGTGGCTCTTCTCTCTTTCGGTTCTTACGTATAATTGTTGAAGTTTGTTACTGCTCTGGCGTTCGATCTGCTCCTCCAACACATCTACGACTTGGCTGATTTCCTGGAATTTCTGGTGGGCAAGTATCTGGGCCAATTTGTTGCCCACTTGGATCCGCTCGTCTATCCGCTTAATCAAGTTCGAAAGAAGCAAGTCCTGGTGGATGGCAGCCCCCTCCTGCACTGGGGGTGTCTCTTCGACGATTCGGAGAGGCGCTTTCAGGTCTTTTAAAATCACATATTCATCACCATGTTCGTTAAACACCAACGCATTTTCCTGAGTCGGGTTAAACTGGTACGAGGTGGCCTTCCCGATGAACGTGGCAATGACACTGTAGTCGATGCGCGAGTTCACGAGGCCAAAGTCCTTGACGTCTCCCATCGACGGTGGGAGTCTTACATGGCTGCTTAGGGTATAGCTGGGACACTCATTGTCCAACAAGTGGCTAGGGATACGGAACGAGAAAAACCGCTTGTAACTGGTATGAGGTTCGAGGTGTTCAGATGCGAACGACATGTAGCTGCCATCATTATCCACAAAACATGGGCACACGGCGGAATTTGTGTACTCTGTGACAAGACGATTGATGTAGACATACTTCAAGAAACTACCATGGAAGTCGAACATTTCGAGGAACGTCTTCCTTTGGTGACCCACAGTGATAGAGCCTTGCAACAACAAATAGAACATTCTAAATGGGATTCTGAGGCCACTGATATTATCGATTTTGATGTACCCGTTTATGTAATCGCCCTGTTTGTACTCGAATTTGGATGGGTCGATGAGTTTTGGAGGTTCATTGATTTTGCAAATATCAGCAGTATAGAACGTTTGGATCTTAATGGCCTTAGCGAACTGGTTGTCGGTTTCTGTCATATTGTTTAATTTGTTGACATGGTCAAGAACAGAGCTTTGCCAACCATGGCCCTCATTATCATTAAAGGTGACTCTGGCAGGATCTGGAGAGGAATCCGAGTGAGAGTGGGTGGTTACCAGGGATTGCGACTGCGATTGTGCCTGGGATTGAAGATCCTGGGTGCTCACGGTGCTAGGACCGGCCGACACCGAGAGCGAAATGGCACCAGTATCGGGGGTATACCGGCTCAGCTCAGAACACGGGGCATCGTAGTGGGGTGGATCTGGTTGTTGATTAAAGAAAGATTGTGAGTACATCTGATACGAGGGGAGAATATTCCAAAGGGGCAATTCCTTAACATTCTTTAGGTCTTCCTCCTTAAAGTGGAAGTCTTCAGTCTCGTTATAACTCTGTTCTTGGTCGAGGAACATAGTCAAAAATTATTGCTCTACGGAATATGGTGGAACTTCAGAGGATTTTATGTGCGGAATATTTCGTATATTTTTAGGAGATTAGTCACTGCCTTAGTAATACAACAATCTCAGTGTCATGCATAGTGGCGAATTACTTGACGATGGTATTCACGAGTTGGGTCGTTGGATGACTCAGAAGGCGATCGACAGGTTGTAGATGACTCAGGAGGTGGACGAAATTGTAGGTGTTGGACGTTAGATAGTCACAGTTGTGGATTGCCAAGTAATTGGCGATATGCATTTTGTTACTTTACTGGTCAGGCGATAGGCAGAAGTACTGTCCAGAGGACTCCCATATTTTCTCGTACTTCTAGAGCATACTTCCATGCTTCAAGTCTCCCAATCTCTCTGGTATTAGTAGTACAGAAGCATATCTTCAAACTCGATCTGTGCGAAACTGGAGAAGGTGGGGCTGATATAATCAAGATCAAGAATGTCAGGCTCTTGGACCTGTTCAGCTGGTAGAAGCAGCCCATCTTCTAGGGTGAATTCCAGAAGTGGGTATGTTGACTGGGTGTCAACGGCGGTGATGACGGTGGTGAAAGTGGTGACAGTCGTGGGAGATATGAGGTTAGTGGTGAAAGATCCAATGGCAGGTACCCTTGCGTCTGTCAGTCCGCCACTTTCCCCATTGCCAATTGATATACTCCCACTGCCAATTGATATACTCCCACTGTCAATTGATATACTCCCACTACCAATTGACCCACTACTCCCACTTGATCCCCTGCTACCATTTGATCCACTGCTACCATTTGATCCACCACTTCCAATTGACCCAAGCTCCGGTCGTACCTTCGGCGAGTGGTTATCAAAACTAGCCGGAAGCTGGCGGGGTATCTGCTGGGTCGGTAAAGTAACAGCGGGCACCTTTCGATTTCGACGCTGGACAGGCCCCTCGTTAAAAGTGCAATTGCCATTATTGGATTTGATGCACGATAAACAAGTTGACTGGGTACTCATGATGCAACAAGTCTTTCGCTTTCGACAAAGGTCACAGGGTCTTTGGTAACGGGACTTATACGGCCTGGAGCTGTATAATTGGGACAATTCGTAATTTTTAGACTTTGCCATATTGAACTAATTACTGGGAGATAACAGACAACATACAAAAGCCCAGCACGGCGGGATACTACTACTTATATAATAATAAACAATTTTAAGAAAATAAAAATCCACATTTTGATATAAGGGTAATATGTACTTGCTTCTAGATTAGGATGTTAGTGTGTTTCTAGTTGGATTGGGAAAAAGAAACAGCTCCGATGGTATTGTTATCTTTAAAAATAGGTCAGAATATTTCGCTTCACTCAAAAAAATTTCAGGTAATGTAGATAAGTTTATTAGGTTTATTCATCATTCATCATCAGATATGTCTCTTCAAATCGTACTAGCTTATACATACCATTCAATTCATCAAAGAGGATCCATTTTTTTCAAACAGTTTTTTCTTCAAGTTCCATTCGCATCGAGGCCCCTGGTGCGAGCACGCCACCTTTTCCCCAAAAGCCCCGCCAGAAAAAGCAACTCCCAACCATGGATAAGCTGTCACTCCTGTGGGTGCCGACCTCAACTCCATTCAAACTCGCGTCACTTTCGGCTCATATTCCATGACCCATAGATCTGCCACCTCCCTGTACCCGGGGCTTGGATAAGGGAGGGATATTCCTTTACATATGACATTGTGTCTGCAGGCTGGCCGATTGCCCCAGGTTCATGCGTGAAAAATGGGTAACTCTAAAAAGGGAGAAAAAAATAATTCCCTGAGCCTCTGGAGACTTCGGCTTCTCTGGTGCTTCGAATGACTATTTTGGGTGCCTTGGACCATGTAGTTCTTTTTTCTTTTTGCGTTATTAATCATTAGGCTGACCAGCTCTGGGGTGTAGATCTTCGCCAACCCATTGATAGTAAACGGGTTTTAGGGATTCAGAGTCCGAAAAACTTTGTCTCATATACCGCACGCGTCCGCTTGCTTTTCGTAATCAACTGTGACCCTCTCAAACATGCGGCAGCCACCTGAAACTTGTAGTCCAATGGCTCTTTTGTAGGGTTCTCTACTTCTCCAGCTTTCTATGGTGCAATTGCTTTTGTATTGGTGTTTTTTTGCATCCAAACCAGTCATATTTGTCTATCTGTACCGTAATAATTGACTCTAGCAGTGCCGACTTCAGGTACTTTTGGTCATCAAATGGCATTCAGGGTCATATCTCTGGTAACTCTTCGGTACATGTTTGAGGTATTGTTAAATTATTTGTAAAGATTTTGTAAATCACTCGGATTAATCAGCGATGGTCACATCTTGATAATCTCGGTTATTGATCGGCTATTTTCAGCGTTCATATAGAAGCTGGTCAGTTTTCTCTTGTGAATCTCCATAGCTGAATTCTTGGGAAAATTCTATTCTGGTTGACGATTTATTCGGCGTTGTTTACCTAGGTGCCAGCGATTTTCTTGCGTTCTTCACAATACTACAATGTTTTCAAAGTTAACATTTTAACTAGAGAGCATGTGATGTGTTTCAGAGACCTGGAGTAATCCTTGTACTTATGAATAGTGCTGCATGTGTCAATTGGCCGAGTTTGTGGTTTTGGTGTTGAAACCTCTCGAATTCAATATTTCACAAACATGCTAGAATCACAAGAATTCGAATTTCTAGGTTTTTGGGAACCTATCCTGAAAACACAAACTGTTGATCACTTTCACAGCTTGTGTTTTATAAGGAGTTGTGGTTTTCTTGTCGAAAAAGTCCAAAATCTGAAAGATTCGTCCAATTTGAATTTAACCCAAAATCACTGAACAATTGCCAAACTTTGAATATTTTAGTGAACCAACAACACTTAGAGCAAACGAAGAACACTGGCCATATTGAAGACATTGTTTCTATGAGTTAATCTAGTTTTCACAGTTCCTAAAACAGAATTTGAGAAGTTGCTTGGTATTTTGTATCCTTTTTCAAATCTTCCTATCCTAAAAGTTACCAGAAAACCAGATTCTTAACAAATTCAAGAGATTCAAAAGAGATTTTGTCACTTTCAGAGTATTCTAAACAAGCTAGAGGAAGTCACTATTCATAAACCCCATACTTGGAGCTGCATCGGCTGTCCTGGAGATCGCCTGAAAATAGCGAGAAGTCAACACATCAAAATGCCCACCAAAAAGAGTGACAAAGATGCCTACTCAAACGGTTTCAAGTTTCAGAGATCACTAAAGTGGTATCCCTGTCTTTCATTCCAAAGAAACCATCTGAAAATAGTGATTTATCTTAGGGAATATCATCTACAATTTAAAACATACAAGAACCCCAAATCTTAGCCCAAGAACAAAAATGGAAGGAAATTGGATAGTCAAAGCATCTCCAGTGTCCCCTAAGAGAATTAAAATAGCTCCAATCCCTTTGAATGGTGATTCACTCCTAAATCGCTAGTTCTTGTATCAAATTCCTCCAAATCTTGACAAAATGGGCTTACAGACCCCGTTTTTTAGACACCAGCAAGGTCCAGGGCAGTTTAAAACTCCAGAGGCCACCCCAGGCCACCATTCATGTCATAAAACTCCTCAACCTAACCTGAAATCGCTTTCTTTTTCTCCAATTTAAGGGGCGTATTTTCAGCTGGGGCAGCACACAATCGCTCACACAATCGATTTTTTCAGAGAGGAGAATAGTCTTTGATTATCGTTGCATATGCACGGCTATCATTTCCTATTAAAGAGGGCACCGCCTGAGACGGCAAACCCCTATTAGTATGTCCATATAACAATAAAACCTAATACGAAGTCTTTACAGTACTTAAATTAAACTGAAAAAAATATCCTCTTTTCTGCAGCCTGCACTTGAAAAGCCACAAGTGACTGGTTCGGAGTCATTGCTCGCACTTCCTGAAACTGCTATCTTTCATAAGCCTAGATCAGGATTCACTCACAATCTTTTTGTTTATGCCCCCTACTCCGTACAGCATACCCCGAAAAGCCAACGGCTGCGAAATCCCGTCGGCGTATGCCAACCCAAACAAAGCGACTCGCTGGAGTGCGAGAAAGCGTGTGTCAATCGTCTTTTCCTCGCAGAGAAGTCCGGGTTTTGTATCCTACACGGGGTGGGCGCGATTTTAGTAAACCTAATAAAGACCATACGTAACGCATTGCATTTGATAGTATGCACACATACTTACTCTATCTGATCACAAAATAACAATCGATTGATAAACTCCTTGGACCGGCAGTTTTCCCTTTCTTGCATGCCTGAAAAACTAAAAGCTGTTATGTAGCACTTTTACATACTACTGATATGTAGAAAGCCCCTTTACATTTGAAAATTGAATGCCAATGCTAACACCCTTTCCAACTAGTGATATTATGGATTGTAGGTGAGAGGAAAAGAACCAGTGAACTTTTGTACCCAAGTGAAATAGAGATCATATGCCCAATCACGATTAGTGAAAGAAATCACCATTAAATTGTAACGTGGGATTTATTGAACGCCAATATATGCCTTGTCATATTTGGAAATGTAACCAGTACGTCAAATAGGAGAAGTTTGCCCTTGTCTAGCCACCTGAACTGTTTTCTGGGCATGTACATTAAAAAGAATCATGCGATATGCGGGAGGAACTAAATGTACGGGATAAGCCCAATTTGATTATTATGGTCAAGTTAATATAGTTGAGCCGGGGAAAATTGACTAGTACTCCCGATATTCCCGTTAGTAAATTCAGGTACATCAACAGCTCTAGCCGAACCCCTGTCCCCTAAAGTGGAATCTTTTGAGAGATACCCGGATTCTCCGTTAATGGATAATCTGAGAAAATACATGGCGATCCTGGTGGATGAACTTCACCGGAAGGACAATGAAGGTGAAGAAAAGTTTGGAAGTTTTTAGATAAATCAATTAACATCAAGAACTAGTTACCCAATTGTACTGAAAGCTTCACATATTTTTGGTGCTTGGTGATTTCTATGGTAGAAAAACAGAATGCTTTCGGAGTTTGGTTTCCTATTATTGGAACTGAAGTTAAGTATTTTGAATAACAGCATCAGTTGATACTTCTCAGAGCCACAGCCGCCTGATAAGAAATATAGAACCTGTTGGTAAGAAGATCAATGAAATACAAATCAAGGGAGGAATATTCACCTCAATTCCTCTAACATTCCAGAGCTAGGACATGAAGCAGAAAATATAAAGAGTTGGAAGAGCATTTTGATAAGCAGTCATTTGCAGCCAGCCAACTAAAGATTTGGTCGTGCCGCGGAACAAGTGCCTGCAGCTTTTTGGCCGCAACCCTTTTGCCCGCGCACACAATCATCTTAGTCTTGCCAATGCCCCGGGTGGGACCTTTGAAAAAAAACTAATATATTAATTGGACTATCATCGAGGGTGTCTTTACTAAACAACACAATGATAGCTTTTTTTGTAAGTTTTTGGTACACCCTCATAGTTAACACAGCAGGTGCTCTAATGGTGTTCGTGGCCAGTCCCTTCGTGGCGGTATTTACTGCAGAAGTAACAATGTATTTCAATTACTTGATTTGCAAACAAATGGCTAATAGTTTAAAGGTTGTTAAGCATAAAATCAAACCAGGACCTCACAGATTACGGTACTTTTTGGCGGACGATTACGACTAGGTGGGAGGCCTCCCACTCAATGATAAGGTCTCCCATTTAAAGGGGTTCCTAGCTAGTGGGATGTTCTTGATATTTTAGGTGTTGCTTGCAACCTGGGCTACTGCAGAGATCTATCCTTTATTTATATTCATCATTCATTATTTCAATTCTTCAGGCTGGGGTCTTTTGGATCTCAGGGCCGTTGTAGCCGGATTGTACATAGTACTGGATACTTAATAAACAACCAATTATTAGTAATTTTCATCCCGTGTGGGATATATCAGATAGAATTGCTGGCGATGTGTAAGATGTCTAGCAAGGGCTTGTGCATGAAAATCGACAGAATCCATAATGCGCATCTTTACCGAGGCGGTGTGGGATTCCGGGGTGCGCCGCCTCGCACCAGCTGCAGTGTGTGGAAGCCTCATTTCGGGATCAAGGAATGAACCATTTGCGCACCAGATGTATTCTCCCAAGTTAAAACTCCTACTGTATATCTTCCTTAATGTATCTAGCTGTATGATTGCTCAGCTTGAGAGGCGGTACTGTACTGGAAAGATGCATTTTGAATGATAGGAATTAGTTCCTAATGCGGAACTCCCACACAAGATATTAGTCTCGGGTAAGATGCTGTATTAGGATGTCAACCCGCTACACATCCACTAATTCGGTTGAGTGGCATCCCTATTAGGCTACTGCTTTATAAGCATCACAAACTTCCTTAGTAGCCACTAATCAAGAGCTTCCCAATCTCTATCACAAACCAGCTATAAATTCCCCATACTTTCGCCGTCAATGTTTCCAAAATCAAAATCATCAAATGTCCTATCCAACTACCATCCAAGCCCTAGGCTCCAGCGACCCGGTCCACTGGTCGCAAGCAGAACCCATCAAATATGAACCGAAGCCTTTTATGGATAACGATGTCATGATCAAAATCCACGCCTGTGGAGTATGTGGAACCGATGTCCACACTCTCCAGTGTGTTTGGGGACCACACCGAGATGCATCAGTGGTTGTAGGACACGAAATTGTCGGTGAAGCCATCAGAATTGGTTCCAATGTCACCCATATCACGGTGGGACAGATTGTTGGACTCGGGCCGGTTCTGAACTCCTGTGGGGAATGTGAGCTCTGTTTGAGTGACAGGGAACAGTACTGTGTTCGGGCTGTTTTCACCTACGACGACGTGGACTTTGAAACTGGGTCGGTTACCAAAGGAGGATTTGCTTCGCATGTCACCGCCAACCAGAGATTTGTAATTCCCATCCCCAAACACTTGCCCGAAGAGTATGCTGGACCGTTGATGTGCGCTGGGTTGACAGTGTTTTCACCATTGTACAAGAAATTGAACGGGAAAAAGGGCCAAACGGTAGGAATCGTGGGAATCGGAGGGTTGGGCCATTTGGGCTTGAAGTTTGCCAAAGCATTGGGGGCACACGTGGTAGCCATCTCCAGAACTTTGGCTAAGAAGCACGAAGCTCTCACTCAGTTGGGAGCCGACGACTTTGTGGCCACAGAAGATGATCCCGAGTGGGCCAACAAGTATAGCCACAAGCTTGATATGGTTCTTTACTGTGGAGCTCTGATGGATAATCTTGATCTCAATGCTTATTTGCGGGCCATTCGTCCAGGTGGACAGTGGGTCACTGTTGGGGTACCAAATGGTTCAACAATGGTTCCACTTCACGCGTCTGGGATTGTCTCCAATGACGTGGCAATCAAAGGTTCCAAGAGTGGGAGTGGAACAGAAGCTGTAAAGATGTTGAAGATGGCTGCTGACCACCAGATTTACCCAATCATCGAGAAGTTGCCTATGAGTGTCAAGAACTATACCGAGGCGATGGAAAGACTTGGAAAGTACGATGTGAAGTATCGATTTGTGTTGACGGGCATTGACCAGTACTTTCAGTAGAAAATGGTACATGCAAACATGAGAGCAGATTGAGTAATACAATTTACTATGATAGTAGACTGAGTAACAACCAGACATTTTGCACACTGTCTCACTCTCACTCGCATCACTCTTACTTCTTCGCTCTTACTCTTACCCTCTTCGCTCTTACTCTCACCCTCTTCCCTCTTACTCGCTCACACACTTATTCTCCACCTGGTCCGCACTAGTGTGTTTCCGCAGCCATAGTGCAACTTCGCGCACTTTTCCCACATTCATCTTCTCCCATGAGCAACGTCAAGCAAGAAATTAAACAGGAAGACAATGGAGACAAGGTCGATGAGCCCGAACTCATGTCGGACCCTGAAGATTATCTTGAAAAGGGCGAGTCCTTGGACATGGATCTCACCAACGGCAACCAGAAAATCTGGTTGGTCAAGTTACCCAAATACCTTGCCACAAAGTGGCAGAACCCCAACTTGATGGGCAAACAGCTCGGGAGAGTCAAGATCAGAAACACCACCGCCAACGGCCACAAGAAGCTTGAGGTCAAGTTGGTGGTGGATGATTCCACTGCCAACGACGAGATTCCCCAGGAATATGATATCTCCATTCTCAACACCCAGGTGAGAAACTCGTATGTGTTTTCGGAAGAGAACCTTCAGCGATTCAAAGCCGAAAACACCGAGTTGAGTAGCGACCGGCCCATTGAGAAGACCCCAGAGGTTGAGGAAGACTACCGTCAAAGACGGTACAACCGTTTCGGAAATGGTCAGAACCAAAATCAAAACCCAGATGCGGTTCCGTTTGTGAAAACCATCCCCAAAAAGACCGCCTTATGCGGCAAAATCTGCCACGATTGCCAGATAAGACCTTCCATCACCGACAAACGGGCCAAGGACTATGCGGCCAGAAAACACACGATCCAAAAGGAAAAAGTCCGGCCTAAGGTGGTTTTATTGGACGAGATTCCGGGCGTGCTGCAGTCCAACGCCGGGCCCTCGTTTAAGGGCAGAGGCACCAATGTGTTTCTCAAGCCCAATACCAACAAGAACAAAAATGAGGGCAGGGCCATCAGAATGCCCCAGAAGGACTTGTTGGACTTATTGTTCAGATTATTCGAAGAATATGAATACTGGTCCATCAAGGGCTTGAGAGAGAGAACCAAGCAGCCCGAGTCGTACTTGAAAGAGTCATTGGACTCCATAGCCAACCTCATCAAAAAGGGGCCTTATACCTCGAAGTACAATTTAAAACCTGAGTATAAGAAGTTGAGAGATGCCGAACGGGCAGCCAAGGCCGGGTTGGATATCAACCATAATGACAATAACGACCAAGAAGAAGAGGAAGAGGATGACGACATGGAAGATGTTCTTTAGGTGTTGTTCAACATCTCCTCAATCTAAGATAATTATTATCTTGTATTAAGCTATAGATATAACCGTTAAAATAAAAATGGAAAGTTAATTTACATGGCGCTTCGCAAGCCACAAACTTACAAGTTCTTGATGCTCAAGGTTGGTGGCAAGGATTGTTGCAACTTCTTGGCCTTACCGGCATCGTTGACAACCAAGGTGTATTGGTATCTGGTACCTCTAACCTTGAACTTGGTTTGCTTGAACTTCTTACCGTTGGCATTGATCTTCTTGTTGACCTTGACAACAGCAGACTTGACGTCGGCTCTTCTGGCTAATTCAACGAATTCCTTGATGTCTTTGATTTCTCTCTGAAAAATTGTTAGTATGAGGGTTTGCCTTGGGATAAAACCTCACGGGCAAAACACCCTGGGGGTGTTTGTTCGTACAGATGCAGTTGCTCCTGTGCTTGTGACAGTGTGGGTTGTTTCATATCCGGAGTTTGATCATTCTGTTGTACATACGGCCATCTTTAATGTATCTAATACTGTAAACCAGAAAATTAAATTTCGAAAGCGATGTGGAAGAAAAACCCACTGGCACAGGGCGCGCGCAGTCACAAATGGTTATTAGGGTACAAGCCCTGTTAACTACTCCCTCAGTGTATACTAATAAAATATCCACACATCACACATCCTAGTCAGCACCACCGATACCAGTATCTTGAACCACATCGTAGGTCTCCAGAAACGTTATCAATCTCTTCACCGCGGTGATCCATCGCCGGGTCTTATCGTCTATCATGATATTTGCAGCCAGTTTCTCACCAGTAATCCTCAGGGAAGCACTTCTAGCATGGATCCCGACGTGGAGCACCCCGATAGGCCAGGCCACATTTCCGATGCTTAGTTTCATGTAACTCTCGTTTGCCGGGCGAAACTGGCGGTGTTGAAGATAATAGCAGATAGTGCTGAGAGACACCACCATATCATCAGTGAGACCGTCACTTCGGAGTTTGTAGAGTAACGGCACCAAGTTCTTCTTTGTATCGAGGAGTAACTCGTGCTGGGGAGAATCTGGCGGAAGCGCTTCGGTGGCTTTTTCCCACTGGTGTACGAGACTTTTAATGTAGACTCGGAGTTGCACCACAAGTTTGTGTTTGTGGATAGCGGAGATTTGGTCGAGGCAGAATTGGGGGTCAATAGCAGCCTCCTTTGCCGCCTGCTGCCGGTACCGTTCCCGCTTGGCATTGATTCGTAGTTGTTGTTGAACCTGGAGCCCAGTTGTAGCATCTGCATTTTTGGAGGCGGCAGCGTCGTCTTTGTTGTCCTGGCCGCCTGCAGCAGTAGCAGATATGTCTGTTCTTTCGCCACCAGCTGCAGCCGTCTCGTCACTATTCGTATTCACATTCCCATTTGTGTCACTGCCCACAACTCCTCGTTCACACTCGATAACGCCAGCGCCATCGACCACTTTTTTACTATTATAATTCTGACCATCCCCCTTCTCTGATCTTCTCCTCTTGTCGCCTCTCTCAACACCTTTTCCTTTCCTCTTCTTCTTAATCTCTTTCGAAAGAACCTTGGAGAAATTCATATTTTCAGATGCATCAATGCGACTTCTCAACATCAGCAAATTCCTACTAACCCTGTTTGTACTCAGTAAATTTAGTTTTGAATTCTGCCACCACATCCCCTGGCACTATCCTGATACTCGTATCTGCCGCAAACATTCTGCCCCCTGCTCCGCGTGCCTTCTCCCGCTAATTCAAAACCAATGGCTCCCAAACCAAAAGAGCAACCAGAGGCGCCTGATACCAGTGTTGACCATGAATCTGTCAACCCCAGTGCCGCCGAAGTCACCGCCAGCTTCTCGTCCACCCAGTCACATGCTGTCGACGCCAAACCCCAGTCCTCGCCGCTCCTCCTGTCGACTCCGCCCATTGTCTCCAAGGCTTTGGTTAGAGCCTACCCTTACTTGCTCATCGTCAACAAACTCTTATCCATTATCACCTGGACCAATGATGACTATTGGGTCAACGTGGTATTGATCAGTGCCTACGCATTGGTGGTGTTGTACTTTGAAGCGTTGGTGACGTGGTTCGGCCACTTGTTGATTGTCGGTTTTATCACTCTCTACGCGTTGCTTAACAAAAAGATCCTACAAGAGGCTAACTTGCACCCTTCGCTCGATGAGGTGATCCAGGCGTTGACCAACACATGTCTCAAGGCCGACCGGTTGTTGGATCCCATCATCTCGTTGTCGTTGACCGCCTACGACATCAAACGGTTACTTTTCACCACCGTTTTCCTAACCCCCATTTACCTTATTGTATCTTTTCTTTTGATCCAACCCCGGACCATTTTACTTGTCACCGGTGTGTACTTGTTGACCTACCACTCGGCATACCTGAGTGTGACCCGGAAGATGATCTGGAAGTTGAGGCTTACCCGTGTGTTGTTTTTCTACTTGACAGGGTTGGACTTTCTGAGGCAAAGAAACCACTCGTTGTTCGCTGCTGCCTTTGCCAAGGTCCAAAAAAATGCTGGCCATTCCTTGAATCCGTTGAGCAGTAAGAGCAACCGGCCAGTAAGGTTCACGTATGTGATTTATGAGAACCAGAGAAGATGGTTGGGAATTGGTTGGACCTCGAATTTGTTGTCCTACGAGAGAACTCCCTGGACAGACGAGTTCCTTAATGAGTCATCGTCCATCGACTCGTTCAAGTTGCCCAACCCTGAAAATCATCAGCAGTATTCGTTTGGACTGGAGCAGTCTCTGCAGTTATCGATGAACAACGCGCGATGGAGATGGGTCGACAAGAGCTGGCGTTTGGATTTAACCAACGATGGTGCCGTTACTTTGCCGCCCGGTAAACGGTCCAAGACCACCGCTAACCCTGGTAGCGACGAAGGGTTTATTTACTACGACAACACTTGGAAGAGACCTACTACTGATGATTCCTACAGCAAGTATACCAGAAGAAGAAGATGGATTAGAACCGCCGAGTTGGTCTTCGACAATGACAACGATGACGACGATATATCGACCTATGACCCTGCTGATGAGGACACTCCGAAGGTGAAGAAGAACCTTCGGTTTGCCGAGCCCGTGCCTGAAACAGACGAAGAGAAAGAAGAATCTCGCCCCTCGGATCTTATCGACATGGAAGACATCAAGTCGTCCAAACAACAGACTGATACCGTTTCCAGCATCTTGGAAAAGCTCGAGGTGGCCCCCCAGTCGATAACCAAAGAAGTCTTGACGCCTGTTCTCACAACTGATCTCGATACCAGCACCTCCGACATCGAAGATATCAAGTCGGTGAATCCCGTAAGTGACCCCGGGACAATCTTCCTGCCCGGTAACCCTCCCGTTGACGATAAGAAGAACGTGTAGATAGGCTGATATTTTAAATAGAAATGGAATTATTTAAGGTTGATAAGTTGCCCCAAACCGGTTCTCCGGTTGCGATTTCACTGTGTTTTTTTTGCAACTTTTTAGTGGCTCAGATCGGATAAACAGGTGCCATCGGGCGAGCTCGCACTAATTGCCGCGAGCTGGTTCCACGCTTGGCCCTGATCCACGTCGCAGCGGAGCTCCATTTGAGAATATAACTAGAACAATTGAAACTACAGGATGTACACTTTCACCGGTTATGCGGTTCCAACAAATAAAACAGGTTCATATATCCGTCAGGTAGCACCTCTAATCCCCCTTAAATCGTAAGATACTTACCTCATTATTGCTATCGTGCAATTTTTCTCCGTCGGAATACCCCGAAGGCCTGATAACTGATTTCCCCAAATCGCAGCGCGACACCTCGATAAGCTCAATATCCTATAAATAGGCCGATTCTCCTCCCAATAATCTTTTCTTGTTCAAATCAGCATGCAATCACAATTAGTCAGTTCCTCATACGGTAAGGGTAACGTCAAGTTCCTTAAGGTCAAGAAAGATCCTTCCAACCCCCAAATCCAAGACGTATTGGAAGCCAATGTCAAGGTATTGTTGAGAGGTAACTTTGATGTATCATACACCGATGCCGATAACTCCCCCATTGTTCCCACCGACACCGTCAAAAACACCATTTTGGTGGAAGCCAAGAATACCGATGTGTGGCCCATCGAACGCTTTGCTGCCCACTTGGCAAAGCACTTTATCTCCAAGTACGACCATATTTCTGGAATCGAAATCACCATTGTTCAGGCCAAGTGGTCCAAGTACGAAGTTAACGGCAAGTTACACGCCCATTCGTTCAAGCATGAAGGACCTGAGACCAGAATCACCGTGTTGGACTATACCAGAGCTTCCAAGCAGTTGAAAATCACCTCTTCCATCAAGGACTTGACGGTTTTAAAGTCCACCGGATCCATGTTCTACGGGTACAACGTGTGCGACTACACCACCTTACAGCCCACCAAGGACAGAGTCTTGTCGACCGATGTCGATGCTTCATGGGTTTATGACAGTAAGTACCTCCGCACATTGGACGATGTGTTTTCATATGCTGACAAGGGACTATTCGATGATGCCTACAACGGGGCCAGGAAAATCACTTTGGACAAATTTGCCTTGGAGAACTCGGCATCAGTTCAGGCCACCATGTACAACATGTCCCACGAGATTTTGTTGCAGGTCAAGGAGATTGAAACCGTCACCTACCAATTGCCAAACAAGCATTATATTTTGTTCAACCTCGAGTGGAAGGGTATAAAAAACAATACCGATTTGTTTTACCCATCACCAGATCCAAATGGGTTGATCAAGTGTACCGTGGGCAGAAAGGTGTCTGCCAAGTTGTAGGTATTTATATTTATAGAATATAAACGTGAGCATAGTCTTACACCACGAACGGTTATCGGGTATTGATTTCAGTAGTAAGACGCTGAGTCTGTGTCTGGATCCAAACCTGCAATATATAAAGCATCAAGCTCGCTTTTGCAGCCCAAGTTGAGGCATCGCGCATTTGAGGCCATCTCGAAAATTGAACTCAATGTCTCGAGCTTGGAGTATTGCCATAGGCACGGCGGCAACGACCGTGTTGATAGTCGAAGGGATCCACTACCTTCTTAATACCAGCAATAATACGGCATCAATTCTTTCGGAGCCCAAACAACAGCCACTGACTGAGTACCCTGAAGAGTTGATCGCCGAACAACTTGCAAGAAACTACGCTTTTTTGGGTGAAGAAGGAATGGACAAGTTCAGGAAACAGAACATAGTGGTGGTGGGAGCCGGGGGTGTAGGTTCATGGGCTGCCACCATGTTGGTACGTTCGGGAGTGGGAAAAATCAGAATCATCGATTTTGACCAAGTCACCTTAAGCTCTTTGAACAGACATGCGGTAGCCAACTTGAAGGATGTGGGGATCCCCAAGGTTCAGTGCTTGAAAAACCACTTGGAGCAGATTGCTCCGTGGGTACAGATCGACGTGAAGAATCAGTTGTGGAATAAGGAAAGTGCTGGAGACTTGATTTTTGGTGGAGACTTCAAGCCCACTTATATTGTTGATTGTATCGATAATATTGACACCAAAGTTGACCTTCTAGCATTTTGCCACGAAAACAAGTTACCTGTAGTATCTTCGGGAGGGGCTGCTTGCAAGTCTGACCCTTCTCGTATCAATATTGGAGATATCAGCAAAACAGAAGAAGATCCTTTGACCAGATCAGTACGGATCCGGTTGAAAAAAAGAGGCATCATCACCAACATCCCCACCGTGTTCTCTGCCGAGAAACCGGACCCCAGAAAGGCCCAGCTCTTGCCATTGTCTCCTGAGGAGATTGCTAAGGGGAAAGTAGACGAATTGGCAGCTTTACAGAGGTTTAGAGTACGTATTTTGCCGGTTTTGGGAACCATTCCTGGAATGTATGGCTTAACTATTGCCACCTACATCATTACTAGCGTGGCCGGGTACCCACTAGAGCCTATAGAAGGGAAAAACCGGTACAAGATATATGACAGTATCTTCCAAAGTCTCGCAGGCCAACAGAGCAGAATAGGACAATTGGACCAAAGAGTACCTATTTCCATGACCGATGTCAGTTACATTCTCGAGGAGATTTTCCACGGTAAGTCTCCCATTTCCAACTATTCTACCAAATTGACATTGTCCCGGTGGGATCCTACTAAGGAATTAAGCTTGCAGAACATAGTGGTGATGACGAAGCAAGAACAGTCGGACCACGAAAAGCGGGTTCTCAATGGCAACGAAAGGTTGCAAGACGTATACTCCCCTGAAGTGCTTGCGTTCGTCAACAGTCGTTTTGCCGACGAGAAGTACTGGTCTCAATTTAGATAGGTCCATAGATATACATGACTTTATTGCAGCCATTCTAGTTGCGCGCATTCGGCTGATCGTGGGCGAAAAATCATCATCATTATGTCCATGAACACCATGTGGAAACAGCTGTTCTCCAGACCAATGTTACGGTTCACCATGTTCCAGCCCGTCAAGTTACTTAGTCGATACCCGGTGAAAAGTCAGCTTTTCAAGCGGTTTCAATCCACCATAAAGGCCCCTCCCCCACCTCCTCCGTCTGGTCCCAAAAAACCAACTGGCATCAAAGCGTTGATGAAAGAGTACGGGTTTTCAGCTCTTGGAATCTACCTTGGCTTGAGTGCCATCGACTTGCCATTGTGCTATCTCTTGGTCCACTCTGCTGGTAAGGAAGAGATAGAGTACTATGAGAATAAGATAAAACAAACGTTTGGATTCGGCATCAGTGATGACGACTTGAAAAGACAGCAGGAAATAGACCAGCTCCAGCAGTCGCAGGAGGACTTGGAGAACCCTATTGGAGAAGAATCGCAGTCAACGCTCAGCTATGTGTTGTCTCAGTTCTCGTGGGCTGAATTTGCCATAGCTTACACCATCCACAAGTCGTTTATCTTTATCCGTCTTCCTCTCACCGCTGCCATCACTCCTCCTGTCGTCAAGTTGTTGAGAGGATGGGGATTCAAACTCGGCTCTCAGAGCATCAAGACGTCTGCCAATATCGCCAAGGACCACATCAAAGACTTTACTGCGTCGAGCAGCAAGTTTGGCACCCGTCCCACCCAGAAGAAAAAATGGTTCAACTTCTTCTTCTAACCTGTAAATAACCAATCTACCAATTGTCATAACATTTCTATGGATGTCATACGTAAATATACAATAAATAGTGTCCTATACAAGAACCGAGTACAACGTAAATGAGTACAATGAATAGTATGCAAAATAAATAAGATACAGCCAAATCAGCTCCCCGTTTTCATCATATTCCCAACATCATCTTGCTTCTCTCGTACACGTAGAATGAGCAGGACAGCATTGGTACCACCTTGATGTAACCGATGCTCAATCCTACAAAGAATCCACGAAATCCCATTTCTTTGAAGATGATGGAAGCAGTTTGCTTTAGTGACAAAAATTGACCTTGGCCCACAGCCCCTCCGACCTGCATTCTCCTCCGTACCACTTCGAACGGGTACGCCGCTGTCTGAGAACACATTCCCGCGAGGCCTCCGGCTATCAACTGGGCGTAAGCCCGAAGGGGAGCCCTTGAGTCTCGAGAGTTGACCTGGTGATGGGCTGATTGTATCAGAACCGACAGACTTGAGCCATGGTCCTGGCCCTGTACCAAGTAGTGGTACAAGTGCTTTGATCTGAATAAGTCGTGGAACAAGTCGTGGGTGTAGAACGACACCCCGGCGTAGGGAACCATCCCCAAGATCGTGGGTGCAAACCCCCGATAAAAGTTGGAGATGGCCAGCACAGACTTTGGGAGTTTCTCCCGAAAGAAACGCACCCATAATGGATCGGTGCCTGAATGTGGAGGGTTTTCGTGGAAGATTGTCCTGACAGTTGAGTACAACTGGCCACGACGGTGGCTTATATATTGTTTGTGTTGATGGGTGTGGTGGGTCAAGTTTTTGGTTTCAAATGCCATTCGCACTCGTATCAAGTCCAACGGGTACGTGAGGAATACCGAGGAGAGCCCTGACAATGATCCAGCCATGAACCGACGAGCAGCGGTTTCCATATCGTCGTTGGGAATCAAAAGTGTTCGGATTTGTTCGTATGCAACGAACTTGATAGCCGCGTAGGGGAAAATTCGAAGTAACGTTACTGAGTGCCCCTGGTACAAGCCAGCAGGCCCGTCGTTCTGTAAAATAACCTTTCCGGCTCTCCAAAGCCCTGCGGTGGAGCCTCGGTACTTGATAAACTCTGGATTGGATGTTTGAAACAAGATCTTCACTCTGTCCAACGGCGCTACAAGCGTCTTGGCAGCACTCCCAGCAATCCCGCCGGCAATTCCTGACCGGGCAATGTAGTCCAATGATTGTTTATCTATGATCTTGACGGGTTCAAATGGTGTAGAGTTGTCATTGACTCTATCACCGACTGGTTTATAACTGGAAAAAATCGATCGGAGGCTGTTGGCCAGCAACAAAGATCCTGTTGGTGTTTCGGTACTGGACTTTGAAGGTTTTTCCAGCATCCTTATTTTAGTCACCGCCAGGTTCTTATTGGTGTAATGTGATTATGCAAATGGATGAACAATTAACCGCAATTATGGTAGCCCTTTTTTGAGAAGAAAACAACACAAGGTTTTTTTGGCGACAAGTAAATAACGAATTCACAAGAATGAAACAAGTAGGCTGCCACACTGCACAAATGAAAGTGATTCCAGTGACGTTTGGAAGTATGGGGTCGAGAAAAAATTGAAATCATGAGTGCGCATTCAGCCAATGCAGTGATGAGCAGGTAAGCAAACACGACAACAAGATTTTATAGATAGTTTTACAAGATGTTGTCATTTTATACACATAGTTTTACAAACTGGTTTTCTATGGAGGTCCCATCTGTTGCAAGTGCTGGGACAGTATATCGTCCATGGCTCGATATCCCGAAGTCTTATCCTTATGATAATTCGAAGGAGAACGGCCTCTGATCACCAAAGGTGGTGACTCGATAGATGACAACAAGATCGGCTGTATGTGTGAGTCTTCGTCTTCGACAATTCCGAGTAGTTCCACGTGAAGCGTGAAGAATCGATTGTTGGCAGAGGTGGTTCTCATTCTAATGGAAGAGGTGAACTGGATCCTTTCAAAACGGGCCACCCGTGGCACCATATCACTTGGGTAACTCTTCAATATCGAGTCGTCCTTGACAAGGTTCGTGTTGCGATAATACTCGCCTCTGTCAAAATAAAAGATTTTGTTGAGGTTATCGAGCTTGGTGGTATTCCGCTTATTGGACGATACCTTCACCGTACCATGGTCTGGTAAGTCTCCCGGCACAGCTGGGTAAATCGGAGGTGGAAACTGAGGGCCCTTGTCTCTTTTGGGTGTATGTTGTACCAAGCTGATGTTGACTTCGTCGTCCGAGCATTTGGCTACTAGCCGAATGGCAAAATAGCTAATATCCACCTTGTGTTCTCCACTGGTCTTCAGCTTCTCGTATGTATAAAACCTGTTTTGAAGGAATCTTTGAAATTCAAATCCGTCCAAACTGAACGACGCCACAAGCGTGAAATAGTTACGTTTGTACCCGATCCAAGTACCTTCATCGCCCACTTCAAAGCCTCGATCTATCCGAGCGTGCAACGATGGAAGCACATCCATTCCGGTACTGTGGCAGTATATTTGCTGGTGGTGGTTGGTCTGGCTAAACTGTGGGCCAACACGATACAAATCACTTGACCTGGGTGCCACTTTTTTCAGGGCCAGCTCCAAGAGATTTTCCACTTTCACCTGCTGAGACAACATTTCAAGATGGTGGTTGAGCTGGTGGGTGGTCACCTGACTACTGAGATCCTGGGACGAAAACTGGTGGAGCTGCGGTGCTTGGTGGTGGTGGAGCGATTGGTGTTGATGTTGGTGCTGGTGTTGGTGTTGGTGATGCTGCTGCTGAAGGTGATGCTGTTGAAGGTAATGCTGTTGTAATTGGTCGGAGTTGGCTACACCGTTTGCTACCGCCACTGCCGCCACGGTTGCATCGTCAGGTGTCATCAATCCCTCGGTGTTTTGGATATTCATCGTGCGCTTAGCAACAGTTGCAAAAAAAAACTTCAGTGATTATAACTAGCTCCAGGATAGTTTAAAAAGTCTAGAAGAAGGTGAACTTGTGGAAACACTGGAGACTTCTATGGACGAGGTATTAGTTTGGCGATGGGTGCAAACTAATAGGACAAATTGATTGTTGCGATAACTGATATTATTGTTCCGTACACTGGTCGTTGAGGACGAGTTTGTTTATGGAGATTTTTGATCACAAAAGTGGTTTTGTGTTGATAATCGCGGTGAACGGTTTTGTGTCACCGAATCTCGGAACGAGGTGGATTTAGGGATTAGAGGCAGAATCCAGGACTCCTGGACTTTTCCTGCTCCTTTTATAGGAGGGAGAAACAGAAGGTGTATGGGTGGTTTTTGGGGGATTTTTCAGCCTATATTTGAGTTTTTATTGACGATTGCCAGGGAAGGCACATTTGAACACGCACGACCAGGTTTGGGATGATAGGTATTCTTCTGTTATTTGAATGGAAAAAGCATAGAATGCTTGGAAAGTGCTTGATTATGCCTTTATCATCCTTTAATGGCTTGCTGGGTGAGTCCGGTGTGTCTTCAAAATAAATTGTTTTATTTATTTGGTTTTTGCAATTTCTACAGAATAACACTCCAAATCTTGAAGGTGATGTAAGAGTAAATCACAAACAGTAAGTGCTTTGCTGGTCAAAGAGCTGAGTGGGATTTATCCTCCAGTACTTCTTACTTTAAGTGGAAGCTCAACTAGACGGAAAGCTTTCCCTTGTATTGTCATGTTAAGGTACTCATATAGCCTGGCCTAAGCCAGACAGCTTTCCCCACCCACCGGTTAACAACAGTATACATTCGTTTTACAAACCCAGTAAATCTCGTCAAGTTTAAATAGGAGGATTTGCAACCGAACAACTGCAGTTCAGGGGAGCGGGTTGACACATTCGCGGTGCCAATCTTTGTGGTTTTGGCACGGCACTGTCTTGTGACTAACAATATAAAAGCCATAGTAATTCAAGATTTTCTTATGATGACTAAGACCTTGAAGGACCCAGACAAAGCTACCCCCGACAATCCGAACATGGAGACCACAGAGCTGGTCACCGAAAAGTCTGCACCGTTCACAGTGTACACTTCAACCGAAAAGTACGTTCTTATGTCACTCTTATCGGTAATAGGTTTCTGGAGTACATTATCTTCACCGAGTTGGTTTCCGGCTCTACCCACAATTAAAGCATACTTCCACATCACAGATTCAGTGGCCGATTTGTCGGTGGTTGGATATCTTCTTTTCCAGGGTATTATCCCGACATTTTCTTCGAATATTTCCGATACCATTGGGCGAAGACCAATGCTTATAATCTGTATGTTGATATATATTGCTGCTACCATCGCCTTATCACAAGCAAATGCCTACTGGCTTCTAGCAGTTCTAAGATGTATCCAAGCCGGTGGGATCGGTCCTGTTATTGCCATTTCCTCAGGAGTCTCAGGTGACATTTGTACTGTAGCTGATAGAGGAGGATTTGTGGGACTTGTAAGTGGATTACAGCTCACTGGAAATGCATTCGGAGGACTTATTGGTGCCGGAATGATCCACTCCTATGGATGGAGAGGTATATTTGTGATGTCTGCTATTGGAGCCGGAATCACGATGATGGTGGTAATTCTCGTGCTTCCAGAAACCATTCGACTGATAGTAGGAAATGGTACCGTCAAGCCTAAGATCTGTGTGAACATCGCTCCTATTTACTTGCTCAAACGGTTCAGAAGCCGGTGGTTGGTCAATCAGACGGAGACATTGTCTCCCAAGACCAAACTAAACCTCTTGGCCCCGTTCAAAATTCTCTTCCACTTTAAGACTTTGTGTGTTTTGTTTTCGCCTGCCATAAAGTTTGCAGTGTGGACAATGACATTGACATCACTTACTCTTTTGGAGGGTGATGGCTACAACTACACCGTTCTTAAGGTGGGATATATGTACTTGCCTCAAGGAGTGACTTGTTTTGCTGGATCATTGGTATCTGGGAGATTGTTGAATTGGTCTTACAAACGAAGCAAGAAGTTGTATGACGACAGGTATCAAGATGTACCAATGGCCGAGAGACCCAAATTTAATGTTCTTCGTACAAGAATCTATGTGAGCTTTGTGCCCACTGGGTTGCAATTCATAGGGATCATGATTTACGGGTGGTGTTTACAGTATAAAATGAACATTGCTTCGATCATCATCGCCACATGCTTGGTGTCGTACTCTTCTTCATCTGCTATTGCCATTTATTCTACGGTGTTGGTGGACATGAATCCTCAAAATGCTTCTCTTGGGGTATCTCTCATGAATTTGACGAGATGTTGCACGGCTGCACTTTGCGTGGGTATCCTTTCAAGAATGACAGGTGCTATGGGACTTGGGGGTACTTATACTTTCTGGGCAGGTATTGGGATCGTTGCGGATACCTTATTGATTTATGTGGCATGGTATAGGAATGACACCAGTTAATTTTATAGAGATTATAGAGGCTAGGATAACCCTATGCTAATAGTATATACATTATATGGTTTGGCGGTAGCCCTTGAGTATTGGTAGTATGAGTGCAAATATTAGGGTTTCCTTACTTTCAAAAAAGGAAGTGGTGTTTAACGGACTGCTCAGTAAGTACTAAATGTTGGCAGCTACACTTTTGTTAAGGAATACAGATAGAAACCATACAGAAATTCCTGTTTTTCTAAACCACGTCGGCATTTCAAATTTATAGAGATTGGATATCCCTATACCAAAAAATGGGATCCGTTGTGTTCGTGACCCACACACCCACAGAAAACAACTCTGCTCAATTATTTTCCTCTATACTTCTTTCGCAACCAACCTCACTGGAAACACCATTTGCATGGTTAAGAAGCAGACGTGCCCCACCAATATCACAAAATGAAATAGAGTTGACGAAGGAGGCCGTTTCCGGACGTATAATCCTACATTTAAGTCACATACCTGCACATAATAATAACCAATCCTGTACAACAAAAAGACAGCACAGTCATACCGACAAAAATACTAACAAATAACCGATGCCTTTATGGCCAAGTTGGTAAGGCACCTCACTAGTAATGAGGAGATCGTCAGTTCGAATCTGGCTGAAGGCATTTCTTTTTTTTTGACTATCCTACAGTCTTGGACTAGCAACTTGTTCAGTAATGACCATTAAACCGTTGCATTCGATATTTACTGTCGAGCAAAACCTTCACAAAATTCTCATTGATCTGGCCTCAAATTTTCCCGTGAGTCAAATTTGGCTGCGAACTGTTTGTGGATTCAACTGAGGTTCGCAGAAGTAAACCATTTACAATGTCTACAGATAACAACTATGACACCTGCGAACCCACTACATCAGAAGCACTCAGTGACTATCAGCTTTTTCAGGACTTCAACGTTCCACTCACCGCTTCCCACTCTGTGAAGGAAGATTTGTTTCTGGTGCAAGCTTATCCTTCCTGGTGTCCTGAAAATGGAGCACAACTTTCCCAAGAGGATATCAAACTGATATTTTTCAAGTTGAAAGCAGTATTTGGGTTCCAGACTGACAGCTGCGAGAACATGTTTGAGTTTTTTATGACTCAGGTGGACTCGAGATCAAGTCGAATGCCATGTTCTCAGGCACTTCTATCACTTCATTCAGACTACATTGGAGGCAACAGATCCAACTACAAGAAGTGGTACTTTATGGCTCACCTTGAGTTGGATGAAGGGATTACCACGTCCAATATTTGGAAGAACTACTCCAAGTATGCTAGGAAATCGAACAGAAATAAGCTCACGAATATGAATAATGAGAACAGTATGCTTGGATTAGAGATCAAGTGGAAGACAAAAATGCTGAAATTATCAGAAGCAGATTGTGTGACTCAGGTTGCATTGTACTTGTTGATTTGGGGAGAAGCAAATAATGTCAGATTCATGCCCGAGTGTCTTTGTTTTATCTTCAAGTGCGCTTTGGACTACTATGATAGCCACTTAGAAGAAGGCAAAATCAACTTCTTGCAAGAGGTCATCACTCCCATCTACAAGTTTATTAGAAATCAGCAATATAAGATGGTGGACGGGAATTGGGTGAAAAACACCAGAGATCATGATGCCATTATCGGCTATGACGATGTCAACCAATTTTTTTGGTTTCCTGAAAACATTAAACGAATCAAGTTGGCAGATGGCACCTTGTTAATTGATTGTCCAAGAAATCTCCGGTTCTTGAACTTCAAAATGGTGATGTGGGGTTCTTGCCTTTACAAAACATATTTTGAAAAAAGAACATGGTTACATTTGTTGACAAATTTCAGCAGAGTTTGGATTATTCACATCTCCATGTTTTGGTTTTACACCAGTTTCAACTCCCCTTCTTTGTACACCCACAACTATGACCCTTTGACAGATAATAAGCCTGCTCCCCAAGTACAGTGGACAATAGTTTCGCTTGGAGGATCTATTGCTTGTATCATAGCGTTTTTTGCAGTCATATTTGAGATGGTATTTGTTCCCCGACAATGGCCTGGTTCTCAACACTTATTTGGGAAATTGGTGCTTCTACTACTTCTAACAATGGTTAATGTTGCTCCAAGTGTTTACATTTTGGGATTCTTACCTTATGATGCTTATTCAGTTCACGGAAGATGGGTCGGAATCGGACAGTTTGTGATCTCGATCACTTCGGTGCTATATTTGTCCATAAAACCACCACTGACATACTTTGAGTCTATTATTAAGCCCAACACAGGCTTCATTAAAGCCAAGATTTTCACATCCCTGTTCCCGAAGTTGAGTTCTAGAGGCCAAAAGTTTTCGGCTCTTTTGTGGTTGTCGGTTATTCTCTTGAAATCGTTTGAATCATACATGTTCTTGACTTTATCTTTGAGAGATCCTATCAGAGAGTTGTGGTCAATGGATTTATCAAGGTGCCATGGAGATGTGATTTTCCAGAGACTCTTGTGTGCGTACCACGCGAGATTGCTTTTGGGTCTCCTTTTCATCACCGATTTGGTCTTATTCTTTTTGGATACCTACTTGTGGTACATTATCCTAAACTGTTTGTTTTCTATTATCTTGTCATTTTCATCAGGACTATCAGTTTGCACCCCATGGAGAAACATATTTCTAAGGTTGCCGGAAAGGATTTGCAGCAAGTTGATCATTCTTAATGGAGATTCTAAAACGGAGACTACGCAGTTGGTTGCTCACATCTGGAACAGTATTATCATTTCAATGTACAGGGAACACATTTTGCCATTGGAACAAGCCAAAAAGTTGATCTATGAATTGACTGATGATGCAGATATTGGATATGGAGAGAAAAATGTCTTGGTTAAAGCTCCTCTGTTCTTCATATTCCAAGGCGATAATAGTTTCAGCATGAAGGACTATATAACAATGGGAAAAGAGGCACAACGAAGGATAAGCTTTTTTGCCCAGTCTTTAACCAGTCCGATCTCTGAGCCAATTCCAACCACCGCAATACCATCTTTCACGGTGCTCATTCCACACTATTCTGAGAAGATTCTTTTAAGCTTGAAGGAAATCATCAAGGAAGATAAAGGTTCAAAGGTATCAATATTGGACTACTTGAAGTTGTTGAATAAATCTGACTGGAACGCCTTTGTGCAAGACACAAAGATTTTAACCAATATTCCTGATAGACCACCAACACCAGAAAGAAAGGAGAACCATGCCGATTTGCCTTACTACTATATTGGCTTCAAGGACTCCCTACCCGAGTATACTCTTAGAACAAGAATCTGGGCTTCCTTAAGAACCCAAACCTTATACAGAACTGTGTCGGGGTTCATTAACTATGAAGCTGCCCTCAAAATATTGTTCAAGTCAGAAGATGTGAATTTTAAGTATAAGAATAACTTGTATCCTGAATTAGTCAAGGATGAGCTTCACAGATTTGCTGAGAGAAAGTTCAGGCTTTTGATTTCACTTCAAAAATACCAGAAGTTTAGTGTCGAGGAAAAGGAAAACGTCAAGTATTTAGTGGAAGCATTTCCCAATATTAAAATCGCCTACATCGAAGAAGAATCTGATCAAGATACTAATGAAACTACCTATTACTCCACTTTGTTAGATTTCACCAAAACAGACTCCAATGGAAATTTCAAGAAGAGGTTGAGAGTCCAACTCTCCGGTAACCCCATTCTAGGTGATGGGAAATCAGATAATCAGAACCAATCGATAATCTTCTACCGAGGCGAGTACATTCAGGTAATAGATGCAAACCAAGATAATTACTTGGAGGAGTGCTTGAAGATCAAATCAGTATTGGCAGATTTTGAAGAATATAACTTGGATATCGATGAAGAGTACAACCCCAACATTTTCAAACCAACCAAAGATCCTGTTGCAATACTTGGGGCAAGAGAGTACATTTTTTCCGAGAACATCGGAGTGGTTGGAGATGTTGCAGCAGCTAAGGAACAAACTTTTGGTACTTTGTTCGCCAGAACTCTCGCTGAAATTGGTAGTAAGCTTCACTACGGACATCCCGATTTCTTGAATGGAATTTTCATGACAACTAGGGGAGGAATTTCCAAAGCTCAGAAAGGTTTGCACCTCAATGAAGACATCTATGCTGGAATGATGGCAACCTGTCGAGGAGGAAGAATAAAGCACTGTGACTACTATCAGTGTGGGAAAGGCCGTGATTTGGGGTTTAATACTGTACTTAACTTTACCGTCAAAATCGGTGCTGGAATGGGAGAACAAATACTTTCAAGAGAGCATTTCTATATGGGAACTTCCTTACCCATAGATCGATTCTTATCTTTTTACTATGCACATGCCGGATTTCACCTCAATAACTTGTTCATATCCTTGTCGGTGCTGTTATTTATGTTGGTGTTGCTCAATCTTGGTGCTTTGAAACACGAAACCATAATCTGCAGCTATGGCCCCCACAACCCAACAACCGATATCAGACAGCCTCTTGGATGCTACAACATCCAAACAGTGCTCAATTGGGTTACCAGGTTTGTGTTGTCTGTGTTTATCTGTTTCTTCATATCGTTCTTGCCATTATTGTTTCAAGAGTTAATTGAAAAGGGAGTTCTCAGGGCAGTTTCAAGAATATTCTTCCACTTTATTTCCCTATCACCAATATTCGAAGTGTTTGTGTGCCAGATTTATGCTAAATCCCTTGAAGATAACATTACATATGGAACTGCCAAGTATATTGCAACTGGTAGAGGGTTTGCAACTGTTCGACAGCCATTTACGTCATTATTCTCAAGGTACTCGTCGCTCTCGTTGTATAAGGGTTCGACATTCTTTTTGACTGTCTTGTTCTCTTGTATCACCATGTGGCAGCCTTCTCTTCTTTGGTTCTTCATCAGTTTCATCTCCATGTGCCTTGCACCCATACTTTTCAATCCTCACCAGTTTTCATTTGCCAAATTCTTCTTGGACTATCGAGAGCTCATGAGATGGTTCTCCAGAGGAAACTACAAATGGCACAACTCTTCTTGGTATGGTTACCAGAAAGTTCAACGGTCCAAGGTCTTGGGATACAAGAAAACAGTTATAAGTACTTATGGGCGTAATGTCACCGATAATCGAAAGAGAACCTCAAAACTTCACCAATTTAGCAGCCAGGTGCTTCTTCCATTTATTCCATTATTTTTCAACTTGACTGCATTCATGTTTATGAATGCCCAAACAGGGGTACGGAGACCAAAGGAAGTGAACCCCCTTATAAGAATTGTCTTGGTGGCATTACTACCATTGATGTCTAATGTTGTAGTTTTAGCACTTGGGTTTGCGCTCTCGTGCATCTTAGGTTCCATTTTCCGGTTCAGAAAGTTCTCCAGTACTATGGCAGCTATAGGCCACGGAATCGCCCTGGTAATTACCATGGTCACCTTTGAGGTTCTCCTTTATCTAGAGTCCTGGAACTTTTCACGAGCACTCTGCGGGTTCATATTGGTAATATCTATTCACGGAATGCTCAGAAACATCCTCTTCCTTTTCCTCACCAAAGAACTCAAAGACGACACCGCCAACCATTCCTGGTGGTCTGGAAGGTGGTTCAATCAAGGCTTGAAACTTCTTGTGATAACCCAGCCGGTGAGAGAGCTCCTGGTCAAACTAGTGGAAATGATGTCATTCAGCTATGACTTCTTACTTTGTCAGGGAATTTTGTTTTGTGTGTTTCCACTTCTTTTCGTTCCTTTCATCGATAAGCTCCACACCATTATGTTATTCTGGTCTGAATACAACAAAAACAACTTCCGTTCTGCGATTATTTCAAAAAGGCTCCAACGAAAGAGACGGCGGATTGTGATACTTCATTTTATTCTTTTCACCACTATGTTAGTCATTTTCATTGGCCTCGCTACGGGACCCGTATTCGCGTCAAGGTACATCCCCGAGCTAAAGGAGGTATCGGTATTCCCGGTACCAGACGTCTTCCATAAACTAGTGCAGCCTAATCATCAGAACCACAATGACACGGGTCCTGAAGCTCCACCAACCGTTCTTCGTGAAAGGCCCGAAATGTCGTCGATGAAATCTGTGTTTTAGCAGCCATTATTTTTCGCGCTCCAGAAAACGTAAACAAAAAAATAGCATTGTGATCTGATACCCCGTATGAATAAACGTACCATTCGCATGAAGTCGGGCTTGAGTCCGCCCCCTAACATGTCACCACACCGAGGTATTTCCAAGAGCAAATCACGAATACTAAGCAAGTTCCAAGAGGACGAGATATTTGGTGAGCAGGAGATCGATCTCGATGACGAGTTCAAGACCCTCAAACTACTGGACTTTCAGCCGATGGCCAAGAAGGACGTTCGAGACTACGCAGAAGACTTTGAGAACGCTGGTGGAGACTTGAATTTCAAGTTAAATCCTCCTTCAGAAGCAGATATAAAGCTTAGTCCAGGAACTCTTAGCAGCTCTCCCAGAAGAAAGTCGCTTAGTGAATACAGTGAAGATACCGAGGTGACGTCTGGTTTCAATGACGAAGAGTTTGAGGATATCGAGGACGTCTTCGGCAAAGAAGAACCCGACTCGTCAAAGCTTTACGATGTGCTAAACAGTAAGAAGGCCAAGTTGCTCCACGACGCTGAGAAGGAAGAGAAGGAATTAATACGGAAGTACCGAGGGGAAGACCTCACCACGTTGAAATTGAAGAACCTCGACATCGACTTGATTGAAAATGATAAAACAATCAACTACGAATACACACGAGACGATTTCGAGGATTTCGAGGAAGGGTTCGAAAACATCCACAAGCTCAGCTTCAAGAAATCGATGCCCAGTCTCAAAACCCAGTCGTCTTTGGGCATGAGGAAGTTTCAATCGAGCTACAACTTAGCCCATGACAGGACCCGTGGAATAGACTCACATCCTAAGTACAACAATAAGCTCATGAGCAAACTTGGCCGGATTCCATCCTTCTACAACCAGCGTAAGCTCAACGAGATGATCGAGGAGAATGAGAACTTCCGCTTGACCAAACAACAGTTGCTTCAGCAGTACCAGGAGATTGACAAACAGCATAAGCGCACAAACGAAAAGATCTTGAATCTCAAGAAGTCCATGTCGATGCCGGCGAGAAGAAGCAAGGGCAAGAAGATAGGTTTGGTGCGTTATCTCGGAGAAGATGTTCCCAATGTGGAGAACTCCAAAATGAAGTTCAACAACGAGCTGAAAAACTGGGAAGGTAACGAGATTGAGTTAATGAAATTCAATAGCTTCACCACCAAAAAGCCTTCGTTGATCAAGTCCAACGAGTATAACAACGCCAAGGGCCCCAACTCTTCCAATATGGTGTTTGATCCGATAAACTTGAAGTGGGTGTCAAAAGCACCTGAAGAAGATGTATTTAAGGGCCTCAACGAACTTAACGAACCCGACAACAAGGGCCGTGGGGTCAGCAACTTCACGGCCCGAACATTATCTACCAACGTTGAGGAATCTGACAACGTCTTCATTGTGTCAAAGAAGCTCATTGATCGGTTCTTAAAAGAAGAGACAAAGTTGGCTAGGCGAACCGAATACTGGTTCAATAAGCACGATATATATGACTTGGACGCCGAGTTCAATCCCGACTATTACTGGGACATTCGCAAACTAGTTATGGATAATGAGTAATATACGACGATACCATGGTTAAGAACAAAAGGACTTCACGGTTAAGAACAAAAGGACTCCACGGTTAAGAACAAGAGGACTCGTGTCTAAAGCTTCAGGCTCACAACTGCTATCAAAAGCGGTGCGAATGCTCAAGTGCAATTTGCAGCCAAAAAAAAAGTAGACTTGTTTATTGCAAATCAGGAATCACTATACAAACCTAAGCCAATAAAACACCAGCACCGAACATCAAGCACACAGAAACCAACAAGACTGGGAAGGCGTTGATTTGAGGAGCACCGGAGCTGGAGCTGGAGCTGGAGCTGGAGCTGGAGCTGCTGTCGCTTTCATCATCATCATCAGAGCCAGAGGCACCAGAAGTGCTGGAGGAAGAAGCGGTGATGTTGTGAGAGGTAGCTCTGACGGAACCGCTGACAGTTCCCAAACCAGAAGAACCAGCAGACTTCAAGATGGCGGAACAAGTGGAAGCAGTGTCTTTTGAACTGGTGATGGTAGCTTTACCATCAAAGTCACAGGCATCAGAAGACTTGTCTTGGTCTTGGTAGTACAAGTTAAGAACAAAGTTCAATCTGTCCTTGGAGGAACATCCTGAGTAAGCACCGTAGTCTCCGCTAGTACCATTGGCGTTGATACCAGAACAGTCAATGTATCCACAAACCTCAGAGAACAAGTCGTCATAGTGGTCGGAGTCGACACCTGAGTCAACCACACATTCCAAGGACTTGGCCATACAGTTACAGATCTGGTCATCTGGAGTTGGGGGCAACACAGTGGCAGCTTCCCAGTCGTCACCTTCAGTTGGACAAGAAGTGACGGTGGTGCTGGAGACATCGGAGGATTGAGCGTAAGATGGAGAAATGCTTTGCAATTGCGACTTCAAGTTGTTAAAGTCAACCAAGGTAGACACATCATCTCCGTCAATGGATACCAAACCGTAGTCATTAGATTCCTGGAAGTACATATACACAATACCACCGGACCACACATCGGTCATTTCGTCGGAGTAGATGGTACCAACTTCCTGGAACTTTCTAGGACTCACCCGGTTGCAACCATATTCGGAGAAGAAAATAGGAATACCCAAGTTCTTGTAAGCCTTGGTAATCTTTTCGTATCCAGATTCCTCAAAGGTCGACAGACCACACCATTCGTACATGTTCATACCAAAAAAGTCTGCTCTTACGTCGTCGTCACCACAAGCAAAGTACTTGGCCAAGTCGATTCTGATGTCAGTATCATCATTGGCAGAGTAACCCACAGGAATCAGTCTGTAACCTTGGGCCTTGATGTAGGCCTTGGTGTCTCTAACAGCAGCCTTGACAAAGGCCGAAGCGTCGGTGTTGGACACCTCGTTAGTGACCTCATTACCAGCAAAGAATCCCAATACGTTGGTGTAGTTGTGGAATAAGTCCACCACCCCGGTATATCTGTTGAACAAGTCGACGGTCCATTCGGGATCGGCTCTGTTGATGGACTCATCGGGTATCGACAAGTCTGCAATCACATAAATCCCAGCTTCTTGTAACAATTCCATACACTCGGAGTGATCCTGAGTGACGTCCAAAGCGTAAACTCTAATGACATTTGTTTGCAACTCTTGCAAGTAAGGAATATCTCTCTTACAACTGGACCCATCGGCCAAAGGATCCACAAAGTCGGAGCTGTCAGAAGATGAGGAGTTGGAGGTGTCTTGTTGGTAGGCAACACCCTTCATCAAAAATTGACTTCCGTTGTTGGAGTAGAAGAACTTGTTACCGACAATTTCGATGGCAGGTAAGTCGTCGGCCATGGCGATGGAGGACATCCACGCCAAGGCACAGACTTTAGCTAATGATTGGAACAACATAATGAACGAGTCTTGAAAAACGAAGGAAGCAAATCACTGAGTAAATATATGAGCGAATTTTTTTGACGGGTTTTTGGGTTTTTTTATCTGAAACGAGTGTTTATGAAAACAAGACGCACGATCCGAAAAAAATACAATAATAAAGTGCTCCTTTTCGGCGATTGTATGAAAGAGGCACGGTTAGCAGGTTACGGAAGTAAGGATAGAATCCCGAATTACCGGGGCTAACATGCACTTGTAACCATGTCGGTGTTTCTTGGAAGTTGTCCGTGGTGGGCTGTGCTACAATGTCAAATTTTACCTCGGGTGCTGAAGTGGCAAGTGCCCAGAATAGGAGAGGCAGCTTTTCGAGGCCGGTAGTGTAGTCGCACAGCCCACGCAAAAATTATTTATTTTGGTTAGGATCGAGGGTTTGGGATATTTACAGGTTAGAACCAATGGGGCTCCTATGCAGGCCCTACCACACCCGCCTACCGTATAATTGTGCGCCTTTACAACACGATTTAGCGTTCTGCTCACTAAACCGCTTACTGGTTCTAATTAAGCGAATATGCTTTTACACTTTGGGCGCCTCGACCAAATTACCGTCTGGCGCCTCGGAAGATGTGAAATCCCCCAGCCACTCTGGTTCGCGTCTGGTGAGACGACACGGTGTAAACTTCCTGTTTTCTATTTATAGGCCTGAACTTATGGGCCGACGCGTATGGACAAATACATTGTGATGTTCTAATCGAAAGCTACCAGGTTGGACTTGCGCCAATCTGAATCGCTGCTCACAGCGGTGTTTCAGGCCAAATAATTCTGTTTGCCAGGGTTGTTCATTTTATCAAGGAAGGCACTGTAGTTTGTCTGTGGTCAAAGCACTTGCACAAACGAATAAATTCTGACCCATACACCCACCGAAGCTCACACCTGTCACACCCTTGAAATTAGTAGTATATGGTTCCAAAGTGTTACGGGTTGTAGGGTCTCGTTATTTGAACCTATTTAATCTCTAATCGTAGGCTATAACCAACTCTCGAAGCTGCAATTTGTGTATAAGCTACCGCTGGAGTTCGATATCTGTACTGAGCAAAGGCTGCTAGTGAGAAACAGTAGATATTAGTACTGGATCGGTTTAAACTGTCTTTTTCGTGGCTTGTAAGGTGAAGGTATGTCGCAAACTCTAATGAAGGCTTAAACAAGTAACTTTATTATTGATGCGTTATTGATCAATGATCTGTTGCTTATTTGGGTGTGTGGGTCAATAAGTCCTCGTTGTACTGGTGGTTGGTCAGAAGTAACTGATCAAAGTACACTGAACCGGCCGAAGGAATTTTCACAAATTCAAGGAGTATCCAGTCTGCAGTAAGACAAAGTATCAATCTGCAATGAGCCAAAGTATCAATCCGCTGATGACAAAAGGGCAAGTCCTTCTTCCCTCAACAAACGGGCAAGTCCTTCTTTCCTCCACAAAGGTATTATCATCAAACTAGTCCCACCTTCAGTTAACCAGACACAGATCAACCTCATAAGTACATAGAAACAACCAAAACAACCAAGTTCATCTGCTGGATATCTTATAGATATAATGGTATTGACATTACCAATTTGCACCCAAAAAGCTGCAAAATGACGCGCACGCCTTTGCAGCATCCAGAGACACACCAGCTATAGAAAAGGATATTTGAAAAATGTCCAGTATATCCTTAAAGACTCAGTTGGTATACCTTAAAGACTCAGTGGTGTATCCTATCCTTGAAGCAAACTCTGTTGGCGTAACCTTGACTGTGTGTGAGTGCTTACTCCGGTCGTCACTGGTCCACCGGTGACGCGGCCCATCTCCCGCGGCCTCCGGTGGGGACGCTCAGTACAGGCCATGGCGGGGTAGCCCAACGCCCAGCGCGCCCCCTCAGATCTGGGGAACGTTTAATTCCGGCGCCATCACCAGACTAACCACTTACCACCAATAATAGGCCCCCAGAAACCCGCCACCGCTACCTCTTGCCACCCCATATCGCTCCATCCCAACCCTCTTCTCTCACCAAACACCACCATCCCACGCCTAAAACTCACTCTCCCCAAATTCGCCTCTGCACCTTCCAGCCAGAAAATTTTCACCCAAATTCGCCGTTCGCAAAATCTCCATTTTTTGTCTGCCAGCTTTTTTCCTCTTGAACTCCTTAACTAAGTATGTCTGACGAGAAAAACATCGTGGACGCGGCCCAAGAGGCCGAAGAAGGGTTCTTGGAGTGCTACATCCGCTTCAATGATGACGCCGAAAAGGACTATTGCTTTCAAGTCAGTGTCAACACTCAATTCAACGATCTCTTCCGGATCTTTTCCACCTTGCCTATCAGTTTGAGACCTTCGATTTTTTACTCCCAAAAACCCGCCGGGTTCAAGATCAGCACCGCTCCTGGATACCTTACCGATGACGGTGCCATTCTCTTTGACCACGACGCCACCAGCGAAAAGTATCTCCAGACCATTGACTTGTCAGATAAAATCGGTGACAAGATCTGGCCTGGTCAGTTGATTGTCCCCGTATGGGAACGTAACACCTTTGGCTACTACGCGTTTGTGACGGGATTGTTGGTGTGGCTCTACACCGACTTGCCGGACTTTGTGTCCCCTACCCCAGGGATTTGCTTAACCAATCAGATGTCGAAATTTGTATGCTGGGTGTTAACCAAGTTGGGAAAACCTGACCTTGGAAAAGTGTTCATTGAGGACTTGTATGATGAGACTGGAATCGCCCCACAGATGGTGTTTTTCTGTATGCATCTTATCAAGGTCAGTATCATTTACTTGTTGGTGAACCTTGGGATTTTCAACCCTATCAAACTCTTTAAGATCCCCGGCACAAAGGGCATCAAAAAGGACGTTACTAGAGATGAGTTGTTGCACTTGGGTTGGACCGGGTCCAAGAGATCCACCATTGAAGAGTACCGGGAGTACTACAGAAATTTCAGAATCAAGCAGTACAAATCGATTGTGGAGGCTCAACAAGATGGACTTTTCACTCGCTTGAGAGTGTTGGGAGTGCAATTAAAAGATGGTGAAGGTTACAACACCCCATTGGACAAAAAATCGACTTTGAAGGACTTGTTAAATAAGGACGATATCAAGTTCACCTTGAACTATGCGTATTTGGCCAAGTTGTCGAATTTGTTTGAAAAACACATTGGCGAGCCAGAGGTGGATATTAACGAGGCCGTCAAGCAGTTTAGAAGATACGGGTTGTGCAAAAGAGACAGTGTGATTGAGGAGATTGTGGAGTTGAGAAAATCGGTGGAGGTTAAGGAGACGTAGAAGAGTAGCTTATTGTACATTTAGTTCATTTCAATACATGCAATAGTGTTTAGTGATGCTCACCGAGTCGTTTACGCAGTAGTCGTATAGGGGCCATCCCGGTACCGGGGACACGACCATCGCCCCATGTACAGGGCGTGGCGTCCCCCTCGCACCACCGCCGCTAGTCGCACCACCCAGGGGTACGATGGCCCTAGTGTCGCACCGTGCCCAACGGGGCCGCGCACGTGATATTGTGTCGACGTCAATGAAAAATTTCGCCCAATATATAAACGAGTCAAACTCGCCAAATCAATTTTTCACAAATTTTTCACCACCGATTTTTCACTTTTTTTAAGGAAGAATTTATCAATTAATTGGAAAATTATCAACACTATGGTTCAATCATCTGTCTTAGGTTTCCCCCGTATTGGTGGCCAAAGAGAATTAAAGAAAATCACCGAATCTTACTGGAGTGGTAAGGTTACTGTCGACGCTTTATTGGCCAAGGGTAAAGAATTGAGAAAGCACAACTGGGAATTGCAAAAGCAAGCCGGTGTGGATGTCATTGCTTCCAACGACTTCTCCTTCTACGACCAGGTCTTGGACTTGTCCTTGTTGTTCAACGTCATCCCCGACAGATACCTCAAGTTTGACTTGGCCCCAATTGACATTTTGTTCGCCATGGGTAGAGGTTTGCAAAGAAAGGCCACTGACACCACTGCTGCTGTCGATGTCACCGCCTTGGAAATGGTCAAGTGGTTTGACTCCAACTACCATTATGTCAGACCAACCTTATCCAACTCCACCGACTTCAAGTTGAACGAATCTGCTGGTTTAAAGCCAGTTGCCGAATACTTGGAAGCCAAGGAATTGGGTATTGAAACCAGACCTGTCATTGTTGGTCCTATTTCTTACTTGTACTTGGGTAAGGCTGACAAGGACTCTTTGGACTTGGAACCTTTGTCCTTGTTGGAAAAGTTGGTGCCAGTCTACAAGACCTTATTGGCCAAGTTGAAGGAAGCTGGTGCTAAGTCCGTCCAAATCGACGAACCAATCTTGGTGTTGGACTTGCCAGAATCTGTTCAGGCCAAGTTCCAAGCCACCTACGAAGCCTTGGTCGATGCTTCTTCTCCAGAAATCATCTTGGCTTCTTACTTTGGTGATGTCAGACCAAACTTGTCTGCCATCAAGTCTTTGCCAGTTGCTGGTTTCCACTTTGACTTTGCCAGAGTTCCAGAACAATTTGAAGAAGTTGCTTCTATCTTGAACGACAAGCAAATCTTCTCTGTTGGTGTGGTTGATGGTAGAAACATCTGGAAGAACGACTTTGCCAAGTCTTCCGAAATCATTTCCAAGGCCATTGCCAAGGTTGGTGCCGACAGAGTGTTGGTTGCGACCTCCTCTTCCTTGTTGCACACTCCTGTCGACTTAAAGTCTGAATCCAAGTTGAACCCTACTATCAAGGACTGGTTCTCTTTTGCTACCCAAAAGTTGGATGAAGTCGTTGTGTTGACCAAGAGTGCCAAGGGTGACGATGTGACCAAGGAATTGGAAGCCAATGCCGCCTCCATCAAGTCCAGAAAGGAATCCTCTATCACCACCAACCCTAAGGTTCAATCCAAGTTGGCTGAAATTGACGAATCCATGGCCACCAGAAAGTCTCCATTCGAACAGAGATTAACTGTCCAACAAGCCAAGTACAACTTGCCATTGTTCCCAACCACCACCATTGGTTCTTTCCCTCAAACCAAGGATATTAGAGTGAACAGAAACAAGTTCAACAAGGGTGAAATCACTGCTGAACAATACGACGAGTTCATCAAGAAGGAAATTGCTGAGGTTGTTAAGTTCCAGGAAGACATTGGTTTGGATGTGTTGGTCCACGGTGAACCAGAAAGAAACGATATGGTTCAATACTTTGGTGAAAAATTGGACGGTTTTGAATTCACCCAAAACGGTTGGGTTCAATCTTACGGTTCCAGATACGTCAGACCTCCAATTGTGGTTGGTGATGTTTCCAGAACCGTTGCAATGTCGGTTAAGGAATCGGTTTACGCTCAATCCTTGACCAGCAAACCAATGAAGGGTATGTTGACTGGACCAGTCACCTGTTTGAGATGGTCTTTCCCAAGAGATGACATTTCTCAAAAACTCCAAGCCTTGCAATTGTCCTTGGCCTTGAGAGAAGAAGTGGTTGATTTGGAACAAGCCGGTATCACCGTCATTCAAGTCGATGAACCAGCCTTGAGAGAAGGTTTGCCATTGAGAGCCGGTAAGGAAAGATCCGACTACTTGGACTGGGCTGCTCAATCTTTTAGAGTTTCTACCTCTGGTGTCGATGACAGTACCCAAATCCACTCCCATTTCTGTTACTCAGACTTGGATCCAAACCATATCAAGGCTTTGGATGCTGATGTTGTTTCTATTGAATTCTCCAAGAAGGATGATCCAAACTACATCCAAGAATTCTCCAACTATCCTAACCACATTGGTTTGGGATTGTTTGACATTCACTCTCCAAGAATTCCATCCAAGGATGAATTCGTCAAGAGAATCAGTGAAATCTTGAAGGTTTACCCTGCCAACAAGTTTTGGGTTAACCCAGATTGTGGTTTGAAGACTAGAGGTTGGACTGAAGTTAAGGCTTCTTTAACCAACATGGTGGACGCCGCCAAGCACTTCCGCGAACAATACTAAATGTGTTGTTCTGTTCTTTAAGAGCCCCTAAACACGGGTTTATGCATTATTCAATTCATTTGTTGATGCCGTGTCCTTTGATATTACATTTATTCAACATTAATGTAATCTGATCATTACTATCAATATCGTTTGATTGTCTTTTTATATAGTTTTTGTATTGTTTTTGTTTGCTGGGGGTTTTTAAAATGGGATTTCAACATCGGTTTAATATATATTTTGATTTTTTCAACCACGACTGATTTTTTGTACACCGCGAAAATCGTAAAAATATCTGTTTGCCATCAAAATGAACCAGAACGAAAAGGATCAGTTGATTGAAAGATTTGTCACCGTCACAAACCTGTCGCCATACTTGGCTGAGCAGTACTTGGCACGTAATGAGAACGACTTAATGAACGCAATTGAGGATTATTTCGCCTCCAACACAAAGTCCTCGGGATCAACCCCCACATCCACTACCAAACACAAATCCGGTGTCAGAACCTTCAAAGACTTGAATGAGGGTGATGATGAAGACGACAAGACAGACACAAACTTTTTCACCGGCGGCGAGAAATCGGCCTTGCAGGTGGAAGACCCCAATAAAGATAAAAAGTCAGGAAGGTCATTGATCGATGATATCTTCCAAAAGGCTAGAGAACAGATGTCCCAACCCGACGACAGGCCCTCCACAGGAGAGCCTGAGACAGCTGCAGCCCCCACGTTTGTGGGAACCGGGTACAAGTTGGGTGACGGTGAAGCTCCATCTCAGACGATTCCTGATGTCAATGCTCATGCTTCCAGAAAGCCTACGTTGGTCAAGAGAGAAATCACCTTTTGGAAGCAGGGGTTCACTGTGGGAGAAGGCCACTTGAGAAGGTACGACGATCCGGCCAACGCCGGCCTCTTGGAGGAATTGAATCGAGGAAGAGTCCCTTTGGCTCTTTTGGACGTGGAGTTCGGCCAGGACGTGGATGTCAGCGTCATAAGGAAAACAGACGAGGATTATAAGCCTCCCAAGAGAAAACTTGGAGGTTTTGGAGGCTCGGGCCACCGTTTAGGTTCTCCTGTTCCTGGTGAACCTATTGTCACTCCAGATCCACGACCAGTAGAGGTAAAAACTACGCCAGTGGTGGCGCCAGAACCCGAGGCCCAAGGCGATACCCCCGTACAAATCCGGTTCGCCAACGGTAAGAAGGTCAATAAGAGGTTCAACTCATCAGACTCCATTTCGGTGGTGTACGAGTTTGTACAGAGCCATGAGTTCTCAGATGCTTCCAGACCGTTCATCTTATCTCATGCGTTTCCCGTCAAACCCATTGAAAACTCCTCAGACATATCCGTGGCCGATGCCAAGTTGAAGAATGCCGTAATTGTACAAAGATGGAATTAGTTGTATAGGATATAATAATGGAGTTTAGCACTCGAACATTTAATTGGATTTCTCACTCATCGCATCTTTAAATTCATTTAATCGCATCGATCATTCGACTATATCCATAACCACTGGTGCCACAAAAGCCATTTCCACCAAAAGAGCGAGTAAGTATGTGTATATCACAACTACGACACTCGGTGAAGCATCTACGGCTTCAACCGGTCAGATATCTATCATATTCGCGTTTGAGACACCAAAACACCCAAGGCCCAAGCTTCTTCTCCAATACTAAATTCGACTTCCAATTGCAAGATTATAACCCAGACGAGGATGACACTCCGCAAAAGATAAAGAGTTTCTACAAGAGCCGACCACCCTTCATCCAGTTTGTGTTGAAACCACAACAATTAAACTCAAAGATTACCGAGCTTGAAGATATCCTACTAAACAAGTCTTATGCTCCAGTAGACACATATAAGGAGATAACCGAGACAAATTCCAACCAGGTACCTATTTGTGGATCCTTTGTTTGTTTCAAGTCGCCCATCAACCACTCGCTACATGTTGGGTTGGTGTTGAGAGAAGCTTTATCCAAGTTCAACAATAATCTCAATAGATTAACAGTGCTAACTTTGGAGAATACTCTCCGAGAGGTGCATTCTCAGGATGTTCTATTCCACTGCCATGGAGTGTTGGATTCAGACTGGGTGGGGTCCCTTCAAGTGCTTGAAAACAGACACGAGGAACATTTCTACAGCCGTTTGCTTGTAGTAGACATTCTCAAGCATTTTGTGAACAAAAGTTTGGACGTGATCAAGACCATAACCCTTCCCACCAACCTACTTGATATCTTCTACGCCCAGCATACCTCTAAAGACTTTTTGGTTGGTGTTTGTTTGCATGAAGTGTTGGAACTACTTAAGTTAAACGAAGAAACTCGGGAATCTCTCAACTCTTCTTACTTTAACCAGTGCTGTTTTCTCATGGCTATCCATATAAGTATGAGCAGCTTCCATGAAAAGTTCATTGTCAGCAACAACTACCCACACCTTGAATCGTCCAACATCATATCCGGATATTCAAACAACTTGGTGGCTCCCTGTCATTACTATTTACTTCCGCTTGGCCTTATGCATTCACTCACGGGATCGGTAAATATGGCAAACAACCCCAAACCGTTCCTAGAGACCAATCGTTCTCTTTCCGAGTTGCAGAAGCAACAAGCATCACCACACCGGAAATCCCTTCAAGACTTGCACTTCTTTTTCAAATTCTGGGAGGGAAAGAAGTATGAGTATATCATTACCGTCATGAAATACCAATTGGTATACCCCAACGCTACCATCCAGCAATTTCTTCAAAAACTCGATTGTTTCAAGCATCTACCAGTGGTTGAGCAGCTGGACATCATGGAGTTTTTAGTGTCCACTGGAATCTATACGGACGACACTGATATTTTCACGTCGTTGAATCTTTGGGGTGGAACCAAGGCCGTGAAGAGGATTTCCACCACTCCGTCTGATGCGTTCCTTGTCAAGTTGAACCCCAGCGTGCTAGCCCTAAGCATAGTGGGGGGTACGGAGAATACTGATGTATTTAAACACCTCAGAGAACAAAAATATGGACCTGAAGATGTTATTTACGCTGTACCTATCGATGCTGAAAACACCATTGGAGTGTCGCTCCTGAAAATCAATGCCAGAAACTATAAGATCAACATCCACATCCCCGACTTGATCACTAAGATCGCTCCCAGCTCCGATGCCTTCACCAAGATGGCGTCACGCCGCTATATCCAAAGCCATATACAGTTTGACGGTCGGGCAGTAAAGATATTTGATGAAGAAATTATTCTGCAGTTCAAATTCAAAGACCGGTGGATACAGGGGATCCTGAATCAGTTCAAGAGTGTGGCGGACATTACCGGCAATCAAAACAATAGCCAAACAGGATATATGCCTTATTTAACCAGCTTAACGTTGTCTTTGAAGTTCAATACCTATGATTCAAATCCATTCAAAGATCTTACTGACAGAATCGAGTTTACTTTTGACAACATCTCGGACGTTCCAATGAAGAGTTTAGACCCGACAGAATTGGAAAAGGTCTTGAGAGGGAAGGAATCATCCGTGTTACCTTTTTCTTTGTTCAGGTCTAAAACTGAAGAGTCTCCTTCCAAGTTCGGCAATGATGATTACCACAATTTGGGGTTCATTTATAATGTGTTCAAGACACACTTCAGTGTCAGAAATATTAACGGGGCCGGAAACATCAACCTAGAGGAGTCTGTCCCCAAGGCTTCATTCTTCACAAACGAGTTGTCCCACTTTGTGAGTAATCTCACTTCCAAATACTGTGAGGAATACAACGTACCAGTTTTCTCCAGTTCTCAGAACATACTTGTTGACTCCGCCAAAACCGACCCCCGAGCCGACGAGGTACTCGTGACCCATAATAACATGATGTTGCCCAAGTTCCACGCCAATTCGTTTTATCAAACTCTTGTTTCCAGAGACTTGCACGGAAACGTTTCGCTTCCCGCATACCTAATTGGAAAAAACTACCTCTCAAAAGAGACATTTGGCGTGAAGCGGTCGAGACACATTCCTCTGGGTACTGATAGTGGGAAAGTTTCGATGGTAACCCCATTCACAAGCTTTGAGTCGCTTCTCAATCAATTCCAAATCCTCAGTATGATTAACTACCTTTACAAGACCAAAAACTATCTCAGTCTCAAAACAGACGAGTATGAGTTTTCAAGACGGTTTTCGTACCTAAAAGGGTTAGGGTATAATCTCAATAGACCTTTGCCGGACCACGTTCTTCAGAAGTACGTGGATGATCTACAAACAAATAAACTGTTGTGTCAATACACTGAAGCAGTTGATCGAAAGCATCTAGCGTTGAAGACCCTTGAGAAACAGTTATCGGAAGACACTGTAAATACACTCCGGTTGGAGTGCGTGATCACATCCCCAGGATTTGAGGTTCCCGACGTCGGTTCTAGCATCTACAAATGTTTTGTCAAAGACCTCAACACTGAGGTGGAGGTTTTACTGTCTCAGCCGGCAACAGACTTGACTATAGGAACAGTTTTGTCATGCGACCGGGTGATATATTTTGATCCTACCACCTTTACTTGTGTTCTCGGAGAATCAAGCATTCTCTAAGTAAATAACAGCCCTAAACTTGTAAATAGCATATAGATTGCATGTACAATACATATATAGATCCTGCAGTGTGCGAAAATTCTCAACTGTTGAAAATTTCTAGATTGACTCATTGACACATAAGCCTAATAACATGTTTGTATGTACCCCAGAACCCCCCATTTATACTCCCCGAGTCTCTACTAACGCACACAGTCCGATATACAACCCTCAACGGCCACCTTGAAGTCAATCGTCGAAGCTCAAGTCCCAGACGGAAAGCGAAAATTGTACCCGCTCTACAAGTATGTCAGTGTAGACGACCTTACAGTCCATGTGACGTATCTTAAGTTAGCTTCCTTGAACAACCCAAACAGATCTCCTTCATTTCTTTTGGAGTCCTCGGCTCATGGAGACAAAGTCGACAGATATTCATTTATTGGTATCAACCCTAAGAAAGTCATCAGAACCGGTGATGACGAGACCATTGACCCCCAGTTCCGCAATGTCGACCCCATCACCGTCTTGGAGGCTGAGTTGAATAAGTACCACCAGGTCAGCTTGCCCGGATTGCCCAAGTTGAGCGGAGGGGCCATTGGATACATTTCGTATGATTGTATCAAATACTTTGAGCCAAAGACTCGTAGAGACTTGAAAGATGTGTTACAAGTACCTGAAGCGGTGTTAATGTTGAGCGACACAATAGTGGTGTTTGACCATGTGTTCCAGAGGTTCCAAATCATCCATAACGTGGAAATCGACCTGGTGGACCAGGTGGATGCAAAGATCGAAGAAGCCAAAAATGAGTTGGATGCCATCGAAAAACTCATCAAAGCAGACCTTCCAGCCGACCAGTATAACCCTCACCAGCCCCCTATAAAGCAAGGTCAGCACTTCACCTCCAATATTGGTAAAGAAGGATATGAAGGTCATGTGACTCATTTGAAAGAAAGAATCTTAAAGGGTGACATTTTCCAGGCAGTTCCCTCTCAGAGAGTTGCCAGACCGACATCTTTGCACCCATTCAACATATACCGTCATTTGCGTACCGTCAACCCTTCGCCATACTTGTTCTACATAGACTTGATCGACTTTCAGATTATTGGAGCATCTCCCGAGTTGTTGGTCAAATCAGATGAAAACGGCAAGATTATTACCCATCCAATTGCTGGTACTATTCACAGAGGAAAAACCAAAGAAGAGGATGAGGAGAACGCCAGTATTTTGAGAGCCAGCTTGAAGGACAGAGCAGAACACATCATGTTGGTAGACTTAGCCAGAAACGATGTCAACAGAGTGTGTACTCCTGAACTGAACAGTGTTGATAGGCTTTTGACCATTGAAAGATTCTCTCATGTAATGCACTTGGTTTCCGAGGTTAGCGGGACGTTAAGAGAAGATAAAACCAGATTCGATGCGTTCAGGTCCATTTTCCCTGCTGGTACCGTCAGTGGAGCTCCAAAGGTGAGGGCTATGGAATTGATTGGAGAATTAGAAAAGGAAAAGAGAGGGGTGTATGCTGGAGCGGTGGGCCAGTGGAGTTATGATGGGAAAAACATGGACACTTGTATTGCGTTAAGAACAATGGTCTATAAGAACGGGGTGGCATACTTACAGGCTGGTGGAGGTATTGTGTTTGACAGTGACGAGTATGATGAGTACATCGAAACCATGAACAAGATGAATGCCAACAACAATACTATTGTGGAGGCAGAGCAGATTTGGGCCGAAAAGGTTGGTACCGACTAGTGTATATATTCATTTGTAATAGAGACTGTTAAAGCTTGTACATGGCATCTAAAAACGCTTCAATGATTTTATCAGCAACCCCAACTGTCTGTACACTTCCTGCTACACCGTACAATGCAGCAGTGTCTGACTCAGCTGAACTTTCGTCTTCCGCCGTGAGCTTGGTACATTCGGTTAAATCATTGATCAATTCGTCAATAATGGGGATGGTAAGCCTTGTCATGGCAAAGTGCAAGGCGGCTGGGTGTTGTAAAGTTGCAAAATGCCATCCTTTGGACGTCAACATGTCACCGAGCTTGTAGATACTGAAATTCTTGTTTCTAGCCTTGAATGCTACAACTGAAGCAAGTGGATTTCCTATCACCACCAAATTCTCCTTGAGAGTTTGGTTATCTTTGACAGCTCTTTTAACTCTAAGCATGGCTCCCACGATGTCTTTGCAAAATTGGGTGTATCCGTCTTCACCAATAGACGCCAAAGTGGCCCAGCATCCCACAACCAATGCACCAGGCCTGGATCCGGCCAAAGTGGGTGATCCATACATCCCTCCTGTCCATTCAGACGAGACATAGTACTGGCACTTTCGTAATTCGTTGGTACGGTACATGATAATGGAAGATCCCTTGGGTGCAAAACCGTACTTGTGGGTATCACAAGAAATGGATGTTACTCCCGGCACCCTGAAGTCAAACAACGGAACCTTTTCATGAACACGAGCCTTCTCCAAGAACAGGACAATGAAAGAACCCAAACACGCATCCACGTGTAAGGGGATGTTGTACTTCAATGCGAGCTTTGATAGCCCTTCGATGTCATCAATAATTCCATGAGGGTAATTAGGGGCTGATCCCACCAACAACACCGTGTTGGAGTTAATGTGTCTTTTGACGCTCTTCAAATTCACCTGGTAGGTCACAGGATCCAAGTCGACCTTGTGTAACTTCATGCCGAAGTAGTAGCATGCCTTCTCAATACCGGCATGAATGGTCATCGGGGCAATTACTTCAGGAGAAGTGATTCCCTTTGCACGCTTTCCAAACTCTCTGGCGGCTAAACCTGCCAACAACAACGACTCGGTTCCTCCCGAAGTGGTGGACCCACACGATGTTTCGGGGCCATTGAACATCTTCAATACCATTGCAACCACCTCTGCTTCCATCTTCCGAACTCCAGGAAACACATCTGGGTGTAATTGGTTGGCAATAGAATACTTTCGGTAGGCATCTGACTGTAAACTCATCAACTCGCTTCCACCGTGGTACACGGCACCGCTGACTCTACCATTTGACCAGTCTGAGTGTTTCAAAGTCTGTAATTTATCTAATTCCACAAGCACTCGGGCATCTGGCAAGCCATTCTGAGGCAATTGGGGAAGCTGTAGAAGCTCTTGATCATTCAATATCACCATTTCCTCGATTTTTGCAACCGTCTTCTGCAATTCTTTATCAACCTTAGACTTCACACCTGGTAAAATTAACACAATCAGGAAGGTAGTTCTAAGAATCTGTGTTTTAATAGCGCCGAGTGTTCCTATGATACCATATCCACAAACGTGCCTTTGTGCTTTACACAAATACAAGTATACCACGTAAATAAACACAGAATCACGGAGTAGAAATGTAGGTCCCCACACTGGGTCAGAACTGTACTTGAGCTTGAACTGAGAAACCACAAACAAAAGCCACAGCCTGGCTTGAATGCGAAGGAGAAAGAGCAATTCACTTGTATCGCGAGGCATGTACGGTTGTCCATACACCTTTGCCTTCAAGAAGTCCTTAGCGGCATCTGGGTGGAAGTAATTCATGTCAGTGGAGTCAGGTGAAAAGACTTTGTGGGACGCGCGGAATAAAAAGTTGTACAGTGGAAATCGTAAATTATTGCTGTAGTCTAATAAGGTGTAGAGGCTCGACTAACACGATTGTTGCCTCGACTAGAACTCGATGAATTGTCTATTAGAGTTTTCCTCTCGTTTATGAGTTTCTCGAGCTTTTGCCCAAAATACTCGTTCAAGAAACGGTTCTCACTGGAAAGCCTCTTGAGAGTCTGCTCATGGTTGATCAAATCATCTTTCTTAAGTAACGATGGAAGAATCTTGATTCCGGGGCCGTTGCTTTTGAGTTCTATCTTTTCTTTCTTGGCTTTGAGCCCTTGAATCTGGACTGAAAGTTGCAATGCTTCGTTCGAGCTGTCTTGGTATTGCACCCGGATGGCCTCGTTTTCAGCCGTAAGTTTCGTGAGTTCTTCGGTGAGGATCTTGTCTTCGTTGACAAGTTCTTCCAAAATCTTCTGTTGCTCTTCAAGCTTCTTGTCAAGTTCCTCGCCGTTGATCTCCTTCATTGCCTTCAATGTGTTAAGTTTGTTTTGGACTTCGTCTTTTTCAAGCTTTAGCTTGCTCAAGTCTGTGTCCACTCTCATGTGTTTCTTCTCGACGAAATTGGCATCTTCATTCAACCTTCTCAACTTGTGGTAGTTTGTAGCAATAGTTTCTTCCTGTTCATCGTATTTTACTTGTCTGACAGTTTCCTTGAGTCTGATTTCAGGGAGCTTGAGCTGAAGAGCAGTAATAGAGTCACCAAACTGCAGCATTCGTCTGCTCAAGATATCGGCAAACTTGGCCTTGAACGACCTGGCGCCAAACTCTTCGACTTTGAACTCTTCTTCCAATGTGGTGTTGAAAATTGGTAACAAATAGGTGTGTTCCATTCTCTTGATCAACTTGTCCTCATGGATGCTGAAATTCATTTTGTCGGTGAACTTCCCCATAAAGTCCTCATCTGCAATGGGGAAAGGCACCAGTTCCCAGTCAAGAAGCCAAGCTTCCAAATACCTCATATTTCCTCCATAGTGCCTGATGAAGAAATTGGCTTCATCTTCTTCCTCATAAATGTTGAATCTGTTGTACATGAGCGCATCCAACACCGTTCTCCTCCACTCACCAACCTCCTTGAGGTTGAATGCATTGACGTCGGGCTTCGGTATAACCGTTTGTATGTGAGTGAGAGAGTACACTGGAACTGGGATAACCAACGGGATCTGAACAGGACTTGTCTCATACACATTTTCGTTCTGATTTCGGATCATCTCGATGCTCGGACACTTGCTGTCCAAGTTTGTATCGAATGAGAAGATCAACTTGAACAGCAACTCCGGGTCTAATATGGCCGTGTAGTTATTGTACAATTGCAGAGTGGTGATGAGATGAAGACACAATATTGGTTTGTGCATGCCTCCTCTGGTGGAACTCTTTCGGGCTTTCTTTCGGCTGTACTCTCCATCAGGCAGAACCGTGGCCGGTTTTTCCCTGTTGAAGTGAGGAGGGTATCCTCTGTTGTCATCATACAATTTCATGGTGCTGACGTTATTATAGTACAACTCCTTGCCAATGACCAAGCCCTCGATCAACTCCAACTCCTTGACACTCTCAGCCACCACCAAAACATTATACACGGCCATTTGAGAAAGCTTAACGCTCAGGAAGAATCGGGCCAATAGAGAGTCCACTAATCGGTTGAAAAGAAGATAATTCCCGGACATATTCACGAACCGTTCACTGATTTCCCGCAACAACAACTTCTTGGGCAAAAAGTGCTCCACGAGTAAGGATGGGTGCTTTGTGGCAGTCTGGATCTGGTCAAAGATAAATTCAAGTTTCTCGTCAAAAGACATCGACCTCACGCCATTTTCACTTCCATCATCAACTCCCTCCTCAGCCTCGCTGTCGCCGTCACTGCCGAGCAAACTATGGATCTTTGTCTTCTGCAGTTTGCGGAACATGTCGGCCAACAACTCAGGTTCGAAAAGTTTCAAGCATATCTCGATGATATCTTTCTGTACGTTGGTCAAGATGGTGGGAAAATAGTACACTCCATTGGGGGGCTGATGGACGCCTGGACCTGGAGGAGCACTATCCAGTACAGGCTCATCCAAGAGTGTGTCCATGGCTTGGTCATCCTGGTACATCGGGTCTGGACCGTCGCTGCTGAGCATATCCATCAAATTCATGGTGCTTTGGTTGATGTCTCGCGAAACCGGAATCTTTTGGCACAGGGATTCTGGAGATCAGGACGGCTGCGACATGCGCGCCTGGAGGCTGCGGTCGTGTGCCGCGCGACTGCAAAAAAAACTTATGCTCTATATCATTATAACTATACACGTACAAACACCTATCGTTTGCCCTTCTTACGGATCACAATGTTGAGTCCGATACTCTCAAGACTGGCCCAGATCTCCTGGTCCACTTTCTTCGGGAGTTTCCGCCCGTATAAGCACTGGTCCACGAGCCACATTCCCACGAGAAACTCCTGCTTGTTTAGGGTCCCGTCATGTCTATAATCTACCAAATCCCACACCAGTTCCAAAGTCTCATCCGGGAGTTTACTCCGCGTCCAGATACGCTTCACCACCACTCCCGCAATGAGCTGGTCGGTCTCGGCCTTGTCCAAGTTGTGGTAATGGTTGAATCCATCTTTTTCGTTGGCTTTCATGTTGTGCGACGACGATAACTTGGCAGCCCTCATGGACGCATCTTGCTGTTCGGGCTTCTGCTCGTTGATATTGTCGTTGGAATCGTAGCACACACCTTTCAACTTGGTGACCACTTTGGTCAAATAAAGTCCTTTGTTACTGGCCCAAAGGCCCTCATATCGCTTCCTCTCATTTTCGCTGATGTAGGACAAGTCAGTATGGTGTTTCCATGGTTTGTCTTCATTAAACATCTTACCCTTTCTTTGGGCCTTTCTCATGGTAGTCTTTAACTGAACCGGCTGGGACTGGTGGTGTAGAGGGGTGACGGGCCTTGACGAAGATGGAGTGGACAACGGGTCAGTGACATCAAAGTCGAGGCCACTGAGATCAATCTTATCACCTCCTTGGAGCTTGAACTTCTTCTTGAAGAGTCCTCTTTTGGAGGCGTTGTTGACGTTGGGGTGAAGGTAGTGGTGGTGGGTTTTTTCCTCCAATTCGGGAAACTGGGGCAACTTGGTGGTAGAAACATTGGCGGTATCTGGGGCCTCACTATCACTAAGAGAGGATCCATAATCGACCAGCGATCTGGACGTATAGTCGTTGGTTAGCGTCTGCCCGAGAAGCTTTTTCTGCCGTTCGTTATCAGACTCATCATTATCAAACACAGTGCTGCTGCTTTCCATCGTTGGAGGAGGCTTTCTCGTAAGCTTGGATCTCTCTTCCGACGTGGCTCGAGGGCTGTCAAAAGACTGGAGCTTGAGCCGGCCGTTGGGGATATAGTGTAAGCTTTCGTTGCTACCCAAGGCCGCTTCACGGGCACTTGCTCCCAGCGACGGTGGAACATTAATAGGTGATATGGGTGAGGCCGTACTACTATGTGAAATGATAGGAGTAATAGGCCGCTGAAACATCTCGTTGCCATCAACAGAAGCATTCCTGGTTTCATACGGAGCCTTCCTTTGGTAGTAGTCAATGTCGTCTCCATCCCAGTCGTCCTCCTCATGCTCATTATCTTCTTCTTCTTCGTCTTCGTCATCACTGCCGTTTGCGAGGGTGGTGATAATCTCAGGCATGCTGAGGTTGGTCGAGTTGCTGCTCTCTGAGTCCACGGTGGTGCCTGAGTTGCTGTGATGGCCGTAGGTATACAGATGACCTCCAAATGGTTCATCAAGAAGCCCAGACGCTTCGAGTAATGCATGGTTCTTAATTGAGGTTTGTATACGCTTCAGCTTGATGCTTTCTCGGATCTCGTGGAGTCGGTCGTGGGCTTTGGACGAGACATCAGTGTTACTGGAGTTGACAGACTTGTCGGTGATGGACTGTTTTATCTTTTTAAGCATCTCTTGAGGGGCATAATCGTACGATAAGCGCTTAGAACTCGGATCCTTATAGGCGGCCTTGGCACTCAACGACAATTTCAAGTTGTTGATGGTATCGTGGGCTCTAGCCTTGTTGAGGGTCAAATTTGAATGGTTGGAAGACGATCTTTTCATGGTCGGCGTGGCCTCCGGCGAATGCAACGATGAGTGCAACGACTCGGGCGGTAGGGTGAAGTAGTCTATTCCGGACCTCATACTGGAGGCAGTTTCGGGTTGTGTGGGTGTATTAAGGTTCAAATCATTCACATCATAGATACTCCTGATTTTTCGTGTAGGGGTGTCAACCGACGACTTGGGGGTGGAAGTGGTTCCCGACAGTTTCTGTGGACTTGTGGTCTTCCTGTTAACGGTGGTGATTTTGGGAAGCGAGGGTCTACGGGTGTGGGACCGCTTAGGAGTGTTGGGTAATGTGTTGAGCAGCTTGGGCGTAGGCAATTTGAATTTTGGGTTGGAGGCAGTTGGGGAGTCTTTGTTGGCTCCAAGGGATTTGAATGCAGCAAGAGCTGCCGCTTGACTGGCCAGGTTGCTCATAGCAAGTAGTCGACAGTATTATAAATAGGTTCTCAACAGTAAATGTGTTAGGCTAAATATCTGATGCGAATCATTATCGTTCCTGGAAAGTTGCGACCTGGCAGTGCTAACAATAAGACGTGAAAAAATGGTATGCGTTATCTATTTACCTACGTACGTTTCCCCCGAGACAGGTTTACGTAACGACCCTTACCCACCTTCGACCCCGAAGGCCGAATGTTCTGATTCGAGTTGAATGGTGAAATATAGTTGTCGGCGGAGCCTCCTCCTATCCACTCTTGCAATAACTTATCATTGTGCCTTCTTTGCCAGTCGTCGTCCTTAACCGCTTTCTGGTACTCTTTTTGGTCCTCTCTCAAAATCAATGGGTTCTGCAAGGTTTTGTGTCTATTTTCCTTGTTATGCTGGTATCCTCCATTTCCCTGTCTTTTCTGGTGGTTTTTGCTCAAGGGAGAAGGTAACGAGAATTTCGATCCTCTTTTGATCCACTGAAAGTTGGCCTTAAGGTGGGGGGTCACTTTGCCTGTCACGTTGTCAATGGATACAGCGCATCGTAAGAGGGTGTTCCCTCCACATTTGGGGCAAAAGTGTTTGGGTTGACCAGACTTAGGAACCGGGGTGAGACGGAAACAAGCATGACATCTGTACATGTAGTTCCGGATTCGTTTGATTTGTTTTCCCGACATGGCGTTCATAAGGTTGAGGCCAAGTTGCATGGTGACGTTCTGACAGGCAAAATCTCCTGTTGCCAAAGCTACTTTGATGAGGGGGCCGGTTTTATTTTCTTGGACCTCTTCATTGTTGTCTTTGAGCATTTCTTCCTGAAGGTTGTCGGGGGTGATCCAGTCGCCGTCATCCTCATTTTCGTCGTAGTCCTGTGACAACTCGGTTGGCTGTGTTGCTTGTGTTGCCTGTGCCTCTTCTTCTGCCTGTGCCTCTTCTTCTGCCTGTGGCTCTTCTTCTGCCTGTGCCTCTACTTCTGCCTTTGCCTCCTTCACAGACTCTTCAAGACTCATGGCGTCAAGCTCCTTCTGCAACTCCAACTCCCGCTTTTCTCTCTGTTTCTTTCCTCCTCTTCTTCTGGGCTTCTTCTTTTCAAGTGGTTCAACTGGTTCTGACACCGAACTTGCCTCTACCGGCTTTTCCTCCAGTTCAGCCTCGGGTTTTTCCTGTTCGGTCGCCTTTTCCTGTTCGGTCTCCGGTCTCTTCTCTACCTTCTTCCCGCGGGTATAATCGAGTTTCTGACCTGGAAAGCTTCTCAATCTCCAAGTCCCATTTTCCTCCACCTCCAACTCGTACGCCAATGCAATTATATGAATATCGTTCACCGACAACACCGAATAGTCCCCCGTTAGCTTGGCAAACGCCTCGACCTTCTTAATATACTCTGCTTTTGGATGCCTTATCTTCAACTCATCGTTCCAAAGCACCAATTGGTTTCTGGCCCGCTCATCCTTCAATTCACTGTGCACCCCCGGCGTTGTGTAAAACTCCTGTCCATACTGCTGCAACAGCGACGCCGACTCTGTGATCAACGGCCCCGCGTCTAATACTAGTTTCCTGATCTTTCTTTCAGACATGGTTGAAGTTTTTTCGATGCTCATCGCACTGCAATCACCCACATCGGAAGGAGGATTCGAGTGTGTGGTCGTGCGCGGGCCCCATTTCCTAATAACAAGCAACAATATGAAGCAACCTTTATTTACATCATCATTAGTAGCGGTTAGAGGCAGTGAGAGTGTGCATAGGCATAAAATTATCTAAAATCATATGGCACTATTTATATGAGGCAATTGCTCCACCCTCAGAAAATATCTTCATTTTCGCTGACTCTAAACCATGTCAGAAACAAAAGTTATATTGCACTGGTACGTCCAATTGACCCCACCACCATCTTTGGTCACTCCCTACTAACTCCATAGGCTCAATCACTCCAGAGCTAACCGAGTACTCTGGCTCTTGGAATTGTTGGATGTCAACTACGAAGTCAAGGTCTACAAGAGAAACTCCAAGTTCAGAGCACCTAAAGAACTTGAGGCCATTCATCCCTTAGGAAAATCCCCCGTGATCGAGGTGATTAAGCCCGGAAAGCAACCCGAAGTCATTGCCGAGACCGGGTGTATCATTGAATACTTGATCAACAACTTTGACCATTCGGAAAAGCTTGTTCCTTCCACCGACAAGGGAAAGGCGGAAGTCAACTACTATTTACATTACACGGAGGGGACGTTGCAGGCGGTTTTGACGTCGTTTATGGTGCTCTACAGTGCCCGTAATTTTGCTCCTTTTGGAATCGGAGCCTTGGTAGGAGCTGTGACTTCACAGGTCAATAAGGCGTACTTTGGCACAGAGGTAATCAAGAACCTCAATTACTTGGAGAACATCGCCAAGGGGCACGACGGAGGCTACTTTGTAGATGGAAAGTTGACGGGGGCTGATGTCATTTTGAGTTTCCCGATTGCCGAGTTGGTGATGGGAAATCAGCGAGATGGGCTTTTTGAAAAGAGTCCTCAGGAGCTTTTTCCCTACTTGAATAAGTGGTCGAAGCTTGTGCTTGCAGACCCAGCTTATAAGCGGGCCATCGAAACCATTGATGAAAAGTCCAAATTGTAGATTCAATCTGCTGGACTTTGTGCATCAGGAATGCACCCCTAGTTTACATAGCTATGCATGTATGGTTAGCCTGATGGCATGAGAACATATAATTCGTATATGCAGATGCTTGCATATGCTTAGCTTGGCCTGAATCCAAAACACAAACAAGAATAGTCGTACCCCAGTTTTTAGCTAAACGGCAGAGGGACCTACGCCAAAAAGCGAGGTGTTGCCTAATTAGGAAATGTTATTAAACTTCAAGTCTCCACATTTGGTCAATACCAGCAACACCCATCGATGAGGGGCTATATATATCTGAGCTGATCTCCTTTGGATTTTCCCACTATTGTAGACTTCAGATCCTCTACTCATAAACATGGCAGACCACGGAGATAAGTTTTTGGTCCATTGGCTTGATCAGTCCCGAGCTCACAGAATCGTATTTATGCTTGAACTCTTAGGTTTAGACTACGATGTGGAAGTATATTTAAGACATCACGACACCTGGAGAGGCCCATCCGAGCTCTTCCAAGTTCATCCCTCGGGTAAAGCACCCATCCTAGAGGTGTTTTTTGCTGATGGAAGACCTTCATTGAAGTTGGCAGAATCAGGGCTAATCATGCAATACTTACTCAAAAATTATGATCCACACAATATCTTGAATCCCACTACAGAAGTTGATAAACTCCGGGTCGACTACTATCTCCACTACTCAGAAGGAACCTTCCAACACATTTTGCTCACGATGTTGATAAACAGTGTGGCTAAGTCCATTGCTCCAATTGGCTTCAAGAGCTTGGCCAAAATGGTCACCAAGGGTTTAAACAACGGTTACTATATTCACGAATGGAAATTGAATATGGAGTTTTTGGAACGGCAGTTGGATAACGAACATACCGGATACTTTGTGGGGAATAAGTTAACTGCTGCAGATGTGATGTTGACATTTCCTGTTTACGAAAACATCTTTGATAATGAGAATGGGATTCGTGAAGTGACAGGCGAAAAGATCGATTTGTTTAAGACTTACCCACATTTGGCGGCCTGGAGTGATAGAATTGCAAAACACCCTATCTATATCAAGGTCACCGATATGATGGACGACAAGGTGAATGAGTTTATTTCTCAACTGCAACAGGTTGGAAAAAAGAGACATTAGTTGAGAGTAGATGTGGTTAATGATATAATGTATTTTAATTGTGAGCGTGGACTGAGCAGTTGAGCAGGACTTTTGATATGTATTGTACAGTGAGGGTTACAACCTCTAAGTATCTCCTTAATATACCTTCTCCATACCCTCCATACTATAGTCGATCCAGCTGCCCATACAGTTCTGGTCATTAAGATGTTTCCACCTGCTGAACGTTCCTATTTTGCAGTTCTTGGTGCTGTCAGAGTTAGGACAATTAAGGTACGGATCATGAAAATACCCTATGTCTCTAAACCAATGAATTTTGGACTTATCTGCAAACAAAGCTAACCCCATAGAGTGGACCGGGGCATCTCCCCATCGTTCATAGTAAAACCCACCCGACTGGTCTAGGTGTTGGAACCACTTATTGTACGCTTCACCTCTGAAAAAGTCCATATCACCAATCTCAAAGTTGGACCAGAAATGGCATGTAGAGTAACCTCCTGTATTTGCGTTTTTCTTGGGGTTCTGTTGGTTTTCAAGAAGCCATTGGAAAGCTCCGTTCTCATTCACGTACTTGAAGTTGTCATCTTCATTCAAGTACTTGAGGGTCTCCGGCCATAACGTTGTCAATGTTTCGTCAATATCGTACAAGTTAACGGTGAACCCGTATACCTTTCCAGTTCCTTGGAGATACTTAAAGATATCATAACGGATATCGCTGTAAAACTTGACGTCAGGCTCAATTCTCCAGTAGTACTTATACTTCTGCAACTCAGGAACATTATAGAAATTCCCCAGGTAAAACCGACACATATTGTGATACGAGGGCTTCATTGCGTACGCCACATTGTGTCGTGCCAATGCAAGCATCATCAGTTTTTCTTTTTCTGAATCTATAAATGATGGTTTGTCCCATAATTGACGAGGAATCTCCACAAACTCCATCGGAGCATCGGAAAACTTCCTCATCTTTGCCTTGAATTTATCAGAAAATGGAGCATCATTTATGAATGTGTATGGATACTTGAACTTGCCATTGAAGCTCTTTTCAAATTTTTGGATAGACCTTCCAATCCCCAGAACTTCACTATTTCTAACCAAAGCAATTATGGTGGCATTGGCCCTTTGATAGCTGTTGATTTTTTCGGGATCAGGAGGCCTTATGGTCTCTATATCCATGTCTTTGGGCTCTGTGATCTTGTTTTTGAACATCTCTTGGTACACATAATCGTTATCCTGCAAAATCTTTTCTGGAGAACCGGACTTCGCTTTGGGGTTGATAAACTTAAACTGGACATTTCCTGGCTCCAACACATACCCGGACCCTTCTAGTCCAGGTGTGGATATTTTTGCAGGTTTGTAACCTTCCTTGTTGAAATAACCCAGTATTTCTTTCCAGTTAGTAGTGTTGCTATAGTCGATTTTGGAGAGGTTCCAGAAATACTCCATAAGCACGATCGCTACCACCAAATTAAACAACACGATTATCACGAGGGCAATTTTTGATAGCTTTAGGTTCAAGGCAGATATCATTAGCATCTTACACGTGTCTTAGTATTTTAAATTCGTTAAACATGCCAAAGCCATCAAATCCTCGCTGAACCCTCCAAACCGCGCCCCATGAAAAAATGTGCCTGAACTATGCCACCACATTAGTCAATCGCTTACACAAATGAGAAATTGGGCTACCGCCAAAAGATTCCCTCGTACGATACGATATCCACTGCCAAATCCAGTGTCACTACAATGGACCCGTCTGTACTCAACCGAATTCCCTCCAAAGGAAGTCACTGTACAGAAGTTCACCTTCCCACTCGCATCACACTCAGTCAAGCACATTTCCAACAACCTCGATAAGTTCTTACAAGGCAACCCGGTAACTCTCAATGGGCATTTGAATAGGCGGCCACGTCTCATGGCCAAGCATGCATTTGCCGAGCTCAGAGACTCTAATGGAGATACTATACAAATGATGTTAGCTCATGGAGTTACACCCGAAAAGTACTTTGGGGTGGTGGAAAAGTCCATCCCTGAAGAAAGTATCAGCGTCAGCGGTAAAGTACAGTTGAAGCAGAGTAGAAGTGGCGAACGGGAATGGGAGCTTCTCGTAGAAAATTACCAAGTTTTAAACCAATCTAATTTAGATGCCGCTAGATTGGACAAGTTGAAACACTCATCACCCAAAGACTTGCCTCCTCAGTTCCGTTACTTGCAACTCAGAACACCCCACTACCAAAACAACATACGAACCCGAAGCAAAATTGCTAATTTGATCAGAAACACTTTTATTCAGAACCATGACTTTGTGGAGGTTGAGACTCCATTACTCTTCAAATCGACACCAGAAGGTGCTCGGGAGTTCTTGGTGCCCACGAGGAAACCTAATGCTTTCTATGCTTTACCTCAGTCGCCTCAGCAGTATAAGCAGTTGTTGATGAGCTCAGGTATCACCAAATACTTTCAGATCGCAAAGTGTTTCCGAGACGAAGACTTGAGAGCCGATAGACAGCCAGAGTTCACCCAGGTGGACTTGGAAATGAGCTTTGTCAGTCACAGCGACCAAGTTGGTGTGGTAGTCGAAGATGTTGTTCACCGTGTGTGGAAGGATATTGCTAAGTTTCCGGTTTACACCATCAATAAAAATGGTAATCTCGAAGAAATCAGTGAGTTCTCCACACACAAGATAAACTTCACAAAGGTTCCATACATTGAAGCCTTGACAAAGTATGGAATTGACAAACCCGATTTAAGGTCTTCCCTCTCCTTGATAGACTTGAGTGGTTTCTTCACCCCACTCAAAAATACAAACTTCCCAGTCCTCGAAGCGTGTGTGTTAAGAGATGCTTTTGACCCTTCAAAAAAATTCAAAGTTCCAAAAGCCTTGAGTGACAGCAATAGCTATTCTCGGAGAAAGCCTATTGTCATCCCCATCAAGACCCAACCTGATGCTCTGGAATGGTACAAAAACTTTGTTGAAAAGCACCTTATCACACCTACCTCCTCGTTCAACGAGTCCCAATTGGAATCCACTTTAAATTTACATCCTGGTGACATTTTGGCATTTGCTGACAGGGCTGAGTTGCCGTATGAAAATCCTACTCCTTTAGGAAAGTTCAGACAACTTGCCATAAACGAGTTCCCAAATAAGTGGAAGAGAATGATCGAGTTGAGCAATGGAGACTTAACTGACAATTACTGCACAAAAGATATGGTAGTGGCTTCCTGGGTTGTTGACTTCCCATTATTTGCACCAACTGAATCCGGAGGGTCACCTAGTGACGAATATCCAACATACGAATTGAGTCAACTTGAATCGAATCATCATCCTTTCACCATGGTCAAACTTGAAGATTATGACTTATTGGAGACAGACCCTTTAAAAGTCAGAGGGGAGCACTACGACTTAGTAATCAATGGAGTCGAAGTAGGAGGTGGGTCCAGAAGAATCCACGATGCTGACCTCCAAAAATACGTTTTCAAGCATGTCTTAGGAATCCACCACTACAATGATTTGTTTGGCCATCTCCTACATGCTTTGAGTATGGGATGTCCTCCACATGCAGGTTTGGCTCTAGGTTTTGATCGATTGTGTGCAATGGTTGTTGGAAGCCCAAACATAAGAGATGTTATTGCGTTCCCCAAAAATCAATCAGGTGTGGATCCTATCGTCGAAAGTCCTTCCTCAGTTCCAGAAAAGACTCTTAGCGAGTACTTCATCACCACCAAAAATTAATTTATAAACCCTGTAAATATCATCATGCTTATATATTGCTATTATACATATCAAAAGTATTTAAAACTTTCTCTTTTTATTTTGTCTCTCCTCATAAGCATTCTTGGATTTGAGTCCATTAGCTTCTCTTCCTAATTTTTCTTTGTGCATCTTTTCCAACTTCAATTCAATGGGTTTCTTGATTCTGGTTTCTTGGTCTTGGTTATCTTGTCCAGTTTCACTATAGTATTGTTGTTCCTGCTCCTTGATGAGTGTTTTCCAGTCGTACTTCTTTCTCATAAACAACTCCATCGACCAGTTCTTCCACACCAATTTACCATATTTACTCTCTTTGACCTTGTGACTATCAGCTTGTAATTCTGATCCGATTCTGTCTTTGTACATATTAAGCAAAATGGTGAAGTGCCATAACTTATCCACAATGTGTGACCCATAGGAGTTTATTGACAATCTCACAATATGACTTTGGAACAAGTTCAAAAATCTCTTTCTCAAAATCAGAGTGGGTTTGGGTTCGGTAATAGAGGCTGGTAACACTGTTAAGGAGTTTTCCACCACATGGGAGAAAACACCGTGAGTGCACATTTGAAGGAATCTTTCAACTGGTAACGCCAAAAAGTTATACCAAACGCAGATAACAAACGAGTAATCGTATTGCATGAACTTTTCCAACAACAAAGATCTTCTTCTCTCTTCGGCTGTTGGCCAGTCATCTCTAGTATTTCCCAAAGTCGACTTGGTCAACTGCAAGATATTTTCCAATAACTCAGCATTAGCAACATCATCAGGCTCTTTGAAGTCATAGTTTGGGGCAAACTTGTTGAACAACTGTTCTATGATCTCATCTCTTCTGTAGTTCTTATTTTGAATTGAAGCATCGATGACCTTGGTGCTTAGCTCCAAGTTCTGGTTTTCAGAAATCGAAATTAAACTCGATAATTCGGGGATTATTTGGTCCAAAATATACTGAACTTCACCTGGCTTCAACTTGAACATCAAGGCTTGAATAATAAACACACCAGTGTTAGATCTCTTGGCCAACTTCAACACTCTTTCTTTCATGTACAACTTGTACAACCGCTCAATGTACTTCATTCTAACACCAGTATTTTTGATCAAGCTCTCCAAGAAGTGAGAACCAACAGGATCAGACAACAAGTACTCGACATAAGCTTCTTCTTTGGAGTCTTGTCCATCCTTCTCTTTTAAGAATATGGAATGCCATATAGCTCTGTCTTTGTCGACTATTCCTTCGACTTGAAGCAACAACTGAATAACTGGTGATGCAATTTTATGGATGGACAATTGTCTCATTCTGGTAATATCTTGACCCTCTACTATGGCTTTACAAATCTTTTTGACTTCGTCTTTGAAAGAAGGAGGAACTTGGAATGCCCGGTTGAAGATCTCATTGTCTTTGATCTCTATCATTTTACGGGCAATCTTGGACTTTTTGGATCTCAAGGTAGAGTTGGAAACAGTAGATGATGGGAGTTCTTTTCCACTGGCAATTAATATAACAAGTCGTAAAACATGAGATGCATATTGGTGTTCCATCATCTGTTGGATATGTGGATGGAACTCATTCATCATCTTCAAAAACAACTGTTCAGTTGTCACCTGGTCGATTTCAGGGTCTTCTTCTTCCTCAGTATCTTCTTCGTGTTCGTCTCCGATGAGCTCTTTTTCGATAATTGAGGTTATTCTGACTAACAAAGTCTCCAACACGTGAGAAGAGTATTTATGGTGAGCCAATGATGCAAGGTGTCCCGAGAAATTCTTGAAAATGTGTTTGGCTTGCCTGTCGGTCCCAATTAAAAGAAGTCTCTCCATTAACTTGGAGCAGATTTGATTGGTAACCAATTTTAATTCTTTTCCCTTACATTCTTCCAAAACAGATCTGACAAAGGCATCTCTTTCTTCATCCAGATCGAAGGCATTGATATTGAGGGTGCTTTCAGCCTGTTTGAAGTAGTCGATTTCACTTGAATCCACTAAACCAAAAAAGGTGGGCTTCACAGCCTGCACATCAGATGGTGCCTGGTCAGTGGTAGTTTCTTCACTCTTTTCCTTGAGAGGTGGAGCTTCATCAATAAAGAATCCCACGCCACCAAGGTCCTTGGAATTTTCTTCTTGGGCCTTTTTCTGTGTTCTTCTTCCTCTGATTTTAGTGCTTCCCATAGTTGCAGATTTGAAAAATTTACCTCATCTCATCAGCGCGATATGCGAATAATCTCAAATCGAGCTGTCGTATCTACATTACATCCTAATGAACACTCAGACTATGACAAAGGTATAGATATTAGTATAAAAGCTCGGCCTTCCCGTGAAGTTGGTCAAGGTACTTACCTTTTCTCAACGGGTCTATATCAGCCAATATCTCAAGAAAAGACTTAATTTCGTCTGTGAGAAGATCCAGTGGAGCTGAATTGTTATTGTGCACATTGGCTAAAAGACATTTGATCAAGATCATAGTTTTCAAACACCAGCAGTTGTCTTTCCCATTGTCATCTTTCTCTAACTCGTTGAGCTCTCTGATTATTTCCAACTGCTCCTCTAGAGTCCTTTGATACACTTGCTTATCCAAGTGCTCAGTGAAAAATTCATCGCTGAGAAGCCAATATAAGTAGAGCCACACAGATGTGTCGTCCACATCCACATACATTCCCGTGTTAATCAACTTGATCTCGTGCTGTAACAAGGACAATCGGCTCAGAAACACCTGGGTGTATTTGTTCAAATCCTCCGCTTGGTCGATGAATTCACTGTCAACTTCCTGATAGTACTTGTATATCTTGGGGATCAACTTGGATCGGTTGTGCCATGCAGAAAAGTTCGATATGTTTTGGTTCACTTTGGAGGTAGTGAATTCGAACTCTTTGATGTAGATAGACAATAGTTCTTGTGGGGTCTTGGGGGTTTGCACTTCGTAGTTGTGCACCACGATTCTCCTCAAGTGCCAACCATGGAAATTCCTCTGGTCAACACTTAGCAATTTGGACACAATGGCCAACTCCACCTGCCAATTGGCGCTCTGACCCAAACACCTCAAGCACCATAGTCTGTGATTATATATCCAATAGCATTTAGGAAACCTCCTGAATAACACCATGATCATCTTCAAGTCATCCTCAAGGGTTTTGACTTTATCCAATTGTTTCTGAGCAAAAAGCTCCAACAATGTCTCTCTTCTGATGTTCCATATTGTGTAAAATTCAGGGTTTATCATCAACAAGTCTGTTGTTTTATTCAATGACTCCACCGTGTACTGGTGATTTTGCCTGGCTTCGAACACAAGCGACTGAAGACTCAAGTACGATTCTATCTTGGGCTTGTCCTTTTCGATTTTGGCTACTCTTGCCTCCTGGTTGAGCTTCTCTCGCTTCACATTATGGAACTAGACCCTGTTAGTATTTTTTGACAGATTTATGTGTGTGCAGCCACTTACCATTCTGTGTAGATAAAGTTGAAACTTCGCGTTTGATTCCAAACATAAATACATATCTTATGGCAGACTCGAAATTGGCATTGAAAGGGTCGAGCAAGATTGTGTGTGACTACTTCGAGTTCTCCATCAACAACATCCTTTTCCAACGAGGAATCTACCCAGCTGATGACTTTCAGACTGTTAAGAAGTACGATTTACCCTTGCTAGTCACCATCGATGAGGATATCAAGAACTACATTAACCAGTTCTTATCACAGATTAAGCGGTGGGTATACGGCACTAAGTTACAGAAGTTGATTTTGGTGATAATAGACAAACAGACGGCTGAGCCGGTTGAACGGTGGGAGTTCAATTTAGAGGTGGTGGAAGGAGATAACCAATCGGAGAAATCTCGAGACGCAATAAAGAAAGAAATCCAGGCCATTATACGACAGATCACTAGCTCGGCTACTTATTTACCAGTGTTGGATGGAGAGTTCACCTTCAACATATTGGTTTACACCGAACAAGATGTGAATAACATTCCCAGCGAATGGTGCGATACTCAAGATGAAAAGTTGGGGGACCAATTCGAGTCTGTGGATTTCAGTACGTTCAAGACCAGCCTTCATTCGATTGGCACCAAGGTTAGTTACAAGATCGATTAGATTAATATTTGCATTAATAATTCGCATGGATTTCCTATGTTGTAGGTAGATAGAGGTGCTGGGGTCATTATATTGCATCTAGTCAGAGGGACTGAGATCATTATTATATGTTGCCACTAGGAAGAGGGGCTCAGGTCTAGCTCTTTGGTGAATCTTCTCCTTTTGTTACCTAGCATGAACCGAGCCGTTCCCTTCATTCCCGTGGTGTAGTCCCATATCCTGAGGTAGTTGTCTTTGGGCAACAAGTTCTTGGAGCATGAAATCTCGTTTATAAGCTTCAACTTGTTGAACTTGGACTTTAAGTTCATGAACTGGAAGATTTGTTCTTTGCCCAACTTCTTGTTTATGGCTGGCAAGTACTCTTTCAACACCGAAAACCCGTACTGGTGTACGTAATAGTCTAGTATATAGATTATGGACTCATTGACTAGAAGTTCGGGACAGTTGAAATCTGTGGTTTTGATATTTGGTTTAGTATTAGCGTTGTTCATACTGGTACTCTGCTTGTTCACAGGAACATCAATATGTTCTTCGGTGATCGACAACTCGGAAGTATCCAAATTGGTTGCCACTATTACCACTCCCAATGCAATACAATGAGGAGGTAACATCAAATTCACCGGTGTCGACATCAAATCAAAGCATACAAGCCAGCTGAAGAAGGTCTTCTCATAGCTCAACTTCTTTATTTTGGCAAAGTGGACCACTAGGTTATCCAACGAAGGAACTATCAACGAGTTATTGTTGAAGTTAAATTTCAAAACTTGTAATAGCTTGAACTCGATCAAGAGTAAGATTTTCCTCTGCAACTCCAAGTAGTTGGCATCATCGTTCAAGTCCCTTAACTTGTTAGCAACCGCCTGAATGTCTCTGAGTTTTTTAATACAATCTTCGTTCTTGCTTGCAAGAAATAAAGACGTCAATGCGATGGAGTAAGGGTCATTCTCCATATTTTTCTCCAAGTCAGTGAAATCTTCGGACGAGTCGTTGAACTCGTTGAACAAGTAGTACTTCTGATAATATACCATGGCCGTACTCAACACCCGGATGGGGAACTTCAATATCTTTATGATATGGAAAAGATACTGGAAGATCTGGTGTTTCCGTTGGTTGTACAAGATCTTTTTGTCATCAGCGATGGTCAAGGAATGAAGATACGACAACTCATTTGGTGATAGGTACGGTCTTGATATCTCGAGTAGCGACGGTTTATCTGCAGTTGTAGATGACTGCATTTTGGTAGGAATGAACAATATACAAAAGTAAAATATTTCTACAAATGCGCATCAGCAACGAACATGGAGATATCAAGAAAACATATATTCAATAACCGGTAACAACTATAAAGCCTAGTAGAAAGTTCATAGGCATCCCGGCAACTGTACATACACCTCAATCTTAAGCAGCAAAAGACAAGGAGAAGCCCAATTTGTGAACTGGCTCGGACAACTTAAGAGCATCGAAAGAGGCTCCCAAACCCAAGGTAACACCAGGGTTCAATTTTTGGGAGTAAGACAAAGCAGTCAAACCAGAGTCGGAGATCTTGGCCTTCAAGAAACTTGAAGAGTCCAACTGGTACTTGGTGGCGAATTCAACGTTGACGTTAGAAGACTTGACGGAGTCCCAGGTGGCCTTGGCACCAGCTTCAACCAAAGGAGAGATCTTGTGGTAGTAAGCAGCAGAGAACACGGTCAAGTTGGAGGTGGCAGTCAATCCGATGGAGTACAAAGGACCCTTGTATCCCAATCCAGCGTTGTACTTGTTGACCTTGGCGCTGGTGATATCGTAGCCCAATTCACCTCCGGCAACAAAGCCATCTTGGTTGATGGTGAAGTCAGCGGTGGCCAATGGTCCCTTCAACAAGTCGAAGAACAATCTGGTGTTGATCAACGAGTGTTGGTAGTAGAAGTTCAACTTGGCGTTTCTAGATCCGTTAGGAATCAAGTTGGTGATCAATTCGGTCTTCAAGCCTGGAGTCAACAATTCGGAGATTTCGATCTTGGAGTCCAACGAGTTGGAGTTGTTCCATCCCTGGGTCAAAGTCAATCCAGAGGCCTTGTCGGTGTACTTGGATTCAATGGAAGCAGCAATTGAGTTGTCCTTAGCGGTCTTACCCTTAACGGTGAAAGCTACGCCGTTTGGAGCAACGGACTTAACATCAACGGCACCTTGGGATAAGTGGTAGAAGTCTCTTCCCAACAAGTCGTTGGTAGGTTTTTGGATATCGCTGAATGGAATTGACATGTTAAAGGAATAAGAAACGGGTTTAGAAAAAACAATAATAAAACGTTTCGAGGTCTAATATATGACCGTGAAAACCTGACTTTTGGTGGGTTCACTATTGAGAAAAAATTGTCCCGGCTCGGGCACGTCCATTTGGACAATATTGGGTGCTAAAAATTCCGCCTTCTCATTGGCTGACCACCCCGGAAATTGTTGGGCTCATTTGTTTTAGTGGTTTTGTCTGACGCTTGAGGTGGCGGTCTGCTCCACACTTCATTGGAGTGTTTATGTTTTGGTTTAAGAGGGGTTGACCTGACGAGGGGTGTTCTAATAGGTGGGGCTATCGGTGTTAGTAGTGCAGTTGAGAATAATCACAACCTGTCATGGAACGTGGGGTTGTCCACACTTTTGGGGCGCACGCCGGCAGCCGCCTGGTGGTGGGTTAAGGGAGGATATATTTTCAGGACGTGTAGTAGGACGGCTTCGATGGGTCAGAACTAGCTACTGATTGTGGCTGCGAATTGGTATTGATTGTGGCACTGTGAAATGAGAAGAATTCATTTCGTTTGGACGGGAAGGCATTTTGTGCTAGTAGTGGCGTATAGAACTTAAGTTTCACACGCTGGGGGCAGAATTCGAGTATTGGTGGCTCTTGCTTTGTGTGTCGACTGCCTTAACTGGTATCAATTATAAGTCCTTCAAAACTCTTCGTGCTAGACAGCGATCTCCGGGGTATTGTTGTGCATACACGACCTATTTTGGTGTAACAAGATTTGGAGGGTCAGAAGAGACATAAAAAAGCAGTAAACTGGCCCCTTGCTATTCTCGCCGTTACTAGTAGAGCAGAAGGTTTTTGTTGATTTTAGGTGTATTAACAATATTCTATTAGTATATCCTACTCTTCCTTGTTTCTTATTTTTCACTTCAGTTGCAAAAACTGCGAAAACTACTCATTATTAACAAACGTATAAATTTGCTGCAATTAAATAAAGGCATTCACAAAATTGAAAACTAGCACAACAAACCAGTTAACTCATACAATCCCCACCTCCATCATCGTTGGCTAGAGCTGAAGCTATTTCGTGTCCATTTTTCCCCGTACACGTCCCCTTCACTAAGACGCAAAAGCGAGGTGAATAATTTCAACCGCGACTCACCATGACTGTTCCTCTCTATAAATACACCCTTGGCTTCATTGAATGCAAAGAAACAGATACTATTCTCTTCCTCAACCGCGAGAAACCTCCACACATGGGAAAGTGGAATGGTGTTGGCGGCAAGCTAGAACCAGGTGAGTCCTCCTTGGAGTGTATTATCCGAGAAACCAAAGAAGAGACGGGTCTCGTTATAGACAATTATATATCAAGAGGAGTTTTAAGATGGTTCAACAAAGAGGAGGACTTAGGAGGTGTGTACTTGTTCACCGGAAGTGTTCTGAAAGAGGTTTGCAACAACTACAAAACCCAGTCTACTAGAGAAGGTATATTGGAGTTCAAGAAGAGGCAATGGGTATTACATCCTCAGAATGTTGGAGTTGTGGATAACATCAAAATGATCTATGAAGAAATGGAGCAGGCCAATGAGCACAATGTTTTTGTCGCTCAGTACGATGGCCTAACCTTCTTGAAAGGGTACAAGTTGAAATAGCTAGTATAATTATAATTATTATTTATCTATGTAGTCCATAAACGAGCAGTTCCATCGGCACCGGCACTGAACAACCATGGCTCCTTAGGATGCCAGATCAAGTCCAAAACACCCAAACTATTGACCACCTTGTGACCAGATAATTTTTTCAAAGGCACTAATAATGGGTTGGTCATCAAGTCATCATAAACGGTTCCATGAAACACATGAATGATACCATCGTCGGATGCACTGGCAAACAATGGAAGATTAGACTTGTGGAACACAATGCTTCTTACGGCTTTATTATGGTATCTCAAGGTCTTGTAAGGGGTGTTGCTCAAATCCAAGTCATGCCATAATACTCTTTTATCATACGAAGATGCCAACAAGTTGTCACCCCTTGGATGAATGTCAATTGTGGATAACCATCTGGCTCCCGGCATCAACTTCTTAATAAGCACTTGTTGTCCCAAGTCATATATCTTAATGGTTCTCTGATAGGCAACAAATAACTGAGGTTTGAAAGGATGAAACTTACAGTCACTTACTATACCCTTAGACTTTCTGAATGGAGATTGTGACAAATGCTTGGAGATTTGGTGGATTACTACCGCATTGTTTCTTCCGTCGGGAGAGACTGTCACAAAGTAGTCTCCCTTTCTGTGCCAGGAAATCTTTTTCACAGCCTTTTGGCACTGGATCACCACACTGATTCCCTGTTGTTTCTGTTTATCATTTGGTGGATACCATTTACATATTTCTTTACGCTTTACCTTCTCATTATCATCGTCATCAACTTCTTGTAATCCCAACTTGGTGTCCTTGTTGTTTCCAAATTTATCGTAACCCCATCCACTTTCGATTCTCAATTTACTCATGTTTTCAATATCGAAGCCAAAGATTGGAGGAACAATCAAGTAGATATTTTCTCCAACAGTAACACCCAATAAACCTAAGCTGGAATCAGGATTCCACTCGATGTCTTCAATATTATCTTCATCATCCTTTTCAAATTCGACCTTAAACACTTCTCTCCCAGTCAAGATTTCCCATACTCTCACGGTACCATCGTCACTACCAGTAGCCAACCAATATCCGTTTGGATGAATAGATAACGTTCTTATTCTGGCTAAGTGACCTTCAAAGATAGTGGAGCATTTGATAGGGAAAGGTCTCAAGTCTTTTGGAGAAGGCAATTCGGGAATCAACGATTCTGGATCAATGTTTAATTTATGATGACGAACTCTAGGGGCCAAGTATAAGTCCAAGGATCTTTCGAATCTTTCTCTGATGTTTTCTTGATAGGCTGGTACTCTTCTTAATGAGGTGTACTTCTGAGGAACAAAGTTTGTGGTTCTCTCTTCTGGGTTTTCTTCCCATTGTTTCAACTCTTCTTCAGTGAACAAGTATTCTTCTGGAGGATTATAACTTTCTTCATGGGATGGAGGCAACATCTTTGGAGCTCTCAAGTTCATAATGTGATCCTGCACTTCCACTTCATCTTCCCACAAATCAAACTGTTTAGCCTCTTCTTCTTGCTCTTTCATCTCTTTGACCTTGGAAGGAGGAATGATTCTACCTTCTCTGATGGCTCTAACAATCTTCATGACTCTCTTGGCTTCATGTTTAGAGGGAACGAATCTTCTCTTTGGCTCAGGAACGGCAGTCAATGGCATAATCTCTTGTTGGCTCGTGAACCATTCGATGGTGGGAGCGTACGGGTCGATATTGTCATCAACATTCTCATTGTTCTGAATCTTTTTGATCAACTCCAACTCTTCGGAAGTAAGCTTTAACGAGGTACCAGTGTTTTGATCCAACAAACCAGTCCATCCTTCTGGCAATTCAATACTTTCCAACAACAGGTCAAGGGCAGAGCCTTTTGCAGGTCTCATGATTCTCTTCCCGTTGATATCATAACCAATATGAGGCATCTCTTCGTATGCAGATATAGGGATGTTTCCGATGGTGTTGAAGTTGTCATGGTCACTATCGTCACTGTCATAGACAGGGTCTATTTCGGGTTTAATGATTCGAGGTTTTCCATCAGAGTATTTGGTGAGGATCTCATCGGATATGGTAGACAACTTGTTATCTATGAATTCTTTGGGTTCGTCAGAAAAGTCTGATGATGCTACGCTCACGTCATCCTCGCTTCCAAGAAGCTCGTTGAACTCGGCGTCCGAATCCTCTTCGTCATCATCGTCTTCTTCGTGCTCGTTGTCTTGCTCACCATCTTCCTCACCAGACTGATCTTCTTCTGCAGAATGGTACACAGTATCACCTTCTTCCACTTCGTCCTCAGAGGCTTCAACTTCTTCATTGTCACTTTCTCCGGAATCGAGCAACCCATTCACTTCGAACTCTTCGTCGTCGCTTTCTATTAAATCTCTCTTGGCCATGATTTAGTGCTTCTGTATCTCATCTCAAATTTTTTTCTGCTCCTTCTCATCTGGAGTGAGGAATGTGCCACAACCGAAACCATCACAACATGAACTCCATCAATAGAATTAATCAGATAAACCAGCAGGAGTTGGATGCTAATGTTTCTGACTCGGCCTCTTGGCACAATGACTATAAGGATTCGAACTATATCTTTATTGGGGGGCTCAATGCACAGTTAAAAGAGAAAGACCTCATAGTTATATTCTCTCAGTATGGTCTTCCTACCCACATAAAACTAGTCAAAGACTCGGAAAAAAAGGAGAACAAAGGGTTCGGGTACTTGAAGTACCAACAGTTTCAGTCGTGTGTGCTAGCAGTTGATAACTTGAATGGAGTCGTGGTCTACGATAAGAAAATAAGGGTAGACCACTGTTGGTTTGAGTTGAGAGACGATGAAACTGAAGACAGCTATTGGATAGACTACGACGCTCTAGTGCCAAAATTACCTGCTATTGAATACGACAAGACAGAAGCAAAGGTGAAAGAAGTAGCCATTGAAAACAACGAGGGAGAAGATGAAGATGAGTTTAAGGATCCAATGGCCCAGTTTCTCAAAAAGAGGTCCCATGATCAAGACCACAAACACAAGAAAAGACACCGGTCTGACAAAAGCCATCGCCACTCACATCACAACCGGGGAAACAAACCCGATGACATTAACGAATAACTGTATATTATATTTTCTGCAAGTAGTAATCATAGAACTCTTGTTTATCTGAAACGGAAAAGTTCACGGTGTGCAAATTAGCATTTCTAAAAGCTGCCTTACTCAAGTCTACGTCAAATCGGATATGGGAGACCAACTTCAAACTTATAGAACTTGGAGAGTTGATCAACAAGTTGTAGAAAAACTTAAGTGCCAGCAGCGGCAATGGCAAGTTGAAGTAAGCGGGGTTGATTTTAACAATCAATGTCTTTAGGTTAAATGATTCCAAAGAGTATTTGGAGTTCAACTTAATGAACTTTAACACCGACTTGTTATTAGTGGGTGTTCCCTCTATTAAACAGAAGACCACCGACTTTGTGAATTTTGACAATTCCACCACTTCTGTACCCTTTACGTCTGATCCTAAAGCGTGTTGGAGTAATTGAATAGGTGAGTACAGATAAAGAGTTCCTTCTTGATCGGGAATCAACACCACGCTACTCAACAAGAATATCAACAATGGTGATGAGTAATTGACGATGACAAAGTCGCCATTCTTGGTAGCTGGTAGCACATACCCAAAGTTGAATAGGTATTTCAAACATAAATGTTTCAGAGCGGTTGCACCCAAGAGTACAAATGGCAAAAGCAACAAGAAGAATGGCAATTTAAGCACAAACAAAACAACTTGTAGGGGAAGCTTAGCACCCACACGAGGGTACTGTGTAGGCCAGAAAGGTGCTATACCCGTACCTTTATCTCTCCAATTAGAAAACTTCTCCATGGCTAATCAACAAAAAACAAAGGCGCGACAATTTCTACAAACAAAATAGTATAACCAAAACTCTCATAATACATTAACTAATATACACTTAAAATTATAATTCTTGAGAAGCTTTATCCTTGGCCTTCTTGGATGGCAACAAGGATTGGTGAATGTTTGGCAAGACACCACCTTGAGCAATGGTGACATCACCCAACAACTTGTTTAATTCTTCATCGTTTCTGATGGCCAATTGCAAGTGTCTTGGGATGATTCTGGACTTCTTGTTGTCTCTGGCAGCGTTACCGGCCAATTCCAAAATTTCAGCAGACAAGTATTCCAAAACAGAAGTCAAGTAGACTGGAGCACCGGAACCAACTCTTTGAGCGTAGTTACCCTTTCTCAACAATCTGTGAACTCTACCAACTGGGAAAGTCAAACCAGCCTTAGCAGATCTAGAAGTCGAAGCCTTTTCACTAGTAGAAGCTTTACCTTTACCACCGGACATTGTATTATATTTATTTAATTTGATTGATATATCAAGAAGAAAAAATCAACTGGTTAGAAAAAGGGAGAAATCATTCAAATATATACTATTTTTCCCAGTGAGCACAATCACCCTTGTACCAAAACCACCGCCACTAATTTTCAATAACAAACAAGCAAATAATTGCCGATAAGTCGCTGGCTATGGCGTGTGCCGCGGCTACGGTAATCAATCATAACAACAACAATGCATCCCCTACCACTGCATGCCAATGCATCTGATCTGGAGGACCCCATGTGACAACATATACTGCGTTCGTGCCGGTGCCTACGCAGCTCCCGCCGCCCGCCAGTATCGCGACCGCGCGGATGGCAGATGCGTGACCATTTTAACTCACAGAACAGGCGTACTTATCAGAACTTCCACGCCATCCGCACCCAAAACAAAAACAAACCCCAATCACTAGCGTCTCCTCGAGGTCTCTTGTAAGTCTCCTGCAGTGGCTCGCAATTGGTCAATGGGCCCGTTTCACCCCAGGCGCCCTATCAATACGGCGCGCCAAACAGGAATATACCAAAACAAACACAACACCGCCGCCAAAACGCTGGTCGTGGGCGTTTTGTATGGAGGTGGCCAATTTGCTCTGGTGTGAGTCGCACCCTAAATCAAAAGTATTTAAATAACTGAATATCCGTTTTTTTGTATCCCCTTTAGATTGATAAATATATCTTTTTCTTTCCAAATTTTAATTAATCAATAGCAAAAAATGGCCCCAAAAGCTGAAAAGAAACCTGCCTCCAAAGCCCCAGCTGAAAAGAAGCCAGCTGCCAAGAAGACTGCTTCCACTGATGCTAAGAAGAGAACCAAGACCAGAAAGGAAACTTACTCTTCTTACATTTACAAGGTTTTGAAGCAAACTCACCCAGATACCGGTATTTCTCAAAAGGCCATGTCTATCATGAACTCTTTTGTCAACGATATCTTTGAAAGAATTGCTGGTGAAGCTTCTAAGTTGGCTGCTTACAACAAGAAGTCTACCATCTCTGCCAGAGAAATCCAAACTGCCGTTAGATTAATCTTACCCGGTGAATTGGCTAAGCACGCTGTTTCTGAAGGTACCAGAGCCGTTACTAAATACTCTTCTGCTTCCAACTAATTTTAGTAAAGTCGTGAGTTATTATGTATATTAGGTTATTTTAATGAATGTTATTATATGAGCTTTTAGTTGCCACTAGTGGGTTCTATTTGATGTCCCGGTGGATCCACTCGTTGTCAACAACTATTAATAAAATGCACATGTAGTTAAAAAGCTGATATAACCAGAACGTGTTTATGCTTCCGTAGAAGAAACAATAACTCATAAAGTATGCCAAGTACACAATAATCACATTGGTGTATTTAAGCCGGATAATGTTTTTGTAGTTGACCAAATAGATGATGGGAACAATCGAAAGAATATTATGATGAGAGCTGAACAGTGTTTTCCAATTAACAGTTAGATTGTGTACAAGCACCACAATAATCGGTACGTTGATGGGAAGGATCCAGATCATCATCATGAACATTATCACATTATAGTTAATTTCATTATTATTTTTCAACCCGAGAGTCTTGAGTAGTTGTGTCACTGTAAGTACCACATATATCACTTGGTAGGGCAAGTAGACGATTGTGAGGAGAACCATCAAAGCAAGCACAATATTTTTCACCTTTAGGTTCGGCTTGGGCAACTTGATTAGTCCTCCCAGTTTAAGGAAACTGGTAACAAGAAGGTTTATTAACACATTAATGCAGACACTCAAAGTCAAAAACATGAGGTGCAAGAAGAAGGAGCCAGAAACGCCCAACCCGTTGACCTCAGTGACCTCGAGATGAACAAATGCAATAATTTTCCTTACAATACTCAGTACGTCCGCTGACCTGATTAGCACCAGTAAAATACATACTAGGTCACGGAGACACTCCAGAGTCAACAACTTGTCAAGGGTCTTTTGATAGGTGGGAAACTTGTTTGTCTTTTCATACTCCTTGAGCTGGAATGCAAACACAAGCAAGTTTACGATCAACCCATAGCTCAAAATGGTGATTCTGTATCTGATGATAAGCAACTTGAGTCTCACGAGAAAATTGGGTTTGATGTGTACAGTAAGAGGGGTTTGGTCCCCGACATGTCCAGTCCAGACCTCTAGCTGTAAGTCTTCACCCACAGGAGGTAAGTATGGGGCTTGGCCATGGAAATTTAAATTAAATTCATTGTCGATATGCCATTTAGTCTCTTCATTGATGAACTGCCTTATGATTGGATTAAAGTCCAACTTCTTGTAACTCACATCATACGACATGAGGCTGCTTCGTACTCCCTTTAATCTGACGGTTGTTCTCAACCCCGAGGGAACTTTAAACAGACTACCCAACCAGCCTGGCCTCACTTCCACTAGTGGCAGCTCCTTCAACTCAACAAGCGAATCAAGACCCGTGACGACCAAATGGCTGTATTCATTGACAACATCAGGATCCAATCGAAGACCATAGTACGGTGAGGTCTTGTCCCTTATGCTTGAATCTTTTATCGACTCCACATCGTTGGATTTTGGTATCATGTTTACCATGGAGCTATAGTCATGGCACGAGAATGAGACAAATTCACTGGTACTTTCGTCAGTCATATCATGGATGGTTTCGGGCCTGATGCTATCACTGCACAAGTAAACGCACGAGTCCAAAGGTTTTTCAAGGCTCAAGAGCAGAAACGTCTCGTTGGCACCAATTTTGAACACACTAGAGACAGACACCGACGTCTTGATCACGGATTTGGAAGCTTGTTGGTGAACATTGGCTTTGTCGAGCTTCAAGGTCACTGAACTAAGAACCTCGTCCAGGTCTGCTTTCTCGAACCCAGCAAGAAACCGGTTCTTGAGCAACTGCATTCTTTCATCCAAACCCACAACCTTCTCACTGCTGCCGACATCCATGATATCCAACAACGCGTTCAGCAACACCGTTCGTAGCTGGTCACACCAAACGATTGCCAAGTGGTCAATCGGGGTCCAAACTCCAGGAATCCCCGTGGAAAATACCGTGAACCCGTTGGAATCGGGTACCAAGCCCTTCATGGTGGTGTAGTCTGCGGGCAAAGTCATATCCGACGAGCCCCCTGTAATGGACAAGATCGAAACATCTCGTAAACGAGCACTGGCGACATCTGACAACTCGCTGTTGCCGTAGTATGCCTCGTGCCAAAACTCATTCACGGCTCTGTAAACCTTCATGATATCTCTATCAAAGGTCAACGGAGACTTGGAGTGTGGCGATGAGAGAGTAATCATCACCTTTATGGAGTCTTCCTGATAGTTGGGGAGTGTCGGTAGCACGCGGGCCACGATACCGCCCATAGAATGGCCTATTATTATAACCGACTTGGGAGGAACCTCGTCTTGAGAATATAGACTTAGTATGAATTTAATAGCCTCGTTGAGGTATTCGGCCTGGTCCAACATGGTTCTACCATGGAAAGCGGTGAAGTCTTCGTTGAAGTCGGCGGTGAAAAAATCGAGTTTGCCATGCTTGGAGTTGAAGCCGTCGTATTGTTTGTCGGCGATTATATTTGAAGTTTTGGATGCAATGGACCGTACCTGTCGGTAGCTGCCGGCATTCCCAGGGATGAAAAGTACCGGTGTTCCGTCCAAGCGGTAGTTGTTGGAGGCCTTGGGCCGCAAGTCTTTACCTTGTTCTCGGTACAAATACAACGAGTACTTTGATGCGTACTGGGTGTACAGAAGATCGAATCCCAAGATACGGGCGTAGCTGGGCCCCATTCGGACGGGGCGGCACCCAGGGGTGTCGGAGCCCACCAACTGGTAATTATAGAGTGAGACAAGTGCCACCCATAGCACAATCCCCACTAAAGTGATAGGTATTTTAAAGCACCTGGCCATTGAGTTACAAACAAATGTTCGCACCGAGTAATTTCTAAGTATAATATTGAGCATAACTACTCATAAGCATAATACTGAGTATAATTACTCATGAGTATAAGTATAAGTACATATGACAGACAAAGTTTCCAAAAAAATATCTGGATAAACACCAGATAAAGTCAATCAGACTTCTTGGCCTTGTTCTCGTCCTCATCCAACTGATTCGCTCGCTCCACAATCACAACTTTATCCCCCACCGTCTCACTGTGGTCGGCCACCTGGACCTCGACCGACTCCTTCAAAAAGCCCTCATCCTTGGCCAAATTCACCAAGGCTTTGATCTCACTGGTGGAAAAATGCCCGTCCAATGGGATTTTTCCCTGGGGTATCTCAAACCCATCATGGTCAGTAATCTTTTCTCCCTTGGCCTTGTTGGGCATCTGTACCGAGTTCTTCTTGTCCTTATGAGACGTGTCACTGGCTTCGTGGCTCAATTCCTCTGAGGGTGACAACGGCCTATCGGGAGAACTGTCGTGAGGCTGAGGGTTCTGGTGAATAAGGTCCTGGAGCTTGTCGACAGTGCCGGTCGCTGGGTCCTTGTTAGCGCTCTGTGCTTCTGGCTGGGTAATGATTTCGATTTTGTTCATGGTAGTTGGAGTAGGTGAAAAACTGTTTGTGGGTTCCAGATCTATATATATGGCTTGCTAGATATGACGTAATTTAGGCCACTCGCGGACTGCAAAGTGTTGCTAAACCAAGGCCAAATGTCCCCCACCACGGTGCGAAATCTGGCACTGCGCCCGCCCTAGTTTCTACAGCAGCCGAACCCTCAGTTCATCCTCGCTCCTCACGAATTTCGCAGTTTCCCAAACATGCCTGAGGCAACCATAAAAGAACTCCAAGACAAAATCAACGCCTTGAGCGGGATCGTTGAAAAGCAGTCGGTGCTTATCTCCAAGACGGGGCAGCAGTTGATCGAAATGCAGGTCAAAAATGTCAAGCGTAGCATGAAAGATACGGGCTCGTCTACGCCCGCTGCCAATGTTGACATGTCTGACTACGTGACAAACGAAGATATCGTGCAGTTGGTGGGTGAACTACAGTCGCAGTTGGACTTGGTAGAGGACCGATCCATCAGCCGATTGTTCAATGCGAGCTTGGATAAAGACAGCCAGTTGATCCATATCATTCCTAATAGAGATGGGGAAATCACCGATTTGTTCCCCCAGACGTTGGCAGATTTCCGTGCATTGGACAAAAGTGACGTGATCCAGTTGTGTGAGTTCTACGAGTTGATTACGCCTGGTGCCGAAAACTTGGACAAGTTGCTCAGTGATACGACGCTGGAGACAGTTGCTCAGGCTCACCAGGTATTGGACAGTGGGGCGGAGGCGAAGTTGAAGGCGAGTGACGAGGAAGTGAAGGGGATGAAGAAGGAGTTGGCCCGGTACTTTGGGTTGGTGAAGTATGAGGAGAGTAGCTGAAGTGGTGGTCTTCAAAGCAATATAAGCTGTGGTGGTCTTCAGAGCAATATAAGCTATGACACTGAAATGGAGTTGTGAATCAACCTGACGGGTGTCAACCTGACCTATACACCCACCGAAGTTCTGACATATACACCACACTCATACACCCCCTGTCAACCGTGTATATATATCAACTACATATCAACCATTGCAAATTCTTCCTCACTCAAATCATGTTCGCATTTGAAATTGAAAATCTCTAACGTGTACACCATGGACGAAGAAAACCCACAATCACAAATAAATATCTCGGTGTTCACGCCCATAATCTACTTGTGTATCTTGCTATCATGTTTCATTGCATTCTCGGTCATCTACAGGCGTAGAAGAGTCAATAACTTGGCCAAGGTGGTACCTATTTTCGAAGAAAACCACTCCGCTAATGTGTATGCATTTTTGAACAGCCAGTATTCGGATCCCGAATTGCCCAAGGATCAGAAACCTCATGAAAAGGTCATGAAGGCCGCGTTGTTGAGAAGAGGTGTCGAGGCCATAAGAAGGTCGTTGAGATTGAAAGAAGCAGAACCCGTCTATAAAACTTTATACCAGGACGGCTTGATTGGAGACGACGTGTTCCAACAGTTTAACATTCAGCTCAAACTCCAGGAATTGGAAATCAATGAAATCGTCCAGCAGTGTGAATCGTTCAAAAAGAACTGGGCCCAGCTGTTCTTTAAAGTGGCACAAGAAATCTGCTTTAATGAAGCTTTGAGAAGAAGATTGTACTCCATGTCCGAAAGAAAGGTCGACTTGTCGGAAGTGTGGGAGTACTACGCCGACAAGTCCGAGACAGAGGTGGCCAAGAAGATTGATTCTATAGAGCCACCACTGGGAGCTTCTGGAGTGGAAGTGTCGAGTTCCAAGGCCAAGAAGAACAAGAACAAGAAGAAGGCATAAACAGAACACATTCCCACATATAGCCATAGTACACTTATCGCTCTAATATAGCTACCGGTCGCACCGTCTCTTATTTTTAGCGTAGACTGTTGCATCACTATTCGGTATGTCTCGCCAGCTGCGATTTGACTTGCGAGTGAAATCAACATTCTTGTTTTGTTTCACGTCTCCATACAAATTCAGTCTAAATGAATTACCCCCGGCCCAATCCCAACCGGGCACCACCTCCTCAACTGACCCAGAGGTCCCCCAATCCCAATTTACAGCTGCGCAAACAGTCGGCGTCTTTGTCGCCCAATCCAAACTTTACAGCAAATATGATGGGTGCTGGCACTCCAGCCTCAACGTTTGTAACACCATCAGGACGAAGACCCTCGGGTGGAAGGCCCCCGTACCCCAATCGAGGCTCCCACCCCTACGCAACAGCTAGTGTCACACCTCCCTCGGGCCCTCCTTACTCCGCTCATGGTTCTTACCCTAGTACCACTGGTTCCACCTCAAATCACAATTCCTATAACGATCTATCATCGAATCGAAGTAGCATTTCCACCAAAATCAAAGAGGATTGCTACAACAAGTTCATCAAAGATAACGGCCAGACCGTTCGGGAATCGACATACCAAGCCCATCTCCTGGTGAAGGAATATTCTCAATACTCGGCCAACCCTCCACCTGCAAACGTTCCCGATAGCCAATTGGGGTCCGTCAAAGAACGTATATTGGTGTTGTGTACGAAGTACTCAGGAAGGGTGTTGTTGCAGAAAGGGAAACTCAATGAGCTGAAAAACCAGTATCAAATTGGAAGAACCTGGGATCTTGAAGAGTTGAAGGCCATCACCAAAGCTGGTGCTGACGGACTTATTTTGAGTCTCAACAAGGATTATTACTGGAAATACGAAGAGGGACCTGACAGAATCGAACGGTTTGTCAAGTTCTTGACAAGGTCTTATGGTATGTATATGGGAAAGTATCCGGTGTTAAATGGGTGGTCCATCGAAGAATTCGATTTACCACTTACCGCCGTCAAGAAACCATTTGGAGTGAATGCCTCTACACAAGAAGTGTCCTACCCTCAACCTGACGCACAACTCATGAAGTCCAAGTCTCTTAAGCGCAAGAACTTGCCTAACCCGGTGCTACCATCTCTACCGCAACCTCGACAAACATCTCAGTCTTCTTTCCAACAAACCGGTCAACTGAATGTATCTGTCGAGGATCTTTACAAGGATATAGACTTCACTGCCAATGGAAAATTGCCCATGAAGCCCATGAAAGTTATCACCCGGTCAGCTGATATTTCTCAAACCTCGTTGCCTGAAAGCACAGGAACAAGCAGAGAGTATTTGAACCAAACATCCGACTCTCATTATCCCCAGTCATCAATGAATCATCCTTACCAAAGCGTCGCTCCAGCAAGAAGTGAAACGGAATTTACCAATGATTCCCAGAGTTTTATCTTCGGCCCTGAAGACATAGCAGAAGAATTACCGAAGCAAAGGACTAGCCAAAGGGCAAATTCCTCGGCCCAATCTCAACAACTGGGATCCAGAAAGGTGTCTGAACAGTTTGAAACCAATGCGGCGCTACACATGCAATTGGAAGAAAGATTAAGGCAACCTAATGGTATATTTGATTCAAGTCAGGACTACGGTATCGAAGAATCTAATTTTACTGACGAAGAAGAACTCGGAAAGCCTATAAATGCAGTTATTCTTGAAGAGGAAAGTCTCAAGGATGTCTCACAGTCAAGTAACATTGACAGTAGAGACATGGGTGCTATTGACTCTTCCATTCAAGAAATTGAGGATTTCATGGACTCCCAATTAAACTTTGGGCTGAGAAACAAGTCCATATCCAAATCTATTATGTCCTTAAGAGCACCAGCAACTCAAAATAATGTCATAGTAATAGACTCCCTGGAAGCTGATGTACTGGATGACAGGAGCTTTTTGGCAACTGAAAACGACACTAGTAACACCCATGACTATACAGAGTTCGAGACCGAGACTGACGCTGAAGCAGACTTGAATGTCTCCAAGAAAACAGGTACTTTGCAACAAGATAGAGATCCTGAAATTGAGGAAATTTTAGATGAACTTCAATGGGAAATTGAAGATGATTGCAATACTCTTATCAAGAAATTGACAGGCGAATTGAACAAGTTGAAGTACAACAATGTTAAAGAGCTTGTAAATTTGGATTTTAGTGGTGACTCTAAGAAAGAAGACTTGAAAACGTCTTTGGATGAGATCGAAAATATCAACCACATCTTTAGAAAAATGGAGATCAACTTCAAGATCTTGGCTCCCGAAATTAGTACCATTGAAAACAATTCCCAGGGTTTACAAGTCAAATCTGTAAACAAAAAGTCGCTATTCAAAGATCTCAAGTCGATATTGGATAAAGTTAGTATGTCTGCAAGGGACTTATCTGCAATCGAAAATTTCAAAGAGTTTGACAGAATCAATATGTTACAGACCGTTGAATCACAGATCTTGAATCTATACAATGCTTTAGAGACGATTAGACAAGATCAAACGCGGGATATTGATGATTCGGATCGCTTGGATTCTATGAATGCGTTGAAGCAGTATCTTTCAAATTATGGATCTGTCTCGAACAGATTCATCAAACATTTTCTTGATTTTTTCAAAAAACAATTCTCCTTTAGAATGGATCAGTTAAACTCGTTGGACAGAATATATCCCAAGTCATTGTATGTGGAATTAAACAGTCTCACAATCTATTCTACGTTTACATTTTTTACCAAGGAAATCTCTCCCGGTGACTTTAACGACTTGAAGTTGTTTGTGACATCCAGATTGGCTGACTTCCTTGAGAAGTTGTTGAAGATGAGAATCAAGACAATCAAGTTTTCTGATTCTCATGCTAAGTTTGACACAGCAAATGCTTCAGTATCATCTAGGCTTGAGAGTTCTGAGCTTGGTTCGTTGAAAAAATCAAGAACTTTGAGGCTAGCCTCCAGAAGAGACAAGTTGATTGGGAAGTTGGGCTTCTCAGAGGAAGATCATTTACCCAAAGTATCTGCTCCTTCTTCGCCAAAAGTGGAAACCCCCGCTTCCGAAGCCAATTATTCCAACTCGTTGGTAACCTCTACGGGGATTGAAGATACCAAGACCATTGTTGATATTGTGAGTGATGCCAAAGAAATTTCAATCATATTAACGAACTTCATTGGGCAAGTGTTTCATTATGAAAGTAATATTTTCAACTTAAACGACTTTATGAAATTCAATCCACTTGAAAAAAGAGTTGAAAACCTAGATAAGGCTCCAATTGAGGTACAAAATAACTACACAAATGACTTGGTATCGGTATTGAACTCTATTTTTGGTAATTATAATAACTTGTTCACCAAGAAGATTGTGCCTATCGAGTACAACATTCCGGTTATTTTATTGTACTTGGAGTCGTTATCAAACGAGTCTCAAAAGGAGAACCTTGATTACTTCGTGTTCAATTTCTTGAAGAAGGTCTTGGATAAGTATAGGCATAGCTGGACCAAGTTTGTTAAAGGTCATATAGACATGGTGAACAAATCTTCTGTCAGTTCAAAAAGTGGAATTCTTCCCTGTATTAAGAATGTTAACCAATTTTTCCATTTGACAGAATCAGCGTTAGACCATCGTTCTAGAGTTTATGGTGACTTGGATGACTCTGACACCAAGACTATTTTGGCTCAGTCTTACAAGGAAATTACAGAAGCCTGTATTCATTTATTCGTTAAAGATGACCCCTTATTGAAGAACACTGAATTCGATGAGAAGGAAAGAAACCACAGAAATGTTAGCATCATGCAGAATATCTTCAGCCTCTCAGAGCAGTTGGTATTATTCAATAACGAAAGAACGAATAAAGTCAAATCCAAGTTGGATACTGTTTTTAAGAAGGTTCAAGAGACGTATTTCAGCAAACTATTGAACCAGAATATTGGCAAAATCGTTGAATTTGTCAACAATTTCGAAGCCTTGACCGATAATAACGTCAAGGCTAAAAAGTACAATAAGAAAACCGTGAAGACAATTTTATCGGGATACACTACCAAGGATCTAGGCAACAGAGCTGGAGAAATTCGGCGGAAGCTCGAAAAGCATTTTATTTCTGGCAATAATATGTTTGAAAAGGATTTGTTAGACAGGCTTTGGAGTGATATGGAGAAGCAGTTCATCATGTACTTTTTCAGATTGGACAATATTCTTTCAAGAAACTATAGTGACATCGAGTATCATATTTCCAAGCAAGAGATTCATTCCATCTTTAGATCTCTTAATTCGTAAGCGAAATGATGATCGCGGTTTACTGGGCAAATTAGATATACAAGTTTTTGGCACGTAAAATGTTTATTGTAGCTTGTGGCTGTTACTAAAGAGAATTATTTGGTGGTTGATTAGACTCTGATTTTTTGGTGAATTTAGGGAGACTCTTTATCATCCTTTTTGTTAATATTCTTATATAGCACTTTTTTATCAATTGTTGCAAAATTCACAGAACTAAAAAAAACTAACTGCATGATTTACTTACGGATCATCATATTCGTGTATATAATCTACGTCAATAATATGCCCTCCCCCTAACTGAAGAATCATTTTTATTCTGGGGCGAATCACCGAATACCCTTGGTTTAAAAGCAGGAATGTCACTAACGGGTATTTGAGACCCTATAGGCCACCTACTATCCTTCTGAATATCTTGATAGTGTGTGACAGTATCAAACACCAAGTTATCGTTCTCTTTCGTGAACTTGAGATGGAGTTGAATCAACTGGTCAAACAAATAGGTTATGTCCTTCAAGATGATACCAGATTTTTGATTAAACAATGAGCTGTTGAGATTCATGGACGTTATGCTCTGAAGGTTATTGATATAGGCTTCATTTTTCTTCTCGGAGAATTTCGATTTCAACCTAATTTTAAGCTTACTTCTCTTTGGTTTAATGACAGACATGCTTTTACTCTGAAGAGTGACAAGACAATAGTTCAAAAGACCAATTGCTTGACCCAACTTGTTTTGCTGATATGTTTCAATAGACAAAAATAAACCAGCATATGCATTGGCATATTTTTCAACCAATGTCAAGTATTCGGACCAACTGTTTGTATCTATACAAACCAAGTAATTGGGGTTCGCTTGAAGGTCCCCCAAGATACTTTTGCAGTTTTTCAATTCACCCAAAACATAAATAGCTACCCGACACAAAGTCCCATTATTATTCGTCTTGAAGGTCTCGTTTTCATTGTAGCTGTTTCTGTTAATCCAGGACGATTTTGAAAGAATCGACATTTGAATACAGATGCTACTTATTTTCTCCACAAAACCAAATAAATTTCCATTTAGATGGTTGGACTCCCTGAAGTTACCGTTAACTTCCATGCCATACTTGGCAAATGAAATGGCCTTTTTGAAGAAACTCATCACCTGTTTCCACTTTTCATTGACCTCTTCAACAGAATTCTGAGCATCAACTTCTATTTCGATCAACTCGTTCACCAACTCAGCACCGAGCCGATTATATATCAAGCATGTAGCAAGTATACTTATTTCGATCTCATTAATTAAATACCAATCTCCTTTATTACTTTTGAAGTTTGCAAGCTTCTTTATGCTGCTGAGAGGTGAAGTTTCAGGTAGTTTGCGGAAATGCATGTGTAGCCACGGAATAGTGGAAGTCAAACCAACAATTTTACACTCACCACAGAACTGGACTAAACCAGCCAATGAGGATGTTGTTTTGGATTTAGAGTTTGCAAATTCAAAGAGGTCCTCCACATATTGTTCCAAACTCACGACATATCTAACCAAATCATTGTATGTATCTGTGGAAGCGCTCGACAAGGAGGCCCTCGAAGAAGCCAACTGAGGAGTAAACACATCGGCTTCTACTTGTAAAAGGGTTGGAATTGGTGGAGTGTTGGGTAAAATGATCATGATGGAGACAAGAAGCTTTAGGTTTTTTTCGCGTTATCAAGAAATTTGGTGGAACTAGCAACACGTTAACAGATGGAAATTCCTGATTCTAAGTACAAGTATGGGATTGTTGTGGATTCAGGATCCTCTGGATCCCGACTTCAAGTATACAGGTGGCCAGATCCCAAGTATGTTGCCAAAAATACTAAGGAACCATCGATCCTCCAGTCCCCACCCAAGATCACCCAAGAGCCAAACTGGTCAATGAAAACCACACCTGGTATATCAACCTATAGCAACAAGGTTAAGAAAATATGGCCAGATCATTTCAAGAAATTGATTAAGTTTGCTGAGGAAATTGTGCCCAAAGATAAGCAATCAGAAACACCTATTTTTGTTTTAGCTACTGCCGGTATGAGACTCTTGACCCCCAAAGACCAGAAAAAGCTATTGTCACAAACTTGTTTGGAGTTAAAGAAGAATTCCAAGTTTGTGATTCATAACTGTGGAGACCACATTCAAATCATTGACGGAGAAACAGAAGGGATCTATGGATGGGTTGGTTTGAACTATTTGATGAATCAGTTGGAGAATTATGATGGCAAAGATGCTGCTCACGAGTCAATAGGTTTCATGGACATGGGAGGTGCTTCAACGCAAATTGCGTTTGTGCCTTCATATGCGGAAGACATTAAAGAACACAGAGAGGATATTTCTCGGGTAACGTTGAGGAATGTTAACGGTCTAACCCAAGAATGGAATGTGTTTGTGGAAACCTGGTTGGGATTCGGGGCTAACCAAGCACGCAAGAGGTACCTTTCCCAATTGGTTGAGCTATCGAAGATCAATTCGAACGTGGGAACCCTGTTGAATGATCCCTGCTTGCCTAAGAATGCAGAGATCTCCTACGATCATGATGGAACCTCTTATAAAATCAGTGGTATAGGAGACTACGAGATGTGCATAAGGACCATTTACCCATTGTTAATGAAGAATGTACCGTGTAAAGAAGAACCTTGTTTATTCAATGGTGTCCACGCTCCCAGGTTGAACTTTGATAAAGACAAATTTGTAGGTATTTCTGAATACTGGTACACTGCTAACGATGTGTTTCAAAGTGGAGGCGAGTACAATTACCGGATTTTCAATGAGCGAGTGAAGAAGTACTGTGAACTGAACTGGGCCGATATATTGGAGAATTCTGGTAAAGGTGAATACTCAAAATTGGATCCAGATAAGTTTTTGAAAGATGCATGTTTCAAAGCTAGTTGGGTTATCAATATTCTACACGAAGGATTTGATTTACCCAGATTAGACTTAGAATTACCAAAGGAAGATGTAGTTGAAGGAGAAGAGAAAGAGATCACCAAGGTTCATGTTCCTTTCAAATCTACAGACGCCATCGATGGTAACGAGCTTTCTTGGACGTTAGGAAAGATGCTCTTGTATGCATCTTCAGAGATTCCCTCCAAAGAGAAGGATGGTCTGAATATTGGTGTCTATCCAAGTGAAATATCAGGAAAGAAGTTTGTTCCGGCTGGAGGGTTTATTGATGGCAAAGGGTACGATAGTGATGACGATGACAATGATAAGGGATTCTTGTTGCCGTTATTGGTTTTTCTTTTGCTTATGTTTTTGGTGTATAACTTTGCCAAGGGCAAGGTGGCATTTCCAAAGCACAGAAGGTTCAACCAAGCCAAAAAGCTATTTTTTGAAATGATTCTGAAAGTCCCTGGTTTAAACAATGTGTTGGAAGCCCAACTTCGCTATAATGAGCTCAATCGCAACGATATGGATATAACCTTGGAAGAAGGAGCATTGGGGTCCTCACAATCTAGCCCGAACCTTACCCAACTTAGAACCCGATCAGCTATTAATTTGAGCGAAGGAGATAACTTTGCTGAAGGTACCATTAACCCTCAGACAAACTTTTTGAATAAACCGTTTGCTATGCCTAAAAAGAGCCCATTTTTCCAATCCCAAAATAACAGTAGAGAGTCTCTCCAAAGAAGCGTGAGCAATATGTCGGTACAAAAATCTCGGAATATAGATTGAGAAAATTACAAAGACACCTACTTTTGTTTGATTTGACTAATTCAACTGAGAGGATTAAACCAGAGATAGACACTCACTTTAGCTATATTTGACTACTGCTATCTATGTTATTCTTGCGGTTATTTACTTGTTTGACTTGTTTACTGACGGTTCAGTATATCACTGCTTTGCCTGTGTTGAAGCCACAAAGCGAAATGAGATTGGCTCCAAGAGACTCGGTCGAGTTTGTTCTTGGAGGCGAAGATATTGCCAAAGCCGCCAAGTATGCGCGTTACAAGATTCCTGAAGTAGCTCATGAGTGGAAGGACTCATTTAAAACCAAGCTTGCTAATAAGTTGTTAAACACAGGCAAAAACGAGCCCGACATTGCACAGAAGCACACCATTATTAACTCAGATTTAATAGAACTCTTGGAAGATGGCCAATACCGTCTCATCAAACAGAACGGAGACGTTCAAGTTGGTGATATGGAAGATGAACCACCTCGGCGTCCACGGCCAAAGAGTCTTAAGACCAACCCCAAGGATCTTGGCATCAAGAATCATCAAGCATTCAAGCAAAAAACTACTTACCAGGACCCATTTGAAGCATAATGCTAGCCATTCATAGGTATAACTACATAGATATAATATATTTGCAACCAATTGATTTTGCGACTAATTTGTGTAAATGCTCATCGGTCGCGCATCGCCCAAGTTATAAAAAGTTGCAGCATCTCTTCGCATCAAAAATTTTTCTTGATAGAGAGACATCCAACATTACTGATAATACACAATGAGGGCCAAGAAGCAAACTTCCAAGAGAACCTCTACTCGAATGAGAGAAGGGATTAAGAAGAAGGCTTCAGCCAAAAGAAGAAAGGATAGAAAAATGTCCAAGAAGGACGTCACTTGGAAAGCTAGAGGAACCAGAGATCCAGGTATCCCTGCAAGTTTCCCATATAAGGACAAGATTCTTATGGAATTAGAAGAGAAGAGGCAGATAGAGCAAGAAAGAAAAGAGCAATTGAAGTGGCAAAGACAGCAAGAGAGAGAAGAAGCTTTGTCTAAAGGTGAAGCTATTAATATGGAAGACAGTTCTGATGATGAGGACCAAGGCAATGGAATGGCTGCATTATTAGAATCTGCCCAACAAGCCGCCAAAGAGTACGATGGTGAGTTTGATGTCAATGATGATGATGCAATGGTGGACTCCGAAGACGATGTGGAGTATGATATAAGCATGGACGAAGATGAAGACACGAATTCCGAATTGGACAAATCCCGTAAGGCATATGATAAAATTTTCAAGACAGTTGTTGACCAAGCTGATGTTGTTTTGTACGTGTTAGACGCTAGAGACCCTGAATCCACCAGATCCAGAAAGGTGGAAGAAGCGATTTTGCAAAATCCAAATAAGAGATTGATTTTGATTTTGAATAAAGTGGACTTGATTCCTACCGATGTATTGAACCAATGGGTAACTTTCTTGAAGAGCATGTTCCCAACTATTCCAGTGAAAGCATCTCCATCCACTTCTTCCACCAGTTTCAACAAAAACTTGACCTTGACCTCGACTGCCAATTCGTTGTTACAAGCGTTAAAAGCCTATGCTACCAAAGCGAACTTAAAGAGATCCCTTATAGTAGGTGTTATCGGATATCCAAATGTGGGAAAATCCTCTATCATAAATGCATTGACGAACAGACACACAAATAACTCCAAAGCATGTCCTGTTGGAAATCAAGCCGGTGTTACCACCTCTTTAAGAGAAGTCAAAATCGACAACAAGTTGAAGGTTTTAGATTCTCCTGGTATTGTGTTTCCAGATGAAATTTTCAACAAGAAACAGAGCAAGTCTGCTCAAGAAGCAAAGTTGGCTTTGTTGTCGGCTTTACCTCCCAAGCAAATCATCGATCCTATTGCCCCTCTTAACATGTTGTTGAAAAAATTCTCTAAGAATGCCGAAATGGCAGAGGGATTGAAGAACTATTATAACTTACCATCGCTCCCAGCCAATGACTTCAATGAATTCAGTAAACAATTCTTGATTCATATTGCCAGAACCAAAGGAAGATTAGGAAAAGGTGGTGTTCCTAACTTGGAAAGTGCTGCTTTAGCTGTGTTAAACGATTGGAGAGATGGAAGAATTGTGGGATGGGTTTTACCAAGCAACTCAAAGGCTAATGCTGCTTCTGCCGAAGAGGCCATTGATTCCAATGTTCCTAAAAGCTCATCTAGAGGAGAAAAAGAGCCCCCTAAAGTTGAGCAAACTACCGTGGTAAGTACATGGGCCAAAGAGTTCGATTTGGACGGATTATTGAACGACAATTTCGGGTTAAACTAAGCATCACTTAATGTATATGTAATTCATAAATGATATTCTAAAATAATTTTGCAGTCAACCAGAAAATTCGAAGCGCGGTATCTTGTTTCTTCACAGATGTACCAGGTCAATGATAGAATACAATTCATAGACAACCAATTTGCAACTGTACGATTTGTGGGTCAGATACCCGAATGGGGAGAACAATTAGCACTTGGAGTCGAGTGGGATGATCCAGCTAGAGGCAAGAATAACGGATCTGTGGGTGGAATTGAATATTTCAAGACGAGACAGGCGGGAGCAGGTTCTTTTATTAAAGTGAATAATAAGAAGATCTTGAACAAAAGAGTCTCGTTTGACGAGGCGCTCTTGGAAACGTATGGTGTGGAGGAAAATCAGATTGGGGCAGCCATAAGGATTGGACTGAAGAAAGTAGAGAGTTATGGATTTGAGAAGTTGAACAAGATCAATGCCAATTTCAGTCGATTGACTTCTGTCAGTTTGGACTTCAAATGCATTTATACCATCTGCAAAGGAAGAAGTTTGCTATCTTTGACATCTTTGGTAAAATTGGACTTTAGCTTTAATTTGATTAATGATATGGGAGACATCTGGCTGGCTCTTGACAAGCTACGTACATTGAAGGAGTTAAATCTCAATGGAAATAGGTTTGAAATTATTCCCAAATCCAATACCATCCACGGATTAGAGATTCTTAAGCTTTCAAACACACGGATAAGGCCCAGTGATTTGAAGCAGCTGGTGTTGCCTAAGTTCCCTCATTTAAGAGAAATCACTCTTGCAAGCAATGGGTATACTGACGAGGACGACTTGAGCTTCAACTTCATCGAAAATGTCGACTTGTCATTCAATGGGCTCACGCAAATTCCAAGCGTCAACTGTCTTTCTCTTAACTTGTCTGACAATAAAATCAATTACATCTACAATGCTTGCACTTTTAAAGCCATTGATTTGAGGTATAATGAGATCGATTCATGGGAGTTTGTCGAAGATCTACAGTCAAAATCACGCCTTAGGGAACTAAGAATCGACAACAATCCACTTTTTGAAGGCTTGGAGGAAGACGAAGTCACAGTCAATTTGATAGCACGGTTTGAGTGCGTTGATGATAAAAGTGCCCAGGAAGAGGGCCTACGTAAATTGAATGGGTCCCGCTTGAGTCGGGAAGAGATAGAGAATGCCGAACTATATTTCATCAGCAAGGTGCAAAAGGGTGACTATATTTGCAACGAAACAAGTGAACGATGGAAGCAGTTGAAACTGAAGCATAACGTCAAAGATGAGATTCGTGGTCCGCGTCTCAACGAGTTTGCTTATCATAAAATAAGGATTAAGGTCTACTGGAACAACGAGTTGATACTCGACCAAATGCTCCTCAACACCAACACGATCATGAGGCTAAAAGGAAGCGTGAGCCGTAAATTGAACAAGTCCATCTTCAGTTTCAGACTTTACTACTTTTTGACGGCTGAGGTGAAACAGTATTTGGACGATGAGATAGGTAGAATCGGCGACTTTGACCTCCATCAGCAAGACATCTATATTGCCATAGAGGCAAATCATGTAAAATAATGTACATTAACTATTCACGCATGTTCCACAAGCCATCGCCCAAGAAATGGACCAACTCGATACCATGCCCTTTGTTTTTAGATTTAATATCATCAACACTCATTATAAGCTTACCAATTGCCAAAGCATGTTCTTTTCCTTCGGCATAAACAGTAACAATGGATCCTTCGTCAAGGTTTTCTTCGGGTAATTGTCCACCGGCACTGGTCAATCCAGGACACATGATATTAGCTCCCGATAACACAAACTTGATGGCACCACGGTCGACCTGGACCCTGGGGAAACATTCGGGGTACTGGTGGACAAGTCTAAGGTGGGGCATCAAATTGGAGTCGAAGTGTTGGAATAAAACCACCTCATTATCGATTGAGTATAATTGGATTCTGTCCTCACATTTGATCAATATAACCTGGGACTTCTTTGGTATTATGGTATCGATGATGGGCTCCAAGTCCTCAAACTGTCCCACGAAGTTGGACTTCAAGCCTCTCTGGGCCGACGACTTGATGTTAGACCGGGAATGAATATCTTCTTTTGTGAACTTCTTAAACATCTTAGTCTGAATTCGATAGCGATTTCGCATTAAAAAATTTTCAAATGTATAGTTAGCAGCCATTAGGAAATGAGCAACTATATAGTGGGGAGAGAACAGAGCGGTTGGTTGCCAAGTACAAGTACATTCACAAGCACAAACACAATTACACACGAGAGACAGCAGGACGGAAGTCGCCAAACTACTACGCCTAATGTTAAGGTTTATAATTACAATAGCACCATGGGATGGTATCGTACTCAAAAGAAACCTTGTCAATCTAGCCCATTACAAAGCATGGTAAACCAATGCTAGTATCCAGCTCAAGACTTGCCAGTAGACAAGTCGAGCGAGGCACAAGGCAGAACGGTCCGTGGTATGAAGGATGTAGACACATAGTGAACATAACAACAATGATTATTACGCTTAACAGGAGAGCAATGGAGCGTCACAATACACATTTCCCATCAACCTCTCAATTATCTCGAACGCCATGACCTCACAATATTCAAGGTAAAAGAAGAGTTTGATATTCAAAGAATAATCAAAGAAAAAAGGTGTCCAAAAATTCCCTTGACATCAGTAACTCGGGGCTACCACATATCAAAGAGTTGTCAGGTTAGTTTTCAACTAGCAAAAACATGATCTCGGACGAATCCTCACTGATACACGTAATGCCCCTGCATAAAGATGAAGAAGAAAAGAAGAAAAAGAAGAGAATTTCCACGCCGGCGAGGTTGGTGATATTTATATTTGGATTGGAGCGGCGTGCGGGTAACCGTTTGGCACCTCACCGCCTATTCTATATGGGTATTTAAATACTCTATGCATGATGCTCGAGAGTTAGTATCCGAACCCTTGACCATTTCTATATACAGCTTAAGTTGGGTCTGGGCTTTTTTGGCCGTCAAAGTGTCCATATTTTTCATGGTTTCGTTGAAACGTTTGGTCTTGGTGCTACTCAACTGGCTGCAAGAACTGTGAATTGGGTCGTAGAATTTGATATCAGGAGGAATGGGGTTGTAGTAGTTGGTATAGAGTTGCACCTTTTCTTGAGAGGAAAGGAATCCATCCTGGGGGTGGAACCTGTTATCAACTAGCTGATCATCCTGACTGTCGGGTGCCAGAGCGGTCTCCATCGGATTGTCAACACCTAACCCACACTTTACCGGAGTCTCTTTAGTGAAAGTGATGATTTCCACTTGTTTTACCAGGAGTTTTTCATTTCCAAAGTCATCGAAGTCATCGAAGTCATCGAAGTCATCGAAGTCAGAAAATGTTTCATCTTTGCTGGCTGCCACACCACGCGGACTAATATCAGTTTGGGGGAGTTGAGTGCTGGTGGCACCGGATTCAAGCTTTAGTTTCTTGGTTCCTAACGACTTCTGGGAGGCCCTCAAAACCTGATAGACTGGTGCAGATTTGACGGGCACAGATTCGGTTGCAGACTTTGTAGGAGCAGACTTTGTAGGAGCAGACTTTGTAGGAGCAGACGTTGTAGGAGCAGACTTTGTAGGAGCAGACTTCACAGGAGCAGACTTCACAGGAGGTATCTCAACGACGTTTTCCTTTTCCAGAGTCCTGTTGAATGAAGCATCAGACATAAACGACGTGTCAATAAGTTCCTGCAGCAAGGGCGGAGATCGAGCTCTTTTGTTCTTGTCAACAGACTTCAACATGTCCGTAACGTTCCGAAACCCAGACTCAACGTTGTCTGGCATGAAAAACCGTTTTTCAATCTTCTCCACACCTTTCGACTTCTTTGATTTTGTCTTATTTGCAGCCGACTTTGAAGAGGCTTTAGTAACCGACCCCCCCTTGGTTTTCTTGTTCATATAGCTCATTGCGATCTTGATGATCTCATCATTGTCGTCCACCTCAATTTCTTCTGGCACAATAAACTTCTTCTCCAAGGCAGGCCTGAAACCTGACGGGATGATCCTAACTCGAGTACAATCCTGAACCAACTCCGCTTCTTTACGTACAATGAATTTTTGGATCCACTCATAGTTGTCCATGGCTTTGTCAAACTTGGATCTTTCGTTATCAGAGAAAAGCATCAATATGTTACCATCTCTCTTTCTTCCTGTTCTTCCCAATCTTTGAACGTTTTTGATGGGCGAGGCGCTTGTATCATAGCACACAATCAAATCAACCTCACCAATGTCCAAACCTTCTTCACCAATAGAGGTTGCAACCAAGATGTTATACTTCTCAGTCTTAAAGTCCTTGATCAATTGTTTCTGAACTTTCTGGTTCATTCCTTTTAACTTAGCATCCTCGGATGAAGAACGTTTGGGTCCTCCATTTTGCTTGTCCACCACTTCAGGATTGGAGTCCGGGGCCTGGCCGATGAAAATATGGGGTTTGAGTCTGGGGTTATTCATGGCTTCAATGGTACTGACAATCTCTAAAGCTGAATCTCTAAGCTCGGAGAAGATAATGACTTTCGAGTTGTCATATTCCGATGTCTTGAAGAAGTTATTGATGTACTCGATTAAGATTTCGATTTTGGGGTGCCCAAACTGAACTTGAGTTTTACTCAAGTACCCAACAAGCTCTTTAACAGGAGCACTACTGAATAACTCAAGCATCATCTTGTTTTTGGAAGCAAGGACTTTGGTTCTTGTGTCATTGAAGTAAGCTTTAAAGTTATTAAACCCATAGATCTTCAATTTCTTTATGCAATTAGCCTTAAATAAAAGAAGCTTGAGCAAAAAGTGATTCTGCCATTTTAGGCCCTCGCTTAAATTATTGTTCAACAAGTTCCGCTTGGTTATTTCGAGCAACTTGAACATGTAAAGGTCATTGGGGTCACTCAGTTGGAACAAATGTCTCTCATTTGCCATCTTTATGTATGGCTCGGCCGCGTTGGCTGTATGTATCAAACAATTGGTGATAACTTCATTATCATTAAAATCCACATCTATCTTGTCAATACGTTTATGTTTGAAGTACTTGATGATATCGATGGAGTTTTCGGTTCGGATTTCGATTTTATTTATCGTCAAGTTCCCTACAATCTCTTTAATACCCTCTACTGTGGATGAAGGAGTTGCAGTCAAGGCCAATATTCTATAACTGTTATTAAACCGATCCAAGAACTTGGCTACATTGTTATAGGCATAGTTACCTTTGGCTTTATGCGCCTCATCCACCACCAATAGACTCACTGACTTGGGGTCAACAAGACCATTGCACAAGTCGTTTTCCACTACTTGCGGAGTGGTAAAAAAAATTCTGAAACTATTCCAGATTTCCAATCTGTTCCTCTTGGTCTTATCCAACAACACTGCTGACTGGTCTTTGAGCCCAATTATATTGAAACAGGCCTTGATCTGCTGGGCCACCAAAGGCCTTGTGGGAGCCATGAAGATGATTTTGGAATTGGGGAACCATCGCCAGTAATTGAGAATGATGGTTGCAGCAATAAACGTCTTACCTAAACCAGTAGGTAAGGCTACCAACATGTTGTTGTAGAAGCATTTTTCTATGATGTTGAACTGGTAGTCTCTGATTTCATAATTGATAGGATATATGTATGATTTGAGGTTTTCGTAGTCGAGTTCGTGATGGGTAGGAACCTCTTTAGCCATATCTGATCTTTTGGATGTCTGGGTATCTGAGGTACTTTGGCTGCTAGATACGACATTTCCGAAGAGGTCTCGCTGGGTTCTTTGCTGTTTGGAGGAGGAGGAGGTTTTAGAGCCTGGTCGGGATGATTGTAGCTGGTTTGAATCACCGCGTGATATGGTGGAGATTTGGGAGATACCTTCACCAAAACTACCAGAGGAAAGCCCACTGGAAGCAGGAGGTGAGTTAGGAGCCTGTTGAACAATGGAGTCCACGGCCACGGTGGCCGAAGCCTTACTGAGCATTAGGTCCAATTCATCATCAAAGTCATCATCACTCATTGTGGATAATTACAAACGCGCACGTCTGAGGATAAAGGAGCATCAAGTACACACAGAAGAGGCAGAAAGAGGCAGAAAGAGGCAGAAAGGGGCAGAAAGGGGCACAAAGAAGCAGGGAACATACAGCCAAAGAGAGAAGCACCGTTCACCCCCGTTCAGAGACAACAATTACATAGTTACCATATCAGGTACTTGACTGAATCGTCTCCAACAGACGCACTCAAACGCGAATTAATTTTTCATCAACATGGTAGAAGACCCATACAGGTTACTAACCGAAAGTCTCAAGCGGTTGAACGAACCGATGGACGAACTACTCAAGAACCACAAGAAGCTTATGACCAGCCACTTGAGCAGTTTGAACCACTTGAAGGATATAGACAGTTTTAATTTGGTGTTGAGCGACAAGCTCAACCAGCGGGACAAGAGCTAACAGTACACAATGTGTGGAGTCAGCGATGGAACGGCGTTATGGAACCACCATGCTCTGACCAGCACCTTCTGGTCTAGTGGTGCTCTAGTTCCAGTGGCTCTAGTTCCAGTGGCTCTAGTTCCAGTGGCTCTAGTTCCAGTGGCTCTAGTTCCAGTGGCTCTAGTTCCAGTGGCTCTAGTTCCAGTGATGCTCTAGTTCTAGCGATTGCTTCAGGCAGGTGGAAACATTCGTTGGCCAATGACATTGTAAATCTTAAAGAAGGTTTTGAAGTTAAAACAGAGATGGCCACGATGGCCACACACAATTAGAGAGATAGGAGAGAAAATATTGGGCCAAGGCGGTATTTGCGGTTGTAAATAGCCACTGTGCAAATAGCCACTGCGCAGTGACTCTCCTCACGTGGACTTAAGCAGTGTCGTATACGGCGGGTTAGGTTTAGGGTGCCATTGACCCGATAATATTGACGCGGCTGGGCTATCTGATCATCTGAGCACTGACATTTTATTGTGCTCTCACTACAACAGCAAGAAATGTTATACACAGTAAGCGCATTCCAGAAGCTGGACCTCTACTATATGAACTGCACGAGGCTGCCAGGAGGCTAGTAACTGGGATGATGGCACTTCCGGCGTACAGAGAGGCGGAAAAAATAGTGCCTCGGCTGCTCCGCACTTCCCCAATAGGCAAGATGATGGTGGGGCAGGGCTGGATTACTACGGCAACAATACATTAATTATGTATGGAACAGAGTTTCGGCAATAAGGCTTTCGGTTCCGAGGTACACCTGATGGTCTGTTGCTTTACCTGAAATGGTGTCACTTATGAGGTTATATCGTGGTACATAGTATATTGTGGTACATAGTATATTCATTATTTCGTTTGTATGCTGTGCATTATGTCCTTATTAATATCGTTTGTCATTGTCATTGCATCATCAAGGCCAGAGCCTTCTTCGTCAGTCGTTTAGAATCGAGTCATCTAGAAAATCATAGTCTATCGAAATCCCATTGATTATTTCTCTCGAGTTGACTATGAAATTGAACTTCACTCGCTTCTTTTTCATCCCGTGATACACCGACAAATTTGAATGCGACAGACAGGTGGAGGTGGGGGAATTCAGAAGAAGTGAGTCGGAGTCAGTCAAGGTATCAGACGACGAGTTCGATACCGTATACAAAAGGGGATAGGCGTCGGGAATACCGATGGGAGCTGCTTTGACCTCGACCTTTTCTGGGGGAGTAATTAAATCTTCGTGGCTGTAGCTAGGGCCAAAGCACCAGTTAATGTCGAGCTGCTTGTGCCAGTTGATGACGCGTGGACTCACCTCCGGCAACTTCCGCAACGACTTGTAGAGCCGTCTCCAGGCGATGTTTTGGAGCCGGAGTGGTGCTGTGGACGGTATTATGATGGAAATATCGTATTTACTCTGCTTGTAGCATTTTATCAACACTTCATCGGGAATGTGGGTATCATCATCAAGGTAATCAATGTTATGGGTAAAGTCAAAACTATGGAGGTTGTGACTTATGTATGAGTCGTCGAAACAGTTCATTGAAGAAGAATAAACACAAAATTCTTAAAAATGGGGAAGCCAATTGGTATTTATGCATTTGGTGGTTTCCCGGGTGGGCGCCTGCACATTGTCGCTTCTCCAAAAACCCATTTCCGATAAAAATCGCAGTGGAGTATTTGCCGCGAGGCTGAAGGTGTTGAGGAGATTTGGGGGGAGGCCATCGCCCACCCGTGCGCGATCTGGTACCCGGGGTGGGGGTACTGAAACTGGGGAAGTTAACAGAGGGTGCTTATCGTGCGATGGCGCCACAAAAGAAACATGATGCGAAAGAGCATGTGCACCTAGGTTTCTCCGAAGACCCTTGGTCGGATATAGGGACCATGGTCACATGGTCACATGGAAGGGCATATGAAGGTGGGGGGGATGACGACTTTCAGAAACAGTTTATTGATAATTGCCATGTTCTCACCTACACCACAATCATGCTACAGTTACAATTAACACTCTTCACTCACAGGTGGCTTCCCCGAGTTGATGGTGATCAAATGTAACATTGCATGGAGAGGCTTGTTCCGCCACCCGCGCGGTTTCCATTTCCGTGCGGCCAGGCATTCCATGTTCCACAAATGGGCGCACTGCTAGTGGCTGGATTTGGCATAAATAGGCGCCGCGCCAATCTGGTGGGCAATAGGGGTATTTATTATTCAGCTAATTACGTTAATGCCAGCGAAGGTTCTGACCCATAATTCCACCCGGGTTAGGTAACTGGCCGCAAAGTATTGTTGTTATGCATAATTACAGGGTATTGAGCTCGACTCCCGTTTGTGTTTGTGTCACTCAAACTATTTCCTTCTGCTTAATTGGCTGCAAATCAATCTTCGCCTAAAGTCTAAAACTCTTCTCTTGTTTCACCCTGGTCTACCTAAAGTCCATGATATGGGATTTGCCGCCGTAAAGAACGTTTCTCGGTGTCCATCATGTTGCAGGACTTATTGGATATGACTTCTATCTTCCTTCACAATTCCAGCCAAACCTTCCTCGGATATACTTTCTCCCATTGTTGGGGGTGAGACCAATGTTAACAACGAGGTCTTTGTATTTCAAATAACAGTTGCTAAACCAAACATTGTTGCTCATAAGTTGACAGATACAGTCTCTTGTTTGCCGCCAGTTGGCTTTAGAGTTCATTGAATGGTAGCGCCATCCACTCAACAATCCGAAATCTGCCGTCTGATAAGATAAAGGTTTCTTAAATGCTTCACAATACTAAAAAGGTCGAGATAGCCCCCCAAAGAACCACTAGCTTGCCAAATACACTGTTTTCTATAGCTTTTTTCTTCTGTGGCTGTGGTGGTGTTCCAGACACGTTTCGATTCTGTTTCATATTTGTGGCCCGTTTCGAAACTGTTTCAAAGGGTTGAAAATTTGCGTGATGGACGACAGAAAAGCCGTGTTATGGTTAGTGCTTCAAAAACTTTATGACTATTGCTATGCCACAATTAGCTGGGCCTTTCTGATATTAGAGAATGTGTTAAAAAACAAGTGTCATATTACTCAATTTACTAAATTGCAGAGTATTTCAACTCTTCACCCTTGTAATCAAAGAATTTCCCGTTATCAGCAGAAGTGAGCTTGTCAACAAGAGCCAAAGTACCTGTGACAGACTCATCTTGACTAATAAACAAGGAAGCGTCAACCTTATCCCTATTATCAGCCAGAGCCGTAGTCATATCGGTATCAACAATACCTGGGTGCAACAAAATTGTAACAGAGTTCTTGGCCAAAACATCTTCAGAGTTGGCGTTGGTGAGAGCTACTTGGTACCCCAAATGGTTGATACCGGCTTTGGAAACCGCATAAGCTTGAGCTGCCATTGGGAAACCCAACTGGCCAAGTAAACTGGTAGTGAACACAATCTTCTTGGTTCCCTCTCCCTTGAAAATGTAAGGATAAGCTGCTTTGTAACTTTTTGCAGAACCTCCAATGTTGATGGCAAGGATTTCATCATAAGCATCAACTTCATATTCTTGAGGAGGAGCGAAACAGCTAGGTCCCGAAATACCAGCGTTTTGAATAAAAACATCTACCCCGGATGGAGCCAATGTCTCGAGCTGCTTGAAAGAAGTTTCAAACTTGGAATAAGGGTCTTGCATATCTATCAAAATAGTCTTGACATTTGGACCGAGTGCTTCTAATTTTGCAGCCGCATTTTCGTTTCTCGCAGTCGCAATAATCAAATTAGACTTGTTTAAAGCCAAATGTTTGACATAAGTGAAGCCAATTCCCCTAGAGGCACCGACGATTAAATAAGTAGTGGACATTGTTTGATTTGGATTGAATTTGAGACTGAAAGTTCTCTGGACATTACATGGAGATTTTTGTCTGCCTCTTATACTTTTCTAGCTTGTTCTTTGCAGCATCTTTGGTATTTGTCACCACGGAAGCCGGAGCTTTAACGCCATAATTAATCCCGAATTTACTTTGTACTTTTCATATTTGTTAGCAGGTGGCTGAAAATCACATCTTTACGTGCACAAGATCAATAAACTTTTTCCTTAATTATGTGCACCAATTTGTCAGCACTCGCAGTTGCTTATACATTATTCAGATGCCGGAAGTTAAGGAAACATTAATCCCATAATAACCGATAAATACAAGATACTCTCAATTTTCCGTTCCTGTCCAGCAATGCGATAGGTGCCTGTTCCAACTCCCTTATTTATATACATTTTGTTGAACATATGCATTACTATGGTAAACCAAGTGTCATATTAATGAATATTCAGTATACTAAACTGCAGAGTATTTCAACTCTTCTCCATCGTAGTTGAAGAATTTTCCGTTATCAGCAGCAGTGAGCTTCTCGACAAGAGCCAAAGTACCATTAACAGACTCCTCTTGAGTGATAAAGAAGTTTGCAGGGACTTTTGCTTTGAAATCAATCAGGGCTGCAGTCATATCGGTGATAACAATACCGGGATGCAACAAAATTGTAGCTGAGTTCTTGGCCAACTCGTCTCCAGAGTTTGCGTTGTTAGAAGCAATTTGGTATCCCAAATGGTTAAGGCCTGCTTTGGAAACCGCATAAGCTTGAGCTGCCATTGGATAACCCACCTGACCAAGTAAACTGGAAGTGAATACAACCTTCTTGGTTCCCTTTCCTTTGAAAATGTAAGGATAAGCTGCTTTATAACTTTTCGCCGCACCTCCAATGTTAACCGAAAGGACTTCGTCATAAGCATCGACATCATATTCCTGAGGAGTAAGGAGAAAGTTAGGCCCCGAAATGCCGGAATTATGAATAAAAACATCTACACCAGATGGAGCCAATGCCTCGAGCTGCTTGAAAGAAGTTTCAAACTTGGAATAAGGGTCTTGCATATCCACCAAGAAAGTCTTGACATTTGGACCGAGTGCTTGTAATTTTGCAGCCGCTTCTTCGCTTCTCGCAGTTGCAATAATTAAATTTGACTCGTTTGAAACCAATTGTTTAACATAGGCGAGACCGATTCCCCTAGAGGCACCGACGATTAAATAAGTAGTGGACATTGTTAGATTGGGATTTTTGGATTGAATTTGAGTTGAGAGTTCTCTGGAGATTACATTCGAGCTTTTTACCTGCCTCTTATACTTTTTCAGCTTGCTCTTTGCAACATCTTTGGTATTTGCCACCCGCCAAAAGAGGTAATCTTACCACAATGGCTGATCCCTAATACAATGGCACCTAGTTTCAAATGTGTTAGCAGATTGGTGGAAGCCACACTTCCGCGTGCACATCATCAAAAACCTCTTCCTTAACTATGGGTGCCAATTTGTCAGCTTCGCGGCCGTCTCACAAAGCTCGCAGTACATTAACAAGGCGGCCGGTGTTTAAGAGGTGTTGAAACCATAATAACCAATTAATATTAGATTCTCTCAATTTCTGCCCATTTGTGCTTGGTTTTTGGGATGCATTTCAGGAACGTAGCGGAAATACGAAGAAGCGGGATAGCTGCAGTTTGTAAAAATGCAATTACTGCTCTATCTCACCGGGTTCAACCTGGAAACTTGTCTATCCAGCAACCCGGCAAATGCCGATTCTACCTCTGTTAGTTAAGTACACTTTTCTGAACAAATGTATTACTATGGTAAAACCAAGTGACGTATTACTAAATATACTAAATGGCAGAGAATTTAAATCCTGCTCCTTTGTAATTGAAAAGTTTCCCGCTATCAGCATTAGTGAGCTTCTCGACAAGAGACAAAGTACCAGTGACAGACTCGTCTTGACTAATAAACAAGGAAGGAGGGACTTTTGCTTTGAAATCAAGCAGGGCTGAAGTCATATCGGTGTTAACAACACCGGGACGCAACAAAATTGTAGCTGAGTTTTTGACCAACTCGTCTCCAGATTTGGCGTTGGTAGAAGCGATTTGGTGTCCCAAATGGTTAAGGCCTGCTTTGGAAGCTGCATAAGCTTGACCTTTAATTGGGTAGCCCACCTGGCCAAGTAAGCTGGAACCGAACACAATCTTCTTGATTCCCTTTCCTTTGAAAATGAAAGGATAAGCTGCCTTGTAGCCTTTTGCAGCACCTCCAATGTTAACCGAAAGGACTTCGTCATAAGCATCGACATCATATTCCTGAGGAGTAAGGAGAAAGTTAGGCCCGAAATGCAGGCATTATGAATAAAAACATCTACCCCGGATGGAGCCAATGTCTCGAGCTGCTTGAAAGAAGTTTCAAACTTGGAATAAGGGTCTTGCATATCTATCAAAATAGTCTTGACATTTGGACCGAGTGCTTGTAATTTTGCAGCCGCATTTTCGTTTCTCGCAGTCGCAATAATCAAATTAGACTTGTTTAAAGCCAAATGTTTGACATAAGTGAAGCCAATTCCCCTAGAGGCACCGACGATTAAATAAGTAGTGGACATTGTTTGATTTGGACTGAATTTGAGACTGAAAGTTCTCTGGACATTACATGGAGATTTTGGTCTGCTTTTTATACTTTTCCAATTTCCCCTTGAACATCATACTTTGGTAACTGGTACCCCGAAAGGGATAATGCAAACACTATGGCTGATCGATTTCCCCAGTAGAATCAGACTTAGTTTCCTATTTGCTGGCAGATTGGTGGAAGTCATTCTTGGGCGTGCACACGAGTAAAACCCTCTTCCTTAACTATGGGTGCCAATCTGTCAGCCCAGCGGCCGCTTCACATAGCTAGAAGTACATTAACCATACTACTGAAGCCTAAGAGCCCCTAAAACCGCAATAACCAATTAATATTAGATTCTCTCAATTTCTGCCTATTTCTGCTTGGTTTTTTTGAAGTTTCGAAGGGCATTTTCGGAATGAGCCAAAGATACGGGCAAGCAGTATAGCCGCAGTATGAAGTCGCTGATCTAGCTCACCCGGTTCAACCCTGGGACTTGTGCACCCAGCAATTCCGCATGTGCCTCTCCTAAAGCTGTACCACATTTAAATTCGCAGTCGCATCTTTGTAAATATCCACCACCTCGCTGCCAAATTTAAAGTCGCTAAATTGTATTCCAGCTCAACCTACGCCGTTTTGTGGTGAAAACAGAGAACAGCCCACTGTTGGTACTTACTCACGAATATGGCCTCCTCTTAGACATTGTCTATTGCTTCACAGCGGATTGGCGAGAAAGAATAGCAGAGGAAATGTTGTCTACCCGAGTGCACGGGGTCAAGCTCCATAGCACGACATTTTCCTCATTTGGGGATTTTGCTTCAGACATTACTTCATTTTGGGAGACATTCAGCTAAAAGTATTTCCTGCCGTTCCAAAATACTCCAAGCACTTCACATACTCGTGAAGTACTCCACTTCGTTGATACCATCCATACTCTTGTTCATACTGTACCGCACCCTCCCTTCCCACATTTGCCGAAGATTCTCTCCACACTCGTCATCGCCATCGCTCTATCATCTTTCCGCGCGCGCGAGTGGATGGCATCAGAACTGTGTGGCTCCATAATAACCTTTTCTCACTCCACTTTCTTCGTCAAGCATGTCCCATAGCGATATCTCGCCGCCATCAAGCTACCAGGAGCTAAGCCAAATCAAGGGTTTGGACCCCACGGTGGCCAAACTCCTACCTTCCATCAACTCACAAGGTGGTGACATAACCAGAAATTTAATAGACACATCTGTCAACACTCAGAAGCTAAGACGTTCGTCGTCGTTTTCAACGTTCTTGGACGAAAGCAGAAGAAACTCCACCGCCTCTGATATCAATATCCCCGGGGGATTCCGAAGACAATACATCATCAACCAGTCCATCAAAAACAATCGCCTGCCACCCAAGTTCTTAACAAATAACTTGATTGAATTCTTGAATATCTACTCGAACTTCGCCGGGGAGGACTTGAGTGATGACGAGTATGACAGCTACAACCAGGACACCACCGCTGATGAAGAAAGCTTGTTGTTGCCGGAAGAGCCTATTCTTGTACACCAAATGAACCAGCGGATGCCGAAGTCAAATGTGAAGACATACTTTTTGGTGTTCAAAGCATTGGTGGGTTCGGGTATACTATTCCTTCCCAAGGCGTTTTCCAACGGGGGGTTGATATTCTCTATCATCACCTTGAATATTTTTGGGGTATTGACATTTATCTGTTATATGCTTTTGATTGTCCTGAAAAACTACTTCAAATTGGGCTCTTTTGGAGAACTTGGATTCCAGACATATGGGAGTCCCATGAAAGTGTTGATATTGATATCAATATTGATCAGCCAGATCGGATTTGTGTCTACGTATATCTTATTCACCACCTCAAACATGGCGAGTCTCTTCCACTTGAGCCAATTCAATCTAGTAGTACTGCAATTTATATTGCTTATCCCCTTGGTGCTCATTCGGAAAATCGGCAAGTTATCATTCATCTCGTTGGTCAGCTCGGTGTGTATTTTGATTGGATTGGTGATCATTTTCTACTATTCCATCTCAGACTTGGTAGAAGATGGGTTGGGGCCCAACATCATTCAGTTCAATTCTAACAGTTGGTCGATGTTGATAGGGGTGGCTGTGACATCATTTGAAGGTATTGGACTTATCTTACCCATCGAGGCGTCCATGTCAAACCCCAAGCAATTTCCTCGGGTGTTGGCTACTTCCATGATCGCCATCACCCTTTTATTCACCACTGTGGGGGTCTTGGGTTACTTGACCTTTGGGGATAAAGTTGAAACCATCATCTTATTGAACTTGCCATACACCAACATCTCCATCAAAGCCATCTTGATCTTGTACTCAGTGGCAGTGTTTTTGACGGCCCCATTACAGTTGTTTCCTGCTATTAAGATCTTAGAGAACGTAATTTTCAACTCGTCGATGTTCTTCAAGAACGGGAAGCTCTATAACTCGGGAAAGTTCAACAGCAGAATCAAGTGGCTAAAGAACATCTACCGGGTTGCCTTTCTATTGGTGATATGTATCGTGGCTTACTGCAACTTTGATAACATCGACAAGTTTGTCAGTTTCAACGGGTGTTTTGCCTGTATTCCATTGGTTTATATCTACCCACCATTGATCCACTTGAAAACATTGGGAAGCTCCACCAGAGACAAGATATACAAGTCTTTAGACTACACGTTGGCCATCATCGGGGTGGTAGTGGTTATTTATTCTACATACCAAATCTTATTCTTAAACTAGTCAATATACATCGGTGGGTGCGCACTTTAAAATGCTCATCAACGATCGCGTTCTTATCTAACTACTCAGTAAGTGAATTACGGTTTCTGAGGGCAAACACTTCATCATGAGCAAGTCAAGACTCATGTCGTGCCAGCGGTGCCGAAAGAAGAAGATCAAATGTAACTATGAGTATCCATGTTCAAATTGCGTCAAGGGTAAGTTTGATTGCGTTAAAGTGGTGGATGACATGAGAAAAAAGCGGTATACCGTCAAGTATGTCGAAAACTTGGAAAAAAAACACCTAAAGTTGATCGAGGTTTTGAAGGTGTTGGATGACATCAAAACTCCAGAAGAGAAGGCCAACTACCTCAAGTCCATCAGTATTAACGATATGACGAGTGGCATTGTGTCGGATAATAGCGACACCAGTGACCACAAACACAAACACTCCCACAGTGCCAGCTCGAGCTACGACGAGGACAACGACGTAGGGGTGTACGGACCTACGTCCATTTACGATGACGAATTGATCGGGAAGCACTCTAATAACTCTCCTGAAGACTTTAAGGAAATCAATAAATTCAACAAGATGCCCGATATTTTGCACTGCATCAAATTATTCTTTGTGTGGCAGTATCCTGACTTGAATATGTTTATCTTTCGAGAGGCCTTCTTGCAAGAGTTCTTCAAGCCCCAGTTTTACAATATCTATTGTTCAAAAGTACTTATTCTTAGTATTTGTGCTTTAGGAGCGAGGATGTCCGATGACGATAAGATATATTCGAACTCTATTAACTATTACAATGAAGCCCGGAATTTGCTTTTAAGCCGGTTAAACCATCCTTCGATCCCTTCCCTACAAAGTTACTTGTTGTTGGCCTTCTATGACATTTTCAACGGGTCTAATTCCAATGGGTGGATGTTGAGCGGGAATGCGATCAGAATGGGATTTGACTTGGGATTCCAGTTGCACCCAAATTCCTGGTTTTTGAAACAAAAAATGTCAGTTTACAGTAAGAAAATCGACAACGATATCAAGTCCAGAATATACTGGGGAGTATACTTGGCCGACCACTTTATTAGTTTGATTTTAGGAAGACCTTCGTTGTTGAAGTTGAGTGATACGACGATTCCTGAAACCGACGATTTGCCCGAGTTGGATGACATCGACGAATATAGGTACTTGGACGAAGTCGAAAAGGCAAAACCACTCAAGATTTCTAACATTTCAGATCCGCTTAAAAAAATCATTAACTTGATCAATATTAGTGAGAATATGTTGAATGATGTTTTCAACAAGAACTTCAATGAGGACATCAATTTCTATAAAGATTCGTCCCAGTCATCGAATCTCAATAAGGTGTTGCTGAAGCTTGATGAGTATAACGTAAAGATATTGAACTGGAAGACGGCGTTGCCCCCAGATATGCAACTTACAAAAGATTTACTTCTTTTGAACGGGGATAATCCGACCTTGAGTAGTATCAGATATTACTACTATATTTTGATTTTTTGTTTGAACAGACCGTTTATTGGGCTTGACGATGACGTTTTCAAGAACTTGAACTTCAAGCTCATTCCAAGACAAATATGCCTGGATGCTATTGAGGATTTATTTATATCAATAAGCAAGTTCAAGTCGGTTCATGGGTTGAGGAAAGCCTCGATATTAATTGTATATTGTTCCATTTTATCGTTGTCCATCATTTTGTTGAGTAACAGCTCCGGAAACGTCATAGATCACAAGAATACGAAGCTCAGGTTTTTCTTAATTGTGTTGAAAGAGACGTCAAGAACCTGGAATCTCTCCAAAAAATCGTTTGTTTCAATCACCTCCAAATTGTCCAACTATGGCGATATCGACTTCAACTTGAACGACTTATCTTTGAACGAAGACTTTCCAGTCAACAGACAAGCTTCCCTCACACCTTTTGATGATCTGAAAACCAAATTGGAAGATAACCACTTTGCACATCCCGATCAAGATGCATACCAGTTTGTTTCCAACAACGTGACGTTGAGTCTAAACTCGTCCAACTCCACAAACACCGAAAATTTGGACTTTTTTGGTGGGCCACCAGTCTTGATGACTTCGGATTTGTTCAACCAAGACTGGGAATCGTTATTCCCTGATTACATTTTCGGCGACAAAACCGAAAGTTGACCTTGCACATATTGTAGAATACTTGTAGAATAGTGTATATATTACGAAATTGTTAGTTGAAAAAACCGTAATAAATGAAACCTGTATTGAACATTATATACTCGCTGTTTGAAGCATTAATAAAATGAAACGTGTATTTGAAGAAACATCTACTCACTATTGGTTTTGGCAGATAACTCTGCCTGTTTGATCAAACTTTGTGGAGCATCCATCTTGGGAAGCATAATTTCAATCAACCGGATTTTATCAGCTTTTGCAAAATCCTTATCCTTGAACAACTTGGATATCTCATCAAGAGTGGATACCTTAATAGATTCAAAGTCAGTGGCCCCGAAAGTATTCAACAACTCTTGATGCTTCCAAGGTTGAATATCGTTGTAGCCAGCATTCTCACCATGAATCAACCTTTCAATAGTGTATCCATCATTGTTCAAGACAAAAATATATGGTTTGTTCTTGTTTCTAATCATAGACGAGATCTCTTGGACTGTGAGCTGCAAAGAACCATCACCTACAAACAAGATAGTTCTTCTTGACGAAAACTCTTCAGCTGCGGTAACAGCTCCAAACAAGGCTCCCACCGAATAACCAATTGAGCCCCATAATACCTGAGAAATCCCCAAAGCGTCTGGAGGGTAGGGAGTTTGGACAATACCAAAGGAAGAAGTACCAGTTTCAGTGATGATAACATCTCCCTTTTGCAAAAATTCTCCCAAATGGTACCACAACCATTGTTGAGAGATGGACTTCTGTCCAGGTTCGGGTACTTCAAATGGGTCTTTGACAACGGCAGTTGGCTTGAATCCCTTGACCGCTTCCTTCAATTCGGACGATTTCAACAACCTCTGCAACGTTTGTTTCATTCTAACGTTGGGATACTGAGCACTTCTGATTTTGATGTAATTTGAGTGAAACTCCACAACGTTTTTGGTCAGGTAAGAATACGAAAACGAACCGGTATTGAAGTCACTGAGCATAGCACCTAAGGATAACACCAAGTCAGAAGACTCAACTGCTTCTTTGACCTTTGGATATGACAACGAACCAACGTAGATACCGGTGAAATTGGGATGAGCTTCATCGATGTACTTCGAACCTTTGGCCATTGGAGTTAAAGCAAACCGGAAATTGGTCAACTCAATCAATTTACTGGCTTCTAAGGTCGAGTTGTGTCTGGCACAACAAGCGTCAATTAAGATAATGGGATTTTTGGCCGATTTGATCAATTCCAATGTTCTTTCAATCACCTCATCTTCTTCACTTTCCTCGTTCTTTGGAATACTCACGTCAATCGGAGTGTCCAACAAGCTCCGAGGTACCTCAACTTCTACCATGTTGGAGGGAAACGCCAAGTAGCTAGGTCTTTGGTTGATATAAGCTTCTCTGATACATCTGTCGATTTCGCCAGCGGCAGTGGCAGGATCCGATAAAAATCCCGTAGTCTGGGAGATGAAGGAAGACATCTTCCTGAACACAGTAAAGTCTCCGTTTCCTAATGTGTGGTGCAATAAAAGCTGTTTGGATTGAGCAGCAATAGAAGGAATTCCCACAATGTGTAATAATCCAACGTGCTCAGCATAAGCACCAGCAATCCCATTTAAGGCAGACAACTCTCCCACACCAAAGGTGGTGACTAAAGCAGCAAAACCACTTCCTCCTTTCTCCGAGTTCTGCTCAATGCCTCCCTTAACTCTGCTATATCCATCTGCGGAATACGCAGCATTCAATTCATTGGCATTTCCTTTCCAGCTCAAACCCTTCACATCATCAATCTTATCTAAGAGCGTCAAATTGAAGTCTCCGGGGACTCCGAAAATAGACCTTAAGCCAATTGGCTCTTGGTGTAATCTCTCGAACAAGTATGTTCCTAAACTGATGGTTTCTTCTGACATTTGAATACTTCTGGAATATAAGTGAGGAATAATTTTTCAGGAACACTGTACAAAGGGGATTTTTCAGTATGAGCTGACTCTCGGAGTTAATGCGAATTTAGTTGCTGCAATTACAAGGGTTCCTGCGCGGCCTATTGTTAACACAGAATCGGAGACATCTGGTGATGGGACCTATAGCAAATCACAACAGTACAAAGCAGCCATAACGGCACTATTGAAACTGACCTAGACATCATGTACATTAACCATTCTATCTTTAGACTCTTGAATCTTGAAACCTATCAGGATTGTCAACTGCGTTAACCATTCTATCGTTAGACTCTATTGTTGAAACCGACCATGTTAAATCCTCAAGACTTTTCTGTGAAGATTGAATCGTTGACAAAGAATGCCCAAGAAAAACCGTTCCAACTGCCAATGACCCCAAACCCACAGTATACACTTATGATAATCAACTTGAGGAACTCCAATCTCTTCAACACCTCGAACTTGGTTTCAAATAGGTCGATACAACTGGTGACCCCCACAACCACCAATAATCCCAATATGTACAAATTGATAAATCGATCCAAGATAAGATCGTGTCCCTTATTGTGCTTTGGGATCTTAGTAACATTTCTGAAGTTATACGTGTATATCACATACCACAAAAACGTGTACAACACCTTGATGAGCCACTCCGAACTGGTATATATCAAAGGAAACAACGAAACATATCCACAACTTACAAGCAAGTTAAAAGGGGTCAATAAGCGGGTGTCATTAACGATCAAGAAAGATATGGGGAAAATTACTAACAAGATAGCCTTTTCGTGGACGTGCCAGCCGAACAAAAAGGATGCAAACCCACATAAGCCCAAAGATCCCACAAATCTGTAAAAAGTTGGCTGAATAAAAAGAGGAATGAGTGCCATAATCTGATAGAATAGTGTGAGGAGAAATGTCAATTTGGGGGTGATGGTGGGCAAAATTAAAAACTCAATGTCTCCCACGATTCCTCTGGTGGAAGTATTTGCAAACTTAGGATCAGATAACAAGGCCTCGTTGAACTTGAAAAAACTCAAAAGCGGTATCCGACTAAGGGGAATGTTTTTGTAAACCAAAATCAAGAGTCTGTCCGTGAAGGAATAGATGGCCCAGAAATTGGGTGCCCAGTAAGCGTGGGTCAATCCTCTACTAAAGGGAAACAACCTTTCCAACAACTGAGGAATTTGTTGATAGTAAATGAAAGGAGCAAAACAGACCCCAAAAGTCCCCACCACAATCAAGCCCAACTTGATCGAGTTCATCCAGTTGATCAAGTGCAACGTGTTCCAAAACACACTTTTACGCTTGTTGAATTTCAAGTTCAAACAGTAATCTCTCAATAAAAATACAAACACGGCAGGTGCTAAGTAAAGATAAATGTGCTTGAAGCAAAGAAGCAACGCAAACCAGAACCCACACTGCAAGTGATTCTTTAATCTGGCGTTGTTGATCACCAATACCAATAATCCGTACATCATACCATTATATTGGAAATGGATATGATCGATCAATAACAAGCCTGGAGAAAGTATCAAACTAGACCCCACGACATATGCTCTTCTAGCTTCGGCCTGGCTCTTGGATGACCTTATGTACCATTTCAAAGCGTAAAACAAAACAAACTCACTTAATATGACTGTCAATCTCTGATAAAAGATCGTTGGCAAACCATATTGGCCCTTTTCCACCAATTTCAAACACCCATCATCTTTAACGAATTGAGGTACTAAATGAGACAACACCCATTCGAAGTATGCAAAACATGGAGGATAGTCCAACGTCCATTGACTGGTTTTTTCTATGTACCATTTGTTGATGGGTAAGTTATATGTTATTGCAAGCCAGTTTCTGTGGACCTCAAAATCGGTGGAATGGTATCCAATTGATAGCAAAAGCTTAAGGAACACAGATATGATCCATATATTCCACAATGAATACTCTCGAGTATTTACAGATGTGGATTTCATCTCCACACGTGTTGTAGAATCTATATCGTTACCCATAGTTATCCGCTTGGTTCAAACCGCGAAAACTTTTTTGATACTGAAAAATTTACATAACATAAAGGATGTCGGATACAAATAAAAGTGAAAACGATGCTGCTGAGCTTCTTTCCTCGTTGTCTCTCAACAAGGATGATAAAGTCAAAACCGATGAACATAAGACGGCTGAAGAGCCTAAGAACTTGACTCAAACTCTTGTGGATGAACCTAACCAAGAAGCAAAGTCTGAAGAGTCCAAAGAGGATTCCAAATCTGAAGAACCAAAGGAAGAGACAAAGGTCGACAGTAACTTGATTCAATCAACTTATGAAGTGCAAGTCAAGTTGGCAGACTTACAAGCTGATCCAAATTCCCCGTTATATTCTGTTAAGTCTTTTGATGAATTGGGATTGTCTGAAAACTTACTAAAAGGTTTATATGCCATGAAGTTCACCAAACCCTCAAAAATTCAGGAAAAGGCCTTGCCACTTTTACTCTCTGAGCCACCAACAAACATGATCGGACAGTCCCAATCTGGTACTGGTAAAACAGCTGCTTTCTCCTTGACCATGTTGAGCAGAGTCGATGTAAACTTGAAGGCTCCACAATGTGTTTGTTTGTCCCCAACCAGAGAATTGGCCAGACAAACCTTGGATGTTATTGAGACGATGGGTAAGTTTACCGGTATAACCACCCAGTTAATCGTTCCAGAATCCACCAAACTTGGTGAAAGAATCGATGGACAAATATTAGTGGGTACTCCTGGTGTGATGGTGAACTTACTCAAGAAAAGAGGTGTATTGGACCTTAAGAATGTCAAGGTTTTCGTGTTGGACGAAGCTGATAATATGTTGGATGGTCAAGGTTTGACTGACCAGAGTGTCAGAATCAAAAAGATGGTACCTAAAACTTGTCAGTTGGTACTTTTTAGTGCTACTTTCCCAGACCAAGTGAGACAATTTGCCGAGAGGTTCGTTCCTAATGCCAACACCTTATCTTTGAAACAAGAAGAGTTGAATGTTGATGCCATCAAACAATTATACATGGACTGTAAAGACGACAACCAAAAGTTTGAGATGTTACTCGAGTTATACGGATTATTGACCATCGCCTCGTCTATCATCTTTGTTGCTAGGAAAGCCACCGCAAATCAATTGTACAGTAAGATGAAGAAAGAGGGACATAAGATCTCGGTGTTACATTCGGATTTGGATAACAGTGAGAGAGACAGATTAATCGACGATTTCAGAGAAGGCAGATCCAAGGTGTTGATCACCACCAATGTCTTGGCCAGAGGTATTGATATTGCTTCAGTTTCTATGGTGGTTAACTACGATTTGCCAACCGATAAGGATGGTAAACCAGACCCTTCCACATACTTGCACAGAATTGGAAGAACCGGTAGATTTGGTAGAACCGGTGTGTCTATATCTTTTGTACACGACAAAAAGTCTTATGATACCTTGACCGCCATCAAGAATTACTTTGGTACTGGTATCGAATTGACTAGAGTACCAACAGACGATTTAGACGCATTGGAAGAAATCGTCAAAAAGGCTTTGAAAAACTAGAACCCTCAATACTAAAGAATGTAATTAATAAAGTTTAATATATATACAAGTTATCTTATCTATTCAATGGTGAAGTTGGCAATGAATCTAGGAGGTAATCTCTGCTCCACCACTGACCAATTGACACAATTCCAGACATTTTCAAGGTACTGTTGCTTACCAAAAACCCCGTAGTCCAATAAGTAGTTTCTCAAAGACGCATCCACTGCCAACAAAGGTATGATTTTTTTATCAGAAAACAGATGGGTGAACTCGGCTTCTTCCACAGTTCCCAAATAGTTTTCGGTTTCTGGAGTTTGCTTGACTTGGGTTCCTTCTTTTTCTTGTTCCATCACTAACTTGGCCTTTTTCTGTTGTTGCAATTTGAATAATTGGCCAGATCTAATCGAGTCGTCAACCACTCCCGCATTGTATGTGTTCATCACACTTAACTTGGTGTATTTGGGTTCGTTGGATTCGTTAAACAATCCAGTGAAGTTGGACTTCAATGAAGACTCACTGACGTTTGGCTGAGCCACCAACCAGGTAGTACCATCACCTTTAATGGCTTTGGCAGAGTTGAGTAACAAATTCTTGAATTCGGTAATAGACCCAAAGGATGCAGAAAGCCAGTCTTTAAAAGCTTCGTTTTGGGGGATGTTAGAGGAAACTTCTGTTATATCTGGATTACGGAATATTTCCCCCTCGTTTAACTGCTGGAACTCATAGGTTTCATTAGCTTCTTTCAATCCTTCCAAGAAGAACTGCAAATTGAATAATAAGGATGAGTTACTGTAGATTTTTTGCAACTGAGGTTTATTTATGGTCAAGCTGATAAGTTCATTCAAGTTGTTAGGAGGATTCACTTGGTTTTCGATCAATAATTCGTTTAATTCTTCAATCAATTTTTCACCTCTTTGAAACCATAGTTGATTGTAGGTCGAGTGAGAAAATAGCCCTTTGAAGTCTTGCTTATTGACGTTTAATTCTTCCAAAAGATGGATATTGGGCAAGGTATAAGAAGAAACTGCTCTCACAGCCCTGAAAGCGGTCGGAGCTCTCAAGACCCTGTTACATATATGTGATTTTAACATTTTACGGTATGGTACCAGGTTGAAAATTTTTTGAAGATTTTTCATTCCCATAGAAAATCCAATCGCGAATAATTGTTGCAACAACACAATTTTTATATTATAGTACACTAAATCATAGCACTTCAACACTTCATCTTTCTCTCCTTCCTACCTTCAAACTTTTAACTCTTCTCATTAAAGAATTTCCTGCACCTTCAGAAGAATCGAAAGAATGCGTTATGTTTAACTCATCATTTGACCTATTTTTGGGGTAATCGGAACCACTATTTTTTCTTAATCTTTGTACCAAAGACTTCTTTCTACCCAATCCTCCGTTATTTACGTTAAGAAACTCATCATTTTTAGGTGCCGGGGCGCCATCCACAAAGGTGGTGGACCCTAACCCGGCAGTGGGTGTGCCATGGATAGGCTCACTCTTGATATTGGCGTCAAAGTTGATCACCGAGGGGGTCTGTTTTGGGGTATATAAGGTGGTAGTTATATCGTGACTTTGCTTGTTCGTCTTAATATATGGTTGATCATCTTTGTTGACGAATTTGGAACCGACAATCTCATTTTGGTCGGTATAATTACCGAACGCCAAGTCGAGTTGTTGGTTTGGATCAAACTTGGTACCTCCTCTAATAGAGCTGTTTGGGCCATCAACAGGGAACGCCATAACTGGGGCCAACTTACCATCCTTATTACGGTGAGGAGTACATGCATCAAATGGACCATCGTGATGGAACCCACCTCCGAAGAACCCTGTCACATCCAATTTATCAATGGTGTCTAGGTTCTTACTTTTAACAGGCTCCACCGTCTTCTTGGATGGTGACTTCTTGGAAGGGGACCTCTTAGAAGAAGACTTCGTATGATGCCTACTGGAACTATGATGTCTTTCACTTCTTTCACTCCTTTCTCTGCCGCTTCCTTCTTTAGACCGGTGGCTCCTGTGGTGTTGAGAACTGTCACTATGACTCCTGTGAGGTCTTGAGGATCTGGAGCTGGAGGTTGGAACCTTCTCTCGTGGGTATTCCCTCCTGGTGCCTTCGGGGCCAGCAACCTCTTCATAAGAAGGGGGTGGAGGAACAGTGGACTTGGGAGGTCTGGAAGGAGAATCATCAGAATTCAGACGTTGGGTACCACCAGGAGGTGGGGGAGGAGCATCTCTATAATGGACATAACCGCCATTCAACGCACTGGCGAAGGGATTGTTTGAAGACATCCTAGATAAAAAGTTAGTTGTGAGTAACAAAACAAAAATGCTATCAGGGGCTGTTCACACACAAAAAAACACAGCAACCTCTAAATGTGAGCGCGAAAACAACCTGCGCCTAACCGTTTGGCTGACGAGGCTTAGTGCCACAAAAGATGACTTGAGCGTCTCGAGGAAGAACTGATATTGCATGGAGGGGGGAAGAACCCAAGGCCCCTGCATAAAGCAGGCTTGTTAGTAAATATACATACTTGACACTGGGATCGGAGTTGGTTCTGGTGGGACGAGGCTTTTGAGGAGGTGCGAGATCTGACTGAGCACTCGAATTACGAGTGGACAGACCTGACACGTGACTATCCAACAAAAGGTAGTTGTTATAGTGGTCATCATCGATGGAGTCGTCTTCTTCTATCAACTTTTTGTTTTTCTCAACCCACAGCTCGAAGCTGCGAGAAGGCGGTGACCGCACTATGTTCAGAGATCCACCGGACGAGGTGGAGCTAACACGATTTGAGGCCGAGTCAGGGATACCTCTGAACGGGTTGTTGGACGACAATCTTCTCAACGACTCGGCAGAGGCGTATGAATGGTTTGGTTGCTGATACATATTTTATTAAGCCGTTTTGCGGATAAAATGTATTGATCTCACTAAGCGCCAGATCGAACAACAGCAAAATCAGTACGAACCAGAGCAGGAAAAGTACGTGGGTGCACTTGAAGACGATGGAACAAGACGATAGGAAGTTAATAACACCTTAATAAAGATGATACACACGCTTTTTGGAATAAACTAAAAGGCAGGTAGGTTGAAGGTGCTTATAAATACAAACACACACAAAAACACAGGGAGGCAGCGGGAAATTGGGCAAAATTGGAAACAGCCTGCACAAGGATTCAAGACGGACGGTACAACGTAGTTACAAGCGATAAAAGCCCTAGAATCACCAGGATTTGAGTGATAGGAAAGAAAGGGGTAGAATCTGTTGTCGATTTTTTTTCTGTGCTACTGTTTCGCACTGCCATTGATTTTTTCCACTTTAGCAGTTGTCGTTTACAGGCAAATAAACAAACGGTCGTGTATACAGCTCCGAAATAACAATAGAGACCGTAACGACGATTAATACCTCTCACGCGACATAGACGAGATGTGTAATCGATTCAACTCATACAATGGTAAATATTTTTGCCAGCACCTCTTTGGAGCTGGAGTCTCGCCTGTTGTAGTTATATGTATTCAAGCTTGATGGTACTATTGAAGACGTGTTTTTCCCCCGTTTTTTAGCCAGTTTGGGCAATTTTCGCAACTCTCAAAACTTTATTAGGTTTCTATTATCTTGTAAAGTCACAATTATATGTATAATTACTACTGGATTCACTACATAATTCCAAAATTGGGATCGGAGTACTTCAAGTACCTGTCCTTAGTGTACATCCGGATCCGCTTCCCGTAGATGATCAACAACACAAATGAGCCGTTGATGACAAGTGCCATCATGAATAACAACCATGTCAATAGTACCAACCCACACCTGTCAAGCCAATACTGGAACACAAACGTGAACGTCATACCAATCATGTTTCTGATGAACAACATCATCACCATTCCTTCACTGGCCATTTCGTGGTACGAGTCAATGGCATAAGTTAAACAGATAGCACCGGTAGAGCTCATGGAGAATCCCAAAAATCCAATTCCAATAATCACCGAAACAGGCCAGGGGTCGCCGTTGGCATTGGCCAACCCGTAAGTCAATAAACCACAGGCATTGAGAATAGTGGGGACTATCATGGCGTATAATCTGAATTCAGGCTCCATGATTCCCTTGTTCCGCTCTGCCAATTTAATCGTGAGCCAGTCCACAAACTTACCACCATAAAGCATACCTATGAAGTTACCCACAAGTGGCGAGAAGTTGAATAATCCAATGGTACCACTGCTGAAACTGTAGGGAGGCGCTCCGTAAAGAGAGGCTTGGCTGGTGGAAATCAACGAAAGCCACATCATTTGGGCCCCATAGATAAGACCTCCCCATAAAATCGCTGGGAAAGACAACATGAGGAATGGCCGAGCCCAGATCTTGAACCAGGACCGTTTGTCGTTGTACTCGGTCTGAATGATTTTCATCTTCTGCCAGTAACCTCTCTCAGGAATCGAGTGGTCGATTGAAAAGTCGTCGTCGGGTGAGTCTGAAGACGAAGCAGCTTCGTTAACTTGGTGGATGGTTTTATCTTTTTCCTCTTCAACACCTATAGTTTCTCTGGACTTGATTTGTCCAAGAATTTCTTCCTCAAACTCCTCATCACCTTCTCTTCTCCTAAAGGTGGTGTCTTCCATGAAGAACAACAAGACGATGAAGGTTCCACCAAACATTATCAACTGAAGATAGTACGACCATTTCCAGCTCAACCTGTCCACTATATACCCACTGATGGCAGGTCCCAAATAATTTCCAAAATAGAGAGCCAAGATGAAGAGGGCCAAAAAACTGGCTCTTTCATGCTGGAAAAACACATCAGTAGTGGAGATTTCAACCAAAGAGTCACAAGGAGCAGCTGCAAACCCGGTGATAATAAAAACCCCATATATCTGATGAACCGAAGTAGCCTGCGAACCAATTATCTGGGCAATCATCATCAACACACAACACATAAGATATACGAATCTTCTTCCCAACTTCATGGCGGTGGGTTGTAAAAACAAGCATCCAAGTCCTAAAAAGAGGAAGGTTAACGCCATGGCGTTGTTCAAATCTTGGATGGTACAATTCAAGTCTACTGTCCAAATCAACCAAATTGGCGATGACCATGCCACCGCCAAAGCCAAAAATACTGCCAACCAGAATAACATGAAGAACTGTTTGAACTTCTTCATTCTACTCCATCTCAATGGGTCATTAATATTCTTGGAAGGTGGTGGCCTCAAGATGACCTTGTCGTTTCCATGTTCATCTTTCTTTACGTGGAGGGTACCTTCAATGTCAACTAAGTGCACGGTTCCCGGAACTATATCTGAGTCAGTAAGCATAGTTTTCTGATGGGAAAACAAACAAGATCCGGGTTCTTTTATATTCTATTGTTGCAGCCTACCGATAAGATAAAAAGTTGCAACCTCTGCGCGACGTCCCAAAAGGGAAATTAGCGGGAGCAACGTCACTTGATAAGATTGAACAATAAGGGATTACAAGGGAAAATGCGGGATGTACCCCGTGTTGGCTAGTGGTGGAGGTTCTCAAACAGGCAATTAACACGCCTGCCGGAGGGTAATTCCTAGTACGGAATTCAAGTGAAAAATCAGCCGTTGAATCTGTGATCCAGAATCTATTGTCATTGGGCGTAGGGAATGGTGAAAATTAGCTATTAGAATAAATTATATCTGAAAATTAATACATCAAGAAGTAAAGTGTCTCACAGGGAGGAACTAGAGCTCAAAAAGAACTCCAGTTCCAATCGGTACTTTTAGAGACCGAATTTCGTTTTTCATTAATGGCGTTTTTGCTGAAGTTCTTTTGCATAAAGGGATTATTGACAATCACAAACGGTAACACCGTACTAAAGGGGCTAGCAGCATTGGAATTCCAGTTGTTCAAGTGGAACAACACGTTCAAGTAGTAGTCGCCACACGACTTACACACCTTGCTCATTTTAAACACTCTGGTTAATGCCAGAACATCAACATTTGCAGCATTCATGTTCTTATAGATGGGCACCACAAACCGGGCTTCGGCATCCAAGTAGATCGACATAAGACCCGTGGTTGTACTGGAGGCAGCACCTCTGGTGGTGGCCGAATACTTTTCGTCATCAAGACTGCTTTCAAATAAGCACTTGGAGCACACCAAAAACCCACAGAACCGGCAGTGGTGACGACGCTTCATATTGAAAAAGCTCCCGAATGTCTGGAAGCATTTCATACAGCAGTTGGTGAAGTTATTGGGTTTCCAATGAGCATGGCTTGGCTCTATGGGCTCATTTACCTCTCCTTCAAACAACTGAGGGTTAAAAAGCTGCAGCTGTGTGAGGGTGTCTGAGTTGCTCAAGTCTACCTTGAAGTTGACAGGCGTCAGCGACGACGAGGTGGAGGAGGAGCCCAGCTCCACCTCGTTTGGTGGCCGTAACACCGCTGGGATGCTGAGAGGCTTTTTGTATTTGTAAACGGGCTTCACAAACGAAGCGTTCGGGTTGGGAGGTGGCGGGTTGGGGTCCTCAGTCTCGTCGTGGTCCTCGCGTTCGAAACTCGTCAAGTTGTCGTTGAGGTTATTGAGGGCATCGGTGAGGTTAGCCTTTGAGGAATTGGAAGCAGCATCATCCACGACGGAGGTGGCGTAAGTGTAGTTATGAAGGTCAAAATTTGCTGGTACGTACACCGAGTTCGACACCAGGTCGGAGGCGGTGGGCTCTTCACCCTGGGATTGGACGCTTGTTGTCAGGGGTTTTGTGGATAGACTCAAGGAAAACAGGCGGTTGATCCCATCTGTGGACACGTTCACCTGGTTGAACAAGTTAAAACGGGGGGCTCTGATCTGGTCATCGTAGTTGATGTTGTTAAGGTGAGACTTTGTGCCCAGGCTGATAGGTGATGGTGGCACGTTTGTAGAGACTTGCTCTATCACTGAGTTGTGTTGAGGTTCCTGTTTAGGGCTTGTTACCGGTAGGATATTGGAGATGGTGGAACGGAGCTGGAGAGGCAGCGGTGAGTCGATCGGTTTTTTGGAGAACAGAAACAGGCAGTTTTGGGGCAACTCCGTGGTGGTAGCGTCTGTAGCCATGGTGAATCTAATACCCCTTAGATGAAATGTAGATGGTTTGAGAGTTTCGCAGCGGGAGGAAAGACAAGGGCCGGGGCGTGGATCTACCAGCCTGCAATCTTGTTATCAGTGAAATTAGCATCTGGGGCGACATGATTGGGCCAGGCGTGCGGATTTTTCTGGGCCGGCGGCGGTGTGGGAGGTTTGCAGTTAGCGACGACCGGTGGGGGTGAGGGGGAGGTGCCAGCATGGGACAGGGCTAATGCGAAGCAGTTGGAGGGCGCGGGCCACGGGAGGCAGGTACGGTGCGAGTCGACGGGGGTGTGCGAGGCTGTTGGCAGGCGAGGCTGGAGCCGGTGCGGTTGTTGATATGACTACTGGATAACCTTTCTAGGTGGGGCAAAATGTGTAATGGTGAGCATCGGATTGGAGGTGTAGTGGGGCCTGGCAGATTCCTGGTAGTGAGACCTGGGGACCTGGTCCCTTCTCGGCCAATTGTACCAACTCCGTCCTTCGCACGCCCAAAGCCCCCGTCGACGAGGTGAGCATCCACCCATCTACATTCTACATCCCTCAACAAAAGGTATATATTAACTATACAGTCACAAAAGACGACTCTCAACATGCCCTACATCAGACACGGTCTTCTAACAGCCCGAGTCTCGAGCCTTCAATTGAGTAATTTAATCCTTCAACACAACGTATAACGCATGTAAAATAGCTGGGAACCAGAAGAAGATACAACACACAAGGTTAACCCATAAAGGAGAAGTGGCTCCCACCTTCATGAACACCGCCAATGGAGGCAAGAACACGGCAATAATGCAAGCAACGATTTTTTCACTGTCCATTTTTTATTGGAAAATTCAATGGGGATGATAGACGATGTAGGAATTAAAGGAGATTTTATATGTTTGGTAGCTGGCTTTTCGCGGAAGCCGGGAACATTTATGCATGGCCAAATCTAGTGCGTGCTCACCACCAGTACGGCGGTAGGTTCAATCGGAATGGCGGTGGCAGAGCGCGTGACTTAGTGAGAGGGGCAAGATGTAAAAGGGGTAAAAAAAATTCTCCTGGGGGTGAGTCGAACACCCGATCTCAAGATTACTTTGAGGTACTCATTACAGTCTCGCGCCTTAGCCAGCTTGGCCACCAAGAGGAATTTGGTTTTTTTTCGAAAATACTCCTAGAGCAGCGCGCAGAGCATCCACCAGTGCGACAACCCCCACCACCAGCGCTCTGCCCACCCAGGCCCAGCCGCTTTTGCAACCCGCCTCGCGCACGCCAACCAATGGAAGCCTCCGGTTTTCCTATTACCGCGAAAAAATCCCCCAATTGCAGCATGTCACGTGCAATAAGAACACAAGCTAATGATATCGCAGAAACTTATTTCACTACTTGAAGAGTTTTTCCTAACCTTTAACCTCATCGATGTCTAGCGCATTTGAGATCATATCTCAGATTATATCTCCAGTGGACGGCCAGGTGTTCACCACCCGGCCCGCAAAGGCCGTGGAAGCATCCTATTCTCAGTACTTTAAACAATCTCAGGTGTTAATAGATGCAAATGATCCATATCTTGTTATAAACGAATACTTACAAGATATCGACCGTGAAGACTCCGGAAAGGTAACCACTGTCATCACATCTGGAAAGACCCTCTTCCAGAGTTTACCCCTCGTGTCCTTGCAAGCGTTTTCTCAGGTTCCGGTTGTTCATCATGTGGAATTAACCAACTTTGACTTCTCCATCATAACTTCTTTAAGAGACTTGCAGTTCCCGGTGTTGATATCACAAAACACCGCTGACTTGGTCGCTAACACCAGCGTGGCGTACCGTTTGGCAGTGGGCCAGTCAACGTCGGTGTTCAACTTTGTGGTACCTTTCACTCCCTCCAAGACTGTGAAATCGTTCCCCAAAGTGGTATTGGAAGAATCCAAAGAAATCGACGATATTCTCGTGGCAGCTGAGGTGCTGCCTTTCCGGGTATTGAATTCCAAGGCCACCAAGAACCCCAAAGACGTGGTGGTCTACTTGGGTCTCATCAACGCCGATTTGGTGTCTGCGTTTTCTGCTAAAAACGCTTTATTGGTCTCCATCAACGTGTATAAGCCATTTTACCTCGGTCACCTATTGTCGATAGTCCCTGCATCCGTCGAGACCTTGACATTGGTGTTGCAAACAACGTCGGCATCAGCACACTTTTCTCCACTCTTGTTGGATTTTTTCCAAGAGTACTCAACCTTCCAACAGTTAAAGAACTTCACCAAAATCGTGTCGGCGTACTTTGGCTACAGCTCGAACGTGGTTGCCAGTGTTGACAACTTGTTGACCAACACCCGTTCTGAGTCACCGGTGCAGAACCTTGCCTTTGGTAAGGTTGACATTGAATTGTCCACCAAGGCTGAGAAACTCAGACTCGATGAGGCTGCGGCTGCTGTACAAAATGCCTATTCTTTGGAAGAGCCATACACAAAGATGTTGAACCAGGTGGCAGGTGCGGGCTTGACGGTGTTGAACGAGTTCAATGCCCGATCACTTGGAACTGAGTCCAACCCAGAGTTTGGCTTTGGTAAATTCTTGCACTATAAGCAGAGTCTCAACCAGCTTGTGCAACAGGTGTACGAGGCCATCGAGAGCAACAGCTTGAAGACGCTTGACAATGCAAAGTTGATCGAGTACTTATCCAGTTGGTTGGATTTGGTCAAATCCCCAAGTCCCGCAAACCACTCCGAATTGGTTGCAAATATCTTGAACCTATTGGAGTCAGACGATTCCAGTGACACCGCAAAGCAATTATTGGCACAGGAACACCTTTTCCAGTTGTCGTCGAGTTGGTTGATCGGCTCTGATGCCTGGTCCTATGATTTGGGTGCTTCGGGAGTTCATAGTGTGATTGCCTCGGGGGACAATATTAACATGTTGATCATCGACAATGAGCCTTTTGACGATAAGAAAAAGGTGAACGGGTTCCGCAAAAAGGATGTGGGTTTGTACGCCATGAACTATGGCAACTGTTACGTGGCATCGGTGGCCATCTACTCTTCTTACACTCAGGTGTTGCAAGCATTCATCGAGGCCGAGAAGTTTAACGGTCCGTCGATTGTTTTGGCCTATTTACCCTTCCACTCAGAAAACGAGAACACCCTAGAGATTTTAAAGGAAACCAAGAGAGCTGTTGACTCCGGTTACTGGCCATTGTACAGATATAACCCAACTTTATCAGGTGACCAAACGTTCAAGTTGGACTCTTCTAACTTGAAGAACCAGTTGAAGGACTTTTTGGCCAGGGAAAACAAGTTGACGTTATTGGCCAAGAAGAACCCTGAATTGTCGAGAAACTTGGCCATCACGGCCACTTCGGAATCCAAATTACAGCAGCAGAAATTGGCAGCCGACTCCTTCAACAAGTTATTGCAAGGATTGTCAGGACCCCCATTGACCATTGCATTTGCTTCTGATGGTGGAAATGCCGAGGCCGTTGCCAAAAAGGTGCACAGGCAAGCTTCTGGAAGAGGCTTAAAGGCGGTGGTTTTGGCCATGGATGACATTTCGGTTGAAGACTTACCCACCGAAACTAACATTGTGTTTGTTTCCTCCACATCTGGTCAAGGTGAATTCCCCTTGAACGGTAAGAACTTCTGGGAAGCCTTGAAGACGTCGGTGGACTTGGACTTATCTTCTGTTCGGTTTTCTGTGTTTGGTATGGGAGACTCTGAATATTGGCCCAGAAAGGAAGACAAGCACTATTACAACAAGCCTGGTAAAGACTTGTTTGCTAAGTTGACCTTGTATGGAGGCCAAGTGTTGACTGACATCGGCTTGGGAGATGATCAAGATGCAGATGGTTTTAACACCGGCTTGAACGACTGGATGCCTCGGTTATGGACAGCCTTGGGAGTCGACGGGGCCGATGCGGTTGAAGAACCAAAGCCTTTAACCAACGAAGACATGAAGATCGGGTCAGACTTCTTGAGAGGTACCATTGCACCTGCGTTGAAGGACACTTCTACTGGAGCCATCAGTGCTGTGGACCAACAATTGACCAAGTTCCACGGGATCTACATGCAAGATGACCGTGATATTAGAGAAGAACGTAAGACTCAAGGTATGGAACCCGCCTATTCGTTTATGGTTAGATTGAGATTGCCAGGAGGAAAGTCTACTCCTGAACAGTACTTAAAAATGGATGAGTTGGCAGACGTTAGAGGTAATGGAACCATTAAATTGACCACTAGAGCCACTTACCAGTTGCACGGAATAGTCAAGCACAACTTGAAGGCTGCAATCAGAGGGATGAACTCGGCGTTATTGGACACCTTGGCTGCTTGTGGAGATGTGAACAGAAACGTCATGGTGAGTGCGTTGCCTCACAATGCCAAGATTCACGGTCAAGTCAGTGAAGTGGGAACCTTGATCTCCGAGTACTTGTTACCCGAAACCACTGCCTATCACGAGATTTGGTTGGAAGGTGAAGACGAACACGACAAGGCTGGGGACAGAGATGTTTGGGAAACCAGAAAAGGAGGTCCTAAACGGAAGAAAACCATGGTTTCTGGTAACGCTTTGGTCGACTACGAACCCTTGTATGGTCCAACATATTTGCCCAGAAAGTTCAAGATTGTCATCACTGTTCCCCCATATAACGACGTGGATGTGTACGCCCACGATGTGGGTTTGATTGCAATTGTCGAAGACAACGAAGTGATTGGTTTCAACGTGTTGGCCGGTGGAGGTATGGGAACCACCCACAACAATAAGAAAACATACCCTAGAACCGGGTCGATGTTGGGTTACATTTCCAAGGATAAGGTACATTTTGTGTGTGAGAAGATTATGTTGGTACAAAGAGACTTTGGTGACAGAACCAACAGAAAGCATGCTAGATTGAAGTACACCATTGATGATTTGGGAGTCGATGTGTTCAAGGGCAAGGTGGAAGAGTTGTTAGGATACAAACTTGAAGACCCCAAACCATTTGAAATTACTTCCAATGTGGACTATTTTGGATGGTGTAAGGATGAATTGGGATACAACCATTTTACCGCATTCATCGAAAATGGTAGAATCGAAGATACTCCTCAATTACCACAAAAAACCGGTTTGAAGAAAGTCGCCGAGTTCTTACGTGGAGGTCGGTCTGGAGAGTTCAGATTAACTGGTAACCAGCATATATTAATCTCCAACATTGAAGATCAAGATTTGAACCACGTTAAAGCATTATTGGCCCAGTACAAGTTGGACAACACCGATTTTTCTGGGTTAAGATTATCTTCTGCTGCATGTGTAGCATTCCCAACATGTGGGTTGGCCATGGCTGAAAGTGAAAGGTACTTGCCAGAACTTGTCTCTAAGTTGGAGGAATCTTTAGAAGATTACGGCTTGAGACATGATTCGGTGGTGATGAGAATGACTGGATGTCCTAATGGGTGTGCCAGGCCATGGGTGGCAGAAGTGGCGTTGGTTGGTAAAGCTTTTGGAGCCTACAACTTGATGTTGGGAGGTGGACATCATGGGCAGAGATTGAATAAGATTTATCGGTACTCGATAAAGGAGGATGAGATCTTGGACATTTTGTTGCCATTATTTAAGAGATGGAGTTTAGAAAGACACGAGAACGAGCCATTTGGTGACTTTGTGATCCGGATCGGTGTCATCAAGGAGACTACAGAGGGTAAGTATTTCCATGATGACATTCCTGAAGAAGCTTAGGACTTATTTATTTAATATACTTAGATCGTGAGAGCATGTAGCTTGGTTCTGCCAAATGTATTGCAGAGCACAGACGAGTTTTCCACAATTTGGGATCGGTTGGATCTTGCTTTGGTTCGTTGTGATTGTAAAGCTGGAATTCTTCCATGACTTGCCATACAGTAGCCATTCACTCCACCAACTGGTGGTTTGGAAGTGGGCCTGCCCACTAATTTCCAACGTTCATAGATTTAACATCATCGAGTAACGTCTTCATACTCAAGGCCTTTCGACGTTCAACCTCAAGAACATCTTTGATCTTCACGTTCCAGAGGGTCACATTCACCGAATTGACCTTACGGTTGATGCGTGAGTCGTAGGTGTTGCACACGGTATTGGAAGTCCGTATAAGCAGCTCGAGCTTCTCATCACTCATGGTCTTGAACCGCTCTATCAATAGTTTCTTCTGTCTTGTTGTGCGTGGCATAGTTTGAAAGCTATATTTTGGAAACCCGCGAAACTCAAATCATTTTCATTTTTGTATCGGTGGCGATAGATATATTAACTATAACAATCAGCTACAAAAATGGTGTTGGAAGCAACGATGATAGCAATCGACAACTCGGAGTACATGAGAAATGAGGACTATCCCACCTCTCGGTACGAAGCTCAATTGTCGGCCACAGAGTATATTTTCCAAAACAAGGTCAACTCCAATCCTGAAAACACCGTTGGATTATTGGCATACGGAGGCAATGGCCCCGAGGTTTTGAGTACCTTGACCACCGACTTTGGAAAGATTCTTTCCGGAGCCCATGAAACTAAGGTCCATGGGGGAAGTCACTTCTCCAGTGGAATTCAAGTAGCTGCTTTGGCGTTGAAGCACCGTCAGAACAAAGTGCAAAATCAGAGAATCATAGTGTTTGTTGGGAGTCCCATCACCGAGAGTGAAAAGGACTTGGAGAAGTTGGCCAAGAAGATGAAGAAAAACAACATTGCCATCGACGTGGTGAATTTTGGAGAAGAGTCCATCAACACCTCCAAGTTGGAGAAATTCAACAATGCCATAAATAACCATGACAATTCACATCTTGTGACAATTCCGCCTGGCCCCAGGTTGTTGTATGAAATCGTGGCTACGTCACCTATATTGATGGAGGAAGGCTACGACATGGACAATGGTGATTTGGGTGGTGGCATGGATGGTTTCGGTGGAGGTGACTTGATAGATCCTAACATGGACCCGGATTTGGCGTTGGCCTTGAGGCTCTCGTTGGAAGAGGAGAGGGCCAGACAGGAGAGGGAAGCCTTGGAGCAGGAGAAGGCCGAAAAGCCCGAGTTGGACAAGATAGATGAAGACCAATAGGGAGAGAATCACGAGATTACAAGAGAGATCGATAGTCAAAGGGTGCGTTAGAGAAGACCCCTGGGCTAAAGCCTCATGATTAATATAACATTCACACTTTAGCTGTATCACTGTAGCTCTATATACCGCAGCGAAAAATCCACTTTAATCTTTGCCAATGCTCAGCAGAAGTAACAAAAAGAGGACTCCAGAAGCCCATATCTCGGGTGAAAAAGGAGGCCATCCAGTCACTTTCATTGCTCCATATAAGGAGAGTGTGATCAGCCCGATTGAAATGACTAAAGCCCATTTTTTAGATGCTTATTCGAAAGTATGCGTTTTTGCAGCCGAGTCCACAAAACCAAATTCATACTAACAGCAACCAGGGAAAATGGAATTTGTCAGAAATCCCCAAGCCCAAGTGCGTTGGGGACGTTCGCTTCATGAAACCACCTGAATGTTATATCGAGTCGAGCCGGGCCAAGGTTGTAAATGAATATACTAACTTGAAGCAGTGGGACGAAAAACCCATCTTCAAGAAAATCATCAGCCGGGCTAGAAAGCAGTTCAACGTTAGCGGCGTCAGCATATCCATCGTCAACTCCAAGAAAGTGGTGTTCAAGTATGAAAGCTTGTTGAATGCCAGTGAAGTTTCTAGACCTGCATCCATTGACGGGCATGCAATTGTTTCACAAGACTATTTCTTGTTATTGGATGCATCCAAAGACTGGAGAACCACCAGCAACCCGTTCGTTGATGGGATTCCTTATATCAGGTTTTACTGCGGAGTTCCTTTAATGGCGGCCAATAGAAAAGACATCGTTGGTGTGGTGGCCATATTCGACTCCTTCCCCAGAAAGAGTTTCAGCAACGAAAGTATCACCATCTTGAAACAGCTTAGCAGTGAGATAACACAGGTGCTCAATACTCCCATTGAGGATATGTCCTTAAAGTACAAAAATGTTAGAGCCAACTCCAAGTATTCCACAGCCAGGTACGACGAGAAAATGACCGAATTGCATGAATTGCAAATTAAGTTAGGAAGAGCCACCTCTAGAGGTTCGTTAATGACAGTGTTTGAAAAAGATGGGCCAGGTGGTCCGTATTCCCAGAACAACAACTTCAAGTTCTTGACAAAGTTGACGGACGAGGCTGAACAAGAAGAATTTGTCAATAACAACAGCTTATTTGAAAAGCTTATGAAGACGGGGACCATCAAAAGAGCATCCAACTTGTTATGTAAAATCTTGAGTGTCAACTATAAAGCCGATTTCGTTTATATCTTGGAGATTCGGATTGCTGAGAGCTATGAGATCGAATCCAAGTACTTCCCCAAAGAAAATAAAATCGAAAGCGACAGCTTTGCGTATGCCAACAAGCTCGTCAAGAGGCCATCTGATAAAAACGAGTTTATGTCTCGGATCATGGGATGTTATGGGTCTACCCATACGTCTTTGAACTTTGAAAACTTAATTCACCACAAATGTTTTGAAGCCGAGTTTGGCATCCATTACAAGACCAAAACCAATAGCTCCATTTATAACGTGGGAGTTTTGATGCCCTTTTATAGACACAGTTCCAAGATGGTGAGACAGAAAAAATTGAGATCACTCAAGGGAGACAAGAATCCCAAAACGGCTCTTTTCCTCCGGTCGGGAGGGTATATTGTAGGACTTTTCAACAAGGAGGGTGAGAAGAAGTTTGACGACCAGACGATCTCAAAGGTGTTCAACAATGTGCTGGTGATGCGGAAACTTTATATCAGTGGGTGAACCCGTCTATAGTGTTTAAATCTCACATTCCAAGCTCGTTCATGGCTGCTAACTCAGCATCATGGTCATCCTGGAGCTGAAACTCCAGAGGGTCAGGGTTGATGTCTGCAGCCAGAAGAAATTGGTCGTTATCGGAAAAGTCATCGTCAGAGAGCGTAGGGGCCGGTGGCCTTTGTGGGGGTACTGGCAGGGATGTTCGAGGCGCTGGTGGAGATGGTTGAGGCGCTGGCGACTTGTAGATGTCTTCGTCAGGATCCACAAAAAGCCCATTTTCACGGCGCATAAAGTCAAAGTCATCATCCACATGGTACTCTTCGGTAGCTTCGTTTTGTTCGTTTTGTGCAGCAGCCGTCGGAAGAGTTTCATTATCTTCATCCAAAGGAACATCCACAAAGCCCATTTTGCTTCTTAATTTACTCAATTCCGTGTCTATCAAGGCTTTTCTGTGTTTTCTGAGCTGAGGTGATCTATTGGTGACACCACGAATTAACAGAATACAATCTTTGAACTTGGCCTTGGGAAACAAGGTATGACACCAAAGCTGGTAGAACTGCAAGGTGGAGGATAAGTTGTCATATTCCTGATCGTAGCGCAATTGTTTGGAGGTGATGTGTTTGTTGTTTTTGTTCCAAACTCGGGGGAGTTTTGGGTAATTTTTTTCGATGTAGGAGAGGCCTTTTTTGCCCAAGAGTCTTTCCTGGTCGATCTTGGAGACCTTTGTACGGCGGACGGTTGGGGCCTGTTGGTCGAGGCCGAGTATATCATTTGGGTCTTGGGACATGACGCGTTGAATTGGAATTGAGCGCGATTGTGAGAAGAGCGCGGTGATGGCCAGTCGGGAGAATTAGAGGGAGCAGGGCGAATTTAGAGCCGGCAACGGCCACTGGTTTTTCCAAGAGAATTCAATGGCAGAGGGTGCCGTATTAGAACTCTATCAATTCACCAATGAGCAATTAATACCGATGAATAATTAATACCAATGAATAATTAATACCAATGAATAATTAATACCAATGAATAATTAATACCAATGTATAATTAATACCAATGATTAATCAAAAACTAGTATCCAATGGTTATTTAATATCCAATGTTTAGGCCGGTCAATATTTACATCTAATCCAATAAAATAACCAGTCCAATATTTAAGCCGATCAATCCAATAAAATAACCAGTCCAATATTCACATCTAATCCAATAAATACCTAACCAATTTTTAATCCCATCATATTTTATGCACTGCAATTTAATATCTAATCCATAATTATTTAATATATAAATCCGATAACTCGCAGCCCCAAATGAACACCATCGTGAACCTATTGTATATAGCGCGCTACACAAGCGAGATCATTTTACGCAGTCGGTTGACAATACTACACAATGGCCGTGTCATGCAAAGGCCTTCTCACATATTGTTGGCCGATTGTTGGCCGATTGTTGGCGGATTCACCCTGACCGCCCTCACCGATCAGAGTTCACATAGCCGCCTTTACCACCCCTGGCCGTGACGTCTCAGCTCGTATGCCGTATGAGTGACACATTAATGATCGGTCAGGAAATCTCGCGGAATCCACATCGGTAAACGCCTGTTATCGGACACCGTCACCCTCATCTTCCTCGCCCGTCTTATGTTCCCTACCCATTTGTCTTATAAAGCAAGTTGTTATAGAGCAAGTTAAAGCAAGTTAAAGCAACTTATAAAGCAAGTGTCTAGGTATTGCTCTCCAGTTTAGGTGCCTGTACACAAATTCCAACTTCTCAATCTCATTTACTGGCGCTGCATTTACATATTCCTGTCAAACAAGCCAAATACTTCTAGAAACAGAGTTTACCCGTTCGAGAATCAACACACATTCCTCCATCCCACCTGCCATTGTATCTAAGTGGCTCTATTCCTACCCTACCCGCTATTGTATCTAAGTGGCCTTCTTTCTACGCTTGTCCCAGTATAATTGCAGCCTTTATTTGCGATTGTGGTGAGTACAAATGATATCACATATTCTTTGGGCAGCGTCACTGGCCGTGTGCTTCGTGTACCCGATGCTTCTATCGATCAAGGCCTTGAACCACCTCGGCGCCAGACCCGACTCCAAGAACGTCCAGCACGCCCGGTTCTTGTTGAACTACTGGATCTACTACATTTTGATATCCAACGCCGAAAACACACTTTTGGTTCGCACGGTCGACGCATCGGCGTTCCAGGCAGCCAGCGTGGTGGCATTCTTGTTTAAGGTGTGGTTGTTTTACGGCAGAGGCTGCTTGGTGTTGAGCTACTACTACGTCAGCAATGCCTTTACTCGGATCTTGGATAACACCACCAACACCGCCAACATCGACGTGTTTGAGGTGCGCTTCGTCGACCCGGCGGTTCTGGTGGCCCTTATGAATTCGGTTCTCACCAACCATGTTTTGGCGGGTTTGAGCCAGGTTTCGAGTTTTAATGGCCTTGTACACTCGATTATTGCATCCATCCACCAGTTCCACATGGAACTTGCCAGCTCGTACCACGGCGGTCACTTGAAGACGCCGTTCTTCCTCGGGTCGTCGTTGAGCTTTTTTTGTACCATCGACAACCAGACGGTGTACCGGCAGTACAAGTTGACCAACCGGTTTTTGCGGTTTGTGTGGATTGGCAACGCCATAAATACTCCGGCCATAAATGCCCCTAAATCCAGGGGCCCACACCCTGAGCACCACCGCAATCTCAGTAACCACAGTCACCGGCTGGGCGAAGTGTCGCCAGTGTTTTCAGCAAACGTATCTCCTCGCATGGGACCCCAGATGATGGACCGAGAGCTGCGGTCCATTAGCGAGAAGCTTGAAAAGCTCGAGATGCTCGAGCAGTTGGAGAGGGCAGCCGAGAGACGCGTGGCGTCGGAGCCACGCACAGCAGAGACTCTTTTGGCCAGTCCGGTGGACCATTCCACTAGATCCAGATCAGGCTCGTCTGCCAGCCAGTTGAATATGCCGCACAACGCCATCCCCATAAGCGACTTGTTGAAGCGGCCACGCACATCTTCCATCGATCCTCCCTACCCGGTCATCTAAAAACATCCCGCCGAACCTCCCTACTGGTTCTAACAACATGCACTCAGTGATGATTTTTTAGGAATTTATAGAGCATCGCATTCGCGAATAAATATTCATGTATGTGTGCGAGTACCTCCCCAGACTAAACTGTGTTTCCACAGTATTAGACTTCGATGAAGATGTGAAAAGCATCACTCGCATTGCTATCAACAATAATAATCTCCAGGTGGAGTCTTTGTTGGTCAAATCTCTGCTCAAATTGCCGGTGGAGTCCGATGAGCTTACGCTCACAAGCTGCAAGAAATCAGGACATTCGTTAGTGCTATCGTTCAAACTCAAGTCCTACCACCTGCACAACAACTTCATGAGCCTCTTGGAAGTGCAACCGTGGTCGTGCAAAGACCTTCTTCGTACTCCCAAAAATAACCTCAACCAGAATATGTTCAGGTTTCGGTGTGCTCACTGTGCCAGAGACGTGATAAACTCCCACCAGTTTAATAAGTTCAGTGACATGCCGTCGGACTTGTGGGCTGAAATGATGGACTTCTGGCACTGCCACAAGCCGGTTTCTGGCAAGGATTTCACCACCACCAAGAACTACAACGGGAACTTGAAACCTCTGCCTACCTCCATCCTCATTGGAAATAACTACATATTGGTGAATAACGAGATAGAGGTTGTAGTACACCAGAACACGGTGAGGTGTGTCTGTGGAGGTAGATTGGGCGAAGTGGATGAAAACAAGAGCCTCAAGTTGTTCAAGTGGAATCTTCAATTAGCATTTGCTGATACTGTCGAGACCTACTCGCCGTACTTGTGCATATATAATCTTCTCCTAGATAAGATCAACTCGCAGGCAGTCAGAAAGGTCCTAGTTCACGACTACATCGTGTGGATCTTCAACATCGGCATCGACGTGGCTCTCGAAGGTATCCACTTGGTGAATGCCTCGAAGATACTATATTGCAAAAAAGCTGAGCAAGACCACCGAATTTTTGACGATGAGATAGTGGTGACGGAGACTGGAGTATTTGAGGATTTCATACGTGAGTTGGATACCATCAACCAACTCGTACCACAAGATAGCAGGACCCTTGCGGTCAAGGAGGATAGCAGTGTCATGAATTATAAAATTAGTTATTTGGGGTTATATAAGTAGGTTTACTTATCTAATATATCTTTAACGGCTGGGACGATTTGTTTTCGGGAAGCTGCTAGGTTGGTCTGATTCCACACTCTAACGGTGATGGACTTGTTCAACTCGTCGAGTTTGGCTTCAAAACTTTCGACATTGTAGACATTTTTGTCGAGTGCTAATGTAGAACATCTTGGTTCAAGGGTACCAAGTTCTTCAAATTGGCTGGTCTCGGGATATGCCACGATAAACTCTCTTCTATACTGGTTCTGTTTGTCGGTGTACGAGGGGGTGGCGATGACCATGTCCAAGTGGAAGAAATCAATGACATTGTTGAGTCCACTCAAAATCTCCTCATTGGAGTAACTCTTGAACAACCATTCGGCAGATTTTCCTATGGAGCTGAACCCGATGTTGATACCACCAAATTTAAACTGTTTGTAGTCTTTTCTCAATACCTGGTCGACCTTGAAGCCGTCCAAGTTCTTTTTAGCCCTTTTGATGGTTTGGTGGTAATTGGTGAAATGCTCGTCGAAAGATGCCAAAGTCACTTCCTGTTGCAAGACTTGCTTGTACAACTGCAACGCCACCCGGTCATCTTCTTCCACCTTGTCCGACATGTTGTTTGTGTCGATCAACAACGGAGCAGTGAACAACTTGACGATTTCACCCGAGTTCTGTTTGAAGACGTCAAGGTTTTCAAACTTGCTGCTCCAGTGGTTGAATACAAGCGAAGAGCACGACCCACACGTCTTTATAGTACGAGGGTTGGCATCCAAGAAGACGTTCTCGTCCGCGTGGTGGTCAATGATACCTGTTACTTTGATCTGGTGGTTGTGGAAGTATTCAATCAACGATTCTCCTTGGAGATTGCAATGGTCTACCAACGTAATCTCAGTCTGTGACCGAGAACCAGCGATATTCTTGAAGTCTTCGATGAAGTAGAGCAAGTCCTCGGTGATGGCGTTGGTTTCCAACACCAACTTTATGTCTCTTCTGAGACTAAAGTCTTGTCTAGGGATGTTGATGAGGGGGATGAACACAGTGGAGTCATACTTATAGTTCAAATATGAGTAGCCGATGGCACTGATGACCGAGTCAAGATCAGCTGACTGGTTACCGGTAACGAACCGAAGAGGTTCCAACGACGAGCTGCCGATATGTTTCTTCACCACTTGTAAGAACGCTTTGACAGACATATAGAGTCGATTTGAGTAAAACGCGCGCAGCTGCAAAATTCAATAACGGTGTTCTAAAACAAACTATTTAGAGTAATGTAATTTCATGTCTAACCACTGTCTTTTTCTGATTTCTTCAGGAGGCAATGAGATGTGACCGTAAGATATTGGCAAGAAGAAGTAATAGAACCATACCAAGCCCGCACATACCACGAAGACCAATGCGGTGAACCTGTGCTTGTTCACTCCAATTGGAGACGAAGACTGGATTCGGTTGTTGGAACACACAAACTCAGCCAAGCCACCGGAAAACAATGCTGCAATCAAATGCGCAGGCAAGTAATGGTGTAAGAACTTCTGTCTGTTCATCAAGAAGAAGGGTAAATAGTGAGCACACCATCCAATGAAGAGGAAACCCAATGTATTGTACAATCTTGATTGGGCCTTCTTGTTCAATAAGTGGATGTTTCTGCGGCGGGTCACCTGATCTGCCAACAACAATCCGAGATAGACCGCCAAGCAACACACCTCAAACCAGAAGCCCACCACGTTACCAGTGAAGAAGATCTGCTTTTTGTTTTCGTTGTCATTCCAGAAAGATACTCCGGAAACCGCCAAGGGCCAGGAGTTTGGTTGAGATGCAAATGGGTGCTCAGAAGACAACTTGTTGTTGTGGTGGAACATCAAGAATTGCAATTCAAACCATTTCTTCAAGAACGGCAAGGGCTTGACCTTCTTGGGAATGTAAGTGCTTCTAGAGTCATTGGCATTCAAGTTAACAATGGTGTCAAAGAACCAGGCGTTGGAAGGGTCGGTATTCTTCTTGTTACCACTGACCTCTTGGTGTCCAAAACCCCATTCGGGCAACACTTCATCGTCATGGGTCCACATCGATACCACCGTGTCGACATGAATAAGTCTCACGGGAGTAGCCTTGGTTTTCACCAACTTTTTCCTGTTTTTGTTGGCACCAGACCCACCTTGAGCAAGTCTCAATCTGAACAAACTCTCGTTGTAGGCACGGCTGTAGGGCTCTTCATCGTAAGTAATGGTGAATTCTTCATTGGTGGACTTCAAAGGTGAAGCCACATCGTGTGCCAACATATACCCCCCAGTACCAACGTGCTTCAACCTGATGATATCGTTGGTAAACACAGTAACGCCTTTATCGAACTTGGGGTCGATGGGGACGATTTCCCAATGGTTGTTGACGTCGTTCAAAATGGAATCTTCACCTTCAGTGGCCTTCACAGCCGTGACCTGCTGGGAGTTGGAGGAGATTCTTCCGTCTTCGTACCGCAAAGGGTAATCGGCTTTGTGCGAGTGCAAGAAAGCCTCTGTTTCCTTGTGCTTGATGGTAACAATGTCGTAAAAGTTCACTGGCTTGCTGAACTTGGCCAAAGGTGACTCCACCAACGATTCCTGGAATTCAGATGACATGAAAGTATCCCCCGGGCCCGATCTGTTCAAGACGGCGAAATGCACCCAGAACCAGAACAAGTAGAGAATGAAGGGGAACACTATTAATGAGTAGAACCGGGCCACAAAGTGCTTGCTAAACTCAGTCAACGTCAAACCTCTCTGGTAGTCTAATAAAATCCACAACTCGTGCACCACGGCGATTCCAATGGTGACATACGTCAAAACCCCCACATACTTGGTGGAAATGACCAATGATAACGCAACCCCCGTCAAGTTCAACCAGATCCACCAGATCCTGGTGAACGGCTGGGTACGGTACGTGGAGAACTTAGCATATGCAAGCATCGTCAAGGCCACCGCCAAGTTCAACATGGCGTCCAACAAAATCAATCTCGAGTCGATGATGTGTGCATTATCGAAACAAACAATCATACTCGACAACAAACAGGCACTGGCAGAGTACCCCAATGTCTTCATGGTCCAGTACATCACCGGGACAATGGCAGTACCCTGAAGAGCGATGAGCGACCGGTACGCCACGTATGGCACGTTGTATGTGACGTAGTCGTCGTTGATGTTCTCGAACTTGAACTTACCGTCGTAACCAACCAACCATCCCACAAACGCAATCAACAACTTGGCGAATGGAGGGTGCAAGTCGAAGAAATACGTTCTCTCCAAGTAGTAGGATGCGAACTTTCCGAAGTGCACCTCGTCAAACACCACCTTAGGAGGTAAGTCAATCATCACGAATCTGGTGAAAGCTGCTAGCACCGTGACGATGGTCAAGCCCCAATAATACCTGAGATCCGTATCTTTGGCCACATACTGCTGAGCTTCAGACGACTGCAGTACATCAGCCTTTTTATCGGCCACCACTGCTTTTTTGCTGCTGGTTTTCTTCTTCACAGAGGACATGTTAGTAGTGGATTCCAGTGGAAAACTTGAAAAATCGCGCTACGTGTTGAAAATTTCGCGACGTTTGTGAACACAAAGCATTTGCACAGCCGATCGAAACGTCCACAAAGTTGTGATTACGGACTCCTACGAGTATATCGGAAGTAGTCGTTACTCATTACTATACACTATTTTACATATGTTTTTTCGATCGCTTTTGGTACCCTCCTCTGCCCTTGATAATCGGTGCATTCTGGTTAGTGGTGGGGAAATAGCCCTTTCCATCCATTGTAACAGGCGTACGGAGAGGAGGAGTGTTGAATGGCAACTGGGCCGACGTACCGAGCGACTCGCTGGACGAGCTCGAGTTGTTGCGGTTGTTGAATGTGTAGACATCCATAGGATTTCCTTGTTGCTGACCGTTAGTGGTAGGAATGGCTGAAGGATGGGACTGAGATCCTCTAGTATCACTGACCATACTGACGGATCCAGGGATAGAGATGGGCCGAGACGACGACAACTGGGCGATTTTTAAATTTTTGTCTTCCACCAATGTTTCGTATTTGAGAATGGTTGCAAAAAGTTCCTGTATTTTTTTCTCATACTGGCTGCTGAGGGCATTGACTTGGTATGCTACCTCCTTCTTGTTGGCCAATATCCGCGTGTCATGCTGCCGTTGCAAGTCCGTGTTCTTGGACTTGAGCTTCTCGAGTTGTTGCACAAGAAACTCATTTTTCTCACTTAGCTGCAAAATCTCCGTTTTCAAGTCATGTATCTCTTTTTCGACATGGTTGACCTTATGTGGCAGGTCGTCGTGGCCATTGTTCATAGAGCTGTTGTGTTGAATAGTCAAGTTCTCCATTTCCTTTTCGAGGATCGAGTATTCGGTGGTGAGGTCTTTGAACTGGTTGTGTAAGTTGAAGATCTCTTCATCCTTAGCGGGCAACACCTGTTTTGTAAGCTCATCTACTTGAACCATGAGCTCATGGTTTGTGGCTTCAATATGTTTGAGATGTTTGCAAGTCTCGGAGTTGGAGGCATCAAGGTTCGAAAATTTGGATACCAAAAAGTCTCTTTCTCGCTTCAGGTTCTTCAAACTCAGCTCTAAGGCCTCTTTCAAGTCATTATATGACTCCCGGAGAGTATTTCGCTCCTCAAGAAGTCCTTCGTATTTCAATTTGGTATTCATATACTCTCTTGAGCTACTTGGGAGTTCTCCTTCTTTTCTCATTCGGTTCATCTGCAACTTGAGCTTGATATACTGAAACTTATTTAAATGCTTCATGTAACTGGAAAACTCAATTTCATTCTTCATCAAAAGGAGCTCTCTCTGATAGAAGTCCACAATTGTTCCAGAGGCATTCTTTTTGAGCTCTCCTTCGGGCATATTGTGCAATGAACCTCCCGAGCTAAAAACAGTTTCTTTGCTGGAGTCCACGGATGCTACACACGATTGGGTCCGGGAAGTCTTGACCTTATCCCCCAACAAAGAGTGCACATCTAATGTCCGTACCGACTGAGTATCGGTAGAATCACTAGATTTTGGATTATAGAGTTTCTCGTGGGTGGAAAACAAATTGTGGAGTGGATCACTCCCTTGCCTATCTCGTCCTGAGGCATTTTCAACGGGTTTCTCACCATCATAGTTGATTTCTTTGAAGTTGATTTCTCCCTGTTTCTTACCCTCAATTGCAAGGTTGGTTGGAATAACAGACATCTTACGGTTCAACGAGCTGAGCAGCAAGTTTGGGATAAGAGACTGGTTACTGAAGTTGAAATAAAGCGGACTTCCGATGGACGAAGCTCGCGACATGGGAGCAGAACCATCACCATTAAGCTTGGTTTTGGGTTCATCTTCCAACCGAACATCCACCATGCTGGGACTTATGGCATCGGGTACAAAGAACCCCAAAACCGGATTCAACGCCAAACACCCCAACATGATTTCCTCGACCCCAAGAGAGTCGTCTTGCTTATCTTCAATCAACCACCTCGTGGGGTTTCTTTTCTCGTACTCCACTGAAAGCCTATCCATTTTCAAAAAGTTTGGGTGCAAAATGAACGATTTGAGATAACTTTTGGTGAACAGAGCGATGTAGTTGAGAACAGTTTCCTCTTTAGGCAGAATGTTGGATGTAATGAGGTCGTTAATCACCAATAGAAACTGGCCTTCTACAAACTTGGGAGGATTTTCTTGAAGGTACCTAAGCGGTGAGTCAGCAAATAAGCTCAACGAGTATGGAAAAAACCCGTAGATAATCGTTACAAGGTAACTGGAGTCCAATATGGTCTTGGACTCTTCCCCGGTGGGTAGAGCCATATCCCAGCCCTGCTTGGCTCGAGAATACTGCTCCTTGAGGATGGCTGCTCGTTCTCCAATGGAGATAGAAAAGCTGTACCAAATCACCACTCGGGTGTAGATGATCATCAAGTCCGAAACGTACTCCCCCATGCGATCACTCACCAAAGGCACAAACATCACCAATAACGACAACCCCGACGCAAGCACTTCTTCACTAAAGTCAAACAGCAAGCACTTGAACAAGTTGGCAAAAAGATCCGTGTTTGCCAACGCATGGAGGTTCGAGGATCGGGAGTTTAACACCATACTGAGAAGTGCAAGAACCGCCAATCTGTAATGGGCAATGATAAAACGGGAGTTGGCAATGTCTCCAAACGTGGTAGGATGCACCAAGGCAAAGTTGTAGAGAATCTCCATACTGTTGCGCTTGACAAACCTCAAACGCTCGGAGAACTCCTGGGTATTCTTGTCTTCGTCTCGCACCAGTAACCCAATAAATTCTAGCACTTGTGGGTCAGGGCCTAGATAGAGATCAAACACACGGTTGATGACCGCCACAGCGATATCCAAGCGTCTTTCTCTCAACGCCTGGTCCTCGTATGGCTGACAGTCGGCGAGCTTGATGATGAAATATCTGCACTTCAGCACAAACTCCAAATCAAAGTTTGCACTGTCGACGGCAGGACGCAAATACGTCTTTAACCACACTTCAGCCTCTTCTTTGCTTAAAACCGGCAGGATCTCGGTGAGAATTTCGACAAAGAGGATTTCTCGCGGGAGGTCGGCGTTGGGGCCGATGTAATTGGTGTGGAACTCATGAAGTTTGTTGTGGAGATTGGTTGACAGTTGAATGGCCTGGAGGGTGTTATGCTTGTCATGGAAGGCGGTGATGGACCGAAACAAGTCGGACGTCTTGATGCGGTTCAGATAATCGGCGATGCCCAGCTCCCACGAGTCGAGCACCGCGCTGAGGTCTCGTAATAGCTGTCTAGAGGAGCCTGACATGGGTCTGGAGATGAGAAGATGCCAAGGGCGCGCGCATAATGTTTATATGCCAAAATGGTTACCTCGTTGCTCTCGGTGATAGAAGAGGTGGATGGGTTTGTGTACGGGCAAGGCGCTGGCGGGTTCTACTCTCTTGTGGCCCACGACCACAAAAGCATCCTTGGGTACGTATCGCCTGCAATTGCGAGATATTTTGCCAGTGAAACCGGGTTTGTGGTCGACGCTCTCACCATGACCATTACCATAGATACATCGTACGACACCTTCGACAAGCGTAACCAGTTGTTTGGAGATGTGGCGGCCCGCTGGAAACAAGTACCGTTCTTCGAGGCTGATTTGAAGAACGGGTGGAGAGATGAGTTCTATACGGTTTACAACCCCACCAATGTTCCGTATTTCATCGTGGAACGGGCATTTTCCGTGCTCATTGGCGTCGTGACCTACGGCGTGCACATAAATGGATACATATCACCCGTCAACTCGGCCAATGGGAAGTTGAAGATGTGGATTCCACGTAGGTCTTCTACCAAACCCACATACCCAGGCATGTTGGACAACACGGTGGCAGGGGGATTGGGCCATCCGTACGGGCTTTGGGAAACGGTGGTGAAAGAGTGCTTTGAGGAGGCGGGAATCCCGGCCCAGTACGTCGAAAACCACACCAAGAGTGTCGGGGTGGTGCTGTATTTGTACCACCCCAAGGGAAGACTCATTGACCGAGTGCAGCCAGAGGTGGAGTACGTGTATGACATGGAGTTTGAAGACGAGACGACGGTGGTACCAGCGCCCCAGGATGGTGAGGCAGAGGACTTTCGCCTCATGGATATAGACGAGATTCTTGAGCGGATGGGAAACGGAGAATTCAAGCCCAATTGTGGGTTAGTACTCATCGACTTCTTAATACGTCACGGGATAGTGACTCCTGCCACAGAGCCCAACTACCTTGCCATAGTCTCACGCAGCCATCGAAGTATTCCGTTCCCAACGATGTGATAATCATAATTATGTATGTTATTTTGCAGCTATTTAGAAAGTCGCGCCAAATTTGATCTGCCGTTTCCATCAAAACCCACCATGAACCTCACCTTTGAAAGCGATAGCGAAGTCCGGGCCCAGGTCGACACGTATGCGGCCCAGGTGCGGTATGCGGTGTCCCAGGAGTTCCAAATAGATGAATTACTAGACTCCTGTGTCAGTGTGGACCAGGTTTGGGATGCTCTTGACACCGCCAAACACAGGTTGTACTCGGTGGTATCTACCGTTCAAGTGGTCCCAGTGCATGGCAACGTTGTCACCTGGACAGCCGTGGTGGCAGAAGTGCTTTTGCTGGTGTGCAAGTTGCGGGTGTTGTTGGAAGATGCTGTTTTAAAGTATGGCCTGTCGGCAGAGAGAATACGGCTTAAGATGGGACAAGTGTATGTGGATACTAATGAGTTTGTGTTGCGATGTGTTTCCGACCGCATATATGGCGAGCGGGCTGTGGCCATAGCTCGCGAGCACGCAGCGTTTGCGTTGGAGTTGCTGAGGATGTTGGTGAATGTGTTTGAGGTAAGCGAGTACAACCTTGCGGTGGACTGCGGGTCGATTAGCAATTACCAGTTGCTCTTGAAGCAAGGTACTGGGATCACCGCCAATTTGTTTGAGGGCGTGTTGGAACGGCCCTGGAAGGGCCAGTGCTTGGGACTTGTGTTTGGAACGTTGGTGAGGTGCTTGAAGGCTATTTACACCACAGGAAACTCAAAGACGTTGGAAACTCTTTTAACTGTCATATCACCAACTCTCGTGTCGGAGATACGTAAGTTCGCCAAGGTGGAGTATAGAGACATCGTCGACTACTATAAGTACGTTGCGTTCAACTTTGTGTGGTTGGCAGTCGAGGACTTATCGTGTATTGATGATGACTATACTCACCAGGCAGACATATACTTCAATTGTCTCTTGGCCTTACCCAGTAGCGACTACTCGGTGATCCCAAGCTTGGAGAAGCAGCCGTCCAACGGGTTGGAGGCCAACTCTTATGATCCTCGGATTCGCAGGCTTTATCAGGAACAGGTTTCCAGTGAAAGAGAGATCGACTGTGACCAGGTGATGATGAGGTATAATGAGAGACATGAGATCTCGTTAATGTTTGTATTGAACTCGATGTTGATGGTCCAACGCTTAGAAGAAGCCGTGAGTGTTCCGCCCCTATTAGTGGAGGAGATGGAGGTGTTTCTGAAGAGTTTGGCAGACCATCTTACCAGTAGCATTCGAAAGCAAAGCACGTCCGGACTCAACTCGGCACCACGCGTGAGAGCCCTCAAGGGTGGGAGTACAGCCACACCCGTCCCTGAACTTCACGAGGCTCTGAAATTTCAGTGTCTTTCTTCAATAATAACTAATGGCTCATACAAGGCAAGACACATAGCGGTGCTCAAGTGGCTACAACATTTGAAAAGAGGCAAGCTCAACACCCTCATCAACATATTCTCTATCAATGAATCGAATCCCACAAGTTTCAGCACTCTAGTCCAATCGTGTGATCCCAGTAAGTATCCTGGTGTCCACCACTTCTACCAGGTACTTATTACAGTGTCCCGGTTGTTTGAGCTCTTGAAGTTGAAGTTTTTCGTCGCTAGTACCGGCTCCAGTGTCATCGGGGAACTGGATTTACAGAGACTCATTTCTGATACCCTGGACTTGCATGCTATTCTAAAGGTGAAAAAGTTGCTCGACTGCAAACTCCAAGTTAGAGAAGGACAAAACCTCTACTGCTTCAGTTTGGTGCAATCAGATAAAAGAGAACAGAATACTGTCGAAAGCCACCAAACCGAGCTTGTGCGGAGTATTAACGAGCTTGAAGAGCAAATCGATAACGACTTGTTCGAGCCTTCTTGGTAATGATGCAGTTTATATTAGAGTCTATTACTTAATAGATATGAGAGGAAAGTCAAACCACCCGGGGTTTTTTGGGTTCATCAGGTTCGTCTTGCTCCACAAGTCTCTTGAGTGGGCTCTGTACTGGTACTGGTACCGGTGTGGGTGTAGCAGGTGCACTGGGAGCAGAATGATATTCCACCGACTGTGAGCTCAATTGCACGTCCTCAGGATTGATATCGGCGGTGGGAGGAGTTACGATGATGGCCACTTTTTGTGGAACTGGTGTATTCTGCTTCTCGAGATCCCTCTGGTCAAACTCCTGTTGTTTCTTAAGAGCAAACTCGTTGAGTAAGTCGGGGCTGTTCTTAACAAGAGCATCCACCTCTCTTTTGCAGTTCTTGAGGATATCAGACACACATGGGAAGATGTCTTTCTTAGCAAGTCTCTTATTTCCCTTGGGGGATTCCACTTGCAGTGTAACAGCCGTATCCGCTTGTATCTGATAATATACGTTAACGAAGACCGCAACAATCGTGTCGTCAATTAAGGATGTAGGACCAAAACCACTGTTGAGTTTCTTCAACTCGTTCAACACATTTAAAAGACAAAGAGCTGGTTGAAGTGATTCGGGTAATTCCTTGCCCTTCAAGTTCATGTTAATTTGCTGGACATGGTTAAAGAAAAGGTGAATGGGGGTGTGCAAAAAGCTTTCGGTGAAGGTCTCTTTGACGTCGTACAAGTAACGAACAAGCTTACAGATGACGGAGCAGAGCTTTTCCCAGGTAGCAAACAACGACACCATGATGGTACTAGACCTCCTTAACCGAGGAACCATTGCAAATAGCCCCACCAAGTTTTTGTCGGCATATAAAAGGTCAATGTACAACAACACATACTGCGAAGTGTAGTAAAAATGCTTTCCTGGTCTTTCAATGTCTGGTTTCCAAATCAGCACCAACGTCTTACTAGTGGCTTTGAGGGACACTATGATCGACATTTCTTCAATGGCTGCTTTGATGTTATCAAGCTCCTCGAAGTATATCTTGGCCAATCTATAGTGATACTTATGATGCCACCGTTTTCTGTCAGTTTGAGCGATCTTCTTCAAACACTCGACAACAAATTCATACCCTTCTCGCTTTTGGTTGTCTGTTTCGAAAGAAGGAGCTTGTATCTCTTTAAACAACGAGTCTTTAAGGAGGTACTCCACCGCTGATTTTGGAAGGAGCTGGTTCCTTTTGATAGCCTTAAATGCCACCGAACAGATCCTATAGTGGGGTTCGAGTATAAGCTCAGGAGTCGACACGTTGGAAGAGTGATGACAAGCATCGATGAGTGTTTCCATGATCATTTCCATCGGCAACTTAAGCTTTCCTTGAACTTTGGAAAGGTAGTAATAATTGATCCAGTCTTGTGAATTGGATTTGATGGCCAAATGCAAACTTTGCTGAATAATCTTGAAACAAAATGATCTTCTAATGGGAGGGTTGTCCTGAACTGTCACAAATTTGTTTTCGTCCCGAGTATGAACAAATTTGGGATTTGCCGTGACTTTGAAAGCCATCATCAACATGGGAATCATGCAGGCATTGAACATCTCTATGGCAAAACTAGACATTAACTCACCAATAATTGCCTTTAAGTTATTAGGTGGTGCTTCTTTTGAGAAGTTGATAGCCATTAGGTAACAGATTAATGACTTTCTTTGGAGATTAGCCGTAGCGATTTTCTTTTCCATGGCAGTGAGTTTATCAGGAGTCCAAATAAGGTCATCTTCTACAAGGAATCCATACGCTTGACCGAGGAGTAACCAGCTTTCCACACGGTTGCTTGCGTATACAAGGTCATTCTTCAAAAGCTTGATGACATTTTCAAGTTCAAGGGACCGGCCTTGCATTGACTTCTTCCTTACCTTGTAAGATGAGAACACCAACAAGCCTTGTAGATAATACAATCCCCCTTGGGCAATTTCCGTCAACTCGCTTTTCCCTGGCAGCAAAAAATTGATTTTTCTAAGCCCGTAAAAGCATTCCTTGACCAATGCACCACTTACAACAGTGTCATCCAAAACATGACTCAAAATATTGTTATTTTGGTCCAATGGACTCAACGTCTCAAAGATTGGGTCCCCTATCACTTCGTAGAACTCGTCGATAATCGACTTCAAGTCTCCTTTAGGGGGATTGACAATGGGTTGTCTCGATAAACAAAGCGGTAATACCAACTTGGAAATGCTGAACGCAGAATCCTTATTCAATTGAGTAGCAGCAGACGTGTCATGATTCACAGGAGTGAAGTTATTCGAAGAAATGTTCCAATGGTGTCTACAAGACAAAAGTTGGAGGATATCACTTTGACGATTGGTGGAATCAGACTGGAGAATAACATCTTGGTAAAACAAAAGGAATATCCCGTCCCCAGAATCACAGAGCCTTCTATTACCCAACTGATCATGAAACAAAGATAATAGATCCAAGCTGATGTCAGCTATTCTGGCAGTATAATCGCCTTTAACCAACAAATCATAGTACAAAACAATCGCAGTTGTAAGTCTCATGATAAAACCTTTAAACTTGTTATATGCCATACGGGACTTTTCGTATAAGGTGATCTTCTTGGATGTTATCAAGGCAGCCTCTTCATGAAGACTGAACATGTATAGGAGTTGAAATACAACCAATAGTCTCTTTAAGGTCTCTTTGTAGGAGGACATTTTATCTGAATTGTATGTTAGCTTCCATGCGTTTTTAGACAAATGGTCCAAGAACATGGTTAAGTATTCGTCGAATAATGATAATATTTTCAACAAGGTCGAAGCCCTATTATCAATCTCTTCCTTTTTGTAGGTATCACTATCGAGGTCTATAAGGATTGACTCTAAGACTCTCTCAAAGCCGAATTGGAACCGCTCTAAATTGGAAGAATAATTGTAGTACAGGAAAAGGATGGTCCAAAGGCTGAACTTCATATCAGTACTTGATTCCTGCAAGAGGGCTTTCACCGAGGAAATAGCAGAACTATCAACACCATCAATCCCGTCATTAAAATACTCAGATCCAATTAAGGTTCTCTCTAAAATGCTTATGGCTTCTTCGTTATTGTCTCCATCTTTGGCATACAAAATCTTAGCGAACACCGTTGTTACCGTGATTGTATTTGACAATAAGTAGATAGACCTCGAGCTTATGTCCTTGATACATTTGTAGTTGGCCATCTTCACAGCCACATCAAACCCTGGCTTTGATTCGAGGAGCTCACTTAATTGACTTAACCTAGCTGTTAAAAACTTGCTGAGTCGGAAGTTAGCATTATCCAGTCTCTCCTTATAAGCCATTGACCATTGGAACCTGACAAATGATTTGAATGATACAAGAGTAGTGTAGACAGAATCCTTCAAGATATACAAAATACCTTCAAGGTGGAGTATCCATCTCTCCAAGATACTTTTAAGCTTGGTAACCACAGATATCTGAGTGTTTAATGATGCTTTCAACGATTTTTGGAACCCCCGATCAGCATTTTGGGATATTAAGAGGTCAACTTTGCTTTTCTGGTCCACATAAGTATCGACAAGTAGCTCAAATACACTGGTGGAAAAGGTCAACTCGTCTAGCAAGGTGGGAGTGGTTGGGAGTTTCAAGGCATTTTCAGACTCTTGTAAGAGCTGAAGTTCCAATTGATTCACCCATCCTTTGACATCATGAAGGAGGTTGTCCAGCCAGTGTGTGTCACATATAAGACACAAGCCATTTTTTTGGTTTCCCATCAAAAACCTTAATATGGAGATTTTGATATCGTTTATATGGCATTTCTTGTCATTGGCTTTAGTGATGAAGTCGGCAATTATTTCAGGAGAATATATATCACCTTGTTCATCAAAACCATTGTTGAGCTCCGTAGATGACTTTGTGGTCGAACTGAACGATTTCAACACTTCCAAAAGCTTCAATTTTTCGTTTTCGTGATCGGTGGTATCCTTGAGCCTGCTTTGCCTCAATCTCCATGCTTCCATTAATGCCTTAGCATGAATAGAAGGCTCATACAAGTCCAAAACATCTATGAAATCGGTGGTGAAGTTGGTGATGTCACCAGGATCCACAAACTTAGAGGCAATGTCTCCTAAAGAGAGCAGTTCTCCCACATTAAGCTTCAGGAGAAAGGTATTAATGTCGCTGAAAAACCTAGTTGTTTCAGAAAACATCGCCGGGGTGACATCCAAGTTGGGCAAATAGCTGAATTCGAGTTCGGATTTCTGGAGTCTTTTGGATGCACGCTGGATGCCTTTGGATATGGATTTTGGCGTAGACTTGGAGGTTTCAGGATTTCCTTCCTCGTGCGTTTCGTTTATTGTGTCCGTAGGAGGAACTGAACCGCCTTCATGATCAAGGGCTGGAGACTCTCCAGCAGCTTTCTCAACTTCGGTCGAGATCTCCTCGCTCGGAGCAGCTTCACTTTCTTGTAGGTCTGTGGGTTCGTGAATGTGGTCCTCCTCCACCTGTTTACTAGCATCCCCTTCAGAAGTAGATTCCTCCTCGGCATCGTCCACCTCGTCCGAAATCTCCGGAACCTCCAAGTGAAGAATCTCAATACTATTAGCAGTGAAACAATAAGTGTCAATGTCCTTAAGCTTCAGCCTTACGGTGGTCTCGATCCTAGATTTGTCTTCATGAGCTTTGAGCATCTCGTTGATCGAAGAAGTGACATGCTCCCATTTGAGCACATCACCTTTTATCTTAATCTTACAGTTCATGGTTCGAGCAGTGGATACTTTGTCTATCAGGGCCTGAAAGTCTGCTCTCAACGGTGCCAAAAACAGATACTTGTCTTCGATTGCCTGCTGATGCTTAGTGAACGAGCCAGAGCCGGTCTGGCGTTGGTTGATGCGGTCTACCAATTGCTCGTGGTGTCGGACGGCCACCTTATCCAACGGTAGGAGGCCGAGTATATCGTTGCTTTCAGCCTTGCTGCTGAGAGAGTACTCCAAGATGAAGCGTGCAAGTCTAGCCGAACCCATGAATACAAGGACCTCGTAGAGAGTGTCAATAAGTAAACTGTCAGCTTCCTGATAGATAAGAGCATTTCCCATATCGTCCACCAAAGTATAGAAAAGCATTTTCTGGGAATCGAGGCCCGATGTCTCAGGACTGGCCACCGACTCGCCCGAGCGAAGGATGTCCAAGTAGAGGAAGGCTCTATTTCTGAAAATCAAGTACCGTAGCGACTTGAGGTTTGGCGACAACAACGCCAACTCGTCCACCGAGTCGGCACGGGCCCCGTTCTGGAGGCCCTTGATATAGGCGGGCTCCTCATCGTAGTGGCTCGCCACCACGTCCAACTTGAAGAGCTTCTCGTAGTTGGAATAGCACGGTTTGAGAAACTGTTGTTTCTGGAGGTCCAACGCTTCCTCGAATATCTTAAACGCTTGTTCCACCTGGAGCTCACGTGTATGCTCCTGCTTGGAGACGGTAGAGTCCTCAAGCTGGTTGAGCGGTAGAAACGACGCCTGCGGTGTTAGTACGGCAATTGGTTGTGGGTTGGCGGTATGGACTTACCATCTGATTTATATACGTGAGGTTTTTTTTGTCGCGAAAAGCGTATTATGTAAATATAAATTAATCTATACATGAATGCAAAGGTGAGCACAAGGGCTAGGGAGCCTCAAGCGGCCTCGGACTTGGAGGCGGGAGACGGGGCGACGGTCTCGATCCCCATAAGTGACAGGTCCACCACGTCGACGTCTCCCTCAGTCGAGTTATGGGTACTAGTTTCGTAATCGTTATCGTCTTCGTTGGTCAGTGATTTCTCATCCTCGAGACGGCGCTTTTCGGCCTGCTCCTGCTTTATCACACGGCGACCTCCAAGAATAAAGTACCACGTGATCTGCGACGAGAAAATACCTAATTCCAACCCAAGCACAATGGCATACAATACAATGCTCAAGGTATCAAAAGTGCCCACCACCACCGACAACATCGATAGAAGGGCCCCCAAGGAGTCAAGACTGAGAAAAACAAAGTTGATGCCCACCACACGGCCCCGGCGTTTGGCCAACTCAAAGTACGGAGGGATAAGTCCCACTGCAAGAAGTACCGATGCTATGATCCCAACAATGAGCATAGGATACTTGATATCCCGACGGTAGAGCGGGCGGAGCCAGACAATGAGACCTGTCTCAAGCCCCACGCCCACCAACACGAATAAGCTGATAAGGATTGCCAACCGGGTGCGATTCATCAGGATAGGTGAATAGTATAGGGTTTGGGCCCAGGATATAAGGCAGAAAAACGTGAAAAGTTGGGGCTGGATTCGGAGGGGGATGGACCCATCGGTTCCAATAAAGTATATGGAGAAGGGAATGCCACTGGCAGCCCACAAGAACATCATCATGGGTGGTACGCCCGTACAGTCCTTTACCTTAAAGTTGCGGATGATTTGGGGAACGAGCTGGATACACCAGCAGACAGTTCCCACGGTTCCTAGGACATTTTCAGCTACGGCGTTGTACATAGCAACTGCATTTAACTACTAATAGTCAGTGGTATGGCAGTGAAGATGGGAAAAAAACGTCTAGATGATTTTTGTGAAGGTGACGGCTGGGTTAAATAGCTAAATAGCGGAACAAGAAAGTGCGTAATTGCGCTTGGGTGAGTTTTTTTCGTTCCGGTGCGGTGGGTGAGTAATACCCCTGGCTTATGAGGATGTCGGGCCCGGAGTGATGTCGGGGACTCTGACATATGAATCGGATACTGCCTAGATTATACAAGGCAATTGGTATAAGGCGATGGCCAGCAGACGCGTAGTGAAGACTCCTGTCGAAACCCTAAAGTGAGCTGATTTCTTAGAAATGGTATTCATTTACGGAGTTCGAGGACTGGTGTGTGGCTGCAAGACGGTCACCAGGTGTCTTACTCGAAAAGTAAGACCAAAATGTGGTTCCTTTTGCCCTTGGTTCTGTGGATACTAATTGGGTCAGAACTGATTCCACCATTGTCTTGTATCGGCGAACACTCTTGTGAGTAAGTTGGTTCCAAAGCCTGAAGGAAAAAGACCTCCACTTGACTTCTTGTTCATGGTGGTAGAACGACTGTAAAGCTTATGACATCAGAAGATGAGGTTCGAATGATTGTAGGCATTGGTGAGGAAACTATTTTGCGGCTATAGCTCCATGCGACATCCGGTTGCTACAGGTGTGCGTATGCACTTCCTGTCGCTTATTTAAGATAGCCTCTGCGAATCCCCGTTTCCATGAGATTGCAGGTTAATAATTTTTGTTCTAGAGTATGTAATTCAGGCAGAAGAAGACGCGAGATGTTTGAAAGAAGAAAAAAACACGTTTAACCTGCAATTTCGTATAACAATTAAATACGAACCTGCGGAGAGTAAGCGCAATAAGGGGCTGTGACAAATATTCGGCTCAATTTGGGTGGGTGGACGGAAAGTCAATGAAGCGCATTAAAAGTGTTTGTGGATAGGAAAGGTGGGGTTGTAACTGGGGTTATGAAAGGTTGAGGCGATGCATTCACCAGGATTTGCGCAACGGAATCTGGCTCCATCTAGGGCTTTTGGTCATTGCGCGTGGCTTGCACCTGCCATGCACTTGCCAGTAGTCGCACTTGCCAGTAATTGCGCTTGGCGGCATGCCCAGTTGGTGTCCTCAGATGTTACCGCGGCACATCCCTACCTCGCACGAAAACCTTCGCCAGAACTGCCCGAAACTTTATGTTGCCCGAAACCTTAGTCAAACATCCCCCACCAGTGCGAATCCCCCGGCGGATACTTCAACCGGGTACTTGAGGGATCGGCACTGCCAAGTCCCACTGTCGTTGACGGCTGATCCCCAATTACTTTAACCTCCCCTAAATTGATGTCTCATTCGCCTACTACTAGTTCCGCAAGCGAAGCGTAAAATATCGTTTAGTAGCGATTTTGAGCCTGTGATCGAGGAAACATTTACCCATCTAGCATATGAACCCGATTATGCTCAGGAAGCGAAGAATATATTACTGACTGCAGTGGTATTCAGTAGACGTAGCTTCCTCAAGCATAATACGGCTCCGGAATCTCCCTTACTTTTACATATAATGCTAACAATCTCATTATGTGCTGACAGCAGTGATAATAGTGATGTCTGATCTCTACAAATTTCAGATACCAACCTGGTTTACAAAATGAGTAATTACTCTATGGGTTTTGTCTGTTATGCTTAATAAAAGGATAGTACCAACATTTAGTAAATACTGCAGTGCTTTCCACCCGTTCCACACCACTTATTTTTTTGGAAGGAAGGAAAACCTAGTTAGTTATAAGGCGCTAAAATCAAGAACAGAGACCGTGGAAAATTCAGACAATGAAAACAAATTCACGTCCTCCACCACTGATCAAACAAAAGTGAAAATAATATTTGCACTGATCCCGCCAATATTTCAAGACCTTACAGCTAAGCAACAGAGCGAAGTTTTAAAAGTCGGTTGCGATATTATTTAAGAGAGGTGTCCCATTAATATTAGATTAGCGGCAGATTGCTTTATTTGGCTATGGAAATGCCGCCGCCGAATACGAGAATTTCCGTTCTCTGGGTTTGTGTACAGGAGTAAACCACATGCCGCTTATGCTTGGCCCAGCGACGCAATTCAAGTGCATGTTCTGCACGGCAAACAAAGAACTGCAAACTACGACGTACCATTGGGAGACTAGTGCGCCGCTTTGTGTCGGACCTTAAGCTCGCACCTTGCTAAACATAGTCGATGTACAGTCCACAAACCGTATCTACGTTTACTGATGAGCACTTTTATGATATGTGAGCCTCCTTGTAAGTGAACGTCTGGAGCCACATGGAAATTAAGGGCCCACCAGCTCGGTAGTCAGATGCATAAATTACTATGGTGACCAAAGACTTCATATGGCTGTCTACCTGTTTGCAGCCACTTTCTCAAAGTTCCATTCACTATAAACTCAATCCAACTAAAAAACTGTCTCCTAAAATGGAATCTCTTGTCCATTGTAAACAAAAAACTTGCCCGAATCGGCAACTGTCAACCGATCGACAAGCTTTAAGGTTTCACTCGCCGAGTGGTCTGGAGTAATAAACTGATCTGGTGCAAGAAGCGTTTTACCTTCCGCGGCCCCATCGGTATCCACCTCCCCCGGGTGCACCAACACTGTCACAGACTCCCTGATCAACTGGTTGTCGGCGGTAGCATTCTGTCCCGCGATCTGGACACCCAAATGGTTGAGGCCGGCTTTGGCTGCCCCATAGGCATTTGCATGCATAGACAAACCAAACTGTCCCATGAGACTCGAAATAAACACAATGCGTTTGGGGTGCTTTCCTTTGAAGATATACGGATATAACGCCTTATACGTTTTGGCAGGCCCCCCGACATTGACTGACAAGAGGTGGGGGTACTTGTCAACGTCGTATTGTTCAATTGGCACAAACAAAGGGCTTCCGATAACCGCCGCGTTGTGAATCATCACATCAACACCATCTGGTGCCCATTTCTCGATGGGCCGGAACGCTTCCACAAAAGTGGCGTACGGATCGGTCATATCGACGTGGACGACTTTCAAGTTGGGCCGCTTGAGATCCTGCAAGGATTGGTCATGGTGGTTACGCACGGTGGCAATGACCAAGTTGGATGGGTCGGCAGAGAGGAGCTTGACGTAGCTATAGCCAATGCCTCTGTTGGCACCAGCAATGAAGTAGGTGGGCATGTTGAAAGTATAAGGGTGATGAAGGAGGAATGAAAGTGCGCATCTGGCTGCAAAAGTAACTATAGCCGAGGCGCGCAAGGCACAGATCGCAACTCTCTACTCGCCGCCATTGTACTTGGACTACTCATCATCACTGTATTCGAACTCATATCCATCCTCAGAAGGGTTTCCAGTGGCCTCATTGATTTCCTGGTCACTGGCTTCGAAAGAAGGATGACGGCTGATTTCTTCATTACTGACTTCGCCTATTTCTTGATAAGGTTCTGGGGCATCTTGACGGGTCTGGATATTGATTTCTTGACGATTGGCTTCATCTACAGCATTACCACTAGTTTGTGTACCAAGCTCTTGACCGCTGCCTTCTTGGGTGTCGGGATCGTATGCGAGTTCCCCTTCAGCAGTGGTGATAAACCCTTGCGCTTCAAGAAGCGCTTGATCAGTTTCAAGGTCAATTATCTCGGGAGACTTCAGAGACGTAAGAGACTCATATAGTGAAGAATTCAAACCTTGAGCATGCTCCTGGCTAAGATTCCCTGGTACAAAGCCTGGTCTGGTATCCTCTGAACTGTCACAATCGCTTAGTTCGTCAACTTTTTGAACTGCCAGAGATAATTCTAGTGGACCAGACTCATGAAAAGAATATACTTCTAGTCCTTTGTCGAACTCACCTTCTTCAGGCTCACCATATTTGCCAAACCCACTTTCTTCGGTATCTTCTTTGTCAAACCCACCTTCTTCAGTATCTTCTTTGTCAAACCCACCATCTTCTTTGTTGTCTTCACTATCATACTCAAACTTACTCTCCAAACCACCTTCCACAGCCTCCTCAAAACCACCATCCTCGACCATCTCGGTTGGCACAAACCCCCCGGCCTCATACTCCGACCCTTCATCTTCGCTGTAAACACTAAAATCAGAACCGTCAGCATCGCTACCGCCGTTGTCTTTGGCTTTCTTGTCACTACCTTGATCTTTGATTTTTTTATCTCCATCACCAACTATGCCTCTTTCGTCTATCTGGCCGTGTCTCTTCTCTAACCGTCTCATGACCCTCAACTTCGTCAAGAAAAACTTCCAATTCCTCAACGAGTTCATCTCTATTTGTCTTTTCTTTTCCACCTGTTCATCTTCCTCCAACTGTTCCACCACCAACTCCATGGCCTCCTTATATTCTGTGGCTACCAATACACCTCCTTCTCTGGCAACTGCTACACCTCTCTGCTTTCGATCCTTTTTGCCAAAATCAAATGCAACAATCGCCTTAGAGTAGTCAATTTCCAAAATTCGTGCTGCCCGTTCAAGTAACTTCACGGGCCGAGTGTCACTGTCCGAGAACAAGTACCCACCCTCGGGAATCATCGTGGGTACGTAAATATCGACGTTTCCATATGCGTTTTTGACGATTTTCCCATCTATTATTGAGGGAGGAATGTACAACTGGGTTTGGAACTCCGCATACAATCTGGTGATACTTTCCTCTTCTCCATCTTCGTCCGAGTCGTAGTCAGGTGTACGGCCTCGTATTTTGGGTGCCTGTTTAATTTTCAACGGCTGAACCCCCATCCTCAAGACTCGTCCTCTCAAATGCCAGGCTTTGGGCGACCGAAGAATGTGAACAGCTGAACGCTTGAAAACCGGCACCAATTCGGTCCGCTTACTCTTCAGAGTCAGCTTGAACCTGAAGGTTCCACACTTGGTGGTATCGTCCATTGGATAAATATACTCATTTTGTCGAAGTTGCGACTCCAAAGCATACATGGGGTGGTCCTTGAACCCAGCGGCGTTGTTGGGCATTCCTTCAGCAAGGTCTCTATCTCTGAATTCCTTCAATTCCAATATATCCAGCTTGGAAAGGGACTTTCTTTGAGAAAATGCTGATAATACTCCGGCATACCAGTCGAAATATGACTCCGACTTGTTCGAGATACGTTTCTTGACTGTCTTAGAGTTGTATTGCTGGGCGTACCGTCTCGTCACATCTTTCACTCCTCCCTGTGCATCAAAGGCAATTGCATACACAAGATTGTTGGTCTTATCGGCCATAGGAGGTTCAAAACTGGATTTTCTCCTCATGGGTGGCCGCTCTACCACCGTTAGGACAATGGGGTCCACACATAACCACTTTTTGTTGTACTTATTCCATACTTCGGTCCAGAAAAGCGGAAACGATGAAGATGGGAATACGTGGCCGACTTTTGACGGGGTTGACGAGGGGTTTGATTTTTGAAGAAATGCCTGCTTTGAATTCACCACCTTTCTACCACTGTCTGTTGAAGCTGGACCGGCGTGCTTCCACTGGATTTTTGGCAACTCGGTCACTGCACCAAAATCAGGTGGCTGCAAAGAAAACACAAGACGTGCTTTCATCCCCAAAGACCGACAGAGGGCCACAAAGCCCTGTGCACCCACATCTCGGGAACCTTGGAAGTGCAGTACTCTGTTCATAAACTTGGAAAAGGTCATGTGCTTATCAGTATTGGCCTGGGGAATCTCGAGCTCATTCCAGTTTTTGCGGACCAACCCCAGGCGAGACACCCGGAACCGGCCGGAATAGCTCAACATCAACAGGCGCACCACATCTGTGAAGCGTACCGCATTGACAGTCGAAACACGGTTGTTGCGTCGTATTATTGTGAGCTCTTCGAGAATATCAGATGACACTGACTCGCGGAGAGTGACGAGAAACTCACGGTGGTTGCACCACCGATTCCGCACCACACCGTGGGCAACCATCGCCATGATGCACCACTGGTGTACTAGAACGCGTCGGTGCCGTTCTTCTTTGGTCACAAAAACCACTTTCCGCTTGTTTTTGGGTTGTTCCTGTCGCGTTATAGCAATCGTGATATTTTCAGAAGTATCTTCAAGGCCAGTGGTAGGGCGGTCAAGAAATGAGTAGTCGGGGACATCTCCATCACTGTATTCAGTACTGCCATCGCTTTTGTGTGCGCTGGCTTCCCGTGGCTCCAATTCCACATCTTCAAAGTCATCTGAGTCATCCGAGACATTTGAATCCACACACTCACTTGGAACGAGCGAGGACGATTCGGCCCCCAGAACTTCGGGCGTACGTCGCACACGTCGGCGCTTGCGGGTAGAAGCATCCTCACCCTCGGAGTCGGTCACGTGCTGTCGTAGTAACAGATTGTAGTTAGCATTAGACATCTGCCATGGCACTGATAAAGGTTTCGCGCATCGCGAACTTGAGATGGCCTCTACTGCTGCACTAATGATAACAATATGAGACACCTACTCCGATGTGCAACTTCACATCTCCCACTCCAACTACAGCGACTACCGTGGGTTCAGCGAATACGATGGCACCATTTTGGAGTGCTCAAGCGTACGATGGACAAGGCCCACCGGTTGGCATTTCACGATCTTCACCACACCGTCAACCGGTACAAGAAGACCACCATTGAAATAGAACCCCAGATCCTGCACTTTTTGGTCGAATTGGACCTTCTCCACAACCGAAGAGTTCCGTTTGCCATAGCACCGTGGGTGCTTCCGCCCCGGTTTAAAAAAAATAGTTTGCTCGAGCCAGTGGTGTACCACATCTTAGGCATTTGTATGGAAGAACAACACAATTCTGACGTTAAACATAAGGCCTTGAGCGGTGTGTTGAACCGCATTGCCGGTCACGACGTGCAGGATGTACACCTGTTTTTTTTGGATACATTTAATCGAGATTTGAACAACATCACCACCGGGTTCCAGAAATCTCTTCAGTTTAAAGCCAACGATGAAAAGCACTTACATACGGCCTTGGCCTGCTTCTTTCTTGTATCAAAGCATGGCTTCCACGACATGTACACAGAAAAGGATTTAGAGCAATGGGTACAGTGTGTTTTGTCAGCCAATGTCAGTTCTGCTTGCACGTCGCTAACGAACTTGGTGGATATTCCCGGCTTTATAATTGGCGATGTGCTCCTTCGAACCCCCGTCTCCCGTGATGAGCTCGACCTCCAGGTGGACTTATGGCACATTTTTGCATCTCAAATACGGCAGTCTTATCATCACCAAATAAGCCATTTGAGAACCATATTCAACAACATGGTGTTCTATTTGTCCCAGTACGACGCTACACAGCTACCAGTGGTGATACGATTCTCTATCGACTTCTTTGAGAATCCCCGTGCACCTTTCCACACCAAGTTGTTCACAGCCGAGTATCTCAACAAACTCCTTTGGAAAGTCCCGTTCAACTATATGGAATCCCCGGTCTTCCGCCCTAAGAGAGACTGCTTGCACGTCATCAAGGCCCAGGAACATATTGCATCTGTCGCCAGTAGCTCACTAAACCTTGAAGGAAATATGGGCATAGTTCTCGCCATATCGCTGGTGTCAAAAGAAAAGGCCAAACAGCTCTTTGTCAAGTCACGAGAAAGGCACTGGCCGCGTCGACACGAACTTAGCATTAAGGAGCGTCTAGCATTCTACTTCACCCGGATCTGGCTCTCTCAGAGCCCCGATGAGCTTCTTCATGCGTTCAACGAAGCGTCGACTGATTTGAAGCATAATTCAACCCTCTGGCTCGGGTTCATCAAGAAACTCCTCGAGTTCGAGCTCTTGACAGCCTCACGATCCACCCAGATCATCACAAAGCTCATGGAGGACCACCACCAGCTTCTTGTGTCCAAAAACATGCTTTTACACCTATTAATCCCCATAGTGCGGCCGAGCCAGTTCGGAGATATGGTTAGTATTATGGTAGCAGCTGAGCCCACACTCGTCGAACGACATTCGGGGATACTTATAGAGAAGTATATGACAGTGTTGTACGCCAACCAGCATGTACCAGTCGATACGGAGACAGTACGAGCTCTCGTTCCAGAAATCAAACGACAAGGCGACTCGCTTGCCATAGCGCGCCAGCTCTACGGTGGCCACTTGAAGCGCAAGACTCCATCGGTGATTGGACGCATGTTGCACGGCGAGCTCCAGGTGCAGCCGCAAAACATCTACAAATTGTACACTAACGAGCTCCGACAAAATAACATTACTCCCGACGAGACATGCTTGGCAGCCCTAATAAAGGGTGCCACCGACTCTCCCACCAACAATCCCGGAGCATGTCACATATGGGATGATATGTACGCACCCCAAATAGCGATTCACGAGTTCAAATCGCATGTGGCTGCAAATAAAACCGTCGCGAGCGGAGCCGTGTGGGAAAAGTACATTGAGATGCTTGCGAAATATGAGTATGTGAGTGAGCTTTCGGAAATTATCAGGTGGTGGGAGTCGACACAGTTTGTTCCACAGTATAGTACACTTCTTGCCCTTCTCCGGGCGCTTCCGATAGAATTTGCAACCAGGCACATTGCCCATGTTGAGAAGGTGAAGAGAGACAGTGGGACTAATGGGTCCAAAGTTGCCGGGGTTGCTTCTACGGCCCTGGTGGTGGACTGGCCATGGCCGCAAGTTTCTGACCTCTGAAGTCTGAAGTCTCTGTTGGAACACTGCTGTATTATGCCCCATACACCCACAATCTGACCCATACACCCACCGAAGTTTCTGACCCCTACACCCAGTATTCTCCAATCTATGTACCCAATCTGATCTATACACCCATAGTAGTCTGATCATATTTATTCCTACATCGTGGCCTTGGCCCCACCCTCGTCTCCTCCATTCGACCCGACTATATACATCCGTGCACATCCTTCCCCGGATTCCCACCAACCAATCAAAAATAAACGTTGTCGCGCATTTCCACCGAGCTTCCGAATTTTCATCCCTATATATATCTCCCTTGTGCCGACGTTTTGATTTTGACTTTGAATCGACCTCTCTCCAACAATTGAAAGATATATAAGAATGTTAAGATTGGCTGCATCCAAAACAACTCTCAGCTCCCTCGCCAGATCCATGTCGTCCTCTGCCCCCCGGCTTCAGACCAGAATCGAATCCGACGCATTCGGAGAAATCGAAGTAGATGCCACTAAGTACTACGGTGCCCAAACCGAAAGATCCAAAATGAACTTCAAAATTGGAGGTGCTCAGGCAGTTATGCCCACGCCCATAGTGAGGGCTTTCGGGGTGTTGAAGAAGTCTGCGGCCATTGTCAACGAGGAATTGGGAGCTTTGGACCCCAAGTTGTCAGAGGCCATCCAGCAAGCTGCCACCGAGGTGGCCGAAGGAAAGTTGGACGACCACTTCCCATTGGTGGTGTTCCAAACCGGCTCGGGAACCCAATCCAACATGAATGCCAATGAAGTCATCTCCAACAGAGCCATCGAGATTTTGGGCGGTGAATTGGGATCCAAGAAACCAGTCCATCCCAACGACCACTGTAACATGTCTCAGTCAAGTAACGACACGTTCCCCACGGTGATGCATATTGCGGCGGTGACCGAGATTTCTGGTAGCTTGATTCCAGAGTTGACCAAGTTGCGCGATGCTTTGCAAGCCAAGAGCGATGAGTTTAAGGACATCATCAAGATCGGTAGAACCCACTTGCAAGACGCCACGCCCTTGACATTGGGTCAAGAGTTCAGCGGGTACGTCCAGCAGCTCACCAACGGTATCGAAAGAGTCGAAAAAACCTTGCCCAACTTGTTGTTTTTGGCCCAGGGTGGTACTGCGGTGGGTACTGGATTGAACACCAGAATTGGCTTTGATGTCAAGGTGGCCGAACAGGTGTCCAAGTTGACGGGATTGCCATTCAAGACGGCCCCCAACAAGTTTGAGGCGTTGGCAGCTCACGATGCTATTGTGGAGGCTTCTGGAGCCTTAAACACGGTTGCGGTTTCGTTGTTCAAAATCGCCAACGACATTAGATACTTGGGTTCCGGTCCTCGTTGTGGATACGGTGAGTTGTCATTGCCCGAAAACGAGCCAGGTTCGTCAATTATGCCCGGTAAGGTTAACCCTACCCAAAATGAAGCGTTGACGATGGTGGCAGCCCAAGTATTTGGAAACCACTCGACCATCACCTTCGCCGGTGCCTCGGGTCAATTTGAATTGAACGTGTTCAAGCCGGTGATGATCTCCAACTTGTTGACATCGATCAGATTGATTGCTGATGGGGCTGCATCCTTCAGAGTTCACTGTGTGGAAGGTATCAAGGCCAACGAAGACAAGATCTCTAAGCTCTTACACGAGTCGTTGATGTTGGTGACTGCCTTGAACCCCAAGATCGGTTACGATGCTGCTTCCAAGACTGCTAAGAATGCCCATAAGAAGGGAATTACATTGAAGGAGTCTGCTTTGGAGTTGGGCATGTTGAGTGAACAAGAGTTCGATGAATGGGTCAGACCCGAGAAGATGCTTGGTCCAAAGTAGTTGCGTATAACTGTTCTCTAGACTTATAGCCAGTATTTATTACATATTTATTGTGTGTACGCATTGCACCAACTCAATCACCAATTAAGCGCGCAAAACGTCACTCGCGCATCACTCATACACATGGCCCTCCAGCGGATATTGGATAGTGTGCAACGTAAAGGCAAGCTTACGGTTCCTCCGCCCGCCTCCACACTGCCACCTCCAGTGGCCACGGGTCGGTCCACCCCCGTTGTCCCCAGGTCAACTGAGCGTAAAGTTGATGCTGTCGTTGCGCAACTTAAAGAAGCAAGGCGTCTAGAAAGACTACAAAAAGAACAGCAGCTCAAACAGAAAAAAGGCTTGAAACAACGGCCTTCTCGCCCATCTCAGTCCAGCATTCCCCAGCATGTCTCCACAAAGGTTTCCAGGCCCACACAGACCCCCAAGGTGTCTTCCACCCCAGTTGCTCTGGTTGCTGCTCGGCCCAAACCCGCCAAAATGAAGTTTAGCGACTTGATGAAGAGGGCCTCAAACATCGACCAGACCAAACTATCGATTTCCATCAAGGCTAAGTCGAAATCGCCTGAAACTGAACTTAGGGCCCGAAAGTCCAAGTCTCGATCTCCTTTGCGGGACCCAAAGAGAGATGATCCAAAGAGTAGATGGGCCAAACATAAGACGCCAGCGCCGCCACCACCACCACCACGGGAGGTGGCCCGCGAGAGAGTACCGCTTCCAGCTCGAGGCCCTTCGCAGAAACTTGCACAGAAATTAAAGGGAAGGCAGAAGCCCAGTAGCAGCCACCACCACGAAGATGAAGAAGACCTCGACGGCTTCATCATCCTGGACGAAGAGGAACAGGTCAACGATGATTATGACAGAGACGAGATCTGGGCCTTGTTCAACAGAGGAAAGAAACGGTCCTATTACGACCAGAACGACGAGTATGACTCGGACGACATGGAGGCCACGGGAGCCGAGATCTTGGATGAGGAGTTGCGGTCACGTAGAAGGGCCGAGTTGGAAGACAAGATGGAGATGGAGGAGGAGATGAGAAGGGCCGAGCTCAAGCGGCGGCGGAAGATGAAGAAGTGACCAGGAGCTTTAAGGTAAATTGCATTATTCATATAGTGAATAGATTCTATTATTTTCAATATGGTGTAGACAACATTTCCTGCCAGTTGGGTTTAGGATTGGTCTAAAGTTGACCGGGGCAGAAACTGTTTGTGTTTGTACTCATTGGTACAAATAACGAGCGCTTTTTTGCAGCTATGGGTGTAGCGGTTTTTTGAACAATAGCCATCCTTTGGCTCGCACTGTGGACGCAGCAACCCATCAAGTCTATTATGTCTATAAAATACATCTATGAAAACCCAAACTCCCCAAGCTCACTCTCAAGTCGGTCGATTTCGGTTGTGATTTCGAGCTTGTTATTAAGCAATGGCTGCAACTCGTCAAACTTGCGTTGTTTTGTCACGTCGTTAATCAACTTTTCAATGATGAACTTCTGCTCGTTCATCACCATCAACAGCTCTCGAAGCTCCCTTATCTGTTTTTTCGTTAGACGGGGAATCTCCACTTCGGGCTGCTTGGGCATCGCCTCATTTTCTGTTTGTTTTAATCTGTTGTTCAAATCCTTGAATTCCATCAAGCTTTCCTGAAGAAAAAGGATCAAGCTCTGGTTGATGCCTTTGAGAATCCGACCGTATTTCTGAAACTGCGGACTCACGCTGTTCTGGACAAAGTATATTGTCTTAAATTCGGTTAATATCCGTTCGAACTCTCGAAATGACCCCATCACACGGTCTTTGAATCGATTTGTCGATTCAAGAGCGGCATTGGACTTGGACTTCGTTACTGCATCCATCTCTCGCCGATATTTTGCCATCTGGTGGTGTATCTTCTCTTTGACCACAAACAACTGGTTATAGTACGAGAAAAGCTCCTGGAGCTTTGGATCATGCTGCTCATTGAGAATCTTCAACTTGTAATCGTAAAGCAAACTGTCCTTGCAGTTTTTGCACATTCTAACCGAGAAGAGGTCGTCGTGTGAGTGGAGTACCTCGTCAAAATGTGTTTTCACCTGTACAGAATAGTTTAGATGTGTAAGTTTCGATAATATCATGGGCAACGGCACTAGTAACGAACACTCCTGCCGTTCTGAAAACTTGTCGTCACATACTACCTGCCCACAAAGACGACAATGATGTTTTCGAAGCAAGAACCCGAACTTCGTCAAGCATATGTAACAGTACTGGACGAGATTTTGGTCCTGCCAGTTCTCGTACCCCACTATCTCCCGTTGTTTTTCGATTAACAAAGACTCATCGAGTGTAGATGTCTGAAAAAATGACGAAAGTCCCGTACGGGGAGCCTCCCTGTGGTGCTGGGATGTTATGTAGAACTCGGTTAAGAGGTTCACGAGTTTGATGAATTTCTTGACGGTCTTGTCGATTATCAACTGATTTTCTTCCTGCCTGGTTTGACGAAGTTGTCTGAACAGCAGCGTCAAGTCCACAGCATTGACAGCTGTTCCTGCCACGATATCAGGCTTGTGGAAGAAACATTCTTCACAGCACTTGCTCCAAATTCCGTCTTTATCGTACTGAGGAATCGATTCACCGGGGTTAGGATTGCGTAGTTTCACCTTAAAGTCGGTATGGCTGTTGCAGAAGAGCTTACCACACCGGCGGCAGTTCACTATGCCGTTTTTGACGTTCAATTGTTTGGAGCATCCGGCCATGGAACAGGTGTTGTTACCGGAAGGTTGGACCCAATGGGTCCTGGAGACCCGGGGTTTCTGGTGGAGAGTGGGGGACATCAGGTTTGCGTCACGGCCATTGCTGTCACTCAAGCTGAAGGTTTTACTGCCTTCAAAAAGATCTAAATTGATGATCTTTTTGGTGGGGGTGGTGTTTCTCTTGATGATCTTATCTAGTACGCCAGGAGAATCCAACTTTTGTGGGGTGGTAGGCATGGCAGTGGGTGGCGGAGGAGAATCTGAGTTGCTGTCGCCGAGGTGCACATCGTCAATGTGCTGGTTTAGCTGGTTGACACTAATCATTTTCTCGTTACAGATAGGGCAAATGAGAGAGTCTGGACCAGTGTGTGCAATGGGGGACGGAGATGTCATCACCGGCTGGGGCACCGGTAGAGGATGTTCTCCACTTTGTATGGGTAGTTTGGTACTTCCATTGGCAGTGGTAGGGGCCTGTTGTACGGTTCCTAGCACTCTTCTTTTGGTCTTTGCAGTCATGAAGATATGTATTTCGCGCACCGATAACTAGTGTGGGGGACAAGACAAGACACCCATTAAGTGGGGGAGGAGGACAGAGAAGGATCAGTACAGTGGTAAACAGACTGCCAATGGGAGGCCTATCCTAATACTGCCACCCTTTCATATCCTCCACCCTACAGAGACTCTCTTCATTCTTTCATGCATTTCTATAATAAATACAAAGCTTATTCTAACTTGGCCACCAAGGATTCCAAAGCACTTCCAATATCCAAGTTTGGATCTTCCCAATTAATTGAGCCTGTCGAGGCCACTGGAGTTTTTGGGGCGTTCAATTTGGCATATTCGGCTTTGGCTTTGTTGATCAACTTCGCTTCTTGAGCGTATGCGTTAGCAGCGTGTTCTTGCTTGACAGAGCTTTCCAAGCTATATCTGTGGTAGGCACCGTAGACAACACCGGCACCCAAGAGGGAGTATCTTAACACGTTGAAGTTGGTCGACATTTTGAAGCTAATGAATATGTTCTGAGAGTTTTGATATTTATTGGCCAATGAAACTGAAAATTTTTTTGGCGCGCCGGGAGCTGGTTCAGGCACATTGAATTTGCAGCCGTGATAGGATTAATGAGGGTTTATATGGTGGGGGGAAAGGGAGGTGTCGACTATAGGGGGTGACACTCGAAGGTGGAGAATAATAAATACTGGTACATGGGTCTTCCAGGATTATTGAGTGTCTATAACATGTTGGAGACGAATCAGGTCTACATCCGGGTCCGATCGGTCCTATTTTCTACTATTAGGACTACCATAAATTCCAAACAACATACGCCTATCATTTCTCCCCACGCCACACAACTATTAATTCCTCATCTCCAAATACTACCACTAGTTTTATTCCCCATCTCCTAACTGTCATCCTGCCTCCCACCGGTAGTTATTTCCGTGTGAGCGTGCACCCACCACCCGCACCGCTGCTTGTTAGGCCCTGCTGCCTTTCCTGATTCACAAATGTTCCACCACCACAGATCCCTCACCACTGTCTGTACCTACATCTTCGTATTTATGATCGGCCTTATGATCTCATCGGTCGCAAAGAGAGGTATCCCCCATGTACTCTCCAAATCATCCACCCTCCCCATCAGCTTTCTTTCCCTTAATTCCAGACGATGTTTCAGCTTCTCATCATCCTACTGGAACCTCAACAACGATGCAAAATCGTCCGCATCGTCGGAGCATACGTCGGCAGGTAACATCGGCTCCGACGACCTATTCAGCATTGCTTTTGCATACCAGCCCAAAGATCGGGAGGAATCCAACGTTTTTAAGCGTAAAAACAAAAAGCTCAGCCCGGCGTTGGAGTCTCCCACTGGAGAAGACAACCTTTTTGTATCGGCTTTCAAAGATGGCAGTGTCGCCGTGGGTGTGGCCGATGGTGTGGGGGGATGGAGCGAGGCCGGCTATGACTCGTCGGCCATCTCCAGAGAATTATGCAATTTCATCCAGCATAACTTCGAAGCCAGCCCTCACACTTCGCCCAAAGACCTTTTGATAAAGTCTTTTGCGGACGTGCTCCAAAGTCCTAAGGTCGAGATCGGAGGTACTACCGCATGCTTGGGCGTGTTCTCTAATGACTACACCGTCAAAGTGGCCAATTTGGGTGATTCTTGGTGTGGTTTATTCAGAGACTATAAGCTAGTGAACGAGACAAACTTCCAAACCCACAATTTCAACACCCCTTTCCAGTTGGCCAAAATCCCACAGCATGTTCTCAGACAGGCGGAGATGGCGGGTAAAAGGTATATTGTTGACAAGCCCGAGTTTGCTGATGAGTACACCTGGAAGTTGCAAAAAGACGATGTGGTGATATTTGCAACCGATGGAGTCACCGATAATATTATTCCGCAGGACATTGAAATATTCTTGAAAGACCGGTTTGAGTCCGGTTTGAGTCAGGAGGATATAACCAAGAGTTTTGTGAAAGAGGTGGTGAGTGTGTCAAAAAACCCCAACTTCCCCAGTGCCTTTGCACAAGAGTTATCACGATTGACGGGGCAGAAATATTTGGGAGGGAAAGAGGACGACATCACTGTAGTTTTAGTCAAGGTGTTGTGACACCTGTGTGCATTAGTTTAGTTTAGACCATTGACTCATAGCCAGGAAATTTTAGTTGATGTTGAAATTTACAATCACTATACCTCCTATAAATCTTGTAATAATTATCATCCCAGTCCCACAATCTCTTTAATTCGCCGAAAGCAGTTATCGCTGCAATCACATTCCTAGTCTTCCATTTTGGACACCAAGTTCATGATCCTTTTATTATACATTTCCTGTTGTTCCTTCTGTTTCTGGATCTTTAACCGAATACTTTCATCATTCAACCTTATCTCCCTGGCACCCACCGTCTTTCCCTTTTTGAAAAGTAGACTAAATTTCTCCTTGTTCTGGAGTTTGGGCACATTTCCAATGTTCATATTCAAAGTTCGAGTCACTGGGGTCTCAGAATACGCTTCCATTGTGAGCTTCTTGAACTCTTCCGCCAACGTCTCTTGGAATTTGGCTTCAGGATCCGACTGTGGATGTTCATCAAGTTCGGTTTCAGTGAACTCGTCCTTCAGTCTGGAGCTTATCACACTTTCATCACTACTTGAAATATCCAAATCCTCGTCATCTTCACCAATTATGGAGTCGTCCTCGTCATCCGAGCCACTTTCACTCGAGTCGTCCGATTCTTCAAACTCTTCGTCGTCCTCAATCACATCCATATCTTCATGCTCGTTCTGAGTGACTCCCAAGTCCATCCCGTTGGCTTTCTCTTCGTTTTCATCTACTTCTTTCTTCTGCTTGGCTGCCATGATAGACTTAAGTTCGAGCAAGCAGTCGGTAATCGTGTCAAACCTCTTGAAGTCGAAAACCTGACTGTAAGTCTCATAGAAACGATCCACCTTAAACTGATCCTCCAACGGCAACGGATTTTTGCAGAAAACATAGTACTGGAAAAACACTACAAACGGTTGGAACGTACGCTTCCGCTCCTCGTTGGCAGCTGATAATGCTTCAGTAGATTTCTTTGATCCTTTGGCCGGCCGAACAACTAGATCTAAATGGGTGAATAACAAACAGATCATCTGGATCTTGAAGTAATTGTTGGGCATATCCAATTCCGCCTGGTAGTTCATGGGAAGCGGCTGGTTGTTGGGATGCCCGATGCAAAGAATCTTGAAGCACAACTTTATGATCAAGTTGAAGGTGATGAGGTTGAGATTACACATCTCGGCCAATAGTCTCATATGCACCAATCTCTCCTTATTCATCCTGTAGTCGTTGAGTTCAATGCCTCTATATACGTTTTCCACGAGCTGGTCCACCACTCTCACCACAATGTCTTTGTCCCTCGCTCTCAAGGCCTTCAACACTCTAATGAGCAGGTGAATCGTATCATAGTTGATGAACTCGATTTCAGTGAAGAGCTGAATCATCAAGCCGTTGTACTGAGGATTACTAACGGGGTATTTAAGCACCAATTCGGTGATGGGCTTGAGGGTGGACGGGCTGAGATCCGCACGAAGAAGCCGGATCAAAAATGCCTGTTCAACTGTATACTTTTGTACCACTTCCTTTGGCTTTTGTTTCTCTTTGGGAGCTTCGATGATCAAAAGTAGGTTGGATATGGCCATTTTGGTATTCACTGTCAAGGCAGACAGCTTACGGTGTTGCTTAAGAAGAGTCACCATTTGCACCATCTGGTCTCGGTAGTCCAGATCATACATGAGAAACCGTCCACAAGTGTCGTAGATCACCGTCAAGATATCGAGGTTGTTTGAAGACTGGATCTGAGATGATAAAGCCTTGAGTTTGTGGAAAATCTGGAACGGTGGGATCAACTTGAACTTAATGAACTCCACGTAGAAGTATATGTGCTTGAAACTCAATTTGGCGGAAGAAAGCTGAGACCGGAGTTTGGAGTCCAAAAAGTCTCTGGTATCTTGCACCAACACCTGCAAGTTGTCTTGGTTGATCTTGAGAAACTTCGTGGCATATTTGTAGGTGGTCGAGAATTCTGACTCGGTGAAGTACCGAAAGAGACGGTTGTGGGTGGCCTTGTTGTTCAAGTTCAACCGGTTGAAGACCAAAATCAACGTCTCCATATCGTCTTCTGAATCGATGGACTCGAAATCTGCTAGAAACTGCGTCACCTTTTCACCATCCGTCAACTTCACGTACTTCCGGCGAGTCTTGTTGTACCTGTCTTGGTTGAGCTCGTCCAAAGATGGAATCTGCGTGTAGAACTTCTGCTCCTGTAAGGAACTCCAGATGCCTTGAGACTCTTCCTGAGAGTCTTCTGCCACAAACGCAATGGTTTTGTGCAGATCAAAGTTCTCCGTCGCCACTTCATCCACCGTGAGCTCGGGAAACTCCTGGTCGATGGTTTCACACAAAGTCTGGAGCTTTGTGTAAAACATCTCGTGTTTAGCCCTTAACACCTCCAACTCGTCCGTTCTATCATCAAACAACCGCCCGTACTTCAATGACAGCTTGTTGAAGTCACGGATCGTGGCGTTCAACTGCATGTTCAAGTCCTGTAAAATCTTCAAGTTGTATTTGGTGTAGCCCCTAATAATGCCATCGAGAACTTCTGCCTCCTCTGGTAAATACTCCTTCATGAGCCCGAAATATCTCTTGAACACCTTGGCCGCTACCACCAAGAACTCGCCGCTGTTTATCTCGTACAGCAATAAGACCTTGAGCATAACCACAAGAATCAGCTGAGACAGGTTCTCTTTGGTGTTGAATCTCTTCAAAATTGGTTCTGGCAACAGCAGTTTCTCGACATCACGGATGGTTCTGGCGATTCCGACTAGAGATAATTCCACCAATAAACTCAACAAGTTCCGTTGGCGGGCGAGTTTGGTGGTTTTGTCGTCGCCGTTGAGTTCGTTGGAGAGTCCTATCAACATATGCAAAAGTAGTTGTGGAGTGAAATTCACGGTGAAGCGCTGGTGGAACTTCGACAAGATGGCCACACACGCCTCGATGTCGACAAGTTTGTTGGCCTTGACGGCTCCGTCGTAGACGGCGCTGATTATTTCACTCAAATACTTGGACAAGCTCAACTGCTCGATGTCCCGGGTGACGACAGAAACCTGGTCTGCGTTCATGCTGGACTTAATTTTCTTGACGAAGGCCGTGTTCTTCTTGAGCGATGAGTCGAGCTTGGCCAGGAGTCCGAGCACGTCGTCACCGGCCCAGGCTCTGGTGTTGAGTTCCACAAGAATGGAGCGGTCCATGGGTGATGAGTAAAAAGTGCGCACTTGTGGAGCAAATGTAATACGCTGTTTCCTGTGCAACCTATGGACCGGTTGAATTTTGTAAACTGGTGGATGAACACTGCCCAGAGACATGAAGGCTAATACCTTTACAGAATAACGTAATTGTCTATTTACAAGTCTAAATCAAAGGATGGGCTTTTCTCACTCGGTGGAACACACGGCCCAGAGGGAGCCCGTACTGCTCTCTCACTCTATTCACCAGCCGGTCAAACACCTGTCTCCACACATGGGCTCCAACCGCCTCCAAGCCGTACGACTCGCTGAACTGCCTAATATCAAAGTTCTGCGAGTTAAACGCATTTGTGTCCACTGATATATCAGCATTATCCTTTTGTGCAAACAACCACAAACAGGCTCGTTGGTAGTTTCCGCTATTCACTTCAGGCACAAGCGGCTCGTATTCACGGAATACAGATAACTGCTCCGCCAAGTACTTACCCACATCCAACGTATTGTCTTCCAACGAAAGACCAATGTTGGCCACACCGTAGTTCAAGGTGGTCCTGAAAGAATTGGTGGTTAAGTCCGGCTCATCGGGATTCACCACCAAAACCGTGTACTTTCTGACCGCATGAACGTCGCCGTGATCAAAGTGTTGCACTTGGATCACTGGTGGCTGGCTCACAGCAAACGCTGGTAAGATCTCACCAGGGGTGATCCAACCGCTGAATTCGGAGGTGGTGTTATGAGGAAACTTGATTTTCACATCCACTTTGGGGACCAACGTCGGCATTGTGTCGGGAATGACCTTCAACTGTTCGAGTCTCTGCATCAACACCAATAAATCGTGGCCTTCCCATTGCTTACGGGCAAAGTTTCTATATACTGGTTGAGACAAATCCAACGATTGAGGATAACGGTGCATATTGTACAAAACCTCGGGGTTTTTGGCCTCAGCCATCGCCAAGAGCTTGTCTTTTACAGCAGGATCGGATTCACTTTGGGCGGTTTTGTAGATGTTGGCGCTTTCTTGTTGTAAAAGTTCATAGGCCTGTTGGAAAGTTTCGTTGATCAAGGGTGGGGAGTGGTACACCTTTTTGTTGGGGGGTGTGGGAGCGAGCTGGTGAGGCAGCTGGGCCTTGAGAGACTCTGCACGTGACGTGAAGTCTGTCCAGACGCCCTTACCGGCTCTGAGGTCCTGGGTGAGGAAACGGGTGAAGGTTCTGATCATGGTGGTGGTTGAAAAATTTGAGTTGAGGTCGCGAAAGAGGATGGCATCACGGGGGGCGTGGCACGTGTTTGCGATCATGTGACTGAGGCTGGTTATTGTCGGGTCGCACCGGGACCGCCATGCCTGAACCGGCCCCTTGAAGGTGAGGTACGAATGCCGAACACCACGTAGATATAAGAAACGGGGTGCCATGGAAGGAATGAGTCAGCGCGTTAGAGTTCTCTACTGTCGACTCCCTGACTTCCTGGGATCTGCCATGCGGGAATTCCGCCTCCGCGACAGAATGCCGTGCAGCCTTTTCGCAGAAGACTGGTTATAGTTTAGGTTATCAGATTGAATATGAAGATACATAGGCTGAACCGGTCAGCAGGTCGTTAGTCGTAGGGGTAGCAGTTACTTAGATTGGCTCTACCAATTAAGGCATAATGTAGCTGGGGTTGAGGGGGAGCATATCGAGACTGGAAAACTGGGATTCATCAGAGAGGTCCATTTGGGGGAAGAGCCCGGGGGCCACTGGATTGGATTGAGTTTGTTGGTGGGAGTCTAGGAACGCCTGTTCCTGTTCCTGTTCATCTTCCATCTCCTCCCTGGGAGTGAGGGTGGGGAATAAGCCGATGTGTGGAAACTCCTCTGTATCCAACCTCCAGGCAACCTCATCCTCGTCCTCATCATCATCATCCACCATAAGCCCATCAAGATCATCAAGATCTATGTGCTCAAGGTCGATCTGCTCGATCTGCTTCTTCCAGTCTATTTGGTGTGCCTCATTAGCCGGTGCCAGGTGGAGGTCTATTTGAAGCAGGTAAAACTTGGCACCTCCACTGATAGGAGGTCCATTATTACTTGGACTACCAATTCTATTAGAACTCCCAGGATTCCCGGTCATAAACCGGGTGCCACTTGGAGGATAACTTCGGGAGTAAGGTGTGGGTAGATACGCCGTATGAGGTTGAGGCGCAGACGTGAGACCGGAAGTGCACACCACCACGCGGTTACCACCATAATCACGCTGCTCCATCCACTCCAAAAACTCATTATACAGCTCTACCGGTTGGAGGGCCTCCTCTGAAAAACTTTCCATGTAGCGGCAGAAAACGGCATTTGCAGTATTTATATTCGCATACATAAAAGAAAAATTTCACCGCATAATGCCTCATGAACATCTATTGTTTGCTTGCCCGATGCGGCGGGGCTTAATGAGGCTCTAGCACCTGCAACGAGCCCGGTTGAGGAACAACTGGCACTCTTTGTGGTTATATGCACACCAGCGGCGTGGGGTGCAAGCTGATCCAATCTTTAAAAGATACCAGGGAGATGAAAGACTGTCAAGGAGATCGATGAAAGTGTTGGGGGGAAGTGTCATAGGCGGGTGACAAATGCGAGGCCAAGGAATGCGAAAGGGGTAGGGAGGAAAAAATTCATGTGATGACAGGCGCCACAGAACGCAACTCGGGACTTTTCCACCTGCCACCGTGGAAGTGGCTGCGGGATCCAGAGAGCCAGGCGGGTAAAGATGCTGGGAGATAGAGATACAGTGGGGGAGGTGGGGGTGTGGCTATTCCTGAGTGCAGATCAACCGGTCGAACCACCCTGTGAGTCCGTGAGTTCGCGCTCAGTTTCCGAGCGCCACGCTGACTCTTGCTGCAAACTTGTAATTTGGCAATACGGCGATTACAAGGGTCCTTAGAGTCAACTCCATGATCATAGGTCCAGGACAATGGGCTTTTGTAGTTGGGGTGGCCGAGGGCTCGGCCTTAATAGGAACAAAAGCAGTGGTGGCAGCCTTTTACTTTTCAAACATTTTGGAAAGACTTACCGTCTATGTTTTCAGGGAGGTTGGCGTCAATTCCGGGCCTTTTGGCCCAACAATCTTCTCTCATGGCATCTTCTCGCACAATTCTGATACATCTTTGACACCCAGTTCCACCCACTGACACCTATCTGTCATCCTGGAATCCTGGAATCCACCTGACATCCTGGAATTCTGTCAAGTTTTGACACCCAGTTCCACCCACTGACACCTATCTGTCATCCTGGAATCCTGGCATCCATCTGACATCCTGGCATTCTGTCATCTACCTGGCATCCTGGCATCTACCTGGAATCCTGGCATCCATCTGACATCCTGGCATTCTGTCATCTATCTGGCATCCTGGCATCCACCTGTCATCCTGGCATCCTGGCATCCTGGCATCCTGGCATCCTGGCATCCAACATCACATCCTCATCCGTCCTCACTGCCGGGTACTCATGATCTTATTGTACACACTGTCAGACAGGCCCTTCATATCCGAACCTAACTCAATAATCCGTCCCTGGAGCGCTATCGTATAGTCTCGCAACCGCAAGTTCTCAGTCTTCAAATCTTCAATCGTCCGCTTGAGCCCCTGCACCTCTTCAGCAGTAGCCTCTAATTCCTCGATGTATCGCTGTTTTCGCTGACGAAACGCCTTCTGGGCAGACCGATTCTGTGCCGCCCGCCGGGTCCCCGACACTGGGCGCAGTGGCAACGAGGTCGACGTCGTCTTGTCGTCCTGGCCCACCAGCGTCTTGGACCGATGCTCCTCAAGGAGCTGTTCGTACTGGCCATGGCCTTGGACACTTGTCGCCGGCACCACCGCCGGCCCAAGGCCCGCAAGACTGGGCATAGGCAACCGCGACATGCCGTTGAATGGCGATGGCGGGAACTGGCCCATTCTCACCCCTGGTACGGTGGTACCTACCTGTGGGAGTCCAAGGTCGGTGCCAGGGGCGCCAGGGGCACCAGGTGTAGCCACTGTAGCCCCTGGTACCGGTACCGGAACCGGCACCTCTGTGGTTCCAGCACCCCCTTCGAGCGCGGGACTTTGGCCCTCGGCTTCTTTGGCCTCTTTCCACTTCTTGTACTCGGTACTCATGTGTATTATGTAATGATGTTATAAACAAAGTCGTTTATTTTCAGTGCGAGTGCGAATCTTCAAATTCCACCCCCCCCCCCACCTCCCATGGAAGACCGATCTCTGGACTCAATCTCCACCTCCACCAGCTCATTGAGCTCGCGCAAGACATCCAACTTCTTCCCGCCACCGCACCTGCGCCAGAACTCCCTGCCAGTGCTCTCATCATTTTTGTCTGCCCCCATTACCCCTTTACTCACGTCCTCCTCACACTCGACTCCGGTATTTAATGATTTGGACTTCCACCCACCAGACACAAACACATCCATATGGAACACCAGCTTCACGCGAGCATACAATAAGCTGATTCCCGACTTTATTGGCGAGGTCCACGAAAGCCCCAGCTATAGCTATGAGTTTGCGCGTGGGACCCTGGGTAGTTTTGACGACCGGTTCGCCAATTTTACTACTGGCACCGGGTTGATTCCGGTACTGACACCGTTGCTCATGGCTGAGCCGATCCAAACACCCACCAAGCCGGTTCCACCGACCACTGACTTGGCCCGGTTTTCCATTGGCGACCGGAGCGTTCGTTCCAAATCCGATCCCACCGACCATCCAGGGGCTGAGGTTCTGACCCATCCACCCACCTGCCACCGGTCTCGAAGCTCAAGCCCCCATTTTACCTCTAACCCCCAACCCAATTCCTCTAACTCTCACCCCAACTCTCACCCCCATGTGACCGTTAACCTCCACCCTGCCAGGCGCCTCCGCCAACCCCGGCTCTCCATCCAAAAGTTCCACGAAACTTTCAGCTCCACCTTCTACAAACGCAACAAAAATGGTTACATGTTCATCCGCGAAACCAACGACGACTTGATCAAAATCGACGACCTGACCCTAAACCTAACCGTCAGACTCGGTAACGTCTCCAGGGAGGTCAGCATCAACACAAACACCATGAAAGACTTTGAACTCGTGAACGACTTTAAGTTTATCAAACGCAAGTCGGTACTGCGGAGGCACTAGAAACTTCACTGACACCACCAGCGTCAAAACTTGGCAGATTCCCCATTTCGGTTTTTGCAGCTAAAGTGTCTCAGGTGGATTGCCAAATGCGAACATTCTATTGGCCGTTTCTGGTATCATCCGAATCCCCCAAATCCCCCCACAATTTCTACACCCCATTGCAATTGACACACAAACCCCCATATCCGTACACTGTCTATTTCTATTCCCCCACTCTTGACGCCTCACCTCTCCCCTGACACCACCTGACTGCTTTACCGCCAACGGTAAACTCGGTGGCCGCACGCACGCCACCCTCAAAAACTTACGATCCAATGAACTCACAGACAAAAATTTTTCTAAACATCCTACTTTACCATTCAATCACACCAATGTTTGCATCGACCGTCCGTTCAGCTTTGAGAGTTAGAGCCATTCCAAGAGCCCACTTACACAGTTTGGCCACGCCCGCCAACAGATTCATGATCTCGCAAGTGGCTGTTCGTCAGGTTAGAAACTACTCGGATGACCACCACGAAGAAAGTTTCGAAGAATTTACCGCCAGATACGAGCAGGAGTTCGAAGAAGCATACGATTTGTTCGAGGTGCAAAGAATCTTGAACAACTGTTTTTCCTACGATTTGGTGCCAGCTCCGGCCGTGATTGAAAAGGCTTTATTGGCCTGTAGAAGAGTGAACGACTACCCTACCGCCGTGAGAACTTTTGAAGCCTTGAAGCACAAGGTTGAAAACAAGCAGCAGTACGAGGCTTACTTGGAAGAGTTGAAGGATATCAGACAAGAGTTGGGTATTGACTTGAAAGAAGAGTTGTACGCACAAGATGCTTAGATGAATGGACGCAGTATTTATTCATTCATAAAATATACACTAATGAGTTAAGTGAACTGACTGAGATGTTCTGGGTTAAGGTTTAGGTTCAGTCCTTGATTATGTACCATTTCCCAATTACTTTTCACCATTTTCCTTCCATTTTCTCTTTTATTGGATTCTCTGCATTGCATCTTCTGTATTGCATCTTCATTGTATCTTCATTGTATCTTCATTGTATCTTCATTGTATCTTAATTGCATCTTTATTGCATCTCCATTGCATCTTCATGCATCTTCATTGCATCTTCATCATTGTCTCTATGTCTCTACCATCACTTCTGACCCATACACCCAACTCGCGCTTTCTCGCCAATTGCAACGCACCCATGGGAGTATACATTCCGCCAAACAACAACAACGGCGACCAAAGTGGCGACCAAAACGGTGGCAACCCCCGCAAGCCCACTCCCGTGGAGCTATTCCTTCGAGAAAAACTCAACTTCGGCACCAATCCCAGCTTTGGCCTCCACTTCTGGGGTCCTCTAGTTCCTCCACCAGATAACCGGACTGCCCTTAAGGCCCTAACAGCAGCCCAGTTTTTCCTTGGATTAGGCCTCATTTCCCGCTCCTTCGCCCTACGATCCAGTCGCTTGCTTCGAAATGGCCGCGTGCCGTCGTGGAGCCTCTCGTTCAAAAAGTACACCTATGGGCTTGTTGGACTCAACTTGATATTTAACAGCGGGTTGGAAACAACTCGACTCATAAGCCCATTTGACCCGTGGCAGCAGGAACGCCAGTACTACACCGACCTCGCCCTCAGAAATGGGCAGCCCGTGCACTGGTGGTTTGGGCCCAAAAACTATGTTCCTATGACCATCGATGCGTTTGTTGAGGAGCAGTTTGTAACCCAAGCAGTTCACCGCTTAAAGTCCCAGAATGCCCAAGATTTGGGCCAGTTCAGCGACACGGTGCAGGCGGCAGTGGTGCCACCACACCCGGCGGCCGCCAGTCGCCCCATTCTTCAAATCAGTAGTATTTCCCGGTTGCTCGATCACGAAAAGTTCACCCAGATCTACAACAATATTCGCCAGGAAAATGAAGCCATTGCCAACAACCTCCTTACGAACCAGCTCAAGGACGAGCTGGAGATCAACAAGGGCAACCGACTTGACTTGATGATGGAGGGAAAGTATCAATTTGTGGTGGATGAAAATTACCCCAAACCGCCTATAGTTTTGGGAAATAGGAGGCTTGAGACAGACGATGATTTGGACGCGGTGTGGGACTACTACGACCCGTGGGCGGAGTTGCAGGTGGAGACGGATATTAGTATTCGGTTGATTCCGCCTAGTCGGTTTGGGGAGGAGGAGGATGTAGATGAGGTGGGTGAAGCTTAGGATTCATAGATAGAAACCGACAGACTAAGAGCAGAAACGAGACTGGAAAGGAGACTAAGAGCAGAAACGAGACTGGAAAGAATACTGAGAGCAGAAAGAACACTTGAGAACCACAAGACTAGTGAACACTAAGATTGGTGAAAGAACCCTTGAGAACCACAACCACACCAACCAGAAATTAGCTCCAATATTCTGTTATGCATCACACTAGCTAATAGCACCATTCTCTATCCAATTACCCTACGTACCGCTTTATATGTCGTTCGTGTCCCATAGACCTTCTCTCGCTAATATATTATAATCTTCTGCTGTCACCCCTCATTCTTTCGGGGTTACTACATGAGTCTAGTAGACTTCCATTTCGGTGAAATCTGCATATGCCATATTTCCATCTCGGAATGCGGAACCTCTTGTGCTCCGTCTACACCCCAGTTTCATTCTCACACATATATACGGCGTACGGACCGGAACCAAAATGATGCCGAAGTGAAGCATTTGCCATCCCCTATCGGTGATATCGGTCACCAACACTATATATACCACTCTCATTCCCCGTTCATTTTTTGAAAAATCCCCATATCCACCTCCCATCCCATGTCTACTGTTGTATTTGTGTCTGGTTTCACCAGCTACATCGCTTTGCATATTGTCAAAAAATTACTTGCCAAAAACTATAAAGTTGTAGGTTCAGGAAGATCCCACGAAAAATGTCAGCAATACACCGATATCATCAATAACCCCCTATTTCTGTTTGTGGTGGTTCCTGAGTTGTCTGCCGACAATGCTTTTGACGACGTGTTCCAGCAACATCAGGACATCAAGTTTGTGGTGCATGTTGCATCTCCTCTTGTTCCTATTATTGAAGACCCTGAAAAGGAGGCCCTCATTCCTGCCATAAATGGTACCACGAGCGTTTTGAAGGCTGCCCACAAATATGGTCCCCACGTCAAGAGAGTGGTCATCACCTCGTCCTACGTGGCCCACTGTGCACCATCCGATCACTATGGTGGAAGTGACCTTGTTATCACTGAAGAACTGTGGAGTTCTATCACCTATGAGCAATCTTTGCAGCCAAATATTGCGTACTGGGGATCCAAGAAGTTCGCCGAAAAAGCTGCCTGGGACTTTTTGGAAAATGAGAAGCCCCAGTTCCTGTTGGCCACATATGCACCTACTTTAGTGTTTGGTCCCCAGGCGTATGATGAAGTTGCAAAACAGGGTCCAGTATCCACTTTGGGGATTATATCTTCGGTGTTGAAGAAGGACTATTCTGCCGAAAAAATGCTTTTTGGAGACTTTTCTGACGTTAGAGATGTTTCTGAGGGCCATATCAGGGCTTTTGAACTTGAATCAGCGGCAGGACACCGGTTTTTGTTGGGAAATGGCCGTGTATCTGTGGGCCGCATTGTGGAGATAGTGCGCAAGCACTTCCCAGAACTTGAATTGCCAGCTACAGAGGTGATTCCGGATGACAAGCTTGGAGTTGCCAGCACTAACTGTGAAGAAACCTTGACGGTGTTGGGTCAGAAGGATTTGATTTCGTTGGAGCAGGGGGTGGTTGACTCTGTGAAGCAGATGCTCGACGTCGGAGTCTATTAGAGGGATTGCTACAGAATATTGAAGACAGACTATAGAACTGAAGTCTACAGAATATTGAAGACAGACTAGAAAACTGAAGTCTACAGAACATCAAGCCTCACCTAGAGAACAGATACTCGTACTATAGGAAACCCTTAATTATACAACTCCTCTGATCTATTTCTACTTGGCTGCAAAATCGCGCACTCATATGCTATTCCTATTTACACTTACTTTTGTTCAGGCTCAATCACCTGGTCCGCCCACTTCAATGCCTTACCCTCATCACCGGCCCCCAACTCCTCAAACTTCTTCAAGTGTCTCTTCCATATCAACTCGGCTGGATCCTGGTCCGGCTCCACCCATTCAAATCCATCTCCACCACTCATCCAGTACGCCTGCAACTTCAACTCCTCAAGATTATCTCTCAAGTCCAATAACCGTACCTTATGGCCATCTCTGGTGTATCCAGGTGCCAAACTAGTATCGTTGTCGCCGGTTCGACACAATTCGGTTGCAAGATCAGAACTCACTTCTCCTCCAGAAACACCTCCACCATTCAACCGGAGATCTGCTTCCACAATCTTGCTGCAGAACATCATCTCATCCGCATGCTTGTACCAGTGCGAGTAGAACGTGCCCTTTTGCCACGTCAAATAGTCACCTCCTGATGAAATCAACTGACGACCAAACTTCACAATCGTCATCAAAAACGACGAATTCAAGAGGTATGTCACAACCAACGTGTTGACCGACCCCAAGTATCGCCATGCATCCCCCAAGATCCCGCTGTCGATCAACTCTTGAACTCCGTACTTGGAAAAAACGGTGATACCCACTCCCGAGCCCACCAATTTGACCACCCCCGTCTTCAACTCCAGGTGTTTGTGGGCCGTGTAGTTCGGGTGGCCCACAGTGATGTCGGTGAGCTTGAGTGCACTCTGGAGGTCGCCGTTGAACAAACTCTGGCGGAATGGCACCAATGCGATGGCCTTATCGATATATGCCGTGGGCAGGCGCTCGTAGAATACGCCGATGATGTTGATATTGGTGAGCGACGGCAACTTCATGCGGAAAAGCTGGGCCAAGAGCGTCTTGTCAAAGGTCACGTGTGGGTTCTGTAACACCTGTGTGATCTGGTGGTTGATCCGCTTGTTGGTGGGGTTATTCCAAAATTTGTTGTAGTCGTACACCTGGACTTGGAGCCGGTGGTATTCGTCTATGAGGGCGAGAACCTCGGCCGGTGGCACCGGTTCCTTCCACGTGTTCACGCGGGCTTCTAGGGCATCGATGGTGTGGATACGGCGGACTGCAGTCCGGCTGAGCCCGATTCTAAGGATGGGCTTTGCAAACATGTTTAAACAGAATCAGAATAATCATCGGGTGCGACTTTGGTAAATCAGTCAAAACTTGCAAAACTTTGAAATGCTGTTGAACTGTTGAAACAACAGTTAAACGGGAATGCAGCAGCTACGCACATTTAAAACAATCTAAAGTACATTGGAACCTAATTACACAAGCACGGCGGCGGCCAATGCAGCCACCGCCAACCAGCTGGCGGTCAAAAGACTGGCACCGGCGGACGATGTGTCACTGGCGTCGGACGAGGAGTCACTATCGTTGTCATCTCCATCGTCAGAGGCCTGTGCCTCCACGGCCGAGGACCTAAGTACTCTGGTGGTGATGAAACTTACGGTATCGGGCTCCGAAGGGTCGTCGTTGATCTCCACCGACGTTGTAGCACCATTTCCAGCCTGCTGGCCAGCCTGGGCCGGGGCAGCAGCCACCGTGGTGGTGGTATGGGTCTGTAAAAACTGGCCCAAGTCGGCGTTGTCCATGGTAGCTGTGAGTTTGTATATGGATAATTGCGAGCTGTCCATAGTATAAGTTAAGAGGTAGGTCGCCAACTGACTAGCGTTCATGGTCGAAGTGTTTTTGGTGGCGATAGCAGTGGTAGTGCCGGTGGTGGCCGTAGTCTTACCAGTGGTGGTGTCTGTATCTGTATCTGTATCTGTGTCGGCGGCAGCAGCAGCGGCGGCAGCGGCCGTGGTGGTTTTGCCGGTGGTGGTGGGCGTGGTGTCTGTATCCGTGGTGGCGGTTTTCTGGCCGGTGGTGGCGGTAGTCTTGCCGGTGGTGGCGGTGGTATCTGTATCGGCGTTGGCAGCAGCAGCAGCGGCGGCAGCGGCCGTGGTAGTAGTGGCAGCAGCAGCAGCAGCAGGGGTGGTGGTAGTGACAGCAGCGGCGGCAGCGGCAGCAGGTGTGGTGACCTTGGCGGCAGCTGTCGTGGTAGGGGTGGTGGCAGCAGCAGCAACAGCAGCAACAGCAGCAGCAGGTGTGGTGGTGGTATCAGCAGCAAGTGCCACGGCCAACATGTAGAGTGGAATCATGGACTTCATTATTTAGAAGCTGCACTAAACTCTAGGAAAGTACTTGGAAACGAGAGACGGGAACACAACAGATGTGCTGGTATAAGTGTTTCAGATGTGGACAATAAACAATTAAGATTCAGGAGAATTGTTTTTAGCGCGCGGTGAATTTTCGATTCAGCAGCCATCGCAACTATCCATGGCTTTGGCGAAAGCCTATTATTTGGCAGGTAAGCCTTGGTTGTACGAGACTCTTTCATTTGGCACATATTGTCAAACTTTATATTATGTATACACGGGTTTGCTCATGGCTCATCAGGTCTTCTTCTTCTTCTTGCGTTTTTCCATCCGGGGAGCACAGTCAGGACAGTACCACGCGACGTTGTCCTTGGGCGTCGAAGTAATCCCCACGCACTGCCAGTGGAACCACTCGAATCGACAGTCCTCGTTGTCACACGCAATCATCTCTCCAAACGACACCCGCTGACAAAGACAGTAGAGAGTATTGTCGGCATCGTCACCACCAGGCCCATCATGACGCCCTGGCGTGTCGGGCTGTGATTCGTCGTCATCGTCATCATCGTCCATTCGACTGCGCTTGTATGGCCTGACGCCGGCCTTCATCATCGCCTTACGCTTCTGGGCCTTTCTCTGGAGTGCCAGCGATTCGACTCCCGGCGTTAGTGAGAGGGTACTACGCGGCGTGGCGCTGGCTGACACGTCGCTATAGGCCCGGCCGACACCGCCGGTGCCGTCCTGCGGCCCCCCTTCAATCTCATAAACGTTGTCGATTGCCGGTATGAGCTCGTCCCGCTCGAGCTTGGTGATATCGGTTTCGAAGTTGAACAAGTGTTTGGAAATGAGAAAAAGCGCCGTATTGGCAAGAAGGATCTTCTCCTTCTGGATCTTCTCCACGAGCTGTAAGTCTTCCTCGATTTTGGCGTAAACTTGTGGTTCTTTCGGATGTTTGGCTTGCGTGCCGCTCTGTTTAATGAGTTTGTGGATCTGACTATCTTTGGCCTGGTACCGCCGACGCGCCTCCATCAACTGAATGTCCTTGTTATGGATCTCCTCGAAGATGTATCGGATCTCCAACGGGAGATTGGAGATATCCTGGGTGTACTTGTCTATCACCGCCGTAGTGTCCATGATGACAGAGAAAAAAATACTTGAGGTCGCGCAAACTGCTTTCGGTGCAGTTTTGACGCCGCTGGTATGAACGAGATACACACCCAGTTGGAGAATCTTGCTCTCGATGACTTCAAGAAGGCTGTCCAGGTGTTTGAGGATCCCACCGGTGCTGGCGATGCCGCTACTGCTGATACGCTTTTGAAGTACTCTCAGAGCCCTCCTACATCAGCTGTTCTTTTGCAGCTCTTGCGATCCAACATCACAAAGTTTCTAAAAGGACTACACGCCATCCACGACGACCACGGTGCCATCCTCGTTAACCTACTCCTGGGGTGTCTGGACGAGCAGCATCTAACGGCTCAGGTGCTCAACTCCATCAAGTTGGTGTTGAAAAATACCACCTCATCCACCAAAACCTCATGGATTGATTTCAACTTGAAGGTATATTTGGGGCTCGTGTCGGAGTTTGGGGTGGTGTTTCCCGCCCACCTCCCAGTATTGTTGGCATACTTGGCCCCCGAGGAAGAATCTTCAGACGTGAACGCGGTGCTTCTCTTTATAGTGGTGAAGAACATCGAACTAAAACAGCAGGAGTCCTTTGATGCCATCGATGGTTTCTTCGACTATACTCTCGAAACGGGCGCAGGTACAAAGACGTTTTTGGCCTTTGTCAAGGCGTTGGAACTTTTGTTCCCCATCTGCCCGCTGGTTTGTACTCGAGTCTACACTTCCAGTCTTTGTAGGGACCTTGTGTTGGAACACGTTAAAACAATCACCCCCTCATCTTTGTCACTTCCGAACCCCAGGGCCACTGCTGATGGGCTTTTGAGGCTCGTGAGCAGCTCATGCATTGACGATGACTGTCGAAAATTCAATGCTAATATCTACTTGGACTTGCTTAAAGTCGGCTCCGGCTTGGATGCCAATCAGTATCCGTTGTTCAAGATCTTGTCCGTGTTGTGCATCGTGAAATTATGGAACTTCCTCCAATTGGAAGCTGATAGTCTGTTCAGCTTCTCGATGGATGGCTTATTTGATACCAGCATTGAGTATTTAAGAAAGGAGAACGAAGGTTTGGGAACTGCCATTGAAGCCTTGGCATACTTAACATTAAACCCATCTTTGCGCAACAGACTCCGGGCTGATGAGTCGGTGGTGGACTGTTTAGTGCAGCTCATCGGAAGAAGAACAGAAGTGAAAGACCAACTGCTCAAAAACGATCATTCTTCCACAGTGTACGGACTTTTGCTTATATTATCAAATGTGACACAAATCAAAGAGAGCAGCCAGTCACAGGAAACCAATACTGTCAACTACTTGAAACTGGTGGCCACTCCGAAATCCACCACTGACACTACCAAGGAGAATACGGAGGATATCCTCAACTTCAACAAGTCTTTACTTTTAGACCATAGCATCATCGACACCATTTCCAAGTTAAAAATCATAAGGGCCACCACCAAAAAAGGAAGCAACAACTCGGACCAGTTTGTGAATATTATATACTACATCTCGTTGAACCAAGAGAAGAAGGTGAGGCAAGAGCTAGTCAAACAAGGTTCTTTGAACATTCTTCTAGACTACTTGGTGCTGCATAGCCAGGTACTACAGAAACAGCTGGGCCAAACCAGACCCATTTCTTCTTCGGATTCTCTTGTGGAAACAAGACTTCGGGCTATACGTGCCTTGTGTAAGATCTTGATTCTGGTGAACCCGGCTTTAGCTTTCAATAAGTACAGTGTTGTCACATGTCTCCCGTTTTTGGTGGAACTTTTGGGGCCAGACATATCAACTTATACCGGAAAGCTTCAAAGCAATGCCAATGATGCTTACTTACATGATAACGTCACAAGTCTAGACAAGTATGAATCGTTACTAGCATTAACAAACATCTCGTCGATGGCCGATCCTAAAGATGAAATCAAAGACTCAATCATCACCAAAACCTTTGACAAGTTCCTCAATAACTTTATCATTGAAGGAGACTCGCCATTGATCCAGACAGCAGCGTGGGAATTGATCTCTAATTTGATAATGAAACCGCGGATGCTTGTGAAGTTCTTCAATGCTGACGACCAACAATCTTTGAAGAGATTGGACATCTTGATCAAGATGTTGGAGCTGAAGGATATTCACCTTCAAACAACCTTGGCAGGTTTACTTGCAAATGCCACTTCGGAGTTTGATATGATTCCTCGTCTCTTAGTGGAGGTTGATCATTTAAGAAAAGAGCTTGTCGTCTCGTTTGTTCGAATTTTCAACTCTCAGTCAGATGACGATGACTTGATCTTAAGATTGGTGTACGTTGTTCTTGACTTGGTGTACGCGGCTGCGAATATAGGCGAGACCCAAATCGCCAAATTTAAGCATGATCAAGCACTCAAAAGTGCTTTGGCCGGTGTTCTCAAGAATAATAGGAACGAGCAGATTCTCGAGGTGGTGGTTGAAATCATCAAGTTCACCAAGTTCAAGTGATTTGTCATAGTGTTGTTTTGCAAAATAAAATGCTCGCAATATAAGAAAGAGGCATAAATATATACAGATGATGCTATTCTTTCCATCGACATAAATCCAGGAGTCCTATTTAGAAGAGTGAATTCTATACATTCAATTGTACAACTCCTGGCCTCATGAGAATTACGTGAAACGACAATTCTGTAGATATTTCTCATACCCAAATCAGTATATTTACCTTCTAAAAGTTACGACGTGAATTATGAAGATGTGTTATTATCCAACACTGTGCCTATCTAAAACTGAATGTACTTTTGAGCCAAGGTTTCATGGTTTTCAGCCGACCTTATGGACTGCTTGACTTTACTATAGGTTTTATCATTCTCCAATTTGACTCTAATGGCCTTATGTAACCTTGCTAAGTAATCGGGGTAGCTTGAATTGTGGATGTTCACCGCCAACTTCGATCCATCTTCAACCAAATGTTCTTTGAAGAAGATATCAGACCCGTCAAGCGTCTCTCTAACGATTTGGATTCCTGCGGAACCAATATTATTAAGGCCATTGATCTGGGAGTTGAAGAATTTGATGATATTGCGGGCCTGAGTAGAAATATCTGTTGGTAAGTCGGGTAGCTCGTCGTTTAAAGCATCAATCGACTCTATAGATTCGATGTGATCTCCAAACAAGTCTTTAATGAGCAAAGGATTAGCATTGGGTCTCACCCAAACAATGACCCGTTTACCATCACACATAATGTAGATACCATCTTGTAACTTATGCAAAGACAAATCCTTGTATCTTGGTAAAGAGATGAACCGCAGAGGATTAGCATCCTCACTGGGGAATAACCCTTCATGTGGGTATAACGAATGTAATTCCACTAAGGCTGGGTAAAGATGGTACATTAATCTCTCAATAGGCATGTTCAACATCTGGAAAACATCTTCCAACCTGGCATCTGCAGATATATGATTACTATCACGAATAGCAGTCGACTTCAAGAATGCCAAGATATACATGGGTAAATCAGCTAAAGAATCAGGCATCAAAAGACGACTTGTCAAAGTGCTCTTTGCATTATGGCCTAATTCGCTTTTGGCACGATACTGAGTGAAGATTTCCACCAATTTTTCATTTAATGATTCTCTCAACTCCTTAAACGTTTGTCTACCAACGAAAGATAAGGTGTCCCTTACGATGGTTGTCACCACAGTATCTTGGTCAACAAAGTTGAAGATATCATCAAGACGTTCGCTTACTGCCAACACCAAATTGATCACTCTGACCTTTCTGACTCCTTCAGAATCCGTATACAAAAGGGCCGCTTGAAAATGGCAATCATGGCTAGTAGTCAACTTTCCGTCGTATTCCAAAAGAATCGTGAAGGTATGGTCTTCCGACAAAACAGGGATAACGGGATCTTGGGTGTGTGCACCCACCACCGAAATCTCTGCAATTGAGGAAGAAGTACCATAGTATTGGGCCACCTGTAAACCACTGGAGCACCGCAATTTCAACTGACCTTGATAACCAACCGTCTTGACAATCGAACCAACAAACCGGCCGGTGAAGTCACGAGCATCTCTTTCCACGACAAAGTTGGACCATCTAAACACAGACCCTCCTGTAACTGAACATAACCAGCCAATATTCGACAAGTCGACGGCCGTTTGTGACACCACAAGACAGTCTAACCCGACGTTTTCTTTAATGAAGTCTTTGGCTAACAACTTATAGTAATCGTTGTCAGCTGAGTATACCTTCTTTTGAACTTCTGGAGAAATAGTGGCAGCTTGGGTCTTGTTGTCTTTGAACTTCAAGGCTCCGGGTCCCCACGAGGGCAATGCAGACAACACAGCGGTGATTTTACCACCTCCCACTTCTGCCAAACAGAGCATGGCAGTTCTCAAGGCCACTGAGAAACACGGCTCATCATCAGCCCTCAAGCTGTCATCGGAACCGAGCTGTTCGATGTTGTTCAAGGCATCTTCAATGGCGATTCTGCTTTCTTCTGGATCAACAAAAAGGCCCTCAAAGAATGGAATGAACGGGTCGTCTAAATCTGAACAAATAGTGATCTGGGTGGAATCGAGATTACTAGAAAGATTGAAGAAATGCATCCGTTTATCAAAGAGAATAATGGCAAACTTCTTGCTTTCCTTCGGCACCGGGTCATCACCCACCTCATCAGAGGAACCATAAAATACCGACCGGATAGCATCTGCAATTACCATCGGCAAACTTCTCTTGATACTCTCAACAGTGATGTCGATGAGCAAGACATGATGCAAGACGCCAGGTTTCTTGTCAGGTCCTCCCAAGTTATAGGAATCGGGCACCAAGATATCATAAACCCCTCGGTGGAGTTCTGGCTTGAGTCCCACATCCACTCTTTGGTTTGTGGAAGGATTTAACATGGCAGCATAGTCTGGGGGAGTTTTGTTATTGGGGAAAAGACAAATGTTGCATGTGAACCGATCCGTGTTGGTGTGCTGTACGGCTGGGTTCATATAAGTACGACACCGGCGACATCTGATGGGCCCAACGTCTTCTTTGTCTAGGTAATCTCTTCCCACGGTCCGCATATCCACCAACGGAACCGGGTCCTCGGTCTCGAGTAACGGAGCAAACGGGCGTACTGTTACTGCCACTGGGAGCTTGGACGCCAGTCTGAGCTGCTCGGTCTCTGGGATGTTATACATCGTAGATCTGATAAACCGAGAAGATGCGGTACCTTGATCGACGGTTTGGAATTGGGTGCCGGCGGTGGGCGACACCACATTCTCGAACGTCAAAAACGACTTGCATACCACCGAGCCGTCTTCGGTGGGAGCCATGTATTCCAATTGATCTCTGTGTCTTTGGAATGAAACTGATAGACTTTCTTCATCGTTAGGACCATTATTCTCCATATTCACGGCATTTTCATGGGCCTGAAAGGGCGCTGGACCGGTTGGGTGTGTTGCTAGTGGTACGGACACAGGCACAGAGCTCAACAATGTAGTGGAAGCAATGGGCGCCATGGCTGGAAGGTTGGTGGAGGAATTAGGAAGCGAGTAGTCGGTATGATAGGCTCTGGCCGACCGTTTCTTCTTTTTCCCACCCGCCAACGAGAGACTCTGCATGTCAGCTTCCACTCCACTCACGGCTGGCGACGAGGCGAGCGGTGGCACCGGAGGGGGTTGGGTCCCATATGGATAGCTCATGACGATGTTTTTGTTCAGATCAATAAAAAAAGTGCGAATTGTGAAACATCCAAGACTTTTTATGGAGCAAGGAGATATAATGGGTACAATCTCCGTACCGCTCAGTGGGGTCAACGAGACCGCCATATGCTCTTTGTACTCACTCACCCAGGGAAATTTGTCGTATATGCTTGAAGGCGGCTCCGAGTACGTCCATGTTGACCGGTTTGCTTTCCCCATGTTCTATATCACCAACTGCACAAATGACGTGATACGACAGTATTTGGACAAGGTTTTGGACGGCGAAGGCCCGCGAGTGTGGCCCAACAACAACGGCGATATGTTCATCTCGTTGCTTTTCACGGTGTCTGGCACCTGCTGTGCCTGTTGGATGCTTAGTGTTTTCCTTGTGCTCTCTCCCAGCCACAAGAGAAAACCGTGTTTGACCCAGCTTTCAACTGTGTTCTACACCATCGTGTTAACGTATCTTCTCGCGAAGATCACCGACAAGGCCCGACAGAGCTACTATAATGACTTGATGGATGTGATAGACATTCATGACGTTTTCTTTGATAACTTGGTTTACAGAGTGACGGTTGTATTATCCGAGTTGTTGATCTCCATGTCGTTTCTCCAGGTGATCTACAAGGTGTCGTACAAGAAGACGCGTCCATATGTCATGGTTGGCTCGCTCGTGGTGGTAATAGCGTACCTTGTTGCTGGATGTATCTGTGAGGCCGTCAGTAGACTGTCATCAAGCGAACAGGTTTTTAACAACCAGAAGTCCAACTACTTTTTGTGGCACCAGATCCGTAATTCAATCAACCTTGTGTTCTTGCTGTGGGTATGGCTCATGATGATCTTCTATACGTTTGTGATCAAGAATCCTCGCAAATACACCCACTGTAAGCGGCTTTTACCATTGGCGTGTTTTGTCTGGGTTCTTTTTGGGCTTCATCTCGCCGGGTGCATTCTCTTGGTGGCCATTTACCCAACCAAATGGCACAATCAGAGTTGGCTCTCAGTGCTTCGAAGCTTGACCGAAATTGGCATTCTCTCGCTTGTGTGGGAATGGATCTACAATATCAAGAGTATGGAAAGACGCGACGAGCTCATGGGTGTATTGGGAAGAAGACTCAGTGTGGATGATGTGACCATTTTTCATGCCCACCCAGAGTCCAGGCCCACGGGTAATAAGGTCTGGAACTGGTTACGGGATAAGCTTCCCTTCTATGGTGCTGTACGGGTTTATGTCGAGAGCGAGAACGACCTGAAACTCTCACCCAGTTCGACGAGAACCCGTGGCACCAGTGACCAAGCAGCTTCCGACAATAATGACAATCACACTCACGAACATAATGAGTACAATGAGTATAATGAGAATGAGAATAATGAGAATGAGAATAATGAGAATGAGAACAATGATAATGAGAATAACGAGATACACAATAACGAAACCAACGACCACACCGATATACAATCTAACTGGAACCCTACCAACACCAACTGTCCTCCGGGCACTGTCCATCCCCAGTCGTCTGCTCCCAGATCTTCTGTTTCGCAGTACGAAGATGAGATCATAAACGATTACGATTTCCTCGAAGATGACGAGCCGTCGCACCACAGCCCTCCCTCAGGGTCCAGTAGGCCCCCACCTTTCCAGCCGCATCCCGGCTTCTCCCACCACGACTACTACCCTGATCAGAAACACTAGCTAGATCCTGTATCCAATTCTAGAAACTTCTCGAATCTGCGCGCACCACATATATCCACTATATTTAATCCGCATACCTTCTCCATACTTTTGTACAACACATACATTATGCTTTCACGAAGCACCAGATTAGCTGCCAGGCGTGCTCTCGTAAACACGCGCGTACAGGTAGTGCCTGCGGTGTCGCATCTACGGCTCCAGGCGCTTCAATCACTTACTTCTCCTTCTCCAGTGGCCTATCACGCAACCAGAAGCTTCTCATCCAGTTTTCCCAGAAACCTCCAGATGTCCATGAACAAGGAGGATTCTCGGCCAGCGTTGGAGAAATATGGCCAGGACTTGACCCAGCTTGCTAAGGATGGTAAGTTGGACCCGGTTATTGGTCGTGATGAAGAAATCAGGAGAACCATCCAGATTCTTTCCAGGAGAACCAAAAACAACCCAGTATTGATTGGAAATGCCGGGACCGGGAAGACTGCCATCATGGAAGGATTAGCACAAAGAATATTAAAGGGTGAAGTTCCCGAAAGTATGAAAGACAAGCAGATCATCACCCTCGACTTGGCTGCAATTATCTCAGGTGCTAAATTCAGAGGAGACTTTGAAGAGAAACTTAAGCTGATTTTGACCGAGGTGGAACAGAAACAGGGCAAGGTGATTTTGTTTATTGACGAGTTGCATCTTTTGATGGGGTTGGGTAAGGCTGAAGGTTCTATCGATGCTTCGAACTTGTTGAAGCCGGCTTTGGCCAGAGGAAAGTTGTCTCTTTGTGGAGCTACCACCATTGAAGAATACCGCAAGTATGTGGAAAAGGATGCAGCTTTGGCTAGACGGTTTTCACCCGTAATGGTGAACGAACCAACGGTTCAGGACACAATTTCGATCTTGAGAGGGTTGAAAGAGCGCTATGAAGTCCACCATGGGGTCCGTATTACTGATGGTGCCTTGGTGACGGCTGCCTTACACTCGAATCGTTACATTACCGACAGGTTTTTGCCCGATAAGGCCATTGACTTGGTGGATGAAGCTTGTTCGACTTTAAGATTGCAACATGAATCTCGTCCGGATGCTATCACCAATTTAGACCGTCAAATCATGACCATTCAAATCGAGTTGGAGTCCTTGAGGAAGGAAGAAGACCAGCTATCTATTGACCGTCGCAAGAAGTTGGAAGATGATCTTCATGTTAAGGAAGCTGAACTTAAGGAGATCACTGACCAGTGGGAAGCTGAAAGAAATCTGATTGCAGAGGTGAAAAATGCCCAAACTGCTTTAGAACAGGCCAGATTTGACTTGGAGCAAACTCAAAGAGAAGGCAACTATGCCAAAGCTTCCGAATTACAGTATGCTAAGATCCCTGAATTGGAAAAGAAGTTGAAGGAGTTAACTGCAAAGGATGGTGCAGCTCCTCAGGCCAACTTGTTGCATGATTCGGTTACTTCTGATGATATTTCCTATGTGATTTCCAAAATGACAGGTATTCCTGTGACCAATTTAATGAAAGGTGAAAGAGATAAATTGTTGGATATGGAAGTATACTTGAGACAAAGGGTTATTGGACAAGATGAGGCTATCCAAGCAATTGCTGACTCTGTAAGATTACAGAGAGCTGGTTTGACTAGTGACAAGAGACCTATTGCTTCGTTTATGTTTTTGGGTCCAACTGGTACCGGTAAGACTGAGTTAACCAAAACCGTAGCTGAGTTCTTGTTCAACGACAAAAACTCGGTTATCAGATTTGATATGTCTGAATTCCAAGAAAAACACACAGTATCCAGATTGATCGGATCACCTCCTGGTTATGTTGGATATGAAGAAAGTGGTGAATTGACTGAGGCCGTGAGAAGGAAACCATATGCAGTGGTTTTATTCGACGAATTCGAAAAAGCTCACCCAGATGTGTCTAAGTTGTTGTTGCAAGTTCTTGACGAAGGTTCTTTGACAGACTCGCATGGTAAGCACATTGATTTCCGTAACACTATAATTGTCATGACATCCAATATCGGACAAGAAATCTTACTTAGTGATAAGAATACTTCTGAAGATGGCAAGATCGAGGAAACAGTCAAGCAGCAGATTACTGACAATTTAAGACTTCACTATCCTCCTGAATTTCTTAACCGTTTGGATGAAGTATTAATCTTCAACAGGTTGTCGAAAAAATCTTTGAGGAATATCTTGGACATTCGTCTTGGAGAAATCAGAGACAGGTTAATCGACAAGAGAATGTTTTTAGACGTATCGGACGAAGCCAAAGACCTTTTGGCTCAGTTGGGATATGATCCTGTTTATGGAGCCAGGCCTCTTAATAGAGTTCTTCAAAAGCAAGTGTTAAATCCCCTCTCCATGCTTATGATCAAAGGACAAGTCAAAGATGGTGAAACCATCCAAGTTGACATCAAAGACAACAAAATTTATGTTAATCCCAACCATGACCCAGAGGTTGATTAACCATGTAAATACTAAATAGGACAATTTGTATATATTTTAACAGTTCTAATTTGCCTAAGATTTCAATGGGTTTAACTTTTAACAATCACAAAACTCTTCCAACCGTTCCTCCCTCGACAATTCTTTGTTGTTCCGGGTCGACTTTCTTCAACGATTTTCCAAGCTGGATCTCACCAAGCAAAGCAGTGATACTTGCTGGTGGAGGAGGAAGAGACGCAGATCCATTGGCAGATCCGTTGGAGTCACTTGGAGGTGCTGGTGGAGCTGGAGGTACCGGTGGAGCTGGAGGTGCCGGTGGAGCTGGAGGTGCCGGTGGTGCTGGAGGTGCTGATGGAGGAGCTTGTGAAGGAATTGGCGGTGCCACTGGTGGTGGTGCTGCTGCTGCTGGGATTCCTAAAGGTACTGGAGGTGCTTCAAATGGAATAGGTGGGGCCGGAGTTGGTGGCACCTCTGTTGGAATAGGAGGTGCTTGAAGAGACTCCGTAGGGACCGGGGGGATATCCATTGGAATAGGAGGAGCTGGTGGTGCTTGAGGCACCGGTGGTGCAAGGGCTTCGACCGGTGGTACGGGTGCCTCAGAGACTGGTTCTTCAACCGGTGGTACTGGTGCTTCAATTGCCTGGGGTGGTGCTGGTGCCTCAACTGCTTTTGGCGCCTCCGCTAAGGTCTCAGGAGATGGCACTTCTTCCTCAGTGGCCCTCTGTGGAGGTGGTGCCATTCCACCAAAGAGCAAACTGGCCAAATGAGCAGCACCTGCACGGTTTGGCGTTTCATCTTCACTCTCATTATCTTCAGAGTCACTCCAGTCATCATCACCCAATCCTCTCTGTGAAGCTCTTTGGGCTTCCGCTTTCTTAGGGTCAATTGTAGGTGTCGCGGTTCCAGATTGAGGCTTGAAGAATGGATTAGAGCTATGAGAAGGTACTGGTGTCTCGGTCTTGGGTGTCATCTTAGCAAACGGATTACTTTCATGGGGCTTCTTCTCTTCAATGTTCAGGCTCTCTGGCTTTACTTCAACTGGTTTTGGATCCTCCTTTTTGGTAGTTCCAGGACCGTAAGTTGGTGTTGCTTTTGGAGCCGCATCTTCGTCGTCTGAATAGTCATCATCTTCCTTGTTCGCCAAATCCTCCATCTCTCTCTTCAACTTTGCTAATCTCTCTTCTTTGTCTTTCTTTCTCTTTTCCCGTCTTTCTCTTTCACGAGCCTCCAATTCTTGCTTCTGCTTGATGAGTTCCTTGTACTCCTCATCGTTATCTTCTTCACTTGATTCTTCAACAGGTGCTTTGATTTCCTGCTTTTTAGCAGGTTCAGCTACCGCTTGTTTCACAGGAACAGGCTCCGGTTGGGTGGTCTTGGGAGAATTTGGTTTCAAAGTCGAGACACTTTCCTGGGTTTCGGTACCTCTGCGTCTAGTGATACCTAACTTAGCCAATCTGTCGTTCATTCTCTTTTCTGCTTGAGACTTGATGTAAGCAGCCCTATCTTCAGGAGTCTTGTACGAACTGTAGGAATCGCCAGAACTTGATCCAACACTCGAGCCAGTGGCTTGAGGAGAAGCGAACGATTCTGGCTTCTTGACCAATGAAGCGGGTTTAGATGCTTCAACCTTCTGGTTTCTTTGTTGAATAGATTTCGAAGTTGCAACAAGGTCCTTGATAAAGTTGGCGACCAGTTCATTCACACCCTCACCTCTTTCCCATTTGGAAGTACCAAATTCCTCTTGGGAAGAAACTTGTAAATTGGCAGCACATCCTTCTTCTAGTTCTTTGATACTAGACTCGATATCCTTGATGATACTGAATTGGTCCTCCTTTTCCTTCTTCACTCTCTCGATTGACAGGTTCAATTGTTGATCAAGCTCTTGGTTGTTGTTTCCTCCATATGACTTACCTGTAAGAGCAGCCATCCGTTGGTTCAATAATTGCTTGGATCTAAACTTTCTTCTGTCAGCTTCGGTGACTTCACCATTTGGACCAGTTCCCACGATTCCAGCTTCACTGTTCAGTGGGTTCCAATCCGGATTGCTCTTCTTCAACCTGGCAGTTTCAACATCAACCTTTGCCTTGGAAATATCCTCGTTAACCTTATAAATTCTTTGGATTAATCCAGGAACCACGTCCTTGGTCAAATGATCTAATTTATCAAGCAAAGCCTTCTTTTCCTCGAGTGCCGCATTTCCAGCCCCAAAAGAGTCGAGTTGGTCTTGTACACCCTTGATCTTTCTCTTAAGACCTTCGACTTCTTGGTTGACGGAGTTGTTGGAATAACTCTTTGAAGGGTGGGATCCTTGATCATTGGTGTCTAGGGCGTCCAAAAGAATCTTCTTTTCCCGGATCATCTTCTTCATATCCTCAACAGTCAAGTCTGCGTCTTTAGAAGTCTTAACACTGGTATTGTTAGGGCTATCACCAAAGGTTCTACTTCTGTGACGGGTGCTGGACACATATCCAACATTATCATCGTTGTTCTTGAATCTACTGCCATTGGATTTGGTGGAATTCGAGGAGCCTGAAAGACTTGTTCTAGGGGCCGCTTTGCTCCCCTTGATTGAATTCTTTAAAGTATCAAATGATTCCTGTAAGTTCTTATGAGAAGGAGGAACAAGTTCAGGAGGCAATCTTAAAGGAATGTCGAGCCCATTCAATCTTCTGTAAACCAAATGCATGGCAACCGCAAACTCATCTCTGTTAAGTTTACCTCTGTTACTCGAGTCTGCCAAGTTCCAGATGGATTCTAAATCAGGTCTAGCCAATCCTGATTTACCAAAAATGTTAATGGCAACATCACCTTGGACATAACCTTTCTTGGAGCTATCCCAGGCATTGAAGATTCCGTCATAGATTTGCTTTTCTTGCTTGGTGATGGCCCAAGTCACGTTGGAGCTCAAGTTTCCTCCCATGACATTTTGCAAATTGTTAGTTGGCAACTGAGCCGAAGGAAGGAAATGCTGTTCCATAGCATTTAAGCCAGGAATACCTCCAGTTGGCGTCGATACAAACCCCCATTGGCCCGGTCTTCCGGTAGGCTGACTTTGTAAGTAGCCCGTCTGTTGTGGTTGTAAGCCGGTTTGTTGGGGTTGGAACCCAGTCTGCTGGGGCTGAAAGCCCGTTTGTTGAGGCTGAAACCCGGTCTGTTGAGGCTGAAAGCCCAGTTGAGACTGGAAACTGGTTTGCTGGGATTGGAATCCTGTGCCTTGTGGTTGAAGGGTACCAGTTCTCTGTTGAGTGAGCTGTCCGTTGAAACCAGCGCCTTGAGCTTGTAGTGGCCCCGTTTTCTGGGGCGACATAAAGCTTCCAGCATTGAACCCAGTGGTTTGAGCCCGAAGTGGAGCTCCTCCAGTAAGCTGAGCTGCCAATTGACTTTGGAAGCCGGTGGCTTGTTGCTGGAGAGGCCCAGTTTTTTGAGCGGGAATTAAACCGGCTGTTTGTTGAGGCTGCAAAGGAATCAACGTGCCTCCCCCCGTTCTCTGGGAAGTCAAAGGAGGTGGAGCACCAAACCCAGTTTGTTGAGATTGGAAACTGGTTTGTGGTTGGAAACCAGTCTGCTGAGGTTGAAAGCCTGTTTGTTGGGGTTGGAAAGATGTGGCTGGAGGCTGCCCGGCAAACCAGTCCTGTTGTTGCGGAGCAAAAGGAGTATTTTGCAAAATGTTGTTAGGGTCTTCGGGAACACTAAAGTTGATAGCATCGACAAAACTCTTGACTTCATTCAGCCATTTTTCCGGCAACGCCGATGGCAAAGCCTCTCCCTTCAAGGCCAAGTTACACAAGTGCAAGGCCAAAGCAAATTCGGGGAACAACAAACTGCCACTTTTATTGGTGTCAGATAATGACCAAATTTCGGCCAAGGTCACTGGTTGTAAGCCTGACCGAAGTAAAATGTCCCTACAAGAGTCGCCTGAAATTGCCAGCTCGCCCTTAGGCACTGCGGTACGATACAAGTGCTCGAACTTAGTCTGGTCAGCAACGGTAATAAATGATAACCGGATGCTGGGGATCTTCAACTCGTTGTTCTCAGATACATTTTGCACAGCCTGTTGGAAACCAGTGGCCTGGGATTGGATGAAGCCAGTGGCCTGGGGCTGCAACGAGGGTGGCTGGAACAGCTGCCCGAACGAGTTTGGGGGCTGTTGTTGTTGGTAGTAACCAGTGGCTTGGGATTGTAGATTCAACTGAGGCTGCTGGTTGTAGAAACCGGTGGCCTGGGGTTGAAACTGCTGCTGCTGAGGCATTCCTCCCCCATACGCAGCTTGCTGCTGGTTGGGGTTGAATCCCATCTGCTGCTGCTGATACGGATTATACATCAGTTGGACAATTGATTAAAAGTCGGCAGACGCTCAGGTAATTGCTGGACAGCGTTTGAGGGTTCCAATGCGAATCGAGGAGTTTGGTTGACCATGAGAGTGAATCTGCAAATTAAGTTTGCGGGTTAGCCTCGCGGCCTCAGTAAATAGGGACGAGATGGAAATACGTTTAGGTGAGTGATTGGGGGTGGTAGACGCATTAACAGTACTGGGGTGAGTTAGATAGGGGTATGAATGGGTGTGTATTTTTTAGGGGTTTTTGGGGGTTTTCTAACGTGTTTTTAACAGTGTTTGAGTTGGTGGTAGAGTTGAGCATTTCTGCAAGTTTCACACTTTTCATAGTGTTTGTAATAGAAAATAGTTCTACAACTGAGATGGGATGTTCTTTCCTGGCATTCTTCTCTCTCTATATTATGCCATCTACTCATTTATTTCTCCATGCTCATATTCTCTATCTATTCTATCCACATCTACTCATTTATTTCTCCATGCTCATATTCTCTATCTATTCTATCCACATCTACTCATATACTCTATTCACTCAATTCCCGGCACTCATCCCAGAAACGAACCTCAAGTCTCGTCACATGCGCAAAAACATCCACCAACTCATCTAATCGGGCCTGAGTAATCTCACTCTTCTCAAACAAATCTTGCAACGCTTGTATACCTTTCTCATGCGCTTGTTGGTACCAGTCTGAGGTATAGTCACCTAGCCACGATTCATAAATATCCGAATGCTCCTGCAAAGACAAGGCATTTAAAGCTCCGTCATGGTTCTTTCTGAGCTCAGCTCCGTAAATCCCAGCTTCATAATACCCATGAAGACAAGGTGCTAGAGCCACCTTGATTCCAAGAAAGTCCTCGCGCTTGGCTATATCCAAAAGGTACTCACAATATTCCAAACACGCTCTTCCAGGAGACAACTCTACATCGATGTTAATGTCTCGTTCATAGTCAATGTCGTACTTCTTGGTCAACTTTTTCCGATGTTTTTCTATTTCCTCAACCACTTCTCCAATGATGAGAGCTTCTTCATGTGTTTGATAGTACGAAGGAGCAACTGCTGCTGCCAAAGCGTGGATCTGGGCGTAGTTGATTAAATAGTAATAATCCTGCTTCAAGAAGTAAAGAAACTGGTTGAACTTCAAGTTATTGCTGGCAACTTTCTCCACAAAGCCATGCCTAGTATATTTCTGCCACAGGGGGGTCACCTTCGGATGGGTCTTGAAGAATTCATATACAGAAGTGTTGTTTTTGACCACCTCATTCCCAGCATTGGCTTCGCTGGAGTGGGCAACTACCATCTCCACTTGTCTAGCAGGACTGATAGTGTGGTTCAAAGGGCCATTGCCTAGTCCCAACTTCACTGGCATGTTAACAAGACCCCTGTGAATATAATCAATGGAGATGGCTACCGCATTGGCCAAATTAACCCCTAAAGCAATATTTGCAGCAATTGCTGATGATAGAGTACAGCCAGTACCATGGGTGTTTTCCGATTCCACCGACACCAGTTCAAAAACAGTAGTTTTCCCCGTCTTAGACTCGTACAACACATCTCTTATGACCTTGTTACTGATATCTTCTCCCTCTCGAAAAGGGGTTCCGGTGTGACTGTTCCATGGAAGATGGCCACCTTTGAGAAGCACATTTTCGCAGCCAAGAGTGGCCTGAAGTTTAGCGGTAAAATCTACCAACAAGTCCATAGTACAAAGCTCACTACCAACAACTCTTTTGCCACTACTGAGTCGATACAACACCAAAGCTTCTTCGAAGTTGGGGGTCACCAATTGAGACGATTTGATGATGCTGCCCAAGCACAACTTTATGCCTTCTTCATCAAACAATTGCGACCCCGATGTGCTTATCATCACGGGATCCAATACAACCTTTAAGTCGTGTTTGTGAATCTTGTCAATGTATTCATCCAAAACTTCGACAGCCTCTAGAGTAAGCATTCCGGTTTTAATAGCTTTCAAAGGAGAGTGCGAGTCAGTCAAAAAGTCTTCAAAGATGGCATCTAAAATATCCCTCAATGTATCTTTTGGGGTTTTGGTGACCGTCCGTACACCCCTGGTATTCTGGGCTGTCAACGCCGTGATACATGTCAGTCCATACACTTTGAACGCAGAAAGGGTCTTGATATCCGCTTCAATCCCAGCACCTCCTGAACTATCAGAGCCGGCAATTGTCAACACCACCGGTAACTGGTGCGATACTTCAGGAACAATGCTTCTGAGTTTAACTTCAACGTTGGGAACCATTTTGAAAGAAAAGGGGAATTTTTTGGATCATTTCCTTTTGAAGTGCACGGTGGATGGTATTTGGGTCGCAATAATTTTATGCGCTTACAGGACTTCGGAATAATCTCAGTCTATAACGAGCGTATAATCAAAATCTATAAAGCAAATTACTGTAAACTCCACTCTAATGGGATAATGAGGTGTAGTATTCGACCAAAGCCAATTCACTTTGAAGAGTTCGTTCTCTGTAATTGACCCGGATGTTTGGAACGTTGGTCTTCTCGATGTTATTACCCTCAGTTCCTCCAGCCATATACTTCTTTCCAAGCCAGTGCTTCTTGATAGAAGCCTCCCATCCTGATTGTAGAACCGAGTTTCGGGCCAACTCACACATATCAACAGCAGATAACTTATAGATCTGAGCAGCCACCGAGTATTCTTCTATCAACGGTTCCTTGGTATAGGAGAACTGTAAAGGATCATCAGTAGACAACGAAACGTTCAATCCTTTCTTGAAAAAGTTGAAGAAGGGGTTCTTATCGTACGTCAAAAACAACGCGTTATTGGACAACGGTGACATTGCCAACCCGATTTGGTCCAAGAAGTATAAGTACTGGATGAATGGAAGCTTTCTCAATAGGATCCCATGACTGATTGAATGAGACGTCAAAAATGCACTTATAAGATGCTCAGGATCTCCAGCTTCTCCACTATGGGGTCTCAAGAGAAAGGTGTTGAAGCCCAACTTGGCTCTTAAGTGGTTCAAAGATGACAAGTTGGCAAAAAGGTAGTACAAGTAGTAAGAATAAGGAGGATTATTACTGAAGTCCCAACTTTCGGCCGGAGCATACTTTCTGTGGGGGCTTTCTTGTTTGGACTCATCATCGACCGAATCGAATCCCACCACTCTTTCCAAAAATACATGCAACTTGGGGTTGCATTTGGGGTTTAACGACACTTTGATCAAAGGCTCAAACAAGTTGATGAGAATGTCTTGAAAGTTCATAACATTACCGTTCTTCTTGTAAATGTCGTACAACCGAGGCACCTGGATCAACCATCTGACGTTGTGACTCACTAGTTTGTTATCGATGACCCACGCAGCCAACCTATCCCATTCGTCATAAGATCTTCCGTAGATGGAGATTCTCAACTCCGTCATCTGATACTTGGAGCTCTCCAAATCCTCAAACACTTGCTTGGTGATCTCAGCCAAGTACTTACCATTGATGTAGTTATCGGTCTTCAAGAAAATTTCCCTTAATCTCGACTCACCGATTGGATTATACTTCAAGTTGAACTTGTCAAACCGATGGAACGAGTCAGTATGTGCATGCATATCCAAGGTGTCGATAGACAAGTCGTAGCCGGTCAAGTTTAACGACTTGAATACCTCCTCCAACGTCAACACTTTGCCGTCTCTGAAAATCACCTCTTCATGAGGCACTGTCTTCAACTTGTATTTGATGAATCTCAACAAGTGCTTCTGGTTCATGCAAGCTGAGTGGTGGATATGGGTGTCGACCTTACGCACGTTGTAGAAGTCACGATGAGGGTTCTTTTTGGACTGCTTGCTCTCTTCAAATTCGTTCAACAAGTAGTACAAGTTCCACTTGGCTTCGAGGTACTCCAACCGTTTGAATGAAAACGACTTGGTAGGACCATCTGACGCGATCTTGGCGATTGTCTTCAAGTCACCATAGTACTCGGCAATGCCGGGGACTCGAATGATGTTCTCATTCGACAACTTGTCATAGATCTCAAACACATCTTCGTTGTTGGTTCGGAAGTCGTAGGCATCTGTTGGTTCTGGAATCACACATTTCGACAAGTCGAACTCCTCCTCCACGTCGCTGTCGACACTGGGCAACTGGTTGAATCTGTTTTTCGACTTGTACGTGGGTTTGGGCGGTGGAGGATATACCAGCCACTCGTCTTTGTTTTTAGGATTATCCATTTCACTGAGCTGTAAAGAAATGGACTGGTACTTGTGTCTCAAGTCGAGCGACACCTTGACGTTTTTGAACAAACCAATTAACTCTTCTGACGGGTATTCTTCTGGAAGGGCGTTGGAGCTTGTTTCGGCGTGCGGATCGTGGGCATTGTTGTGAACAGCATTGGAGGGTGCTGGGTGGAAGTAGCGCGACGTGTTGGGCAAGTCAATGATCGATGGTCTTCGCTTGGACAGACCATGGGGGCTTTTGGACTCGTTCAAGGCCTCAAATGCCTTGAGTTTCAAGTCGTGGTCTTTGATGAACCGGTCTTCGGCTGTTGAAAAGTGGGCAGAACTGAACGATTTCGAAAGCAGCTCCTCCATTGGGTCTTCTTCGTGATGCATAGGGTAAGTTTGTGGCAAGGCGAAGTCATCATTGTCACTGTCTGGGTCGTGAGAGTCAAGTTCCATATTGAAGTGCAGCATCTCTGGTAAGTTTTACAAGAGAGAATCAATGCGCGAAAATAATTTATTAAGATAAGGTCGAAGATCTGGGTAACTAGATTAAAAACATCCCCACAGGAACCAACACCCCGAGAGCCACGGCCGCAGGGCTACTACGGAACAAGGAAGCTCCATCTTCGGAGTCACTGGTTTCTGTGGATGAAGACGATGCTTTTGACGAAGAAGATGCTTCTGTGGCAGAAGCAGCAGCCACCAGAGATTCAACCTCACTGGCTGACATGGCTTCATCTTTGGCCAAAATAGCCGCCTTATCGCTCTTCGACACCAAGTCAGTTTCCTTGATACTTCCTTGTTTCAACATCGACGCCAAATCGGTGGTCAATGCCGTTCTCAAACCCTTGTCTTGTAAGGCTTCCTCCAAGATATCTTGCAACATGTTGGAATCCCACAAAGACTGAAGAATGGGCAGCAAGGCAGAAAAGTCGGATCCTTGAATAAGCGAGCCGATGTTCTGCAAAGCTCCTTGGATGAGCACCACTGTGGCATCTTGGAATTCTTCATCGGTGAGCAATGTCATGATAGTATCGTTGAGTAAGCCGGATCGTTCAATCGACTCCATCACCGTTTCCAACAAATCCTCGATGTTATCTCTTCTGTAGAGGGTAGCAAATGTCATGGGGGGCTCAACCTCCAGCTCGAACTCGGCGTATATGGTATCTCTTTCAATCAACTTCTCTGCCTGTTCCAAGAGACTTTCCAAGTTGATACCTCCTGACTTGATCAACTTTTTGGCGATGCTCAACACTGAGGGTAAGAACTCATCACTTTCGAGAGCACCAGCCACCACCGAGTACGCCAACCCAGATCTATCCAATGCCACCCAGAAGTCAGTGGTGTTGATGTTTCCAGTTACCAGCAATATGGTGGGAAGGGAATCTTCAAGAATCTGCAACGTCAGGTTGTGTGTGACAAGGTACACACCGGCATTGGGGAGAATTTTGGTGTTCTTCAAGCTGACGAAAATTTTGTCTAAGATATCAATGTTGTCACCTTCGTTTAACAAGTCATCAGCCCATCCAGCGATTTTCTCAAAGTTGACATCCGAGATGATGTCGGCCACGTCGAATCCATCGAGCAAACTGGAGACGAGCGAAGGGATACTCAATTGTCTCTCAACCACATCGACGCCGTATTCGACGAATGAAGGAGATGAGGTTTCTCCATGGATACATGTGAATAACGAGAAACAGGATAAAGCGAGTGTAGAAAGTTTCATGTTACTGGGTAACGAGAGAAAAAAATTGCGACGCCCGTAAGGCTACTTATACATTTGGTAGATACAAATTTCACCCCAGAGAAATTTTGTGTGCCTATTGTCTCATCGCACATCTTTATTGTAATAGTTTCCGTTGCCAGAAACTGAGCGATTGTGCAAATCTTTTCGCAAACTGCAATTAAATGCCCTATTCGAGCCTCGTGCATGTAGTCAATTTAGTTTGTTTTGGTGAAATTGCGAACATTCCAAGCGAGCATCGGCTCCATGCAGGAGGCGGAATCAGGGTTATTAAGCTCAGCTAGGGAGTATCACTACTGGTAATCTGAAAGTGAACTCATTTCCATAGTTGTTGAACTTGTAGTTTTGGATGTGCAGCAGGAAGTCCGTTTCGTGCCAGTGGCCGTTGGGTTGTTCGTGATGCTCTGTTTGTTCTAGTAAAGTCGCCAGCTCTTGTGATTCTTGTAAGGGGTCCACCGGCTCATCATCCTGACTCTGGCGTGTGCCATTTGTATTTGTATTGGAGGTGTCCAGTTTCATGAGATTAAACTCAAATACCACAAAATACTTCAAGTCCATGAACTTCGAGCTCTGGAACTGAGAGCAGGCAAAATTGGGGATGTTAATATAGCTACTCACAGCACCAGTTTTATGTTCAACAGCTGAATTCAACATCGAAGGCGCAAGGGTGTTAACCTTAATGCTGGGACTTACTCCATAGATATTGGTATATTTCTGGTTGTCCTTTAAGTGGAAAACTTCGTGAGCTTCTAGGTGAGCACTCACACCAACGATTGTGGTAGACTCTTGTGTATCTTCGTGACTGAGGTCTATGTGGAACATTAAGTCTTCGCCAACATGATAGTACGGACGTGAGAAAGTGATCAAACAGAGCTGGCGATTGTTCACAAGGAAATTGTACTGTTTCTTTAAATGGGTTGGGATTTGAGGAACCACCCCTTGAATGTCCTCCAGTTCATTCATGTTGTTTATACTTTTTTTCCGCTCCCTGGTGGACATCTTGGGGAGGTTATGCAAATCAGCCTCGATCAACTTATCTAGGTCCCCAAGAAATGCCTGTTTCAGTTCATTTGTCTTATCCAGGCCATTGAAATCGAGCTCTTGTTGTATCAGGGAATGAGACTTCTTCATTTCCGAAGAATCGGGGATAATCTGGGCTTTCCAAGACTTGTCAATGGTGACATGTTGCAAATAATCTGCTTGAAGCCATCTTTCATCTCGTCCTTTTCTCTCTGGTTTTATGGGCAATGGAAAATAAAGCGAAACAGGACACAACTGATTGTTGGTGTCCAATTTTTGGAAACCAACCACCAACAGATGTCTGATGCTGACTAGACCCTGTTCACCCGTCAAACCGGTCAGATTGGCATTGTAAGTTGGAGGTGAATCAGGCATAACAGGAAACTTGACCATAAACCGTTTAGAGGCAAATGCACCCAACGACAAGTCGGTGAACAATAGAGACTGGCTGGTGGAGAAAAATGGGATGATACAATCAGTTATGGTCTTCAACGGTACTTTCCCATCTTCTTCAATATTATCTTTGGGAGATGGGGGTTTGAAAGTGTTGAAGTTGTACACCAAATCCTGGAGCAAGTACCTCTGTGACAGGTCAATTGTCACGGGGGTGCCCTTCTTTTCATCCTCGATCACCAAGTCGTTGATACCTCCTAATCTTCCTCCGATAACCAATTGGTCTTGAAAATTGTCATATATGAATGGAACCGTGTCAAGCTTCTCGTTCCGTTCGTAGATATCATTGTCGGGATCCAGAAAGTTGCCAATGTACTCTTTGTTGACCCACCAGTGGGAGTTTCGGGGAGCATGGTCCAGATTGGAAAGAGTTGTTTTATCATCTAGCTCAGCCTTATAGTTGAGTACCACATACCCGAAAAGCTGGAGATACCCAACAAAAAGGTGGGTGGTACCTGGGGAACCATCCGAAAGACGCATAGAGGCCTCCAGGATGCCGGGAAGGTCGACATTGGGTGTCTGGGGATGTTGGGTGGAATTGACAACAAGGGTGGATTCGTGTTTATTAACAAATGTGACAATGCATTCGACACCAGCTTCGTCTTGGTGAGTGTACTCGAGACGTATATCAAGATGGTGGTCGATCTGCTTTACGTACTCGTGCCCCGATAGTGATTGGGACGAAGCATTCATTAGACGAAGAATAAGTAGTAGATATTGGATCGCGAACGCGAGCAGATTGAAGAAGAGGACGAGAGAACGAGAACCCAAATACATGAAATGTGAAAGGAGGACGAAATGAGGACGAAATGAGGACGAAATGAGGTAGTGTGACTCAAAGGTAGTGGTATTCCAGGATCTGTGGCTACAAACTAGTATTCGGTTATTTGTTCTTACAAATGTTTATCATTACTCTACTCTCTGTTCATGGCTTTGAGATTGTCCGTTTGAAGGGGCCTGGATCCCCTCATGCTGGAGCTGCGCAAGCTCATCGGGCTGTGGTGCCTGACCGTTATCGCCGACGATTTGGTGGAAATCTAAAATCTCGCTGTACATCATCACTCTCCAAGTATCAACAGGCAAATCAGCATCGTTGAAACTCCAGTCAAACTTGGACTGACATACCGGTTCATCGGTTGGATCATGGTATGGTTCCATATAGGAATGGGACAAGGCGTCTGCGGCACTTATCCTCTTCTTGGGATCGAAGATTAACATTCTTGCCAACAAATCTATGGCCTCAGGCTCAACATGGTTGCAATGAGCAAATCTTTCACTAAACGAGATGGGCTCTCTGTGCGGTAAGGATTGTACGAACCTCAAGGTATTCTCCGAGCAAATGGTGTCAATGACATCTGGTGGAGGTGAACCCAATAATTCGGTTATGATGGAAAATTGGTGCACATGGTCTTTACCTGGGAACAACGGTTTGCCTTCGATCATTTCCGATAATATGCATCCAACCGACCACAAGTCCACCTCGGTGTCATATTTCTGCCAGGTCAACATGATTTCTGGGGCTCTGTAGTATCTGGTGGATACATACCCGGTCATTTGGAGGTCCTGGATTCGGGCCAATCCAAAATCACAGATTTTCAAGTCACAGTTTTCGTTGATCAAGATATTGGAAGGCTTTAAGTCTCGGTGGATGACACCGGCCGAGTGCACGTACTTCAATCCTCTCAATATCTGATAAGTAAAGTACTGGATGAACTGCTTTTCCAAGGGACGAGAACTTAATAATCGGTGCAAATCGGTACCTTGCAATTCCGACACAAAGTAGATATCTTCCAAGGGCGACAAGAATATGTCATCCAAGGTGATCAAGTTCTCGTGTGTCAAGTGCTTCAACAACTTTAACTCTCTATATGTTCTTTTGGCTAAAACTGATGTCAGAAACGGTTTCATGATCTTTTTGACCGCCACGTTCTGGCCGGTCAACTTGTCTACCGCCGAGCACACGAGGCCGAAGGCACCCATACCCACCGGGTTTAGGTCTGTGTATCTGTTTGTAATTTCAAACACCGTGCCAAATATTTGGACTCTGGTGAACTCTCCATCGGTCGACATCGAAAAAAACTGGTGTTGCTTCAAGTATATGGACGGATTATAAGGATGTTGGAACCAAAGGAGTTCGAATTAATTGGGGAAAACCTTGTAGATTGATGATAAATAAGTGGTCACTTAATAATAAAATGTTTTTTGTTTCTCCTGTTTTTCTCGCCGGTTCTGGTTTTGGTTCGCGGACATCCGCTGCGACTTTAGTTACCGCATAACTGGACATAATACCGCAGGAAGAGGTGAGGCAAGTAAACGGATAATTAAAGGGTTTGAGAGATGAGAGGTCTGATGAACTATATGGCCATTAGATCAGTGGGGCTGAAATATGGGATGGTCAGTTATCACGATAAGATTTTTCGGCATCTCGTTTTTCCCGATTAGAACGGCATCTTCCTTTTTAGTTAGATTGTGTGAATCTGACTAGTAAGTGTTTGTGGTGGCTGCAGGGATGAACCAGTAGCGGCACAGAGATGATTACAGCTCTTAGTATCTATCTCAGCTCTCTATTTCTGCTCGTCTGGTCACCAATATTCATTTCTCTACACCGCTTGTCACTAAGTTGCCAATGTCTCTACTGTCTTCTGCCAACGTCCATTTCTTCATTCTCTATTGGTTTCTCTCGAATGTATTGTCTATACTAACGTAAGTTCATTAATTTTTCCATTCGTTTCTCGTCGGAAAAGTCAGCATTATCTGAATCAGCCAAAGTATCCTTATCTTTCCCAGACTTGGGCATATTGAAGATCGACCAGAACTTCAAGTTCTCGTCCCCCGCAACCGTTGCCAAGGTGAGACTATCAGGACTAAGACACCCACTCAAAATACGAGATCCATGTGCTTGGTGGATTTCACCTGTCTTCTGCAAAGTGGGATAGCTGAACAATGAGATGTTATTATTAGGGAAGCCATGGGTGGCCACCACTTCAATACCGGTGCCCGACGAAAACCCCCAATTCAACGAGGAGATCTGGGATTCAGTTTCAATGCTATTGACCCTGGTACCGGTGCTAGTGTTCCAGAAGTTGATGGTTTTATCTGAAGAACCACCTCCTGTGGCCAACAAGTTGTTCTGAAAGGGACAATACAGCAAAGCCTTGACGGCAGCCTTATGGGTTCTCTTGGAGAACATGGGCTGATGCGTTGTGCCGGAAGACCTGACATCCCATATGCACACGAGATTATCGTTTCCACCGGTGGAAAATTGCAGACCATCCAGTTTGTACTCAATGCCACAAATCTCTGCCGTATGAGCGTCTTCGAACTTGGCAGAAAAGTGCAGAGGCACTCTCACGTCCGAGTGGTACAAGCTACCGATTCGCAGCCCACTGGTTAAGATGTGCTGATTCCAGGCCTGAGCCGCTACCCGTGTGAAATGACTGTCACAGTTGAGGGTCCTCAACTTGGTGTTGGTCTCAATGTCCCAGATCTCCACGAGCCCGTCGTCTTTTCCGATCGAAATGTACAGCCCGTCGTCAGACCATTTTAACGACGACACCGTGCACTTATTGGCCAATTCACACAAAAGTCCCACGGACCCGGTCGAGGCGTTCCACACGTACACCGTGTCTTCAAGTCCGATGGCCAACAAGTTGGTCAGCGACCAAGCTAATAAGTTGAGGTAAAAGTCATCGATGAGCCCCGGTGCGTCCAACACTCTTTCAGGAGCGGTAGGGACTTTTTTGGCCCGGGCAAAGGCAATGGCTGGGGTGATGGACCGCGACGAGGATCCGACGCTGCTGAATAAGCTGACCGGTTTCTTGCGGTCGGGAGGAAGTGGTTGGTACTGCAACACCCGCGAGTTCATGTCCAAGCCGCAGGCCTCAGCCACATGTTTCTGGTAAATTTTGGAGGACTGGGCCTTGATGTGGGTCAGCGGCGACGCGTTGGGGTGCGGCTTGACGTTATTGGTCTCCAACTTGCTGCTGACAGAGTTATGGCGGGAGGGAATAAATCTGTCCAAAGTGTTGGACGAGGTGGTGAAGGCATTATCATTGAAAGAATTAGTTCTTCTGAGCGACTGGGTCAATTTGGACGGCGACAACGCCAAGCTTGGGTTGTGGCGGGTGATGGAGCTATGGGACCGGGGGTGGGAGATTGGCCGTTTGAGAGTGGGTCGTTTGTGGATGCGAGACTCTTCGTGCTTGGGAGTGAAGTTGAGGTAGATGGTTTTTTTGGAGACGTTGGGACTCATGTTTTTCAAATGGACCCGTTTGGTGGGCGAGGTGTGTGAGGGGGCGGCGGTGTGCTTGGCCGGCGACGTTTTAAAATGGGGGTTTTCCAGGTGTCCAAGTGGAGGTGACGAGGTTGGTTCGAGGATCAACGGAGCCATGACACAAGTACAACCAGAGGGAGATGCAACAGAGAGCGGATGGAGGGTAAGAGCCGTGGCAGTGGCAGTGTTGATGCAATATAGTCTCTGATGCCTTCGACTTTAGGTGTTTGTCAGATGGATCAGACGGTGGAAGAATTTAGATTTGCTTAACAACCGTTCGCAGATTGCAAGTATCACGGCAAAAAAAGAAAAAATTCTTCAGAGCACTTGTGGTGGATCCGTAATGGGAAATTTTGTAATATTTTGATTTCCGCTATTAATTTGCTTAATGGAGCTTCGTTTGGGAGGTGAAGATGGTGGATCAATGTGAAATTTTCCTTTTTGCAATCTAAAATTGAGAATATTTACAAACAGCCCCATTGAGGTAATAAGGGTCGTGCGGTAACAAATACACCATCTAGGTGAGTTAAGCAGATATCTAAGAGACAATTGCTACACGCCGCCGATAGGCCGGCCGGAGGATACTTGTCTCTACTCCACAGACCGCTGACCTCCCATTTCCTATTTCCTATTTCCCATTGCCCCATTTCTCCTTCTCTCTTCTCACTTGCCTTCTCTCTTGCTCTCAGTTCTCAGTTATCATTTCTCACTCAATTCGCAATCGCATTCATCATGGGTCAACAACCTTCTACCCCCAAAATCACCGCCCAGGACCGCGCCATCTTCCAGATGAAGCAGCAGCGGGACAAGCTCAAACAGTACCAGAAGCGCTTGAACGTGGTGGTGCTTCGACAAACAAACCTTGCCAAAGAAGCTCTCAGCAAAGGAGACAAGGAACGAGCCCTCTTCTACTTGAGATCAAAGAAACAGCAACAGTCGGTGATCTCCAAGACCTACGAGCAACTAGACAACCTCGAGAATCTTATAGGCACCATTGAGTTCAAGCTCATCGAGAAGGACGTGGTGTATGGGTTAACTCAAGGAAACCAGGTGTTGCAGAAGCTCAACACCGAAATGAGCGTCGATAAGATAGACAAGTTGATGGACGAGGTGGAGGACGAAAGGTTGAAGGTCGACGAGGTATCGGAAATTTTGGGCACGAAGAATGCCTTGAGCAACAGCGAGGAATTGGAGGTGGATGAGGAGTTTGAACGGATGGATAGGGAGATCAATGGTACCGTCCAATTGCCCGATGTTGCCAACGACACACATAAAGTCAGCTTCCCAGAGACACCGAGCACCGAGCTTGAACCCGAAGAAGCACAGAAAGAGGAACAACAAAACACACCCAATGAGCCGCTTGTAGCATAGTACGAGGCTTTGCATTCAGTTGACAGTTTGTGCATTCAGTACCAGGAGAGTTTGGGTGTTGTACAGTAGATCTTAATATATACAAGAGATATTAGCGTGCAATAAATCACAATATATACAAGAGTATTAGCCAAACATCACTCCAACCAGTCCAAAAAGTCCGGGGTAAAATACGAGATAATCATCCTCGCCCCAGCCCTCACAAGCCCATAGTGGCTTTCAAACGCAATGGCCCGCAAGTCCACCACCCCCTTTTCCGCCGCCGCGTGCAACATGGCGTACTCTCCACTCACGTGATACGCACACACCGGGTAGTCCTTGCAGATTTCAGCCGCATCTTTCAACACATCCATGTAGAATGTCGAAGGTTTCACAATCACCGCATCGGTTCCTTCCTCCATATCTCTTCTCAACGCACGACGAGCTAAGCCGGACCCTCCCACCGGTAACTGGTAGCTTCTACGGTCTCCATGCGAAGGCGCACTTCCAACTGTATCTCTGAAAGGACCATACAAACTCCCGGCAAACTTTGCCGAATACGACATCAACATGCACTTGTGGGCCACGTTGGCCTCCACCAATCCCAACTTGATGTCCTTGACTCGGCCATCTATCATATCGGACGGAGCCACACAATTAGCACCGGCTTTGGCGTAGTTGACGGCCACCTTCCCAATTCTCAACACAGAAGGTTCCCGGTTTAAGGTTCCGTCCTCCAACAACACTCCACAATGGCCGTGGCTGGTGTATTCACAGAGACACACGTCGCACATCACGTACAAGTCAGGAAAGTGTTTTTTCAACAACTTGATGGTGACAATCACCGGTCCGTTGGGATCATCAGCAGCAGTTCCCACTTCATCTTTGGCTTCTTGTTTCACCACTCCAAACAAAATGACACTTCTCAAGCCCTTTTTAACCAAGGTGTCGACGTAAGCAACGATTTTGTTGGTGCCAAACCGCTTCATTTTGGGTAACGATTCCATGGGCGTTTCTTCGTCCGGTTCGTCCGACACAAAGAGAGGGAAAATAAACATGTCTTTGGTCAACATGCGTTGGTTGTGCCAGTCTCTGGAAAGAGGGTGGTTGTAGCCTCCTTGCAAGAGGGAGCTGATCGAGGTACCGCTTTTGGCCAAGTATTCAGCTGTGTGAACCATGTTGTGTGATAGGCTTTGAGTCAAATATTGTGCGAGAATTATTCTTCCGCACCACTCCACTTCTGTGCCGGATTGTGACATTATCTTCATTGAGAAAATGCTGCAAACTTCTGCAAACTATCACTAGGGGTTCTTTCTAATCAAAAACACCGCAACCGGTTCAACCAAAGCGTATATACAAATAAAGTTATAAATATTAAGAAACAATGCCTCCATTGGACGACAGATCAACTACCCCCACGCTATGCCCAGCTGCTGTTGCAGTTGAGCGCCTATTTGATGAGGATCTTCTTAAAGTATCCAATAGCCAGAAACGCCCCAAACGAAGGGGCTCAGTTGACAAGGATGTTAGTAGGGCTCTGAAAATTTCCCGTGCTGCAAATATACTCGTTACTGAAACTGAAGATCAAGACCCCAGTTTCATACATATCTCAACTGCTCTCAATGATAATGGCCAAATCATTAACTTTGACGAACCTTTGGAAAGAATACCTGTAACTACATTGAGATATCCTCCAGATACTCTTCAGAAGTGTAAAACTATCAAAGAGTTTGTTGACCTCCCACCAGATAGGTTGAAGGAGTGGTTAGAGTTTTACTCCCTTCCGACATCCGAACGTCCTAGAGGTTTACTCAAAGCTCTCGAGGTTGATGTTTTCGTAGCTATTGATAACAGAAATCAAGCTAACAAACAATTGAACTCAGAAATCGATAGTTCGAAAGATCCTTTGAAGACAATTTTGAACCCCAATGGCCAGTCTCCACCGGTTGAATTACCAACAATCCAGGCAATTACAGAATTAGTCGGCGAGGATCTCAAAAAGGTAATGAGCTTTTATGATCATGATCTGTATGATGAAATCCACAGAATGATCCTTAGATCGGTTGGAATTGACGTTTCCTCAGCTATAGATAACAAAATTTATACTAGAAAGCAATTAAACTCATCTATCATCGACCACAAAGATCAATTGGAACCAATTTTGAACCACAATGGCCAGTTTCCACCAGTTGAATTACGTACCATCCAGGCAATCATAGAACTAACCGGCGAGGATCTCAAAAAGGTAATGAGCTTTTACGATCATGATCTGTATGATGAAATCCACAGAGCGATTCTTAGATCGGTTGGAGTTTAAGTTTCCACAGTGATTGATTACAGAATTTATAAAGCCAAAGCTTTCAATCAAATGCTGCACTGTGACACACACCGTTTGGTACCAGTTTTGAACTCCGATGGCCAGTCTCCACCAGTTGAATTAGATACGATCCAGACAGTTATGGAATTAGCTGGTGACAATCTCTGGGCAGTAGCCTGGTTTTACGGCCACGACTATATGCATAAAGAAATGCACAGAGCGATCCTTAAATCTATTGGAGTGGATGTTGGTGCAGTAATTGATAACATAATTCGCGGTGATAGGCTATACAACTCAACTCTCATTGAGGACACAGCAGAATTGAGACCAATTTGGAACAGAGATGCACAACTTCCACCGGTTGAATTAAAAACCATTCTGGCGATCAGGGAATTAGCTAGTGATAATCTTCAGTCAGTTGCTAAATTTTACGGCTATGATCCAGAAGATAATGAAATCCATCGAGTGATCTTCAATGCGGTGGGAGTTGATAACTGCAAAGTAATTGATGAGAGAATTCGCCGTGACAAGGAATACAACTCAACTATCACTGGCGACACAAAAGAATTGAGACCAATTTGGAACAGAGATGGACAACCTCCACCGGTTGAATTAAAAACCATTCTGGTGGTTAGAGAATTAGCTGGTGATGACATAAGCAGATGCTTGTTACACTACGGTATTGATTCCAGTTTAAACCATCGTCTTGGGATCCACGTACTTTTCTCCGAGATTGGAAATGAGACAACATTTATCGAACAGTAAGGGATTGACTAGAGTACAGTGTTTTAGGAATGAACAGTGTACCTGTGATAAGCTGCAACAAATTTCATTCTTCTAAATTCTTAGAATCCTTTTCGGAGTATTTGAGTCACGCTGTATAAAAAGTAATATCGTAAATGAGCTAAATGTAGTTGATAAAGCTAACAAAATCGATGCCGGCTTTTTGTAAAAATATACACACTATAAAAGACCCGAAAAAAACAACGCCCTAACGCTATGACGATTCTCTCAAGTCACTGCATTGAAAACAAAGCAAAAAGGTTAAATATTTTTTGCAACCAAATGATATTGGTTTTCAAGAAAACAATATAGTATCACACTACTTAGTAACCAGCTACTATTGATACCACTTTTTACACAATTTCAATCTCGATTGTATCTGCAAGCTACATAACCCCAATCTACGTTTGTTCCAATAAGTAAGAACCCGTTCCAATTACCACTTTGGGTTAACTGCAAGCACTGGACTGAGTCATAACTTGTATGGATACAGTGGTTCAGTACCTCTTCAAGTGCTGAATTAACAAAAAATCCCAAGAAATTTGTGGAAAAACTTTCATCAAGAGCCAAATAATCATAAGGAATACATTTATGTCCACCTTTAAAAGGCTTTGGTCTACTGCTGAGCGATCTTTATGATGCGAGCCTTACTCTATTTCACTAGAAATGTCATAATTTAATTCTTTACACGAAGCAGTAGCACTAAAAACAGGTTAAATTCTTGCAGAGCATTCTGTTTCAAGATAGGGCCTTGAATTATTCTCTTTTGGTAATCCTGGTTCCACTAGTAATAGTGAATTATATTGTCATGGTGATTAATTATTGATCCATTCGCGAGTTCCTACTACAAAGGAAGTAGTAATTGAGTTTCAGTTCCCCAAGTTACAGATAAAGAATACAATGTTACTATGTAAATAAAAAATGAATACATGCTGTGATTACTCTTACATCTTTATAACGTTATTACCTCTCAATAATATTTTTTAGCATCAGTATAAAAGCGCGCTTTGTGGATCAATACTTTTTTTGCAACCAATCACTTCAGCCCTTATTCGGTTTAATAACTTCAATGAGTTCTAACCAGGAAGAAGAAGGTGTCCCCGGTAATGTTGAAACACTGCCTGATATGCAATACCCAAATAGGCTACTCATTCGTGGCACGACTCCTCCTCTAATGGAGAACTTAACTTTGGCCGAGTTCAGATCTAGATTTGGGCCTGAGTCTGGTCAGCAATTCATAGATGAACGCAACAAGAGAGCTTATTTCGAATTATTTGCAAGTTCAAGTAAAAAGATCCGTCTTATGGATGAAGCCATAGAAGATCTTAGAAGTGGTGGCGGTGGTGGGGAAACTCACTTCATAACACAATTGAGAGCTATTGCCACAAATAGAAGAGCTATCAATTTCGACCATACTTTGGAAGCTGTTCCTATAGATGGAGTCTTTCCCCCACTCGGTCCAAGATTCAACACCATTAGAGAGTTACTTGGGCTTACACTCCAAGATTTGACTGGCTGGTTACAGTTTTACAAATGTTATACAGTTGAATTTCATAGAAAGTTATTACATGCTATGGGCGTTGATGTTGCCGAAGTGATCGATTATGGAATTCGCCGTGACAAGGCATATAATTCAACTATCACTGGAGAGACAGCAGAATTGAGACCAATTTGGAACAAAGATGGACAACCTCCATCGGTTGAATTAAAAACCATTCTGGTGGTTAGAGAATTAGCTGGTGACGACGTCAACAGATGCTTGACACACTACGGTATTGATTCCTATTCAAACCACAAGCTCGGAAAATACCTGCTCTTCTCCCAAATCAGAAATGAGTCAATTATTGTCGGTAACCAGGTGCTGGAGATGCATATCACCGCAATGAATCGTATTTATAACCTGTTCGTGTTTGATGACAATGTTGAATTGCGTCCTTTCCCCAGAAACAGCCGGTATCCAAATATTCCTGTACCAACAATAGAGGGAATTAAGAGTGCTCGTTCTGATGCCATTAGAAATGCACTTGATTTCTACAGTATTCCACATCATCTGCATGAGTTAAAGGCCGTAATAGCCGGTCGGCTTTTACGCCATTTGGGTGTGAGATATCCACTGTGAAAGGTGGTGACAGGTACCTAGGCTTCTTCATATATCGCATAGTGCCCTATTCCGAGAGGAGTTGAATACTGTATAGTGGAGGAGGTATATGTGTGAAAGACAACTCGCAGAGATATGCGTAATCTCTAGGCACTATTGGTCAATTTAACTAAATGAAGCATCCCAGGTCGATGCGTTTTTTCGCAGCTCAAAAAAAATCATGTGGGAAATCCAACATTTATCACCCCAAACCTCTGAAAACGTCCACAAAAACATTCAAAAATACGCAATCATCCTCAATTCTCCATAAACTACTCCTACAAACATGGGCCCCCCAATTCTCCAGCTCCTCAAGACCTTGATCGACCCCAGGGTGTCCAAGAAAATGATCCTCCAAATGGCCTATGGCCAACTCAAAATGGTGGGATTAGCCAAAGTGTTATCACTTCTACTCAGCTCCAGTATTGTGGGTGTTTCCAGTATCATCAAGATCCCCCAGATCAGAAAGATCATTAACCCGAGGCTCTTGGACCAGCGGATCCTGGTGGCCCAGGGGTTGTCCTTAGAAGGCATCAGTTTGGAGTCTTTCAACTACTTGATCCATGTGATCTATAACCAACAAAACAACAACCCGTTTGTCGGATATGGCGAGGCCCTCTTGTTGGGCTTGCAGAACATAGCCATAATTTTGCTCATTGAGTACTACAAGGCTAGATCTAAGTTACGGGTGACGGATTTAGCAGAAAAGGAGCAAATTAACGAAGCAGTGGCCCAATTGGCCCGTCCAGTGGCTATAGTGATCGGGGCCGTCGTGCTTTTGGCCAAGGTTTTGCCTTCGTCCGCTATCAGTGGGTTACAGCTCTTGAGCATTCCATTTTCAATTGCTTCGAAGATCCCACAGATCAAGAGAAATCACGACTTGAAGTCCACCACCCACTTGGCGTCAGTTACCATCAATGCCAACGTGTTGGGGTCGTTGATACGGGTGTTCACAACTGTTCTGAACTTTGACAAGCTTGGAAGAGACTATATTTTGTTGGCAGGCTACACAAGTTCGTTTGCGCTCAATGCGGTATTGGCAGGCCAATGCTATATCTATGGGAAGGCTGATAAAAAACTGGAGTAGGCCATACCAGCTACACCAACTTTCATTACTTATATTAATCTACATAGGCCACCTAGATGTGTTTCTTGGAGGCATCAATTTTCTTTATCTTCTCCTTCAACACCTCTTCTGACCGCTCCACATACTTCAAGTTCTCTAAATGCAAGTTCAACAACTTCAAGATCTCCTCGATAGGGTTCTCTTTGGTGTCGGCTTTTGGATCTTGGAAATCTTTCAAGGAGTTTTGGTTGAAGATATCACTAATCGAGTTGATTTCGTTGATTAATACCGTCAAGTTCTCGCCCATGTTGCCCAACTTTTCGTCCAACAACTCGGCGTTGTGGTATGCTTTTTCTCTCAACTTGTCAGTGACACTCAAGCCATTGGCCTGTTTGGCTCCCGCCGATCCCATTAGTATATTGTCGTTTCTGAACGAGTTGTTCTCAATGTTGTTCAACAACGTGTCGGCTTGCTGCTCGTAGTTGTCCAAGAGCTTCTCCAACTCGTCTTGCTGACTTTCAACGAAAACCAAGTGTTGGTCGATGTTGTTCTGTAAGTTCTGGGCCTCCAACGTATCTTGGTGTAATCTCGAGATCTCTTCTCCACTCTCGACCAACTCTTGGTCCCACTGCTTGACCTTAGTGGTGTATGATTCGAAAATGTTGGAGGTGCTATTTAACTGTTTGGACCATTTTGTTATCAAGTCATCCATGGTTTTGTTGTCTATGGACACTTCCAAGGGTTCTACCTTCAAAGGCACCGTGCTGGCAGGCTTGGATTCGCCGGCCTTATTTTCTTCTGGCTTAGCTCCACCAAGCAGGAACCCACTGGTGGTACAAGAACTAGTAGTACCAGCAGCAGCAGGCTTATCATCTTTCTTGTCTTCGGTCTTGTTACCAAAGAGACCCCCCGCAGAAGCAGATCCTCCTCCGAGGCTGAACCCACCAGTGGTGGGTTTGTCCTCCTTCTTTTCAGTTGGTTTGGAACCAAAGAGACCTCCAGATGGAGCACTTCCTCCAAGGCTAAACCCACTGGTTGCTGGTTTGTCGGTCTTCTTTTCTTCTGGTTTGGCTCCAAACAACCCCCCAGACGCAGGCTTGTCATCCTTCTTTTCAGTTGGTTTAGCACCGAAAAGTCCTCCAGATGGAGCAGTTCCTCCAAGGCTAAACCCACTGGTTGCTGGTTTGTCGGTCTTCTTTTCTTCTGGTTTGGCTCCAAACAACCCCCCAGAAGCAGGCTTGTCGTCCTTCTTTTCGTCGGGCTTTGAGGCTCCAAAGGTGAACCCCGAAGAAAGCTTGTCAGTGGTTTCAGTCTTGTTACCAAACAAACCCCCAGAAGAAGCTGCTGGTGGTCCTCCTAAGCTGAACCCTGGTTTGTCGGCCTTCTTCTCTTCAGGCTTGCTGCCAAACAAACCTCCAGTACTCGACGAGCCCAAACTGAAACCGGGTTTATCGTCCTTCTTTTCCTCAGGTTTGCTGCCAAACAACCCACCTGAAGCAGTGCTTGAACTGCCAAGCGAAAAGCCGGCTTTGGGAGTGTCTTTTTGTTCAGCTGGCTTGGAACCAAACAACCCACCAGAACCAGTTGATGCACTTGACCCACCCAAAGTGAACCCAGAAGCGGCTGGGGCAGTTGAACCACTTGAAGCGAACCCAGAAGGTTTTTCTGACTTAGTTTCATCTGGTTTGCTTCCAAAAAGACCTCCTGAAGAAGGAGTAGACGCATTGGCACCTCCAAAAGAGAATCCTCCTGAAGACTCCGCAAGCTTTGAAGGGTTGGCACCAAACAAGCCGCCCGAAGCAGAAGCACCACCCGCAGCAGAAGAACCACCCGTAGCAGAAGCCTGTGTGCCCCCAAAACTGAAACCTGAGGCCGGTTTAGCAGGTTCAGTAGTACCAGAAGACCCAAAACTAAATCCAGAAGCTGGCTTATCGATCTTTTCCTCTGGTTTGCTTCCGAAAAGACCACCAGATGATGGCGCTGCAGCAGAGCTGCCTGCTCCAAAACTGAAACCAGCAGCGGGTTTAGATGCTTCTGGCTTAGCACCAAACAACGAACCAGATCCACTGGATTGGTTGCTCCCACCGAAACTGAACGCCGATGGCTTCACAGCAGTATCGTTGTTTCCAAAGAGCCCACCAGATGGAGCAGCAGCATTGGAGCTTCCCAACGAAAATCCACTTGGTTTACCACCAAAAGTCGTACCAGACGTGGAACCAGCAGCTGAAGCTGGAGCGGCAGCCGTACCGCCAAAGGAAAACCCCAGTTGGGGCGTACCCGAGGCGTTGGCACCGACACCAAGGCCACCAAAGGCAGAGGTGGAAGAATTGGTGTTATTAGTAGTTTGGCCAAACAACCCACCAGACGATGAGCCATTTTGATTTTGCTGATTCTGACCAAAGGGAGAGCCTGTATTGCCCGAAGACGACGCATTGCCCCCAAACAACCCGCCCGAACCAGACTGTGAGTTTGTATTTCCTCCAAACATCGGGTTATATTGTTGTATTGATTTGTTTGTACCGGTTGTAGGAAACTTTTTTGTTCTGAGAAGTGCGCTCACTGTCAAGGTTGATTTAAATTTCAGCTACACACTAATATAGAAATAGATTACTTCTTAGTACCCTGGGCAGCAACAGCAGCGGCACCAGCAGCAGCAGCTTCTGGGTCCAAGTAGTAGGCTGGTTTGATGGGTTGTAATTTCTCATCCAATTCGTAGACCAATGGGATTCCAGTTGGAATGTTCAATCCAGCAATGTCAGCATCAGAAATTTTATCCAAGTGCTTGACCAAAGCTCTCAATGAGTTTCCGTGGGCAGCAACCAAAACAGTCTTGCCGTCCAACAAGTCCTTGGCGATTTCGTCTTGCCAGTATGGCAACAATCTGTCAATCACCAACTTCAACGACTCAGTTTTTGGCAATACCGCAGGGTCCACATCATTGTATCTAACGTCACCTGCTTGAGAGAACTTGGAGCTGTCGGCAATGACTGGAGGTGGCACGTCAAAAGACCTTCTCCAGGTTTGGAACTTTTCTTTGCCGTATAATTCCAAGGTCTCGGCCTTGTCTTTACCCTGTAAATCACCATAGTGTCTTTCGTTCAATCTCCACGATCTCTTGACAGGGACGTACAATTGGTCGGCCGAACTCAAGGCGATGTTGGCGGTTTGGATGGCTCTGGACAACTTGGAGGTGTACAAAATATCAACTTGTAAACCTGCTTCCAGGAGCAACTCCCCGGCTCTGTGAGCTTCCTTCTCACCCACTTCGGATAAACGGCAGTCCACCCAACCGGTGAACAAGTTCTTTTCGTTCCATTCGGACTGTCCGTGTCTAACGAGGATCAACTTAACCATTTTATGTTTGTGTTTGTGTTTGTTTAAGTTTATGTGGAAATTAAGGCAACAGTTGCGTCTTATATAGTTGTAATTTTTCCCCCGGTGCAATTCGACAACTGGTGATTCGGGCCTTCGGACCTGAGCCTTCCACAAAGTGCGGCGTGAAATTTCTCATCAGGTAATGCTAGTGTTTGTAACACATTGAATTGGGAGGTATGAATCGGATCTTACTTCGGTGGGTTCATAGAATATTGGCCTGGGATCCAGAAACAGTAAGGTTTTTGTGGTCGGCTGGGTTGGCTGCCAGTTCGTAGAGTGTAATCACAGGGTCTCTAGAGAGCTCGGTAAACTCTCCTCGGAGCTCAACGTAGTGCAAGCGGGTTTCATCTTCATCGTCATTATTGTGGATATCTTCCACAAATACCGTTAGCAGCTGGACTCCCGTGAAAATGTGCCGGGGAAGAAAGTGCTCCACAAACTCGATGTCGCTGTCGAGCGATTCGGGCATCGTTCCATCATCCTCGTTATACATCACTCCCACGTGCGGATGCTCGATCTGAAACGTTGGTTTCTTGGTGGATGCGTTGTCAAAGTCGATGTTCTTGTCGTTCTTCCACAATTTAATGGTCTTGGGGCAGTATTTGTCGCCGTTAGTTCGAATAATAAGGGAAAAGAGTTTGACAGATCCGTTTAAAAACGGGATGTTGATGATCAATTGCGAGTCGCAGTCCGAAGCCACCACCGGCTTCAACTCGTACTTGTTTTGTGGCTTCTTGAAGAGCTTTTGCAAGTCTTCGGGTGGGTTTGCGAGGTTGAGAGCGGTGACATGAGGAGTGTCAATTTTGGAGAGGAGTGACTGGGCGGCATTGGTGGGTACGGGAGCCACATGGGAGTGATCATGGCCGTGATCGCCATGGTGGCCATCGTCGTCGCCGTGGTGGTGGGAGTTGAGGTGTTGGTCTTCACAGCTCATGGTGCGTGATAGATTTTGCGATGCGACAAACATGTGGAGTGAGAAAGGGAGGAATGCGGGATTTGGCGGCATGATCGGAGTCTGGGCGTGTTTTCAGTCAGAAACCGACAGTCATCTGGGGTCGAGATGTACAAATCAGAGCCAAGATTGCTGGCTTGTATATTTTACTATGTATCACTTATCTCTTGTATCACCAGCAGTCTTCTGCATCCAGTCGCGTTTTGTTTCTTCTCCATGTCTCACTATTCTCAGGTCAAACACAAACTAATTGACACATATTCCCAGAGGTGCCTTCAAAAGCTTTCGGACACCACCAGGACTAAAGGACCTATTGTACAGGCCCGCTTGTCGCCCAAAGACAGACGGTTTGTATCGCAATTGATAGGTCTAGTATCGCAGGTGGAACACTACAGGAACCCAGTCCATTTGGATAAAGCCCTAGATGCGGTTGATCTCGCCAAAATCTACGAGGGAGTCGACAAGCGAGAGCAGCAGAAGCCACAGGCGCCGGATTCCCTGCTCCAATATGAGGATTTGGTGGTGTTGGAGCTTCTTCACTACTTCAAAAATCACTTTTTCAAATGGATCACCAAACCCGAATGCCCCAGGTGCACAAAAGACGGGGACAACATCGTGCCACAGGGCGTCACTGGACCGCCACTGCAAAACCCCGATGGTATCAGCCGGGTAGAAAAATACCGGTGTAGGACCTGTTCTGTCGCAATTGAGTTCCCCCGGTACAACAGCGCCGTCAAATTGTTGGAAACTCGACAGGGCCGCTGTGGCGAGTGGGTCAACTGCTTTATGCTCATTCTGCAAGCAGTTCTCGGCCCCGAGGCACAAATGCGGTACGTGTGGAATAATGAAGACCATGTGTGGTGTGAATACTATAGTAGTGGCCTCAAGCGGTGGGTACATTTGGATCCATGCGAAGCTGCGTTTGACGAGCCCAGCTTGTACACCGATAACTGGGGCAAGGCCATGAGCTGGGTGGTGGGCGTAAACCATAGCTATATGGTGGATTTGAGCCACAAGTATATCACCAATAGCAATAAGACCATCGACAAGAGCAGGGTGGTGGACAATGTGTGGGCAGTGGAATCGACCATCAGGCTCATGGCGTTTCAAATGCTTCTCAAGTACTACCAGCTTAATATAGAGCCTTTGTCGGTGCTGAAGGCCGAGAAGTTGAGTTTGTTCTACTACAAGTGTCTAGTGGTGTACGGGTCGGAGCTTAATAAAAGTCCTACCAGCACCAAGTCGGCAGTCACAAGGACGGCCACAACAGGAAGGCAGACCGGTGGACCAGAGTGGACCACGGCCCGTGGCGAGAGTGGTTGATATCTATATCTGTTGATAGTCAATATGTATATATCTTGATAGCCCACCAGTTTTTATTCGTACCATTCATTAAATGCTATACACTACTCACGATTCCCCTTGGAGTGCTTGAACAACTTCAATCCCACCCATGACACAAGCGCCCACCACCAGCCCACGACGTAGATCCCGAACGACCGTAGCACGTACTGGTCCACGGTGGAGAAAAATCCCACCAATCGCTGGTGGAGCTGTTGTGACCGTGAATCCATCGACAAGGGTGCAATCACAAACCTCCACAACTCGAAAAAACTGTTGATCGACACGGCAAAAAGAAGCCATGTTCCTACCACCAATGCATACCCGTAGAGCCTTAGGGATTCGGCAGATGGCTCCTTCTCATCGGACATGGGTTCATCCCACGGTATCAATGGCACTGGGTCATCAGCATCCATAGTTGAAGAAGTTATTTTTGGCCGCGAAAGTTTTACGAAAATTAGCCTAATGCTGCTCACTTTTCTAATGCTATAGTCATACTTACTATTACTCATTGATGCTGACCTTGGTTCCTCCAAGCACATGCGGAGCAATTTCTTGCAACCAGGAAAGCTCAATGGCAGAACAGTTCCGTGCGTACCCCTTGCTGGTGAACACATACTCTACGTACATGATTGAGTCGAGGTTGGCCTTTCCAAAGAGATTCGATGAAGGATGAATACTGATCAACAGGCCGTTGTTACAGGTTCTATAGGACCTGTCGGGCATTCCAATGGCCGTGTTGGTGATGTAGCCTCTAACAAAGCACTTGAGGATCTCCGGGATGTTGAGTGGTTGTCTAACCAATTCTTGCTGCAATTCCATGTCAAGCAGGAGCTGGGACCTCAAGTTCAAGAGGGCTTTTTCTTTCTGACCACCCGTTAACCGGTCGTCTTGCTTGATGGTCGTCAACATGTACTCCTTCAACTGCTGTCTTACTCTCAAGACGTTTCGGAATCCTTTGTAGCTAAAGTGCAAGTCATGGCACCAGTCTTTGGCCTCAGCGACGTTGCCCGCATTTAACAACTCTTCGAAATGACTGAAATACTCTTTAAAGGCGATCAAATCTCCATACTGGCACCCCAAAGGACAGTAGGTTCTGCGCCTAACATTGACCTCGTGTCGCTGCTCCCCGTCTCCTCCAGTGACATTCAATATAAGGTTATCCACCGATAAACATGCAACTATATCCACCACATCCTTGACGACTCCATTGTCGATGGCAGTGATTAGCACTGCCGAAAGCTGAGGAGGCAACGGCAAAATGGCCATTTTGTAGCCAAGGGTGGTGATTTTTCCATTACCATCCAACGCCCCCAACGAGTACAAGTTGGACAAAGCACTAAGAATAGCCTCTTCACCCGGATGCTCAAGCCACGGCCAGTTCAAGAGATCGTCCACCCCGATCTTCTTCAACGTTAACACCGGCAACACAATATCGTTTCTCATGATCTCGGACTCCTGTTCCTTTGGAAGCCGTTCGTTGAATACCTTCTCCAGGTACAACCTAAATACTTTCCCTGGTGCCTCTCTACCAGCTCTACCAGCTCTCTGTTTGGCGGACGCCTGGGATATGGTGGTGGTCAACAACGTCGATAGACCCAACAGGTGTTTCCATACCTTAACTTTCCTCAACCCGGAATCAATCACGTACCTCACACCACTGACAGTAATGGAGGTTTCGGCAATATTGGTGGCGAGGATGACTTTCCGCTTGTTGGATGCGTACCGGTCAAAGATCTTCAGCTGCTGGTTGGGAGACAAGGCAGCATAGAGCGGTAGAGGGATAATTGCAGGTGCTTCTTTGGGGAGGTCTGGGGATAACGACTGGAGAACGTTGACAGCATTGTCAATTTCTTCTTGACCAGGTAAGAAACATAAGATGTCTCCCTGCTGCTCTGACATGTTGATTTGAACGACTGCTCGTACCATTGTGTCGACAATATCTTCTTCGAGGTCGTGAAGATAATGCTTGGTGACAGGATATGTTCTTCCCTGGACGTACAAAATAGGAGCCTCGAAAAAGTCACTGAACAACTCGGCATTCAACGTGGCTGACATGATGATTACCTTCAAGTCTGGTCTTTGCTTCGACACAAGCAACTTCTTCAAGAATCCCATGATCATATCCGAGAGAATAGTTCTTTCGTGCGCCTCGTCGATAATGATGGTAGAATACCGGTTGAGATTACCATCAAGCATGATCTCTCTCAATAACATTCCGTCTGTGAGGTATTTCAACTTGGTGGTACGGTGGTCGGTTACGTTGGCGAACCGCACTTGATAACCCACCTGTTCTCCCAATTTGCACCCATACTCTTCACTGACTCTCTGGGCCAACGAAGCAGCTGCAACCCTACGAGGTTGTGTCACGGCAATTTGTTTCTTGTTTATGGGCATCAAGAACTGGGGGATTTGTGTCGACTTACCGGAACCGGTCTCACCAATTATCACAACCACCTGATTATTGGTGTAGTACCGGATAATTTCATCTTTGTGGTGATAAATTGGTAATGTCTTTCTGACCTCCAACAAGTCTCTAGATTTTTGGGAAATTTGTGACTTGGTTAGCGCTGACGTTTGGTGATACGTCTCATCGTCTTGGTTATCCTCATCCGTATACCTAACGGTTCTGGGATTGGAAGGATTTTTCCAAGGCTTCTTGGTATCACTGTTGGTTATATGTGTTTGCAGTATTACTGGGGACTCTCCGTGGCTGACTGGCTCCTCGGAAACCTGGGGAGAGCTCTTAAACTGCGTTTCCTTTGGGATTGAAGGCTCATCTGCTAAGTTCAAAGAGGGCTTTTCTTGTGCAATAAGCTTTTCTTGTGCAATAAGCTTTTCTTGGGCCGCCCTCTTATTGGATCTCTTTCTCTTTCGCTTTTTCTGCAGCGAAGTGGCGGCTGTTGCACCCGTTTGCATAATTTTTTGTGGACTGACCATCTGTGGATGTGAGCAGAAGTTAAGATGAGCTAAGATCGGTCGCGATTTTTTTCCATCTTTTGAATCCGAGACTTGATACCCATGTACAGATATATTGGACGCAGAATAGGCAGGAGCGACCAGCTCAGCCAGCTTGGCAGCTGGCGTATAGGAATAAGACACCAATCGTCGGCCCCCGACATTGATACCTCAAAACAAAACGCTCCCGAAACAGTCACTATCATCCCCGACCTTGCGACCTTGACAAGAGCTGACTCGTATGAACCCGATTTCAACTCTTCATTAATTGGGCATTTGCAGTCCAGGTTTCTCGTCGAGTCCATAACAAGTGACGACCTTTTTGACATGACTAGTTCCGGTGCCCAACAAAAGTTCAAATTGTACTGTGGAGCAGATCCTACTGCCAAGTCGTTGCACCTAGGAAACCTTCTACCATTAATGGTGTTGTTGCATTTCCACTTGAGGGGCCATGACGTGGTAACACTTGTTGGCGGTGCCACCGGTGCCGTGGGAGATCCCAGCGGAAGAGATTCGGAAAGAGCCCAGATGGAAGTTGCTGAAAGAGAAGCCAATGTGAACAACATTCTGAGCCAGATGGAAACGTTCATCAAGCGTGGAGTACAGTACGCCCGCTCGAGAAACTTCCCTATAATAAAGACAGGACAGGCTGAGAGCTTGAACAACTTGAGCTGGTGGAGCTCGATCAAGCTATTGGATTTCTTGGGTACCTACGGAAGGCATGTGAGAGTTTCAGCCATGTTGGGAAGAGACTCGATTCAGTCGAGATTACTGTCGCAGAGCGGGTTGGGCTTCAACGAGTTCACCTACCAGATTCTCCAGGCGTATGACTTCTGGCACTTGTTTAAGCACAATGGGGTTAACATTCAAGTGGGAGGTAATGACCAGTGGGGCAATATCACCGCTGGAACCGACTTGATCTCGAGGTTGCAAAGGGCCTTCAGTAAGAACAAGAATGAAAAGGAGGTACCGGCGTATGGGTTGACGGTGCCGCTTTTGACCACTCCATCTGGGGCCAAGTTCGGCAAATCTGCTGGTAATGCCATATTCATCAACGAACAGGCCACCAGCCCCTTCCAATTATACCAGTACTTTATCAACGTTCCTGATGAAATGGTTTCGAAGCTTTTGAAATGCTTCACGCTTCTTCCGTCATCTACTATTGAAAACGAAGTAATTGCCAAACATGAAGAAGACCGGGCTTTTAGGATTGCCCAACGAGTTCTTGCCCGTGAGGTCACTGACTTGGTCCACGGAGTAGGAACGGGTGAAGAAATGGCATACATCACCAGTTTCTTGTTCCCAACCCCCGATCAGCCATTTGAAGAGGATATCTCTGCTGATAAGTTGTTGAATGCGTTCAGGAAATCGGGCATCCTTGTCAAGTTGAGTAGCAGTGAGTTGGAGTTCGATGAGTTGCGATTGAGTACGGTGTTGGCCAAAGCCATGAACAAGAGTAAGAGCGAAACCCGCAACTTGGTGAAGTCTGGGGCTATTTACCTTGGAATTGAGAGAGAACAGTTAGATGACTCTAACGATGTGGTTTTGTTCGATAGGGAAAACCACTTGATAGAAGATAAGTTGTTGTTGGTTAGGGTGGGTAAACAAAACTACTATGTAGTGGAGTTTACCGACTGATTGTAAATAGAAGGATAAAACTTATTGGTGTATATACACTAGAAATGTACATAAAAACCTCGAGCTCATTTCAGTACCGACCAACACCACAGTTGCATCATAGAGCTCTAGCCGGTTCAACGAGTCCAACAATGTTCGCAGAAAATTGTCTTAAAGTTGTTGTTGTACAATAAGAAGAAATTCTGCTTGATTTGATTAGCAATAGACCCATAGCTTATGAAGTAGTGAGGTCCAAACTGGAACCTTACAATTTCTGGCAGAAGGCACCCTTGGTGCATCAAATCATAGGCTATCTTTATCCACCGGTACTCTTCTTCTTCTGGAAAGTTGAAGTAGAAGAAAGGAAGCCTTTCTAGGACAAGCTCCACAAACATTTCCTGGTGTTTGTGGACCTCTATCTTGGTTTTCAACTGCTGGTGCTTGGTTTTCAACATGGTATGGAACTCAACAAGTTCCCTTCCCACAAGCTTTGCACCTACTCCGCATAAATGTTAAAAGTCCTGTTCGTAGTTGGTGCGATGTTTTTTGGGAGTGAAAGCACAGTAAATTGCCAGATCAATGAGGTGTATTGGAACAACTGGTGAGATGTGCTACGCGATTTCCAGATTTATATGCTTTTGGCGAGCATGCGAGTGACTTTTTTGCAGCCACCACAAATAGGAAACTTGAGTGAGCATTCATTTATCACTATATACATAAAAGACCCATGTTCTACTTGTTCACCACGGCCTTCACGGACGAGATCACTCTACCGAGAACAGCCTTGTTCGCAGCAATGACACCCTTGGAGTGCAAGTACCTTCCGTTGCCGAAGTTCAACTCTTTACCTTCAATGTCACACACCCCACCACCACTCTCGGTTATCAACACATTCCCAGCCGCATGGTCCCAGATCTTCTCACGGTACGTGTCACTGATGGGGAGTCTCAAGTAGATGTCAGCCAGACCCTTGGCCAAAACACAGTACTTGGCCTGAGAATCCAAGTTGATGGTTTGTGATTGCACCGTCTCCTCCGAGAATCCCAAGTGGGCCTTGATCTGCGACTGGGTCGAGTGCGATGAGTGACCCTTTTCCACTCCTTCCAACACCACGAGCTTGGATGGAGATGTTTCTTGGGTCATCTTAATAGGTTCCTGTTTCGCCAAGGGCACAAACTCGTTTGTGTCAAATAAAGGAGTGTAGTATGCTCCCAAGCCCTTGACCGCCGAATACAACCCGCCCTTGGTGCCGGTCATGTTGGTATTGGAAACCACCTTTTCAGCGAGGTTAGGACATCCAATGACTCCCAACACAACCTGACCGTCCTCTATCAATGCAAGGCAAACGGCAAACTGGTCGCCCCGCAAGAAACCTTTGGTGCCATCAATAGGGTCTAAGGCCCAGAATCGGCCCTTGGAACCTCCTTCTGAGTTACCCAAGTCAATACTGGTGTAGACCGATTCCAAATCTTTGAGTTCACCGATATCGGACTTCCAGTTCACCGTCTTTTGCTGGACGTCTTCCAAGATTTCCAATATTTTGGAGCTCAAGCGGTTGGCTTCTTCACTGCCATCTTTAAGAGAGTCCGAGTCTTCCTCGCCGACGATTTCATCTTGTGGGAAGTTGAGTTTGAGAGCATGGTTGATCAACGCTTGTGATGCGTAGTCTCCCACCGTCACGGGTGACTTATCATCCTTGATTTGGGACCCCAGCGTCCGGGTGACGGAAATGGAGTCACCCAAAGACTTGGTGAGAATAGATGCTCTTTTAACGGCTAAAGTGGCAATCTTCAACTCGTGGGCGTACTTGTGGTCGGATGGAATGGAGGACATGTATCGTGATATTTTGGTGGTGTTATTTTTCCAAAGTGTTCGCAACAGGGGAATTGTAGTTGAAAATATAGATATCAATATTACAGAAAGGCTTATAATCCAGCTGACAGAATATTTCATTAAGATTTTTTTGGTGTTTTCGCAGACATTTGTATGTTGTAATGGCACGTGAAGAACCTTAGACAAAATGATACCCTTGGGGTTCAGTCCACTTGAAAGTGTGATCTTTGTATTTGGGCCATCACTAGCACCACAATGGTACTATTTGCATCCCCAAATGCATACTGGATCAAAACCTACCTTTTCCGGGTCCCTTTATCAGCCTTGGCCCAGCGCTCGCTAATTTCTCAAATCGGTTCCATCATTCCTTACTATCAATGATTAAAACACTATTGACTCTGGCACTATTGAGCTTGGTAAGCATGGTGGTGCAGCTACTTGTGGTGCTCTCAGTTCCCATCACAGGCAAGTCCATAGGCTATAGTCTCCACTTGGCCAAGTACCAAGGAGTGGTGTTTGGAGTATTTGGGGTCTGCGACCTTGGTAGTGATATATGTTCATCAGCACGAATTGGCTACGACTCACAGCGCAAATTCCAGGGCCTCAGTGAAAGTGCGATCCAGTTGCCATCCAATGCGCGATACAGCATCTCGAAGTTGTTGGTGGTGCATGTTTTAGCATTTGCTCTGTCAGGAATGGTGCTATTGTGTACACTCTGTACGCTTTTATTTGTGTGGTCGGTGAACGCCAAGCACCGGGCTTCAGTAGCCCAAGAATCATCTTCGGAATCAGGTGACCTCGAGACCGTCGCTAAAGTGCTGACCCGAAACGACGAGAAAACAATTATTCCTGCCAATGTAACTATACAATTGAACTTCCAGTTGGTGATGTCGATGTTTTCGTGTTTGTTTTCGTTGCTTGGACTTCTCTCGGATATCATTCTCTTTGTGCCGCATTTGAGCTACCTTGGTTGGATCCAGATTGTTCCTATTGTGTTTCAGTCCATAGCTACAACCTTGATGTGTTGGACTCGAAGAACGGTTTTTTCCAGAAGGCACTTGGAAGAAGAATACTACTACGCCAATGATGACATGAGAAGGCCCAAGAGCTTTAGGTCACGTGTGTCTGATGACTCTGCTAGTGACGACGGCTTTTACGTCTACACAAACGGGTTCTACAGTAACTATGGAGACCGCGAGTTCCACAACCAGTCTCAACAAAGCAATACCAACAGCTGGAGAAGGCACACACCGATGACAAACAGAGATGATGAGACTTCGGTAAATTCGAGCCAGCTCAACGGGATTTCTAACGCAAATCGAGACAGGAATGAACAGTATGACCAAGACTGAAGAGTTCCTAGGGCAAGCACCTTGACTGCAATTACAACAAATGACTTGACGACCACCATAACGATATAACGAACTTTTTGGCTCTCGAGCCGTCTATATTATGTACAAATTTATGAAAGAGACTCTATGTTCCTAGCGTAATCCAGCTGCGAAAAAAAACCTCCAACCGATTCCTTGATTTGTGACAACTCCAACCCCTTGCTTTTCAAGTTCGAGATAAGCAGCACAAGTCTGGCCACTTTGACCTGTTGGTTCACGTCTTGGTTATCCTTTTCGATCTCAATATATTTGTTGATGATGTCCGGCGAAAGCTCTTTTAACACCCTCACATTTGATTCCGTGCTTAGTATCTTGACAAACGCTTCCAATTCGTACGAGTGTCCAACTGCCTTGTCCAAAATGATTTTGGCTATCACAGGAGTAAGAGGCAAAGATGTGATGACACCTTTTAAGAAACTATTGTATCTGACAAACAGTAACCGATCAACGTCCAGGGAAACGTACGCATTTAAGTACGCCTCAAGAGCATTAACGCTTGGTTCCATTTGTTGTTTTACTATGACCACCTTCAAGCATTTGGAGGCCTCTGTGATAAACCCATTGGATGCCAATATCTCTACAAAGTCGTTGAGCACACTTGGATGGAGTCGCAATATACTTTCTGGGCTATTGGGAATGATGTCTTGAACAATTAGATCAAGAAGCTTGCTCAGACTTGGGGACACCTTTAATGCCTTTACTATGGCCTCTGTAACACCTATTGTCGAGCTGATCGTCATCGACAGAAGGTTTTCCTTAACGAACTCCACTACTGCCATTTCACTGACTTTGTCTCTGCCTTTGTCCAAAAGGTAGATACAAACACCTTCCACTGTCACCATCTCGTTTGTACCACTCAAGTCTATCTTCCCTTGATTTAGCTTCCGTGTGTTTTCGAACACCTTAAGCCTGCTTCCAAGTTCATATAACTGGTCACGGCTACTGATTTTATCTAGTTTAACACTTTTCATATAGTCAATAAGCGCCCTTTGAATGTTGAGTTCAACCTTTGTGTTCAACGGCGACAGCGTGATATTCTCTGGGACTTGCTTTAACTTATACGTCTGGCTGTTGTACACCTGAATGTACTTGGTGGTTATTTCACCAAAAAGTAGGTTAACCGATTGTGGACTCTGGTTAGGTGATTTGGGAATCACTTTGTACAGCTTGTCGCCGGAAAAGGGCGAATCTTGACTCAAGCTGGTGAAGAAAAGATCGTTGAAGTCAGGTTTCACCACTAAATCTGCCACGTATTCAGGGCTTAACATTTCATGGTGGATCTTGGGGACCGCAAACGTCGTTGGCCTTTTAGGTATAGCTGCTTGGTTCTGCTCGGGCGTTAGCGTTTCGCCTTCGAAGCGGTATATGTTCTCATTGGGAATAAACAGTATGATAGGTTTCGTGCTCGAATACCGCACCCCACGGGTTCTTTTGATTAATGTTCTCGAAAGCATAGAACTGAAGAAGTATTTTTTCATCTCAAAAGAGTTTGCGAAAGATGTTTCAGATTATTTTCTTGACTGCAAAAAATCACACACATGGATAAAATGCTATTGCTTTGGTTATTAGTGGCTACTATTGTAGGTGCTGGAGATGAAATAATCTATTTTCAAGAGAGACAAAGGGTTTTTGAGCACTCTATGGAAGAACTTGGTCTGTATTCTCATATCAATCTTGAATCTTACTGTGTGAAAAATGCACTTAGAGAAGCTTTGAACAATTGCCAAAAGCATGGGGTCGAGTCGTTGGATTTGGAAACCAAAAAATCTCTGGCCCTCTCTTTGACATTGTGTGAGATGGGAAATTTGAGGTTAAAGCCTCCAGAAGTATGTCAGAACCCTATCAGTGTTAATGACTGTATAAGCTCGTTAGAGAAGGTTCCACAATATTGGACTCTTTTCAGTGGTAACTACAGGGAAATTAGGAAGATTTGTTTCGAGGAGTCCTTGCCTTTTGAAAAAGACCAGATATTAGAAGTGTATAACAATATCACCAAGGTTTTCCGTGATCTCAATTTGGAACTTGCAAAATCATTTTCAAGCTCTGAGGAAGCTCATCTGAGACTTCAAAAAAAGTTTGATGAATTGATAAGGGCATTTGATCTGCTAGTACAAGACATGACACTGGCACGTTTCAATGCAGAGAAGCAAACAGAGATGTTCTCTTCGATATTGCAAGCAGCATTTGTGGATGCAAACCATGTAATGGAGTCTTTAAAGTTCACTGCAAAATCAGACATTGACGAGATTGCAGTCAATCTCAACTTCCTTCTGCTGGAAGTTAAAGACTTGCACGAGGTTGTAAGACAGTATGATATGAAACATCACTTGGATGAAGTAAAAACCCATGTCATTGACCTATACAAAGATGAGTTAAGACATGTTCTAGATTTCACTGTTGGTGATGTCAAAGACGGGTTTGAGAAAATCAGCAAAGACATAGAAAAACACTTAGACAGAGAAAAGCAATTGAATGCTCAGCTTCAGGACAACATCCAGTATGCAAGAGATGTGAATTACATATTACAGGTCCTAGAAACTAACGTAATAGAGCAGCAAGAACAATTTGCAGTCAATACTGAATACGTCCACGAGTTTTTCTCGGAAGTCTTACAGAACGTTCACATGTCTTTAAACGGAATAGAGTTTCGGGTGAACCATTACTTGGTTTCTATGGATACTAAGATGTCAGACACTCTAAGAAAAGTCAATAAAATCAACGAAGAAGTAGGATATTGGTTAAACCTGTTAAACACATGCTTGGATGTTGTGAAGTCTATGAGAAGCTACTTTTCTAACGGCACTATATCTGCTTTTAGACTTCTCCTGTTGAGTTTCAATACCCTCAAGAGATTTTTGTGTAATATCATACATTTCTTAGAGAAAGCTCCCGCCTTGGTTGTATGTTTTGTGTCCATCCCTTTCTTTGCTGTGCTTTCTACGGTAGGAATCGTCAAAGTAATTTCAACAACAGGATCGAGCCAGTTAGAATCACATATGATTACACGGGTGTTATCCTTCCTTTTTCTCTTCACTGGCGGGTTAGGACTTCTTTTTCTGGTGGTGACTATCATGTTGATTGTAAATGGGGAATTTGCAGCCAGGTCATCGCACTCGGATATTTTTGTGGGGACATCTTTAACGAAAATTGAGAATCCTTATCTATGAAAGGACTACTGATATGTTACTACTACTAATATTGGCGACTTTTGTATGTCTTCAGGCGGCCACGGGTAGCGTTCTATGGAAAGTTCCTACTCGTAGGCCCTTTTTAACGGTCGAAAGCTCCCCTGAACCCATCGATGGGGATGTATTTCGAAACATGTACACATACGCTCATCTCATCGATATATCATACTGTATATCCACCACCTCCAAACTCAAAGAGCCGTTCGCATGTGACTTGGGGTGTGAAACAAGCTTTCCAAATGTGACCCTAGTGTACCAGTGGTATTTTGATGACTCGGTATGCGGGTATATTGCTACTACTTACTCAGATGTGTTTAATCGTCAAACCACAAACAAGAAGAAGAAGACCATAATTGTTTCTTTGAGAGGAACCCGGTCATTAGTCGACACTTACACAGATATAAAGGTAGATATGGTGGGATATAACAACGCTGGGTATACCCTACGAAATTGTGGGCCTAATTGCAAGGTTCATCGGGGTTTTTACAGCTACTTCTCCCATACACTTGCCAACATCGGTGAAATACTCCAACAAGAGTTGGAAACAGATGAAGACTACGAACTTTTGATTCTTGGTCACTCTCTTGGTGGTGCAGTTGGTGTTCTCCTTGGAGTACACTTCTTGGACCTTGGTTATGACAAGATGACTTTGGTAACTATGGGTCAACCATTGGTGGGAAATAAGCCGTTTTCTCTGTTTGTGGATACGGTGATGGGAAGCTCGTTGCCGGTGGAAAATAGCGGCTTTGAACGCAAGTTCTACAGAGTTATTCACAAAGGCGATGTGGTTACCACCATACCTAGCAATAATAACATTTTGGATTCTTACAGCCAGTTCAACAACCAGATCTATTTGAACTGCTCCCACTCGCAGGCAAATCCCCTGAACGAACAGGTGGTGGACTGTCTAACAGGAGACAATCCAAGATGTATTGAAGGTGACTTCGACAAGATGTTTGGATACTTGACAAACAATTTTCTACAGACCCACACCACGTATTTTAGGTCGATGGGTTTGTGCGGTATACGCTTATGGTAATGTTATTTGTGTTATATATGTTAGTTTCTTGTGAATTGAAACCGTGGCATGTCATCAAGATCGTCATCGTAAAAGTCGTCGAGGGGGTTTTTTGTGGGTTTGGAGGTATTGTGTCTTGCGGGGCTGGCTTTTGAAGGCATTTCCACCACTTGAGATTGAGATTCGTTACTAACAAAGAGGTCATTGGGAGGAATTATTGGCTGGGAGTCGGCTTCAGCATTAGAGGATTGAAATACAATGCCTTCGATATAGTCGTCACTTTTGGATTCCTCAAAAAACGTTGGGATTCCAGAAGTACCACTGGAAGGGTCTCCAACGCTGACAAATGTTCTGGTGACTCTAGACTTCAAAGTCATATTCTTCTTGAAGTTTTTGAAATTCTTGCGGCCTTCGTAGAGTATACCTCTTTGGGTAGTATCAGGTCTTTTTCTGAGCTTGATATCAACAGTTTCGACAATTGCTAGAGTTTCCAACATCAGTTCCACCGAATCCTCAGGAATGTTGTTTTCTTTGTTCAAACCAAGGTCTTTTTTTATGCTTTCATTCATATGTTCCTTAGTAGACTTTACAGCATCGAGAAACCCAACACTAACATTGTTGTTATTCTTTTCTCTTTTGGCCTGTGCTACTTCTGCTCGCTTTTTCCTCCTCTTGTCTTCTTCCGTTTCTAATTGGAGCTCTAGGTCTTCACATGATAAAGCATTCTCCACGGTAAGCTTCTGGCGTTTCCTTGGTTCCAAGAGAACTGCTGAAGAACTGGACCGTTTGACAGATCCAGAAGAAGGAACGTTAACGTTGTTTTCAACCCCATTTGGAAGAGTTTCAAAATTTACAACCAGATTTATAGGAGCATCGACTTCTCTATTTTCAAGAAAATTTCCTGTATTAGTTTCGGTAAATTCCGCTGCTTCTGGTTTCGAGGAGTCCTGTTTGACAGGACTATCAAACAACGATGGCTGAGTATCCGGAGCCAAAGAGGAGGGCAACAAGAAGGCAAGAGCATCCAGCTTTTTCACTTTCTTCCTGCGTCGCCACGATTGAGAAGCCTTGGAATCATCAACTTGGGAGCTCAATACTTCAACTTCAGGTTCCTGCTGAGAACAACAACGTTTTTTTTTGCCAATATTAAGAGGCTGCAAACAATCAGTATTTTCGTCCTTAACAATACGAAACAAGTCTGTATCACCAATTATGGACCCCTCATAGAAGGCAGCAAACTCTTTGACACTAGTACTGGGAGTGTTATGGTATATGACAAACTTCGACTCAGGTGGGGCACTGGCATCTTTAAACTTGTCTTCCATGAAAGACTCATTTCTGAGAGCTCCCTCCAACAACTCATATCCTCTCTTCTTGAAGGTTCCACCGTTATTGGTCACTATCGTCTCTATTTCCTTGCGAAAGTCTGCCGACTGGATCACGTAATTCAGGAGGATCAGGCTCCTTTTAGTGGCATAGTTTTCTCGAAAAAGATATCTGGTAGTAATATCCGATTGGTCAAAGACATCTTTTCTGGTTGTCTTGACGTACTCGACCCAGTCCTTGGTCATTATAGGGAGATTGTAGATCATAGCAATAGCACCCAAGTGATCCGAAACTTGGGAACTAACAACAATTGCATTGGCCATGTTAGGAAGAGTAGTTAATTTCAAGTCAACTCCACTATCATACGCTTGTTGCAATTCCTTTTCCATATCCTGGTGGTAGACTACTAACGGGATCCAGTTGATGAATATTCGTTCGCTGTCATCTTTAAACGATATCGTCACATCAGATTCCGTGTAAGTTTCCACATATGGGTCGTTCTTGGTGGAAGACAACCGGTGTTTTGTGCCGTTGATGACACTGCTAGCCTTGGTAAGCACCTGGATACATAGTTCAGATCGTGAATTCACATCTCTTAGGCCCGTGGACTTTATTTGAATGCTCAAATGTTTCTTGGAGATATATATCTTGTGAACTTGGATGAAGAACTCTTCATCTTTATCGCCTATATCTCGGCCCACCTCGTAGGAGTGACCGTGTTTGAGGTTCCTTCTTAACACTACACCCGTCAGTATTTTTGTTGTTCTCAAGACATTGTGGGATACATACCATTGCCTCGGGAGTCTTCATATCGTAAGACCCACATAAAGCTGGAGAGAAAAGAATCACACTAACGCGAAAATAATTTTCTGGTAATGATGTTAATGTACATACACTGACTAACTGCTTAATTTTTGACCCAATTTCTTACCAATAATCTTGGTGACATCTTCGGTGGTACCAAGCTCTAATAATCCCTTTTCGAAAGCAGATAATTGGCTCTTGTCGGATTTCTTTGCAGACTTTGCCTTCTCGAGCACATCTACCGAGTCGTAAAGCTTATCACTGTAGAACACAGGCAACGCTGGAGAAGAAGAGGTCTTGATCATAGCAGACCTCAACGAAGAAACTTCAAAGGTCTTCATCACGTCCTTGATGTTTTGGGCCAAGTCGTCGGTAGAAGACTTATTTATGACTCCCAACTTGATCAAGATATTCACTCCCATAGGAGGTAAGAAGAACGTGCTGGTCAAACACTTATCCAATTGGTTCTTGAACGTGATAGTGGAGAACTGTTTGGGGCTGTTCGAGGAGGTGACTCTAATGGGTAAAGGAATCTTGTTGTTTCCGTTATCATAAAACACTTTACCCAAGGCACTGGGTAAAGAATTCATTAAGGCGTCATCAACCACAAATAAGTCATACTCGTTATACAATTGTCTTTTCTTTTCAAATGGCTTGAACTCGGTTTTAATGTCATGCAAGGTGTATATCTTCTGTAAGGTAGGAATTTGTTCACTTTCGATCTTTTCCACTTGTTCTTGTTTGGTGATCAACAGATCTCTCACAATTAAACATGTTTTAAGGTCAGATTGTTCCTTGATTATCGGGTGAGACAACTTAATTACCTTGGGCTTGAAGTTGGGTTTGTCAGAGAAAAACTTCTTGGTAGTAACTTGCAAGTACACATATTCGTCATCTTCCTCATCCGCAAAGAGATCCAGCTCAGACTCCTTGGCTTGGGCAGAGGTATACTTTGACAATTGTTCCACCGCCCCTCTAGCGACTTTATCACTCACAACGTCGGTAGAAACGGTGGTGGATGTGGTGGTGGATGGTTTGGCGGATTTTTCAACTCTACCTTTTTTGACTTTTCTGACACTAGGCGACGCCTCAACACTCGTCTTAGTCTTGATCTTCCTAATCTTGTCAGAAAGGGGTGTTTTGGGAGATACTGGTCCCTTTGATCTGGTTTTGGCCATGGTTCACTAGTAAATCAAAGATGCGATGGATGGATTTTTTTTTCATCTCATCTCGTTTTTCTATAGGTGAGGCTGCGAACTCGTTCAAGGCAACGGAGGAGGCAAAGATGTCTTGAAAACAGGTTTGCTGGGTCCGGACGGCTGCTCGTAGTCGACTCTATCAAGCAAGATGGCGGGCACATCGTTGTCTATGTCCTCGAAAACCACTTGTGGTTCTATCTTCAAATCTCTAGTATCTTCGGCTTGAAAGCGTCTTACCTCTGTGCTATTTACACCACCCAATCTCTCCCAAAGTAGATGCGAAAGCTCTTCCGGGTTCGTCATTGCCGTCCGATGTGGCCCTTCTTCCACCTTATCCCAATGGTCCCATTCTGGAGGTGGTGAGAGTGGTGGTGAGATAAGAAACCGTCTTGACCCGTCTTGTGCTGGAAGTTCCAAGTAGTCCATTTTTTCACTGACCTCCCGTCCCAGCGTCAACTCGTTGTCTTGAAGGCTGAAGGTTACAGCCAAATGGCTCCATTGTGGGGAGTTTTGGAGGAGTTGCCGGATACTTTGGGATACCTGGTGGTCGTCACAGATCAAGAGGATACGCCCAAAACGCCTTAATGACACCAACTCGCAGGTGATATTGTGACTAGCAAGAAATTTTACTAACTCGTTGGGATCGTCAAGAAATGCGTCCGAAACTTGAGTGATGATTAGTGTATTTGTTGGGAACCGTACCATACTTCTTGGGAAAGACAATTTTGAGAATGCGGCAATACAGTAAATAGGCAGTACAGATAAAAGGTCAAATTTGGATGATGAGATGTTTGTGCGGGATTTTGTGGTGTTACAAGGATTATATTGAGTTGGAAAATACCCAGCAGGTGTTTGTATTGTGGAAAGAGGTTTCTGTATCAAAAGGCTGTGATCTTCTAGCTCTGGGGCTGTGAACGAGCACATCACATCCCAAGTCGTTTCAAATTAAAAGGGTATTATACATGTCGTAGCTGTGTAAAGTACCCCTTTTGATGAGAATATAAGCATGTTTTTTGAGGACTGTCCATCCCTATGGTGAGTCTTGTTTTAAGATATATCTTCATTTGCAGCAAAAAAAAATAACGACAACTGCAGGATTCGAACCTGCGCGGGCAAAGCCCAAAAGATTTCTAATCTTTCTCCTTAACCACTCGGACAAGTTGCCGTCAACTAGACTGGAAATAAATGATGTTTTTCTAGAGGTTTAGTCTATTTTAGTGATACTACAATTCAACAGACCAGGTTAGCATATAGCTACAAACAAGTTCGTGTTCCTTTCATCTCCTGTACTAGACTACTCCTAAATTTGTGTTCGCGCTGATTGCTCGTTCCGTGCGATTGAAATCTCGAAATCTCGATGCTCACCAAAATAACCACATCATGGCCAAAAAGAAGTCCAGTACCAAATACAAGCCCAAGCCGGTCAATGTAGTGAGCAAGAGTCCCGTCGCAAAACCCAGTCCGTTTGTGGATGCGCCAGTGTTTGAGTTACTCCACAATTTCCAAAAAGCTCCTGATCAATGGGCTGCCAGGTATATCATCATAATTACTGCAATTATCATTAGAAGTGCAGTGGGGTTAGGCTCGTTCCTGGGGTTCCAGGAAAACCCCATAAATGGAGACTTCGAGGCCCAGCGCCATTGGATGGAAATCACCACCCACTTGCCCATCAACCAATGGTATTTTTTTGACCTCCAGTACTGGGGTTTGGACTATCCACCATTAACAGCCTATCACCTGTATTTATTTGGTAAGTTGGGCACTATGCTCAATTCCAAGTGGTTTGAGCTTGGTACTTCCCGAGGCTTGGAAACTGTGGACCTTAAGAACTATATGCGGTTTACCAGTTTGATCAGTGAATTGGTGATCTTGTCTCCCGCATTGTTGGGGTTTATAACCTTCATAGGTAAGAAGTTGAACCTTCGAAGAATCGACCAGATCCTCATCACGTGCATCGTCATGTGCCAGCCTGCGTTAATTTTGATTGACCATGGTCACTTTCAATACAACTCAGTTATGTTGGGATTCTTCTTGTACTCGTTGGTTGACTTGTTGAAGGGAAATTTCACGTTGAGCTCCATTTGGTTTATAAGTGCCATTTTTTTCAAACAGATGGCTTTGTATTACGCCCCATTCATCTTCTTCTTTATATTGTCCAAATTGTTCAACAACTACTATGACTTCAGCAATAGGAGTGTTGTCAATTTGATCACAAAGTTCAACTTTGCAAAATTATTCTCAGTGGGGTTGACAGTTCTTGTGACCGTCTTGACATTATTGTCACCGCTCATGTTGGGAGGCTGGAACGACATGGTGACGAACTTGAAGCAAATATTGGTGAGGGTGTTTCCCTTTAACAGAGGATTATTTGAAGATAAGGTCGCAAACTTCTGGTGCACCACCAATTTGGTCGTCAAATACAAACAACTTTTCTCCAACGACCAGTTGACCAAGATCTCCTTGGTGTTTACGTTGATGTCCATTGCTCCTCCCTGTTTAATGGTGTCCTACAAAAATCTCATGGGCTCCAAGTTCTCCAAATCTTCCACTAGTACTTCCAAATATATGTCGTTGGTATATGGATTTGCAGCCACTGCTTGGGGGTTCTTCCTTTTTTCATTCCAGGTCCATGAAAAGACAGTGTTGGTTCCCTTGATTCCCAGTACTTTGTTGTACTGCTTGAACACTTCTTATTATATTTCTATCACCCAGTGGATCAACAATGTGGCAACTTTCAGTATGTTTCCCTTGTTAAAGAAAGACGGGTTGAGTTTACAGTATGCGGTTCTTTTGGTCATGATCAACTGGCTTATTGGAGGCTTCAATTGGCGTGGGAACTTGCTCTTCCAAAAGAGCTCATGGTTCTGGAACTCGGTTTTTGCGTTATCTTACCTATCCATCGCCGCCTATCATATCATTGACTTCCAATTTGACCCACCTGCTAGTTATCCTGATCTTTGGGTAATTCTTAACACCACAATATCTTTCGGGTGTTTCAGCTTGTACTACTTGTGGTTGAACTATGAGATCTATAAGTTATGATTCTTCGAACACTTTGGAAATTGGACTCCTGGCTTCATCTGCCTGTCGCTGGTGAAGATTCCCCATTCAGTTTCCCAGGTATTACCATCCTCATAGAATATTTTCTTCCAAGGTTCATCAAAGGCTTCAAAAAAGTAATAATCGATATCATACTTTTGACTTTCACACAACCATGCATTCATAAAATATTGGAAATTGGTGGCGTTGGCCACCGAACCTTCGTATCTCCCCCCTCTATATGGCCATCCCACCTCGGTGATAACAAGCTTGGTCTTATGGCTTTTGTTGATAGGCTCAATCTGGTACTTCAAAAAGTCGTAAGTCCAGTCGGTTGCCATTGATACGTCGATTCCCCCAAAAAATGGATGGATGTTTGCACCAACTATGTCACATGCTTGCAATAACCTCCCGTCTATCAATGAACCGATCTCGGATGTACCAACAGGTAAGTCAAAATACCCAATTTTCTTAACAAAGTGCTTGACGTCTTGGATAATCTCTATCAATTCATTGGTGGTTTTGTCCTGTCTAAATAGAACCTCATTTCCAACGAACACTGAATCAAACATCTTTCTGGGGTATTTGGTCAAGACCTTTTTCATGATTTCAAGCTGCTGAGTATTGATCTTATCATCTTCTCCGATCCAGACTCCCATAGAAAGAGTCATGTTTAATTTAGACTTGATGATTGCGTCCAATATATACTCACTCTGATTGCATTGCAAGCCGTAGCTTCTCACCTTTCTTGTGGCCTTGGATAACAATTTCAAGTCTGCTTCGATATCTGCAGGATTTGAACCACAATGAGGCTCCATGGAATCCAATGGGGAATAACTTATACCACTGAAGATTGGGGCTTCAAGCTCAAATTCAAGGCCACTACTAGCTACTTCCACAGATACTACTTTCTCTGCTTCAATTGGGTACATTTCGTTCAACTGGTGCAAGATCTCCCCTCTCGCTGATGGCTGCAAATTCTTAAAATACCTAAAAGTGACATTTCTGGTTCCCCCAGCCAAAATACAAATGCTAATAGTAATACCGATGATGTAGATCAAGTTGAAAATCAACATCAAGGGAAAAGCCCAAGAAGTATGCAGCGCTGGGGATGAGTCTATAGGAATATCAGACGCTTTTGAAGTGCCCGCACTTGGTGCTCTTTCCTCTTCTTTTTTATCTTCATTCCCGCTGTCAGTCAACAAAGCACTGGGTTCCTTGAACAACGAGTCTCTTGGAGGAACTGGTTTTCCTCTCAAGGGGTTAAGAATACTGTCTCCACTAAATGGATTGAGTAATCCTGTGGCAGACCTTGGCTGAGGGTAATTTTGCAACATCTCGTCAATAGTTTCATGTTTGGCAAAAGACGTGGTGGAAGCCAAGCTTTCAGACATAGGAGACACCTCATTGATGAGGGGGAAAGGTTCGGTGTTTTCAGGGTGTGGGAGTGATGGGAAAGTGAAGGACTTGGGTCTGATAATGACAGTACTTGACCCATTCTCCGCCAGGTCTGCCAGGATCAACGTGCCGTTAAAGCCGCTGTCAGGATAGGGTAAGGATATCCGAGCACTGTTTTCGACTAATTGGGATTGGGGAATATCTATCTCTTCTTCTTCAGTCTCGTTTCCACAGTAACTGAGGCCTGGGATGAAACTAGACGACTTTGACCGGGTGACTTTCCTGGATGGAATCTCCACGAGGTTGGTGGTGAATCTACGTTTTATATCTTCTCTGATCAACTCTGAGACTTCGGTTGTAGTAACCGAACGCTTCATGAGGGACTGTTTGAGAGGTTGCAAAAGGTGTATTTGTGGATGCGAACAAATTCAGAAAAATCTTATGTACAAAGTCAATCTATAAATCTAACTGGGAATACGTTGAATGCTTTTTTATCTACTTACATTGACAACAGCTGAAGAACAAGTTACCAATGAACACAGCACAGGTGGTCATGCAGCCTTCCGAATCGGCTGGGCAGCAGGCATCAAATAAACCGAAACAGGAAGAGAAATCGAGGCAAAACTCCGTACACTCGTTCTGGTCTCTTTCGTACCCGCTGCCTTCTTGGCTCAAAGTATAGCTTGACCGGGGACCAAAGTCTGAGGCGGTGTCAGGGGCCAATTGCATTTCTTGTGAGGGTTTTGGCTGGGAAGTGATGGAACTTCCGGCATCAGATGTGTTCTTCTCCAAAAACTCGCTTCCCAGAGTGGTGGGGGTCTGTCTAACATCTGTTTGTGCATCTTCGAAGGGCTGTTCCTGCAGAACCATAGACTGTTTTTCTATTTGTTCCAAACTCATTGGACCAGATTGTTCAATGGAATATCTTGAGCTTGGAAAAGGGAGGAAATGTAAGTTTCTATGGGCAAGCGATGAGGATATGGTATGTAAACGATCCAGGTTAGTTCGGTCCTTGATCAAAGGTGTCTAGTCCATACAAATTTCAAAATCGTGTAAATATATGTGCTAAGTGAAAGGGTTTGAAAAGGAAATGAGACTTGAGAAGAGTTTTGAAATCTCCGCGTTTTGAGCCAGCAACCTTTCAGGTACATTGCTATATTGCATGTCAAAAAGAGTGCGCTGGCGTCGTGCTTGGGACACTAGGGGAAATTGGCTCGATGCTTGGTGGGAGAATACATTCACTGTTGAACGTCTTTTTTTTTCTTTGAGTATGGGTCAGGTTTCACGATTGTAGGGTTTGGTAAATTAGGCTACGCTTAATTCCCGTTTTGGCTGTGCACGCTGATATCTCATCTGTGAGTCCAGCTGGGTTCAACTCAGATATGACTGCAAGGATTTATGAGGTTATTTTCGCACATATATCCTTCTAGTTATGAATATGTGGTGTGTGGACTTTTTATCAAAAGCGGTTTTTTTTTGGTGTTTTTGTCATGGCAGTACTTTGGTGTGTGTCTTACTTACTGTTTGAGAAATGTAGAATCTGCGAAAACTTGCAACATACGCGCGTCAAAGATCGCAGCTTTGACTTATTAGCAGATATGAAGACCTCAGAGAAACTACGTATTTTGGGTCTCGAATACCCCGATGCCAACAAAGAAGTGCTCCGAGAGCTTTTAGTCGCGTGCGATGATTCGCTTGTGCAAATGAGGTTGATTTTGGATCAATCTTTTCAGAGAGTCAAGAACGCGACTAGCCCTCAGTACCAGTCTTCAGTTGACTCAATGTTAGGATCATCATCGAAGAAGCGGAAGGTAGACCCACACGCCCCGCCACGAGACTCGCGTTCTAAGGTGGTGATGTTGCACACGGAAGACCAGGTAAGGGAGGCACTTCATCCGTACGTGTCTCTACATAGGAACTTTCTACCCAGAGAGGATGCGGACAAGGTGTTAGTGGCTTTAATGAATAACAAACACCGGTACAATGCCCAACAATTCTACCTTTTTGATCAGGTCTGTAAAACAAAATCTCGGCTGGCGTTCTACTACGTACCTGAGGATTTTGTCATCGAGACTGCTCGGTATAATGGTATTATTGGCGAGCTCATTCCATTTGATGAATCTTTGACAGCAGCGGCGAAGTTGATGAACAAATATGTCAATGAACGAGTGATACCCCATTACAAGAGACTTGAGTTCCAACAGCCCAAGTACTCCATCTCTGGATGCGTGGTGAACTATTTTCCCCAACTATCTGATGACTTGGGATGGCATAGCGATAGACTTCAGTCGATGGGGCCTCAGAACTACATCGGTTCCATCTCCTTCGGATCGACCAGAGAGTTCAGACTAAGGCGGCACTCAAATCCATCTGTGATATACTCAATCCATATTCCTCATAATGGCATGCTACTCATGCACCCAGGGTGCCAGGAACTTTTCAAACACTGTGTCAACTCTATCAAAGTGCCACTCCAGCTCCATCCTATTTGTGGTGTAGAAAGGTATAGTGTAACGTTCAGAGACTACCCTGAAGAGTTCACAAAACATGTGCCCAAATGCAAGTGTGGTATTCCTATGGTGTTGAGAAGATCCTTCAAGACTGCGGCTGACAAGAACTTTGGCAAATATTATTGGTCATGTGAGAACACGTACCAGAACAAAGACTGTAAGGAGTTCCATTGGGCAGACTTTACTAACCACAAAAACAAGATGAGAAGCCAGAATGATGCTTCGGTTTCGCAATGGAAAGCTACTTAGTACTCAAAATATATAATTTATGGCTTAGCCATTTGGGAACTTTCGCAGCAAAAAAAATAACGACAACTGCAGGATTCGAACCTGCGCGGGCAAAGCCCAAAAGATTTCTAATCTTTCTCCTTAACCACTCGGACAAGTTGCCGAAACTTAACGGTTAAAATTTTGAACACTTCCAAGATGCCCAAAAGACATCAGCAAAAGATCAGTTTATCACACCTCTTGTTTCTCCCATTAGAGAGTATATTAGTATGGTATGAACTGAGGAGTATTAGTATATGATCGGTCAAAAATGGGGTCAGTATTTCTGCCAATTAAAGAATAAACCGCAGAAAACTATGAGATTCCTCATCAAAAGTGTTGGCATCAGGGCCACAACCGAAGACAACCGAACACCTTCTAACAGTAACACAAACGTTTAGCTACATCACAATAAGAGCATCATTACATATTTCCCAAATATGATATCAATCGCTCAATAAGATTCTAAATCAAAAGCTTGCGATGAGTTGCAAATGGCTGCAAAAAACCTTGCATTTTTATTAATTACACTAAACTACAAAGTGGACTCCCGTGGATTCTGCCCAATGACTGGGTCCACAACTGTGTGTATATAATCTTCAATTTTATCAACGCTGATTTCGAATCCAGTGAATTTGTCTTGGTAACTCATGATCAATTCGTTAGTAAAATTTATCTTTGAGGTGATCTTGACCACGTCAGATCTCTTAGATTTCCTGATATAACTGAAAAGATACCAAAGTTTCAGAAGGTAGTTGATCATAGTGCTTTTGCAGCCAAAGTAAGAGTCGATGTAAAAGCGGATGTCAGGGATGTGCTTACTGATGAGCTGGAAAAACTCCTCAATCTCGAGCTGACTGTCGAACTCGATTAGATCATGAACCGTATTCATGTCAACAAACACGTTGATAAATGCCCGGTATAGTCGGGGACGGAAATTCACACTGTTGAAGTCCTTCACGAACTTGTTTGAGAATACCATGAACTTGTTATACATCTTGTCATAAAGCTCTTTCAAGTCAACAATATTGTCTGTGTTATCTTCTCTGTTAACAAACACCTTCAACGAGAGGAGGAATATCTGTTGTACCATGCATGCATGCATCAAATACTCCAAGGGATAGTATGAATGAAACTGTGGAAGAACTGAGATTAAACTTTCAGTACCTTGGGATTGTTGGTGTAATTCATTGTCCAAAAAAATATAATGGTTGAGGGAAGCAGACATAGATGTCAAGTATGAAACAAAGCGCAAAGAAGGGAAGTAACCTTGTTCAATTTTCAAGAATGTTAACCACTTGACGAAGCTTAGAATAAAAATCTGACTCTTGAAATACATCAGAGTTGTTTCATAATCGATCTTGATAGGCCGATTATTCTTGATTGATAATTCGTATTGATCAATTTCTTTACCGGTCACGCTATGGGAGTTCCCGTAGACTTTGAGATAAGACGATACCACTTCTCTTATACACGCGTGGGAAGTGACCGAATTGAACTGGTTGTAATAATGTCTTGCAGTACAATAAATGGAAGTCATGATATCATCACTTTGGAAGCCTTGAAACCCGTACACAAACTTAAGCATTTTATCGTCAGGAACTATCGAGTTTTTCAAGATATGATTGGACCTTAACAAAGATGACTTATACTGGAAATATAGGACGTTCAACTCAATAACTCGAACCCGGAGCCAGTAAGATAAGATGACTCTGAACTCGGTCTCTCGTTCCTCTCCAAGAGTGGAAAAGTCCAAGTCTGTGCTGATTATGTGCTCCATGTATTTCCTATCAAACAACAAGTTTGACAAAAGGTTATTGTATTCATAATGGTTCTCATTGAGCATACCTTCCAGGTGGTAATAGTTATCGATCTCAAAGTACCATACCATCAAATAAGTGATATCTAACAATGAGTCGGTTTTCTTGAAGTGCTCTCGTAGCTTTTTGCTGATAAGAATCCAGCTGCTCAAAATGTCCGAGTTTTTGTATCTTGGGTTTATGACAATATGAGGATACGTTACCAAACCACTAGCCAATACCGGAAGTAATAAGGACAAGGTACGAGCATCGATACTGTTGATCACCAATGGCGTGTTATACTCTGTCAGGTGGAGTTTGTCACTGATCTCAAGCATGGTCCGCACTAAAAGTCGGTAGTCCATCATATAGAACAAATCCTCTTTGAACCCTTTGAAATGGCCCATTAGTAATTGGCAAAGAGCTTCTTTATTGGGATAGATAAACTTAAGGAGGTTGACATCTTCTTGGTCGATGGTAAACGATTTTGCAAGCTCGGTGGCCAAGTTACCAAAGATGGGTTCTCCCAGACGCCTAAAATAGAGCTTTAGCGTAAACCAGGAATCTGATATAAGTGAAAACGACACGTGTCTCTGCTCAAAGTATCCCTGGATGTCCCTCAAGCCACTCACATCGCTGTAGCTCGAATCCTGATACGGGGACTGAGACTTCAGGCTCATCAGCAAGTTTGGGTGCTGTAGACGTACTTTTGTGACTATGAACAGCGTATCTGGGTCCGATACCGGGCTCTGAAAATCATCGGCTGCACCCACGGTGGTATTATTAGTGGTGTTATCAGGTGACAGCGTCGACGTCGACTTCTTGCGTCGGCTCATCCGTTGTTTTCTTTCCTCGATAATTCTTAATTCTGACTCAGTTGGAGGCTGTGGAGGGGATGCCTGGCATTTATCTTCACGGCTGAACTTCTGACACGAAGAACACGGGAGAGTCAAATCGCACTTGATTTTGAGAAGCTTGCACGGGCCACAGCTGTAGCTTCGGCGCTGTCTTTTACCTCGTACGCTGGTCATAAAAGGTGTTAAAGAGGAACTCAGGACCTAGGTGTAGGGGCTGAGGAGACTGGAGAACAAATGTGGGAATTCGGGAACCGATTGTGGTGCTTCAGCCAGGGATCTGGCGAGAAATGGATGCAAATTAGCGATATACAGTGGTGCCAATAGCAGCCAGGTAAACTTTGACAGATTAAGGCTTTGGAAATGTAGGTGATAAATGCGACAAAAGGTTACGGCAGGATCATGGCGTCCCAAACCCATTTTTGGGCGGGCGGGTTGAGAACAGCACCATGCACGACCTTTTATTCAGAGTGATTAACCATCTACTTGGTGGTATTCATCGACAACCATGAACACATGATTGTGGATAGAAGAGAATAAATTAGAGTTACTATTTATACGTGAGAAGGGTAGCACAGACAGAACAAAGCTCTTTCCCCAGGGCAAAGTTTAAGCTGTAAAGTCCATTCATTGAAGTTAAATATTAGAACTTTGTACACTATTGATGTAGATAGACTCATGTTTTTCATACTTCGCTTGTCTAAGGTGCATACTCCTACGGAGACCAGGCATCCCCAGAAATGTTCAAGAGAGCGACCACAAACGGGAAAAACTTGAGGTGTATATCTCATGTTTTTTGCAGCCGCTCGAAGACCCGGCTAATGTTATTATCCCTTCTCCATTGGCACCAAATAGTGTTTTCCAACTGTAGTATTTTCTGCAAGTCCACGTACAGGGTTGAGTACGTCTTCGGGTTTACTCACAGTACGATTCCTTTCGATTGGTTCCCCATTTGCAACCCTTTGCCATTTAGGCAAAGTGAGTCTTCCATAGACTAAGAAGGAGACTCACGTAGATTACAGTGTCTACACCTTTGTGTATCAATTACGAATGTTAAACTTGGGATCCCTGCTCAAGCTATTAAAACGTATAGGCGATCGTAATCTTGGAATAAACCTCGTCGTATTCTACCTGGCTGAAAGTGGACGAGTGAGAAGTTTAATACCCCCTGAGGACAGTGCACGTTTTAACGTTGGCTACGATTGTGGAGTAGAGACCAGCTAGAAGTTAATGCACCAGCTTATGCCGTAAGCTAATTCGCGTAGCTCAGGTGAAAAACCCCCACACGACCACACAGCGTTTTGTCCAATCGAAGAGTGCGAAAATAAAATTATACTTGTGAAGCTCAGTAGGATGTTGAGATCCAGTGTCAGAATCAATAGCATAGGCCTCCTAGGCAAGCGGTTGTTACAACAGTCATCTGTTCGCTACAACAGCTCGTACGAGTTGCCAGACTTGTCGAAGCTCCCCAGAAGAAAACCCACCGAAGTCCATGTGCCTTTAGTCAATCCTGCTGACCAGTACAAGGAAACATCCGAAGAATTGCATAAATTCGGCAGATATATCATGTCTTGTATGCCCAAATACATCCAGCAGTTCTCGGTATGGAAGGACGAGTTGACGGTGTACGTAGCGCCTTCCGCCTTGAGACCCACCATGATATTTTTAAAGAACCACACATCTGCGCAGTTCAAATCAGTGATGGATGTCACGGCAGCAGACTATCCTTCAAGATCCAACCGGTTCGATGTCGTGTACAACATGTTGTCCGTGCGTTACAACTCGAGAATCAGAGTCAAGACATACGCCAACGAAATCAGTCCTGTGCCTTCGATTGTGCCTTTGTTTCAAGGTGCCAACTGGTACGAAAGAGAAACCTACGACTTGTTTGGGATTTTTTTCGAGGGCCACCCGGACTTGAGAAGAATTATGACCGACTACGGGTTTGAAGGCCATCCTTTGAGAAAGGATTTCCCCACCACTGGATACACCGAAGTGAGATACGACGAGGAAAAGAAGAGAGTAGTGTATGAGCCATTGGAATTGACCCAGGCATCTAGAAGTTTCACGGTTCCTCACTCAGCGTGGGAGCAGGTTGGTGATGGTAAGGACTTTACGCCCGAATCGTTCAAGTTGCCCACACCTGAACCCGAGCCTGAAGCTGAAGAAAAGGGCGATAAGAAGTGAGCTTCTTAGACTTTTGCATCCACACACACATTTAGATACGTCTGCTGTAACTTGGTTCCCTTTATTAGAATATACACTTTTTGCCATTACACTTGTAACTGATTTTGGAGGCTGGTCAACTCGGCCTCTTTTTCCTTCAACACTCCCTGCAACAAGTTGACTTGGCTTTCAATCAACTCAATATCATTGCGGACGTCTGTCAAGTCCGCACTGTTCACTTTCCCGGTCTGCAACGACTGGAGTTTCTCTTCCTTGTAGTTCAATAATAGTTCAAATTCATGCTTGACGATGGTCAACTCGTCTGATACGCCTTCATCGGTCTTGGTTTCACGGTTGGCCCTCTCCAACAAATCCTCCAAGTTAGCCAATTCTCGTCTTAATCTGACTTCTTCCCAGTCGGTGCCTTCGGTGGCAGAAAAATCGGTTCCTGAGTCTTTAACAACATTAGACTGGCCAATTTTACTCAAATAATCCGTGGCAAATCCCTTCGGCCCGTTAGAAGACACATTCAGGCGTTGAGGTCTGGTGATGGACACGGCATTTAGGTCGTAGTTTGGCTGTTCTTTCGAGAAGGTGGCTCTCAACGACACTGGCACACCTCTTGGTATTCTTTTACCATGCTCTCGTTGGTTTAAGATATGTAAAAACACCAACACTTGGTCCTTGTCGATGGTTTCAAACGACTTGGGGTTGACTAAGTTCCACGCCGACGAGATATCGGTTCTGGGAACTTTACTCAAGGAGCTGTACAATCCTTCCAAGGACTCGAATCTAACTCTACCATAATTGTCACTATTGGAGTTATAGATGGCCTCGTATGACGACCTGTCAGTGGGCGATATGTACCAGTCAAAATCATCAGACAAGAACTCCTCGTCACCTTCAGTGTCGTTACTGCTGCTGTTGTTGGAACTGAAGTTGTTATCACCAGTATTGACAGCTCTATTGGCTTGAATCAAGTGAGACTTGGACGCGGGAGTCAACCACCCGGGCAACTCTTCAGGAATAGATCCCTGGTTGTTGTTGACCAAGTCATAGATCAACCGCATGGTGATACAGAATTCCTCGAAATCAAGTTTCCCATCACTGTCTATATCACTCAAGTCCCAGATCTTCGATAGCTTGTCGTCACTCAATCGCGAGTTTTTAAGGATAGGCGATACTCGGGTGCCGTCCAACTTGTTGTCGATAGGGTTCAATCCCTGGAAGATCTCCCAATACTTTTTAATTTCCCATTCTTCCAAACGAGGCATGTTGGTGGTGGAGATTATTTGTCCAGGAGTTTCGCGAATATGGATGATCAATGAGGAAACGAGAGAGTAAGAGGATAGGGAGAAGTAGGAACCAAGAGTTGAAGTTGAGTGATAGAAACAGACGCAATTGCATACGGGGAAAAATATAGGGTTGGTTTGGGGGCGGATGGACAGCTAGTGACGGAGAAAGACAAGATTTTGTCGCAGAAGTGGTATTTAACACAGGTGAAGTTACACGAAAAAGAGCCAAAATGCGACCATGATAAAAGACGTTTTTTTTTCCATGGATTATCACACCGCCAGAAGACCAACAAATACAAGGAATTGCCCCGGCCAATTTAGCCCACTGGATGCAAAAAACCCCAAAAAAAGTTGGGCGGTTGGTGTAGTGGTTAACATTTCTGCCTTCCAAGCAGGAGACATGGGTTCGATTCCCGTACCGCTCATTTTTTTCCCTACCTCGCTCTTGGTTAAATTATCCATTTTTGGCTCGTTTAGTAGGCTCCGTGCTAAAAGTCTATTTTTATGCAGATGTCTAAATATTGGCTGCAAAGATGCATCAAAGCTCCTTTTGCAAGTCGTACACGGTGTGCCACACATCGGGAGCAAACGTTTTAACGAGAAAGGTGTCGAGCGGACGCGTGAACGGAAACTCATCTGCCACCAGTTCTAGGGTCGATTCAAGTTGGTTTTTGTGGACATTTTCGTGCACATGCACCACCGTTGGTAGTGTTGACAACTCAAGAAGCCGGTTCGCAATAGGCCACGATTGGCGGGACGACGGCAAGAGACCCAAGTTGATGTGGCTTATAGGGAGCGGTGTGTTCCACAAGCGAGTCACCGTCTCGATACATTTTTCATTTGTGTCATTGAACACAAATACTTGTGTATTTGGGTCGTACTCCATCAGGTCGCGTTTACAGGAAAAGTTGTTTAGGCGGCAGTTGCGCACCAAAGCCTCGACGGACCAGGGATTGAGTTCCCAGCACATAAGTCGACCACCGTTGCGGGCGTAGCAGAGAGAGAAATATCCAATGCCCGCGTAGAGGTCCACCACCCACGTGTGGTTGAGGGCGGTGTATGAGTCGAGGAGCCGTTTCTTCTCTTTGATATTTCCGCGCGAGAACATCGTGTACATGGGAGCCCACGTCTGGCGAATACCGTTCTGGGTGGTGGTGCACCAGAAAGCGCTGGTGAAATCGGCGGTGGTGGGCGACTCTAGTGATCGAGCGGTGGGTGATGGGCCAAAGTCGCCGTGAACCCCGAGAATATTCATGGGGATTCTCATGACGGTGTGTGGGTCGATGGGCTTGTTAATGGCGATGTGGGTGAGTCTGGGGAAATGGGTGTGGAGAAGGCGCTGGAAAAGGAGGTCGCGGTCGATGACATCTAGCTCATGCTGCCACGCGGCCACGTCAAAGGTTCCCGCGTTAAATAGCACCATGGGCTCGTACACCACCCATCTCTTAGGAATGAAGGGCGCGAGGCCCTCATCGAAGGCCCAGTTTTTCTCCTTGTAAAGCTGGCGAATGGTGGATTCTAGGTCCAGCACCGGCGCGATGGCGGGAGGTGGGTCGTAGACACCGTAGACAATAGAGCCCGGGGGCACCCCGACGGCGGTCACCAGCGCTGCCACCAGCAGGCGTTGTGAGTCTGGTACGGTGGTGAAAAATACCCATGCCGACGCAGACTTTTCCATTTTGCGGGCGAGAAATTGGTACCGTTCCAACACGGATTTAACGGGCTTCAAGAGGGTTGGATCAGATACCTCAAGTTTGACAAGCATGAATATCAACTAAAAAAAGTTTATTTGGGGGTTGCCCCTTGCATGGAAATAATGAGACAGAAACAAACTTATTGTGTAGTGAGGCCGGCTGCCTTTTGGTTTTACGATCAAGTCGCATTCGATAGGGAAATTTTCAACGTCCACTTTTGCTTCCACAAAGAGAAATATTTTAGCCTTTGTAACCGTGTTCAATTAACCCACTGCTTCGTTGACCTGGACCCGTGTACTCTACGCATTTTGGTTTCAGCCCACCCTTGTCAATTCGTCCGTTGGTTTTTGTTTGTTACTTAATTGCAGACATTGACTCTGCTCACCTATACCATCCCCTTACTAGCACCAAGATATCCAGCTCCGTTTAACTACCCAACCCTTGTACGTTTGTGTTTTTGTATTTGTTTGTTGACATTGTGTGTTTCTCGTCCCTCCATCATTGTTTGTGTTTGACAATTCTCTAGTTTGGTTTCCTGTTTACTTTTTCCCTTTACTACCCACCACCATCAACAACACCATTTTTGTTTCCTACCATAAACATCACCAACCTCAGAAGCCACACACCCGGTATTCTCCCTACACATAGCCCCCTCATCACCCATCCGAATCGCTCTAACTTCGAATGTCAACCCCATCAATCCCTCCTTCTTCTGACACTCGAAACCCTACAGACCTGACTCATCCTACCTCCACCGGCGGCGACGCCGCCGGTGCCACGCTGGTGCCCGTGGCCAGCGCTGTCCACGGTGGCCGACAAGTGTCCAACCGTATTCTCTACGTGGCGGGTCTTGATAAGTCCATCGATGAAGCCGAGTTATCCAAGGTATTTGGCCAGTACGGGAGCATCAAGCTAATCAAGATCCTCGGCGACAAGAACAAACTCGGGTTCAACTACGCTTTCATCGAGTTCCAGGAGCCCAATAGTGCCTCGGATGCATTGTCTGGCTTGAACGGCAAGAATATCAACGATCATATTATTGTTATCAAGTGGGCGTATCATCTGTCCAATGCAAACTCGGTGCAGTCGGCCGAGCCCGTATTCAACGTGTTCGTGGGCGACCTCAGCCCCGAGGTGGACGATGTGACGTTAAGCAAGGCATTTTCGCAGTTCAAGTCCAAAAGAGAAGCCCATGTCATGTGGGATATGCAAACATCCCGGTCTCGTGGCTATGGGTTTGTGACGTTCTTGGACCAGCTTGACGCCCAGATGGCCATAAACTCCATGAATGGCCAGGAAGTGCTTGGTCGAGTCATTCGGTGTAACTGGGCTTCTCATAAGCAGAAGCCTCAACAGCCGTTTAAGAAAACCACTCCACTTAGAACATCGCAACCGTTGGCGCACTCGCCCATTCTCCAGTTGCCAGCCCCCGAGCAGTTCAGCCCGGGCCAGTTTGGTCTGGTGCCGTTCTCGCCAGTGTCAGGCCAATTGGCCCAGTTCCCCAATACTTTGGGTCCCATCCACCCGCACGCGCACCATCCTCATCAGGTGATGCAGATGCAAATGCCCATGAAGGCCCACCGAATTTCATCGCAGGTACTGGGACCTCCGCTCCATATGGTCGGTGGTGGAACCAGAGGGCCCACACTGTCATTGATGCTGTCGGGAATGGAGTTGGAACCGCTCGATGAGTTTGTGCGCAATGGATCTGGTGCCAGTGCCGGCAGTGGAGCTAACACCACGCTACTGGGACCCAACGATGTGGATATGGGCTTGGAAATGCCGTTGGTATCCCCTCAGTCGTATGAAATCGTCTTGAGGCAGACCCCCGCTTGGCAAACCACCGTCTACTTGGGTAATATCGCCCATTTTACCCGACAGGAGGAATTGATCCCGCTTATACAAGGGTTTGGATATATTGTGGACCTAAAGTTCCACCCGGAGAAAGGCTGTGCATTTGTAAAATATGATAGCCATGAGCGAGCAGCCATGACCATCGTACAACTTGCTGGATTCAATCTCAATGGAAGGCCTTTGAAATGTGGCTGGGGAAAAGATCGCCCTCCTGGTCCCTACAGAAACGTATCCCAAAATTTCATCCAGAGACCATAAAATTTTGGTCCTGGCTCTTTTGCATTTTTGCTGTATGTAGAGTATAATTTTGCCATAATTATGAAAACGAGCTTGAACATTGACACACAAAAAAATTTTAATCATCAATAGTTGGCAATTCTGTAACACCACCTTCATTCTCCGTAATTGTATAAGATACCTTCATCCACGCACAATCGGGGAGGTTACACGTATCATAGCATATACTGTCAACCAACTAAGAAGATCCATTTCTCTTCTTTATGAAATTACACTCGACTTATACCTACTGTGCATTCTTTATCATTGTTTCCATCATCGTCAATATTCCCGGTTTGGTGTTCAATAACTTCCTGTCGAGCCTCCAGAAGCTTCCCATCAAAGTCATCGCCACTGTCTCTGTCCTTGTGTTATCATTAGTAGGATTATCCCGATACCCCGTTTGGCCCCATCTCAACCAGGCCCTTAATCATCTATTCTTTACCATGAATAACTACAAGTTTCTCCCGAACAAGCGGTTCGGAAGACCGTCCAAACAACCCAAGGAAGCCAAGTTTGCTCTAAAAAATGGCGGAGAGTTGGGTGGTCTTTCTAATGAAGGTAACACCTGTTTTATGAACTCGGTGATCCAATCTTTGGCATCATCCAAGCACCTTGTTGCCTTCATCGATTCTTATTTACAAAATCACACAGACATTGTGGACAAGGACCAGTTGCGGACCGCCAAGTCCCGGTCTCTCTTGCCGTTCACCACCGCATTGAAAACATTAATTGATAATGTGAATGGTAAATACGGCACCAGAAGCAAAGAATTTTCCACAAAACCCTTACTCAACAAGATGCCCAATGGGCCCAAGCAAAACTTTTTTACAGGGTACAACCAGGAAGATGCCCAAGAATTCTACCAGTTGGTGATGAGTCTTTTGGAAAAAGAGTATAAGAAGCTACAGAACCCCGACATTGCCACCCCCGAGCCTGAAACTGAATCCTCCAAGTCCGACACGTTTGTGGACTCGTCTATGATAAAAGACTTGATTTGTGGGTGTGACCAATTGGGTACCTTGGGGAAAGTGTACGTTCCGGCATCCCAAGTAGACCCCAACTTGGTGGACGCAGACCACAAAGTGAAGCCATTGGAATTGATAACTCCGGTTGACGGTGTTTCTGTCGAGAGAATCGGATGCTTGTCATGTGGAGAGGTGGGAGGAATAAGGTATTCGGTCAACAGTGGCTTGAGTCTCAATTTGCCCAATCAAGCAGCTTCTTACTATTCTGGATATGAACTTGAAGGTTTACTCCACGACTGGGTGGCTCCTGAAATCATCGAAGATGTCAACTGTAATCGTTGTGGATTAGAGCATACCAGAGAGTTTTTGATCAAAAAAATTGAGAGTGCCACCAACGATAAAATCATCGACCAGTTCCGAACCAGACTTCAGGAGATAGACGACGAGCTCCACCGCAACTGCGTCACGGACGAGGCGTTCGAGAAGTTGACGGTGAAGCAGATGACAAAGAAATCACGCAAATCCAAGCAGATCTTGTTGAGCAGACCTCCTCCACTTTTATCGATTCATATCAACCGGTCGGTTTTTGATCCTAGAACTTATATGATCGTGAAGAACTCTAGCAAAGTATCGTTTCCATTGACATTGAACTTGGCGTCGTTTGTTGCCGAGCCCAACGACATCAATATGGATGCTCGATTGCCGTTCAGGAAACAGGATGAGAAAATCCAGTCCCTTGGTATACACCATGAAAAGATGGAGTCGATGGACGAGGAAATCAAAGACTCGGGGTCAACGTGTTCCAACTCGAACTCAAATTCGGACGACGAGATGAGTGACGTCGCCAAGACAAACTCCACTACCGCCACTCCCGAACTACAAGCAGAAGCAGATCCTCCATTGGACCCTAAGTTGTTGTACAATTTGAAAGCAGTGATCTCCCACTATGGTACTCACAACTATGGTCACTATATTTGTTACAGAAAGCTAAGAGGAACGTGGTGGAGAATCAGTGACGAGTCTGTGTATGTGGTGAACGAAGAAGAGGTGTTGAACTCTCAGGGCACGTTCATGCTCTTCTTCGAATTCAACGATGGTACGGAGGAGCGTTTGGTTTCCTTAGACGAGAATGACGTGAGTGACGAAGAGATGGAACATGATCATGACAGCTGCAAGAGTGAAGGGTCTTGGTCGGCCGGCCCTAGCCTCAAGTTGGGAGAAGATAAAGATGATGAGGATTTGTACGAGAGCAGTGACAGTGATAGCGGTATGTCTGGACGCGGGAACCACTTTGGTTTTGGCCACCAGCAACAATTGCAGGACAACAGTGAGTACCAGGAGAACGAAGATACTGACAAGTATACTGCTGGTGAAGAGAGGGCTTTTCATATGTAAATACCTAGGTTCTAAAATATAAGGCATATTTATTGGGTAGTCATTCGAGATGCGCGAAGAGCATCGCATCGCATCGCATTATCAAATTCATGGCAATGGTCAGAAAGCTAAAGGGAAAGGTATTGGCCAAAAAGGGTCTCAAGGGTGCATTGGTCCGCCACCACTTGGCGGAAGTAGAAAATAAGAAGCGTCAGGAAACGTTAAATGGCACGGCGGAGCAACAGAAACTCAAACAAAATTCCATCAAGCAGGGCAAATCTAAGAACAAGCACAAACAACAAGCCCACCAGAAGCAAAAGGGATTGATACCATTTAACCCCGAAGAGAAAGTGCTTCTCATTGGAGAGGGTGACTTCTCATTTGCGGTTTCCATCATTAAACAGAACCACATCAAACCACAGAACTTAATAGCCACCAGTTTGGACTCTTTGGAACAGCTTAAAGCTAAATACTCCGATGTAGATGGAAACTTGGAATTCTTGAGCCTGGAAGGCGTCAGAGTAGTCCATGAAGTCGATGGTACTAATCTCATGGCAAGTTTCAAGCTAGATACGAAAAAAGGCAGAGCAAATAGCATTTTTAAACATTCAAGGCTTCATCATATCATGTTCAACTTCCCCCACACGGGAAGAGGAATGAAAGATGTTGACAGAAATATCAAAGACCACCAAGAGTTGATGCTCAAGTACTTCCAGAGCTGTAAACAGCTTTTTCAATTTATAAATGATGAGTCTAACAGCAGCTTTGGAGGATACAATTTTGACAGTGTTACTGGCAGAATAGTGCTAACGTTATTTGAAGGTGAACCATACAATTCGTGGGGAGTCAAGGTTCTTGCCAAAAGTGAAAACTATAAGGTTGAGAAGTCAGGGAGATTCGACTGGGGATGCTTTCCTGAGTACCATCACAAGAGAACCTCCAGTGGAGTAAGAGACACAACTAAGCCTGCAGCTGAAAGAGATGCCCGGATTTATGTGTTTGAGCCTTTCGTGAAGTTAGGAAAAGCCGTGAAAGAGGACAGTGACAGTGATTAGAAGCACCCAGAATTCATCCATATTTAATCATATATTATATTTAGCTATCATCAATACTCTTATGCGGGATAGACTCGCACACACTCAGAAAGAGCAAACACCTCTTTGGTCAACGGATCCTCGATTATGGACGACCCCGAGCCCGAGTTCTTCAAGCTGCTTGGAGTTGTGAGCTTATCTATCGGGTAGATATTACCATTGGGTAGTTTATATGGGTTGTTGAATATACTAGTTATCAACTGTGCGTATGGCAAGTTTCTGCTCAACTTGAATAACTCGGGAGAGCACACCGGACAATTATTGATTCGGTTCAATCTCTTGTAGTAGTGGTTGGGCCCCCTATACTTGCGGTCCTTCAACGAACCAACTTCTTCGTGGGGTTGTTTGTGGTTCACAAAAATGGTATTGTCGTTATTACAGTAGCACGACTTGGTTTTCAAGCTTGATAATCCGGCACTCAAGTATATGAACAATGGGAAGTTTCTAGAGATTCCGTACAACTTTGTAAAGTTCTCCATGAAACATTCTGACAAAAATATCCACCGGTCGTCGCTCAAGAGCTTTTCGTAGTCGTGGAACCGGGCAGAATGCTTGACCATGGAAGTGGAAAAGGAGCCTACCGGCTGTGAAGGCAGCAGATGCTCATTGATGGCCAAATAAACCAAAAGCCCTCCGATTTCCTTCAATTTCTTGAGGTTATTGAGGTAGCTGTCGTGTTCATTTTCTTGATAATTGTTGATGTTCCCGCTGGGAGACAAATGCACCTGGGAGAACTTAATGGCTTCATCCGTTCGGCCTTCCTCAATAAACGATAAGAACTTACAGTAGTTGATTTCAAACTCGATGTTAGAGTTGGCCTTCTTCAAAGCGGTACGATTTTCTTCGAACCAGGCTATCACCAAGCTCAAATCGTGGTGCTCTACTATTGACAAAAACACTTTATTGAGCGTCTCATATAAGTCATAGTCAATGAGCTTCATATACTTGGGGTTTGACACCGATAGCGATTGTAGCAACTTCAATCCCACGCTCTGTTCAGAAGAAACGTTGGACTTTATCAAGTAATCAATTATAAGTAAATTAGCCTGATCTCGATACCAGTTGATCAAGGTGGGGTTATGCAAGTCAAGAGCCTTATCTTCGTCACCTGACATCGATTTTCGGGCCTTTGTCTTGACAGACTTAGGGTCCTCATCCTCGAGGTCGTCTGCAATGGCGTGCTCATTGTCTTCCATATCAATTGTAATGTCTTGGTCATGGTTTCGGGTGACTGTGAATTTGGTCAATTCCTGGAGATTTTCAAGTCTGGCAAGAAGCCGGGATCGATACTCTTGATCTTTATTAATTGAAGCCTTGAGTTTCTTCTCGAGCGCTTCAAAACTACGGATGATTTTACGAATCATCTCAAGTTTAATGGCGGTAGGGAGACTGGGGTTCTTCTTGATATTGGCGATATCATTGGCAGCTTGACGTTTTTGCTTTTCGATAAGTTTCTGGATGGTTTTGAAGTTCTTTCTGATAAGCTCCGTGGGAACCTTGAACTGTGTCAGGCCAGCCTGAACGTGGAAATTCAATGTGGGTTCACTCATGAAGGAGACGGAGGTTTCGCATTGCTGCAACAAGTGCGAATGATAATTTGGTGCGAAGCTGGTGCGACACAACACGACCATGGCTCCAATGGCCGCGACTACGCGTATTTTCCTCGCGATCGCCTGCGATAAAAAAGATCAATCAATTCAATGAGTTGGTACAAATCGGGTTCCAACCCCAAAATCCAGGTCGAACTGACGCCACCAAAGACCGTCCCCTACGTCCAGGTGCCCAGTTCATCGCCTGTTACCATCAACACCTCGCCTTCGAAAGAAGCCGTCGATTTACCCTCTATCAATGGACATAAGGTTCTTGATGAGGCCACTCAAAAATCTTTAGAAAGTCGTCGTCAAGCCCTTAGAAACCATAAGGATTTCCCCATGGTTAGGAAGCGGTTCTCCTATCTCCCCGAAAGCGCCATATTCAAAGGATTTGTCAAGGGGAGAGGTAACTTGCGAGAAATCACCAAGTTCTTGACCGAAAATTACAGTAAAGATGAGATTCTTCGTCGCCAGGAGAAGGAGAACACTGACAAACAAAAGCAAGAAGAGTGGGAAAGAATTCAAAAAAACTCACAGAAACTCATGAGAGAATATGAGCGTCTGGAAATGTTAGAACAGGAAAAACAGCAAACAGAACCCCTTGTGGACGATTCGAATAGTAATAAGAGACAACATGAGTATGACGAAGAGGAGTCGCCTATCAAACTTAGAGGAAAGTCCAGACCCAAAGTGGTGGAGTCTCCTGTGAAACTGGAAGAAATTCAGAGTACGAAGGTAGAACTCACGAGGCCTAAACTCTCCATCCTCGATAAGTATAAGAATAGAAAGCAAGTGAGCATTTTGGACATGATGAGTCAAAAGAAGGAAAACCCACAAAAGAAGAAGAAACTCGTCAGGTTATCCAGCTTGAAAGATCGAGCCACTCCTGCTACTTCAACGTCTCCCTCACCAGAACCGGTTTCTTTGAAGTCGTTTAGTTTTAATGATTCGGGATTGTCGTCGTTCAAGAAATCTATGGACGGGAAAGTGATCAAAGTGTCGCTGCCCGAGGTAGACGAGTTGGATGTTCTTGAAGAGAGGATCAAGAACAATAGAAAGAACCGGAAAACAAAGGCTTTTGAAGAAGTTTTGAGTGACGATGACCTGAGCGATGATATGTCTCAAGAAGATGAGTATGCAGATGACTCTGGATTGACGTCTATGGATTCCAGAGTGTTGGAGTTCTTGAACAATGCCAGTCAGCAGGACATCACCGAGATTGGTAATATACCTCCCACCGTGAGTGAGTTGGTGATTAATATGAGACCTTATGACGATATCTATGCGGTTTCGGAAGAGAAGTTCGAGCTTCCAAAAGATTCCGATGGTCAAGAAGAGGCTGACGATGCTAAGACTAAGAAGAAACAAAGGGCCAAAAAGAAGCCTGTAGGACAGAAGCTTATCGAAAGCATCGAGGCCAACTTAAAGGGATATAGGGCTGTGGACTCTTTGGTGAAGAAGTGTTCGGAGTTTGGAGACCTTATATCCAAGCAGATGGAAGCCTGGGGTGTAACTGTAACTGGTCAAGATGGTGAATTAGAAATCGTGGACATTCAACCCACGAATGAAATTATTGAGATCTCTGACGACGATGAAAAGCCCATTCAGACAGTGAAACATCACAAGAAATCTTTGGCATATATTCACCAAGCACCAGAAACGTTCAATGACGAGTTTGAGTTGAAAAACTATCAACTTGTGGGTATCAACTGGCTTAACTTATTGTACACCAACCACTTGTCATGTATCTTAGCTGACGAAATGGGTCTAGGCAAAACGTGCCAGGTCATTGCATTCATGTCACATTTGAAGTCCAGCAACCAGCTGAAGGGACCACATTTAGTGGTGGTTCCTTCTTCTACGTTGGAGAATTGGTTGAGAGAGTTTAACAAGTTCTGTCCTGATATAATTGTGCAAGCGTATTATGGGAGCCAAGCGGAAAGAGAAGAGTTGAGATACGAATTGAGGCAAGCAAAGTTCGACGTGTTGGTGACCACCTACAATTTGGCGTCTGGATCCCCGATTGACTTCAAATTTTTAAGAAACCAAGAGTTCGATATGGTTGTGTATGATGAAGGACATATGTTGAAGAACTCCAATTCCGAGAGGTACAACAAGTTGATGAGAATGACTGCCAAGTTCAGATTGTTATTGACTGGTACTCCGTTGCAGAATAATTTGAAAGAGTTGGTGTCGTTATTGGCATTTATGCTTCCTCATTTGTTTTCGGAGAAGAAGGAGGATTTGCAAATTATTTTCAACCAAAAGGCAAAGACAACCGATACTAATGAAAACTACAATCCTTTACTTTCTATTCAAGCTATCTCCAAGGCTAAAACCATGATGACCCCGTTTGTTTTGAGACGTAAAAAGGCTCAGGTATTGAAACACTTGCCCGAGAAGATCAATAAAGTCGAGTATTGTGAATTGACCAAGGAGCAACAGGAGATCTATGATGACCACATGAACAAAGGGAAAGCCAACCGAGTGGAAAGAGAAAGAAGAAAGTTGCTTACTGGTAAAGAAGCAGAAGAAGCCAAACGGAATCCTATTCCTTCATCTAACAATGTGTTGATGTCCTTAAGGAAAGCAGCATTGCATCCTCTTCTATTCAGAACCCTCTTCAAACAAGAAGACCTTAAGAAAATGGCCACCTTGATCACCAACGAGCCTGAATATGCTGATGCCAACAGAGCGTACATTTTGGAAGATATGGAGGTAATGTCGGACTATGAACTTGATAACTTATGTCACAAATTCCCCAAGACTTTGGGAAAGTACACGTTGCCCAAGGATGCATATTTGAATAGCGGTAAGATAAGTATACTTCAGAAGGCTATTGAAGACACCATTGCCAGAGGAGAAAAGATCCTTGTGTTTTCACTCTTCACCCAAATTTTAGATATCTTGGAAAGAGTATTATCGTTTATCAACGTCAAGTTCTTGCGACTCGATGGACAAACAAACGTTGAGAACAGACAAGACTTGATTGATACGTTCTACGAAGATAAGACGATACCCGTGTTCTTGTTGAGTACAAGAGCTGGAGGATTTGGGATCAACCTTGTGGCTGCGAATAATGTACTTATCTTTGACCAGTCGTACAACCCACACGATGACAAGCAGGCCGAAGACCGTGCCCATCGGGTCGGACAGACCAAGGAGGTGGTTGTGACGAGGCTTATTGCTTCTAATACTATTGAAGAGAACATTTTGCAGTTGGCCCAAAACAAGTTGCAACTTGACCAGTCGATCTCGACCGAAACCAACGACAAAGTGGTGGAGGAAAAGGCTGCGAGCTTGTTTGAGAAACTCTTATTCGGGGCGTAGACCCAGTAACGTTATAGACAAATAGTTGAATACACACACATGATTCATCAGGTAGTGCGTGGTCAGCAGTGGCATATTTTGTCAGCAGATTGCGAAACGAAAAACAACCAATAGTTGTTGCTCCATCACCATGTTTTTAGCAAGACACTTGAGACCCATAAAGCCCAGAGGCATAGCATCGCTATATCGAAACCTCTTTATCCAGACAATGGAAACCCCCAACGAGCACGCATTAAAGTTTCTTCCTTCAATGAAGATCTTGAACGAGAACGAAACCAAAGAGTTTTTAAGTGGCAGAGAAGCGTCCGTGAGTCCACTAGCAGTGAAGCTCTTTAGCGTGGACGGAGTCAAGTCGATTATGTTCGGATCGGACTTTATTACCATCGAGAAGCACAACAATGATTTGCACTGGGCGCTTTTAAAGCCTGAGATATTCTCGATATTAACAGAATACTTGACCAATGGAACCCCGATTTTAAATGAAGGTACCACGTTAAGCCCGGACATGGAAATCAATGAGGAGGACGATGAGGTGGTGTCGATGATCAAGGAGTTGATTTTCACGCGGATCCGTCCTGCCATCCAGGATGATGGAGGAGATATTGAGTTTGTCAGCTTCGATGAGGAAGACGGAAAAGTGATGTTGAAGCTAAAGGGAGCGTGCCGGTCTTGTGACTCGTCGTCGGTGACGTTGAAGAACGGGATCGAGAGTATGTTGCAGTATTATATTGAGGAGGTGCAGAGTGTGGAGCAGTTTGATGAGGAGGAGGTGGATGTAAGTATGGAGGCGCCGGTGGTGGAGGCACCGCTTACGTTAAAGCCACGGGCCCGGGACGAGCCACCTACGTTGTAGGATGTATATAGATAATAGGAGAATATGGCGGATGGGCAGCGCGAGCTGGACGTAGATTGATGGGGGTATGGGACGGTGCCATGGTGCGAGACGTTTATTTTTGTATACTAGCACGACTTCCGGAGCTCATTGACTATATACATTGGAAGATCATTGACTGTTATATACATGGTAGCTGGGATAGTTATAGTACGGGTAAAACGGCACCAGTTGCGCCACCGGAAAGAAGAACGGCTGGTGAAACGGCTGGTGAAATTGCCCCATGGGCCCCGGCATCAGATAAGTATAACTCCTATCGTCTTCATCCCGCTCAGGATACTCGTAGTAGTACGGGGCCGGGGCCTCTAGCTGCTGGTCCAAGCTGTCGCCCGACTTCTTGCGCCGGTCTCGGTGGAGCTTCTGGAGCGCGAAACTGGTTTTGATCAAGTAACTCAGATTGTCAATACTAACCAACTTGTTGTTGGTGATGATGATGGCTTTCAAAGCCATCTTAAAGTCCTCAAAAAACACAAACCCAATTTTCCCCACGCTCTGGTCTTCTTTGGCATAGAACTGGGGCTTGATGATTTTCGCCAGCTTAATGGCCCCAAACCGCTGCCAAAACCGCTCCCACTGAGCATCATTATTTGCAAATAACGTGGGAAAGTTGTTGACGTAGATATTGGTTTCCTGGTAGTTGGAGTACCGAGCAAAGTTGTTGAGAAAGGCCGAGTGGAACGCCATGTCGATGTAGCTGACAGACAAAACCCCGTTAGCCAAGCTCAAAAGCGTAGGGCAGAATTGGTATAAATAATGGTTGTGTTTGTGCTGGGAAATGGAGATATGGATGCCATTGGTGGTGCCAGCCCCGTTGGCATCAAAGTCCGACGTCAAGTCGTGTTGGGCGATGGTAGACTCGGAAAAGTCGTTGAACTCCTCGTACGTGAGGTGGTTCAAATAGTACACACATTTAAGGATATTGAGGTTGGAGTTCTCTGACACCTCAAAATTGATGAAACCAAAGTCTGCCGGCACAAAGTCGCTGTTGGCGTTGATCAAGTTGACGGGGAAGTAGATCATCTGGATGTTGCCAAAAATTCGGAACTTATCGAAAAACAGCTGCAAATTAACAAGCGAAAATTCAAACCCTGGGGGAAAAAACCCACTCAAGTTCTCGAGCACAAGACTGTTGTAGTTGTTGAACTCGTCAAACTCTTCGTGGATGAGCTTACGTTGTTTCTTCGAAATGTACTTGTTGAGGTACAATTGGAAGTTCGGGTTAACGTGGAACGGGTTAGAAGTAAACTTCTTGGTCAACAAAAACTCGACGTCGAGGTAGTTGTCGAACCGCAAGATGGCAAACACGTCGTCGTCGTTGGTGGACGTCTGGTTGAAAATATTGAGTTCACCAAGTGACCGGTACAGGCTGTGGGAATTAAAGAACTTGAACATTTTACTGTGATTCAACTTGGTTTTAGAGAGGTTTTTGACAAACAAGTTGCCCGGGTGGGAGATGAACTTGGAGTAGTCCAACTTGAGGGACGGGTCGAGTTTGACCAACCGGGGCACAAGTTTATCGCTCAAGGACTTGTTGGTGATACTCAATTGTTTTTGACAGGGTAAATTAAATTTCTTCAACACCTGAGCCACCTCATCCGACACCGACGATAGCGAGATATCGAGCGGGAAGTAGGAATTGGAGGTTTGGGTGAAGATGATATTGGTGATGTTGTCGATGAACTGAGAGTCCAAGGTACCGGAACCGGAAGTGGAAGGTGGGGGGTGTTCCGGGGAAACTTTGGTTGACGCGGAGACGGAGGACGGGTTGGCAGCGGTCTTTGGCGACGACATCCGTTTGTGTTTGGGCTTATGAGATTCTTTCATGTAAGAAGGGGGATGGACGATGGGTTAACAAAAAGATGATTAGGTACCAAGACCCATGGAGTTAATACGGTAAACAAAACAATTGGCAAGTTGCAAAAGCACTGGTAAAATCGGGATGTCAAGAGTATTTATAGTTAATTTGTCATATTAGTAAGAAAACCGTCCACAGTATGCACCGGAATCCGGCATCAAACCCTAAGCCGTATTTAACAAGAAAACCGAATACCAAATGCAAACCGTAAAAGCATGCATCACACATCATGCACAGAGGCCATCAGTCAGGCTGACAAACACAAGTCTGACTTTCCGCATTGGGGTTACCACCGAAGACCGCCCTCCGCCAACAAATGTTTGAAGGGGGCTATTTTAAGAATGGTCTATCAGAAATGGTATGTGAGGCTTGAATTTCATCTGTATCATCCGTCTCCGTTCATGCACTGACAGGTTACCTGTCTCTATTAAAACCCAGGAATTAGCGCCGGTTAACCCCAGACAGGCACAGGGCGCGCGATCAGATGCTATTGCCGTCGCCGCCCGTCGCCGCTATCTCCAATTGAGAAGGATTCCAGCTGAGCCCGCGCCTCTGCGATTATGTAACCCACCCTCGTTCTTGCGGGTCGTTCTTGCGTATTTGTTTCCTGATTCCGTGAGTGTTGAGATCCCGTGTCAGCCGCTTCACGGATACGGCGCAAGAAATATTTGCCACCCGGAACCTCTCCATTTCTTTCACCATAGATCCGGGGTACCGACCGCAGCCTTGTTATTCGGATCGGTCAATTGCTCGCATTGATAGATAGTGCCCAAGCCTCCCAAGCCTCCCAAGCCTTGATATTTCTTGACACATGGAGATAAACGGTGAGCAACCCTCTCCAATAAGAGAGGGTTTCCAGGAATTTGTCAATAGGCTAGACTTGGGGTAAGCACCGAAGGGGTAATTTCCATGGCTCCGAGCCGTGTTGGGAAAGGCTGTGTTGGGAAAGCCCGTGTTGGGAAAGCCCGCGTGGTGATATCGGACCGCAGTACTTCGTACCGTATTGTGTGGTGGGTACGACATTGTATACGAAACCCTAAGTCGGCATTCAAATAATTGCCAGTGATACCACCCTCACAATCCATATACCACTCATTAACAATATAGTGGCAGCTTGTATAATACAAATAGCGACGTTGCAGCCGACTTCCTTTGGTTTGTTTTTCCTGCGTTTCTCCAAAAACGGTTGCAATTATGCATCTGCTTGCAGATCAGACACATTGAAGCACCAGAAATATAGGCACCTCCTGGAGCATCTAATTTTATGACAGATTTCTGGGTGGGAGTCCATGCTTGATATCTAGGTATCTATAAGCCGCTGGACCGTACTGAAGTCTGGAACTGTGCAGTCGACAACGGAATGGGCTGAGAGGTGAGAAATTCACAAAAATAAGACTCACCATGCTGGTGTACCAAATGAGCATCACGTGTGAGTGGATACAGATACATATATATATATAAAAGAACTTCATTACTTGATCCTACTGATAGTTGAGGGTTCCAGGAAAGAACAGTGTTTAACGGGCTCGTAGAAATGATCAGATTTTCAGTGGGTGTATGGGCCAGGAAAATGTTAGGAAAATGATCAGACTTTCAGTGGGTGTTTGGGTAAGAAAAGGGGTGCCCAGACACTCTTGGATAGTGGCAGAGAACCATGTATCGTACATTTAAACAGCAGTTTCACCAAGTTTCGCGGGGCCGCCAGAGCGCCCGCGCCATTTGGCCCATGATTTCGCGGTGCTTAGTTGTCGGCCTCTTCAAAATTTTCGCACTCTCATCTCATCTCTTCATCTCATCGCATCTTCATCATGGGAAGCAAAACATCCAGAAAGACCAAACGGTCATGGGTCAAGAACATCGACATCAAGGACATTGAGGACAACCTTGAACAGAGCCGTGAGAAACAACGGCTCGTGGGAACCGACGCCGAATTCGTGATTGACGAAACCCCCTCTGATGTGCCTTCTGCCAAAGCCGCTAAGAAGTTAAAGTCCACCGAAATCCTCACCAATAAGTCCAAAATCCCGGCGTTGGAAGTTGAGCGTAACAAGAAGCCCTCTGGAAGAACCATCACCCGGTTAATGAAGATATCTGGCCGTATTGATGGATCCACCTCGATGGCTCTTGTCAATAAGGATGGACTTCTCAATGTCAAAAACGAAGACCTCTGGAACGAACCACCTGCCGCGCCAGCGCCGGTCCGCGACGTGTATCCTATGAACCTACCACCAGCCAAGTCCAAAGCTAAGAAGGTCCGGCCTCTGACGATTGACGAGGCTCCTATTACCTTGGAGTTTGAAGACAGTGAATTACACGGAGGAAAATCGTACAACCCATCGTTGGAATCATGGAAACAGTTGGTAAACCAGGAGTTTGGCCTCGAGAAGATCAAGGAATTGAACCGGCAACAGCTCATCGAGAGGCAGGAGATGTTGGCCCGGATGTTGGCAGAACACGAAAGTAGTGACGAGGAAGAAGAATCCGACCACGAAATTAACGACCCCAATCACGCTAATGACACTAATGACTTTAAGCTCTCTGCCAACAAACCCACTGAGTTGAAGAGAAAGACCAAGACAAAACGAGGTCGGATGTTGAAGCATAAAAAACGAGTGGAATTGGAAGCCAGACTCAAGGACTTGAAGCATCAAATCCACCAAATCGGACAGTTAGATTTGGAAGAATTGCAACACCGGGACACCAAAGTCGTCGACAAAGTCACCAAGAAGAAGAAGGCAGCTAAGAGATTGTTCAAATACAATCTTATGGATGCACCTCTTGAAGTGAAATTGTCTGACGAGCTCAGCTCCAACATGAAGAATATCAAAGCTGAGGGAAATCTTTTCTACAGCAGCATGATTAATTTGCAGAAGAAGGGACTTATAGAGGCCCGGGTGCCGGTTGCAAAGAGGTCGAAGTATAAGCCTAAGATTACTGAGAAGTGGACCTACAAGGATTTCAAGTAGGGAAACAGAAGCAGAGTTGAGAGAACGTCTCTGGCGTTTATTAAGTTCATTTCTATAGAGTAGTTTGTATTGGCACTTGTCTGTCTTCAAACAATTTCACATTAGTAAAACAATAGATGATATTCCCTGTGTTTCAATCGTCAGTCCTACGCCATTTTGTCGTGTGTATATTACACCATAAATACATGCTATCATTCAAACTCCCAGTTGCCAGTAACATACCCTCTGTATAACCGTTCTCTGAACGAGAAGAATTGGTCTCTGTAAGGAGTGTAGTATCTTTGCAACTCGGTCTGGGCAGTCTTAAAGTGCTCCGGAGCCACCGCTTCACTGGTTTGACCTCGTTTTATACCCGTCAATAAAAAGTCTCGTTGCATCATCTTTTGGTCATATTCGTCCAAGTTGAATCTGTCATTTTTCCAACCGTTGTCCCAGTATCTGATGAAGCCAACCCCATGTCCTGCCAAGCCGAAGAACATGCCCATGATCGTGTAAGGAATCAACCCTTCAAAAGGAACTGGCATTGTTGTCTAGTAAGAGGATTTAGTTTAGGAATGATTGGCCAGTGCGAAGTTTTTTCTCGCGACCCAAGCGGTTGATGGTCGTGTCCCCAAAACCAGTTCTATTTTATTACCCAAGCTATCCATATACACTAGTACACTTTCGTTGCAATGGCTCAGTAGTTCCAGAGCTGCTGTACAAACTTGTCCATTCTTACCTTCACCGTCTGCTGCGATATTATCCATGGATGTTGCAACATTTGTCGAGGACTGGGTCTCTCTTCCGTATTCTTTATCAAACAGTAGTGAATGAAGTTTTTAAACGAGTCGGACCAGAAGATATTTTCCTGTGGGATGTCCTCCAATTTGGGCTCGTACTCTAGTATGAGCTGGAGCAATTCGATGGGTCCCAAATTCGTATTCAAACTATCCACATTGGTGAACGGGAACTTACCAGTCGACACTTCAAGTAATGTCAACCCTAACGACCAGATGTCGCAGTTCACCGTGTAGGGTTTGCCCATGATTCGCTCGGGGGCCATATAATATTGTGTGCCCACAAAAGTAGTTGCTAATGAGTTTACCACTTCTCCACTGACTCCAAAATCACACAATTTGATGTTACCTTGGAAGTCCAAGAGAATGTTCGACGGCTTGATGTCCCGATGGATGATCTTTTGTTGGTGCAAGTAGTTCAATCCCTTGAGGATCGATTCGGCGATTTTGCCCATGACTTTCTCATTTACCCGATTGGAAGGGTCGATTTCAATCACCCGTTTGTAGATTGCATCGAGTGACTTGCCTCCCATGTACTCCATGGTGATTCCGATCATCGACTGGTTTTCTATCAAAAACGTCCCGTAGTATTTGACAATATTTTCGCTGCTCACAAGCCGATTGTATTGCAATTCTCGTACAATTTGCTTCTGAATATCGGGGTTTGAGTCCGTGTTGATCAACTTCATGGCGAAGATCTTGTTGCCATTGCGGAGCCGGCATTTGGATACAGACCCGCCGTTTCCTTCACCTAGTTTATTCAATTCCACTATTTGATCCGAGTTGGCCAAAATCTGCCAGTCGTCCGGCATCAACTCCGATAAATCCTTCTCCTGGTACAACGGGCTGAGAGGGCCCGCAGGATTCACGGGTCCTGGTATCAAGTTAGCGGGTGTAGACACGGAGGAGGATGATTGATTTAAGGACCGCGAGGTGGAAGATCCTTCTGTTGTGCCGTACGCCTTGGCGCTGGTGCTGGTACTACCGTCGCTGGTGTCGACATCGCCCGAGTCGTGCGAGGGTGCCGGCAGCATATCCTTGAACGAATGGGACCCGTTGATTCTCAGAAAGTCGATTGGAGGAGGTTTGCGTCGAGGCTTCTTATGATCCTCACCACCGTTGACATCCACGGCGGCGTCACCACCGGAAGCGGGCTCACTACTGATGGTCAACGACGGCAACTTAGTGCTGGGCTTGGTGCCTCGAGTGGGGATATTGAATATGGGGCCGGAATTAGACATTAATCATTAAAGGGAAACAAATGGAAATTATTTTTATAGGGGTTCCAACAGGTGAATTGGAAAGATACAGGGGAGATTGGTGGATAGGGATTCTCAATATACAACTAAGAACAATGGATTGAACAGACACGTCAATTCCAGGGTTGGCATCAAATATATCGATCAATTACAAGCAACGAGTGGTTCCTAGAAGTAGTCTTATTGAATTCGCATTCGCACTCGTGAGAAATTTTCTCTAAGGAGGGGTGCCTGCATGTGCGCTGCGCGACCGCGAGCCGATATTCTAGCTAAAGTTGTACTATTTTTTCAGTCTTTTTGCGCCCTTCTTAGGCTTGACTTCCTTGATAAGCTTATCTTTCTTGGAGTCGAACTTCGAGTCGTCCTTTTCTTCGGTATCATCATCATCCTTAAGCGTGTCATCTTGAATCACGTCCTCGTAATCCACGGTGCTGGCCGTACTCTTGGTGGTCCCCACCGAATTCCCAGTCTTGTAGATGGCTATTGGATGAGTAGATGAATTATACGTACGGGTGAAGGCGGTCTTGACCTTGGTGGGGATTTTCTTGAGCACGGCTTCGCCCTTGGCCGCACCCACGCCGAAATCGAGAATGGTGTCCCAATCTTCTCGGGTCAAAAAGTAGTAGTCCATCACGTCTATGCACGGTTGGATACCATTTTCACCCTGGGAGACAATGGGCCCGGCAAGCCGTTTAGCCAAGAGCGGTACGTACTCCAACCGCAACTCCTTTTTGTCGGTGGAAGTTCTGAGCCGGGTGTGGTATTGCAATTCTTGGAGGAGCCGTTGGTACTTCATCTGCTTGGAGTTTTGCCCCAACCACCCGGCAAAGTTGATTCTCTGACTGATGTTACCTGCGACTTCCCGCGACGGCTTGACCGACGACATCACCGCGTGGAACGGTAATAAACTCCACTGCTGTTCACTGGACCGAATCAATGAGTTTATGCGATCGCTGGCACTAATGTCGTCTGCTGCCTGGGCTACCCGCCGCAAGTGGTCACTATCATCACGGCAGTTACTGGGCCGTGTGTACAAGTAGTTCTCCTGGACCATCAACGGCGTGAAGTCGATGTCGTTGAAGTACAAGTCGATTTTGTCGTTCAACGTGTGGTTGGAGTGCGGTGAGTAGATCTGCCCGTTGAGTAACTTACCAACTATGTCAAACGGCTTCAACACCGTCTGTTTCTGCCAGGACTTGGAAAAGTCCTTGCTCTGCTCGGCCCCGATGGTTTTCTGGGTTTTGGATACGGTCGAGAGCAAATTGATCATCTGCCGAATGTCGTTGTTGGTGGTTTGCACCAACTGGCCAATAATCAGCGGGTCGATCTTGATCTTCTCCCTGTGGCATATGGTCATGATCCGAGCCTTGACCTCGTTTTCGCTCGGGCGTCTGAACGCAAGGTCGTACGTTACCCGGTCAAACGTCCTCATCTTGGGTAACGACTTATCGTTACAGATCAAGATCATGGGCATCTTGGTGATACGGCAGAACTGTGACAACGCCCCGGCCCCGCCGTGGTCACCGGATGACATCCCGTCGACTTCATCCATAATGAGGCAGAAGCGTCTCTCGTTTTCCTGGTGAACGTCAGCATGTCGGTTCTGGAAGAATCCCATCACCGACGTGTTGTTCAATACGCTCTTGATGTCCAGGTTCAACAAAGACTTGGACCGCACGTCCGATGCGTTCTTCTCCAACACGTCAAACCCCAAGTCCTCGGCGATGAGGTGCGCAGCCGTGGTTTTGCCTATACCGGGAGGACCACTGATCAAACAAGCACGGAAAACCCCCAGCCCATCGGCCCCCGGGTCCTTGAAGTCGTTCTTTGCGTTATCGAACCAGTGGAGCAACCACAGACGCAACTTGTTGACCTGGCCTTTGTTGCCGCAGAGCTGAAGAGTTGACGTGGGTGCGTACTTGGTGGTCCATAATTTGTCGTCATTGGAGATCTCCCGAACAGGCTCCGCCGGGAGACGTGACAGATGCTTGCTGACGGACGGTGGAACGTGTTGGATCTTGGCCTGTTGCTGGCGAGCTCGTTCTTGTTCTTCTTCGGCTTCAGCTTCTTGTATAATTCTACTTTCCTCTTCCTCTCTCTTCCTCTTGGCCTTCACTGCCTCGCCACCAGAACCGCCATCTGCTGGCATGCTCCGTAAGAGCTGGAGAAACCCTTCCTCCGAAATGGCCTTAATGTGCATCTTTTTGATTTTCTGCACTTTCGACGGCCCAGCCTCGTCTCCAATCACCACCACACTGGTTTTACCCAGAATAGATTTGGGCACCTTAGCGCCGTATCGCTTGGCGATGTTCTCAGCGTCTGTACGCTCGAGGTTGGGCAACACGCCCGTGAATACCATCGTGAGTCCTGATAAGCAATGGGGTTTTGCTTCGGGGATATCGACAGACCCGGTGGCTTGAGGAGCTTGAGCCTTACGTTGTTGCAACTGAAAAAAAGAGAGTTTTTGGGAATCCGACGTGTCGGGCAATTCGGCGTCAGGAATTGAGGCCAAGATCTCTTCGGCGCTGGCGCCAGATGGTGGTGAAGGTTGTTCCTTTGTAGTTGGTTTCTTGGGAGACTTTTTCACAACTGCTTTTTGGGGCGATGATTTATAGGGCGGGGATTTGATCTCCTCGACGGTGTCGTCACCGTCATCGTGTTTGATTTGTAGCTCATCATCAAGATCTATGATTTCAGGCGCTGGAGCATCCGGCTTTTGTTTTTTGTTCAACAGCTCATGTGGGGGAGAGGATTTCTACAATTGGCATGTTAGTAGGGTGATAAAAGTGGTAGTGGGTATGGGACGGGGCGTACTCGTTTGGCGGCCGGTTTTTTGGCCTTGAAGAAATCTGTTACCAAGACCATGGTGGGATGTGAAATGAAAAATAACGCGCGTTGCGATTTGGGTGCGAACTGGTGAGAGAAACTGACTAGATTATTATGTGCTATTTTATGCTGAAGTATACTGAATTGGCAGGAGAATTTAAACTACTTCACTTCTTGGTGCTTTCCCGCTCGAGAAAATCGGTCCAGAGTGAGATAAAGCTCTCTCTACCTCGAGGCTCGCCTGACTGCTGATGGTGACTTAGGCCACTGGCCACACGTTTGGACTCGTCCCACTCCAACAACGAGCTGAGCAACTGCAACGCCTCGTACTTCTTGGTGTCGCCTCTTGGAATCTGGAGAAAGTTGATCAACACATTTGAAATAAGCTCTTTGTCAATGGTATTATCGACACTATTCAGCTGTTGTTTCAACATCCCTAGCGCCTTACCCAAATGCTCATTCAAAATCACTGCTTCGTGACGGGCCTTTCCCAATAGAATCTGCCTTGTTTCCACTTCCTTCTCAAGCACTTTGATCTTTTCCAAGCTGGTTTCCAACTCGACTATTCGCGCAGCTGACTCCTGTAAACTGGCCTGGACCACTTCTTTCTCCTCCGTCAAATTGCTGATGGAAGTGTTCAACTTCTGTACCTGAGTGTCGTGGGCCGTCTGTAATTGCTGAATTTGGGCCTGCAATTGTGTGGATTTGGTATTGGTGAACTCCAACTGAGATTTCAAATTGTCCAAGTCAGCTTGCTTGATGTCCACCGTCTCCTTCAACTCCTCGATGACGGAATTCAAGCTCTTGATTTCCATCTTACTCTCATCCTTCATCAAGTCAAATTCGTTGGCCAGAGATTTCAACTCATTTATCTTTTTGTTCAACTTGGAAATGGTATTTTCCAACTCGTACTTCTCATCCTGAAACCCGTCTTCCTTGGACTGGAACTCTTTTCTCGTGGCTGTGAGCAGGCTGGTCAACCGCTCGCACTCGCTGTTCAAGTCGGTGGTCTGTTCTTTCAACTTATCGACGGTATGAGCCAATTTGGCGTTTTCTTCCTCCAACAAACCCTTGTCGTGTTTGAGGGTTTCCACTTCCTCTTTTAACTGCTCGGCCTCCACTTCGGTCTCTTTCATCTTGCTAAACACCGATCGCATCGACGAGATTCGCCCAAGTAACGAATCGTAATTGGCCTTGAGTTCGTCTCGTTCTTTCTTTACCGACTCCAAGTCGGCGCTGGAGCTGTCAGAAGGGTCCTGCTCACGCAGATGATCTTCTGGTACCTGTGCTTTGTGTTGGGCCAACTCCTCTTCTTTTTGTGCTAGGAGCTGTTTGTATTGTGTTTGTAATTCGACTTGTTTCAGTATCGTCTCATCTTTTTCGTGCAACTGTTTGGTCAATTCATCAATCTGTGCTTGTAGGATGCTGGTGGAGTCAATGGTAGTTGCGCTGGCGGCATTGTTTTCGAGTTCCACCCCATCGGTGCTGGCAACGGATCCGTTCGAATATCCGTTTTCATCAGGCACCGGCACTATTGGAGGCACTTCTTCGATGTGTGTATCCTCTTCATGACTAGATATGGCACTGCCGTTGTCTGTCGACCCATTTTTGGCGGCCTTGGTGGTCTTTTTCTTGCTTTTAGCCATGGTGCAACTAACAAGTGTTTATATAAATTTTGCGAACAGTGAGGCTGCCTCAACAAACTACGATCCAAGGCCAGTGGCTTCACTAATACAATGATGTTATTATTAATATACATAAAAAGAAAACCAAACGGCCAACAAGCGGGAATCCAACTTAATAAAGGTACATTAAAGACGTTTTATTAAGTTATTTATATAGATTCCACAACTTATAAACACACCTTTCTTCTTTATGATAATTATATTTATAAGCGTTAATTTCCTTTAAATAAGTAGCCGAAACAACTGTCAACTGAATTAGATGTTGGATGGATATAACATGATTCTAACAGAAGCTCCGAAGGTCTTTGGTGGCAAGTTCTTCTTGAAGTTGGCTCTAACGACACCACTGTTTCCGTGGGTTCTGGTAACCTTACCCCAGATGACTCTGATCTTGGATCCTCTGATTTCCTTAGAGGCTCTGTAGACATAGGCAACACGCTTACCCAAGTAGAACTTGGCATCAGCTGGGTTAGCAACACCTTCTATTTGGAGCAACGAAACGTTAGGGTTGTTGACTCTCTTTGAACGTTGGTAAGACAAGTGTTTACCTTTAACGTATACTAGAAAAGCTTGTTAGTATTGGGGGTTTTTATGTTTTTGGGGTGTTTCGACGTTGGTGAACTTGAACTGCCAGTAGGAGAAAACTTTGCTTCCAAGAAGAATTTGGTAATGGGTATGGTCAGTGTGGCTTGTGGGTGACACGGAGAAACAGGCAGTAGTTGATATAAGGGAATTTTGGAAGGTTTCACTGGGTTTGAAATCTGACTCATTCGAGACCGGGTTCCAAAGAATGAGGTCCAAGTGTCGTTATTTTCAGTTCTGTTCAATCCCAGCTATGTTCAGATATTCACTAGTCGATCACCGTGGAGTGGTATGCACATACATCTATGAGATTCAGCCATTTTTAGTAGTTAATTAAAAGTTGAATAATCAATACTTTGAGATTATAAAAAATTTTCAGTAGTTAAAAATTCTCTTGATACCGCTCGAACAAATGGTGACACAAAAGCGCTCGCAAGCTGCGGGTGTCTGGGGCCCAATTTGGGTGTGTGGTCGTGCGCCTATTGGTGTGCGCACCGTCCCCAGCAGTGCGAGTGTGTGACTGGTGCGGGCTTTGAAAACCCTACTCAAAAGCACGTGACTAAGCAACCTAATCTGCCGTTGCGGCCTAATTGCTCTGATGTTATATTTGTATTACAAGGATATAAATACCCCAAAATCTCTGGTTTTTCTTGTAAATTCTCTAATAATATCTTCCCATCATGACTAAAGATATTGACCAATTGTCCATCAACACCATCAAAACCTTAGCCGTGGACAGTGTATCAGCTGCAAATTCAGGTCATCCAGGAGCTCCATTGGCACTTGCCACCCTTGCCCATGCTATTTTCCAGAAGACCAAATTCACTCCAAATCACCCAAAATGGCCCAACAGAGACCGGTTTGTATTATCCAATGGACATGCCTGTGCTTTGTTGTACTCGATCTTGTTTTTATATGGATTCGATTACACTCTCGACGATTTGAAGAACTTTAGGCAATTGAACTCCAAGACCCCTGGCCACCCGGAAACTCCCCACTGTCCCGGAGTGGAGGTTACCACCGGTCCATTGGGCCAGGGAATTGCAAATGCAGTGGGGATTGCACTCGCGCAAAAACAATTTGCAGCCACTTACAACAAACCCGACTACCCTATTGCCGATGCCCGGACCTTTTGTATTGTTGGAGATGGGTGCTTGATGGAAGGGATTTCATCTGAGGCCTCATCTCTTGCAGGTCACTTGCAGTTGGGTAACTTGACGGTGTTTTGGGATTCCAACAAAATCTCTATTGACGGGTCTACAGATTTGGCATTCACTGAGGATGTGCCTGAAAGATATAGAGCATATGGCTGGCACGTAATTGATGTGGATGAAGAGAACCCTAGCTTATCTACTCTTTCCAAGGCAATTGATGAGGCTCTGAAGGTCACCGACAAGCCCACGTTTGTGAAGATCAAAACTACCATTGGAATTGGTTCTGAGCAAGCTGGCACCGCGGCAGTACACGGAGCTCCATTGAAACCTGATGATGTGAAGCACCTAAAGAAAGCCATTGGGTTCGACCCCGAACAAAGTTTTGTGGTTCCTCTGGAAGTCACTGACTACTTCAAGAAGTCGGTGGAACTGAAGGATAAACAATATGTAGAATGGCAGAAGTTGTTCAAAGACTATAGTCACCACTATCCTGAATTGGCAGAAGAAATCAACAGAAGAGAGGACGGAAGGTTGCCTCCAGATTGGGAGAGGTTCTTACCCTCATACAAGCCTTCTGACAAGGCAGCAGCCACCCGGAAGCTTTCAGAGACGGTTTTGGGTGCTCTTACGCCAGTTATTCCCGAGCTCATTGGAGGTGCGGCAGACTTGACTCCATCGACTTTGACCAGGACCCAAAACGCGGTGGACTTTCAGCCTCCGTCAACTGGGTTAGGAGACTACTCTGGACGGTATATCAGGTTTGGTGTTCGGGAACATGCCATGGGTGCCATGATGAACGGAATAGCAGCTTTTGGATCCAACTTCAAGGTTTTTGGCGGGACGTTTTTGAACTTTGTGTCTTACGCAGCCGGTGCTGTCAGATTATCAGCCATTTCGCAGCTTCCAATTATCTGGGTTGGAACTCATGATTCGGTTGGATTGGGTGAAGATGGGCCTACCCACCAGCCAATTGAAACGTTGGCACATCTTCGGGCTATTCCAAATCTCTCTGTGTGGAGACCTGCTGATGGTAATGAGGTGTCTGCCGCCTACAAAGCAGCCATTTCGTCGGTTTCAACTCCTCACGTGTTGGCGTTGACCAGACAAGGGGTTCCACACTTGGAAGGGTCTTCTATAGAGAAGGCATCCAAGGGTGGCTACGTTTTGGTGGAGGCACAAGACCCAGATATCATTCTTGTGTCATCTGGATCAGAAGTTTCGATTGCGGTTGAGGCTGCAAAATTATTGGGTAAAAACGGAACAAGAGCCCGAGTTGTATCGATGCCATCCTTCTTTGCTTTTGACCAACAATCTGAAAAGTATCGTTTCTCAGTGTTGCCTGACGGTGTTCCAATTTTGTCGATTGAGGTGATGTCGCCATTTGGCTGGTCCAACTACTCTCATGTCCAGTTTGGGGTGAGCAGGTTTGGATTCTCAGCAAAATACACCGACATCTACGACTACTTGGAATTCACTCCAGAAGGAATTAGCTCAAGAGCCAACAAAACCATTGACTTTTACAAGGGGTCTAAGTTGTTGAGTCCATTGAGCAAGCCTTTCTACCCCCAATCGTTTGACTTGTTCACCCACGGAAGATAATCGGGTTTATAACACTAAATACATTGTTTCATTTGGACTATTGTCATCTGTATATTCATACTCTAGGCAGTGATCTCCTTCTCGTTGTTCCACTTGTCAACGTTCACTCTCCAATGCAAAGCAGTTCCTTCGTCATACTTGGAACCCACCAAGCTTCCGGATGGACAGTTCTTGGTGGACAATTGTGACAAGTTGGTCAAGTTTGTGAAATGGTCCTTGACTTCCGAATCATAATCCACTGGATCGAACCACCTGGTTTCCCATGGGGTACCAGCTTCCTTTTCCTTTCTTCTCAACTCTCTCTGTTCATTCTCGATCTTGGACTTCTCTGTGTTGATCAAATCGTAATCAGATTTGGAGATGGCCTCCGCGACCTTTTGCCAGGCTCTTCTGGTTTCCAATGGATGTTGTTGTTCTATAGGCTTCACCGTCAAGTGTTGAGGATCCGCCAAAAACGCATCATAGAACAATTCATCAGTCTTGGTAGGAGCTATCGCACCTTTTTTGGCATAACTCTTGCCTGACCACTGTCCACTAATGGTGATAATCGCATTCTCTTTATCGGCCGATGCTAGTTTATCCTTGTAAATCCGAGCTTTGAAAGTATTCTTCTTGCCGGAAAAGTACCCTCTTCCGCTGTACTCAAAAACGGCCACGTATCCGTTCGAGCTCTGGATGTATGACTTGCCTTCCAATTCCACAAATGGAGACGCAGTGATTAACCCTTCAATGTGCAATGGAGGTAATGTGACCAAGTAGCTTTCAGCCAAATCTTTAGCATTGTACTCTAACAAACAGTGTCCATATTGCTTGATATTGATAGAGGTGGCAGACATAGTGGCCCTGATACCATTATAGCCCTGCAATAATGTGTTGTTTTTTTGGTTGATTATAGCATAGCCGGTAACGGGAGGGTGATGAGACACCTGTTCAGACAATAAAATGGACTCACCCAACGTCCCATCTTCACTGGTATCTTCCCATTTGCCCACAAATACCTCACCCAAGAAGGGATTCAACGCCTTTTTTTCCGAACCCATACTTTCGTTTCTGGAGCAATATTGAGATCTTAACGTGGAAATGAACCACTTAACCACTGCCACCATTCTTTTCAACGCCATGGCATCCAACTCATTCTGGTCGGCTCCTTCGGAAGCCTTCAAGAAGTTCGGTGCCAAAAGGAGGTTGGGGTGTTCTCCCCAATATTGGGAATACTCCGATAAAGAAGTGGGAGACAAAATGAATGGGGGGGCTGTCAAAGTGGATAGGTCACCATTAAACGACGAAATTGATTTTAAAAACGAGGTCCATGAGGACGAAGACGCAATGCTTGACATGGTGGAGCTAGTGGGGATTGGGAGCGGGAGTGAGTGAGCAGGGAATCAACTAGCAATCAACTGTGTGGGTGTGGATTGTATTTGTAAACCCCAACGTTTGTGGAACAGCAATAATTTTCCATCGCGATTATATTTCAAGCAGACCAAATTACGACATCGGATGCGGCGGTGCCAATTTATAGTGATATACGTTGGTATTTAGGGGTATATGTGTGGTTTTTATGGGTTGGTGAATGTCTAACTGGTCTTCTGACGTTTTTTGGGGGCTTTTTTGAACCCTTTTGGGCGATTGAGTGGTGGCCCGGCCTCAAAGTATTGAGCGTGCACGACCCCTTTTTCTGCTAAATTGTCATGTTGCAAAAAGCAGTATATATAAGCCAGGCTAAACCCTATTTCTCCTCGATTAATCTTGATACCATGAAATTCGAATTTGCTTTCCTCATTTTACATGCCTGTGCGGCCTCATTTCCAATGATGGTCCCTACTGGTCAGATAGTTGACCTCACCGGCCTATGGGACCCAAGCACCATCCTGAGGCATAGTACCGTTCAGGTTTCTCTGGTTTCGGCCTGGGATAGTTTCTCCAGTACTGACCTCAGCCACACAGTCTACCTTGTGAACGATTTGGAGGAAATTCCCACTGTATACACGGATAAAATTGATCCCCAAAATCGGTTTGTTGCGGTTGCAAATAAAGAGAGTTGCTTCTATGACCCAGAACAGGAATCATGGGTCAAATCCCAGTACGACCTTAATGTGAAATATTATCCCCATACTATTGACCACGGCACATGTCTTGATATGTCAATGGGCCAAGGAGGAAGTTTAACCTCTGCTATTGGAATCACTTTCTCTGCTTCAGTTGATTTGGCTGCATCCTTTTCTTTGAAGGTAGCGGAGTTGGACTTGTCTCTTCTCCTAGATTTTCTAGACAGCGAGTTCATATTTGCACCAAGTGTATCAATTAAGACGAGTGTTAGTTGTGATACCAAACAGGGAGAATATGGTCGTATTCTCACTACCCTTTACTTAGCTGAGGCTCCGGCCAATAACCTAACAAAAATCAAATTTGTCGAAGGGTGGGGGGTTCTTGAAACTGCTGGGTCGGTGGTAACAGCACCTATAAAGCTTGTGACAAGTCGAGTTCCTTCTAGTATTTGTCACAGAAGTGAAGTACCATGTTAGATTAGTGGTTTTCGCAACTATTGGTTTTGCAGCAATTTATCGATCTTGCGAATTTTATATATTTTGTAGAATGTACTTTGTGGAGATATGTAATGAAGTTTAGAGCTTTATGTAAATGTGACGTTTGTCCAAACCAACCACCAAAAATATGGTAACGATCCCATACACCAACAAGATCAAGAAGGATGTTTTGGTATCGCATTCGAGGGTGTTGATGGACATATTGATCAAGCCTGTTAATAGGTTTCCTAGCAAGAAATACACCAACCCGTTCTTATTAACAGCTTCCAATATCTGGGAATGAGTGTCGTTGTCACCGATAAGCTCATTACACAAGCAGTAACATAACAAGAAGAAGGAGTTATATGCCACAATCATAAACACATAAGGAAGGTTAGCTAGACGTCTTGAAATATTGAAGAATAATGGCGACTCTTTCACAAAGTAACCCAAACTCTGGTAGAACACCGTCGATATGACCAACCCTTTGACTGTCGATACAGTCAACCAAGACTTGGGCGATTTGTGTTGGAGATTGAAACCAATCAAGTTGTTAGGAGTTTTGCGTCCAGTCAATACAAACGAGCCAAATGACTGTCCGAATATAAAGATACTCAAGTATCCAAAAAACGAAAAAAGTCCTTCTTTGTTCATAGTCACCAAGCTGTCCAACCTGTTCTCCGGCCACAAAATGAATTGCAACAACCCGGTGTTGCACAACGCAAGTTCATATGTGGCTGCTATTAGGAATGCGACCAAAGCCCTTGGAACCAATTCGAAAAGTGGATCCAAAATGGCTATAAAAGTAGGCAACAACCCTAAAGTTATGAAGAAGTTCCAGTGAATCCCATACTCTGTCACGTGTTCTTGATATTCAAGTCCTTTGACACTTACAAAACGAATGATGCCGAAGGCCAACATGGGGATCGTGGCCTTGAAATTCGTGAAGATCAAGCTGAGGTACTTCGACAACCCGAAACTGTTCGGTTGCATAGAGTTGATCTTCAGCTTGATGATAGATCTAGAGTTGACCAACCCCATAGAAAATACAAACGAGCCGACTCCCATGTCCATAATGGATGTGCCCCAGGTTTCGACTTTAGCGAATCTTCGGGGAAACACATGGAAATCAACCGCTAGGATCGCAAAGTTGGTGAGTATCAACATATGTGATCTATACGCCGTGAGGAACGCTTTCTTGTGTAACACTTCTGTGTTTATAGGGGCCTTTTTCGAAGGATTTCGAGACTTCTTGGATTTCAACCGCAATAATACCTGCATTGTGCCTGCCACAGCTACTGGAGCCACCAAAGCTCCATACAAAGTATCGATGGAGTTGCTGTAGATTGTTATCGATGTCAAAAGCAGCACGACGTTCAACAAGAAATCAAGAAGTATCGAGTTTCCGATGAATTCGCTGGAAGAGAACACCTTAAATGCCAAGTACGCCACAGTAGACACGGCTACGACCTGGTAAATTTCTGCCAACGAGCCCCCCACCAAGTCGGAAACAAATAGCTGTTTCTGTTCTTTCAACGTAGACATGCCCAAATGCCAATTATATTTCCCGATTCTGCAACACGTAAAACGGTTTAATTTTCAATAGTCGCTAGCGCTCACGCGCGCTGAGTTTAATTTCATCTTCTCCAACTCCAGACTAAGCGAATTCCTCTATTACAACCGCCACAGCATGACCGACGAAGAAGCAGTGGAAAAGTGGATGTCCAGAGCGGAAAAGAGTGACAGGCCGCCGACACCCACCCATGCCAGCACAGGAGATCACCTAAATCTCGACTCGACTCCCAGTTCTCCATCTTTGCATATCCACCATGATAGTATCGATGACAATACCTTACTTGAGAACTTCGTACCGCTCCCACCGAAGCTGCCAGTACTATCATCGAACGAGTCTCTCATGAACCTAACTCCCTACAGCTCGCAACAAAATGATAATGACGAGTATGTTATGTACTCGGACTCCGAAATTGGGTCTCAGAACTCATTGGACTTGCCGATTCCGCTCAAATCCAGTCTGGTAGACGGGATGGACGACAGGGACAGCTCACCTTCGCGTTCAGCCGTCAGAAGAATCAAAAGTGCCAGTTCCAAGAGAAGAACATCTCCTAGACGAGATAGTGGAGACCTGGGTACGCCTAGTCCTAAGCAGAAGAAAAAAATAAGAAGAAAATCAAACAAGTCTGAAGGTAGCGAGAAGTCACATCCGGTCGGTGGAGGATATGCACTGGCTCCAGGAACCGGTAAGATTTTCCGGAATTTGTTGATTCTTGAAGAGAGTTTGAGAGATCAAGTTGCACAGCAGAGAGGTTTGAGACGAAAGTACTTGACATTCATGGCGATTCTTTGTGCAGTGATAACGTCTATTGCTCACCATTTGTACTTTAGTAACTATGAAACGTCGAGCCCTTTCCGGGTGGTACTCACGTTTGTTCTTCTTGCTTTGATGATCACCTTATTATTGTACTACTTGTCTGGAGAGTATCAAAAAACTATTGTTCTACCCCGAAAATTCTTATCGTCAACCAATAAGGGCTTACGTCAGCTTAATGTCAGATTGGTGAAGATCAAGACACCCTTGATTGATTTACTTTCGGACTTGATACGAGAGTTTCTGTTGTTTGTGATAATGACGATATTAAATTTGATTCATAAGTTTGATCCTTCGCTCAAGCACAACAAGGATTCCAAAATAGAAGTTTTCTTTGTCTCATGCCAACTGCAATGCCAGCCCCGGGTGGGAATAGCGGATGTGAAACTTGTGCTAAATGCTAGAGTATTCAATACCGATATAAGAGAGGGATGGGAGTTGTACCGCAGTGAGTTCTGGATCCGAGAAGGAGTAAGAAGAAGAAACAACTTGATGAGTTTCGTCACCGGGAATAATCAAGATGAAAGCATACTCGACAAGGAAAAGCTCTTGAACAGAGATAGAAGAGAGAGACGTGATAGGAAAAAATCCAATACGGGAGCTCCTGTGTCAACAGGAGCCGGAACAGGAACATCGACCCCAACTTCCAATAAGTTGAACGACCAAAACCTTCGTGCTTTGTCTATCAAGCTTCATGAGATGGATGATAGTTCTCCATCGTTGACCGAGTAGACCAGACATTCATTTCTTTAATCTGTATAATTACCGTTAGTTTTAGTAGCTCATTTCATGATTTACTTTATTATTCGTCACTTAAGATGTTCATCGCAGCCCGCTTTCCAAACACCGTACACTCAAGGAGAGAATTGCCTCCTAATCTGTTCTTACCGTGAACTCCAGCAGCGATTTCTCCCACAGCGTACAAGTTAGTAATGATCGAGTTTGCCTGGTTTAACGCCTGACCGTTTTCATTTATTGCAATTCCTCCCATTGAAAAGTGGAGAGATGGGGTTGTGAAACCATAGTAAAACTTCAGTGACAAGAAAGGTTCTCCAAAAACCTTTCTTCCAAACTCATCTTGACCTTCACTACCAACCCCTTTATTGTACAGTTTCAAAGTTTGAATCAACTCATCTTCGTCAAAAGTGGTGCTAAAAGTGTGAACCTTTTGGGTCAATTCCTCAAGGGTGCCAAAGTACAACAAATTCTTGGAAACATAAAAGTTAATGTGAGACTGGGCCTTGTGGTAGTCTTCCGGGTCAATGATGATGATCGACACGTACTTCTGGGCCTTTGTGAAGTCACCTTCGGGAATTTTGCAGTTCTTGAAAACTGCATCAGAAACAATGTCTCTGGTTTGCAATTCGTCTACAAATCGTTTGGAGGTGATGGGTGACACCAAGATTCCCCCAATTCCTCTCAAAAGCTCACCACACAAAATCTTATTTCTAAGATCCACATTTGCAAAGTCCACAAACCCGGTGGGGTTGATTTGGATTTCGGTCATATCAAGAAGCTGCACCTGGCAATCTCTTACGGCAATTTTCTGGCCATCACCTCTAACAGAATCGGCATTGGTAGTAGGCAAATCCACCAAATCAGGCCTATACTTTCGAACCAATGATTCATCCATCTCTGTATCAGCCGCGTAACCCCCGCTTGCGAGAATTAAATCCGAGGTTGTTAGAGTATGGGTGGTTCCATCATGGGTATACTCAATGGCTGCAACTTTTTGGTTTTTCATGATAATCCGCTTCAACTGGGACTCAACTTGGATATCAATGTTGGGGCTGTTCTGAACGTGTTCCAAAAGCTTCAGAATGATGGCGTACCCAGGAGCCACCTTAGAGTTACCCCGGTGGGTTCGAGGCATCGAATGGCCTCCTAGTTGTGACACGGTCAGAAGATTGATTCCCTGATCAATAAGCCAGTAGATGGCGTCGCTGGACTCCTTGGCCAATATCTCCACCAACTGAGTATTGCACAAGTTCTTCCCGGATTTCAAAGTGTCTTGGATAAAAAGATTCACGCTATCTCCTTTGACGGGCTGAAACATGGTGGGCACTCCATTGATTCCAGAAGACGCCTTGATGGAGTTACCACCGGGACGAAGGGCCTTTTCGATTATTGTCACGTGCCGGCCACCGTCGGCCAAGTGAAGGGCGGCTGTTAGGCCTGTTAAGCCTGCACCGACTATAGTAACGTCCGAGTTCATCGACTGGGAGATACAAAACGACCTATAAAATGCTCGATAAGCAATGGTGGACAAAATTGCCAATAGCAATGGTTTAAGTAGGGATTTCAACAACTTAAATAAGCTTTTCTTATGGATGGGGTGCTGCAGATCCGTACATATTTATAGGTTTGGCACTAAGGTTGCCAAAAGCGATCATACGATTTAAGTTGCATCAGCGCGACAAAGTTAATTTTCTCATTTCTAATCAACTGGTGAAGACATGTTTCAAGCTAATCCTATACTACACCCCGATAATCGGAATCGCAGGTTCAAAGTCGAACCATTCTTGAGAAAGGAGTTTGGCTTCGGCACAAACCCCGACAGACCCGTATGTCAATTCTTTATTCCGCAGAGTCCTAACTCTTGTCCAAACGGCAGCAACTGTCCCAACAAACATGTACCTCCTATGTACAACAATAAGATTGTGTGTAAGCATTGGTTGAGAGGATTGTGTAAGAAGAACGACCACTGTGAGTTCCTCCACGAGTACAATTTGAGGAAAATGCCCGAGTGCTTATTTTATTCCAGAAATGGCTACTGTACTCAGACCAATGAGTGTCTTTATTTACACGTTGATCCACAGCTGAAGATTCCCGAGTGCCAAAACTACTTGCGAGGCTTCTGTCCCGAAGGGCCCAAGTGTGTGAACCGGCACGTGAGGAAGATTATGTGTCCGATGTTTTTGACGGGGTTCTGTCCCAAGGGACCGGAGTGCGATTATACTCACCCTAGGTTTGATAATATCACCGACAAGATGAGGATCAAGCCCGACAGAGATGCTTCCGAGACGGTAAGTAAATGAAGGGAAAGGTGCTGTCGTCTGTATATTAATGTATTTTAAATAGACTCTAATGATACACTCATATTCAATGCGACTTTTACTTACAGTTGGTACAACCAAGACATACGTAAATAATCATAGACATAGACCCATAAATCTATGAGCCGAGCCGTTAGATCCTGAAGTTCCGGAACTGTCTCCTTTCTGACGGCGTGAACACCCAGTTGATTCCTCCATCTTCATCAGACTCATGTTCATTCTGCTGAATCGATTCCTCATACTCTTCTTCGTCCATACCTACCAAAAGTACCAACTGTGTCACCCGAATAAACTTCTCTCTCAACTCATAGTTATCTTCACAAACCTCACTGATGAACCCCGAAATATCCTTCTCCAACTTCAACGACCCAAACTCATTGATCTTGAACCGCTTGAGTACATACACCAATCTCTTCTCAATGATATTCGCCAAGTTGAGTATAATCAACTTGAGCAACTTGCCGAAGATGAGCTCGTGATGGAACACCTGCCCGTATGGGCGGATCAAGTTTCTCCAATCGGAGGTGAATTGCAAAATCAACCCATTGTCGTTTAGAACATTGGTTGAGTAGATAAGGTAATTCGAGTCATCCGTATCATCCAAGAAATCACCCACAATAGTGAGCATCTTGGCCTTGATGGACTGGTTATAGAAGTTGATTAAGGACTCCTGGATCAACTTGTTGGTGAGTGATACAAATGGATTAAACAACTCAAGCTGCAAAATGTTTTGCACAATCGAAGCATCGTCTCCAAACGGGAAACAGTTTCGTATATAGTAGGCATCGTTTTTGGTGATGTTATCCAAGATCTTGGTGAAATATTCTTGTCCCACTGCGACCGTATTGAGATAGAGCACAAAGTTCACGAGTTTGGGGTTGTTGGAGATAGTTGCTGAAGACGCAGAATTACTGGCTCCACCACCTACAACGGTTCCAAGAGCACTTTGAGCACCTTTGAAAAAACCCATACCACCAGCTGGATCGGGGGCAGGAGTTCCACCTCTGGAGGTCCTCGGACTTGACACCGTCAAAAGGCTTGTTTTGGGGTTGATGAGCGAAAGCGCAGAGTTGTACCGTGGCAGGTGTTCGTTCAACTCTTTTATAAAGTAGCCGTTGATCAAGTCATTCTTGATGACCTTGAATGACTCGGTGACAAAACTCTTGACGGCCGTGATCTGACTGGAGTCGATGATGCTCTTGATGCAGGTGTTCAACACCAACGTCAAGTCTTCAATTACAGACGAGCATGGAGGCTGTTCAGGATAACGGGCACCGTTTGCAAGCAAATAAGGCTCCAAAGCAGGTAATGCTTCAATGGTGATGGCCTTCTCCAACGATCGTCTGAAGTAGAAGTTGAAGATAGTTTCGAAGGCTGGAAGATACTTTGACTGGATTTTCCTGGTGAAGTTCGAGTCCACAAGAAGTTTGGGCACAAGTTTTGGCAGAGCCAGGGCGTTCAAATACCGGGTGGAAATGAACTTACAGTACAAAGACCAGTAGTTAAAGATGTTTGCAAACTCGGAGAACAAGTCGCCAGCCTCCACAATGGTCACAAGCTCATTGTCCTCGAACGACAGTCTCGAGAACTCGGATGAGGCTCGAGTTGGTGGTTCGGACTCCAAACGGGCCCGGAGAATTGGGAAGTCGTACAACCTGATATCCTGAATGATCTTGCCTAGGCGCTTTTCGTCGTAGAAGGTGTCAGTAATCAAGCCGATTTGGGAGTCGATCTCAGGCTGGATCTTATTGATGACATATGGAAGGGCGTTGGAATAAGTGGAGGCATAATACCGGTTGATCAACGGGGCGTGTTGGGCCAACATCATGGAGATGTTCTCAAACAACTGCATGCTACTGCGGGAGTAGAGGCCGATTTTTTTGGATGCTTCACCACCAGAGCCCGAGGAAATCGATTGGATCAAGCTTCTCAGGGTATCGGTGATGACCTGGCTAATGAATTTGGAGTAGCAGTTCAACCCCACCTCTTCCTGGCCAATGAGAGGGAACAACTCGAAGAATTTGGTCAACTGCTGCATGTCTTTTTTGGCAGCCGCGTCATCGAACTGGACTTTGAACACCTCAATTAACTGTTTGACGAGGTTGTCGATAACCACGCGTGGAAACTCGGGGATGTCCGTGGACGGGATCACGCTGGCGGCGTAGTCACCGTCGATGAGCAGGTCGGGGACCTTGGTTTTAATCGTCCGTATACAATTGGCAGCAAGTTGGTAGCTTTTGTGTTCCATGGCATAAACCGCTTGGTTGATGTTATTCTTCAAGAGCTTGGTGCTAGACACGTACTCCAGTGTCTGGGTCACGCGACTGATCTCCTTGTCCAATGCCTTGAGTTTGTACGTCAACGTACTGCCGATATTGTTGGAGTCTGAGAAGACGGTGATCAAGTCGTTGGTGGTTTTAAGGGTATCGGCAAGTTTGGCCCGGTTCAATTCCACCGCCGCCACGTCCAGCTGATGGCGGGCCTGGAGCCGGTGGACGTAGTGGTGGAGCTCTCGGTTGGCGTTGTGGTTGAGCTGATCTATCGCCGATACCAACTGATGGAGCTCATGTTCGGAAGAGGCAGACTCAAAACTAGAGACGATTTCCTGGGTTTTGGCGGCAAGTGCCTCATGACTGAGACTAAGGATTGTATACTCCGCCAGGCTGGTGTCTGACATGGTGTCACTGGCCGTGGGTATGTGGTTTGTGGATACGGTTGAGTTGGCACAGAACAGCGGTGGTAGTCGCGAAAACAAGTTTTGAGGATCGCGAAAAACTTCAAATCAAAAATCTCAAATCAAATACATCTTATACACTCTAAACACGCATTTGCTATGCCAAAGCTCCCATGGGGTCGAAGAATGGCAACACGGTATACTCCTGGGACTTCCATGTCGCATAGTCTTCTTTGGACGCGTACGCCTTGGACGTCACCACCTGGAACACAAACTCGTCAAACCACTTATCGGTCATGACAAAGTATCCCTTGTCTCCCACGGCGTCACCCCACGAGTTCTCAATCTTCCACCGCACCGGGCGTCCAGCCTTGTCCAAGTGGACTCCGGTCAATGTCATGGCGTGGGTCATGGCCGAAGACCCAGTTTGTAACCGTTCTTTCTTCGACACGTTGAAGCCCGAACCAAACGCCAACCCAAAATCATATTGGTCCACGTCCAACACGCCGGTCTGGCGGTCGTAGAATTTGCCCACGTCACAGCCAAAGAACACCGGCTCATCGGCCTTAATCATCTTGATGGCCGCCTGCTTGATGGAGTCCAAGGTGGTGTTGACGTATTGAATGGGTCTACCGCCAGATACGTTGTTCAACTTGTCCACCGTCAACAAGGCGCCGACTTCGTTCCGGGGATCGTGGACCAACGAGAACGACTTGTTGGCCTCGTACCGGACGTGGGTCTTGTAGAAATCGGTGGGGGTGGTGTCCAACGCCTGGAACTTACCATCCTTGTCGATAAATTCCCAGGTAAAGGTGTCAGAAGGCTTGGGAGGAGTGCCCAAGCAGATCAGAATCACGTTGTAGATGTGCTTCATCATGGCCTTCTTGACCTGCAATATCACCACCTCCAAAGCTCCTTGAGTCTTGAGTTTTCTCAACACCAAACCAAATTCCCGGAGCTTTTCCTTCAAGATGTAGTTCAAGGTAGAGCTGGCACCAGCCTGAGCGTTATCGGGGAAGAACTCGTGGGGAACAATCCCGTACTTGTCCAAGATATTAACCACCATATCCCATTGTCCACCATCACCACCCACCGCGTCCAGAAACACCAGCCCCACGTACCGTGAGTCCAACGGCTCGTCCGCAGTGGCGATGAAGTTGTCCAACGCGTAGTTGGCTCTTTCCAACTTATCGTAGAAGAAAAGGTAAGCTTGCGATACCTGGAACTGGTCGGGTTTCAAGTTGTAGTTCTTGATGACATGTGCTCTCAACACGTTACTGGTGGCAAACATCCAGCACCGGCCTGACAGAGCCTGGTTGTTGTAGCATCCAGGACTACCGACGGTTTTGAGTTCGGTGTTGAAGAGGTATTGGTGTTGGACTCCGGCACCGCTGGAAGGGTTGGCGATAACGGAGTAGATATCGTTTTTGGCGATGGCACTTTGGGCGAGCGAGTTCTTCAAGTTGGAGTTGAAATCAGACTCCCAGGCCCCCAAATCTTCGGCGGAATTGATGCCATTGGTGGAGTTGGAGGTGGTATCGCCGATGTTCAATTGACGCAAGATGCTGGTGATTTGCAGCTGCGACGACAAAGAGTCTGAGTCAGGATATGTCTGTTTCTCATTGTAGACGGGCTCAGAGACCAGGCTAGTGTCGGATTGCGTTTTGGAGGTGTTGTTTCCCATGGTTGAAATTGGTTGAGGATAAGGGAATTTTGTTGAGATCAGGGGAATTGTGGATGCTTATATGGTGAGGCCCCAAGGGGTTATCGGAGAGCCTCTGGGGACCACCATGCAGGAAAGCGCATACATGCGGCTCCTCTCATTGGCATGGGGGTCTGAGGTGATAGCAGAGGTGATGCAATTATATATGAGTTCATTGACATTCTATATGAGATGATACCATTCTGTATGAGTGTTCATGCTAGTGTCAATTCATCCGAGTGTTCATTAACTACTTCCTACCTATGAGAGTTCATTAACTACTAAGGTCATTTCATCTGAGTGTTCACTTAGTGCCTCCCGCACCGGCCTTCAACTGCTCCTTGAAGCGCGTGGACCGGTCTCTTATTCTGGGCTTCTTGTGGCGAGGCTTCTTGACCTTCAATTGGCCGTTCTTCAAAAGCCCACGTTTGTGTGCCCGCTCTCCCTCCATCACCATTTTAACATCACCAGCAGTGGCTTTATCAGCCTTACCCAAAACCTTGACCCGGCCCAAAGTGGTCTTCTGCTTGTCGTTCAAGCTTCTCAACCCCTTTTTGTTTTTGTTTTGTTTCTGGTTGTCGATGTGGTTGGGAGATAACTCCGATGGTTTGGCATGGTTTTTGGCGCGAGAAATCCGTAACTTACGCTTACTACCACCACCAATAGGCTTATCATGTAACATCAACACTTTGTTGACTGACAACGAGTCGTTGAATTGTACCAATGCAAAGCCCTTACCCAAGTTGGTTTTGGCATCGCGCACAATCCGCACCGACTCCACGTCGTTAGCGGTATGCGCGTTGAAGTACTTCCACAAGGTTTCCTCCTGCTCATCAAAGTCGAGATTCCCAACAAACACCGTTCGCTTGTTGTCCTTAGCAGTGGGGTGGGTCACGTGGTCGACCTTCAAGTGGAACTGGTCAAACACAGTGGCGTTTAGCAAGTCCACTGCTTTTAACGATGCTTCTTTGGTTTCAAACACCACGTACGAGTTGATATTTTGCCGGTTGGCGTGGAACAGCTTCTGGGCAAAGGCGATTTTCCGGGGCAACGCCTGGTCGAAGGAAATGGACCGGAATCGGATCGACTGCACCGGTCCCACGTTGGCGAAAAGGTGTTTGAACCGCTTGTAGGTGGGTTTGGAGGTGACAACCGAGATCGGTACGTTTCCTACGAAAACGGTTTTCTCTGCTTTCTCAAGCTCGGTTTCCTTGAGATCCACCACTTTGGCCCGCTTGGCGGGTTTGGTTTCCTCACTATCGCTGTCATCCGAAGACTCTTCAACACTGGGGACGGGTTGGACATCTGGCTTGTCTTCCTTCAACAACTTATCGAAGTACCGGGCCTCCAAGTCAAAGTTCTCGTCTCGGGTGGATTTTTTGCGTGGCTGACTTTGGGTTTGGGGGAGGTTATCATCTTGTGGCGACAGAGTCTGGGTTTGGGTGATATCCTCTGGCGACACATTCTGGGGGCGGGAGTCGGGAACCGTTCTTTCTCTCACCAACCGTGTACGGTCCACCGGTGCCGCACTGCCAAACAACCCGTCAATGGCCTTATCGTGCTTGGCCAGGCCAAATATCGTATTAAACACACTCATCCTTAGTAGTTATATATCTCATCTCTACCAGGGAAAAATTTATTTGCACCAAGTACCATCGGTCCTGCACGCATTCGCACCCTCGCCCTTTGACCTAAGTTTTTAATTTCCAGGGTTATCCACCGTCAACAAACATACCAGTGTCGACTCCACCACACTGACCGTCAAGTCTTCAATAGAACCCACAACGCGAACCCCAGGCGTCTATAAACCCACACCCACACCTCCCCATCATCCTGTCATCACTGGCCCTACACATTTCCCATTCCCCGTACCCGCCAGCCACCTTCGATGCCAACAGAGGAACAAGTAGTCACCAGCAAAATTGCCTCGTCGCCGCCGCCAGCTGTCGCCGCCGTGATAGTCTCCACCGCCACCACGTCCCTGCCGGCGCCGGTGCCGCTGTCCCCATCCGTTACCCCAGTATCCACCAATCCCTCGGAGGCCACCCACAAATCCAATAAAGAGTACGAGAGTTCCGAGCTCAGCGACTTGGGCGACGATCAGTCGGAGGCTGAGACTGATAAAATGGACTTTTTGGACGAGGAGAACTCCAATTCCGAAACGGTGCTGGACTTGAATGCGTTGCTGAAGTTGACGGAGATGGCCCGTTTGCGGGAGATCGATTCGGACGACGACGACGACCAGGTCCGAGCCAAGCGGGGTGTCGAGGAAGAAAATGGCCCTGAGGCCCGGGCGGCCTCCAAGCGGATCCATTTACAGGAGGAGGAAGATGTGCACGAGGCCGATGAAGAAGATGAGGCCGAACTCGAAGACGCAGAAGAGCCCGAAGAGCCCGAAGAGGTGGAGGCAGAAGTGCCAAAACTGGAAGCCGATGTTCCTGAAGAGACGGCCGAAGCGGGCAAAACCGAAGAACACGAAGAACACGAAGAACACGAAGAACACGAAGAACACGAAGAACTAGAAGAACTAGAAGAAGACGAGCGCGAGGACTCTGATGTCGACTTTCTCAACGAGCAACGGGTACTTGCGGTCCAGGACCTCGTGGACATCGAAACGTCCTTCGCAGAAATCAGAGACAAATTGTACCACGACAAACTCAAACTTCTAGAGCATGAACTACAGCTTTGTTTGGAGGGATCGCACCCTGAATTGGCCAAAATATACTACAAGATCAACGGGTTTTACCAAGATAGTATCCGACTCGCCAACCACACGTTGAACTACCGGCTTCGGTGTATCAACAATGAGACGGTGGCCACCCGTACAGCGATCCACCAGGACTTTTTGAAGCAAGTGGTGGATCATAAAAACGATATGATTCTGGAAACAACCTCGCGGTGGTATAAAATCAACAAGGAACGCAACCAGATGGACCAGCTCGCCCCCGACTTTGCTTACAACGCGGTGCCCGAACCAGCACATCACATCAAGGTGGAAGAAGACGTTTCACGTCGGGCCAGCCTTATTAATGGATATGTCAACGGACAGAATAACGGGGCCAATGGCCATCACGAGCTGCTGCCCGAGTACATTCTGTTATCGAAGAAGGAGATCAAGCACACAAAGCTCCTTGAGTTGGTACAACACCGCAATGACTTTAATCAAGAATTGGGGATCATCAACGGGTTGGTGCAATTGCATGGGATTCCTTCGGCCATTGATTTATCACCGGATGGTAAATGGAGCCACGAGTTGCTTCTCAAGCGAGCGAGTGATGACGAGATCCACGACGACCTCCAGGCCATGGGAATACCAATTTAGGGGTTCTTGGAGCCTTGAGTCACGTATTAACGAATCACGTATTGATGAGTACACTGTGAAGTGGCAGCTCATTACTACACTGTGTAGTAACAGTTCATTATGTACACTGTGTAGTAACAGTTCTAAGACATGGTGTTGTAACAGCTCAATAAACAACTGCCCTTGATGCTTCGCTAAATCGCGCGGTCGCCGAAAATAAACAGATCACAAATGGTAGAGGTCTCGTTAACAGTAGGCAAATTGGATGCCTCATTGGCGTTGTTGTTGACCAAAGACCATCATCTTATTGAGTTCCCCACAATTCTTTTGCCCACAGGCGTCAAGGCCGGCTCCATTGTCAGCATCAAATGTGAGCAAGATTCTCAAACAGAAAAAGAGGAGGCTAAGCAGTTCAAAGCCATACAAGATGAAATCCTTAATACTTTCGGTAAAAACTTACCCAAAAGTCCCGTGTTACGGATCAAGAACGTCACCCAGACGTCGTGTGTGTTGGAGTGGGAACAATTGGACTTGGGAACCGCTACCTTGAAGAACTTGTTTCTCTTCAAGGACGGCAAGAAGGTGGGTGCCATTCCCCAACCGTTGACCAATAGAACCACCAAGTTGTCGGGATTGCCCATCGACAAAACGTTTGAGTTTCAGTTGCGCTTGGACACCACGGCCGGGGTCTACGTGTCTGAAGTGTTGGAAGTTACCACTCACAAGATGACCGATTTAACAGGTATCACTGTTTGTTTGGGGGATATAAGTGCCAATGAGCAGTTTACAGTGGAAGATATCGAAAAGACGTTGGAGACCATTGGTGCCCGTGTGCCGGCGCAGACTAAAATCAGTGTTGATACCACCCATTTTATTTGTACCAGAGAGAACAAACAGAATTCTGAGTATACCAAGGCGGGTGAGATGAATATTCCTATTATCAGGCCCGAGTGGTTGAAGGCGTGTGAGCGGGAAAAGAGAATCGTGGGAGTCAGAGATTACTATGTTAAGGATTGTTCATTGCCGGATATTTTTGCAAGGAATTTCTGGAATAAGGAGACGAAGGATGGCTTGGTGGAGAAACAGCATGACCCATTACCGGAGCCTCCAAAGGAGGTTGAAGAAACCAATGAGGATGGGTTGAGAGAGCCAACCATAAAGGTGACGGAGCCCACACCGGAGAAGGAGGTGGAAGAGGAGGAAGTTTCTGTGCCCGAGACGGAAGCTGTACCTGAGACGAAAGCTGTACCTGAGACGAACGCTGTGCCCGAGACGGACGCTGTGCCTGATACTGAAGCTGTACCTGATACTGAAGCTGTACCTGATACTGAAGCTGTGCCTGATACTGAAGCTGTGACTGATAAAGAAACTGTGCTTGAAGAGGTGCCTGAAACTATTGCCGAGACCGTCGCAGAACACCCAGAAACCGAAAAAGAGGCTCCAGAGGTTGTCAAAGAGCTCGTTGAAGAGCCCAAAGAGCCCGTTGAAGAACCTAAAGAGCCGATCGAACATCCAGTCGCAACGCCAGAAGCAGCTGAAGTTTCTGTCTCCCAGCCAGTTAAAGTTACAGTCGAAGAAACTCCAGACACTCCCGAAGTGGCAGCCCCCGAAACTCCCGAATTACCCCAGGAAGCCCCCGAAATAGCTCCCGATACCGACGACACCGACGACATCGCCCCCAATGATGCATCCCCCCCCACTGCTTCTCCCTCAAAAAAGCCCAAAAAGAAGAAGAACAAAAAGAAGAAAAACTAACTACTAAAATGTAAATTTTATTACCGTACGTAACTCTGCTCAACAAGAATCTCTACTCACCAAATAACCGTCTAACCTTCTTAAGAATCGAGTCTTTCTCAGGATCATAAGGATGGTCTTTTGAAGGAATCTCAAGAATGGCAGGAAATGCATTGGTATACGAATCAACCCTATGTCTTATCAAGTCTGCCAAGTGCTGGTTGATCAATAAAATGGCAATATCCTTTCTCACGGTGGTGAAGGTTTCAAATGCTTCTTCAATTTCCTCGACCGACGTCTTGCCGGGGGTCACCGTCAAGAAGTTGGTTTCCTTGCCATCCTCGCCGGAGACCTGGCCCACGCCCGCCAACAATAAGCCGGTGATGGAGTCTTCATCGGCAATGGCCGCCAACAACGAGCGTTTCGACATCGCATCGCTAACTGCACTCATGATGGTGTGTTCCTGAGGTGGTGGTTGATAATTGCCAGTGGGTTTTGGTGCGAACAAAATCAGGGTGAACTGGTATCTGCACACGACTCTGTTGAAGCTGCCGTGCGCTGAAGCTTTGTGCGAAATTGCAAATATGCTGCAAATACAACCATGTTTTCACCAGGCCAAAAACATTTTCAACGCATGGAGAATAGTGATCTATCGGTGTTGGTTAGAGCTAGCCAGGAACTATTCAAGCTTCACTGCGGCTGGACATACTGCCCCAGAAAGCAAAGTGTGATTATATCAATCGAGAACGAAGAGGACTTTAATGAAATGGTCCGGCAGGTCTCAGATATATTGGTATGCTACAGTATCTGTTTAGAATTCAAACCCAGTCCTTAGTATTTAGAAATTCCATTATGCTACAAAATCATCAAAATCAAGGGTGACGGTTGGGGTGCAGTAAAAGATGTCCTTCCAACTTGCCCCAGACACTTTAGAAGCACTCGTTGTATTACACTGAGGAAGTCGAGCAGAAATTAAAACAATTGCCTGCTCTTAACATTTTGGAGCTCAGGATGGAATCGTGTTGTCAACACTTCTGGCTCACTACTGGCCACAGTTGGACTTTACTAGTGATGTGTTTAAAAACCTCGAGCATCTAGAGGTTTACAATACACCTGAGTCCACAATGGGAAAGGTTGCAGAAGTTGAAGTTGGTGAGCTTGTCCATCTTCTCATTCACGGTGACAGTGGATTAGTATGTAGTCAATGAATGGTTTTGCAGCCATTGAAAAATGAAGGTCTGATGGGGTACGGCCGGATAATTAAGATGGTGTAGGAAATGCAAGATGGGTAGGAAGGGTAGGAAGGGTAGGAAGGGTAGGATGGGTAGGAAGGTCAGAAAGTATAGGGTAGAGAGTGTTTGAAGGTTAGAAGCGTAAGAAGTGTATAGCGTATGCAGAATATGGGAGGTCAAAGAGTAGAGCGCGCATCAACAATTTTTCACCAATGATTCTGATGAGACCAGTCACAGGCGTACGTAGGGCGACCGCCAGAATGACCCCCACAACATGGTGGCGGCTCACACGAGCCGTCCACAGCACCGCCCCCACATGGGCCGGACACTCGAAGTGGCAGAACATCCGCCACGACAAGGCCAAGAACGACGCCAAAAAGTCCCGCGAAGCATACGCCATTGCCAGTCGCATAGAGACCAGTGTCAAACAAGGCGGAGTAGAGGGCAACGCCCAGCTCGCGACGTTGATGGAGAAGGCCAAGAAGTTGAACGTGACGAAAAAAATCGTGGAAAATGCCGTTAAAAGAGGTAACGGGGAGACTATTGGTGACGAAAAGCCCATGAGTGCGGTGACATACGAGTTCATGGGACCTGGTGGGGTGGCGATGGTGGTGGAGGCCACCACCGACAACAAGACACGCACGGTGGGACTCGTGCGACACGCATTGTCCAAGTTCAATGCCTCTTTGAGTCCATGTTTATACATGTTTGAGCGGAAGGGACGGGTGGTGTTTGCGCCACGGGACGGGGACGAAACGTTGGACGACTTGTTGGAGGTGGCAATCGATGTGGGGGCCGAGGACGTCGAGGAGTTTGTGGACCATGACCAGGAGTACAACGGGGAGAGGTTATTTCAGGTGATTACAGACCCGAGCCAGGTGGGCGACATTTCCAACCAATTGTCGCAGAAAGGGTACCAGTTGAAGGACACAAACGTGGAGTATGTGTCGGGAGAAGAGAATGAGGTTGAGTTTCCGGCTGACGAGAAGGCCTTCAACAAGGCATTGGAGATGCTTGATGAGATTCCTGAGATCACCGAGTATTACACCAACATCCGGGACAGTCCAGATGCCTAGGCATTGGCTACTGCCAGACATTGGATAGTTCCAGGCATTGGCCACTGCCATTAGCTACTTCCAAGCATTGCCAGGCATTGCCAGGCATTGCCAGGCCGTTATTCTACTTTCTGTACATAGTGATAGTTGTATATTATGCAACATAGACCCGAATCTACTCTTGTTTGACCTCCTTTTCAAGAGCCTCTTTTTTTACCTGCTCGTTAAGAACGTCGTCCAAGGCCGACAAGTCAGCATTCTTCCACAACCTCAAGTGCTTGTCGTGAGCAAAGTGCCTATAGGTGAAGTAGCAGGCCGAAGACACAGCAATACCCACGGCAAAGAAAAGTGGGTACATTTCCACAGGCACCGGAGGCTTGTTGGACTTTTTGGCCGCGTTCATTAATATTCTGGAAGGAAGCATGTTGTGATGGGAGAGTTAATGATGAATTTTTATCGACCCACCAAAGAGTGAGGGTGGTGCGCACGACTGGAATGCGAGTATTTTGGTTGGTGGAGGGATCAGGTCGTGGCCTTACTAGCTGCGAATTTTAATGCTAAAGCCTCTCGATTGAGTCCCGCAATGTATCGTACACCAACCAGCTTACTGCCATTGATGGGACAATTTTGTACAAGTTGGCGGTGAGACCCTTATAAGCACCGGTAAACCCCTCGTCCCGGAACATTGCCACCAATGCCGCCCCCACCGACCGGTACTGGAACCCCAACTCTCCCCCCGCCATGCTTGATACTTGGTACCGCTTACGCAATACATCTAATGGGTAGATTAACACTCCGCCCACAAAAGAGGAAAATGCCCCGGCTGCGAGTTTCCACCCCGGATTTGAAAAGTCGCGAGACAGTTGGGACATTGACTCTCGGAGCTTTTCGTAAAGGGTAAAATTGATTGCCACGTACGGGACCACTCCCAAACTGGTGGGCACCATTCCGCGGTAGAGCGCCAACACCCCGCCTTCGTTGACCACCACCTCCCGGGCGGTGGCCCATACTCCTGGCGGTTTCATGAGCTTGCCCTTGTCGAGCTTGGCGAGAGACGCGGTGCGGACGCTGATCCGGGCCCGGATAAGATCCAACGGGTACGTGGCCAATACCGACAAAAACCCGCCCATCGACGACGCCACCACGCGCTCGGCCAGCGTCAATTCGTGTGAGGGCCTTGGCCATTTGGCTAATATGGTGTTTTTGCAGTTTTCAAATACAGCAAACTGGATGGCCGAGTAGGGGAAAATACGGATACAGTTGAGGGTGTTTCCTCTGAAGAGCCCGCGCCACCCTTCGTCGGAGTACATTTTGAAGATGGTAGCGAACATGCCGTTATAGGCCTGGTTGGAGCCGGGCCCTTGGAGTTGGAGGAGGATCTTGGCCCGTTCGAACGGGGACACCACTGTCCGGGACACGGCGCCGGCGACTCCACCGGCGATGAGTGAGGCATTGGACGGGTCTTTGAGCCATGCAAGGGGCTGGGATTGTGGGTCTGGCATGAGAGAGTTGTCGGCGACGACGCAGACACAAACGGCGAGTGCGATAGCGAGTGCGAGTGCGACACCGGGTGCGACAGTGCGACACCGGGGGCAACATACGACACCCGACACGACACCATCCCCATGTCTGCCCATCCGTACAATCAAGCGTATTATTATCCTATAAACCAAGCGTGTTTGTACTCAAGTTTTTGTCCTTTGTACCCAACGTGTCTGTGCTCTACACTAGAGCGTGGAATCCGCTACCTAATACTCCGACAACACCTTCTCAATCGCATCAACCAAAATGTCCGCGTGCTTCTCTTCAAACACCAAAGTAGGCCTCAACCTCACACTATCCTCAGCACAACCTCCAATGTTCACCCCCACGCTCTTCATGTCCACCAAAAACTTGTCTCTCCGAGATGGTTCGTCAAACGACCACGCAATAAACGTACCTCTGCCTTTTCCTCTCAAGTTCTTCAAATAATCAGGATACTTCACCTGCAAGTCCTCCAACTTAGCAAACAAGTACTTCCCGACCCGGGCCGCAACCGCCGGCAAATCATGCTTGATCACCTCGGCTCCAATGGCACCTGCCAAAATCATTCTGGCTGGGTCTCCACACCAAGTATTAAACTGACGGTAGGCGGTGTTAGGCACGATTTCGGGGTCGTGGAAGTAGTATCCAGCTGACTGGAACTTCTTGGAAAACGTCACCATATCAGGCGCAGGCGTGATGTTCAAGTGTTCATGACACCACAACACTCCGGTAGCCCCAACTCCCGTTTGTACTTCGTCCACAATCATTAACGACTGGTGCTTCAACGTGAGGTCCCGCAACCCCTGGAAAAAGTACGCCAGGCCGTGGTTGTCTCCGCCCTCCGACTGGATGGGCTCAACCAACAAAGCGGCAATCGCACAGTGCCAGTTGGTATAGATATCGTCCACAATCTTCAAGCACCGGTCATCCTCCGCCTTGTTGACGGCCTCGTACTTGTCCAATGGGTACTGATACGAAGGGAAATCGGCTTTGGGCCATTTGAATGCTGGCAAGTCCAATTTATGGATAGGCTTGGAGCAGGTGGTGGAACCACTGGCAAACAACCGGCCATGGAACGACCGCTTGAACGACAAGATCGCCAACTCGGGGGAGCCAGGGCTTTGGTTCTGCATCACCGACAGGTTTTCCTGGGCCGTGAATGGTTTGTTATAACCTCTTTTTTGCGCCTGGTGGTACATGAAAGCAGCTTTAAACGCCAACTCGTTGGCGTCGGCCCCGGACAAGCCCAGCCACACCTGGGTCTGGCCCTTGGGAGCCACGTCCAATAATCCCTGGACAATCTGTTCCAATTCTTCACTGGGGAAGTTTCCCAACGCTGGACGGTTGACAATGGCATTGATCATGTTGGGGGAGGTGGCAGCCGCCACCAACGCCGGGTTGTTGTACCCCAAGGGGATGGAGGCGATCTGGGCATACACGTCCAAGTACGCGTTGCCGTCCACGTCCACAATGTAGTTTCCTTGGGAATTTTTGTAGTCGGCCACAAAGTAGACAGCTCTGCTATCAAACACCTTACCAAGCGATTGTTTCTTGGCGGTGGACACGGGGCCAGGGAAGGTGGCCTTGATGACCGGGGCTTCGGGTTCGTGGGGGAAGTATGAGTCGGCGATGGACTTTGTCATTGAAGAAAAACACCAGAAGGCGGATCGAGAGGTATTTATATGGGATGGAGATTGCGCGCTGTGCCCGATTGGGACTGCCGCTAGGGTTTTTGGGTAAGTGAATGCGGGTGGCATAACTGCGACAGGTGGTGGGAAACCTAGTGCGCGGGCGGGTGAGACATCGCCAGGCGAGTTATACGCCTGGGTGCGCCGCGCCAGTGCCGCTAAGATTGATCCGATGACCCCCACGCGCCCGCCACCTGCACGACCACCTGGATGGGGGCACGACCACCCACCCGGACGGCGCACGACCCCATCTCTCCACGTGACTGCGCGCCCTTCACGTGACATTCCCGCGCCCTCAAAAACAACAACAGCGATGAGCCCTCCTGCTTCCCCTAAATCATCCCACATCGACATGGACGACATCGACCTGATGATCACCGAGTCCATCGCCGGCGCCGCGCCCAACACTACCTCCCCGTCTTCGAACCACGTCGCCACCGCTTCTAAGCGTTCCGCTTCCGATGCTCCCTCCCCCGAACCCAAGCGCACAAACACTTCCAAATCATCCACTGACTTGGACTTGCAGTTCGAAATGGCCCTAGAGTCACATTCCCACGGCGATAGCAACGGTGCCTCTGTACCACTGGCCGCCAAATCCCCCACCAAATCCCCCACCAAATCCCTGGGTGATATCTCTCAATCCACAAACAACAACACCCATGAACCTACCACAAACTCACCAAACGATACCCCCAAGCCCGCCCGCACCGTGCTCCACCAGGGGGTCGAGATCCCGGCCGACTCCGAGCTCCTCAACTCGTCGTCTGCCTTCACCGCCTACACCGAGCTCTCGCACCAACTCTCGCACCAGCTCTCGTCACCAGCCATGACCACCACCCACCTCACGGCCCTCCCCATGGCCATCGTGGCAGCAGACTTCTTGCCGCCACGCACCCAGCTCCTCGTCAACACGCTTCCATCGTTGGACAACCTCGCAACCCAAATTCTTCGAATCTTCACGGTGGGCCCGTACCAGAAAATCATCGACTTGGTGTCCAACGTCGACACCGCCGCTGGGGCCAGCTTCCGCGACTTGACGTCGCTCTTTGAGTTCACCAAGAAGCTCTACTCGGACGAAGACCCGTTTTTGGCGGTGTCGCATGTGGCTCCCGGCACCTGGAATCACTCTGAGTCCACCCCGGCCCCATTTAAAAACCGTGAACAGAGCATTGAGTCGACGTTGCGCAAGGTCAACCTTGCAACCTTCTTGTTGGCGACACTCGGGGTCATCGAGGTGGGTTTTTTCTACTTGAACGAGTCGTTTTTAGGGATTTTCTGCCCGTTGAATAACTTGGACCCCCACAACAGCTTGAGTAACCACCTTGAAAATACGGGTCTGACGGTGGGTGGTAGTACCCCCGGTGCCGGCGACCGTATCGGCAAGCTTCTCAAGCTGCAAGCCATTTTATACTTGGATTTGAAGACACAAGCGTACATCTCGGCCATCGAAGCAGGGGAGCGATCGCGGGTTGAAGTGTTGGACGACATTCTCCCCGACAACTTGGATGCGATTTTAATGGAAAAGCGCCTGACCAAGATCTTGAGTCCCACCGAGCTGGACTTCATTGACCGGTGCAAGAGCCGTCGTACCATTCTCTTGAACTATCCCGACAACTCGACTTTGAGTGAGGAATACGACTGGTTTCTGTTTTTGCGCAGTCTCTTTGAGTTTGTGGGCAAGAATATGCTTTTCCTCATTTGGGGCAACAAGAAAATCACCAAGCCCCGGCCCGACGACACCAAGCCCGCCGCCGCCACTGCCCCGTTATCGGGTGATGAGCCGGCCACCTCGGGCGAACTCACCGACACGTTGCTCCCATCCGAGATCTTGGAAAAGCAGTTGCACGTCCAAATGGCCCATGGTCCCGGCAGAATCTCCATGCGGAGACCGTGGACCCGCGAGGAAGAAAAGGCGTTGCGCCACGCGTTAGAGCTTGCGGGACCCCACTGGTCCAAGATCCTCGAGTTGTTTGGTGCTGGAGGTAAAGTGTCAGAAGCCTTGAAAAACCGGACCCAGGTGCAACTTAAGGACAAGGCCAGAAACTGGAAAATGTTTTTCCTCAAGAGCGGTTTGCCGGTGCCTCAGTACTTACTGAAGGTGACGGGAGACTTGGAGAGAGACGACCGGCTGAAGCGGGCCAAGAAGACGGCGGCAGCTCCCATTCCCAACATTGCTAAAGCTCAAGCTGAGTGAATTTGCAGCCAGCGACATTTGATTCGCGACCGCCAGTCGCACATTTTGTTGAGTTCGCACCCGAAATCACCAGTTTTCCTACCCTCATGGTTAGTTTGAATTGTATTGCAGACGTTTGTATCGTGCCCATTGGCACCGGTAGTGCCTCAGTGTCCGACGAGGTTACACTTATCACCAAGTTCTTACGTGAGAACCCCGAAGGTTTGACTGTCACGTTGCACTCAGCTGGCACCACCATCGAGGGCAACTGGGACGTGGTCATGGGAAAAATCGGTCAGATGCACGAGTTATTACACCACCACGGAGTGGTCCGGATCCAGAGCGACATCAGAGTCGGCACAAGGACCGACAAGTCTCAGAAGAGCATCGATAAGGTGAGAATCGTGGAAGAGAAGTTGAAGAAACTTGTATAATAATGTATTATAGAATATAAATATCTACCAAGCACACGGCCCCAGCCGTCACCTGGCATTCCCAGCCGTCACCTGGCATTCCCAGCCGTCACCTGGCATTCCCAGCCATCACCTGGCGGCCCCGGTACTCTTGTCAAGCTCCTTCGTCCACGCATCAAGCTCATCCACCAATTGATCAAGCTTCTGACTCCGGTCGTCGATATCGTCGAGAAGCTTTACGTACGCCCCATACTCCTCGTCTACAGCCGTTAGTATAACCAATGTCCCGGTGGTTGTCGCGGTTTACAGTACATACCAATTGCTTTAAGGGTGTTGGAGTGGGTGTCCAACGCATCGAGCTTTTGCTCCAACTTGATATAATTGAGCGCCTGGTTGGTGTTCAAGTTCTCCAATAAGTTCAAGTCAATAGTCGCCACCTCCGTGTCAGACTCCACAAGCCGCGACAACGTCGTAAGCCCGTGGTATGCCAACTTACCAGTATCCCTCAGGGCAGACATGGAAAATGTTTATTTGGTACTGCGAATTCTATTTACAAGTGCGCTACCGGCCACGGAACTGTTTATATAATGGTTGCTTAGAAGCAACGATATTGGCCCATTTCTTGGTGGGTCTTGCGTTTAAGAGCTCAAGGTAGTCCACAGGTGCCGGTTTTTCCACGAGTTTGGTGGGACTAACTCGAATCAAGGACTTTTCGGTGACAATCTCACACACCCCAGGAAGCTTCGCAGATGCTTTTCTTAACGCTTCCTTGGCCACCCTCTCGTGAAGGTTCCCTCTGATCTCAAACAAGATCTTACCGGTCCGCACACGCGTGGCCCAGTGCGAGAAGGCCCCCTTCCCCTTCCCCATTCTGGTCTGGTTACCTTTGACACACACGGCCAAGTCGCACGAAAACCTGGTTAATAAATCGGCCCCTGAAGGCCTGATTTCCCGCATAATCACATTATGCGCCTCTTTGAGTTGCGTGGCGGTCATACGGATCCCGTTGGACTTGAGGCGCAAGCCAAACTGGCCAAATTCTAGAGAATTCCCCTTGAGCGACCCGCCGACCCTGGCGCCCACGCGGCCCTTCATGGACTTTCTTATTCTCTTAAATCTGGGAGCAAACTCGTGCTTGAACCGCACAGCCATGAGAGACATGAGCGGCGACACACAGGGGGGCGCCGAGATGCGACTTCCCGAAGCCAACCCCGCCAATAACGGTGATGCTAGCCTGAACATGGTAATGAAAAATTTGAGTTGAGTGCGACTTTGAAGTTGTGCGACTTTACTTGGTGGAGAAGTAGCCCTGCCACGACTCCAGAGGTCTTCGCCGTGGGTATATAGCAAAGCCATATCCTTGATTTTGTTTATTGATCGATATAGTCTATCCTATGAGTTCTCCTTTTTCGTGTACGGAGGTGGAGCATGCTTCTTATCCAAAATATTATAGAGTTCTGTTCCTGTCACGTCTGGCAATATACCTGGATAGTATTTTGGCGCTTTTATACTAGTGCAATAAGAACCGTTATTATTTTTTACAAACGTTCTGAGCACCCAAGACACAGTGGTAGCCCAATCCATAAACTTCAGGTTTATTGTCATTTGTCTGTTGACACCAGTTTCGGTATAGTCTTCCACAAGACACAAGATATTCTCATGTAGTATTTCAAAATGAGTGTTGACTAATTTGGCTTTGAATTCGCTCAATTCTTCTAATATGGTGCAAATTTCTTTGTGGGATCCCTTTTCTCTGTTCTCACCAATGCCATTCCCACTACTATGACATTGTAACAAATCCTCAAATCTTTTGTTGTGTATTTTAGATTCTTTAGAAGCCTTCATTCTCCTAAAAGTTTCTCCAATAATAAGTTCTACGTTTTATAGTTACACTTTACTCTTCAATGATATCGAGAATTCTGTTGCCAACAGGCTTACCTTTTTATGTTCCGCAGTGAAGTATCTTCCTTCATAGTATTGGATGTATTGCGTTGTTTGTCCTGAATAACAAACTTTCGTGACCCATCCTGCCTTGGGGACTTCTGAAGCAATATATTTCCCATTGCCTTTGACCACGTCAAGTGCCTAATTCAAGGTTTTCAGGTTTATTATAAGTTCCATATAACCATGAGTATTAGAATAGTTGTTGATAATGCATGTGATGTACAGATGGAACGAGTCGTAACGAACAACGGTTGGCATTGCTTTTAGCGTGTCCAAGTCGTCTAATGAAAGCCAGCATCTAGTTCTTTCTTGTCTTGGATTTTTCACCAGTGAGAGAACTTCCGACCTTTTTCTGCGGTTGAGGCAGTATCATATAGTTCAGGAGAGACAATTGAGTATATTAACATATGGAATATAGATTATTGCTGCGAAAAGAGAAAGGATGAAGAAGAAAACAAATACGATGTTGCGTGCGGGAATGCCGGGACAGACAATTGGTCTATCACTTGGAGCTGGGATGCGACTGTGGCTTCCACCCGGTGCACCTTGGAAACTGGATGTGTGCCCGTGAAATATAGCTCAATTTAGTTTACAGCGCCAACTACTCTCAATACAGGACTCGAACTTTGCTTGGTGTCTGGGACAGCTTTTGATCAACCAACTTCTCCTTACCTTAAGTAACAGGCTTTCAACCCAAGGGTGACCTTTTGAAAGTGGTGTAAAAACCACTATAAACTTTTATTCCTATTTACAAGTGTTTGACGCTTAACGGATTTCGATGCCGAAATACTCAATCAAGTCGTTCTGCACGTCACTATGGATCTGATTGATCTCTGAGTTGGTCAAGTTGCGGTCCATCGACTGGTAATTCACTCGGTAGCACTGCGAATGTCTTGCAGTTTTAGGGTGCTTGAACTCATCAATCAAACTCACACTTTCTATCAAATCTCCACCATAGTTCCGGATCGATTCCATCACATCATTGGCGTGTAAAAGGCTTCCGTCTGGCAACCAAAACGAAACGTCCCGCTTGATTCCTGGGAATTTCGAGTACGGTTGGAAGGTGGTCACCTTTCCCTGCTGGAACTGGCTGCCAAATCGCGGGTCGAGAGTCCAGAAGAGCCTAATATCGGGAATTCCAAATAACAACATGGCGATTCGGTCGAGGCCCACCCCAAACGCCCATCCGATGTGGTCGGTGCTCAAGCCAGCATTGACCATGACCGGTTGCCGCACAAGCCCCAGGCCACAACATTCAAGCCATTCGCCTTTCCACCAAACTTCGATCTCGTACGAGGGAGCGGTCCACGGAAAGTACGCCTCCACCCACCGTACGCGCAACGGCTCGTTGAGGTAAGGCTCGGTCGATCCAGCGGCGGCAGCACTGGCCTTGGCTGCCTCAAACACCGTGTGCACCAACAACTCCATCGTGCGCTTCAAGTGCGCAGACACCAATTCCACTTCTCTATTTTCCATATACTCTTGCTTGGGGTTGGCCGGTGATTGGGCAGCACAGTCTTCCACCACCAAGTTGGTGGTAGGAATCGAGTCGATGTCACGTTGCAACTGCTCAAATAGTCCCGGCTGGTTTCTGTCCCAGACCCGAGCTCCTTCCATCTGGTGGAAAGCGGGATAGTGAGTTCGGTCGATTTCATCTTTGCGGTACACGTCGGCGGTGATGAAGTATCCGGGGGTCTTCATCAACGAAAAGCACTCACCTTCGTGGGCTGAGGTGTGTGTTCTCAACAAATGGGTTTTATTCAAGTAGTAGGTATCAGATTTGCTTCGGCCAGGATGGTCTGGGGGAAACCCGAGCATATCGAAGTTTTCGTACGTGGTGACCACGGGCTGAAAGTCACTGTAGTACGTGTATCCAAGGCCGGTGAAGTTTTTCTCGATTAAGTGGCGGAGGATTCCGATGGGGTGGTTAGGGTTCTGGTGGAGTTGGCGTTTGGTGAGGTCGAGGATGAACTGGGGGACGTTGGTCCATTCATCGGTTTTGAAGGCCTGACCTTGGACCTCGAGCACATCGGGGTACGTTCGTTTGGTGGTGCCCATGAGCCGGGCGGGAGCGGTGCCCACGAGACGAGCTATGGTTTTTAGGGGGACGGCTCTGGTGAGGTTCATTGGAAATTTTTCAGTTTGCGCGATCGTCTGTGTTGGCTGCGAAGATTCTGGCTGCGAAACCGTAGGTGGAATACGTCTATAGTTTTGTACTTTTTCTATTGAGCTAACATGTACTAAAGGCATAGGTATTGAGAAATCCGAGCCAACGGCGAGTATAACACCCCCACATATCTGAGTGGATGTCACCACGTCTCTTGGATGTACCGTCCACTATTCTCCATCACTCGAAGATACTGATCCACCTCCTCCACCGCGCTGTCTCTTCCCTCCAAAATGTCCATTATCGTCTGTCGAACTTGCCGGGGCATCGCCCCACTCGATCCACAAACATACACAATAGCATTCTGGTTTACAATCAAGTCCCCCACAACCTGCCGTTGTTCGAACAACCCATTCTGAACGTACTGTTTCTTAGCCACTCCTGATCTCGAAATGCACGGGAACAACGAAAGCTTTCCCTGCCTTTGGAGCTCAAGCCACAAGTCCTTGAATAAGAAATCCTGTTCCTCATTTCGGAACCCATAAAACATGTACAACTGGTGATCACCGGTCTGCGTGATGTGTTCCACGAGCGACTTGACAGGGGCCACCCCAGTCCCAGTGCTTACAAGAATTACTGGTGGCTTATCGCCGTTGGCAAGCTCGAAATTAAGTCCCTGCCTATGGAGTGAAAACACTATGGGGTCTCCCGGTTGTAAAGTCTTGATCCAGCTGCTACAGAACCCTTTTCTGGTTCTCTTGATGATCGTCTGGTACTCTACAATCCCCACGAGGAGCTCCACCGTTTGAGGGTCCGGTTTGGACGCAATCAGAAACAATCTGGGCTTGACCTTGGGGAGCAAATCAAATACATGCTCCACTGGAATCGTCAAGTTATTCTCAAACTCAAGCAACGTTTCGAAGATCAGGCGCCGTGGCCGGTTGGCGTAGTTGTAGAGCTCTTCGCTATTTTCCAAGTTGCAGAAATCCTGTAGTTTTTCCTTCTCTCGAGCTCCGTCTTCAGTAGACCCATCCACGTAGTGCCAGAGACTAAAAAAGAACGACCGGGTAGGAATCGCCATAATGTCCAAGTGATGCGTCAAGAGGGTTCGGAGCGTCAAATGCCGAGCCTCGATAAGCCCTCCTTCGATGTGTGGAATCGTTCCTTTGATGCTGAGTGGTTTATCTGCAAAAGGAAGCCATAGCTTTTGCAGTTCAAGTAATGTCTGGACCATCTGCGAGCTGTTTGACGGAAACATGCCGACTGTGTCTCCCGGAACGAACTCGAGTCCTTGTGATCGGATCACCAAGTGCCTTACGTCTTGGAAATGGTCTGCTCCAGTTATCCGCCTATTAGTATCGATGGTACCGATTTTCAAGTCCTCCGCTACGTTGATACGAGAGCACGACAACTGCTTGGGAGGCTCTGCATACTCGACGTCGTCGCCGGCCTTATCGATCAACACCGTATTCTGTGGTCGGAGAATTGTCGAATCATTTAAAGGCTTCAACAGCGGGAAATGGCCCTTAATAGAGGTCATCAAATGTGATTCCCATTCGGTGTAGTAGCCATCCAAGCCCTCAGGGCTCTGTTCATCTGCTTCGCAGCGTAACGTGAGTTCTTTGCACCCAAGCTGGAGCAACCGGGTGTGGATCTTTTTGATGGCATAATTGAATTTGGGGTATGAAGAGTCACCGAGCCCAAAAGTGGCGATATAAAGATGATTAAGAAGGTCTGGAGGAAGTTTTTTTTTCAAGATGAACCTCATAAACTTCTTCCCATTGCGAGGTACCTCGCCCTGCCCGGCAGTGGCACAGATTACAATTAAAAATTGGGTTTCGGTCACCAAGTTCTTGAGTGGGTACTCATCAAGGGCTGCCACACGAGGCTTCAACAGCAAGTACTTGAGTCGCTTCAGTAGAAAAATCGCATAGTCCTGTGCCGTTCCCGTGTCCGAGCCGTAAAGGATCGTGATGGCGGTCTTGGGGTTTGCCAACTCCGGCATTCTGTATTTTCTATCTGGTACGACTTCTTTCTAAGCAGCCAAAATTCGCGACTGCGCGAATATTGGTTTTTCTTCAGTTGTTTATTTCGTTCACCACAATGGCTACAAAGAGAAAGTCCACCAGCACGACGGGACTGGCGAGAAAGAAAGCCAAGCTGCTTCCCAGCGTGGAAGAGTTCCAGAACTTCTACCTGTCGTCGTTAAAATTGATTTATGACCTTCGTGATGACGCCAATGAAAGAGTGCTTGTGACCCCGTTCATTAAGCTTCCTCCCAAAAAGTTATATCCCGATTATACTGATATCGTATCTAATCCCATCACTATTTCCGATATTCAGAGAAAGGTGACCAAGGGAAAGTACTCGGGGACTGACGCACAAGAGTTTTTGGACGATTTCAAGCTTTTGCTCGATAATGCTGCTCTTTATAACGAACCAGATTCATGGGTGGTTGCAGACGCCTCCAAAGTGTACGAGTTTGTGCGGGAACAGGTGGCTCAGTTCGTCGACGACGTGGTAGGAGAATCGTCCCACGAACTAACAAATGATGACTTGCTCCAGGCGGCTGAGCAGTTGCTTAACCTGGTGATAGAACACGAGTTTCCTGAAATCGGTGTCATTAGTGGACCTTTTATGGACAATATCAACAAGAAAGAGTACCCCGACTACTTCAAAGTCATCAAAAACCCCACTTCTTTCAACAAGGTGTTGGGAGAGTTGGATACCTCGATCATTATTCCTGAAGATCCGGTCGACGAAAACCTTGAAAGACTCTATGAAGAGACCAAATTGATTTTCTCCAATGCTCAGTCTTATAACGATCCAAACTCGTTGATCCATCAAGACTCGTTGAAGTTGGAGGAGTTGTTTGAAGACAAGTTCCAAGAGTTGAGGACCAGCTTCATTCCTGAAGCAAAACCCTTGAAGTTCAAAATCCCTGCCGTAGCGGCCATTCCTGAAAAACCTGAGCCCAAGAAGCGTGGAAGAAAGAAGAAGGTGGTGGTAGAGTCTGAGCCAGAAGAGCTGGAAAACGATAGTGATGAGGATGACATTGAAGACGAGGAAGTACTTGAAGAAGGTGCTCCTGCTCCAGAAGTCAAGGAGGAAGAAGAGGCTCCTCCGATCCCTACTTTGGAATCTAATGTCATGGGAAGAACCCAGACGCTTGGTTCGACCGACGAAGTGTTCATTAAAGACGCATATATCGCATCTTCTGCTTCCACCGTAAGCCAAATTCTCAGCCAAACCCAAGAGTTCAACAACTACAGAGCTTCACAGCCAGTTTCCAGGTACCAACTTATAAAGGACACTTTGTTCTCCAATGCCACCGACTCGTTGTCTACATTGATCGAATATAAGTTTCCCTCCAACGGCTACTGCACCCAGTCTTATACATTCTCGTTACCATCTGACTCATCCTCGTACATCACCATGAAGTTCAACTTGCATGACTACTTGTTTGGTTTGAAAGAAGAGGATATTCGCAATGGACAAAGCTTTGCAGGAGTTGCCTCTGATGAGGAGTTCCAGTGTAAGCTTTTTGTGAACGATAACGAGGTTGAAAACGGGTCCGATTCCGATGACACCTCCGACGTCAATAGATTGAGGTTACTGTATGACCTCAAGTTGAGTTTTGGGCTCAATATCGTCACTTTCGAATGTAAGGTGAGTCCCAGTGTATCGAAACTCATCAAAAAGTCAAGCACCAAACCCGAGGAAAGTGAAGAGGTTGCTGGAAGACACACCAGACACCAGTTACAACAAATGAAGAGATCGTGGGAAGTTGAAAAATACACCTTCTTCATCATCTGCAACAGCTTATAGAGATAGCCATGTAGTAATGCCATGTATTATATCAAATAGAGTATTATGCTCATCATGCACATAATAAAAGTATCAGAAATACCAGTGCTAAGATTCCTATTTACCAATACAGAAACTGGAGAACACCACCCCAAGAATCTCTTCCACCCCAATTGCTTCCCCCGTGATCTTGCCGATTCCCTCTACCGATTGGCGAAGACACTCAGATGCCAAAACTACGTCGTCTGCATCTTTCCATCTCTCAAACTCATCAAAACCATACAAAACATCCTTGACTAGAAGGTCTTTGACTCTCTCCGAAATACTTACGGGATCCGAGTTCCCAGACAGTGTGATTTCCTGGAAGGTTCCTGTCAAGTGGTCAAGTAGGTTATTAATTCCTTCTCCTGTCTTACAAGATACAGGGAAGATTGGGGACTTGGGTAAAAGCTCAGCAAATTGCAGTACAAATTCCATCTTTTCAGACCCAGATGCCAAGTCCTCCTTATTCAACACACCCACAATCTGCGCATTCGAGGCCTTCAACTCCTCGATGTGGGAGAAGAAATCATCCCCCGTATTACCAAATTCTTTTCCCATCGGAAGAACCACCAAAGCAATATCGCTTCCAAGACTCCGTGACTTTGCTCTCCTTATGCCTTCCGCTTCTATCTCGTCCGCAAGATCAATGTCTCGCACTCCAGCTGTGTCGCCAGCCACGACTTTGTATCCACTGATGTCTAGTGGAATGTCAATCGCATCTCTGGTGGTTCCAGCAATACTACTTACAATAGCTGCATCCTTATTGGCAAGGGCGTTGAGCAATGATGACTTACCTGCGTTTGGAGGGCCTAGCAACGTCATCTGAATGCCTTTCAACAAGATCTGAGACCGTTCGGTTTTTTTAAGAAATTCAAAAATTTGCAACCGGAGTTCTTGAATGTTCAGATTCACATCTTCAACCAATTGCCCTACCTCGTCTATATCATGGTCTTCTCCAAAATCAATCACGGTGGTGAGAAGCGCGATGTTGTTGAGAACCTTGAGTCGCCATTCCATGAACAACTGCTTGTTCTTCCCGGTCATAGAAGATAAAGCTGACACTCTCTGCGACTCGGTCTCAGCATCTATCATCTCTCGTATACCTTCAAGTTCGGTTAAATCTGCTCTTCCGTTCATGAATGCACGCTGCGAGAACTCACCAGGATCCGCGTACCGAATGTTGATGCCAGCACCCGGGTTGTGGAGGTGTTTGATTTCCTTTAGCACCGACTGGATGATTGCAACACCGCCATGAACGTGCAATTCCAACGAGTTTTCACCCGTGTAGGAGTTGGGTCCTTTGAAGAATAACGTTAGAGCTTCGTCAAGAATTATTCCCGTACGCGGAGACCGTATTTGCCGTAGACTTGATATTCTGTGCTGGGGGGTGGTTGTAGTCTTCGTGAGCTGTTGGAACACATACTCTGATTGTGAGCCCGACACACGTATCACCCCGATTGCGGACCGGGAGAGGGGAGTAGACAACGCGTATATCGTGGGAGTGTAGTCTCGGACGGTGCTGTGGCGTCGCACGGCATGTCGTACGGAATTTAGTACAAACGACATGGTCTATTTAACAGAAAAATGATGGGCGATGCGCATCACCAAATTGATCTCCTACACCATGAGAAGAGTATTCATATCAGCGCACAAACCGTGGAGATTCATGGCTCGACAGCTCAGCCAAAGCCATCTACATTTCCACGAGAATCCATTGGGACTCCCAAGAAACCAGGCAGGTGAACCCGAAATGCCTCGTATGCTGAGGGGTCTTCCGGTAAAGCAACGGATCCCCAACGTAAAAAAAGTGGTTTTGGTGGCATCAGGGAAAGGTGGCGTGGGGAAGTCGACTGTGTCTGTGAACACAGCGATGGCTTTAAAGAAGTTGGGCAAGAAGGTGGGAATTCTTGACGTGGATATATTTGGGCCATCTATTCCTAAACTATTGAAGCTTTCGGGAGAACCACGAATTTCCGATACCGGACGACTTATTCCTATGACTAACTACGGATTGGAATCCATGTCGATGGGGTACCTTATACCGCCCGATAGTCCAGTGGTGTGGCGAGGATTGATGGTGATGAAGGCTTTACAACAGCTTTTGTTTGAGGTCGAATGGTCCACTCTTGACTATTTGGTGATAGACATGCCACCAGGAACTGGAGATACTCAATTGACCATCAGTCAACAATTGAAAGTGGATGGTGCTGTTATAGTAAGCACACCTCAAGATATTGCTTTAATAGACGCCGTAAAGGGGATATCTATGTTTGAGAAGGTGAATATTCCAATTTTGGGGTTGGTACAGAATATGAGCTACTACTTATGTCCTAACTGCAGCCACGAGTCTCATATATTTGGACACGAGGGAGCTGCTCGGAAGGCCAGGGAAATGGGCATAGAGGTATTATCTTCTATCCCACTAAACGAGAAGATATGCGAGCAGTCGGATGCCGGCAAGCCCATTGTGGTGGTAGAGCCCGACTCACCGGTGTCAGCAGCATATGTGGAAGTGGCCCAGAAAGTTATTGATAAGATTGATTAGTTGATGGCTGCGAAATCAACTCGCACTTTTGTAAACTTTACTTACTCCACAAATGAGAAACCATGAAATGATTGTTTTATGGATGGCCTTGGCCGTGCTTGTCATTTCTGCAGCCATGCCCGACCTTGCATCGGTTTACTCCAACAAGCCTGCTGTGGATATGAAGCAGATGGGACTACCTGATACAGTTCTGGAAGGATCTTTGAAGTTTCAGAATATGATGCGCACCTTACAGAATGTGAAGCAACGGGTGGTGAACGTTGTGAAGGGTGCAGATTATGGGCCGAGGTTGGATTCACTGAATTGGGCAAAAGGTACGGCAATGACTTCTAAGGTTTCTACTGTTTTTGAACTTCCCACTTCTGAGGTTATTTCTGATATCGGAAAAACTTCTGATATCGGAACAACAACTGAAAGTACTACTGAAAGATATCCAACTACAATTTCCACTCACACCATATCCACTATTCCTATTCCCGTGGTTACCATCACCAAGACAGAGATGCCAGTCCCCCAAACTGTTACCGAAATACTTACCCAACATATTCCTCCTTCCCAAGCCACTCAAACCGCAACCATCACCGAAATATCCGTCCAGATCAGCACAGAAACAACTACCTCCACCGCCACCCTGTCTGTATCGTTGATAGCTCCAACCAACGATAACGAAAAAATACATCAGTACCTCAAAGATCTTGAAGATAAGATTGGCTCTTTGTATCAAAGCCTCGAGTCCCTCCAGCAAATGCCCAAAGAAGAACAGCCTAAGCATGATGAGTTATGGAATTCAGAAGAAGAGACTTCAACAAAGCCACCAGAACCAGTTGAGGTACAAATGTTCAAAGACCTGAATGGTCCCGAATTGGACGAAACCAAAAATGAAGAAACCACAAATACCCTAACTGATAACCGTGAACATGGAACTGGAGCCAAAGATATTCTCAACATGAAGCCTTTGCCATACAAGCTCTCGGTTTCTCCCCAGTTCCAAAATCACCAGAAAGTTGCTCTGAAACCCTCAAAATATGGCAAACCCAAAAAGCCTAACGCGTTTGCGCTCAAGGAATCAAACAACCAGATAAACAATAATGGGGTAGAAGATCTAGTGCAGAAGCTTTTGTCTCCAAAGGGCAACTCGAATCTCCAGCATAAAGAAAACGAGTCAGATTTGCAGTCTATCTACAACCTCATAAATCGGTTAGAGGAAATGTTGGACGAGCCACCCAAAATAATTTCTCCTGGAAACCAAGTTGCCAGTCCAATCAGCAAAACTCCATCTGTTTCAAACAAGGTTTTAAGTGTGGAAGCGAAATCCCTGGAGTCAGCTGCAACTGATGAGTATGAGTATATTCACAAATTCGTTTATGAAGACGGGCTCGAAGTTTCACCCAGTGAGATAGAGCAGCCCCCTACCGGTTCTTCTGGCCCATTTCAGACGTTCAAGTCTAAATCTGAGCTCAATGAAAAATATAGAGAAGAACAAGATATTATCATAACAGGAACGGCAGTTTCGATTGAGCCCAGTTCTAATTCCAATGAAACATCTAGCCACAACCACACCAGGCTACCGTTTCTGATGATGAGAGAAGAAACTGCAGAAGGTATCGCTAAAAACGGTCGTCCATATCGGTTCCACCGTCCGGGCCATGTCCGAACCCGCCATAAAAAGGCTCATAGACAGAAAAACCACACCATCTTCAACTTTGACTTGTTTGGATTCAGGTCCTCAAGCAGTCAGAACCGGGTGGCATGGATGGTGGTTGCTAGCAGCATCTTGTGTACGTTGTTATAGAATATATTACAGGATTTGCAATCGTCAAACCACATCAAAAACAGAGTCTAGCGCGACAACAAAATAATTTTGTTTTGTTTTAAAAGGAATATATTCACAGAAATAGTAAACTACATCCCTATCCCTTGCCTTCCCAACCTCCCGTCAACCCCAACACCCTATTTCCACATCCACAAATACCACGGATATGTCGTTAGAAGGCACTCCTTTGACCCCCCAGGTCACCCGCAGCAAGCCTGCCAAAACCCCCAGATCATCGAAAAAGTCGGTTTTTGATCAAACGTACATAGAGGAAGAAGACCAGACGTATGTTTATGCTGAAGGTGTGAGTGATGACGACGATGATGACGATGTGTATAGTGATGAGGACGACTTGATAGCCGAGTTGGAAGATGACGAAAATACCACCGATGTTGAGAGCGACCTACAAGATAAGGAGATCATAAACTCTGCTAGCCGCAACCAGGTGGAGCCCGAACCGTCCAACACCTTGGGTATCACTTTCGACCCCAGTAAAGCACCCAGCAAGTTCCGGAAGTTTCTTGTCAAACACGAGATTATCAGAAAAGGATTTCATTCGTCGATTGGAGTTGCTTCCTTGTGGTTCTACACGCTTGGAGCCGCCCACACGCAGTTTATCATGCCGTTGGTGGTGTTGTTTGTCATAATTTTTACCAACGACTGTATTCGGTTCAGCAACCCCGAAATAAATAAGATAGTAGTTGAACGTTTCTACTACTTGATACGGGAATCTGAAATTGACCATTTCAACGGTACCTTGTATTATTTGGCTGGATTGATCTTGGTGTTTTCCACTTTACCCAAGGACATTTCGTTGATGAGCGTGTTGCTTCTTAGCTGGGCAGACACAGCCGCTTCGACGTTTGGAAGACAATTTGGCAAATACACTTTCCAGATCACTAAGGGCAAATCATTTGCCGGAGCAATGGCGAGTTTTGCCGCAGGAATTTTCAGCTGCTACTTGCAATATCGCTTCTTCTTTGTGCACTGGCCCCAGGTGAACGAACCCGGCTCGATTATGTGGACCCCAGCCACATCCAAGTTGAGCATCCATGCGTATGCGGTTTTATGCGGTGCGGTAGCCAGTTTTTCAGAGTTTGTGGACTTGTATGGTATTGATGATAACTTCACCATTCCCGTGTTGGGGGGATTTATCCTCTACGGGGTGGTGAAAGCGTTTGAGACCTAGACTTAATTATAGATAATTGTTATATTATGATACTTCATTCATTTAGTGATACCCAGTGACGCAATTAGTGCACCTATTCATAGACATAATTCATTAAATTGTTTCCTTATTAAACTAAGACTTGAACTTCTTGTACTCGTCGTACCCCAAAGTGTGCTTCAACCCCTCGTATGTTTCAAGCTCCATCCATCCCTGGCTCAATCCCTCGCTATAAAACTTCAACGTATTGCTCTTGGACACTGAATTGTAATCAGCCTTTCTGAGCAAGTACCACAAGGTCGTAAGCTGGTCCCACTGTTGTTCTTCTGCCACACTAGGCAAGAAAGTGCCCGAATAATACCGCCCGTCGTACTCAAACGAAAGCTTGAGTCCATGAGTACCAACCTTCCAGGACAAAGCATCGCTGATGGGCGTGAAGTTATCCAATAATGTAACATCACAAGATAAATGAGGGAGCTCTGCCAACGATATTGACGGGAACCGGGGGTCCTCGAGGGCGGCTGTTAACGCAAACCGCTTGACACCCCGTTCAATTGGTTGTGCTGCAAATGTTCCAATACATCCTCTAAGGTTGTCATCTTTGTCCCAGGTGACGAATAATGGAGCTTTATTAGGAAAGCTGTCAGGGGCTTCATGGACCTCCGAAACAATGGAAGCTAATGCAAGTGGCTTGGAGTGCTTGAGTTCCGAGTACAATGTGTCGAACGCATACAAACACAATGCTTTGGACATGATTATGTGTAAGTAAGGGGTGGAAACGACTGCAAATATTCGCACTGCGAGTGATCCACGACAAAGGTGTGCAACAGGTAAAGGTGTAAATACCGCTTGAGAAGCGTATTTTCACCGTTTGAAGAAGGTATGTAACTAGCAGAAGTGGCCAGGATGGGTGAACAAAGAGATCCGAGCAAATAGAGATGAGTGAACAAAGGGTGCAACTTCCAGCTTCACGGTGATGATCTTCATTTGCAGCCAGTCAGGACACAGACTCTTTCACAAACACCACCAGACGGTAATTTCGGTTCTAGTCCATATTATCTAGTGTCTGAGTTCATCCGAAACTTTAGGTCTTTTCTGATGGTGTTCTCCAATTAGCCGACATGTTCTTGTATTCGTGTACAAGACGTGCCGCACACGACCAATGCTCAAGATAACAGATCTTTTCAGTTCGCATTAACCAGCCATTGATCATAACGACTTTCTCACACACCACATCATGGGTATATGCTTATCGTGTCTTCGTCCGAGCGAAGAGGATGATGAGTACAACGAGAGGTCTTCCTTATTGCGAAGCCAGGATTTCTATTCCGATGAGCACCTACAAGAAGAGCTTCTCAAGAAGCAACAGAGACAGCAGGAACTCAACAACATTGTCAATGAGTTATCGGAAAACCTCATCGACGTCAGCACGTTCATGAGCAACAGCACCCTCCAATCCTCAAGCACACCAAATACCCCTAACATCAATGAATACGGTGCATCACAAGATAAACAGTATCCGTACTCCATCTCACCCAATGAACGGGCAAAGATTCTTGAGGAGGTGGAAAATTTAGATCCGGCGGTGAAGGAGGCCTGTAAGGTTGAGGTGAAGGATTCGTTGTACTTGACCTTTTAAGACAAAGGTTACGAAGGCAGGACTAAGTACAGTCATGTAGATTAATGAACAGGCAAAGAGATATGTAGATAATGAATGCTCAGGTAAACCGTACAGGTATGTAGAATGAATGCTCAGGTAAACCGAACAGATATGTAGAATGAATTCTTCGGTATAAACCCACATAGATTAATGAATATAATAAACTTGTACAGAAAATATACGAAGGATATAAAACCGTGAAGTTAAAAATCTTATTACTCACGTACAAACTCACTCAAAGAACTACACTTTATTAATAATTTCCACCACCACACTCTCAACGCTATCAGATTCCTCCAGATCCATCTTCAAAGAATGTCTCAGATTGATGGGATGTTGCCAGAAAATCTCATCTACTCTCTCAATGTCAATACCTCTGGTCTCAACCCAGGTATAATAAACGATAGGAATAAACACCGCATCGTAGGCAGCATTAACAATGTAGAACTTCCAGCCAATCCCATTCATGGCGAATGGCAACACAAACGATGCAATCAAACCCCAAGATCCATTGAAAATTGCAAAAAGTGTCGTTCCTGCACTTCTCATCTCGTATGGATACAACTCAGAAGGATACAAAGTCGTCAAGGGCGTATAGGTGAACGAGTAAAACCCACTAAAAATGAACATCATCGCTATGGCCCCAAATGACCCGGAACGGTTATCACCATCTCCATACTTTTTGACCAACCCTCCTAAAATAAAAAAACTGATAACCATACCCGTCAACGAGATGAGCGCCTGCACCTTTCTACCAATTCTATCAAACACAAGACACCCGGAGCAGGCACATACCAATTGCCAGGCACTCAGCACAATGTTCACTTGCAAACGCTCGGTGGATGAAGAAATCCCCGCTTGGGTCAATAAGATTGATAAATAGTATGTTCCCACCGATGAGCCTGCCATCTCCGTCAAAATTGCTTGGGTGAAACTAATAACAATTTTGTGCAAATTGATTCGAGATTTCAAAAACATTCTCCAGGGACGAGGCTCTTGGATCTTGGCCTTCTCCACCTCAAGCCTGTACTCGTCAAGTACTTTTTGAGTTTCGGCTTTGTCGTTATTATGGGTAATCATTAGCGTTTCAAATGTTTCACGTTCATACCCATTGAGGAATAAAAACTTTGGAGATTCGGGAAGGAGAAGCAAATTGATGACTGCAAAGATCAACGGACCCATCTGCACGAGGCAGGGGATTCTCCAGTTCCAGTTACCAGGAGCGTTTCTCACTCCATAAGTAATTCCAGAAGAGAGTAAAGCTCCAACCAAAAAACAACTGAAAGCCAAACCCATCATGAAACCTCTTAAATGAATCGGGCACAATTCGGCCACCAAAATAATGGCCGAAATATTGGTGATCTGAGCTCCAAAACCAAGCACAAATCTTCCAACCACAAACATGGCGGTGTTCTTCGCTGCTGCTTGTAAAATACCTGCAATCACCAACACCACAATCCCACAATACACAGAAATTCGTCTGCCAAACTTATCATTTAAGTACTGGACTATCGTAAAACACGCAATAAGTTCTCCTGCCCAAGTGGCTGCATTGTTCAACCCGGTGGTGGCATTGTTCAAGTGGAAGTAGGACACAAAAGAGTCCAAATTAAGAATACTACCTGTCATCATGGAATCGTAGCCCATGACGGTAGGGTGGACCATTGACAAGAAACTCACCGAGGCAAGGAACACTTTTTGATTCCTAGGAACCCATTTAGATAAAGGTTTGGTACTTTTGTCGGAGTTGGACATTTAGTGATGAGAAAACCTTAAGAACTTTGCAAACAGTCGTTCAAAAGCGTTACTTAAGTAGTCGACCTGAATCAAGATAAGTATCAAGGTGCTAATGTATTGTTTGCAACGAGTCCACCAATTATATCTTTATAATTGTCATTGGGCCTGGCGGAATATGTCAATCAGTCAAATTCCCAGATTGGTATATCTTATCGCGACAATGGAGTCTCGAGCGAGTTCGCGCGAGATTGATGAATCTCTGTTCGGGTAACCTCGGGCCAACTTTGCAGCCTGGTTGCAATACCAGTATAAAAGCTTTTTGAAACCACCTTAAACAATTTCAACAACTAAAATGGCCCCTACCTCGATACACACCCCTAATTTTATCCCTCCAGACTTGGAAGATGCTGCCAAGTTTTCTGCCATCAAAAAACTCTGCATCAAGCCCGAAAATGTCCAAAAAGTGAAAGCCTCATGGAAGAGGTTGTTAATTGAATTGGAAAAAATGGCCACCGAAATCAAAGCCGAAGGGGAAAACTATATTCCCACTGTCGACTGGAACACAGTGAAGCAGAATAACGGCATATTTCCTGAAGATGTCCTGAAAATGGTCACCGAAAGGGGATGTGTAATTGTACGGAACGTTCTTGATACTGAAACCTCCGAAGAGTACTTGAAATCCATGAGTGATTTTGTTACAAAACACCCTGAAATCGGTGGATATCCCTCTCCCATCACCAATTGGTTTGCGTTTTGGACGGAGGGCGAGGTAAAAGCTAGATCACACCCCGAGATGGTTCAGCTCATGAAAGCCATTAGCCAGTTCTTCTATGTGGAAGATGAGACATTACCAATTGACAAAGAATCCCAGGTTGTCTACCCTGATGCCCTCAGAATCCGGCCTCCTGGACAATCCGTCACTTTGGATCTTCACTTGGACTCTGGCTCTATCGAACGGTGGGAAGACGACATCTACAGGGAATTATACGCACCGATATTGGAAGGCCGGTGGGAAGAATGGGAACCCTGGAGATTGGACGAAAGAGCGTTTGCAAGAACTGACTTATATAGCCACTTGACAGTTCGTCCCACCGCCACCTCAGCATTCAGGGCTTTACAAGGCTGGTTGGCCTTATCATCGGTCAAGAGTGGTGAGGGTACACTCAGGTTATTGCCTAATCTTAAATTGGTCAATGCGTATTCGGTTTTGAGACCGTTTTTCTGGAGAGACGATGGGGAAATCGACTTGGAAACTCCCAAGTTCCCAGGTGCTATTGTGGGCTCAGGCCAATTCTTCTGTGTGGATGAGACCCATCCTCACTTGAGGCAGTTGGAGACGGTCTACAGCATTCCGTATGTTAATGCTGGAGATTTTGTGTTTTGGCATGCGGACGTGGCTCACGAGGTGGATAAGCAGCATATTGGAGACTCCAACTCGTCGGTGTTTTTCAATGCCTACACGCCATTGTGTCCGTACAATGTTGATAATATGTTGGCTACTCGCAAAGCGTTTGAGTGTGGTGGGTGTCCTCGTGACTTTGTTAAGGACATAGCTGCTTCTCGAAATGTGGAGGGACATTTTGAAGACCATGGAGCCAGGAAAGAGAATATTTTGACTGACGATGGTATGAGGGCCATGGGATTCATGAAGTTCGATGAACAAGAGGAAGGTTTGACTCCGGGCCAGAGACTTGCAAGGAAGCTTGCCAATGACTCAATGGATACCGGAGTTGCTCCAGAGTACAATTTTAAATGTAAATAAGTAGCGTATAATATGAAGCCTAAGAAGTAAGAGAAACTGGTAGTACAGGGAATGAATTTGTCACTCAAAAAGGGGATGTTTTCAATACAAGAATGGGAACAGACAAAACATTTGTCAAAACAACAATAGGGCCGGTAAAGAAAACCAAGGGCATACGGCAAAACCGTCAAGTACCTAACCTACCGAATTTAAATGACACGCATTTAGCATGGTGATTACGGCCCGGATTTACTCCTTATCTCTGTACCCCTTTCGGTGACCCCCGACTCAACAACCTTATCCATGCACAACCACAGTTTTTTTGCAGCCAAATCCAGATCAGCGATTGTCAACGTGGGGGTCGTTAATCAACGGTGATCCACCCCACACTCCGAGGGACCTCCGGGTCCCCCACCTTCCCAATCTCCCATCTACTCTCGTTTGCAAATTATGGTGTTTACGCTTCCTCTGCTCTGTACTTCCTGCAGTGCGCGTACTCCACGATAACAAAATCAAAATCTCAATCCCATCCATGGAAACAGTACGAATCACCAAGCGAGTGCCCAAATCGTGCGAAGACTGCTATCGACGTCGCGTCAAGTGCAACAAGCAGATTCCCTGTGATGTGTGCCTCCGACGGGGAACACAAGACACCTGTCGACGAGAGAAAGTGATGGTCAATGGCCGGGTGTTCAATGAGACCTCCACCGAATACACCAAAGCACTCGAGCTCAAGAACCGTTTGCTCCAAAAGGAAAACAATTACTTAAAGGCAAAGATGGAAGAGTTGCAAAACACCAGCTCCAATTCCACGACCAATGTTGCCGACTCTGAAACCCAGAAGGTAAGTGAGTACGTACACTTTGGTAAGACCGCCAGTCTCTTGAACCTCGTATCGCAAGCGTCGTCCAAGATCGACTATACTTACGACGACTACGACCGGCTCCTGGTGGTCTTGACGTACGAGGTGTCGTTGGAGTTGATCCGGTTCAACTTTGATCTGCTCTACTTTTTCCATGCGGTGGTGATCCCGGAGATCTTCCTCAAGGAACACGAGCAATTCTTCACCACCGACGGACAGCACATCAACAACCAGATCCTGAAGACCCGCGATGAGTATTTGTGGCTTTCGGTGTATTATGCGTTAATCAGTAACTCGTTTTTCCTTCTTGACTCCCACCACATGAAACAGCTTCACATCGATGAAACCCATGCCAACCGGCTTGGAACCATCGCCTGGTATGCCAGCATCGAGAGTTTGAACCGTGGGCAGTATCTCCAGTTCCCCGATGTGCGTAGCTTGCAAACGTTTGGAATTCTAGCCACCTGCCTTCGGTTTTTTGGACTCCACACCCAGAACACCCTCCTTAAGATAATGATCTATATTGCCCGCAGCTTGAACCTCGATAAACTCGTCAAGCCCAATAAGGACTTGAACTTGTTGAACTTTGAGCTCAGTTGCCGGATCTGGTGGCTCTTGGTGGTGGTGGACTGGTTTGAAGATACCTGGAACAATCGCAGCAGCGAGATTAACGACTTCACGACCCCCCGGCCCCGTAACATCTCGGACTTCAACTTAATCAATTCCATCGAGAGCGAGTCGACTGAGTTCCTCCCCATCACCTTCAACTTGTTCATCTACGACTTGTCGGACTTCAAAAAACATTACTACTATACCACCACCACCGAAACCACCGCCGACACCACCCGTCTACAGCACTTGGAGTATGCGGCGGCCAAGATCGAGTCACTTCGCACCAAGATGGACGTGTACTCTATTCCTGCCAATGCCGATAACTGTGTGAAATTCGCTCAGTTCATCCTCAGCTGCAAATTCAGCCATGAATTGTTGGTGGTGGGACGACATACCATCAACTGGAAGCAGGCTCACGATCTTCTGTTTGGTCCTGAAATCAAGATGTGCACCGATAGCAGCGTCAACATGATCGGGTTGGTCAATAATCACAATTATCCCGATTTCTACAAACGGTACTGGCTTGTTCCCGAGCACAGTATCAATGGGGCAGTTTTCCTCTTGCTCAACATCATCTTGGATGAAAAAAGCATCAACGTACACAAAATCAAGGTGATCGAGGTCTTCATTGTCAACCTCCAAAAATACATCAACGTGCCCAACAACCCGATATCCAACGGGATGCGTATTCTCAAGAGACTCGTGGAGATCATCCAGCAGAAGTTTAATAATGAGTCCTACCGGTTAGAGATCAGAGAGGTGAGCAATCTTCTTACGCAGTTGGAAGATTTCCAGAAGGTCTACAATTACGGAGCCAATGGTTCACCGGCATTTCTTCATGACAAGTACTGGGATGAGTTCCTCCAATGGATGTCGCACGAGACCTATGCATAGAAGCTTCCAATATAGAGATTATGCATGGACAGGAGTTAATACCATTTGGGCCAAATTGCTGTTGTTCCCCACAACGTCTTTCGGGAGGTTTCGGCAGCAAGTTTAAGCAAAGGTCATACCCCACACTTTTTTGCCTTCATCCCGGTGGAGGCGGGTACTCAATTAATGGCAGCTACTATAAGGTTATAGGTAGGGTTTACGGATGATTAAACTATAGATCCAAATTGGGGCCACAAATATATGGTGTAGCAATTGTATATTTCTGCGATCCGTACCATTTGATAATTTTTGATCCCGTGATATCACCAATCGGAAGCCTCAATCATACACAGGGCGATAATCACTAATGCTACGGGTTGATGGAACACTTCTATTGCAGATAGAGGGTTTCCCCACATTTTATTTGAATAGCCACAGCAAGTCCGAGAAACCGAGGTGACGCTTTTGCAGACAACCCCTTTAGGAGATAGGCTCCTGCAACGCCTCTTGAATTGGCCTAAGCAGGTAGTGCTGCGTTATAACCTTACATGTCACCTGCCTGATTGGGAAAAGGGTCAGGCCGAGCGCATATTTGTGGTGGGGTTCAAAGTGCAGGTTACGGCGGACCACGACTTGCGAGAGCGCATCCGTCCTTCCGTCAGACCATGGACATGGCAATATTGGCCATATCTGAATCTTCATTTGTCTAGTAATTGAACCCCTGGGACTTACGGATACCTTCTCTATGTATATATCTCATTATTCCGGTAGAGGTTACTAAATTTCGCCTGGCTATGAGGCTCAATTTTACCGATGGTTGGTAGCCGATGGCAACACCGCAGCCAAGATTATGTTCCTGACGGCAATAAGCCCCAAGTAATTTACAGGTTAGCGCGCGGTTACGGTCTGCGGCCCTCCCTCCACAGCAAATTCTACCTCAGTCCGACAGCATAAAATACACTTTGAGTCGAATTTAATTAACTGTCCCTAACTTCACTATTAACCCTCCCCGTAAAGTTATAAAAAGAAACCTTATACTCCTAGTTTCATTTACTATTTATACGTCTGCTATCCGGTATTTTTTATATCTACCTAAATCTCCCCAAAATGTCTATGAACAATGTCGACGAGTTGGACATGTTAAACCATTTCTCCTTGGATATGGTGTCTACCGATATGAACTTTGAACAGGCTTACTCGATGTATAATCACTTACAACAAGAAAATGCCCTCAACGCCATCGAAGACCTTCAAAAAATTCAGGATATGAACTTGATGAAGTATAAATATGATAGACCTCAGCTGCCGCAACCATTGAAAAAACAGAAACTCAACCACCCTCCACAACCGCCCTCGCAGTCGCAAAGTGAGGACGAGGAAGAGGACGACGAAAATGAAGACTTTGACCGGTTTTTTTCCAACACCGAATCCAACGCCTTGGAGAAGTTTTTGGACAACTTAGCCAATCCCACCAACCACAACCCGTTGGACCTTTATGCCCACCAGTTCCAGTTCAAGCCCAAGCAAAAGCCCGCCAAACAAGATGTGGCTAATGCTTTTGCTCATCCTCCCTCCAATAGTGTGTTTGCTTCGCAGGTAGAAGTACAACATGATTCAAGTCTCAACACCCAGTTACCCACGCCAGAGTCTCGCCAGTCGTCCATCGACGAAGACTACGAGATGTCCAAGCGGTCCATGTCGGTGGAAGACTTTCCCGACTATGCGGATTATGAGGCCCACGGGGTGAAGAGATCTAACCCCAAGCCGTTGTTGTCTTTGGAACAGAGACGTTTAAATCACTCTCATAGTGAACAAAAAAGAAGGCAGCTATGTAAGCTTGCCTACGAACGATGCTTGCGGTTGATCACTAACTTCGAGTCGTACTCCAAAAAACCCCCTGTGAATAAAAAGAGCAAAAGAAAACAGTTTACCAAGGACGGCTTACCGAACTTGCTGAAGCACTGTGCGTTGATGAAGATATCTCATGAAATGACCAAGATCAAGGGTCAGAACGATGGCTTGAAGCGGTTGTTGGAGATGAACGGGGTGGTATAGGATAGGGCATTTGTATAAGTATAACGATTAATGATTATGATATTTATTGTCTTTTGTAGGACTAATACGTGGATTAGGGTTATTAAGAACTTAGGCTGAGATGGGTTTAACCTAAAACGTGCCCTAGTAACCGATTTAAGGATTTAGTTCTTTAAATCAAAGTATAAGCTGTGCCCATAAAGAAACAGAAACCTTAAAGTTCTACGTTGAGTGAAAGGTTTTTGATTTCAAAATATTCAAGAAGTTTTTTTGAATTTTGCAACTTTCAGTCAAAGAGAAAAGACCGAAATACACAACTTCAACGTCCTCGATACTCCTCTCAAACCAGATCTCCCCCGTATTGGCAATCCCCTACTCCTCGCTTCTCAAGCGAATATTCCACCTATGCTCACTCTTGCCCTTAGTCTTCCCTGTTCTCCATCCTGTCTCACTATATACTGAAAAATTGACGCGCACAAATTCACGTAAACATGTTTGGTGATAAAGAGCAACTTTCGGTATTGGAAAAGCTCCAATCTGCCAGGGTTCCTCAGACTTCCTTCCCGCCCACCCATGAGTTGCACAAGATAAGAGCTTCCTTCGACTACTTGTATGTCATCAACTGGTTGTACAACTTTAAAGGATATCTCAGGTTATCGTCAGAGTACTTTGATGTGGAGTTGTTCGAAATGGAGTTGCTTAATCTCTTAGATCCTCCACCATTGGATGAGTCGGTGTTATTTATCAACAAGCTCAAAACTCAGATCATCAACCACCTCACGAACTCGGCCTCGAAGTTCCTGGCCCTGGATTTCGATATGGTTATTAAGCGATTCTTTGTTAATACTCCATTAGGTGATGCAGACACCGCTACCATCTTTGATACCTTGAAGTTGAGTGAAAAATTCGAGGTCTTGTTCGTTATTTTGAACTACTTGTCTTCCTTGGCTAACTTTAGGTTATTTTTGGATAAGACTCCAGATGTTGATTTGAGTTTGAACGCTCATATACTAAAGTCTTCCGATACCAAGAACAAACGAGAAGACTATTTATTGCTTTTCAACCTGACAAAGGTTTACAAAAGAACGATTGAGTACCCGGAGTTGATTGTTCCAAAGAAGAGAAAAGATGCTCCTGAAGACCCAGAGGACTTTTTCTGGGACCAATTCGATGTGGATTTGGCCCAAGTATCGTTTAGCGTAGAGGCATGGACTTTGGACAATTTTAACCAGTTCATAAAGACACATAAGAAGAACCTGACCTTCAAACTGTTGACCACAAATGCATTTCAGGCCAACGTGGTTTCGTCTGAGATCAAGAAAAGAAGGATCATCATGAACAGAAAGAAAGAGTACCAGATGATCAACTTGATGGCCACCAGAAAAAGATCTTCCAGAATAGAGGCCAAGGAACGTCAAAAACAGCAAGACATTGAAGATATAAAGGCTCAAAAGGAAAGAGAAATGAGATTGGCTATAGAACTCGACAAAATTTCCAAACCTTTGAACTATAACTCAAACGTTTTGAGCAGAGAAGAAAGGTTGAAAATGAGAAAGTTAAATACGGACTATAGAAAGGACTCTTCTCAGCCAAAGAGTGTATCTCCAGAGGCTGTGAAGCTGGAAACCATTAGCTTGACCCCGGACATTGGTGAAGCAAAACCAAATATTGAAGAAAAGATTGAAAAGATTGAAGAAGAGATCATCGGCCATAAATCAACCAATGGTGAAGAGAAACCAGAGCCTATAAACTAAACTCTCAACAACCATCTAGGTATATAATAGACTACTAAATTTAACGAGATTAAGTTATGTCTTGAAGCTAAAAATAAAAACCAGCAGAAATGCAATTAGAAAAAGGACATTATAATTTTAGTTCATTTAAGATTTGACCTGCCAAAGTCTTGTAATTCCAGGTGTTACCCAACAACTTCTTGAATTGTACACCATATAATCCAACCAAGGGGAATTTTACCACATGTATTTCGAATTTCAAAGGTGATCTTTTGGTCTTTAACTTAGACTTATGGTCTACTCTGGAAGAGAACAACATATCGGACCCACCTCCAATCATCAAATTCCCAACCGAGTCAATCGAATCGTCATCGGTGATTTGCTTCATCTCGGTCTCATAGTCGTCGGAATCTTCGAGATTACCGTACAACAGCTTATTAATCCTCGCAGCAGCTGGAGTGTTCGGAGGCATGATTTGACTTTGGGATCCGTTCTTCTTTCTGTACGATCCCAAAATATTAGCTCCAATGGAGAACTTTCTTCTGTGTCCACGCTCACTTCCCACACTACTGATTGAACTAGATTGCCGATGATGTCCTTTTGGAGTTGACAAGTTTTGAGTGTTCAAGTGCAAAGATGGCTGTCTGCTTGGTCCTCTAGAATTTCCTGATGGAGATTGAAGAGCTGGCACACCATTGGTACCCACAGGCTCGATAAGTTCGGGAGTTTTGGATCTTTGTTCAATAGAAGACGACGTAGACTTGAACGCGTCACCATATAAGCGATCTTCCTCCGAATCCTTTTCGTTTTCGGTGCCAGTAATATCTTCAACTTCTTCGTGTTGCAAAGAAGGTGCATGAGAACAAATGAATCCACCTTTAACCTCTTGGAACTTAACACCAAGACTTGTCAATACATTGATAATACTGTATCTGATAATCGGCAAGGGCTTGGTAGATGTTGTCTGAACACTGAAAAACCCTTTGAGAAACAATGTTTTGGGATATTCAATTGAGGGCATGGTGTTTGGTTTGGCGTTGTTGAACTGCTCAATGATTTCATCTTCACTCAATTGAGGTATTTCCTTGACATCTAGCTCTTCGTCTAACAAAATATCATCAAAGAAGCCATCGTACAAGAGTTCTTCCTTCTTGTCCTGAGCCACCAACTCATCACTATTTTGAGTTCCCATAGTATTAGGCAATGGACGATGTTGACTCGTTGGGGCTCTGTATTTTCCACCTTGAGAGTCTCTTCTAATATGACCGCCAACGGACTTAGATCTAGCGGTAGGATGCATGGTCTTGCCAGAATTAGCCGATGAGTGCTTAGCAATAATTTTGTTGGTCTCTGCGTCAATACTTGGTAATGGGGGGAGGTTTTCAACAGGAACAAAGCCATGCTTGTTATTGATAGATACGTTGATGGATTGCGATCTTCCATGCCCTGTTCTCTTTGGTTCTCTAACAATTGGCTTCACCGTAGCTTGTTGTTGTTGCTGTTGTTGTTGTTTATCAACTACGTTCAACTTAGAGCTTCTGGAATCAGACTTCTCCTTGGCAGTCACCTTCATACTAACACCTCTACGAACCATAGGGTCCCTCTTGGAAGGAGATGATCTCTCTTCGAAATCAGATCCAGAGTCTCTAGAAGAATCTTGAGTTCTTTGAGGTGAAAGGTTACTACCTCTGGTAGGCTTTTTAGCGGAAAGTCTTCTCAAAAGTGAGTTGATACCCTTTCCAGTGCCATCAGAAGGTTCTTGCACAGGACTTTGTGGTTGCTGCTCGGGAATAGGAGAACCTATATCATTAGAATACTCTTGTGACCCAGTGGTCTTCATGTGAGGAGACATTGAGGTGTGCGCTTGTTCGGGGAATGAAATCTGAGGTGGAGCACCAACCAACTGAGGAGGAGGTATAGGCCTTGGTTGTTCGGTGACAATTGTTGGAACACCTTTCTGGGCTATTTGGGCAACTTGAGCTACTGAACCTTGAGAAGATTCTTGTTGTTCTTGAAGCTTTTTCCTTTCAACTTCCTGTAATTGAACTTTAACAGCTTCCTCTTTAGCCTTCTTACGTTTCTTCATTTCGTCCACCAAGTAATAAATGGAAATCAACGGGTGGAAACCTCCAGTTGGATCCGGCAAAATATGAGCATTAGATGCTGAAGCATAGTCTCTGCCTTGTTCCATTATTTTGTACCAGTTTTCACTACTCATATGATATTCAACACTGCCAACAATTGAGGTCAATTCGTCCGACAAGGATTGATAGTCACCCAAGTCGAATGTGGAAATAGCCTTAATGATATCAGAATCCAAAGGTAAGGTCAAAGGGGTTCTTTTTGGAACATGGCTGGATATGGCAAATTCATAACCCTTGTTTATCCAAGGATGATTGATAACCTCATACAAGGTAGCTCTTTTGGATGGATCCACCTGTAACATCATTGATAATAATGAGATACATTCCTTGGACAAAAACAGGGGATACTCAACGTTGGCCTTTTTAATCTTTTCATGCAATACAGACACAGACTGATCATCAAAAGGAACCTTGCCACAAACCAAGACATACAAAACAACCCCGAAAGACCAAATATCAACTTCAGGACCAACATATGGTTTAGCACACAAGAGTTCAGGAGCAGCAAAATACAACGAACCACAATAAGTCTTCAATAAAGACTTGGGTGAGTATAAATTAGACAAACCGAAATCGATGATTTTTATATCACCCTTTTGGTTGATCATGATGTTTTCAATCTTCAAATCCCGATGCACCACATTGTTTCTGTGACAATAGTCCAAAGCAGACGCAATACCTCTAGCAAACTTTCTAGCATGCTTCTCCTTCAAAGAACCATGGGCCACAATATAGTCTAACATCTGACCTCCCTCAACATATTCAAACAACATATAGTAGTGATTGGTCATGGGGACAATTTCATATAATCGACACACATAAGGATGGAATAATAACCTCCCCAAGGCCCCTTCCCTGGTGGTTCTCTTATCTCTAGCGATTTCCTTTTCAAACTCCTTCTGCTTCTGTTGCAATTCCTGCTGGGTTTGTGGTGGGGGGTCATCTTGATGAGCTCTTTGATACAACTTGGCTGCACGAGGGACAATCTTCACCGCACATATTTCTCCCGTCGAGTTGTGTTGAGCCAACTTGACTTTTCCCATAGAACCGGCTCCGATGGTTTTGACAAAATTCCAGTCACCTATGGACTTTCTATGAAACGGTTGCTGCTGTTGCTGGTGTTGATGAGGTGATTTGTGAGTGCTACTGCCATGGGTAGGCTCATGCTTACTGAATTGGGGCTGGTGCTGGGTACTACTGACAGGCGCCATTTTTATCGACACCTTTGAGTTCATCGTGCTTCCAGGATTTGAGTTGCCCGAAGTTGACATCGACACGGGAGGAAGCAACTCGTTTGGCTTTTGTGCCAGAGCCGCCATAGCCATTTGTTGCTGGCTAATGAGTTTGGGGTTCATGGGAGGAAAGTTATCGGGAGCAATTCTGGACGGAGTGCTGGGGCCAGGAGTGGTGATGGGTTGTGTGGCAGAAGGAACCCTTCTATGTACTGGGGTATGTGGAGTTAACATCAGGTCTAATTGTTGCGGAGGCTGCTGTTGGAAACTGGGGTTCCGGGAGTGCGAGCGGTGGGTCTGGGACGACAGCAACAGGGGAAACTCATCTAGGTGGCGAGGAGTTGGCGATAAGGCCGGGTCTGCGTTCACGTCACTGCGAGAGCTTCTAAGGCTGCCACTAACGCTGCGTAGCATCCTTGGAGTAGCCGGTTGGCCTGGGCGCGTCGTGCTGGCACTGGTGGCTGGATGAGGTGCTTGTGAGGACTGTCCCAGCATCTGGGGAGCCAGCGGTGACGCTGGACTACCACCATACTGGAAATTCATGGGTTGGTCACCAAACGGATTGGACCTTTGATAATCCTGATTGTTCATGAGGGTTTCTCTAGCGGCGATGGTTCGAGTCGATACTTTATACAGCCGTGTCGGCAGGAAAGAACAGGTTACCAATCAATAAACCTGCAAGATCAAAGTAACAGGTATGCTTAAGATAGCTTAGATACACCGGCGCCAAGCAGAGCAAAGCGATATAAAGATGCTTAATGACAGAACTTTGACAGGTGGCACGACTTAGGTTCAATTGTGCCGTTCTGGAGTGTCTGCTTGAATGGATTCTTCAAGGATTGGTGTTGTCGATGAAAAATGGTAATGCAGCGCCTTTATCCTTAGTTTTTAATTTTTGATAGCCGCAGACAATGAAAAATCCTGCGACTGGCGGTGGTCGTGTGCCGGTGCGTGTTGGACAACGGGTTGTGATTTATTACGTAGAGGAAGAATATGATCGTTTTATTGAATATCTAAGCAAACAGTCTAGTGTTTGTGGTGCTTCAAGTGGGATTGGTATTCCCAGGTGTAACCCAAGATCACAATGGCAACAGCCAAGTGCACCAAAGGTTTACCGGAGGCGTTGTCACCGTCAAAGAAGGCAGCCTTGTATTTGGCCAATGGGGTGATTGGCTTCTTTGGGGCTGGGGCTGGGCCTGTGGGCAACTTCTTGTAAAAGGAGACGACTTCAGCCATTCTTTTGGCGTTTGGGTTCGAGCCAATGTTCTAGACGAGTTAGTATGTTTGATGAGTAATGGGATTAGGCTTGTGATGGGATCAGACATCGGTAGCACGGTGCAATGTGTATGGGGGCTTGATAGGTAGGGAAGGAAAGGGACTTAGGAATTGGAAGTGAAATGTATGGACTTGGGAGTTAAAGTCAAATGTATGGAAAGAAGGCCTTTGACATGTAATACCTGGAGATACGAGGAGCTTGAGTGACGAGCGGAGGACGTAAGTGATAGACCCATTGGTTGCAAGCACCACCAAATTCATGGACACATATCGTCAAACACAGTAAAACAGCTGGAACACTCGGGTATGTGTACAAAAACTCGGGAGTCCCACACTTTTAACAGGGAAGGGAAAAACAGCTCCATGGCCTAGAAAGACTAACGGGTACCTTCCATCTTAAGTCAAAACGTCGTGATTGATCATTAATAACATGGGTAATACATCCTTTCTCAATGTCAAACTTTCACACATAACATAAATTTGTCCTATATTTTGGACCCATAAAATACTCACAGGCGCATATAAGTTACATACCTTAGCCGAAGCAATCTTTGGGGGGATCAAAGTCGATAATTGTCTTCTGATGATGAATGACATGGTTACTCTGAGTATGAAAAGTTTTGAATGTTTCTCGGTTTAGCGCTCACTCGCGAAACTCAAACTTATTGGATGAGAAAAAAGTTACACAAAGCCACCCACTTGTGACACAAAGTGGTAGGTTCAACAACTTCAGAAAATGTGTATATTACAAGCTAGACTAAATGTAGCCACTTGGGCTATGCCATACGTACCCAGGCAGGTAAGCTACCTCATACTTTACTGATGTATAAAACTGGTGGCTGTTAGTATAAAAAAATCGAAAAAAAACCCTAAAGGTCCTAGAAACGTCAGGGAACACATACCGTTATTACCTCTGATGAACACATCGCCGTACTTGGTGCCACTGGCGGCACCTCCTATAAATTCGGCGGTGGTGTCCATTACAATGTTCATGAAGCCATCGATGCTCTGCAAGTTTCCCACGTAGGAAACGCCGTTATTGAGCTTGACGCTCACCTTGGACCCAATGATACCGCTCAAGAACGTCGACGGATCGGTCTTGATGCTGCTGTTACTGGAAACTTCAGACATGGTAAGAGATGGTGATTATGAAGCAGTTTGTTTGATGAGAGCTAAAAGAGTGCGAACTGGTGTAGTGCACCAGGCCAAAGCTACCAGTTTACTTGATTGCAAAGTGTATGTTTTATGTACATGTGGACAGCAGACTTGAAGAAGTGATTCAAAGTGGACATGTAATTATATGTAAGCAATTGTATAGTTCCCATCCCTTTTTCCTGCTAAAAAGGCCATTTTCTCTTCTGCAGCTCTGTTTCTCTTACGGGGTGAGACTTTTTCACTCTCGTAGTTCCACACATAGATGCGAATGCTTCATTTGCTGACCAGACATTTCACCAGGTCTCTGAGAGCTCTAGTCCCAACTTACCGGGTGGCCATGGTCGGCTCAGGTCCTGCTGGATTCTACACCGCATACCACCTCTTGAAAAAGTCCCCGACAGAAAAGTTCAACATCAAGGTGGATTTCTTCGAAAGACTACCTGCTCCATATGGCTTGAGTCGATACGGAGTGGCTCCCGACCATCCTGAAGTCAAGAACTGCGAAGAGTACATGAATGATATCATGGAAATGAAGGACCGGGTCCGGTTCTTTGGTAATGTCAATATTGGTGAAGATATCTCCATTAAATATCTCCAACAAAACTACCATTCAGTAGTATTGTCTTACGGATGTGTCAACGCCGATGCCAAATTGGACATCCCTGGAAGCCATCTACCAGGTGTAGTGTCTGCCCGCCAGTTTGTCAATTGGTACAATGGACATCCTGATTTCTACTCCCACACCAGCTTCGAGCCTCCACCACTTCACAAGATTCAGAATGTTACAATCATAGGCAACGGGAATGTCGCTTTGGACGTCGCACGAGTGCTACTAGCTGACCCCGAATCACACTGGGCTCCTACAGACATAGCAGCTGATGCAGTGGAGGTGTTGAAGACTAGTTCGGTGAAAACCGTCAATATTATTGCCCGTAGAGGTCTTCTTGAAAGTGCTTTCACCAACAAGGAGCTAAGAGAGTTGTTAGAGTTGAGCAACACCGGGAAGGTCAGATTTGTACCTGTGAGTGACGATATGTACGATGCTCTTGCTGGTTTTGTGAAGAAGTTGGATAGAGTCAATAAGAGAAGAGTTTCAATTCTCGACAAGTATTCTAAACTTGAGGTGTCAGACATCGAGGCAGAGAAATCCTGGTCACTTCAGTACTTAAAGACGCCTGTTGCGTTTGTGGCCAGTGAAGATGATCCTCAGCTTTTATGTAAAACTATTTTCTCGAGAAACGAAATAGTGCCTGACAACGACGGGTACAAAATAGTCGCTTCTACCAACACCGACACCGTGGAGCTTGAGAACGACTTGGTGATTCTTTCCATCGGATACAAGGGCTCGGCTCTCAATGAATTTGATGCTAATGAAATGACTTTTGATGACAGACAGAATCGAATTCTCAATGGCGGTGGAAGAGTGATTTCTTCCCAGACCTCCGACCCAAAACTGCCGGTGTATAAGGCTGGGTTCTACACGTCCGGTTGGATCAAAAATGGGCCTAAAGGGGTGATTGCCTCCACTATGATGGACTCTTTCGACACTGCTGAGAACATGATTCAGGATCTCGCTAATGGCGTACACACCAACCCAACTTCATATGAGGTGGACGACAAGTTGGCCAGTTTGAACTATGTCTCGTGGTCCGGCTGGCAAAAGTTGAATGACTTTGAACTAAAGGACGGGGAGAAAAAGGGAAAAACCAGAAATAAAGTGTGTATTCCAGAGCTGATGTTGGCTATTGCTTGTAAATAATTGTATAACTAACGTTAGGTGCAACCAGTGATTTTCACAAAGTAGGAGGAGTGTGCCTCCTTCTCCTGGAATATCGGGTTCAAGTTCTGGAGAATCGCTGGTTTACTGTAGTCCATGTTTGAAACGTCCCAGGCGTACAGAGACATTCCCTCGCGAAGTATGTTTTCTGGAGAATGAGGAAGTTCTGGTTTGTTAATCACATATTTCACTCCACCGTGTCGGTAAACGCTGGTGGGGGGAAGCAGAGGCACAATATCGCCTTCATGAACCACTCGGATGTATCCGTGGTGCAATTCTTTATGTTCCAAGGACATGGCTGCAACTTTCTCACTCTCAAATAAAGTGTCCACAAACATCATCATCTCTTTATTTCCAATTTTAGGGCTGGCATAGGTGATAACAAGTGGATTCAAGCCCATAAGTTGAAGTTCAATACCACTTAAAAGAGCCAACGTTGCCCCTAGAGAATGTCCTACTACAACCAACTGGTAATCCTTATGCTGTTTCCAGAGCTGATTAACCTCAGTTACAATACTGTAAGCATCTTTCTTAAGGAAATTGTAGAAACCTCTGTGGACACGGCATCCGTCACAACCCACTTTCTCATATCCATTGACCAAGTTGATCAAAGGTTCATATTTCATGGGGAATATATCAATATTCGCAAGCCCGTCTCGTCTGGAGCTTGTACCTCTGTACACCAAAATGATCCGTTTACTTCTGATGTCAATGGCATATAACCCCGCTCCGACATCTCCCATCTCGTTGAAGTTGAAGGTAGAAATAACTTGTAAGCCTTTGTACTCATCCAACTGGCACCTTGCAATAGGACACTGTGACAGTTTTTTCCCAAGGGGACCGGGTTGTAACCCGTGCTTGACACAATACGCAAAGGACGCTATGTTCGCGTACTCCACAAGCAGCTTGTAGTCAGATGGATAACTATCCACTGTGTTCTTGTACTCGGTAGCACCCAAACCACCGGTAATCAAAAATATTACCAATAGTAAAAAGCTGGATATCATGTTTGCAACTTTGAAAGGCCACAATTGCGAGAATCTATCTTTTTTGCAGCCACGTTAGTTACAACCAGAAATTTTAACAAAGTAGTGAACATGTTCAAAATTGGTAAAAATCTCAGGTATAATCCGTAAAATCTTGTCAAGGTCAGCACTAACTGACTTAGAGTCGTCATAATTGTATACTCCCACCCGTTGTATGTCCTTTGGTAAGTGTGGTAGTTTCGTACTGGTAATGAGATATTCAACTCCACCGTGGACGTATGAGATACGGCTTGGAGGTAGCATGGGAACTATATCATGCTTATGAACAACCCGTATGAACCCCTTGCTCATCTGCTTTTGCTTTTGCGAAAGGATCTGAATTTTTTCAGAGTTGAATATTTTATCAACGTATCTCATCATCTTCTTATTACCAACACGAGGACTAGCAAAGGTGACAACCAAAGGATTATATCCCAATAACTGGAATTCAATCCCACTCAAAAGAGCAAATGCCCCTCCCAAAGAGTGTCCAAGGACGACTAATTCATAATCTTCAAGCTGCTGCTTCAATTCGCTAACAGCAGCAATGACTGTTTTACAATGTTCTTCGACAAAGTTGTAGAATCCTCGATGAACCATACAACCATTACAATCCACCTTCTCAGCCGCTTTCTTCTTATCTAGTAGGTTGAAAAGGGGCTGGTATGGTTTTTGAATGAAATCGAGGTTAGCAAACCAATCTCTCTTGGTACTGCTGCCTCTGAACGCTAGGATTATCCTTTTTTTTTGGTAATCGACACCGTAAAAGCCAGAACCAACACTTTTTAAGGTGTTGAAGTCGAAAGTTCTTAGAACCTCAATGTTAGAAAACTCAGGGTACTTGCACCTTACCCCGGGACAATGAGAGTCTTCTTCTCCCAATTTGCCTGCTTGAAGACCGAATTGGGTACAATAGGAAAACGAAACAATGTTAGCGAACTCCACCAACTTCTTGTAGTCTTCTGGAACTGGCAATATGGGTATATTTGCAACTGGAGTTGTATGATTTGAAACTGGAGACCATACATTATTTGCAACTACTAATGGTAACAGAAGAATTGAAAACACCAAAAAAAACATTCGAAACATCTTAATACTAGAATTCTTGGATAATACAAGCATTTATATGAGCAGTACAGCCCATAAAGCCAACTGGATTACGAGCATAACAACTTTACATGTCTAGATTGTCTATTGAGAAACACCTAAATAGTGTACAGGTCATGAGTCGTAAGGGATAATCTTCAAGAGGCATCTAGACAGCTGACTGCCGCTTCATAACTAGCGGATTATATTAAAGACATCTGCTCTCCTGGTGAAGCTTATAACATTGGATCTTGCAGAAGAACAAACCACAACTGTTGCATCTGGCATAGCTCAGCAAGTTGCTGCAAATGCAACACAACTTGATTCTGGGACGGGATAACTTGGTGGGAGAATTCTTTTTGCCCTTATTATTTGTATCTGTCGAGTCTAGTTGGTCAAGGTACTGATAATTCAATCCCAAGATTGAATTTATGGACACCAAGTTTCTCTCTTCTTCAAAGTACAGATTCAAGTTACGGCGCGCCGACAAGATCTTCTTGGTTCCAGGGGTATTGCCCTGTCTTGAACCTGTACCTTTACCAGCTCTGTTCTTATATTCAAAGTTCTTGGGTAAATCAAAGGTAGATTGACTAGTTTCCTTGCTCAAGTCCAAGAGTCTCTTTGTCGCCAGCCGCTCGAGCGTAAGCTGCTGTGACGACTTCAACGGGCCCGAACTGAGCTGGGAACTGTCGCTTGATTGGATCTGTTTGTTCATCAAGTCATTCAAGTTGTAGTTGATTTTTGTCTTCTTTGCTTTGGGTTGGTTTTGCGCCTCACTATTCTGCTGGTTCAACCGGGAGGTGGGCCTCGCCGAGATGTTGATGGACGAGGTGAAGTAGACGGTGGAACTATTGGCATTCCTTTTGGTGGGAATCTCTTCAATCAACATTGTAGGGTGAGTAGATAATTTGTCGCGATTTGAGTGGGAGCAGTTTATGGCAAAACCAGAAACTTCAGAAAACAGGGCAGACACATCAGATTACAAGTAAAACAAGGAAAACAAGCGGACATTTAGTATATGTACGTTCATTGATTCATTTATAAAAGGATGGTTTTCGAGGAGGCCATGAGACGATTGTCTTTTATTTACAATTTCTATTTACAGGTGTGGGAGTGAAAAAACCCTTACTTCTTGGGGGCAATGGCCGAGTCAATCTCCTCCGAAGTGAACGGCTGGTCCTGTCTGGCCTTGTCTAAAATGGGTTTGATTTGATGCAGAGCCAATGCAGAGTTGACGCAGGTGATATAGTCATCCCATAATTGAACACACTCATTTTCCATGGATTTTCCTTGTAAAAACTTTTCCGTGTACCATTTGTTGAAGCAGTCATCATACTTGGTTTTCTTCTCGGTACACTCGGGGGCAAAAGATGTTGACATGATATTCCCCATTCCCTCTTGGTCAGATTGAAAATTTTCTGGAGTCTGTGGATTTTTCGGGATGAGAAAACGGAGAAAGCGCGCGTCTAAAACAACTTCAAACAAAACAACAAGATGAACACTAATATGAAGAGGTATTCCATTGCACCCTCTTCCACCCGAAGGAAGTCCATCGTGAACCCTTCGATTCCTATAGATGATGGTCCCACTGCCCGTGAAAACGCCACTCTAGAACTCCAACAGCTCGAGCAATCTATAACCTCCACCTTGCAAGACATAGATAAGAACCTTTCCAAATCAAACGCCATATTGAACGATAAAATTTTCCCCATAATACGGCAGTACTCCAAGTCGACCGAATCAGTGTGGGGGAATGTGAATTACTGGAAGTACTTTTTTGAACTGTCGGCCAATGCTGAACTTACCAGTTACCAATCTCCTATGAATAACGCGATCAAGAACAACCAAAAGAACATTTTATTACTGGATGACGAACTTTACAACACCCGAAGGGACACCGGCACCACCACCACTACTAACCCTGCCGGTGAATCTGATGCCCTTCGAATGGCCCGGTTCAAGAAGCCCCTTTTGCGAGGAAATATAGATGACCTGACCCCAACATGGTCTACAGATCAGCCCCATAAGAAAATGACTGCTTCTACTCCACAAGGTAAACCGGCCACGCGGTTCGGTAAGTTCGACTTGAGTGAAAGCTTGAACCTAAATCCCCCGCCCATGATGGCCACCAACTTCAGTAGTGAGAACAAATCGCCTACACGAAATCAAGAATCGGTGGTTTATACCATGAGGAAATCTCTTGACCAGTACCACCGGCTCTCAATCAGTCCTCGCAAGAAACGTCACCCCAAGACTCCTCTGCGAGATAATGATTTTAATCGAAGGTCCTCCATGATCAAAGGCTTCAAGGATTCTTCTCCTACGTTGCCTGAACCCCCAGTTCTCGTATCGGAGATTGGGCTAAATCCCTCCAGTGAACTGGACCAGCGCCAGAGAGATCACAAGAAGGTTGTGGACTCCCCGGCTGCCGATACACACCGGTTTCCTCGTACCCCACAGTTTGAACGAGAGAATGTAAGATTGAGCGGTGGACTGGCCCGCACTTCATTTGTCAAGACCCCAGGCGAAATTCGGCGTGAATTCGATGGAGACGAGAGCGACTTGCGGCCTCCCAGCATCACCAACATCCCGGAGTTGGTGCCAGAGCCAGCGACAGGGCCGCCCGAATCCGATGTAGTTCCGTTGCCGGAGTTGGAGACAATTGACTTGCGTCGTCGAATGGAGGATTCCAACAAAAAGAAGAGGAAGCTCGAGCAAGAAGAAAAGGTTGATGAAGATAGTCCGTTTATCGAGGAGAAGACCGGCCACAACTCCATTGCATCGACGGTTTATCATTCACTCATCACCCACCAGAAAGAAAACAATTCAAAGGATAACACTCTCAAGTCCAACTCGGTGTCCAACCTTTTTGAAGATGTGCTCTTGGACATAAGCAAGGAGCATCCCGAGTTTAACGAAGACTCAAAGAGGTCTGATAATGCTAATTCCTCGGGTGGAATGGGGTCGATTCTCTACGAGCGATTTAACGAGTACGTTAGTAAGTGAGTATGAAATAAATGAGGTACGAGTCATGGTCAATGAGTTCGAGTAAAGGCTAACACCGCATATCGCTGTTGTCTTGCATCTCTCATCTAGCACCGTGGAGCGTTCAGCAACTGTTAGTAAATAATATTCGCGACTATTTATCTGGAAGCATGTCTAGGTCCGTACGCAATATAACTGCGTGTAAATGGTGTCGTACTAAGCGTATCAAGTGTGACAAGCAGTTTCCCAAGTGTGGGAACTGCTCAAGAAAGGGACTTGAATGTGTATCGATTGACCCCGGCACCGGTGAGACCGTCAGTAGGTCTTATGTTTATGACCTTGAGAAACAGATAGACTTGTTGAAACATCAAGTGCGGTTGTTGCAGCAAGGAGGCAAGGCCACAGCCAAGTCAATGGTGTCACCCACACTTCCAGTTTCCGAGTCGAAACCCCCGCCGCCCCCAGAAGAACCGATAAACAGCAGTGTCAAAAATGGTAGCTCTAGCGGATACATCAACTATAAAGTGCTCCTGTTGAGGGATGAAGACGTGAAAAAGTTTAAAAGTATTCCCGACGATGAGCTTCCTCCAGTCTCCGTGTATGAAGAAGCCGTGGTGCTATATTTCAAGATTTCCAATATCCAACTCCCGATTCTTCACCGCGAGCATTTCCTCCTGCATTATTTCAAGCCGCTCTATGGCCAAGAGAGCCCCCAGTTACGGTCTCGTCTACTAGGCATGAAAGATACGATACCAGTGCCACAGAGGAATGTGTCGGCCACATCGGACCCGGTGAAACGTCGTAAATGTCTTTTTTTCATGAATATCATTCTTGCGATTCTGACATCCATCCAACAGCGGCAATATGCGCTATCACTATCCAACCACTATCAGCAACAAAGTTTCAAGTACGCCGACGCCTTTTGGAACACACTGGACCCCCAGACTGCCACGGACCTCGGGAAACTCGAGATGATCCAGAGCCTACTTCTTCTCTCTGCCTATTCGCTAATGAGGCCCTCCAACCCTGGGGCATGGTATTTGATTGGAAACACCATCCGCTTATTATACGACTTGAATCTCCACGAAGACCCCGAGCTCACGCTGTCTGACCCATTTATCATCGACCTCAAACGGCGGATTTTTTGGAGCTGCTACTCTCTCGATAGACAGATTTCCATGTACTTCAAAAAGCCATTTGGAATGGTGCTGCGGTTTGACATCCAGTTGCCGAGCAGTGCAGATGACTCGTACCTCTGTGGCATTTACTTGGACATCTCGCAGGTACATCAGTACGACTCGGGGGATAAGAAAATCACCATTCATTACATAAAGCTCCGAATTCTTCAGGACCAGATCGCGGTGTCGACCGCAGACATGGATGGAAGACAAGTGCTTGAGAGCAAGCTCGTGCAGTGGTACAGTGAGGCCCAAGCCATCATTTCGCTGGAATTTAACGAGTTCAACCAACTTATTTTCAAGCTCAACTACTTCCAAAGCATCGTCAACATCTACAAGTTCTTGCTCTTTGAACCACAGCTCAAGCCGGACTTGCCACAGTTCAACCGCATCCTTAGCGCCAGCACAGAGATCATCTTCAGCTACGAGGCACTTCAAAACCGTCTTCGGCTACTCAACTATTCATGGGTTTCTGTGAATAATATCTTCCTCAGTGCCATCACATACTTGTATGTAATCTACGTGGTGGAGCCGATCAGAGCGACTGTAAGGCTCCCGGAGTTGGATCACGTGGTTACGACTGCCACCGAGTTCCTCCAGCGGCTTGAGCCCATTTGCTTTAATCAGTGCACAGCTTGCAGCAATAACATAAAGAGCATGCGAGATAATGTTGCCGAGATGTTTGAAAAACAGACTGTGCCAGAACTGGACATCTTGGACCACGACGTGCTCTTTGATAACTCTGAGTTTGTCAATTCGATGGTAGGGTCTGTTAACTCCCTTGAAATGGAGTATTGGTGATGGTCATCTAGTTTGCAGCCAGTGCGATTGGCTGGTTCGACCGAATAGTTGCAAACGAAAACATCAGTCTGGGCTTACAAATGTGAGCGCGCTGATTGGTGCACACCGCCAAGGTTTGCGACCGTATCAAGCCATTTGTATGCGATTGCAAAAACCAGAAAAGATATAAAGAAGCAGAAGATCGCAAGTTTGGGATTCAGTATACATATTTTATTAACTATGGCTTGTTCTTTAGCTGAATGTGTTTGTGCCAAAAAGTCCACCTGCTCGTGCGGGGCCAAACCTGCTTTGCAATGTTCTTGCTCAAAGGCTGCTACTGAGAATGTAGCTCCTGCTGCTGGTGATGCTTGTTCTTGTGGAAAGAGAGCAAAGAAGGCTTGTACTTGTGGGGCGGCTGGTGACTGTGCCAGAGAGGGGGAAACCGACTTCACTAATTTGAAGTAAACTATTTATTATATACTAATTGACATTACATTTTGTGGTTTGCACGCTGTTTCTCTCTGTTGCTCGCGTGGTACACGCACCTGTTCGGGTATGTGTGGTTGAGGCACGTCCCGGTGTGCGACTCGCGATGTTCGGGAACCCTACTAGTTGATGCTGATGAAACCCGATATTGCCAATGAAACTCTCAGGTCTCCAGAAACAGGTTATCCACCTCTACCGCTCGTGTGTGCGTATGGCTTACAAAAAGCCCGTGGAGTACCAGCCCCACTGGAGGAAATTCACTCGTGATGAGTTCGACAAGCATCAGCACATACCCAAGAAGCTGTTTGCAGCGGTTGAGCATTTGATTCGAGCAGGTACTAGACGACTTGAAATGTACCTGAACGACCAAATAAAGGACATACACTAGTCAAGAATGCTCGGCATACAATAAATTTACTCATCTCACGACTTTATTTTGTACATAGATTAATCGAATACCAGGCTATAGTTTGTTAGGAGAAACTCGGTCATATCATTTCTGCTACCCATATCCATCATTTCCCGCTGTCCCGTTTCGTCTCGGGCAATGGTGGGGGCAAACACAACCGATAAGTTCTTGTAGTTCATTCGGTTGACATTAGAGTAGGAGTCCACCAATTGTAAATGTTTACACAACAAGTGTAGCACCTGCCTATTGGAATCAGGAAGTTGGTCAATGATTTTCAGCTTAAACTCGGCAATTTTCTTGGTCAGTGATTGCACGGAGTTCAACTTGATGAAGTCGTTGTAAACCTCAAATGGAATCAATGGGTTGGGGATTTTTCTCAAGTATCTCTTCAAGGCAGAAGTGATGGCATTGATGTCACAATCAAGTACCTCATTCAACTTGGCGAGGTTCCTGTCGTCCTTGATTCTGGGGTTGATGCTGGTAAAAGCCTGCTCAATAGCAATGATGGTCAGATTACCTCCCGAGATTCGGTAGATACCTTCCAAGTCCAACCCTCTTTCTTCTACTTCTTGGATGCATCTGGTGACAATCAAAGGAATGGCACTGTTCTCAAGCCTAGCTCTCTTCTCAATGCTGGAGTTGAATAAACTAGGCTCACCGTCCTGACTTTGAGAATCACTAAGGGCCGTATTGCTACTTAAGAACGAGTCCAAGATGTTGGTAGACCGCGACTTGGTCATCAAGCCAAAGCCTTTCTTACCACCATCTTCATCCTCATTACGGTTGGGTGATACTTGGAACGTACCTGTGGCTGGAACTACCAAGTTAGGCCCATTGTTGAAGCCCATCTTGGCTCTTCTCCAGAATTTCAATTTGGTGGCCTTCTGAGCTTCAACCACTTCATCATTTCCAATTTCTGTGGTGTGATTTACCAAAGACGAAGAAGAGTTCGAGGGATGATGTGAGATCTGGTGTGCAGTGTGGACGGCAGTCTCTTCACTGGAAGACGACTTGGATTCCAAATCACGTTTGTGTACCCGCAAATCAGTGACTTCTTTCGAGAGTGTGTCAAGTCTTCTGAACTCATCGTTATACCGGACCCTCATGACTTCTATCTCTTCTCCCAATTTTTGCTTCTCGTCCTCCAACTTCTTGACATCATTCCCCAAGATTCCTTTTTTAGCTTCCAATTGACTGACTTCCAACCGAAGAGCCTTTAAATCAAAGTCGTTGGTGCCAGAAAGAATATCAGAGAACTCAAAGTTTCGATGGTTGATATAGTTGTTTTCTGAGGTCGATCTGCTGTGGACAGCAACGGTAAACCCAGGAGCCATGTAGGTTCCAGAGCCTCCATTGTGTATAGCACCACTAATCGAACCATCACTGACATGGCGGGAATGGCCTCGATCATCTCTGCCCTTGAAAAAGTTTAGCTTGGAGATACTACTGGATCCATTGTTACTTCCTCCACTGATGGATCGCTTGTGTCTTAATCCCAATCTTGGTGTTTTCATGATACTCTGCATCCTATGGAGACTAGAATCGTTGGGAGATTCTTCAAGATTGGTCACAGTTGGGGTTGGATTCATGACGATTTTCGTGTTCTTCAAAAGCAGGTTACTGCCAGTTCTTTTGTGCTGCATTCCGTTCTGCTCGCTGTATTCGACACCCTCTAGTCCCAACCCACTCAAAAACTCATCATTGTTAATGGCCTTTCCTAGGTAGTAATTGTCTGATTCGATCGAGTTTCTCCGATTTTGCAATGGTGTAGACGAGAGTGGAGGAACAGATGGTAATGGCATTCTTGGAGGTGGGGACGAGAAGTTGGTATTAGAAGGAGTCCTGTGATGCTTTCTCTTGGGAGTAGCAAGCTCAGCTGATGTGTCTACCCCGGAACTCTGAACAGTTGGAGTTGAATTATTTGGTTCAATGGTCTTGTCTCCAGTATCCTCTTGAAGTCCTTCAACATTGTCATTGTAATCGTTGTATCCCTTCCCATTATTGTCGTTATTGTCATTATTATCATTATCATTATCTTGGGCATCAAACACCCTTGCGTGCCTGTTGTTTTTTGCAAAAGGACTGGGACAACTGGATCTTGATCTGGCTTGATCACTTTCAACACCAAGTGAAGCCTTATCAAAGGGTATGCTTTCAGGTGATTTGGGGGATCTGAGTGCTTCTTCACTATTCTGACCAGGTGACAATATGAGTAAATTCTTCCCTTGGAACTTTGTATGAGAGACTGACGCGGGAGACGTAGGAAGCTTTAAGTTGTGGTGTTTTTGGATCTCGACTGCTGGTTGGAGTTTTCCAGGGGATTTTAAGGCGTCACGTTGGTTTAATTCATCATCTGAATCGTTGATTTCTTCAATTGAGAACTCTCTATCAATAGACGCCTTTTTAGGTTCGGGTTGCTCAATATCCGGTGGGACTGGAGCAGAAATCGGGATTGAAATTGGCGCTTGCAGTTTCTTATGTTTTTTGCTGTCAAATGGTTGAATTAAGTCCGGAGTGGAAGGAAGGTCTTTGGCCTTGGACATGGTAGACGACGACCTGGTGATGGATTTATAAAGCTCGTTGGCACTCGACGTCTTAGACGACAATTGTGGAGTGGGAGACCTGGACCGGTCATATAAATCATACAAATCAGACTCACTTTGCAAAACCGAAGTCAGCACCGTTTGGGGCTGGGTCAAGGGCTTTTCTTCTAGTTCATCCAATAGAGGGGTGGAGACTTCCACGGTGGAGCTCGAGTTGGTGGGTTTCAAATCCCGGTCCTTTTCAATATGATCCAACTTCTTATCTTTATCTTTGCGCAAGGTTTTCTTCTTCATATCATACTTCTTCTTTTTGGCCATCAACTTCTCGTGACAGCTCATACAGAAGAGCCCCTTCAGTGTCCGGGCATATCTTAAATCTTCAATCTTCTGTTTACAAGCCCTACACTTAAAACATGAGGAACAATACGCCTGGTCGCCGGTTAAGATGGCCAAATCATCGATTTTCTTACCACACTGTTTACAGTTGTAGGAGCAGTTGGAACAGATCAAGTTTCCGTTTCCCAAAACCAAAAAATTCGAATTACACCCCAAGGAGCTATCACATTTGGAGCATCTGAAGCAATTGATATGCCATCTATCATCACCCAACTCATAGGCATGGCCTTCGTAGATGGGATTGCTGCATCGTTTGCAGTTCTGAATGTTCTCTTCGGCAAATGGATCGTGCGTGTCGGCGATGGTGCTCATGGTGTTAGCTGTTGGTACAAGTTAAGCAGATTAAAAAAAAAATACACGGTCAATGCTAGAACGGGAGAACGTGTTTTCAAATAGAAACAACGTAGACGATAAATTGACACAAGCGTGTAGGTGGGTGCGGAGGGAAATGAGCGTTGTCGAGCAATGAGCAGGGGGAAAATAGCGAAGTTTAGCTGAGCTTAAAATACTAGCGGTGATTCGGGTCTCAGTCAAGGTTGGAATAATTCAATGAAACAAGGTGCTCGCACATCCTCGCGAATCTGGATAATTTCCAGGTTAGCCGATGCATACTATGCTATATTGGCATATGCTATTCTATATACAATAAGTAGTGGTAGACAAGGGCTGTCTATGTCATGCTTGTTTTTATAAGACTATTGTGTATTGTGCCGGGACCATGGCATCCCATGTGTTTATTTGGGGGGAAGGGAGTCTGGCCAACATGGCTGCTACCCGCGAGCGCGACAGCTGCGATTCAAGTTTGCAACTACCGCCAGCAAATGCTAAAATCCCTCCAGTTGCTGACTACCGCCGCTGGCCAGGTCCAGACCTAGAGCTCCTCCGCCGTCAAGTCGGGCTTAATTCGGAACGGCCGTCCGCGCCAGTCTATCTCGTGTCCTAACATCGCTATGATCCAAATCGGAAGCGCAAATACCTCTCGCAACATCCACACACACGTCCACTCGTACCAATTGAACTGGCACGAAAACCACACCGGCCGTGCGTACGACTCTATCCGGGACATGAGCATTCGATATTGGCATGTGTCTGATAAATACCACAAGATCATGTGGAGCATAAAAAACTTTTTGATGAAAACCTCACCAAACATTAAATAACTGATTGACAAGGTCCCAAAGACCCCGTTCACTATCAGCTCGGTGGTGGGCTCCACGAGAGTTGCCAGGTACACCATATACTTGCGCACGCGGAGCCAGCGGATCCGGCGTTTGAAGAACTCGACGATTCCGTGCTTGCTGGTTTCCAGTTTGTTGAGCGGCTGGATCACCACATCCAGCGTCAACGAGGTTCTGCTGAACAAAAACTCCCAGAGCGCAATGGCAATCATATTATCCTCGCCAATGTACTTGCTGAAGAACTTGAGCGAATGGCCTGGTCCTTCTGATGCTAACTGCTGGGCATGTAGTTTGACGCTGGGATCACTAAAAAATGGGTTATTTGCGTTAGGAATTCGGGCCACAGCCTCGTCGAGGTCCAGGCGGCGGAACATATTGCTCTTGCCGTTGACACAAGGCGCAGGGCTGAGTTTGTTCAAGCCCACGTAGAACTTGCAGTGTGATGAGAAGAGGAAAGTCTCGTCCAACTTCACCCCGAGTTTATCCCAGAGCAGCAGCTGGGCAGTGATGGACATCGCCAACGGTACGTGGTGTACCAACTTGACCTTGCGCCCGGCACTGGGGCCCCAGGTCCAGTTGGTGCGTCCTCCATCCACCAAATTGTGGTTCAACGACTTGATCAGGTTCACCAAGAGGTTGGGGTGGCCCCAGACGTTTGAATCCATAATCCACACAATGTCATATTTAGCAGCCAAAAAGCCTTTGGCCAAGTTGTTCACTTTGGGATTGGGTCCGAAATGGTCGACGGAGTTACCATGATTGTCGGTTGGTGAAACTAGGATTTTTGCATCAACTTCAGGGTACTTTGCAATAAGTCGTTTCAAGATGGGCATCGACTCATCGGCAGCACTGTCGACACAGAGAATCACCTCTAGGGCGTTCACCGCGTACGCCTGCTGGAAAGAACACTCTAAACATGTTTCCAACTCGGGGTCTATACCTTTGATGGGTCTTAAGATGGTGACAGGCTCATACTCGGACTTGTCGAGCGTGAAGAACTTTTGGGTGGTGTAGTTGAAGAGGAGCTCGGTAACACCCACGACCGCCACCATGAGGATTGCAGCGTACCATAGGAGAAGCACCACACATACACAACTCCACAAATCAATCATTATGGTGTCAAATTTTCAGCTTGAACCGATCTCACGCCGGCGCGTCCGCGTGCGCTGCAGTCTGCGACATGGCCTCCATCAGAGTTAACACTGGTCGTGCGCCATCACCAACTATATTTTCCACAGGGACGTGCGCTGGCCACGGCCCATCCGTTTTCACGTTCACCAACATATGCCATCACATCACTCAGTCAGAAGAACTCATCATAGTAGGTAACATCCGAACCTATGGATGATGTGCTCCGTGTGGTGGTATGACACTTATAATATTATCCGATTTCCCGGGACTTTTTATCAGTGCTAATCAAAGAGCCAACATGGGATCCTTTTTTCCATTCCTCGGTCACCCCCACAAAAAAAACTCTTATAAATAGTTGTATTTCCTACCTAGTTCTTTTCTTCAACTCCATACAAAATTATTTTGCGTGGGCCTGTTTGTTGAATTACGATGCTCAAGAATTTGAACAAGCTAAACGTAAAGAACATGACTAGGCAATTCCATCAATCTTCCGTTAAAGGAGACCTTTTCAAATTCCAACTGGCACTTCCCAAGTTGCCAGTTCCTTCTCTCGATGAAACTACCGCCAAGTACATCAAAACCATCGAGCCATTCTTATCCCCTTCGCAATTGGAGGCAAGTAAGCAGAAGATTGAGCAGTTTAAGAAGAGCCAAGGCCCTGAATTGCAGAAGAGATTGGAATCTTTCAGTCAAGATAAGGACAATTGGTTGGCCGAATTCTGGGATGATTATGCTTATATGTCCTACAGAGATCCTGTGGTACCCTACGTGTCGTATTTCTTCAGTCATAAGGATGTCCGCAACGAAATAGGTAAGAGCCAGGTGTTGAAGGCTACAGCTCTTTCCTACTATACCATCCAGTTCATGTTGTCGGTGCAGAACGAGACTTTGGAACCAGAAGTCATTAAGGGTAATCCTTACTGTATGAATGCTTTCCACTACATGTTTAACAACTCTCGTGTTCCTGCTGCTGGTCTGGATATCACCAAGAAGTACGATGGAGCTGAACACCAATACTTTACCGTCATTAGTGACAACCACTTCTACAAGGTGCCTCACCACATCAACGGACAGCCTATTTCCAAGAGTCAATTGTACAACCAATTCCAGTACATTTTGCACAGCTCTAAAAAGTTGGGTAAAGGCATTGGTTTAGGGGCCTTGACGTCTTTAAATAGAGATGAATGGTTGAGCAGCTATGAAGCCTTGACCAAATCCCCCATCAACCACCAAAGCCTCGAGACTATCTTTGCCTCTTCGTTTGTGGTTTGTTTGGATTCCCACAGCCCCATCACCATTGAAGAAAAGTCCCAGAACTGCTGGCACGGAGACGGTCAGAACCGTTTCTTTGACAAGCCCTTGGAATTCTTTGTGGGTGCCAACGGTAACTCTGGTTTCTTGGGTGAACATTCGAGAATGGATGCCACTCCTACGGTGCAGATGAACAACTGGGTGCTTTCGGAGATTTCAAAGGAAAACCCAAAGAACTTCATTGGTGAAGCCACTTTGGAGCCAACTTTGTCGGCTGAGTTGGTGCCTGAATTATTAGAGTGGGACATCAACCCCAAAGTAAGAAGTGATATCTACAACGCTATTGAAAGCTTCAACAAAACTATCGAAGCCCATGATGAAGAAATCTTCCAGTACTACGGCTACGGAAAGAACTTGATTAAACAATTCAAGGTAAGTCCCGATGCCTATGTGCAAATGTTGATGCAATTGGCTTACTACAAGTACACTGGGAAAGTAAGACCCACGTACGAGTCAGCTGCCACCAGAAAGTTCTTGAAAGGTAGAACTGAAACTGGTAGAGTTACTTCCAATGAGTCGAAGAAGTTTGTGGAAACTTGGACGGATGTGGATGCTTCTACCGAAGACAAAATTAACACTTTCAATGCTGCTTGTAAGCAACATGTCGGATACTTGGTGGAAGCCGCTGATGGTAAGGGTGTTGATAGACACTTGTTTGGATTGAAGCAAATGTTAAAAAGTGGAGAGCCAGTTCCTGAAATCTTTACTGACCCTGTGTTCAGCTACTCCCAAACCTGGTATATTTCATCGTCTCAAATCCCTTCGGAATACTTCCAATCATGGGGTTGGTCTCAAGTTATTGATGATGGGTTCGGACTCGCCTACTTGATCAATAAGGACTGGATTCATGTCCACATTTCATGTAAGAAAGGTAATGGCTTGGAAAGCAAGTACTTGAAATGGTACTTGACAGAAGCTGCCAACGAGATGAAGGAGATTTTATCCACTCAATTACAAAAGCCCAAATTGTGAGATCTATAGATTGATAAATAAAATTTAAGGCAGAGCCATCAACATAGTGTAGTTTTAACTGGCATGCCTGGCATGCCCCTTGCCCTTGCAGCGGTGTTTGGAACGGGGCACCAACACCAAGGTTGAACTAATGCGGGCACATTTACCTCCGAATTTCATCAACCTCATCGCCTAACCCCTGCAGGTACTAAACCGTGTACTAGAAGGGCAATTGTATGCCGAAGAAATTTCACTGATGACAATAGTGTTTAAACACTGGACGGAATCACCCAATTGGGAAGTCTGATTGTGCGGATTAAACACTCCGCCAAAATTATTACACCAGCGGTGAACGGGGTATCAGACCCATTGGGCAAGGTAATACTAGTATCATCACATTATAAAGTTAGACGACGGGCATGCAGCATGGACCAATGATGAATCCTTATGAACAATAGAGCCTGTGGGAGTTTGTATATTTGTGAATTTTAGACGAAAATGGCTACTTTGACGAGTGCAGAAAAATGAAAACAAATTCCCTAAAACGCCAAAAACTCGAAAACATTGGCTCGTTAGAAGCAAAACATTTTATATACTAAGAGATTTCCTCGTTATACCATCACCATCCTTAAACCAAGCCATTCCTTTATTGTATAAATTCTTGCAGGAGTCCATCTACCAAAATTTCAAGGTCATCCTCCTCATCCCATCCGCAATCGCTAGTCCTTGCAACCAAAACAATCCCCATCTAATTTTAGTGATCTGTCCTTGCAACGGGGTTACCCTTAATTTTGATCACTTTATTTCCCCCATCCCCAAGTCCCGTGCCCGCACAGTCTTGGCCTAGCATCGTTCATGTCATTGAACCTCCATTAACTATATTTTCTTTAGTTTAAGGCTTACCCCTACCCGGTAAACTATCCCTATTGATCTCCCTTGAATACCGCTACCACCACTAATACCCCGGGTTTCTAGCGGTGCCCCTGTTTTGTTCCCATCGCCCCTAGTCAAAGTGTCTGTCCTGATTCATGATATGCCAAACAACCACAAATCCCACAAACGGCAGAAATCCTCCATCCTGAACGTGGGCTACTATTTTCCTGATCTGCTGCCGTCCCACAGCCCCAGTAGACTCCAGACCCATTCCGCCTCAGGTGCCTCCACCACCCCGGTACTAAAACCAGATCCTACCTTATCTCCATCACTTCTTTCCACAGGCATGTCTCAGCCCATGTCTCTGCCCACCCATTCCAACCCCCGGTCCGTTCACTCCCCGGCTTTGGACCAAGGAATGTATGAGCAAGATGTGTATAATCCGCTCAACTACAACTTCCCGCCCCAAGACCGGTCGACATTGTTCTATTCGGCGCCACCTTCGAGTTATCTGATGGACCAAGTGGCGTTCTCCAGTGCCTCCAGTAGTAATTATTTACCCCCACCGCCCCAGCACCAGCACCAGCTGTCGCTGCTGGTTCACACCGTGGGTCCGCCCGTGGGCCAGCCGTTCTCGTTGCAGCAGTCGATGTCCATGCCGACAATGCCCACCCTCCCTCAGGGGTCTCCTATGGCCATGGGGGGGCATGGCCCTATGAGTGCGGTATTCTCGGGTATTTCTACTCCCAGAACCACATATGCGTCTGCCAGGACATCTCCTGCCCGAAGAACTGTCAGAAGACCGTCTCGAGGACTTCTGATCTCAACTCCAGCCGGTACCGACATTTCTTCCTCCAAACCAGCGTTGGCATTGCCTCACCACAAAGCCAACTTATCGATCTCGTCCCACTTCAACTTGTTCAGCTTGAACGAGCCGGAGGAGAAACAGTACCTGTTCAATGAGAATGCCTTGTTCAACGATCTCGTGTTGAACTTGGCCGATATTGACCAACCGTCGGTGAATGGCTTTCTCGTCAAGATGTTGTACAAGTTGGATAACCCGATCCCGCTTGACGATTTTTTCAACTTGTTGTACAATGATCAGAAGCTCATTGAGTTGGACACTGCTGATAAAATCGATAGAACCCAAATTGCATCCAACTTGCTGCAAAAATGTGTAGAAATTTTGCATCAAATTCTCGAGATCTTTAAGAAACCAGATATTATCCACGGATTGTTATCCAACAACAATATTTCCAAAGAGGTCAAGTTGTCCAACATCAACTATCACGAGTTGTTGAGGACATTCCTTGCTATCAAAATCTTGCAGGACATGTTGATTGAGTTGCCTAGAAATTCAGATGCTGATTTAGCTAACTTTAACATTCCCAGACTCTCGCTCTACAAGACCTATTTCATTATTTGCCAGAAGTTGTTGTTGCAGTATCCTTCCTCCTTGAGTTCAAGCAACGAGCATCACAAGCTAATTTTGGGCCAGTCCAAACTAGGCAAATTGATCAAGTTGGTGTTCCCTGATCTTTTGATCAAGAGATTGGGTTCCAGGGGTGAATCTAAATACAACTATTTGGGTGTGGTGTGGAACGAGAACATTATTGACAGTGAGATAGCAGCCCTTTGTAACAATTACGAGTTGGAGGATTTGAATCAAATCTTCCAGGCCAAATATAAGGCCAAGTTTGAGAACTTGATCAGCCAAAGTGGATTAAAGTCCCAGAACTTAACCGAAGTCCACACGGGCGACACTTCGGGTGGTCGCTCTGATGCCGTCTTGAGCACCATTGCTTCCAACCCTTCTACCATCATGGCCAGCGAGAGCTTTGATGTTGAGTTCAGTAAGCCGTTATACTCGTTTTTGGATGAGACCTTGAAGTTTCCCTCTGATTTCAATGTTAGTGACTGGATCAAAATCACTAAATTAAGTCTTAAGCTGGACTCACCCGAGGATATTGATGGAGTGGTCCAGCAGCTTGTTGACTCCCAAACTGGTGGCTCGGATTTTGGTTCCAGCTTGGTATCTAACCTCAATGCTATCGGGTTCAATATGTCAGAACACTGTAACGATTTGAAAGTATACTTATGCATCTTGTTAGAGGTTTTTCCCAAAATGCTTATGATCGAACCTTCAACAAATCTTCGGGAACTCAAGCTGAGTTTATTGCACTTCCTTGATGATGATCAGTTTGCATCACTCAACCAGAAAAACTTAACCAACTTCAAGTTGTTACTCAAGAACTTGATTGGTTTGAACGACTTACTCATTAACCTCGTCAAATACGTGTTTAAGGACACTTTGATCATGGGTGATTTACACCACGTGTTTGACAATAGTAACCACGACAATTTGATCAACAGTTTGGTTGACTCTTTGATCATCTTCGACATGACCGAGTCGTTGAACTATTCTTTCTTGAATGATAACGTCAATAACCTAAAAGCATTCTTCCTTGTGGACTTGCACCAATTCTTTGAAGCCACTCAGTTGGCAACCATCGAGAACTCAGAGGTCAAGCTGGAAGAACCTGAGTTTGAATCATTGACGTCTGATTTCAAAATGACAAATTATGAGTTTACCAGCCTACTCAAATTCCTTTCCTTGATTGACAATGGATTGGTAAAAAACTTCAACCAATTTCCTATTTTTATGATGATTAACTTTTTGAACCTTGTATCCAACGATTTTCTAAAATCTGTCTACTTCAAACATGTCAATAGTTCATCCAGTGCTTTTAGCCATTGGTGGTCTATCAACTGTTTCCTACAAGACTATGTCAGCATGGTGGGTGAACTATACGGGTTATATAACGAAATTTATAGAATTCTGTGATTAGCAGGCCCAATGGAAACTCCCATTTATTGGCATATATAATCCTAATGACTAATACATATATTGAAATTACTGGAGCAGTGGGTTCATCCGCGATTAAAAAATTATTATCATCAAACTCATCACTCCTCAAATGCACCCGAACCAGAATTCTATCAAAATAATATCTGGAAACTCACACCCGCAGTTGGCCAAACTTATAGCAGAGAAGCTCCGGTTGCCCCTTGCCAAAATAGGAGCCTTCCAGTACACTAACAAAGAGACTGCCGTTTCCGTGGGTGAATCCGTGAGAGATGAAGATGTATATATAATCCAAACTGGTTCCGGAGAGAGCAACATAAATGACTTCTTGATGGAGTTGTTAATAATAGTCAATGCCTGCCGTACTGCCAGTGCCAGAAGGATCACCGCTGTCATTCCCTGTTTTCCATACGCAAGACAAGACAAAAAGGACAAAAGTAGAGCTCCCATTACCGCTAAACTCGTGGCCAATCTATTAACTACTGCCGGATGCAATCATGTCATCACCATGGACTTGCATGCTTCCCAAATCCAGGGATTCTTCAGAATTCCAGTCGACAACTTGTACTCAGAGCCCATTTTCTTGAGATATATCAAAGACAACTTTGATTTAAAAGATGTGATAATAGTGTCGCCAGACGCAGGAGGAGCCAAGAGAGTGGCAGGAATTGCCGATAAGTTGGACGTGAATTTTGCATTGATCCACAAAGAACGTCAAAAAGCCAATGAAGTATCCAAAATGGTGTTAGTTGGTGATGTCTCGGATAAAGTGTGTTTGTTGATCGATGATATGGCTGATACTTGTGGAACCTTGTGTAAAGCAGCAGATGTGTTGATGAAAAACAAGGCCAAGAAGGTGATTGCCATGATTACACATGGGATTTTCTCTGCCGATGCGTTGGATAAGTTGAATAACTCCAAATTGGACAAAATAGTATGCACGACCTCATTACCGTTACAAAAAAAGTTAAGTCAGTGTCCCAAAATCACCTGTCTCGATATAAGCAGCACTTTGGCGGAAGCGGTGAGGAGATTACATAACGGTGAAAGTGTTTCGTACTTGTTCAATAATGCCATTGAGTAAACTTCTAATATACATATACCTACTCAAGAGATGATTTCTTCTCTGGCTTCAATCAAATACCAGTTAATTCCCAAACTCAACTTGTAAGGGTTACCTTGCTCATCATTTATGTTCGTCTCGTCAACCTTGAACTCCTTGATGTTGATGATTTTCGCTACCAACCACTCCTTATTATTAAGATTATCATTGCTCTTGTTCAAGTTGTTCAAGAAAAAGTGAGGTGCACCTATGTTGAAGGCAGCCCATGGTTGATAAGTCAATTTCACCTCATTCAAGCTCTCGATTCGGGTAGGTAAAAATAGGGCCAAGTCACCCACAGCGAAGTTATTCATGGATATCTTACTCAGCAGGCTCTTTGCTAGCTTGTTAAGTTCTTGAAGCTTAAGTTTGTTCTCTTTAGTCAACTTCTTTGCAAAACCTTCAACATCACGGAATCTTTTTGCAATTGCCGATAGAAAGAACTTTTCCAGCCCTCCACTGTTGAATGAGACGGTTTCAATGAATCTTTCGAAATCACTGCTGTGCTCATGATTTGGCTTGAAATACTGGTTATAGTACCCAATTAGTTGGGCAGAAACCTCCTTCTCCTCGTACATCTCATTATTCTCGTCCGCATTGGTGGATAGGGATTTAACATCATCATTACTATGGCCATCTAGCCATCCTTTATCTAATTTGATTTCTTGAACCCATCTCATTAGAGAGTTAATTTCATCCACAACCTTGGAACTTGGCTTGTTCTCTATGGAAACAATGGAAATGTCACCGTTGGTGGTATTGGGATCCTCAGACTTCTTGGACCTTAAGCCTTTAACCCTGGTGATTTTATATTCTTCCTGATGTGTTTCCTGATTGTATTCTTTAAGAAGCAAGAGCCCAATTGATTCCAACACAAGGCAAAATTCGTAAAAGAATTCATAATTGAGCTCAAGGGAGTTTTTGACATCAATTATCAAATGCTTGATAATTTCGTTCAATTCATGAATTATGCCGAAATCGCTTTGCTGTTCAGTTAACTCTATCAAGTTTTCATAATCTTCTGAAATTTCTTCTACTTTGATCTTTAAATCCTTGATTTCCTGTTCATAATTGTTTGAGGACTTCACGTACTCAAGTTCCTTGGCAGTCATATTAGATATAAGGTCATCCTTGATGTGCATCAAATCTTTGATCTTTTGTAGTTTCAGGTCCAACTTACTATCAAATGAATTGATCTCACGATCTTTGGATTCATTAATCAACTTGTACTCATTGATTATAGACCTAGTGTGGGTAAGCTGCTCCTTGAGCTCATTGATTTCTTTGGTCATCGAAGAGATCTGGGTATTGTTAATTTCCTTTATTTTATCAACCTCGCTGGTATGCTGCACCTCCAACTTCTTTATTTCTTCTAAAGATGCACCCTTCTCTGCCTTTAAGTTTTCGATCTCGTTCAACAACCTTTCGATCTCCAAACTTTTGCTAACATTGTCATTTGTTAACCTTTGATTATCTTCCGAAAGCTCTTTGTTCTCTTTTCTTAATCTCAAGTTGTCGAGGTGTTTGTCAATAGTTATAGACGCATCCAAAGGTGCTGACAACGAATCTTTTCTCAACAAAGAAGTCGGATTTGTTTTATTACCCAGTGTAATAGGACTGAGAGCGTTGGACAGTTGAATGTTTAAATTTGGACTTTGGTTCAGGCCTTTAGAGACAGAACCTAGGGATTGTGTGCGTTGTGGAGGTGGTGATGTAGGGAATGGGCTAGATGGCCCCCCCTTGGGAGAAGAGTATCCTCTTGTGACCGGCCAATTGGCTAAATTCTTGAACTGCTGTTGGTGAAGCAAGTCTTCTAACTTTCGGATTCTTGTCTTTAAGCCCTTGATTAGATTTTCATTGAACTCCTCATCATTTTCTATAATTCGTTTTAATTTCGAGTTGGAAAGATCTTCTTTCGGAGAAGTGAAACTTGAGATTGAGGATATTAGTTTAGTCACCAGTTTCATATTGTTGGTGGATTTGACCAAATCCTTGAAAGTCTTATTCAAGTGCTCACTGAACTTATTGTTGCTTTCAGGGTAATGTTTTTGTACAAATACTTCTGTCAACTTGAGATACTCTAATAAATCATCTCTTTCAATGGTGATATCTTTAACCATTAAGAAGATGCTTTGTTGACTTTGATTATGGATTAGGGTGATATCAAGGTTTGGCAAGGCTGGTTTCAAGATAACATTGCCTTTGTCTAATAGGGACAAAAAACTACCAAACTTCTTCAACCACAACTTTTGGAAGATCTTCTCGTGGTCAATAATTGTCACTAGTTGCTCTGTGGCATTGTTGATTATTCCCTTGGAGTAGAAATCGTACCACTCGAATTGTCTTCTCTTTTCGATGAGTACAAATCCAAATAGGAGAGGGAGATCAATAGTCAAAGACAAGTAGTCTTCAGCTCCTTTTATTTGGGTGATGGTTCGATTGGATAATACCTCTGCTGATGGAGAAGGCTGGGAAAGAACTTTCAAGTCATTCTTGATATTCACCACTTCAATTTGCAAGTTTGAGATTTTGTTAAAAATCTTGAAACTGGAATTGAGTAAACTTAATTTGAAGTTTAATACCGTGTTGAGGCTATCATTGATCTTTAATGCCATGTGAAGAAGTTCTTTGTGACCTTTCTGGGTTGACGAATATATCTGTGCAATAGAGTCATTGGAACTGTCAAAGGACTCCAAACTTCTTGAAATTTCGTTAACCTTGTTTTTGAATTCTTTGACTAATCCTTCTGCTATATTGACTCTAAACTTCTTAATTGATTCGTTCCTTTCCGTCTCGATTGACCTATCAATCAGCACCTTTTCCTTGTTTATATCATTCAAACTTGCAATCATATCATTGAATTTAGTCAAAATAATGGGCAATTTTTCGCCTATGAATTTGGAACTTGATACCAACCTATCGTAATCCAAAAGGTTCACCAAATTGATGTACTCGTTGGACAGCTTGAATTTTACGCTGGGGAATTTCTTGATGTTAGTATAGTACTGAGCCCACGTCTTATGTAAACTCTTGTAGTTCAACAATTTGATAAAGTTATAGTAGCCATTGAAGCTCTTTTCTATGTCATTGACAAAATTGTTAATGAACTGGAAAATCACGTTCAAGCTTTTGAAGATGTTGTTGAGCTGCTTCATGTAATGGTTTTTGATCAAGTCATTCACCTTCAAACAGTGATTCAAGAACGTTTGGCTCCAACTTTGGAACCGTTTTAAGTTCGAGGTCATGGTCTTTATGTTCAGATTATGGACGTCTGGAAGCACGGACTCGTCCCGTAATTGCTTATACTCAAGCATCAAGTTGTTAAAATTCCCTAAGCTCAGCTCAAAATAATCAGTCACAAGCAGCTCTGCGTTATTGAACATGCGCTTGTCAAACACGTACACTTCATTGATCTCGTTGATGATGCCAAAGTTCAACTTGATCCCGAACGACGTCAAGAGGAAGATGTTCTCTACATCTTCAATCAAGTAGTTTGTTAGTGACTCGTAGATGAATTGCTTGAAGTCATTTACCGTGTGATATCTCAATGGTTTGGGAGTCTTTAGCACTTCTCCGCTGTGGCAATTGTATATCATGAGAAACGACATGGTCTCTATCGACTCCGTTTGAGTTGTTGGACCCGCTGTTATTGGCGGTGAAGTGACATCTAACAGCATTGTGGGAGGTGTGACATAGACGGCAAAAAAACTAAGCAAACCACAAGGTAAAAACTAAGCAGACAGATAAAATTGGAGGGTTCTGAATAGGACCTTGGGGTTTAGATGCTGATGTGTATGTTATTTAGGTTCTCGGATCAACGAAATGAATCAAATAAATTAGATATGGCTATTAGTGTTATCAGCTAGTGACTGTAAGCCGTTGCTTCTCCCTGGCCAAAAATGCGAAACTGAATGCAACCAGTTTTTTCCTCGTGAAGCAGAATAGGAATGTTGGATGAAAAAAGTATTGCAGTGATCACTCGGTTCAAGCAGGCACTTGCCAACGACACCATCCCAGTGGCGGCAGATTCACACATCTTGGACTCGAACCGGGGCCAGAAATTGGTCGACGAAATTGAAAATGACGATCACTTGAGAACCAAGGTGGTAGAATTCAACGGTACCAATTATTTGGTATCAAGCAATAGAAAAATCAGTAGCTCAACTCGTCGTAACAAGAGAAGATGGCAAGAGTACTACGAATCCACGGACGAGTTCAAAAAAGCCAAACTGCAACTGCAGGCCGAGTCTAGTGATGTTGATGATGGCGATGAAGCCAGCCACGAAGATAACGAAATTGATGACAATGACGAAGGCTCCGAAACTGGCGGCGGAGATGATGACCGTGACTACGATGAGGACCTCAATCCGCTACATGATTTCAATGTGACTGAAATATTGCTGCCGCTATCACATCCCTCTGAAATCATCTCCCACCCTGTGTTACTGGGGACGTTTAAGCTGGAAGCCTTGAGTAAATTGGCCACCGAGTTGATCGAGGTGATAGAAAGCGAGCAGAACACATTGAACTGGTTCAACAAGTTGTTACAGGTGTTGAACGGGGAAGACTGGTACTACTTATTGGAGGAGAATTTGGGGTTGCCCAAGTACGACCATGGATTGGTCAACGATGAAGAACCGGAAAACCCTGATAAAAAGCCCAGTCCTCTGCAAAACGGAGCTCCAGAACCTGAGGGTGAGGTGAAGAAAGAGGACGAAAATGGGATCCCCAAGAGAATCACCAGAAAGTCCAATGCTGAAGTTGATGATGTTTCAGACCCATTTTTCATGTTGCCAGACACCTTGAAGAAGTATGAGATGCACCAGGCTCGGGTGGTGGAAGAGCCTGAACCTGGTAAGGAATCCGAGTTGGAGCACGTGCAAGAAGACTTGATCAACCATTTGCAAGTTAGCATTCAGAGACAGCAGGAGCATATTAAGAACTTGATGAAGTTGAGAGAGAACATTGTGCGGGCAGATAGATTGAAGACCAGCTTATGGAAATGGGGCAAGGAGATGTACGACAAGAAAAGCAGTTGAGTAGGTGTAGTAGGACAAGTATGTATAATAGATATTGTAACTCAAGAACTGATTAAGTGTGAGTGGGAATTTTAGAGAACGATTTTCAAAATGAATGCAAATGGTGAAATTCACGCATTTAGGAGTGCTCAATTTAGATTGGAATCAGATGAGGATCAGATGAGCTAGAGCTTATCAGAAAACTATGTCGAGCAGACAACATATACAATAGCACACCAAAACAGCCCACTACTTCTCACCCCCAAAACTCTCTCCAGATCACCAACCCTACAAGCAGTAGCATCGCATGCCAGTACGCGTCCAGGCGCGTTGCGAAAAATTCATAAAAATCCTCCAAAACCTTACATATCTCTTTTTACAAAACAACTTAATAAACCATGTTAGAAGGCAAATTTGACGAAGCTTCGTTATTGAAAAAGATCGTGGACTCCATCAAAGACAGTGTCAAGATGTGCAACATCAATTGTACTGAGCACGGGTTGACTGTGCAAGCAGTGGATGACTCCAGAGTGTTGTTGGTATCATTATTGGTGGGACAAAGTGCCTTCACTGAATACAGATGTGACAGAGACATCACGTTGGGAATCGAATTAGACAGTTTCGGAAAGATCTTGAGATGTGGAAACAACGAAGACTACTTAACTTTGTTGGCTGAAGACAAGCCTGACAGTGTCATGGCTATTTTCGAAGATAAGAAGAAGGAAAGAGTCAGCGAATATTCGTTGAAGTTGATGGATATTGATAGTGAATTCTTGAACATTGACGACATGGACTATGATGCGGTCATAACAATGCCATCCACTGAATTCGGTAAGACCGTAAAGGATTTGAAGAACTTGAGTGAATCGTTGAACATCGTTGTCACCAAAGATTCCGTCAAATTGTCGAGTGAAGGTGAAAGTGGCAGTGGTTCTGTTGTGTTGAAGCCATATAGTGACATCGACCACCCTGAAGAAACTATCAGTATCAACTTGGATAACCCAGTTGATTTGACGTTTGGATTGAAGTACTTGGGGGATATTATTAAGGCCACTAGTTTGTCTTCTTCCATCACCATCAAGTTGGCCGACAAAACTCCTGCTTTGTTTGAATACAAGTTAGACGCTGGTGGATACTTGAGATTCTACTTGGCTCCTAAGTTTGACGAAGATGAGTAGTTTATTATAATAGTAATACATGCAGAAATCATTATATACAAAGGGCAAGGGCGGTCACGTGCTGACGGGCTCCGGTAACTGGTCGAGGAAGGCGATGCGCTTGAAGGCCCGGTCGCTCACCGGGAGAATTAGACGAAACGCATCGTGGGTGCTCAAGTAGTATTTATACAACCGTTTCACCCGCATGAACCCTAAGCTTTCATAGAGCCGGAGAGCACCCTTGTTGATGACCTCGGTCTCCAAGCTGATCTCGTCCACGTGATCGGCCTCGATCATGGCGTCTATAGTCAACTGCACCAATTTTTTGGCGATACCCTTCTTGCGGTATATGGGATCAATCACCAACATTCCAATGTAGCCCCGGGTCCGGACGTTCCGGTGGAGGTTGATTTTGGAGATGATCACGCCGACGACGGTGTCGGCCAGATCCTTGGTGATATAGCAGTATTGGGGCCAGGTATTTAGAAAATACCAGTAGACGTAGATGGAGTAGGGCTCACTGAGATGGTCAGCAATGAGGTTCAGGATGATGCGGAACTGGTTTTGGGAGGCGGGATTGAACCGCTGGTAACGAAGGTTGCCGACGGTGGCCACTAAACCGTAGTCATCAGTGTCTTTGAACAGGCCGGAAGAGTCCATTGGAGAATAGGGCCAGTTGAAGAAAGCGAAGTGAAGGTCGAATGTCGAATGTCCAATGTCCCATGTCGAACGCGAATGTCGTACTGCCGCCATCAGGACAAATGTCGCAGGCTGGGCCCCTGCCCAACCAAACCCTCGGGCAAAAGGCGAACCGTCCCACCACCCGACCCTCACCGGGTGCCGGTGTCGGTTACCCCATATTTCACTTCCATTAAGTTCATTAACACCCAACAAACACATTTATACCCATTTAACGCACTATTTCGTATTCTTCCAAACTATGATATCACTCTGACATCAGTTGACTCAAAGCAAAAAAAAAGTGCGTACACGCCCCCATTTTCTACGATTCCGGATGATTGTGATCCTTGCCAGCTTCGGACTTTTTCACTTGCTTAAACCCCAACAACTTATCATAAAAACCTATGTAAACACCCGTTCATTGCTTTGTCCTAGCAAACATCAGTCTCCGAAGGACCGCCCGAACCGGGTGCCGTCAACGCCGGTTGGTAAACCGCCGTTTTGCGGTTGAATTAGCGGATAAATGTTTTGAAGTTGCAAATGGCTGCAATCTGAACATGACTCTATAAGTTAACACTATAACCTCTAAAACATATAAATTTACTCTGCAGTTACGCCTCGGACAAACAACCCAGTGAGAGTATAGCACTATGCCCATATCCGAATGTACCTTCACCCCCAGCAATGTCTCATGGCAATTCCATTCAAGTGAGGTGATGGACGATTTTTTTTCGAATCGCAGTTGGCCATCCAATAAATTATAAAAGGGAGGAGAATCCCAGAAAATCCACCCTTCACAAATTTTATTTTTGAATCCCAATAAATTAAATTACCAACTACTTGAAATCATGTCAGTTTTAGATGTTTTAAAGACCAAATCCGGTGTCATCTACGGAGATGACGTTCGTCAATTGTTTTTGTACGCCCAAAAGAAGGGTTTTGCTATTCCAGCCATTAACGTCACTTCTTCTTCCACCGTTGTTGCGGCTTTGGAAGCTGCCAGAGACAGCAAGTCCCCAATCATCTTGCAAACCTCCCAGGGTGGTGCCGCCTACTTTGCCGGTAAGGGTGTGGACAACAAGGACCAATTTGCTTCGATCCAAGGTTCTATTGCCGCTGCTCACTATATCAGAGCTATTGCTCCTGCCTACGGAATCCCCGTGGTGTTGCATACTGACCATTGTGCTAAGAAGTTGTTGCCATGGTTCGACGGAATGTTGAAGGCTGATGAAGAATTCTTTGCTGAACACGGTACTCCTTTGTTCTCTTCTCACATGTTGGATTTGTCCGAGGAAGCTGATGAAGAAAACATTGGTACTTGTGCCAAGTACTTTGAAAAAATGGCCAAGTTGGGTCAATGGTTAGAAATGGAAATCGGTATCACTGGTGGTGAAGAAGACGGTGTTAACAATGAACATGTTCAAAAGGAATCCTTGTACACCTTGCCAGAAACCGTGTACAAGGTTTACGAAGCCTTGTCCCCAATTTCTGATAACTTCTCCATTGCTGCTGCTTTCGGTAACGTGCACGGTGTTTACAAGCCAGGTAACGTGCAGTTGAAACCATCCATTTTGGGTGATCACCAGGCCTACGCTAAAAAGCAAATCGGTACTGACAATGACAAGCCATTGTTCTTGGTTTTCCACGGTGGATCTGGTTCTACCCAAGAAGAGTTCGATACTGCTATCTCCAGTGGGGTTGTTAAGGTCAACTTGGATACTGACTGCCAATACGCATACTTGAAGGGTATTAGAGACTATGTTTTGAACAAGAAGGACTACTTATTGTCTCAAGTCGGAAACCCAGACGGTGAAGACAAGCCAAACAAGAAGTACTTTGACCCAAGAGTCTGGGTCAGAGAAGGTGAAAAGACCATGAGTGAAAGAATCACTGAAGCCTTGGCTATTTTCCACACCAAGAACCAAATCTAAGGTGTTTTTGTGTAGCAAAATACATTTTATCTTGTAAAATTGTGAGTGGGTATATCATGGGTAGAATAATGTGTCACTGTGACAATAACATTTATCTTGTATCTTATATTAAGTCGTGAATATTTACATGCTATTAGTTCTTTGGTTGGTGGAGCATCAGTTGCACCTTCTGGTAATCCGGCATTTTCTGGATATTGAATTGCCGGTTATATTGTAGGGTTTCTCCCATCAACCGGTTGGTCTTGAAAAACTTCTCTGCGCATCTATCAACACAACTTTGTTCACCGGTATTCAAATCGGCTTCACCATATTCTCGTGCTATACACTTTGTATTACACTTCAGCAAGAGCTTTTTGAACATCAAATTCTGGGCGTCGAATTGAATATCTGCAAGTTTGATCTTCTCTGGATCCACATTCTGGAACTGAGCTTGTCCTCCCAAGAACAACGACATGTGTTGGCAGGTGTTAAAATGTGTGCTCAGTGAGTGAAAAAAATCAGTAAAATAAAAACCAGTGCGCAGTGAAGGTTCTCAAATACTCAACTTGACCATAGACATTAGGGGGAATGCACGTTTTATTGGTGAACGATGATGGTCCTTTGGATGACAAGACCTGTCCTTACATAAAGTACATGGTCGACGAGATACAACGGTCTACTGACTGGAAGTTGTCTATTTGTGTTCCAAATCAGCAAAGATCCTGGATCGGAAAAGCTCATTTTGCGGGAAAGCCTTTGAAGAGAACATATTTATACACCAAAAACTCCACTGAAGAGTTCAACGAGAAGATCAACGAATATGAAGGGCCCTTTGATTCCAAACAACTGTTATCTGGGTATCAGGAATGGAACTTGATCGATTCTACTCCTGCTGCTTGTACTGATATTGGATTGAACCATATATTTGAGGACATAGATTTGGTGATATCTGGCCCCAATTTTGGAAAGAACTCCAGTAATTTATACATATTGGCTAGTGGAACTGTAGGAAGTGCCATGGAAGCTGTTTTACACAATAAGAAATCTATTGCAGTGAGCTACTCGTACAGTTCTACTAACCACACTTTTGATGAGATCAAAACTGCCAGTGTACTTGCAGTTAAATTAATTCAAAAATTGTACAATAACTGGAATGATGGTGTGGAATTGTACACGATGAATGTTCCATTAAATCAGGGTTTATCCTTGCAAAACACCAAGTGTTATTTTGCACCTATCATGGATAACAAGTGGGGTCACTCCATATATGAGGCTGTTAGTGAAGACAGCTTTGTGTGGAACCCAAACTTCAAGAAGGTTTATAAAGATGGATTAAGAGATTTCTCTCACAGTGATAATAGGATCTTGCTCAATAATAACATCAGTGTTACCCCATTGAAGGCTAAGTTTCAACAACTTGAGCCTTTATTTGGAGAAATAAGCTTGTCTGACAAAGAAGATGAGCCTCTTGAAGAGTATCTTTTACTTGATATAAACCCTAGCTCTTACCTTTACGAATCCTTCAGGAAAGCGTTTGAGGGCATTGGATATCACATAACTAGTGACAAAGGCATCTTAAAGAGCTTGCCCGGAATTAAAGTGTTTCATTATGCTGAGTATGAGGATTTGGATCTCGACTTGATAGAAGCGTTTCCCCAGAATTATTATATTTGTTCCAATATTTACAGAAAAGGTCTCATCAGAAAGAACTATTTGTCCAACATGATTCACCAGTACTCGGTCAAGAACCCTAAATCCATTTTGGCTTCCAGTTATCCGGTTACATACCAGTTTGAGCTTGATTATGCTGAATTCTTGGACGATGCTTTGGATGAGAGTTATGAATTGAGAGAAGAGGTTAATTCCAACAACAAATACTGGATTTTGAAGCCAAGTATGAGCGATAAGGGCCAGGGTATACGTCTTTTCAAAACTATTGACCAGCTTCAGGAAATATTCAATCTGTTTGAAGAAGGTGAAGATAGTGATGTAGAAGAAGAAGATGATGACAATAATGGAATCATCACTTCCCAGCTCAGGCAGTTTATTGTCCAAGAGTACCAACAGAATCCTTTGCTTCTCCCAGAGTATGACAACAAGAAGTTTCATTTCCGTGTATATGTAGTTGCAAATGGAGACTTGCAAGTATTTGTGTACAGAGGAATTCTTGCGCTTTTTGCCACTCAGCCTTTTGTACTTCAAGATGATGACACAGGCGAGGTTCCTATGGGTGGCCATTTAACCAACACCTGTCTTCAGAACGAAACACCAATCGTCGAAAGCTTCTGGAATATGAAAGGAATTGACAAATTTGATAAAGAGATAATTTACAACCGAATTTGCCAGATAGTGGGTGAGGTATTCAAAGCAGCAACCAGTATCGATAAAATCAACTTTCAGCCGTTAGGAAATGCCACTGAGTTCTATGGCGTGGACTTCATCATTGACAATAACATGCAATTGAAGCTTTTGGAAGTCAATGCTTATCCTGACTTCAAGCAAACTGGAGAGGCACTCCATTCGATAATTCATGATCTTTTAGAGGCCACTGTGCACGAGGTGATAGCACCTAGTATGAGTGGTACTGCACGAGTACCACAGGATTCGGTACTTACCGAAGTATACTACCAAAGTAGATCTTGATAAATACATATACATTTTGCAGCCATATGGTGAAGAGAGGCATATTGGGCGCGCGCACTACCCGCGCTTGGTCGGTGAAGGAAAAAAAATCGACGAAAAATTTCACTTCCATTCACAACGGTGACTAGTTTCTTTGTGGTTTTGTTAAAGTACATATAAGAGCATCCAATAAAGGATCATAACAGTTTTTGATACTGATAGAACTTCACAGACACTACCGCCATTTCCCAACACACATATAATATATCCCTTGTAATATATCAATGTCCACACGAAAGTATAAGAATCAGCTGAAGAGGCCCACCGGCAATGGCAATGCTGCCAGCAGCAATTCTCTCGAATTAAATAACTTAAGTGAGATGTTCCCCGATTGGAGCAAAGAAGACTTATCCAGTTTGTTATCAGAAAACAATAATGACTTTGAAAAAGTGATCGATTTGATTGTCAGCGGGAAAGTATCTAAATGGGAACCCATCAAGAAAGAACCCAAAAAGAAGAAGGAAGTGGAGGAGTCCAACATAACGACCAACTTTGGGAATACCGCCAAGTCTGTGCCTTCCAAATCTCACATACCAAAGACTGCAAGAGGAGCTGTTACCCCAGCTGCTAAAAAGCCTGTGACCAAGAAACCAGTTGCTAAAAGAGACGTTAAGAAAATAGACACCAGCGACGCCAACGGGTCGGCTTCTGCCTCTGCCACTGCTGCCGCCGTCGCGGCTGCCGTACCAGATGTCAAGTCTTCGTGGGCTGCTGCTTTGTCGGGAGACAATAAACCTGTTGCAAAGAAAGGAGAGCCTATTGCTGAACCAGAACCTGCTCCTGAAGCCGTGGTAGCGGCTGAAGCTGCCGTAGAGGTGGCTGAACCCGAGCCAAAGAAAACGGATAAAGGAAAACCAGCTAAAGAAGCTCCCAAACCACAAGCATCTTCATGGGCATCCATGGTGGCACCAAAGCCAAAACCAAAGCCTCAACCCAAGAAAGCTTCTCAGCCAAAGACCAAGACCACCAATACTGGCCTAGAAGAACAATCACCGGTCGTGGAACAATCGGTACAAACGGAGTTGGACATTCCAATCGAAGAAATCAAGGAATTACTTCCAAAGGTTCCTGAAGTAAAGGACGAACCCAGTGTGATTTTACCAAACAGCGTGAACAATGTCAACGTGAGCTTCGGGTCCTTGGCTTTAGACGAGAAGAAGGAAGAGCCAGTGGCCCCTGTTGAACAAGTGGAGGCTGTTGCTCAACCACCAACGCAACCTCAGAGTGCCCCAGCTGCCCAGACGGCCCAACCACCCCAACCCCAAACGGAAGAAGAACGTTGTAACCAATACTACTACAACCAAAACCAAAAGAGTCAATACGACTACTACAGCCAATACCCCAACCAGCAAACCCAACAGTTTCAACAAACTCAGCAGGTTCCTGGCCAATATGGTGGCTACCCAGTTGACTACTCCAACTATAACGTGCAGATGTTAGCTGCTCAGCAGATGGCTGCTTTGCAAATGCAAAACCAACCTCAAGGACAAACCAGTGGCCAAGACGTCAACCAACAGTCCCCAGCCGCGTTGACTCAACAATACTATCAACAACCATTGGGTGTTGCTCAACAACAAAGTGCTGGCCCAGCCGACAGCAAGGCCCAAACACCAGCCCAACAACAGCCTAGCCAAGGACAACCAGGTGTTCCTCAACCAGGTGTTCCTCAACAACAAGGTGTTCCAGGACAAACCCCAGGACAAGTTCCATACGGGTACCCATACTACAATTACTATTATAACCAACCATTCTACCAACAAGGCTTGAACCAGAATGGATTCAATAGTCCAAGTGTGGCCAATGCTAGTGTGAGTGCTGGACAACAGCAGCCTCAAGCACAGGCTCAGGCACAAGCACAAGCACAAGCACAAGCCCAAGCCCAAGCTCCACAGCAAGTCCAGGCACAACAAGCTACTCCAAACCAGCAACCAATTATGCCACAGTTTGGAGGGTACCAACAATATCCTCAATACGGTTACCAAGACTCCAACCAGTATCGGGGTGCCGGATGGTACTAATGTATAGGCAGTTATAGGCAATATATGGAAGGACGACAAAAGTGCGACATTGGCGGGCCCTCCCGCGACTTTCTGCTTCAGGTGGTAAGCGCGTGTATTTTTCAGACCGCTTGTAATATGTGTCATCACAGTAAAAATCATCACTAAATAGCAGCGCAGCTTCCACCCTTAAAAATCCAACTAACATATTTTATTACTACTAGTAAAATGTACGTATAAAATGCCCTCACACTATGTTTTTTGCACCTTCAAAAGTGTTTATCCACAAATGCATTGATGAGCCATTGTCTCACCGCCCACGCTAGAACCATCCTTGCGGGTTGAATGACGGCACTTTTTCCCTTTGTTTCACCAGCTACCAAAACACCAGTACATTTCTCCAGTATGCCAAATGGCTGGGCAATTTGCAGTTGCGAAATTTCAAATTCTGCAGATACTCGAATGATTGCAGCCAGGCAACCCAATATTTTGGCCTCCAGGTTTGGTGTGATAAAAAAGGTGATTTTGAAGGGGTGGTGAAGTCGGAGTCCAGGCGGGGGTGATTTGGGTTTGGTAGGAAAGCTGGTTATAGGAAAATTTCAGGTTTATTTGGTTAAGGTGCGGACATGCAATTTGCTCTGGAATATTGGTCGAGGCGTGTCCTTGGCACTTAGTGTCGCAAAGTCGGTGTTGAAATAACCAGCGCCCTGCCAGGTCTGATAAACACACACACACCGGCCCTTGACTTTATTGGTGGAGGCAATTTTTGTTTGTTTTGGCGTGCGAATGTTGCTCGTTGATAAAAAGGCGCCGCCAGAAAATAAACAATTGGAGAAAATATATAAACCGCACAGTGCTGGATATTTGTTTTTTTACTAACATTTTTTGCTAGAAATAAATTAACATGGCTGAAAGAAAGAAAGCTGTCAGAAAGAAGAAGGACCCAGATGCACCAAAGAGATCTTTGAGTGCTTACATGTTTTTCGCCAACGATAACAGAGATATCGTCAGGGCTGAAAATCCAGGTATCGCTTTTGGTCAAGTTGGTAGATTATTAGGTGAAAGATGGAAAGCCTTGACTGCCGACGAAAAGATTCCCTACGAAAAGAAGGCTAACGATGACAAAAAGAGATACGAGAAACAAAAGGCTGAGTACGCCAAGAAGAATAGCTAATCTCTTTAGTGTAGTATATGTTTTATTAGTATTTTAAATGTATTGTTTGTTTTCTTATCGACGCGTATCGGGAGTTCAAAACACAAATGGAATAGAACCATGAAAAGGGAAAACTGTTGGCAGATACATAAACGCATTATCGTTCCTTGTTAGGCGAATGTATTGACTTCCAGGGTCGCTAGGTTACTCCAGCCTATCGAAAAAATACACTACTACTGTCCTTTTCCTCATTTTCTCCACCGACCCAAGTGGTTACTCTGACCGTCAATTACCCCAAGTATTCTGTTTTTGCTCACATTCCCCGTCATCTTCAAGGTGATTTTGTTGTTTTGTTGTTTTGCTTGTCTCCGCTGTTGAAGACAACTTTCGCAGTCGGCTGAAAACTTCCCGCAATGACCATGCTCCCACCACCAGCTTCTACTAGTGATCCCAAATCATTTGGCTACTCGACCGTTCAAGAAAGATGGCCCAAGATCATCAAGGGATGTATTGATGATGTGTCCGATCACCCTGAGTTGATTCCTCAGTTTGAAAAGATCTTGCAGCTGATCGAGCAAGACCTCAAGATAATTAAGTTCACAGACGAAGAAATCGCCTTGAACCCCAATTTGAAGTTCTACAATGACAATTTCGTTGATGTCCACTGGCACAACGGTCCCTGGTTATATTTGGAGTGCTACATCTACCAGGCAATCAATAATATATTTTTGAAGGCCAACTTGCCTCACTACGACATATTCAACCGATTGAAGCAGTCTACTTTACAGTCGAGTGAAGTGGGAATCACCGAGTTGTGCAAGAAGTTGTCGTCGTTGACATTGGATACTAAGGACCTGGACAAACTCGTATTGTTCAAGGAGTTTATTGATATCTCCTTGTGGGGGAACTCTACTGACTTGTCGTTATTGGCAGGTGACGTTTCGTTGGAAGACATTAAATCTATTCAGGGAGAGGAAATCAGGAAAAAGAACGAGAAGAATATCTTAGTTAACGACACCAAGGCCATTTTTGAGCACTTGACTGCGCGGCTGTCTTCTGGAATCGTTGACATCATATTGGATAACTCTGGGTTTGAATTATTCAGTGACTTGGTGTTGGCGATTTTTTTACTTGAAAGCAAGCTTTGTTCCAAAGTCAATTTTCATTGTAAACAGATTCCATGGTTTGTGAGTGACACTATGATCAAGGACTTTGACGAATTGTTCTTTGAGATCTCCAAGTTCCATAACAAACATGTGGATAAGTTTATCGAGAACATTAAAGCTTACCTTGCTGCCGACAAAATGGCGGTTGTTACCGACCCGTACTGGACCATGTCAGGCCCCTTCTGGGATTTGGCTAAGTTCCCCGTTTACGAGACGTTGAAGTCGTCCAAATTGTTGATTTTCAAAGGTGACTTGAACTACAGAAAATTGACCGGCGACTTGAACTGGGAAAGAACCACCTCGTTTGCAGAGGCCATTCAGGACTTGAAAAATGCCAACTTGCCTATAGTGTCGTTGAGAACTTGCAAAGCCGATGTGGTAGTTGGATTACCAGAAGGTGTTGACGAGAGGTTGGTAAAGGAAGCAGGTGACTTCTGGAGTGCCAGTGGTAAGTACGCTGTAATCAGCTTCTTCAACCCCAGACAGTAGATATACAATTGTCGTGGTTTCCCAAAGATTTATATTAATTACTATAATACATTAAACATCCCCAGCCTTTCTGGAGTTGCAGGCAACAATCTTAAACTTGTCTACAGTCACTTCATCATTCAACTCACTATGGCTGGTATCAGTCAATTTGATCAACACGTTTTTAATGATGAATGTCCAGACATCATCACAGAACCGGTAGGTACTCAAGTCGCCTTTGAATGTCAATTTGGACTTCGCTATGTTCTGCTCGGGTTTCAACAATTCAGAGATAACCCGATCAAAGTTAGTTACAATCGTCATGGCCAACTGAGGCTGGATCTTCTCATCAGAGATGAGCTGGTCCAAAGCATCGGTCAACGTTGCCCCGACGGTGGATCTTCTGTATAACTCGTAGTATGCGGGTGCACTCATGATGTGTAAGCAGTGATAACTTTTTTGTCACGAGTGCGAAAACTGAACAAGCGAGCACCTAATGAGTAACGGGCCAAATGAACAAGCAACTGTGGGAGAACGATATGAGCACCTAATTAGCAAGTTCACTGCTTTGGAAGCCAAACCGATTCCCAAGAACTCCAAGGAGTACCAGACCCAACTTTACCTGTTAATCAAGCAGTTTAAATTCATTGATAAAATCATCGCGGACCTCGATCTCTTCAGTGACAATGAGTTCATTGAGGAGATCAACGTTAACTATTTACCGTTCCTTAATGTTAACTATTATTTGGGAGAGCTCTTCTTGAATTTCATGGTAGATGCGAACCTTGAACTTTCTATTGACTTTAAGGCCGACAATCTCAAAATTTCACTGGAATACTTCAACCTCTATCTCCAAAGACTTATTGAATTGGAGCTTCTTAATCCTCTTCAAACTAAGCAATTGAAGGGATACCTGTTGAACAGAGAAGAAAAGATCCAACAGTACCGATATCAAAAGGAGTTGGAAGGAAAGCTTGCACTTGTACATACAACAGAGGATGAAGATATCAAACGACAGTTATACTTGGACCACATAAACTTGCTTACCATACGAGCTTTGCATCATCTCCAGATGATAGAAATGGAGATACAGGTACTTTCCAACCGGCCCAGCTCCATTGAAGAAATATCAGCTCCAATACAGCCCAATAATGAAGACCGTAGGAAACAAACCGCAGATGACTATACCACCAGATTGGAAACACTTCCTCAGAATCAGCCTATCCAAAATCTTCTAAGCAAAGGACGAGTTCTCCAGCCGTTTACATTGACGAGACAGGACTTGAAGAATAAAGTATTTGGTACTGGCCAAGTTCTACCTTCAATGACGGTAGAAGAGTATCTTGACTACGAGCTTGCGAATGGAAAAATGGCCCAACCAGAGGAACCTCCTGCCAATAGTGATGATGAGGATGAAGATAACGAGGACGAAGAGTACCGCAAGCGGGAATGGGATGACTGGAAGGATGCCAATCCCAAAGGAATAGGAAACACCATGAATCGTGGGTAAAGTGTGTATTGGTAGTTTTATAAGCTATTTAACATCTTCAAGCAATGTACGTACTCTTGGGACAATTGTGCCAACGATATAAGCTCATTTTTCAGGTCATTTTTTATCAACCATCTGTCGTTATCATTCTTGAACGTTTTCAAGCAGTTGATGATGATGAGATAGTATTCCAAGGCTTTCAAGTATCCGATCTTGAGGTTTTCTAACGACAAGCTGGGGCTTTCCTTCGCAAATCTGGTGATGAATTTGTATAATGCCTCAATGGAGTTACGTCTCAAGGAATTGTGAATTCTCCATGCACATATGATATCGTAGTATTTCATAGATACCAAAATCGGTTGAGCTTCAGCGATTTCGTTCAATATTATATCGATAAGCTTGAAGTTATCGATAAAGAACTGGGAATATTCCCCTTTGGAACTCGAGATGTTGAAGATGGTATTAACCAGACCCCTTCCAAATAGGGCTTGAACAAATACTTTCATCGAATTTTCGAACTCGGGTATTTCTTGAAGATTCACCAAGGACTTTAAAATGGTCTCGATATCGAATAACTTTATAGACAACTCGAAAACGTTTTTATAGTAACTGGAGTTATCAACAAAATCATCGGCCAAATCAATGGCTTTCAATTCCAATTCTATGGATTTGTGTAAGAAGACTTCATCCTTTTGGGAGGCTATGAGCTTAGACAAATTATGGTAATACTCAGGCTCATTGGTGAAGTTGGAGCTCAAGAAGTCGTTTAACTCATTGTTGAAATGGTATCTCTTGCTGCCAAAAGACCTGTAGTTATCATAACTCAATAGGTCAACAGCTTTTATATCCTTATTCAAAAGGTATATCAACCCGATCAAATATTGGTTGGATTCATAATCCAACTTGTCTAACATTTCGTTCAAGATGTTCTGCTCACTGTTGGAATCAACCAACTCAATGACTATTTTTATTAGGTAATCTTGCTCATGGATATTTTGGTTCAAATAGTTGTACTTGTTCAAAACGTCACCTTTAGCAATCTTTTGCTTCCAAATAATCGAATCTTCATAGTTCTTTGAAAAAAGAAAATCGAATAGCCTAAAGTCTTTCAACTTTTGCAATACACTATTGGCCAAATGAACAAGAACTTCATTATCAGCATCTATGTTGGAGATGAGTATGACCAATCGGACCAACAATTCCTTTTGCACCTTGGAAATATCTTTGAATGCCACTATGGTGTATATCTTGTCAATAATGCTCAAGTTGTTTTCATACCCAAGTTCTTCAACATGTGGTCCATTGATTAAAGTGTAGAGTGTTTTGATAGCCGTCGAATTTCCTTCAGATTTAAGGTCGAAGTCAGCAGTTGAATAAGAGCTTATATCATTTGTAGTGCCATCATAGAAATCAAGAACATTGCTCATAGCTTCTTGATCATCATCAAACTTTCCACCTATTAGGTTGTCTGAAATATAATCCAAGTCCTCTTCAGTCAATTGTTTAGCCGAAGCAATGTACTGGTACACTTTGTAGATGGCCTTATTTGACAACTTTAAGGTGATTCCACGTAAAAGCTGATTAAGTGGATCACCTTCATTGTTTGCAAACACTTCAAATAAACTCAAGGGCCTGAATATTCCGACACCGTTCGTTTGCAAAATGATTGTTTTTCCCTTGATCACAGATATACTTAATGATTCTTTACAAAGTTTCTTATACTCCTCACAAAGTGAATAGAGTACGAACCACCCTTTATCGAAGAACTCTGTATGGGCTTCAGATATATCATCAGCAGTTTCCTTATTAAGTGCCTCAAGAACTAGCTTTGAAGACTTAAGATTCAATCTCTCCCTCAATGTTTCGAAAGCAGTATCCAACACTAACTCGTCATAAGCCCCAGAATTCATTACCTGGTTTTTGTAATACTCTTGGTCAAACATCTGCAAAAATTCCTCATCGTCATCAACAGCTGAAGATTCAACTTCTATTATGGTTAATGTTGATGCATCAACAGAATAGGTCGCCACTAAGCTTGAAAAGTTAGACTTCCATAAAATATGTATCTTTATATGGTTGCTGGTCACAACCTCAATACAGTAGTCTTGGATGTACCAAGGTTTTATCTTATGCTCATCTAAAGTAGTATCTGGCAACGTTACTTCGAAAGTCTTACCCTGAAAATCATCTACATTCCAAACTTGGAACTGGAGTTTGCCTTGAACATCTAAGGAATTTGCAGCATGAGACAAGATGAAGGTTTTGTCATCGACTATGAAAGACTGCAAATATTTATTTGGAACCAAAGTCAAGAAGTTACCATCGTTGGAAACCTGGAGCACATTAACAAGTTCATGGGTGTTGATGTCAAACACCTTTATATGTTTATCCACAGTCATTATCACCAATTTTTCCTTAACCACAATCAAATCAACCGCACAGTTCTTACCTGAAGCGTTATCCTTAAAAAAGGCATTGAAGAACCCGAGTGATAGCTTCGAGTCTTCTCTGAAGTTGAAAATATTGAACGCTTCGAGCGTTCCTGTTCTCAGAAAATGCAACAATCCCCCGTCGGTCAAGGATACGATACAATTGTTGTGGTCAATGGATTTTATGAAGAATGGGTTGGAGCGCATCTCAAATGAGTATGGCACAGATATGTTTCCCCAGTGCTTGAAGTTGGACAATTCAAATCCTGATCCTTCACCAACCACAAAGTCTTTGAGGTTCACCCTAACCGTTATAAAAAGGAATCTCTCGTCGATAAAATCGACTATCAAATTCAAATCATCATTCTCTTGTTCTTCAATTGTTACCGAGAAACAGGTGTTGGATATCATCTTGTTAGGTAGATCGATGACAACATTCTGGAGATCAAGCTTCAATTGAGAACTCAGTATCACTGGACATAACCGAATGGCCGTCAAGTCAGCTGGAATGTCAATTGAAACCACATCAACAAACGACGGGTGCTTTTCAAACTCGATCAACTGGCTTGACACCGCAAGTTTCTTTGTGAATTTTTCATGCACATCGTGGGAGTCAGCTCCATGGTCATTATAGCGCAATGGAATACGCACCACACTCGTGGGTAAATGGCTCTGGAACCCCGTAAGACTACAACATGCGTTTTTCTTCATCTTTGGTACCAGTTCAAAACACTCGAAGAGTTTATTTTTTCTTCCACTTCAAGTGCGCGCCAGAGGGTTTTTTTTCTACTACAACTCTTCATGTCATCCACCATCTTCTATAAGTTTTTTCACCAGAAAAGCCAGTCCACGATCCACTTCGACGGGACAGGGATCAATGTGTTTGATCTCAAACATGAGATCATCAAGCAAAACCAGTTGGGCGAGGGGAATGACTTTGATTTGAAGCTATTCCACCTGGAGCAGCCAGATATCGAGTATGACCAGGATCAAGATGTGATACCCAGGTCATCGTTTGTATACGCCAGAAGGGCACCTGCAAACCCACGTGCCGGAAAATTCGGTAACGCTTCTCGTTATGTGAGCGGCAGACCACGTATTAACCGTAAAGCCATCAATGCTTCCAATTCCCAAGCAGCAGCCAACTCCAACGCTACAATTCAACAACCAATTGACGACAATATCTCGGAAGAAGACCGAATCAAGTTGATGTTTGAAAACCAATCAAGTGCATGGGCCCAAACCCAGGACGAATTGGCCCAACACAAAGTCATATACAGCAAGCCCACGGCTGCTGCTGCTGCTAATCCAGAAGACGCTCCTCCACCAGGATACGTGTGTTACCGATGTGGGGGCAGAGACCACTGGATCAAGAACTGTCCGACAAACACGGACCCCAACTATGAGGGAAAGAAGTTGCGGAAAACAACGGGTATCCCCAGGTCGTATTTGAAGACTGTTTCCAAGGATGCCATTGATGACACTTCCCAATTTACAACCGATGACAATGGAGAAATGGTAGACAACCAAGGTAACCGTTATATGATAACTGATACTGGTGAGTATGTGATAGCCATGGCCGATACGAAGACGTGGTTGAGTTACCAGGAAAAACAACAGAATGCTGTCATGAAAGCCAAAAAGGAGTTTGACGATAAGATCATAGAGCATATAGAGAAGGATGGTAAGACTGAATTCTTGGATCCTTTGGCACTCTCCGGCAAAAAAATACTTACCCCTCCCATTGTTATGACCCCCTGCTGCCGAGATAAAGCCAAGCTACAGAAAATGACGAACTTCAATTACAATAAAAACGACCTCGAACAGCTTTTGATCGATAATGATTTCCACTGTCCCAACTGCGACACAGAAGATGTATTTATCGATGTTTTGAAGCCAAACGAAGAGTTGGAGCAAGAATTGAAGGCTTATATAGAAGCTAAAACAGCTGAATTGGGTATTGAGGATCCATCTGCTGCTATGGACAATGCTTTAAAGAGAAGTAATGAAACTGAAGGAGATGAGGATGCTCAAAAACGACAGAATTTGGGGTTCCAGCCAGGGCAGATGATGCCTCCATTTAGCATGCCATTTATGCCTGGAATGCCTCCTTTCCCTATGATGATGCCACAAATGATGATGCCCCCTCCACCTGCCACGTCCAGCTCTCCTAAAAAGTAAAATCACTTTATATGTGTATAGGGCCTATGGTTACCCGGCGCCAACACCACCTTAAATGAAACATTTTCGCGTGGAAAATTTTTTCAGTGTAAGCTCTTCTCCAAACATAGTTTGGGAAAAGTATGTTACTATAAACACATAGGGAGACGATCCATAGAAGATGATCCAACCAACCAATTCAAACTAGAGTATATGACTATCGAATGATCTTAATTAGTTGCTGATTGTGAATCTCCCTCATGTTAAATGTTTTGTTATCCTATACTAACAACTGGAAGCTAACCGTATGTTATCCTACAACTTTATTGTGTGATTTTCTGATGAAACCAACAAACAAAGCTGGAATTACCTGCTGAATCTCTGTGATTGAAAACGTTTTGCATTTATCTCTGATCCAACTCACACAAGATCAATATTATTGATAGTTTTTACTAACCGTATAAGTGTATGTACCCTAGTCACAGGATTTAGATGACGAATTATTGCACTGGGCACTGAAATTGCATGAGTGACAACGCATTTAAGGTGGGCCTCAGAAACCCTCCGTGACTGATAAATTTATTTTTAATGTCGACAAAACTAACCTTTTGACAGTCCAGCGTTAATTGCGCACTAAAGGAGGACCAATACAAGTATGTACCACAAAAACTGATCACTGATGATGCCACGATGACGAGTCAGATACGGGTAATCCGATGCTGATAAACACTTATTTATACCATTCATGCCTTACTGAGATCAAAATATGGTTGCAAAACACAAAACTAACAACAGCTTTAGTCTATATTTTTTGCTATAGAAAGTATTCGATGCTCAGCTAAAAGATGATTTTCGAAAATTGACAAGCATATGTCTGATTCTGCAAGAAGATACATTTTCAGTCTGATAGTTTAGCTTCGAATATTTTAGATACTGGAACGTACTGGATTGTACCTCGAGATAATTGTTTCTACCAAACGGTATGTATTAATTTGTTCACCTACGTATATGATGATCTTACCACAATTCACGACGGTCTACTGTGTTTGGAGACTTGTAATTTCCTTACCTTGATGATAAATTTAGGCCTTGACCGGCCGTGGTCCCTGAGATTCTAGGTGCATAACTCCAAAAGCTTTACTAACATGACTAAAGATATTACCGTATTCTCGTGGATTGATAAATATCAACTAAAAATAATGGCGTAGTATTATTTAGGTATATAATACAATTTTATTACTGTACGGCGTATTCAAATTAAGGGCCCACATTCGCATTTGCAGTATTTTAATACGCACAAAACCATCGCTTTTTTAAGGTAAAAAAGACCATTCCTACGTCAAAATGCGGTTCAACACCCGCAGGTCATCACGTCTGGAACACGACGATGATTTACACTCCTCCAATACTAACAACAATCTCGGCACGCCGTCAGAGGATCCTCCTTCGTATGATCTCTCCATGAGCTCATCCCTGTCCACATCAACAGGACCACCACCGATTAGTCTGCAAAGCAGTTCCAGTATCTTACGTGGCACATCGTTACTCTCTCTCAATGAGAAACCCAAGAAGAAAAAGAATGTTCCGTACAGACCAGCTCCAGAACAGCAAAGTCATATCGATAAGCTCGGATCATCTAACGTCACTTCCATCTCAACTGTATCTTCCAACACTCACACTGAATACTTTGATGTGTTACCGTCGTTTCAGATGTTCCAGTCGATATTGAAACGAGATGATGAGCAGTTCAACGAGAACTTACTGATCCTACCACCAGAGTATGGTGATACCAGAAACACTTCTCCTTCACCCCCAAACTTATCTCCAATGAGTAGTGCTTCAAGCACCCCTGGTACTGAGCAGCACGAGACTATCGATGGGATGTTACGTCCTGAGACCCTGCAAGAACAGGAGTATAATTTCGAAGAAAACTATGGATTCGGTGAAGACGAAGCAGATGATGGGCTCCAGAACTCTAACAGAGAGTACTACAGTAGGAACAACATCACCAACGCCAATAACACATACGGGCACACTGTGTTGGATAACATCGACCGGTTGCCGAAACTTAATACTTCGCCCATTGATATCCAGGTTTTTTTAACTAAAGGAGTCCCTGAACCCCATATGCAAAATGAGCTAGAAACAAGACTCAAAGAGTATACTAACGGAGATTTGGTCAATGGGTATATTGTTATCCACAATACTTCGAGCAAACCTGTGAGTTTTGGGCTATTTACAGTGTCATTAGAAGGGACCACCAAGGCTGTGGAAAAGAAAACCAACTCCGACCATCACAACCTGTTCTCCAAGGTGTTGATGAAAAAGTTTTTAAAGATGTATGATTTGAATGCATCATATGGATATACAGATGTTCCCAACAGTGCTGGGATTGAGTATAAACCAGGTTCAAGAGACTTATATGACGACTGCATTCTTGGATTGCCAAATGAGAGAATCCTTGTTCCTGGACAAAAATACAAGAAGTTCTTTACTTTCAAATTTCCCAACCGTCTACTCGATACCACCTGTTCTTCCAGCATTCTTCCACACATTCTTTCTCCACCATCAGTAGGGGTCGATAGTACCTCGTTCAATGGGAAAGCTAGCCATATCGAATTGAATAAAGCTTTGGGGTACGGGTTTATTCCCGACAGGGGAACACCTTTACTTACAAGAGATCATGGGTTTCACGACATGAGTGTTTCGTACACAATTGAAGCAAAGTTTATTGACAAGGTGAACAGCTCCCAAGAAGTTCCCGTTAGTCACAACGAAATCAATGAGTCTGACAATATGAAAGACTATGTGGTTTCACGAGGAGCCCAGTATTTTTTGCGGTTCATTCCCGACTTGAAAGAGCTTATTTCATATTTCAATGAGGACATCATCTTTGGAAATGAGACCTTTGGGAGCGTTGGTATCGATGGTAAATTGTTCAACAACTATATTTATACCAAGACTTGGAGGGAACTTAATAGCCTCAACTCGCTAATTGAGCAAGAAATCGATGCTCGTCTCGAAAGAGAACAACTCTCGGACGATGATATCAAACATAAAAACCTCATCATTGACAATTACAATAACACCAATATTAGACAAACTTCAATCGTTGCCAAGGAACAACAACTCCAACTGCAACAAGTGGACGAGGAAGCATATTATTGTGAGAAACGAATGATAGGAAGTCGATACCCAGTCGATGTGTTTAGCAAGAAGAAGAAGAAGATATTGTCCTCACTAGTGAAGGTCGGTCACCTGAAGATGTACGTTCAGGTTCCTGACCAGCCCGTGACATATGAGTCTCCTAAGTTGATAAAACGGTATAACCTCACGGATGATTATAGTCTTAAGTCCAATGAACTTGTACCTGTTAACAGCATAAGCAGCAACCGGATCAATGAATTATACCGCAGAATAGAAGATGATTACGCAAAGGACGTTAAAGTTTCGGTGGTATTCGAAGGTTTGGATTCTGGGTGTACTCCTCCACCCATTGCTAATATCGATTGTAACATAGTTGCATGGTCATTCAAGGCAGATTACCCTTTACCGTGCGAGTTTGAATACGACTTTTTCTATGAATCCTTGCATCCCTCGACAAAAAAGGTGGACCAAGTGGAAATCACCAAACAGAACCTCCAGCAGGTTAAAGACCAAACGGCCAATTATATTCATTTCCTCAAGGCTAATAAGACGTTTATTTCAAAAAATTCTTACCTTTACTTGAAATCCATGAAGACATTAGGGATTAAACGTGATACCATCACCGAATTTTTTCTGCCAATTTCCGAAACTTCCCACCCTGAAATTTTCGCCGATAACTGGAAACTTACAGGTACCAACAAGTGGACTAAAGACTTACGCATCCCACTAGACATCCTCAACAAGCACAATATTGCCCTCATTCCAACGTTCCAAAGCTGTTTATTTGGGCGATTATACTGCTTGCAAGTTGTGGTAAAGTTTAAAGGGGGTAGTGGAGAACGTAACGAGTTTGCTGATAACGTGGTTACTACTGAAGTGCCGGTTTTAGTGGGTTAGTAGTATCATTTAATAGCATAATGCACCAATCGATTTCGCACCCAAGTCGTGGCAGCCGCTACCACCAACTCCGGCGCGGAGATGGCACCGGCGCACCCAATTACCTGCTCTCACGTGAGTATGACGCATCGGTCCTCCATATGACTCTGAATAAATTAAATCATCTCACAGTAAATTTTCGTTCTAACATCTTATTGAGTCACCCAAACACAAATCATGGCTAGCCAACAAAATATAATAGACTCGTTCCAAAAGGCCGTCAACTTGACTGGTTCTCCCAATGCCGTCTCCACCTCGCCCACGCAGTCGTACTTGAGCAACTACACCCCGTACAAAAAGCAAGCCAAAGCGTTGAAGCCATTTTCTACTGGAGACATGAAAATCTTATTATTGGAAAACGTCAACCAAACTGCCATTGATATTTTCAAGGGCCAAGGTTACCAGGTGGAGTTCTATAAGAGCTCGTTGCCTGAAGATGAATTGGTTGAAAAAATCAGAGATGTTCACGCCGTTGGTATTAGATCCAAGACCAAATTGACTGAAAGAGTCTTAAGTGCTGCCAAAAACTTGGTGGTAATTGGTTGTTTCTGTATTGGTACCAACCAGGTGGACTTAGAGTTTGCTGCCAAGAGTGGTATTGCCGTTTTCAACTCTCCATTCTCCAACTCCAGATCAGTTGCTGAGTTGGTGATTGCTGAAATCATCACTTTGGCCAGACAATTAGGTGACAGATCCATCGAGATGCACACCGGAACCTGGAACAAGGTCTCGGCCAAGTGCTGGGAAATCAGAGGTAAGACCTTGGGGATTATTGGATATGGACATATTGGTTCTCAGTTGTCAGTGTTGGCAGAAGCCATGGGTATGAACGTCATCTACTACGACGTGGTTATGATCATGTCTTTGGGTAATTCCAAGCAGGTGGGCAGCTTAGACGAGTTGTTGAACAAGGCTGACTTCATCACTTGTCATGTCCCTGCCACTGCCGAAACTAACAGCTTGTTGAGTGCCCCACAATTTGCCGCCATGAAAGACGGCGCCTATGTGATCAACGCTTCAAGAGGTCAAGTTGTCGATATTCCTGCATTGGTACAAGCCATGAAGGTGGGTAAAATAGCCGGTGCAGCCTTAGATGTTTACCCTCATGAACCTGCCAAGAATGGTGAAGGGTTGTTCTCCGACTCGTTGAATGACTGGGCCTCGCAGTTGACTTCGTTGCGAAACGTGATCTTAACTCCACATATTGGTGGATCTACTGAGGAAGCTCAGTCTGCCATTGGTGTGGAAGTTTCCAGTGCTTTGACAAAGTACATCAATGAAGGAAACTCTTCGGGAGCCGTGAACCTCCCCGAGGTTTCCTTAAGAGGCTTGGACTTGGACCAGCAGAACTCGGTCAGAGTGTTGTACATTCACCAGAACGTCCCTGGTGTGTTGAAGACTGTCAACAACATCTTGTCAATCTATAACATCGAGAAGCAGTTTTCTGATTCGAGAGGTGACGTGGCCTACTTAATGGCGGATCTTGCTGATGTCGACAGCAGTGATATCAAGAGTTTGTATGAACAGTTGGAACAGACTCCATACAAGATCGTTACCCGGTTGTTGTATTAGTTAGCTTTGATATGGATTATAGAAATGATAATAATTGCACCCAATGCGCGCGCGCACTTGGTGGAGACCTCGCGTGCGCCTACCGATCTCGCTGCCTGTGTTCGCACGAAAATCGCTGTTGGTGGCAAGATAACTTCAACAACACCATGGCCTTAGTATCAGCTGCTCCTTACTTGGCCTTGTTGAATGAACAGGATTCCAGCTTAAAGGCTTATGCCTTGACCTCCTTAAACGACGTGGTCGACCAGTTGTGGGCCGAAATTGCCAACAACATCACCGACTTGGAAGAGTTGTATGAGGATGAATCATTCGAAAAGCGTTCTTTAGCAGCTTTAATCATATCCAAAGTCTACTACAATTTGGGTGACTTCGACTCTTCCGTTAAGTATTCGTTAGCAGCCGGCGACGAGTTTGACATCGACGAGCAAAGTCAGTATATTGAAACCATTGTGTCCCAGTGTATCAACTTGTACACCTCATTGGCACAGAAGAAGTTTGAAAATGAATCGGTCGTTATTGACAAGCAATTGACTGCCATCTTTGAAAGAATGTTACTCAAGTGCATCAAGGCCAACGACTTCAAGTTGGCCTTGGGAATTTCCTTGGAATCTCTTAGATTGGATATTGTGGAAAAGATTTTACACGAACAAATAGAGACCCATCCCGAAAATGCCATGAACTTGATTAACTATATTTTAGTGTGTTCGAGCAATGTCATAAGTAACGTCAAGTTCAGAAAGGTTGTGTTGGAGTCTTGTCTCAGCTTGTTGTTGAGCTTGAAGAATCACCAAGACTACTTCACTGTATTCAAGATCATTGTCCAGTTGAACGATTTTGAAGTTGCCACACAGTTGTTCAAACAAATGTTTGACAATGGCCGAATTGCAATTGCTTATCAAGGAGCTTTCGACTTGGTGAGCTCGGCGTCCCAAGAGTTGTTGGACAATGTGTCTGCTAGTTTGAAGGCTGACGAGACCTTCAAGTCGTCGAAGCCACTACAATCCACCTTGTTGCATATTTTGAGTGGGGTTCCTACTTGTGACTTGGACATAACGTTCTTGCACAAGAACAATAACACAGATAAGACCATCTTGAACAAGACCAAGAACTCATTAGAAGGTAGAAGTTCTATTTTCCACTCGGCCGTTACCTTTGCCAATGCTTTTATTCATGCTGGTACCACCGATGATTCATTTATCAGAAAAAATTTGGAGTGGTTGGGAAAAGCCACCAATTGGTCCAAGTTCTCTGCAACTGCTGCCTTGGGTGTGATTCATAAAGGGAACTTGACTCAAGGCAGAAACATTTTAAAGCCTTACTTGCCAGGTTCTTCAAACTCTCCACACTCTAAGGGAGGTTCTCTTTTTGCTCTTGGGTTGATTTTTGCCGGCCATGGGAAAGAGACAATTGAATATTTGAAGCTGTTTATTGATGAACATGGAATCTCAGCCGGTAACAGTGATAACGATGTGATGCTCCACGGTGCCTGTCTTGGATGTGGTGTAGCCGGTATGGCCAGCAATAATGAGTCCTTATATGAGGCAGTGAAGCTGGTATTGTACTTGGACTCTGCTGTTTCTGGTCAAGCTGCTGGTTTAGCCATGGGTTTGATTATGTTAGGATCTGGAAACGAATCGGCAATCCTTGACATGATGACTTATGCTGAAGAAACTCAACATGAAAACATTATCCGTGGCTTAGCCATAGGTGTTACTCTCTTGAACTATGGAAGAGAAGCTGAAGCCGATAAATACATCAAAGAGTTGATGGGTAAAGAGAACTTCATGTTGAGATATGGTGGTGTTTTCACTATTGCGTTGGCCTATGCTGGAACCGGTAACAACAAAGCTATTCAACAATTATTACATGTGGCTGTGTCTGATCCCTCTGATGATGTTAGAAGAGCTGCAGTCATGTGTTTGGGTTTTGTTTTGATTAGAGACTACACTGCTGCTCCTCAAATTGTTGAATTATTATCTCAATCTTATAACCCACACGTTCGTTATGGTACTGCCATGGCCTTGGGTATTTCGTGTGCCGGTAGAGCCTTGCCTGCTGCTATTGAAGTTTTGGAACCTTTGACTAAAGACCCAGTGGATTTCGTGAGACAAGGTGCTTTAATGGCAACTTCGATGATTTTGATCCAACAAAACGAACATAGCTATCCGAAGGTGAAGGAGTTCCACAAACAGCTTGCTGCAACTATCAGCAACAAGCATGAGGATGCGTTAGCCAAATTCGGTGCTACTTTGGCTCAAGGAATCATACATGCTGGTGGTAGAAATGTCACCATTAACTTGGAAAACTCCCAAACTAACACATTAAACATGAAAGCGATTGTTGGATTGCTGGTTTTCTTGCAATCATGGTACTGGTTTCCATTTGCCCACTTTTTGTCGTTATCTTTCACTCCTACGGCTGTTATTGGTATAAGAGGCAAGGATTTGAAGATCCCCAAGTTCGAGTTGAACTGTCACACCAAACCCAAATTCTTTGAATATCCACCAAAAGTTGAAGAGTCAAAGGAAAAGCAGCCAGATAAAGTTGCCACGGCGGTATTATCAACCACAGCTAGAGCCAATGCCAGAGCCAAAAAGCAGACCAAGAAAGAAGGCGAAAAGGAAGAACCGTTGGACAAAATGGAAGTTGACGAAAGCAAGCTTGAGGTAAAAGATATAGAAGAAACAAAGTCTGAAGATACCGAAGACAAAAGAGAGGAAACTGTACGCTACAGCAAGACCCCCTACAAAATCGAAAATTTGTCGAGGGTTTTGCCTGCGCAAGCCAACTACACTTCCTTCTTGAAGGATTCACGGTTTGTTCCCGTCAGGAAATCGAGAGGTGTTAGTGGAATCATAGTGTTGAACGACACCCAGCCCCACAAGAGATGCGAATTCATCAAGACTGTTAGACAGCTTAACGTCACTGAAGCTCCAGTCCCTGAACCATTTATCTTGAGTGGTGAAGACTTGGAAGACGAAGATGAAGACTTTTAAATAAAGTTTATATAAAAATCGCATTCTAATTATACATGTCTAAAGCTGGACTACTGCCGTAACGGGTCGGTGATCACTACACCGAATCCCCTTGTATTCATGGTTTAAGACCTCATGGGATTCGATGTCAATATCGGGTGTCGTCCAAATAAAATCAATTGACTTCTCCTTCCTTCCCTTCTTAAAGCCTGTGTCTGTGTGATCATATCCACGCTTACTCTTACAATAACAAGAAGATTCGTGCAATCCTCCCTGGGTAAATGTCTTGTACGCTTCTCCATGACTTTCACTGTTCAAGTCTCCACATAACACACTTACATCACCAACCTGGTGCATCAATTTCATGATAAGTTTGGATGAGTTGATTCGTGCCTGCTTACCCTTGTGGTCATAATGGGTGTTGAAGACATTGACAATTTTTCCCAGCAGATGTTGGAGCGTAACCAAAGTGACGATTCTCGAACATTTTGCATCCCAGCCAATATTGGGACGTGAAGAGTCATCACTCAACCAGTAGGTGGCACCATTCAAGAGTTTCCACTCGCTGGATCTGTACAAAATAGGAGCAAATTCCCCTTTGGTTTTCCCATCATCTCTTCCTACCCCAAAGTATTTCCAGTCATTACCGAGACCATACAATATATCATGTAATTGATTATGTTTAACCTCCTGAAGTCCAACAATTGTAGGCATTTTGTGACTGGCAGCATAGATGTTAGCACAAACACCTTCCCGGCGAATAGTCCATGGCTCTTCTCCTTCCATTCGGTCTTTGGCATCTTGCCGCACGTTGTGGCAGAAGACTTGCACCTGAAGCGCAGGCAATTGCGAGTTCTTGATGTTGATTGAAGGTGGGGCATTCTGATGCTCACGGAACTTCTTCTCTGCACGAGGAATGATGTGTTTGGTGATGATACTTCCAAGACCCATGTTGGTTATAGGAGACTGGAATAGTTGCTAGAGATGAAATGCTGCAAACAAAATGCCCGCGCTTCTCGTGTGACTGAAATTACGGGTACGCGCACGTCATTGCTTGCGTACCCCATTGTTGAGATTCATTGATGGACTTTGGAGAATAGTTTTATCCTAATGTAGATAATTTGGGAAGCACGCAGTGACTGAAACTGATACTAATGAGGGTGAGAAATATAGGGATGAAGTGGCTTCCTGGGCTTTGCCAGTGCATGTGAACAAGATCTGGATGGCGTGCGTGAACCTAGGGGTAGATCTGGGGTCCGGTAGACGTGTGCGGGCCAAAATCAGACCTGTTAGAGCGTATGGTGGGGTGTACACCTAGCCATTCTGATCATACAATGGCCTTATGACTTCCGAGATAGACCGTACGTGACTATGACTCTCCGGGGTATGCATACCCGTTTACTGAAATAACGAGGATCCGCTTGCACTCTCGGGCGAATTCGTCTGCAACGTGATATTTTACTTTTCGTGCAGGTTGGGTGCGAAATTTAATCACAGGTATATTGAAATACACAAAATATTGAAAACATAAAAGAAACAAAAGTAGAGCCACAACCCGGCGACAACACACACCGTGACCTTGCTCACGATGAATTCCGAGAAATAGCACAAGTTCCATGTACCTAAAACACATTGATGGTGTTGTAGGTGCTTGGATCTCAAGAATCACAAATAGGTTAGAACCTCTCTAGTTCAACACTTGAGTGAGTATGGCAAGACAATACTCATAAGATATGCATCTTAGTTCCACCAGGCAGACTTGGCTTATCATAAGGCTGAGGCACCCTCTTGTTAGCCTTATGGATTTGCTCTGCTGTACTGTTCTTTGAGCTTTTGGTTTTGTTAGAAGAAAGTTTGTTCTTTAAGGACTGAAGTCTAGTTTTGAGCAGCATATTTGAATAGATATTAGAAGGTAATATTTTAACCAGAAAACAGGAAGGGGATTCGGGGCTCTTTTTATAGTCACTCTCTTGGAGCAGTCCTGCTCCTACTGACTTCAGGCAACCTTTCAGGCATTTCCTATTCCATCTATCTGCGCGTATGGGACTTTAACCCCGTGGCAGCCCGTGAAACGCCGGCCACCAATTAAACTGCACTAAGTGGGTGTTTTTCGTAAGCTAGTAAAGATGGTCATCTGTGGTTCTCTGCCACAGGGTGATGGTGGCCTATCTAGGTGATTTGCAAAGGTGGTTCAGGTTATGCTCATTACCTTTTTCAGCCGCTTTCGGGCTCCTGTCGCATTTGAAAAAGTGCGGGTCCGAACACAGCCGGCTATATTTAATTATAGGTTTATGTTTACTCCACAATATGATTATTATGTTGATGTTCAGTGAGTCGGTTGTATTTTTGGACCACCAAACAAACCTCTTATCTTCAGTGGGTTAAGGCGCCGTGGGCTATGTCGGTCATGTACTTCAATAAGTTCCTGTTCAGGTGTTATCAAACCTTACTACCAGATAAACCCGTATCACTCAACTGTCGTTTATTTAAATAATTATAATACAAAAAGCAAGAGATACGGTTACATATTTGTAAGGAGAATATGTATTCAAAAAATGAAAAACTTCAACACCTTCATGCAAGACATATCATACTTTAACCCTGAAATGATGCCGTGCGTTTTAAAGCCAAAACGCGAATTGTTCGAAGTGCCCGAATTTAGTATGGGCATTTCTTGCACGTCTTTCTCCCTGAGAAGTTTTGTCCCTTAATTGCCCGAAACGCCGCTTGAAACCAAAAATAAAATAAAATGAGTGTTAACTTATATATGTTCTACTGTAGTCCTTTATTTGAATCCTATATTAAATCAAAATATGCTAATAGTTAAGAACCCGCTTAACGGTCTTGGGGTTCTTATGTTTGAATGTAATGCTGGGGTCCGAATGATTTTCGGAAGAGTCAGCGGTCTTTTTATGCTTGGATAAATTCATAATGGTAGTCTTTGATTTGAGCTCATTATCATAATTCCACAACTGTTTTTTCCAGTCCTTTAACGCCTGGTGGAGCTCAAAAAGCTTGCTGAGTGCCTTCTTAGGATCAGATATTGACCCCTCATGCAATGAGTTGTATAAGGTTTCATAGTCTTTATACTTTGTTCTGAATTTAGTGGCCAACATGGTATAGTGGTTGCTCTTAGATTTGTCCAACTCGTCCAATTCATCGTCATCATCATTGACCGAAGAAGGTGATGTCACATCGTCCTTATCCTTTTTGATTCGTTTGGCTTCTTCGTCAGATGATGAACTCGAGTTTTGGCTCAATTGCCTCTTTTTCAGTTCTTTGACGTGCCTCAAGGGGCTCGAATTGGTAGAATTACTTGCAGGTATCATAAGAGTAGGAGTGCTGCCAAGCCCATTGGAGGGGCCCAAACGGGGAGAATCGGTTTGAGACTTCTTAAAAGGTGAGGTTTTTTTGGACGACACCAATATGCCGCCCCCGAGGCTGCTTGGGGGCTTCTTCAGCCCTGCCACGTCTTCTGACACGGTTGGCTTCTCGAGGATTTTCTTGCGTAATGGGTGCGTTTCCAGGTATCCCAATCTCTTCAACGCGTTGTGAGAATTGGCTATGATGAGAAGCCTCTCCTCAGTCGAGTAGTACTTCCAGTCCCAGGGACGGAGGTTTTTGTATGCCTTATCCTTCAATATGTATAACTTCGTATCAGGCAAACCGGTGATAGCTCTTCGATTGGGGTATATGTCATCCGCCAAAAATGCATCATTACCATCATACACTTGACAGTACTCTAGTAATAGCTCGTCGAGCTCCTTAGGCTTGTACTGGAGCACGCTTGTGAGCTGCTCGCGAGACGTAGGACCCATTGCCAAAAGGAAAAGGAACTTAGATACAACGTCCGACTTGGAATCACCTGGCGACACGAGGTAAGGATCAAAATTCAACGGCGACGCTGGCATTGACTGGGTCAAGACCCCAGCATGATTCTCGGAGGAAACAGATGTAGATACCTGTATCTTGGTGGGAGTTTTACCCAAATCTCTGACTTGAGGAGCATCTGCCACCACATTAAGCTTTGTCTTTATTTTGCCCGAAATGGCAAAAACACCAGGGTCTAGGGTCGACTGGTATATCTCAAGATTCTGGTATTCTGGCACCTGAGAGCATGTGAATATCACATCGTCCGAGAGTTTTATGGATATTTGACCGCCTTTCACCACCAACTTGGGTTTGAGATTTTTGCGGGAAAAGACGGTAAGTTGTTCTAATACATCGGCCAGCAATTTTATAGAAAAGGACGGAGATTCCACACCTTTGTGGAGCGTTACAACTTTGGGCGTCTCCATACTTCAGGACGGAGGATGTGGATACCGGTGTTTTTAACTTGAATAGGTTTGAGACGGCTGACGAAAAGAATATGCGGTATCACTAATTGGAAAGGGTGCAAACAGGATCAAGTCAGCAGTGATCGTCCAGGTACGGAAGATACGAGGGTCTGGCTTGGAGGTGGGGCTCTGGTAGCTGAAAGAAACTTGTGGGAAGATCAATGGAAATTTTTCAAACCAAATGAGTTGTTAACAAGGAACAAGTGGGAAATTAGAAAATATTACTTAACACTACGATCCGAGAATTTTGTAGGACGATGTCGCGGGGGGAACCAGTGGCATGGTGTCGCGTGTCGCGTGTCGGATGTTTGGCCCGTCGCCTGGGTCGCAGTTGACGCTGGGCTCGTCCGCGCCCGCGCTCGATGAAGGTTGCTAGAAAAAACATTCTCCCTGTTAGCAGATTAAAGTATTCATAATATATCATGTTAAAATGGGTCCAATCGGGACTTTCGGTAGTCGCTGGAACCGCAGAACCAGAATATGGAAGAGAAGCTCTTCACCCAGTCACAGATAAAGTTAAAGAAGGTGAGCCTTGTTATAGAGAAACCACCTTGAAGGACTTAAATTGGTTGGGTCCAAACTACACCAATGTTGAGACTCAAACCTTCTACTTCACGTGCTTGAAGACCGGTTATACTGGGTTTGCCCAGGTGATTCACTCCAACATCATGGGAGTTCACACCACCGCCCAATTTACTTTCCGGATTTACGACGACAAAGGCAAAAATAACCTTTGGACCTCCACTCATTTGGAGAACTTCCGTACAGAAGGATCCAACTTTTATGCTGACAACATGTCGATTGAGTTCAATGAGGACGGAACCGAGGTGATTTTGAAGTCAGATGTCAACCCCGATTCGGTGGTGGAATTCACCATGAAGAGATTGGTTCCAGGAGTTATTTTTGGTGGTGATGGGACGACTTTGTATGGAGAAGACGTTGAAGAACCTTGGGGCTCCATGCGTCATTGTTTCTGGCCGCGGTGTGAAGTCAGTGGTACTATAGTGAGTAAAGCCTTGGATACTACTTTAGAGATCAATGGGCTTACGATGTTTGTTATGGCCTTGCAAGGTATGAAACCTCATCATGCGGCGAAGAGCTGGAACTTTTTGAACTTCCAGTCCGAAAACTACTCTGCCGTTCAGATGGAATTCACCACCCCCAGATCATATGCTAATACTAAGGTTAATATTGGTGTTGTTTGTGGTAAAGATAAAATCCTTTTGGCCTCGATCAACAATGATGTTGTACACGAGAACGCCGAGATTGATGAGGTTGGCTGGCCAGTTCCAAAGGCAATCACCTTTAACCATGATGCTGCTGACAAGTCGTATCATGTGGATGTAAAGGGTGAATTGAAGTCGTTGGTTGAACGGGTTGACGTGATGGCTGAGATTCCTCAGTTCATCAAGAACATCGTTAGTGGAGTTGCCGGTACTAAGCCTTACATCTACCAGTACTGCAATAAAATGACCATCAATGATAACAACGTTGCATCCGAAACTGGAGTGGCCTTTTCAGAAGCAACCTTTATCTCCGAGTTTGATTAATTATGTTTCATGTTTGTTTTTGGTTTTTGTTGTCTGCTTAGAGCTATTAATGAATAATAATATACAGTTTAGTAAAAACATCTAAGTAAGGTTTAGGTTTTGATTTTGGTGATGTTTGTGAAATACGCAGTTTTAGTCAGCACATTGGGAATGGCTGCGAAATTCACATATTTTGCTGACATTGCTATCACAATTACAAGAAAAGTTCTTATCATGTCCCTTCAACGTACGACTTTATGCACACCCACTGCTACATTTATATGCCAATACATTTCTATGGTTCAGCACAAAACCCATGGTATTGAAAAACCAAAACCAGATCCAAACTTGTTTGTGGAGGATGGTATTTTTGGAAAGTACAAAGCAGTGTTGCAAAGTGACTTCCGGGTTGTCAAGATGAAGGGCATGTTGAAACCTTACAAGGAGGCTGCGGTTCTCAAGACATTAAAAAGACAAACTCTCAAGTATATCAAGACAAGCAACAGCATCAAGTTGATATTTCCTGACTATTCCTACTGTCTTTGTTCACCAGATTTCTCCAACCTCAGATTTGTCCACTACCAAAGTGCCAATAGCCCCATCACCCCCTCCGAAGCGTTTTCAATCCCTTCATTTGGCAAGAACCTTACCCATATTGAAGACGGAGCTCATTTGTTCATGGATCTACCACCCCAGTTGTCTCCAATTCCAGAGTTTTATATGTCCACTTCACAAACGGCCTCCAGCCAGCAAGACGTTATGGACATTGACTTTGCTTCAGACGAGTACAGTCTGTCCACAGAAAGTGATTCAGACTTTGTTCAAGACGTTTCCAAATCAGTCGGAAAGTTGGCATTGTACAAGGCTTGAACATCGCATACAGACTCAAATACAATATATCTGGAACAATACACGTTGCTATCTCTTCATACATATCTGTCTTTATTACAAGCATTGTGCTTGTCTGATGGGTAAGTGTGCGTTGGTATCATGTATATTTACGTTAGTGGTATCGTCTCATACTACGCTAAGAGCCAAGAGTGCAAACACGCTGAACAACGATTTGGATAATGTGCTGGCACCGTCATCTGAAGAGGTGGTATGCTCATCTTCACTATCAGAAGTTGATGAAGGAGCAGACGTAGACGTAGACGAAGTCTCTTTATCAGGAGAACTGGTGGTGCTACTGTCGATAAGGGCCTTGGCCGTTTGAGTTTTTCCGTACGCAAGAAGAGCAGATGCAACATCATTGGTGAAACTGCCCTTCGTAAGGTAGTTGCCAATGACAGTTAAGTCCCCCGTGAGGTACCCACTAAGCTCAGATAATATATCGGTTTCTGCAGCACTCAGACTTTCTGATGAAGATTTTGTGCTCAGATGAGTGGATTTGGCTTTTGAGGACTTCTTGGACGAAGATTTGGATGAAGATTTGGATGAGGTTTTGGTCTCAGTAGAAGTTTCAGAAGAGTCAGTAGTGGAGCTAACTTCGGTGTGGGTCGCATAAGTAGCCAATAGGGAAAGGATCAGGTCACCAGAGCTATCAGCTGTGGATTTGGTATTCTCGTGTGTAGTTGTTGCAGCCTTGGTGCTAGAAGTGGCTTTTGTGGTACTAACAAGACCTAACAACTCGTCCAAGAGCCCTTGGGTAGTTGTAGAAGTGGTGGAGGTCGAAGTATCCCTGTTGAAACTCAGCCAGAAGTTTGCCAAGTCATTTTGGGAAGCTGTGGTGGTGTGGGCAGTAGATGAGGTAGTAAGGCCGAAAAGATCATCGAGCAAGTCTTTTTTTGCGTGTTGGAGTTCTAAACTTAAGACAGACGTCGTCAAGTAAGCCACGATAAAGTTTAATTTCATGATGATAGAAATATGGTTCACGTAAAGTCTGGAATATATATACTAGGGCGCAGCGATTGTATTTTACAGCAGTTTCCACTGGTTATTACTTTACCCAAAAAGGAAATGTTTACAATTTTTGCGACTTACCGAATTCGCTAAATTGAACATTTACTCTCCCCAGACTGTGTATATTCTATGTCAACTAGGAAACATAAATAGAATTTTAACGTTTTTCTACTGCAAGATAGTGAAGGAAGATATATCCTAACACGATGAATGCACTGAGCCATCCCACCAAGTAGACGATGTCGTCCCAAAATGCTGATACGTTGAATCCAAATGTACTCAAGATAACAGCTCCTGGGACTTCGATTGATAACCCGTACTTCTTCTCTTTCAATATCAAATCCTTGACCTCGTTAATGGACAATGCTTCGTAGGCGTAATGGAAAAGGGATATCCATTCGAAGATTTTAATTTGAGATTTGATCTCTTCGCTGTTAATGAACAAACCGGCAAACAATATGGAAAACAAGAGTACCAACACACCAGTCATGGTGGAGGTTCCTGGATCCCGGATTAAGATTCCCACAATCAATATCTCGATAGATATGGCAACATTGAACAAAACCAACACCATAATGGCTTTCAAAAACCCGTTATGTTCCATGGTCAATCCCACTAATGGGTAAGCAATGGAGATCAATATCACCGGAGGCAACACTCTCAATGGAACCACATCACAAAGCAATTTGGTAAGGTAGTAGCTGAACGGGTGGTAATAATTATTTGCTCTTTCTCTAATGAAAATGATCCTTTCACTGGCAAATGTATGCAAACCAGTCAAAGACGAGAACCCAAAAAGCGATAACAAGAAGAAGAACAACCCCAATCTGTTCTGGAATCCACTGATGTCATTTTTAACATCGTAGTACAAATACCCACAAAAGCCTCCCATGATTAGAGATAGAATGTAGTGGGTTAACAACAATTTGGGGTTTCTGTACAAGTTTTTGAAAGTTCTAGAAGACAAAACCGAAACTTGGGTAATAAAACTGGCCTTTTTGTACTGGGCATTGACCTCAAATTTCAAAGGAGAGTTCTTCAAAGCCAAGATCTCGTCATTCAACTCCAGTTGAAGCACACTTTCTTTGAATAGAGTGGGCAATTTGTTCTGGACTTGGATAACAGTTTCTTCTTCGTCGTCACCACTGATTTTGTTATAGCTATTGTATTCATCTCTGTGAAGTGCCAAGTGTGCCCATTCACTAGTGGTATCCAAATCACTGGTGGTCCTAGTACTTAAGAATCTCAGGTGGAGGTCCTGTTCTTCACTTTCCAAACCAGCCAAGTTCTCCAAGTCACTTCCCGTAGATGTACTGTTGACCTTGATAAGCTTCTTATGGTCAACGGTAACATCAATCAAGTAGTCAGCAATGTTATAGCCAAGGGGAATGGTGTATCCGTTCTTACTGAAGAAGTCGTTACATTTAATCATATCACCTGAGTAGATTAGATCTCCTTCGCTCAACAAGATCAACTTGTCGAACAATGAAACAATATTACTTCTGGGCTGGTGGATGGTGAAGACTATAGTTCTTTCAAAGTCTCTTGACAACTTCACCAAGCACTCAATGACATTTCTTGCATTATAAGCGTCCAAGCCTGAAGTTGGTTCATCCAAGAATAAGATGGAAGGAGAAGTCACCATCTCACAGGCAATGGAAACCCTTCTCTTTTCACCTCCAGAGATTCCTCTTTGAAAGTCAGATCCAATGACTCTATCTTTGATACCAAGAATTCTCAATTCACTCAACACTTCAATGACTCTGGTTTGCTTTGCTCTCATGGTCATAGACCGTGGTAATCTCAATAAAGCACTATTCAAAACAGTCTCATAAACAGTCAAAGTAGGAATCAAATGGTCTTCTTGATCTACAAACCCAACGATTTTCTTGAAGTCGTGAGGACTCAATCGGTTACCATTCACGTAGATATCTCCTTGGATGTGACCATCTTTATTCTTCCCAGCCAAAATGTCCAACAATGTGGTTTTACCGGCACCGGAGCCTCCCATGATGGCCAAGCATTCCATGGGTTTGACCAACCCGTTGATGCCATTCAACACCTGAGCTCCATTCCTGACCTTGTAGCTTATGTTTTCAAACGAAAGAACAGTCGGCGTGAAGTTCTCGTTCAAAACGTTCAATTCCCCATTTACTGGCTCGTATCCTCCACTGGGCTTGAACAACGCACTTTGGCTGATATTGTAAAGAGAACCTGCAACCAACGAAACACACACAACGGCGACCAAGATAATCAACAATAAGTTACTCCAGGTCAATCTGCCTTTGTCGGGCAAGTCATAACCAGGGATTTCACTTTTGTGGATACACTCACCTGACTTGCAGTGTAAAGTGATATAAGGATCCCCAAATACCGATGAAATCAATTCATTCATACTTGGCTCACTGAATCGGCAGGTCTTGTCGCCCACATCGCACGTGAAGTCACCGGGCCCCTTGATGGTTTCAGTCAAGAAGTCGGAAATGTCAATGGAACCAGCCTCACCACACAACATTGTTTCTGGTAGACATTTGCAGGCCATTTGCTCGCAGTTATAGTGAGTGGTGTTCTTGGCCAAATCATACTCAAAAGCACACTTATCCAAGTCACAGTAGAACGATTCCTTCTGGTCGATCCAGAACTGGAAGTCACAACTTCCGGCGGTTTTGTTGCAACTGAAGGTGGCCTGTGGAATCTTCCCATCCAATATGGCCACAATCTTTTTGTTGGTAACATCACACATTTGGTGCAACTTGTTGACCACAATCCCCGACTTGTAGCAAGTTCCTTTGAGTCCTTCAGGTACGAAGGCATCACATACGTTGTCTTCTTCACACATATTACAGTTGATTCCACCCCATCCTGGCTTACAGGCACACACAGGGTCTTTTCTTTTCGGACGGTTTTCATTGCCGTCAGACAAGCTGCCACAAAGTGGCTCCGAGCAATCATTGCCCCCGTACCCATCACGGCATTCGCAGAACCCCGTGAAGCTGTTGCACTGGGAAAACTGAGTACACTCAAAATTAGGCAAATTGCAGTTGAAACAAGGAGGGCACTTATCTTCGGGCTCTTTTGTCAACGGCTTCAAAGACGGGCTGATTTCAAACACATCATTGACAATAGCACCTCGTTTTATACGGTCAAACGAGGTTTGGAATTGTTGCACATTTTCAATTTCAATGGAAGTTGCTGTAGCGCAGACGGCCCAAAAGGCGTGCAACACGGCACTGGCAAATTTCATGGCTGCACACAAAAGTTCAGAAACACCACAGATAGATAATCAACAAAAAGTGGTCGAGACGTCGAAAGTCGCTTGCAATTGATACCGTGAACTAATGTGGTTGATGGTGAAGTTTGAGAATGACGAAGTTTGAAGCTATCAGCATGGTATTGCGAGTATCCTGTATACAATCCCTCGAGGTGCCATGAGGACGATATCAGAAAATACATAAAGGGTACACTTACAAATGAGGTGAATACATATATCGGAATAAATTGGTCTCTATAAATATATCAAAGGCTTTGTGCTCAACACTTGACAACTCTCTTAAGCGGCTCCACATATTCATGTTCAAGACCCTCTTTCACATACGCAATGTAGTATGGCGTAGCAGTGTTTCCCTGGATAAAGTTAAACACTTCGGACTCAGGGACCTCAGTCACAATCTCATCGTTGTACTTTCTGTAAATATTATGCTGGTGAGGATCTTTGATATAGATCCAATAGTGCCCATAACTGGCCTCTCCGCGGTGTATAAACACTGCAAAGATGGAGTATGCGATCTGTTGGTAGTCATTGAACTGGCTGGAGATATTGGATTCAAGTTGTTCAATCGAAGTATTGATTGCGACCACCTTCTCATTCAATGAGGTGATCTGAGTTTGTATATACTCGATAAGGTCTGTATCAATGCCAAAGGATTCGGTGTCTTTGATGCTTTGGAGATACTTCTTGGTCGTTATCAAAGAGTCAATAACGTTCATCTTGGAAGTCTCATCCACGTGCAAGATGTCGTGTTTTTGATTTTGAAGCTGGGATATCTCTGATTTCCACTGAAATACCTCTTCTCTCTTATCGAGGATATCCTTATCTTCGGTCTCAAGGTACCGGTCCATGTAGAGCTTTTCACTGAACGGGATGGGCTCGATGGACTTGTAAGCCATTAACCTTTCTCTATCAAAAAGAACTCTTTGTACTTGAAACTGGAGTATATCAGGTAATTTAATAATAGTCAAGGACTTCTTAACCAACCCTTCTTCGAGGTTGACAATATCTGCGTTAAAGTAATTGTCTAATGCATCATATATGTTCTTGGGATGGTCACTTATGTTGATGATCAAACTCGAGAATCTTTCTACCGATGTTCTGCTTTTGCTCTCTCCATCTATTGGAGTAATGGTCTGCTTGGTCTTTCCATAAAAGAGCTTTTTGATCAAGTCATATTGTTCCCCATCAGCTTCAATCACCTCGGGATCCAATGCGGTTTCAATCTGAAAGTTAACATTTTCAATACATTCTGTAACGTCCTGTTGCCTACCAATTTCAATGGTACTTTCTAAATCCTCAGTGTTGATAGGTAAAATTCTGACTTTGGCTTCAACCTCACTTTCATCACCACCAGTGGCAGGAGAGCTCGATGAGCTGAATCCGTCAAGAACATCTTCAACAGTCATAGGATCATTATCACTGGAAAAAGGATTTTGGATTTCTTCAAGGGAAGCGGTCTTGTCCCTGCTATTATTGGTGGCATCAATTACCATGTCGTCGACATCATCGTTGTCCGAATCAATTAAGATGGGATTGGTCTCATGTCCTCCATCTACCAAGTGCTGGTTCTTGTCCTTCAATGGACTTGAAAAATTCACGGGCTGAGATGCCGGGAGGAACGATAAGAAGGCTAAACCTTTGCTGGGCTGAACACATCGCTTATTTGTGTTGATCATCTCGTGGAACAATGCCTGTAAGTGGTAGATGAACTGACTGGCTCTCTTGGTCTCGTTGACATCGATCTTACGACCCCCTATTTTTCTTTCCAGGCCCTCCATGAAGTTGAGATCATGCTCTTCAAACTCTAGAACCATATCTCTAAGAGGTTTTATCGAAAAGTAGTATTGCAATAATGAGTTCAAGTAACAGGTATTACCGATATTATCCAAACCGGCTGGCCAGTTTTCTACAGGGAGTAAGGACGGATCCAACTTACCTGTTCTCAAGAACTGTTCAATGATCTTAGACTTCCTGTAGTTGTTTATAGACTTTAGGGCTCGTCTTAAAACTCTAATATCGGAGCTCATTAGCTTTGCTTGAAATTTATTGATGAGCTCAAACTCATTAGTACTCGGAGTTGACTCCATGATATCCAAAGCTTCATTGATGGGGAAGTCCTGGCCATATTTGCCCAATAACTCAGGCAAGTTGCTTTCAATATAATTCATCAATATAAAGCTCTTTCTGTTAATGGATATCGACTGCAAGGCTTTTTTCAAAGTCAATAACTCCCCCGAGTCGGAGATCTCCTCCGACTTAAACTCATAGGCAGTGATAACAACATCATCTTCAGTGATTTCTTCAATTCCAAGCTCAGGGATCGCCAAATCAACAGGCAATAACTCGTCATTTAAAAACTCTTTCAACACGTCCGAATTCTTGACAAAGGCGATCTTTTCTAAGCTTCGATTGAAAAAGGAGTAGTTTCTGAAGTCCTGCTTAACACTCGACTCATAAACTGAGATGATATAGTCATCGTCAATGCTCAAAAGCTCCAGGGGACTTCCATCAACTCCCACAATTCCAATATCGGCCAAAGCTCTTGTATAATCTGAGAACCCAAGTAAACGCCCTTTACGGGCATTACTATTCACATACAGCCTCAACTTCGAGTTACCCTTATTCCTCATGGCTATGATGTTATGAAGATGGTCCACGTAGAAAATCAGATTGGAAGGATCCGAGGCGATGGTATTCTCAAAGCATTTTATGATCAACTCGTCCTGGAAAAAACTACAGCAACTCAAGCTTATCCATGAAGAATTCTCGCTAGACTTGTCGTGCATGCTGAAAGTCTGGGACAATTGCTTGTCAAACTCGTTGAAGGTGCTGAAAATCAACGACAAACTATCGCTGAACGAGTAGTTGGAGTTAAAGTCATTTGGATGCACATTCATCTGCTTTCCAAGACAGATCAATTCCACCACTTTTCTGAGATAACTTTCTCTGATACTAGGGAAGTCGCTCAACTTGGGAGGGACAAGAATAGATTCATTCTTGGTAAAGCCAAAATCACTCAAAAGTAGATCAATATCGACCATGGACGCCAAGGAAGTGTTTGACAAATCGATGGTCTTAACTTCATTGGCAGAGTCCAACAAAAGTGGCCCCTTCAAAACATTAAGTAGTTTCTGTATGCACTGAAGTCCATTGGGAATGGTTTCTGGGTTCAAGTTTGGATTGTTTTTGGTTTCATTCAAGTATCTCTCTTTTATGGTGGCAGAATCAGATATGGACTGCACTGCCGAATGGGGGAATTCACTAGTGAAAATACTAATTCTTAGCATGTGGTTGGGTGTCTCATTGGAAGTGGAAACGTACACTTCGTCGACAAGATTGGCGGAGACAGAAGGAAAATCTGATGCTTCGAATTGTTTCAAGTCATCCGAGGAGAGGAGCAGTTTATCAATAACGTGATACTCGTACTTGCTGACACTCGAATTGGAATCAAAGAATGGACTTTTGTTCTCCAATACCTGTATGCGGAAATGGTTGGGTTCCTTCCCGTCGATCATAATTAGTCCCCGGATCAGGGTCAAGGTTTGGTTCTCATGATTGTCATTCAACTGGGAGACTTCTCGACTCTTGAAAAACGGAAGCTCGTTGTTCAACAACAACACAGAAGGCGCCGTACGCGTGGAGCGAACCAACGTGGCCAACTCGTGGGCGTACTCAAATGGCCGTTCATGCAATATGCTTCTGGTGGCACAACGTAATCGGAAGGGTAGGCACCACTTGATATCATCAAGTAACCGATTCAAGGTTTTGTAGGGGTGGGGGTTCAATTGCTCGGGTGCTAGCTTGGTGTACACATGACTGCTATTCACCTGGTAGTCCAGGTTGATGAACGGGTTATTCGAATCACCCATAGTATGTATGGGGAATGGGTGGGACTTATAAACTGACACAAATGCAAAACCGAAATGGCGCGAAACTTCGTGCGAAACTCTACTGCGAAGCCGACTTCTGGAGACACTGAAATACTTGGAGAATATGTCACAACAGGCGCCTACCATTGACTTTGATAAGATTCGAAGTAGCAGTGACGGCTCAGTGAGCGGAATGATGCTGCTGGCGTTCGAAGAGGTGGTGGTGAATAACCCGTATTTTGCAGCTGGTGGAGGATTGATGTTGCTAGGTACAGGGTTGGCATTAACTAGGCAAGCGGTTATCCGCTCATCGGGACTAATATATCGTCAGCTTTTGGTGGATTTGGAGATCCCATCCAAGGATAAGTCGTATTTGTGGTTCTTGGAGTGGATGTCCCAGTACAAACATCGAAGTTCACGGCATCTCTCTGTGGAAACCAACTTTGTTCAGCACAACAATGGAGCGGTTACCACCAAGTTCTCGTTGGTGCCAGGACCGGGAAAACACTTGATTCGATACAAAGGGGCGTTTATGTTGGTGAATAGAGAACGTTCAGGCAAGTTGATCGATATGACAAACGGGTCACCTTTTGAGACGGTGAGGTTAACGACTTTGTACCGAGACAGATACCTCTTTTCCGATTTATTGACGGAAGCCAAGACCATGGCTTTGAAGATCAGGGAAGGTAAGACTGTTATCTATACGTCATGGGGACCCGAGTGGCGGCCGTTTGGCCAGCCTCGACTGAAGAGATTGATGGGTTCTGTCATCCTTGACGAGGGACTCGATAAAATGATCATAGAAGACGTGCAAGATTTCTTGAAAAGTGGTGAGTGGTACCATAACCGAGGGATCCCTTATCGGAGAGGATACTTGCTATACGGTCCACCTGGAAGTGGGAAAACATCGTTCATACAGGCAGTTGCAGGAGAGTTGGACTACAATATTTGTATATTGAACTTGAGCGAGAAGAACTTGACTGACGACCGGTTGAACCACTTGATGAACCACATTCCTGATCGGTCCATCTTAGTGTTAGAGGACGTTGATGCGGCCTTCAATAAGCGTGAACAGTCAAGTGAGCAGGGTTATACCTCAGGTGTGACGTTCTCGGGGTTGTTGAATGCGTTGGATGGAGTCGCAAGTGCTGAAGAATGCATAACATTTATGACGACCAACCATCCGGAGAAGTTGGATCCAGCATTGCTCAGACCAGGTAGGGTGGACCTTAAGGTGCTTATAGGCAATGCCACTGAGTACCAAGTGAGAAACATGTTTTTAAAGTTCTATGAGAACGACGAGCAAAATTGCGACATCTTCATGAAGAAATTCAAGGAATTGGGGTTGAAGGATGTGAGTACGGCCCAATTGCAGGGGTTGTTTGTATATAATAAGAGAGACCCTACCGCCGCTACTGCCATGATTGAAACGTTAAAAAGACCCAACGATGCGTTTTAGATGGGGAAGATATTTCCGTATTTGTAAATAGAACATCCAAAACGGGAAGATTTATTTCACATACTATTATTGTACACATTATCTATACTCTCTAGTTCTCTAAAATGAGTACCGGAAGAATGGATTTTGTCCATCAGTCAAGTCAAGAAACTCGATGTTTTCTATCTTCTCGGGTTCAGGTTTTCTGTCTCTGATTTTGTTTTCTGTGTAATAAGCAACCCAGATCACTATCAACATCACAAGTTGAAGCGCCAGGCAAACAGCAAGTGATTTTTTGGCGGTGCCGTACACGGGAGTCTCACTGGCCTTGAAGACTGCACTTCCGCTCAAGTTTCCCACACAGTAACCAATCAACACAATAACATTGACGGTATACTTTTTGGTGGTTCCCAACACATTAGAAGCCACACAACTCAACACACACACAAACGACACGGGAGACACAAAGTTCATGTTGTAGCCTGCAAACCGCATATGTTTTTCGGACCCCAAGCATAACATAAGAACACCAGCCGAGCCGATGCACTGGGAAATTATGCCCCATACGAGACGAGAGTTGTAGAAATGAGACAAGGACGCAATTAAAATACATCCCACAAGTTCCACCGCCCCACTGATAGTCTGGTAGAGTAATGTCTGGTTGACTGTGTATCCAAGCTGTTCGGTAAGGACGATACTACCAAAGTTCGTGATTCCTCCATTAGGAACGTTTCCAAGAAGCACAAACGCAAATAACAACCAGGTTTTGTAGTCCGTTAATGCCTCGATGACCTGCAGCTTCTTGAGGTGCTTGTTTCCGAACCCTTGGTGATTTTTCCTGTTCCTGTGGACCACCAACATCTTATCTTCATCGGTCAAGAACCAGGCGGTGGCTGGAGAGTCAGGTAAATGGGCCAAGACTGCCACTCCAAGTGCCACTGTCAAAATTCCAGTGATAATAAACACATACTTCCATGGTGCAAGCGAAAGGCTGTCTGAGTGAACCGCAAGGCCGTACGCAGTCAAGGAGCCTATGATATTACCCAACCCGTTGAATGCGAACCAGATGGTGATACGCAAAAATGTCTGGTCTATAGTGTACCATTGGGAGGTGATGAAGGTAAACGCTGGAGTCACCGAACTTTCAAGAGCCCCCAATATGGTTCTCAAGGCCAAGAAACCGGCAGCGTTATTGGGGGTGGCATGTAACGCAAGTACTACTCCCCACACAATAATAAAAGTTCCCACTGTTTTCGCAACTGGAAATCTATGCAAGAGCATAGAGGCAGGCAACTCAAATACCATATACCCCAAGTAGAAGGCGGATCCGGTCCAGGAGTATTCCTGACCCACCATATGAAGGTCCGTTCTCAACCCGAGAATCGAAGCAAACGAATTGGACAACTTATCCATAAACTGGAAACAATACACCATACACATAAGAGGAAGCATGTACAAGTCGATTTTGTGGACCAACTGGCGTTCTCTTTCGCGCGTCATGGTGACTTCTTCATGGGCCAACCCTAACTTGATGATTTCGTCTCCATCGTCGAGTTTGATTTCTTTCCCGTTGAACTGAATTTCCTTGAGACTTTCGACAGATTGCACGTCTGTGGGAGGACTTTGTTTCTCTTTAACTAGCTCGGTCATTGTTGATGTACGGAGCAGCTATTAATGAAGTTTGAAAATTGGTGGATCTGTAAGGTTTTATAGCTTGGACCCGGGTTGTAACGGATCAGGTGAAAGGATAGGAAAACCACTAAAGGTCCCGGAAAGATCCAATGATAGCAGTGGCAGAAAGCGAAGGGCCCGGTACAGGGGTACGGCCCGCTGGGTGGGGTCAATTTTGCACAGATAAGAAGGTTTACACGAATTGGATAAGGCCGCACAGGGCCCAACGTCCGACGTAGGAACCGTACGAACGCGAAGCCACAGCGCCACAACAATGCAAAGAGGAATTAGCAACATCATGAAACGCATGTCGTGCTATTGATGGGTGTGGAGGTGTAAAAGTGTTCATGAATGGGGGAATTGGGCTGGTGGGTGATGTGGGAGTAATTTGTGGTGGTACCTTAAGCGATGCGATAAGGGATATAGCAAAATCACGATAAAGCAGTTCTTTGCGCATTTGCCTCAAAAAATCACTTTTCGGGAAACTTTTCAAAGTTACCGGTTAACCAAGTCACGGGTTAACCAAGCTAAAATTGGTAAATCGCGCCTCAAGTCAGATTGTTGGTGGATGTCATAGTGGTGGGAGGGGGGCATCACATGTGGGCGTGGAACATTCAAGTTTTTTTTGTACTGAGTCGTGGAAATGGTGTGAAAAAGATTTAGAAATAATTCTGTACGCGCAAGAGAGAAATGCTGCCTGCTTGTTTTTCTTTTGCGGTTCAGAATTGTAGTGGGTGTATGGGTCAAAACTTCGATATAAATACCGTCTTGGGTTTAGCTTTTGTCTTATATTTTACGTTTGTACTCTTGGAGGTTCACCGTACATGAATGGTCTCCACAACTAAGTTGAAAGTCCATTCAGCCGTGAGATAATCCAACGCAAAACTCATTATTCAACTAATGGCTATTATTCAAAACGGAGTGGTCCTTCAAGGGCTATATGCCCAAATGTAATGACTGCCAAGCACACCAAATTTCTCTCACAATCCAGATGCACCACACGTGTGATCATCTTTCCTTCTCCTCACCTGCTTCTCCTCAATTGGGATTGGATTTCAGTTTTCTTGACGCAGTTCAAGTCAAAAGGGGTGAATTTGCACGGGTCCAGGGCAGTTGCAGGATATATTTTACTGCTACGCGAGATCGGCACCCCTGAGTGCCCTATGATTGCGCACCAGTGAGCACTCTGTAGAGAAGCTGTACAGCCAGATCTTCCTTATGTGAGGCCAGATTCTAGAGAGTAATATAATCTGGCATCTCCTATTTACTACTAGATTGATGTTTTACGATACATGTGTAAATTCTCATGAGAAGCTTTGCTCGCGCTAGCACTGGGTTCACACAGGCACCTGTTGGTACGTTCCATCTGCATTAAATACTAATTCGGCTAAGTTAGGCTGCTAAGCATTTGTTCGCCGCATATTTTTAGGCAAGTATATATTTTTATGCGCCTTAAACGTAACTGCATCATCGCCGCTTTCCACTGCCATAACCATAACATGCATCACTTTTAACAGATGCTTTTAAAAACGAGCTAAATTTTAAATCCGAAATAGGGCTGGCTAAAAAATTTATGGGAATTTGTTTGACCCACTTATCTTGCGACATATACGCATTAAATTCCACTTTGAAGTTACATGAGCATGCATATTCTTCGTTACGAATTCTTCTTTACGGAAAACAATAGGCCGTTTGACTTCTGCATGTACATGTAAAAGCAAACCACCATCCCTGGTATATGTAACCGGATTGTTTATTTAGTGTGTCATTAGAATATTTAAATCCCATCTGGTAGCAATTTAGCCGTCCAGTAAACCAAACCATAAAGCCTTTTATACACGCACTACCGCAAGCATCTGCGCTCGCCTAGAATTTTAGTTTGTAGCCTACTCTATAATAGTACCAAACGTCCGTCATTCTGGTTCAGTTGCAGGAACAGCACAAAATAAGTGGAATATTTTCTAGCATTTTCTGTCTCGCAAAATATTCAATTGTGAAACGAGATAAGCGAGGATTAGCGTACATGCGCATGAATCAAAGCGAGTTAGCCTCGAGTTCCACCTCATGTATTAATCTGACATGCACACCAGACACAAGTTAGGTACGACTTTTACGAATAAATGGGTGAAACAGTCGTATGCCGTAGCCCTCGGGCGCTTGGAGATTACTGCTCCCTGGAGCTAAGACTTCCTGCTATGGTGTGGAGCCCATCTCCACTCTGACATGCAAAATGCAAGATGCTGAGCCCAGCGCATGTCACAAGATCAACCAAATCTCAGACACGGCTACAGTTGCAAACATGCAAAGCTTAATTCTAGGCCAACAAAATTTAAAAACTATGCAAGAGTAGTGAAGAATGATGTCGGAATAGTTGCTGTTCTTCCGATCATCAACCCGCGCAGGAGTCGAACTAATTGGGCGACATGTGGATTCAGAACAGGCCGACAATCGACACAGAGTCGGCTTAAGCTCACAGGAAATGAACTAAGCGCCGTAAAATCTACAAGGGAAATCCACATTGCCCATTGCCAATGCCAAGGCATAATGTTTAGAGTTTAGTCTGGTAAATCTCCCGCACACGGCACTAAGGAATTAACTAAATCGGCTGTAACAGATCTCGTACCCCAAGCAATAACCTAAATAGCTGTGACTTCCATTTGTCCTACTGAAATTAAATTGAGGTTGTTTTATTGCAGCTGAAATTTAATTAATGCATCTGTACCAATTAATTGTACAGTCCAATTATTGCAAATGCATGCACACAAAAGCCATCTGTTGAAGACCCATCGTGGCTGTTGATGGCTTCCCAGCATGGCTATCGCCTGCCCAGCTCTCCTATTACACCACCAAGTGATCCCATTTCCACGTGATCATGCCAAGCTGCACTCAATCGCAACTCGTCCGGGCTTAGCCGCGACTGCTAACTACGCGCTATTCAGCACCTGAACCTTCTGAACCACCTAATACACCCTCAGGCCACACTACGGGCAGTTTATAGTATCTACTCAGCTCTACTAGGTTTTTCCGACCTCCCTAGCTCATTCCACAAACATATCCAGGGATAGTCGTGCGCCCACACTTTCTCATCACTCTTGACATTCAGTACAACAAACAGTTGCTTTCACAATACCATGTTCTTACCAATTGAAAAACGGTATTACTTTTACAGCAGGAATCACAACACTATTAACAGACGTTTATGGCTTATATTTCTTATAGTCATTCCGCTCGTCTGCGTTTTGCTGTATGTACTCTTGAAGAGAAGAAGAAAAAGACGCCAATTTATCAGTGACAACAACCAGTACTATACTGGTGCTAAACCCAATCAGGGATGGAACTTCTTTGGAACAGGAAACAACACTCAGCAACCTCCATACCCGCCACAGGCCCAAGGCCAATATGGTGCCCCGGGTCAGGGTCAGAACCCTACCTATCCTCAACAGGCCTATGCTGGTGGAACCTCCCAGAACTACGGTAACCAGCAGCAAAGTTATCAGCAACAGTACCAACCACAGACTGGAGACTCGGGATATGCTGATCCTCCACCGGTGTACCCTGCGGGTGAGCTGGGCACTAACTACAGCCGGCCCGAACAGCCTCCTCCTACTGCCCAAGTCAAGTGAGTTGTTTAAATTTTAGTATGTACTATATAAATCAATACAGGTTATTGCTTTGGGCGTCTAAAACTCAATCACTACCTTATTCACCTCATGGGCATCGAACTTGCGGTACCCTTCCGCTGCCTTTTCCACTGGAATCACCGTGTCCACAAAATCACGGAACTCGCCCTTCAAGGTCTGAAAAATTTCAAGTGCTTCTGGAAATAACGACCACGCATGACACCTGCCAAACGACAAGTTGATGTTCTTCAAATAGCAGTCCATGGCGGTGAAGGGCAATGGCTCGTGCCCCATTCCGAGCGATGAAATCAACCCGTCTCTCCTGACATGGTCAAATGCTGTCTTCAAGGCAGATGACGAACCAACCACTTCCAATACATAGTCGTACTCGCCAAGTGTATCTGCGCCATCGTCAAAGTTCACTGGCTTAAACCCAAGCTCCTCCGCTTTCTTCAACCGATCGGGAACATTGTCTACGCAAGTGACGTTTTTGAAACCCAAATACTTCATCACCTGAAGAGCACACTCTCCAACAGGCCCTAATCCCAATTGCAACACTTCGATTTGGTCGAGAGGTTTGGGGGCATGTCCCTTGGCCACATGCTGGACTTGGTCCACAATCTTCTTCACCCCATAGTAGCCCGTGGTGAAAATATCAGCCATCATCACATACGAAACATCCATTTCCGGGATCTTCACCAACGTGTTATCTGCAAACGGCACACGCACATACTCGGCCTGGCCACCTGGTAACCCAGTTTTTCCAAACGTGTTGGTGATGTCACATTGACCTGACTTACCGTTTTTGCAGTACCAGCACTCTCCACATTGAATGGTGAAGGTGCTCACAACAGTATCACCAGGAACAAACCCGAGGACTCTATCGCCCACTGCCACCACGGTACCAGTAAACTCGTGACCCAAAACTTGACCGGGTTGCACAGACTTGAGGTTCCCTCTGTAAGTATGGAGATCAGTTCCACATATACCTGAGTGCTTTACCTGTAAAATCACGTCAGTAGGCCCGCCTATCTGAGGCCGTGGCACTGTCTCAACACGGAAGTCATATGGCCCGCGATATATCACCGCCTTCATGGAAGAATCCGTTTGGTATGACATTTTAAATGAGTATAATTATCAACTGGTGATGTTCATTATTCACGCTCGCTACCCCGGACCCAAGCGGCGTGCTGGGCGCGCACGACCCTCCTCATACCCATTAACTCAATAAACCTAACCCCTTGTAGGCCACACCGAGCAAGGCCTGGACGTACGTACTAAACTTCAGCGCCCGCCGAGCCCAGTAGAAAATCACTAGTGAAAACACATTCATACATATGATGTTGCCCACTATCGCATAGGTGAAGTAGACCCCCACCACCACAATAGTGGACCCATGACCAAACTCAAGGAGCACGTCGTGGAACTTGAATATGAGCAGCGACTTGTCGGGCCGACACTGGGTAACCTCTCCCTGGTCGTCGCATTTGTTGTTCAAATATACTGTCAACATGAACCGCACAAATTGCTGGGTGTAGCGCCACATCGACACCATCCTCGTCAGCGACGCCGGATCCCACCCCTGCTCGAGCATCGCGTGGAATCCTTTGTCGTACACCACCGCCAGGAGGTCGAAGAGCGACTGGTTGTTCTGCAACACGTACGTGAGGATATCCCTAAAGAAGTTCCTCGAGAACGTTAGCTCATCACTGAAAGTAAGAAAGATCCGTGCCACATGCAGAAGATAGAAGAGCAGGCCCATGCAGAACATTACAAGTCGGAAAACGCGTGTGGCGGCCACAAATGCCACGGTGGCGGCGTGGGCCACTATATATCTGATGTTGGGTCTGAAGTCTCTCCATAGCCGATTATACTTCACCACCGGCAAAGGCAACGCGTTCAAGAGCCATATCACGTGGACGTACCTGTTAATACGGTGTCGCAGGTTACTTCTGGCGGCCTGCTGGAGGGCGGTGGTACTGTGACGGCGTAATGCCTGGTTCAACTGTTCGAGGGCCTGATCGTGGTGCTCGACAGGAATGTTTTGGAACGGGTTGTTTTCACCACGATTGAGAAGGGCTCCTTGGAAGCCTTCTTGGAAACCGTTGTAGAAGTTGTTGATTATGCCCACGGGATCGTAGTGATCCGATTCGTCCATGGTTTCGTCAGTTCAATATAGTGGTGTGGATTGGGTGATTGGAGCGATTTCGCGCGCATTTGTACTACCTTGGGTGCAAACTCATAGGGGAACAAAACGATTGCTCCCCATATTTAAAAAATCATACATAGATTCAAACGCCATCCAGCACAATTTTGCCATATTGGCACCTATGCTACCTTTATCTTCTATATTTATTTTCACTAGTACCTAGGCCTATAATTCGTCACCGCCAAACCGCTCGACAATTTTGACCATAGTCGGGGGAAACAGCCCATGGTACTGCCCATACGACTGGATCCAGAAGCGTACGAGATCCCTGCTCACCTCGCACCTCCCATGAATAAGCTTGTGTGAAAGCTTGCAATGGCTGCGAAGTTTGGTACGGAGTCCTCCAAATCCATCAAACTCAAAGTTACGCATGTCATGGTAGAGTGACGTCTCATCATAGAACTTATCCATGAGCACAAGACGGTTACCGCTGGCAAACACAAGGGGTAAGAGAAAAACGTCTCCATTCCCTTCGTCCCACGAGTTTTTCACTTCGGTTTCGCATAACTGGCTATACAACTCAGCAAACCGCAAGAGAACATGGGGCATGTTCAGGTACCGTTTATGCTCTTCACTAAACAATGTGTATTCCAAGCTGTTCAGGCACTGGAGAGGGCCAAAGTCGAGGGCGAGCTGGTAATAGTGCCGAAGATGCTGGAAAAACCACACTGCTGTCAAATGCATACCCCCATACATTAACATGCCCCAAATGGCTCTGTCTAAGAGAACCACAATTTTAGGGTCGTCTTGAGGACGAAGTATGGATGCCAATACGTACTTGCGGACCATCTCTACCATCTGGTTTTGTTCGTATCGCAAAAGTACGGTGTCTTCCACCATAAGCTTTTTGGCTTGTTTGTACGCCAACTGCTCGTAGAGCACGCCGTAAGCAATGAACTGAGTACCGGCCCGGTTGCTGAAGAACTCCGCAGATGGGTTCGTCACCTCTTCCATCGAAAACTTGAGGATGATGTTCTCCAATGAAAAAACTGAAAACTGGATCTTTCCAAACTCAATACACTGGCACAACATCATTGCACAGCATCTTATCGTGATGCTCGAAAGGTATTCCGACCGGTTAAACCAAGGGTGAAGCTGGCGACGTGCAAGAGTAAGGAAGTTCAACGTCCACAAAAAGTAGTATGACGCCTCGTAATAGTCGTGTGACACGACGTGCAACATCCCGTAGCAGAACTGAAACTTCACCATCAAATTGGCAATTGAAGCCGCCGAGCTAGAAGCAGCTCGTTCGAGTCTTCCAACCATCTTCACCAACTGCCTCACGTCCATTTGCACATCTATCTCTGGGTACTTGTCGAGCTGGTCCCGCAAGTACTGTGCAAAACGATGTTTATTTTCAGCCACCGGCTTGAACACATACTGGGGTGCAAACAAAATAGCTGCTTCATACAAGATCCCCAAAGGATCCAGGTATTTGTGGTCGAGTGCGGCCACGGCATCTGCCACCCGTTTATGTGCCATTATCGACACCTTACCCAACGATAATTCAGGAAGATGCCCATATGAGGAGATGAACATCAATGCTTGTTCATGGATAGGAGGAACGGAAACCTTCACGGTAACCATCGTTTCATCGAGCTCAGGAACCATACTAGACTCTTTCGTGGAGGTGGCCACTCCTTCCTGGTATTCGTACTCTTCAGCGTACTTGCACACGGCGAGACGGTCTTTGAGGCCCAAAATCGAAAGTAATTTGGCCTCATATCGCAAATACCGACGTCTATCCAATAAGTTAACCTCCATGTCCGCCGCAATGGCCACCTCCCGCATTGCCGCCTTGTACCTCCCTAGTTTGAACAACATCAAAGCCAACACGAGCCGAATTTGAGAAGTCCATTCAGAGACATCCTCAACACTCGCATACGCTAACATCTCCCGGTACTTCTGTTCTATATAAAGCCTCATTAAAACGGCGCTAGTTGCATCCGATTCCACTAGCACCACCAGCTGGTAGGCAATTGACGACACTTCCGACTCCAGGTCGTTCAAGTATTCCACTAAAGTCTCGTAGTTTTCCATTTGTGCACTGAGTTCAAAAAGTTGAAGAAATGAATTTTCGCAGCTGCGACCCTAAAAGTTGGCGACAGCTGCAAACTCCTCCAATGTCAACAGCTTGAATGACTTGGCCAACGCCAAAAATGGCGTGCATAAGCGGTCCTTGGGGTCATTACAATGCAGAAGAGCCAATCGCGTCCACTTATAACACTGGAAGCATTCGTTCACATCCACAGCTGTTACCTTAGATATAAGGCCAGACGGAACGCGCTTAATACCATATTTATCCTTCAGCACCATCACCTGGTACACAAGCATCGTCGCTAACACTACCTCGACGTTGTAGAAAATTAGTATCGGGAGGGCAGATACAAGTTCGAGCATCAGAACAGCTTTTTTGACGATTTCTTCCCCTTTTTCACCGAAATCACCTTCAGTATCCTCAGACACCTCAACAAGCCGGTTTTGCAACTTGTATGGGAAGTCAATATTAAGCTCAAAATTCAAGAATCGGAGTAGTAATTCTTCTCTGTATAGTAATTGGTCCCGCCATTGCCAAAACACATCACTAGTCTCCGTCACCGTACGGGCCGCACTGCGTATATTACAACCAGCCAATGCTATTTTATCCGGTTGGCGGTAGGTATCATGGAGCTTACACGATATTGCTACTGCTGCCAGCGCCACGTAGTACTTCAGTGACGTGATGGGCACACGCATGTAGAAACGGTGAACATATAAGGTTGCCGCAAATATGGTATAGGAATCAAGTTTGAGGGCAGCACCGAGCCTGATAATGAAATCAGCAATTCCCAAGCGTACCCGTGACTCCTGTTCCGGAGTTAGAAACTTGCGACTAGGCAGCTTCTCCAACCAATCCTGTGGTAGAAATAACCATATGTTGGTGGTGGCCGCTGTCATGGCAGTTTACAGTTGTTGGAGTGTGCGCGCGCGACGCTTCTCAAATGCGTTGAAAATTTTTCTTAAGCTTCCTATAACTCACCATGTCTGCAACCACTAGTATGCACTTGGTAAGACCCGGTGTATCGGCTCCTGGGGCGTCATCGACGACAACCGCATGTAATGTCAAGATACATGCAACTGCGTTCATCAGAATCTTGGAAATCGTCGCCAAACAACTGATTTCCAAAGACAAGAGAATCATAGGTACTCTCTTAGGATACAGGTCCGATGATGGTTCGGGCTTTGAAGTCAGAGATGCCTTTATGGTTCCATGCGACGAAACCGGCGACTCGATCGCCATTGCTGACCACGAGCACAAGGTGTCATATCAATTGTATAAGAAGGCCCATCCAAAAGAAAGTGTTTTGGGATGGTTTGGTACTTCCAAACAAATAGATAACTCCACCGGCTTGATACACGATTTCTACTCCAAGGGCTCTGACAGAGCCTTCCCCTATCCAGCCATATACTTGAATGTCAATTACAGAGATGAAAATGATCAGGTGATCAATCCCCAAGTGTCTACCTACATTGGATCCACCGTTGGCAAAGTTGCTACGGGGCAAAAGGTGGGCTGGAAAACCCAAAGTTCCGTCAACTCGTACGTTTTTCACCCCATTCCTAACCAAATCATGTCTGGAACCACCACAGAGAAGTTGGCCTTGGATTCATTGGTGGAAAACCATATAAACCAGACCCCTACAACCTTTTCCGGCAATGAAGTCAACGACTTGTCGAACTTGAAGAAGCAAATCAACATAGTGGTAGCGTCGATTGATAAGTTAGCCCAGCACTTGGACTCGTTTGATATCAATAACGATAATGACTTGCAATTGTTAAGAACCTTAACCAACAACTTATCTTCAAGGCCCCAGAGTCTTTTCAACTTGGATGAGTTAAAGAAGCATTTCGGTGCCTACAACCAAGATGTCATTATGATTGAGTACTTGACCAAGGTTGTTAAAGAGCAAATTGAGTTGAGTGCCCGTTTGACTGCAACTGCCGAGTCTGAAAAGAAAGACAGAGAGTAGACATTATGTATAATACGTACAAGTAATAAAACAAAGCACAATGGATACCGTAGAGCTAAGTTAGCTTCTGCCCCATATACCAACTATTGTGGGTGTATTTGTGGAAGTTTCTAAAGATATCGCAATACTTCCTTCAGCTTATCTAAAAGGTGGCACTTGCGAATTGTGAAATTTACCAATCTCATCTCATCACCATTTGTTTGCAAACCACAGGTTTTAACAGTTAAATTGCTGGATTGTTTCAGGGAATAAATGCACAAACAACACTGACTCCCATTTTCAGGCCCTTCCCATAATCCGTCGTTCTTCACCACCCCCGGCCAAAATTCACACCCCTTTTCTCGTCGGCAGCCACTGATTACGCAGCTCATTTTTGGCCCGATTGAGAAATACCTATACACAAGAGAAGAGCAGAAAAAAATTTTAAACCACACTATTTAGGGCACCTGAATAACACCACTCTATCTACCTATTTACAAAAGCGATTGAGTCTGCTTCATATTATGCCTTATAGTAACCAGTCACAGTATATAACCCCCATTTTCAAACCGAATTTCCAGCGATTATAACTCCCATTTGACAAGTATTCTCCCGCAGTATCACAGAGAAGACCTACCACAAAACCATGGCTAAAGGTCCGACCAAGAAGAACCTATCCAAGAAAGCGGCTTCCCCGTCTAAACAAAAGCAGCTGAAACCGCCTGTGGGTGGGAAAAACGTCAGTTTGTATATGAACAACCGATCCTTTAATGTGAAGAATAGCAGAGCCATGCGAAGCGCTACCAGACGATTTAGTTTGGCAGACTCATCCTCATCTTCAGATTCGTCCAGCAACCACCAGGCCGGTGATGTGTCTGATTCCAACTCGGATTCATCGCTCACGGCGGTATCTGACAACGCGGTATCTGACCGTTCGGTGTTATTTGAAGATGACACCAATGTCTCTTCTAAAGCCAGATCCGGTAAGAGAACAGGTAAAGCGTTCAAGGGCAAGGGCAAAGGCAAGTCTCTCAAGGTTTTTGGCAAGAAGAAGCTCTGGAAGACGAACGGCGACGAAGAAGACGGTTCTTCTGATGAAGAGGAAGAGGAAGAGGAAGACGATGAACCAAGTGTCAGTTTCTACGATGCGGATCTACCTGAACAGGACGACGAAGAAGACGAAGAAGACGAAGAGGAGTTTGGGTCGTCGTCTTCCGACGACGAAGACGTGGATTTCGTCAAGCTCCAGGCCCAGAAGAAGATTCGGTCGATGACTCCCATTGATAAGAGAAAGAAGCGAGCCAGTGGATCGGTACCGAAGCCCAAATTTGGCAGACGGCGGTCCGAGGCTGCTCTTCCTGAGGACATCAACTTTAAGTTCGAGTTCGACGACAAATACGATGATAATGCCATAGACGATGAAGATGAAGATGACGAAGATGACGAAGACGATGAAGATGAGGAAGAAGATGATGACGAAAACGACTCTGATGATAACGTAACTTTAACCAACCTTCACGAGAACTACAATGATCCCCTTGACTTGGGCTACACCCAATTTTCGGGACACGAGCAAGAAGAAGAGGACATTGGCGAAGAAATCGATGTTCCCCACTTGCCAGACCAAGTTCACATCGAGCTCGATTTGGACTTCAACACCCAGTTGATCCTGGCCCCCAAGTTTGATGAGGATGATATCAACTCAGATGATGACTATGAAATTGATGACAACGAACTCTTGGCCACTCTACAAGCCGATAACGACATTGATGAGTTTGATAACTCTGGAGCCGGTCGTCGGCACAACTCGGTGGTGTCGCTCGATGAAGACGACGAGGAAGAAAAAGAGTTTTTGAAGCAAGAGGAGAGGTTTTTGGTGAATGAATTCGAAAGCAACGGGTTTGATGACGAAGACACCACTCTGGTATTCAATAATGTTGATGGGTACGACGGCTTTAACGACAGTGATGAGGAGGAGGACTTCATTGATTTCACACTCTCCGAAGACTTGAATGTCGAGAAGGTGTCGAAAAACAACAAAAATGTGGACTACAGTAGTGATGAGGACGACTCATACCTCTGGAACTACTTCTTCAGTTCCGACAATGACTCTGACAGTGACCAACAAGATCAAAAACTACAGAAGAAGAAACCCTCGTCGCATAAGACTGACCAGCGGAAGGTTCACCACCAGCAGTTTATGGACATCGAAGAAGATGCTGATTACGACAGCAGCGAGTCCACAGATGTTGATTTGAACATCCCAGCCGCTTCTGTAAGCACTCTCGGCTCCCAGAAGGCCAAGGAGGTGTTATCCTCCAAGACAGCCGACTATAGGCCTCCGGTACTTGGAACCTGGGTAGCAGTTGAGAGCAAACCTTTTGGGATCATTGACGGGTTGTCGACAAGAACATTGATGGGTAGTCCCCCGATTCACCGGAACATCGATCATAGAACCAAGCCCCGAAAGAGCATTGTGGGTACTCCACACACAGAAGACTCTGCTCTTGGACTTGATGAGCTTTTGAACATGAGTGAATTGGACTACGACGATACTGACGATGCGAAGATTTGGCGAGACTTCAACAACAACAAGAAACGAGTTCCACTAGGAGCGTTCCGAAACAAGTCGTTGTTGCAGAATTCGATCAATGAGTCTACGGATCCAATGACTTCTAACGTTCAGTACAACCACACCAGCAAGAGTAACAACGATTTCAATCAAAGACGGTACTCGTTAAGTGGAGGCCACAAGGGCAAGTCGGCCAGAGGCAAGGTGGCACGGCGCAAGTCCAGCACCATTGTGCTGGTTCCACCTAAACTGAAGAGAAGAAGGGCTTCCATGGTGGAAGCATTCGCAGAGGGTTATAGGCCCACCAAGTCCGGGTTGTTCAGCGAGCAGGCCCTTTTGGACGTAGAAGAGGTTTTGGGTGATGACAATGACATCATGGCATTGATAAAGGGATTGTAGCCCACCAATGATAATTATGATATAGGCTTTATAAGGAATAAAGGTACGCCAGGGAAAACTAGTAGAAGTCGTGCGATGAGATGTGCGCGCCAGATGAAAAGGGTCAGAAATTCTTTGGAAAAAAAACTCACACTTATTGTATCGGAGACTTTGAGCTTGTAGTTATGGTAGCTCCAAGAAGGTCGTCACGGGCTAACAAAGGCCAACACTCTATGCGTGAAACCACAAGGTATATGAGCGAGGGAAGTGAAAGTGATGATGATTCGAAAATCGTCACCGAAGCTCCCATTGACATTTCAGATGACGACGAGTACGTTGAGAGTAAGTCCACTAAAAGAGCCGCCGCCGACGATTTGTTGGAGGAGGATGATCTGGATATCAACGAAGTGGACAATCTAGACACGCCTGCCCCAGCTACTGCCGTTCAATCCCACAAAATACCTATCAAAAGACAGAAAACCTATGCGGGTTCCACTACCTTAAAAGATAAAGTCAGAGCCAATGTTGCCAAAGCATTTATGAATGTCTTGAAAACTCAACTCCCCGACGACTACAAAGACGACGGTGTTTCTTCCAAAGAAGATGTTGCTCTAAAGTGGTCTATGAGTATTGAAGCTGCTATCTTCAACGTTTTCCCTCAGAAAGACAGACACTACACTGATAAAAGCAGAGGAATTATGACCTTGTTGAAGAAACCGAATGTGTTGCAAAGATTGAAGGAAAAAACATTGACATTCGAGAAGTTGGTGGCATCGTCCCCCGAGGAGATTGATGACGACTTGAAGAAGTATGCCGAGAAGGTCAGACAAGAGTCAATTCGTCGATCGGTGTTGACATCCCATGAAGGCCAAAGAATCAGGAGAACCCACAAAGGGGATGAAATTGTTGAAGACTTTAGTGACACTCACAGGCAAGAAGATAACGATGTCAGCATTGTGTCTAAATCTGTGGATCACAGAAGATTTGAAGATGCTGAAGCAGAGAACGCTGGTGATGATGGTGCTGCTGCAAAAGAAGAAACCCAAGTGGGTGCAAAGGTCTATAGCTACAGCACCGCGGGCTTGGATGACGACGACGATGCGTATGGTGGTTCTGACAATGAGTCAGTGGAAAGTGTTGGACAGGGCGTTGGAAGTCCTGATTTGGATGAAGATGCTGAGTTGGACAAGATCTTGCAAGAGCCCAAACCTAAAGCTGATCCTCCACCTCCTCGTGTAGAAGTCAAACCAATGAAGTCTGCTTTAAAGAAATCGTCTCAACTCCCACCTACATTATCCACTAACATCTGGGAAGGAAGGATCACGTTCCCAGACTTTACCACTTTCACGGCTAAGGCCCAGTACATTTCCTCCTCAAACTATCATATCCCTAGAACCCCTTTGGATGTGAAGTTCCATAACAACTGTATCAATGTCTCGAAAGAGATTTTTGCAAAGCCATTTTACGATATTGAAGGTAGACTTGACAGGGTCAGAGCAGACCCCTACTTAAAGGAAGTTGTCACCAGCAGGGATATCTACTTGTTCAAACTTACACCTGTTGACGAGTTTGATGACTACGACAAGTTGTTCAACTATCTCTTGTCTCGGGCCAAGGTGGGAGTTTTATCAGGTAAACCTCATTTCGCTAAAGATGCGTATGTGATTGCGTTGGACAACAACAACGTTCCTCCATATTTGAGCAACTTTGAAGAATTTCATGATCGAAGGGGTTTGTTTGCCTTGTATGTGGTTAAAAAAGACTACGTCCTGGCGAAAGGACAAACCAAACCGCCACCCAGAAGCGTCAAAATTGATGCTCCACCAAAGGCTTCAGAAGTCCAAGCTCCAAAACAGCTGCAAGAGCCCTCTATATTAGATTCAATCTTAAGTAAATTGGGAGGACCAGCTGGTGCTCCATCTTCAAACTCAGGTTCAGGTCCCAACCTTCCACCTAAACCTACTTTTCAAGCACCTACAAGCCAGCAAATTGACGGTATGAATCCCGCTGCGCTCACACTGGATCAGATGGGATTGCTCTCAAGTATAGTTCTGCAAAACCCGCAGGTACAAAGTAATCCTCAGGCAATGCTAGATATATTGACACAACAGCAACAGCAACAGGCCCAGCAACACCGTCCTAATGGCTACTGATAGGATCCCTTTACGGATTAACGACCTCATGTACTACTACCTCTCTTCGTGACGTGTATATTCTTGTATAATACCAATAACACCTTGAAGAAATGGCCTCGTTAATCTGAGTTTATAGTTAAATAAAAAGATATTTCGCGACTGGTAGATTCAACTTTTTAGGCAACCATTGATGAAATCTTATGTTCATGGAGAATATTCAAGTGAATGGTGTTGATTCGAGTCCACTGAACAGACCTAATGACACAATGGATTCTGACCAAACCAACGAATTCAACGTAAGCTTGAATTTCGGGAACGACAAGCGGATCACAGAAACTCAGAACCACGCTAAGATTGTACTGCTCAATTATAATCCCGTTTCACAACCTCTAAGAAGTGAACCCGACACGTTTCAGGATGAAAATAACACTTTTATCGGAACAACATTGCAAAGCACGCCCTTTTTGCAGAAGTTACAACGAGACTTTGACCAAACAGATGAAAATATAGACGCATCTTCACCTACGCAAGGTGATGCAAACAAGGAAAATAGGCCTAAAAGCCATTATGTGTTCCGCAAGACAGATTCAAAAGGTCATAGCAGGAATCATATAGATATAGCCGACGATTCGCCCATGGACGCTCTCAAAGATACACAGATTATTGGACTTTCTAAAGAAACCCAGGCTGACAATAAAGACACACAGGTGATTCCAGTACCGACAGACACCCAAATCATTCATGCTACCCTGAACACGCAGGTTATATATCATCGAGCTCTTGCAGATACTCAAGTTATCCAGAGCCCTCATAAGCCTCAAGAGACGCAGGTTGATGAACCCATTTCTTCGTCTCCACAAGTTGTTTTTGCTGAAGCAGAAATTGAACGTTCCCCCGAAGGAAAGTTTGGTAACCTTGAAATCAAAGACCTGGTAGAAGACAATGTTGACGATAAAACCACTAGAAACTCACAAATGGATGATAAAACTGAAGAAGCATTTCTTACCTTTTCCAACGATACCCCCAAACTCAACTCCGAGGAAAAGCCTGATAATCTGAAAGAAGAAAACAATTTCATTCTAGGGCCTCTTACATCTCCCATATCTCAATTTACAAAGAGCACTGTTCAAATACCTGGGACTGTTGAACGTCTTCAACCACAAACACAGGTGGTTCATACCCAAGAAGAGTTCAGTGAGCCCGTCGAACCAATTGAAGAAAAGGATGGTATTGAGTTTGTCGACACCGACGAAGAGGACGTGTTTATGTTGTACGACGATAGCATTCTTGCCCATCGAATGAAGGTCAAACGGCAACTAGAACAAAATAGCAGCCCTTCGAAGAAGGAGGTGATTGCCTCCGCCACTGTGGTGGAAAATGAAGAAGATATGTCTGTTCTTCCCAGTAAGAGACAGAGACGTAATGTGGTTGACTCTCAGTCACAGCAACCGTTGTCTTCGTCACTGAGACCCATTTCTCAATCGTCAAACACTATACTTCGAAATGAAGCCAACACTGAGATACAGGACATTGATGTGGTTTCCAAGAATAGCGTCTGGGCAAACTTCAAGTTCAAAATGTATCCCGGGACTATTGTGTCTACGGGGAAAGAAAAGCTGGAGGTTTTGTTTGAAGAAGGGTGTTTTGATATCGATAATGGCGATTTATTCCCTATGGACATTAGAGTCGGAGACACCATAAAGATCAAGGGGTCTACAATCCAGTACTTAACAAGTGGATTGGGCCATGAACCCTCCCAGTCGGGAACTGGGATATGCTGTGTTAGAGGTTACAATCAGGTCTACATCAAGAAGAATAGTAAAACTCGGAGAGCCAATACTGCTGAATCGCAAGTGCGGCTATCAGCCATCTTCATGGAGTTGGAGGATTGGTACCAGCATCAGCTGAGATTTACCATCAACTTGGCTGCAGATATATTCACTGATAGTATCACCTCAATCATAAATGACAATATGCGGACTCCCACCAGATCACGGCATACCCAGGAAATTAAAGCGAGTCCCCGAGGAAGACTCAGGACTGACAAAGGTGTATTTTCCAACTGCCTCTTTTGCATTACTTCATTGAATGAAGATACCAAGGGCCAGTTGATAAAAATCATATATGCTAATGGAGGAGATGTAGTGGAAGATGGGTTTATGGAACTATTTGAGTACCGAAGGAAGAACAAGTTGGAGCTAGTGTTAAGAGACAAGGAATCTGAAGACCTTCAGTTTGTGGCGTTAATATCTAATGGTATCTCTAGGAGTTTCAAGTATCTTCAGACGGTAGCTTTAGGCTGGCCCATTCTTTCAGAAACATTTATTTTTGACACCGTTGAAAGAAACCAACTCATCAACAGCTGGCCAGCATATTTACTAGGAGCGGGTCACTCCAGCAGAATAGGAGGTGTAAAGAGCTTGGATATCCACAAGTTCCAACAATCGTATGAGAAAGGCTTGCAATTGCGCAACCAAATCAATCTTAATGGACATCTACTTAAGAAATACGTGGTGATAGGCTTGGAAAATAAAGCAAACAAAAAGGAGACAGTACCCTTTGAGTTCATCATGTACGCATTCGGGGTGAAGAACCTTGTGTTCAAACCATCTACAAAAGAAATACTAAAGTTCATCAAAAACGGTGGGATCGACCCTGAGCATATCTTGATCTACGACAACTCCAACACTCATACCCAAGCACTTGAGAATTATAAGGTTATTGACTGGGAGTGGGTAGTTCAGAGTTGTATCAGCACCCACATCTGGACCTTTTGACAAGGTGCATATGGAGTAGATATGTGTCAAGAAGATCAGCTTATATTTCACTTGAGCTCACTAGAGACAAAGCCATCTGAACAATATATATTCTTCGTTTCACGTTAATTATGCTAATCTGAATAATCTTCTAAAGAGAACAGCCACCACAGCCTTGATTAAGTTGAAGCCCGTATCGTTCTTCACTGCATCACCGTTCTCTTCTAGTCTCCTCAACAAGTAGGCTTTAGTTTCTACTGGTGGACCCCAAGGAACATATTTGATAACATTGGTTACACCTTTGTTTTTGATTAAGTTATAGGTGATGTTATCAGCCATACCCAATAATTGTCCCAAAACAACGTTGTTCTTGTTAGGATTCAGGTCATTGGACTGGTTAAGCTTGTCGGTAGCCAAGTTTAAGGATTCGGCATTGTGGGAAGCAACTACCAAGTGACCTATGGTAGAGTGGTTATTGTTCTTTTCAGCCATGATATTTTCAATGCAGTAACTAATACCCAGGTTGTAGTTCATGTCGGTGTCATCTTTGGATTTGTGGATTATAGTGTTTCTGTTGGCTTCTGAGTGAATATAGGCACCTCTCACCAACTTTAAGCCCAACCTATAGTCATTTTCTTTGGCCAACTTCTCCTCCAATGCCAATAATTGTGCAGACTCAGATAAGTACATCTGCAAGGTTCCCACAACCGAGACCGGCTGGTTGGGTTTATTGAACTTCTGATATAATCTTCTTTGCAACTCGTAAACCCCTGGCTGCAAATCGTGCTTCTCAGCATCAATAACTCCTACCACTATAGGAGAGCTTCTAGCTGGGTATTGCTGACACAACTTGAGGTTAGCGGTATAGATAGTTTCAATAACAGTAGATATCTTGTTGACCAAGTCGTCAAACTCAGTATTGTTCTGGTAGTTCCTCAACACTTCAGCCGCATTCAGGGCAAAACCAGTAGGCTTCAATGCAACATAGCTGGGAGGAATACTATTGATGTTTTCGGCCTCCTTCATCTTTGCCACAGTGTTGGGAATCAAAAAATCAGTAATGGACTTGTTGGTTTCGTCCACAATGTAGTTGGGGTCAATATGTTTGTTTCCCTCAGCAGCCTCAATGGTTAAACTCAACATCATGTTATTGATACCTCTTTGCTTCAACCGGTCGCTCGTGGTGAACAAATCCTTGACAGTTTCACCCCCACAGTAGATCTTGTACACCAACGGCTTGATAATAAACATAGGAACATATGGGAATGCCTTTATGCTAAGGTTCAAAATGGGTTTGTTGATAGTAACAGCACCAATGCACAAAAAAGACAATAACTCGGACCACTTGGCTGCCTTCAAGTACGAAACATCATCAGGGACTTGGGGCATTTCCGCAGGGAATTTCTGTTGAAGGGTGTTTGTGGATGTGGTTTGTTGGTGTAAAGTAGATTTATTGTTAGAGGAGGTATGGAAAGCAGCACCAACAGAAGGAGTACGTATACCCAAAGTGGCCAGAGCCACGCAGGTTCTAGTGGTAGGGAGTCGGAGAACGGATTTTGGTAAGCCTTTTGCCAACATTGACGGTGTAATTGTTAAAAAAAAGTAGTTATGGGAACTGCCTGCCATATATAAGGCATCATTAATTTCTTGCAGCTGCTCCGAATGGGACATTTTTGGCGAGCACCAAATCGTACAATCTAAGCGAGCAACCGTTTGGGAAACTGATGGCTGGGTTCTCGCAGAGTTTCCCTCCACAATTTGGGAGAACGAATTAAATGGTGAATAGTTACCAGTTATAGGTGGGATGGTTGGGACGGGACCTTGAAGGACCTGTAGCGGCTCAGGTAGTTAAATCGCTGTGACTTTCGCATGTCATATTTCTCGCATACAATTTCTCCCGTGGGTGAGAATCACGAACACTAATCACCTGGGCACAAACACGTGATTTACAAACTGTTAGCCATTGATTGACGAAAATAGTTGTCGAAAGATTAATCAAATAGTGTATGGAGTTGAGCACCACCAAATCCGACGGAACACTTAATCAGTATCTACAAGGCATGTTTTACCAAGATTTGCAAGTGTTTACTTGTTACCAGGCTCCGTACATTTCATATTTGCGCATTGGTATAAATGACATGTGCATTCTTTACACATAAACTTCGTTGTTGGGTCATTGCGTAGGGGAAGCAGGGCTGTAATATTTCAGGTAATATGAAATCTACAGCCATTAACAATAAGTTATGAAGGCGGAACCTTAATGTTCAACTCTAACTTAAACCTAAAGCTAAAAAGGCGCCTAAGCTAGAGAAGCGCCTAAGCTAGGAAAGCGCATGATTTGAATGCAATGCTAAACTTTGATTTATTGCAGGCGTACATGTTGATAAAGTTTATTTGGCTGCGAAATCTAGAACGAATGTAGATTACTTATTCACGGACTAGTTTTTTAGCTAAAACCAATTCTTACTTTTCCAGATCTGCATGAAAGAAAGAACAATAGAAGACTATCTCAAAGCAGTACAACAGTGCTACTACAACTACTACTACGACTCATACTACCACTACTCCTCCACTCCTGGTTATTGCCGCTTGTAAAACAACACCTCAAGCCATATGCATCCTCTATTCAACAAAAATATGTGTCATGTGACACATTCACCAACTCGTCTTCCTCTTTTCATCTCATCCGCATCCACTTTTGAATTCTAGCTCGTTCCTTGAGTCGCTACCCTAACCAATGCTCTCGATCTCCAGTTTTCGTTCCCACCTCTCATCCCGCACCCGCACGACCTCTGCGAAAATTTAACACAATTTCTCTGTTGATGCAAACTTCACCATAAAGATGTTTGGTCTACGCACACGGACATTGGCTACCACCGCCCGAATACTCAACCGAGGCACATCTATAGACAGGATCATCTTAGACCAACTCAAGGATCTGAGCAAGCTCAATAAACCCTCGTCGTTTCTCATTCTTCCGTCAGATCACGCCAACATGAGGATGAGAGACCCAAGAAAAAGAGTAATCAACACGAAACCACAGCACCCTCCTCAGCTCAAATTGGCCAGCATTCTTCTAACCGATGATATAGAGGAAGAATCCACCTCATCGGTCATCAAGCTCATCAATAACCTAAGAATATATCAGAATAAAGTCAGCGACCATTCTTACAAGAGCGTGACATCTGTTCTCACCAAATCATTCACCCTGGCTCAGTTAAAAGAGTACATCAGATCATATACCCTGGATCCCGATTATAAGGGAAGAAAGGAAGGAATCGCCAAAAAAACCAAGCGCCAATTGTGTAGGATCATCATTTCTGATCTATGGAACATCCAAAGGTCTGGTAAAGAAACATCAGTTGAAGACTTTTTGACCTCCCGTCACGTCGAACTCCAGAAGAAAGACTTGTTCTTGTTACTTCTCAACAACGGGTTGCTCATCAGATACTTGTCACGAACTGGTTGCAAAATCACCTTCAAGAACAATACCATGAGTCTCAGAGGTACTGAGACTCAGGTCAGCAACGCCAACATCATATTGGACTATATTCTAGTCAGCAGCTACCAGCAGACGTTGGACTTGTCAACTATCAAACGATTATTTGTTCAGAAGTTTGGCGACTTCGACTTGAACAAGTTGAGTTCGCTTTTTCAAATCTACTTTGAAGAGTTGGACAACGACCACTACAGACTTTCTTCTTTGAACCAAACACAGACGCAAAGGGCTCAGCGGATGCTTTTGTGGTTCTTGGACTACAACAGCCACATCAAACAATTTGTTAAGATCCCTTCGGTGTACGAAACCAAAGAGTTTGAGTGCTTACCGTTCAAAGAGGACGAATCCATAAACTGGTTCAACCGGTTGAAGAGCTTGTTCCGGTTATCTTCTTCGCCCAAGAATATATTTTCGTCTGGTTTCATTGATTCCCAGTTGAAGGTGTTCGATGATGAATCGTTGCTCAATAAAACCATTGACTTTGAAGAGCTCAACCAGGTCAAATCGTTTTTAACTCCTCCTGAAGTCAACCCCCAAAATTCCCAACCAGAAGCTGAAACCGATCCATTGTTGAACGACTCGGAAATCAGTGACTTGTACAACCAACTCTCGCAGTTCCCTGAAGACAATCATGTAGTGTCCAAAACTCAGTTGGTTCCACCTATATTCGTGATCACGTTAGGAAATGTTCTTTTTGAGTCCACCTCTAAAACCACGCACCGAATCCCCTCAGCAGATCAAGACTCCTTACTGTCGGACAAGTACATCTTCAACCCCAGTATTCCATTGTTGCACGATAAAGTGCTGACACTTCCACTTTTTGGTAATCCCGAATTGAGTCTCAGCGACATCAATGAAATGAGAATTAACGATCCCCACGAATACTTAGTTCAACTCAAATTCCAGCCATCGTTGTACGACAATGAGTCGACCGATGCCCCACCTGTCGAAGTGTGGATCAACTTGAACCGGTTTGGCAAACCTGAAATGAACACTTTGAGAGTGTTTACGGTGGAAAATGAAAACACCTGTTTTATGCCGCTCCCTGACAAAGCGTCTGATATGAAGATCTCCTCCCAGTTGATCGGAGACGTTCTCAAGGCACCTGAAGCCGAATTAGAGGAAACATCACCGGATGCTACTGAACAGACTATTGAGTCGCTTCTCAACGAAACTTCTGAAAAGTACACCAAATTGAAGGGCCAGCCAGGACTAGAGACGTTCTTGGAGCGGTCGCGGCTCGACTTCAGTGGCAAGGTCAAGCCACATATTCATGAGACATTGAGGTTGCAGTTAAGTGGAAAAACAGTGAACTATCAGTACATCTCAACGAACTACAGAAGAGACTTGGAGTTCGTATATCACGGGAAACTTCTCCAGTTCAGCCTGATAGAAGGCGGATCACTAGGGGGTCGTAGCTCGGAGGTTGTGCTTGTGGGACACGATTTTGATAGAGACTCGCTCAAAGAGCTCATTGAAGATTCTGTTGCATTTATCAACCAATTATAGACTGGGCACATACATACCAAAGAGTCGTACTAAAACCTGTAAATACATACTTTGTAAAGTAAGAAGACAATTCAACTTATAGATTAACATACGAAAGTACTAAAAAGAGCATGTACTAAAACCTGTAGTACACACAATTCTAACTATACATATAATCACTTTGTGAAAATATACATCTCAAGTACTCACTTTTTGTCCTCTAACAACTTGATGTGCTTTTCCAAGTTGGAAATCGAGTTTTGCAAGGCCACAACGTCAGCCACCACGACGTTGTTGGCAATTCTGTATTGATCCAAAAGGTAGTAGTATGATCCAGCACCAGTGGCAACAACTCCCAAGAGAAATCCCACGAGACCTCCTCTGAATGAACCAATTCTTCTGGGAGTAGCAGGTGTAGAATATGAACGAGTAGCTATCATTGAGTATGTGAGTATGGAAGCAGTAATAATAATACAAAAGTTTCGCTCCCTCAACGTTCAAAAGTCATGCGAAGTGCGACTTTTTGATTTGATTTCTGGAGAAACGTTCATCCATGATAGGAACATCAATTGCAAGAAGCCGAATGGCTGCGCGCCCGACCCTGGGCCGTGGGACTGCCTACGGCCATGTAACCTCCTTTAGACATTCTTCAGTGCTGCAGAGACCGTTTTCTACTGCACGCCCAAAGAAATCCAGACATCTTTTTGCCAAAACCTTCGCAGGCATATTTGCTGTTGGTACCGGTGTGTACGTTTGGGATCGCTACTCGAACTCGTCCACGATCCTGCGATCGCTCTACGCCTTGTCTACGTTTGGTGTGGTGGCTCTCAAGTACTATTACATCGACTACTACAACGATCCAGATGATCTCCACGAATCAGCCAGTGCAGCCATCTATAAGATGTTGATGTCAAATAAAGGGATGTATATCAAGTTGGGTCAGGCGCTTGCCAACCAGGGCTCCTTGTTCCCGTTGGCATATCAGAAACGCTTTGTCAAGCTTTATGACGAGGCACCGGTGGACACCTGGGAAAGTGTTGATGCTACATTGAAGAAGTATTTGGGGCCCGAATACGAATCGCAGGTATTTCAACAAATTGACCACGAACCAATTGCCAGTGCGTCGATAGCACAGGTCCACAGAGCCACGTTGGCCAACGGAGATAAGGTTGCCGTCAAGGTTCAACATCACTACATCGAGGACCAGGTGGCTGCTGACATGTGGTGTTACAGGTTGATTGTCAGGGTTCAAGAGAAAGTGTTTGACATGCCCATGACTTTCTACACCCAATATGTTAGTGACCAAACGATATTGGAAACAAAGTTCAAGAATGAGCTCCAGAACGCAGAGAAATTGAGACTGTTTATCGCCAACGATAGAAGTGCACGCAACTTAGGAATTCATATCCCCAAGAACTACCCCGAGTACTCGGATGATAAGGTGTTGGTGAGTGAGTGGATTGACGGGGTTTCATTGACGGACAAAAAACGGTTGATCGATGGCAAATACAACTTGGGCACCATCATGAACCAGTTTGTATTGATATTCGGCAAGCAGATTTTCAGTTATGGGTTTGTTCACTGTGATCCTCATCCTGGAAACTTGTTGGTGAGGAGAGTAGGACGCCAACAGCAATTGGTTATTCTTGACCACGGGTTATATGTCAACATGCCTGAGAAGTTTAGAAGAGAGTACGCGCAATTGTGGAAGTATATTATGAGTGTGGACCGGAAGGGACTCGAGAATGTGGCCAACGAATGGGGTGTAACCTCAGTTGATTTTCTCTCCACTTCCATTCAGTTGAAGCCAGCAGACATGGATAAGAGTGTTTCTGCCCTGATGAGGACCAAGAAGAGCAAGCATATCATGAAGGAGTTCTTGAGTGACACCTCCAAGTTTCCATTGGACTTATTCTTCTTGGGCAGAGCCATGAGAATTATCCAGACCTGTAACAAGAACTTCGGGTCTCCTGTCAATAGAATTAATGTGTTCACTGGTAACGCTTTAGATGCGTTGATTGTTAAATCAGCATTTTCCGATTACTTGACTTTGCTCAGGTTGAAGGTGATGTTGTTTGGTAGCTCTGTGGTGTTCTGGGTGTTCAGATTGAGACAGATTTGGAATGGTGACCGGTACGGTTACAAAGGTTTAGGAATAGAGGATGTGATTGAGAGACGTTTTAGAAGGATGGCCCACAATATGGGAGTTGATCTTCCACCAGAACAAGCCCTCACGGATTAAAACCAATAGATAGATGGTGATGACTTTGCATGTAAATAGACAACCATATTATCATATATGAATATATTGAATTTTCGCGATGAGATGCTCACTAATTTTTTTCTACTCACAGGATGGATCTTAGAACAGAATACTCCAACGTTGATATCGATCCCTTCTATATAGGCAGCAACGCCTGTAGTGTCAGTGAGGATGGCCAGTTGATGGCATCTGCCAATTTTGAGGATATCGTGATAACCAATTTGGCCACCAATGAGATAATTGACCAAATTGATGGAGATGGAGAGCTTATCACAAATTTGATTCTTGCCCCCAACGGCTTGACGCTAGGAATAATATCCCAGTCACAGAACCTACGTGTGTATGACGTCGAGTCCAAAACCATAATCAAAAGTTTTAAAATGTCATCTCCAGTGTATGTTTCTGCTCATGATTCTACCTCATCACTCTTTGCATTTGGAGGAACTGACGGTGTGATCACCGTGTGGGATATAGAAGGCGGGTATGTAACCCATTCGCTAAAAGGCCATGGATCTATCATATCATCTTTGTGCTTTTACGGAAACTTAAACTCCAAAAACTGGAAGTTGGCTTCTGGAGACACTCAAGGTGTGGTGAAGATCTGGGATTTGACCAACAGAAAGAACACCCACACTTTCAAAGAACACGCTTCAGCAGTGAGAGGTCTCAGCTTCACCAAGTCAGGGCAATACTTTTTAAGTGGAGGAAGAGACGAAATCGTGGTCCTCTATAAGGACTTGAAACCCATTAAGACGTTGGTAGTGAAACAACTGATAGAAGTAGCTGGATTTTTGGACACTCAAGCTGATTCCACCGAGTTGTACTTTTTCACGGCTGGTCTGGACAACTTATTGAAGATTTGGGACGCCGATGGTGAAACCCTTGTGAACCAGACCAAAAACTACCAGACTGAAGAGGAACTTGTAATAGTTGATGCCATACAAATCGAGAACGAGCAGATGTATTTGGTGGTGAGTGACCAGACATTGGTGAAGCTTGACTTGTCTGAATTCCACACACAGTTGCCAGTGGTGTCAAGAATAGCTGGTAATCACGGGATTATTGCTGATGTCAGATATGTCGGACCCCAATTTGACCGTCTTGCTCTTGCAACCAACTCTCCTAGTTTGAGAATTGTCGATCCACAAAACCCGTTGCTGGTTGAGATGCTTGAAGGTCACCGAGACCTTTTGAATGTGGTGGATGTTACCATTGACGGGAAATGGATCGCAACCGGTAGTAAAGACAGTGAGGTTAGGTTGTGGAGATACGATGAAGAAGTCCAAAGGTTCAAGGCCTATGCGGTCTTTAAGGGCCATGTTGGCTCTGTTTCAGCATTGGGATTACCCCGGACTCCTGTTAACGAATATCCTCGTTTCTTGGTGAGTGCTGCTGGTGATTTAACCATCAAAAAGTGGAAGATTCCCAAGCCAGCTGGTGACGAAGTCCAAGTGGTAAAGTCGAGTGAGTACACTCGGAGAGCTCACGATAAGGACATCAACTCCATTGACGTGTCTCCCAACGATGAATTTGTTGCTACCGCCTCATACGACAAGTTGGGTAAAATATGGCATTTGGAGTCGGGAGAAACCATCGGGGTGTTGAAAGGCCACAAAAGAGGATTATGGGATATCAAATTCAGTCCCTACGACAAAAAGATTGTCACCTCTAGTGGAGACAAAACTGCCAAAGTGTGGTCGTTGCTCAACTTTCAGATCGAGCAGAACTTTGAAAGTCATACAAATGCTGTGCAAAGAGCCAAGTTCATGAACAAGGGAACCCAGGTAATCAGCACTGGAGCCGATGGTTTAATCAAGATCTGGGATAGCAAGAGTGGGGAGTGCTTAAAAACGTTGGATAATCACAGTAATCGGATTTGGGCGTTGGATATTGCTAATGATGGGTTACAGTTTGTCACCTGTGATGCCAACGGACAAATCAGTTTATTCGATGACAACTCGGAAGAGATGGGTAAGTTGAAGGAGGATGAGCAGAAGTTGAAGATTGAAAATGACCAACGGCTAAACAATTATATTAGTCAGGGAAACTTCAAAAATGCCATTTTGGTGGCCTTGGAGTTGAACTACTCGATGAAGTTATTTGAGATATTTACCAAGATCTTCGAAAACAACCAGCATGAGGAACTCATCGATATCCTCACCCAGTTGAACGACGTGCAGTTGGTGTCACTATTCACCAAAATCAAGAACTGGAACATAAACTTCAAGAACTTCGAAGTCAGTCAAAACTTACTTTACTTGATGTTGAACCATTTGAGCTTGGACAAGCTTAACAGTTCCAAGTTGATGGCAATAATAGACAGCTTGATTCCATATAACGAACGACACTTGAACCGGGTGGAGAATTTGATCGAAGAAAGCTATATTTTAGATTACTCGATTGAACAGATGAACTTGCTCAGTTAATATATATTTTTTCAGATGGCTGCGAAATTTGTAAAAACCACCAATATTTTGGTTCACTCCACAAAGATGCAATATGTACGTAACAGTCATTAAACTATTCACAAGATAGTACTAACGGTCCAGTCCGCTCACGAGCTTAACACTCGCCGTATATCCAAGAGATTTGTGGACTTCAACTTGTTGTTGATTGGCGAAAACGGAGTTGGCAAGAAAAGCTTCATTAACACCTTGTGTGAGGAAGCTGTTTTCGACATCACTGATACCACCTCCTCAACGTCCGAGTTTCATGTGGCGACCAACGAGGTGATTATACGCAAAGAATATCCGATCCGCTTGACTGTTCACAGAACCGAAAATTTCGGGGCTGAGTTGAATAACTACTCAAGTTTCCAGAAGATCGTCGATTTCTTGGACGAGAAATTAGAACAGAAACTCGCCGAAGAGTCAAAAATCGCCCGCAGCCGGTGTACAAAGGAAGGGCTTATCCATTTGGTGGTGCTCCTCGTTGACCCCATAATGAAAGGGTTGAAACCTCTTGAGGTGGAGCTCATTTCCAGAATTCAGCACAAGTGTAATTTGGTGGTGTGCGTGTCGAAATGTGATATGCTCAACTATCCTGAGTTACAGCAGCAGAAATCGCTTATTCAGCAGTCGGTGGCTACCAACAAGTTGAAGGTGTTCGACTTCAAGGCGTTTGTGGATGAAGAAGATGTAGACCTGGAACTCAAGGAATATTACCGGCAGATCCAACAAATGATGCCGTTTTCGATCATCAACGCCAACGACTCAAGCCACGGTGTCCGCAACAATATTCACCACTCGGTTGATGTCAACAAATTTAGTGACTTCAACGTGGTTCGTGACGTGCTTTTCAACCTTGATTTACAAGGATTCAAAGAATTAAGTGTTAACACCATATACGAGATATACAGAACTGAAAAGTTGTTACAAAAATAGTACAAATCTAATAAAATACAAGGGCGGGAATACCGCCGTGTGCCGTTGAAGCCTAGGTTTGAGTGGTGGCATGTGTCCGTTATGGTCATAGTGTACATTGGAGATCGTAATGTGATCTTGATCACAAGGTTTCTTATTTGGCATGGGTATGGGAAGGGTCATCAGCAGGGTCATGAGAAGGGTTGTAGGGGTTCGCATGCTGGTGCAGGCCATGATGATGGTCTGACTCCTGATCACTTCTATTCTCGGAGTCTTCTGCTTCATCGTCGTTCTTCTTTTTGGAAAGGTCTTGATATCCCAAGCACACTTTTCGACTGCGTTCACAATTATAGCAGTAAGGCTTACGTTCGTCACACTTGATACGTCTCTTCCGACAGGTCATGCAACCAGTCCGGGTTCGACGTTTAATGATCCGACGCTTATGTAACAACGCATGATTTTCATCGTACCACACAGGCACGTTCATGTTCATATTCATATTCATACCCATAGGGACAGCCGAATTAGGCATATGATAGAGCGGATAGTGCAGCATAGGGCCCATGTTCCCCAATTGAGGGTTCATTTGGGGGTTCATTTGGGGGTTCATTTGGGGGTTCATTTGGGGGTTCATTTGGGGGTTCATTTGCGGAGGCATCTGTGGAGGCATGCCACCAGGCCCCATACCCGACATCTGCCCCATTGGGTATTGATATCCCGGAGTCATTTGATAGGGCTTCTGGTATGGCATGTACTGTTGTGGGAACGGGTAATGCATATACTCCGGATGATACTTGGGGCTGTCATCCATACGGGTAGAGGCCAGGCTGTCAAGGCGGGAAGATGCCAGGTGTTCATGTCTATAAGCGAGGTCATGTCTCAGATAGGCAACTGAATTGGCATTAGGCGCCGCCAGCGGCTTGACGTCCGGAGTAGTAGTGGCCTTAGGCGACACGTAGGCCGTAGGAGACTCGACGCGTGGGTCCCCGGATTGGGAAGGGTTTCGGGAGCCCGTTATTGACGACGATACCGAAAAGCGCTTCTCAAGTGCATAGTTGTCCACCATGGATGCCAGAGGTGGAGCCAGCAGTGGGGTTGAAAGTGGTGGGAGGACTATCTGTCCTGTCAGCATTGATCCACTTTGCGGCATCAGTGGTAGAGGGATTTGAGATGATTGATGTGGTCTTGTGTTAAGACCTGGTAAGCTGGGAAGCCGCAAGTTATTGGGATTTTGGTTCTCCATTAATTCCATAATTGATGGGACTACTGTTTAACCTAGTGTCGGTAGGTTGCGTTTGTGATGTTAAATGTCTGTTCAGACGTGTACCAAAAAAAAACCGGTTGAGGTGGTGATTTGATTTCTGTGCCCACGATTTAGTTTGGAGACGCAGATTAGGATGGAGATGAAAGGAATGGGAAACCGGGGTTGGTGATGGAGGGGTTATGTGCGAGATAATCGGGTTATCCAAACTCAACTGGGGACAAATATAAGTTGAGAAAATAAAACGGTTGATGCAAAATGGATAAGTAGGTGACTGAAGAAGGGGTTCTTCACAGCCATTTGGCGGCTAAGCAGACTTGCAGTACTACACCAAATAACACAAAACGGAAACAATACATTAGAAGTTTTTTTTTTGTTTTTGGATTTTTTTTTTATATTTTCACTGTACAAAAGAAAGTATTTTACTTTTTTTATTTTGTTGGCAATTTACAACCTACCCTTTATTTTTTTTTCTCTATCAACCGCCAACAAGTTTACTTTCTTTTAGATTTATTCTATTTAGCTTCTTTCACTAATAACTTTTACTCTACCCGAGATAACGCTAGGATTTTTTTAGTGAACAATTTCAAGTTTTTTGCAACACACACACAATGGTGTTATACAACGGGTAGGGGAGAATATGCTGGTATTCCTAGACACCGTAAGGGACTCAAACTTGCTTTTTGGTCTGGTTGGCGACCGTCCATTCCTGCGACAGAGGCAACTACAAGAGGTGCGCGCCCAAGTAAAAAGAATAAGCGAGTTAATGCCCAACCAGGTGCATTGAAAAATATACCCCCCCCGAATATTACTAAATTGGGAAATCGCCTCTCCAGATTCTATATTGAGAATCATGCATAGTATAATTCTCGTACATCGAACACGCCATTGTCCTCAGGGACTTGAAAATATGCTCAAAGTCCCCCCTACATATGCCATGCCCGAGGGCTCATATACCGTTGGCCTCCGATGGTTTTAACCCTGATCATGGGTTCTGTCATTAACCTTGTGCCAGCTAAGGCCGTAAGGCGTCGTAGTGCAGCGTTATTCAACTTCTAGCGCCATACTGGGTTTGGCGATTATCTCTTTGTCTCGTTGTCATACGACAACCCCTTCTCCTGCTTTACCGATCGATAAACAGTTGGCTAGCATTCGGCATTGAAATCATTTATAGGAACCCCCATTGAATGCAATATAGCCGTAACTTAAAATTAGCATTGAAGAAAAGAAAAAAATAAGTCGAAAGAAAACTTTAAAAAAAAAACTTAATCGCAATGCTAAAAAATAAAAGTACGCAATGCAAAAAATAACATGCACCCTCAACAGACCCCCCTCCTTGGACAGTAGATCTAGGTTAGATCACTGGCATGAAAAATAGAGCGCAAATATGTGTTTGGGGTATGTAGAAAGATCGAAGAGTTGGCATTTCATGTAAAGCTGTGGGCGGACTAATTACATAAAAAAGTCTACCGAACGAAGCGATTGATAAATGCCAGTAAGGGTCTGGCGATTCGTTATCAGAATGACAACTCCGAACAGAAAAGGGGGCGTACATGCACATGTTATTGGGTACAAGTTCCCCTTCCTAGGGTGAAGATCTTTGTATATTGTCTTGTGTTGAAAGACCAAAGCATCTGAATTTAAGCGCCCGTACATCTGTACCACTAAAGTTGGAGCCTCGTGCCGCTAATGTGAGGATGTCCTCCACCGCCAGAGAGCCTGTATGGAGCCCGGCTGATGCGAAATAGATCTGACATGAACACTACGGCATATGCAGGTAACCTATATCCAAAAATATGTGGCCCATGCAGGGGCGGTTGAGCGCCTAACATTTCTGGATAGCAGCCCGCGCCGGGCGCTACCGAGACGACCGAGACGGATTAGGTGCCATCGGCCCTAAACATGCATAATCCTATTCGTATGTTCGGATTTGTTCTTGTTCGCAG